CCTTAATCGACCACCTCTTGCAAATCCCATGCGGTCGCCAAAAGTCCGTGGAGACAGAGGCGGTTTGTACTGGGCATGTCGTGTCGTAGCTCCGCTTCTATTTTCGGCGGGTTTCGGCGGAAACGCTGCCTACCCTGAATTATCGCGGCACTTTTGGCGAAGCCGGACGAGCGATGGAGCATCAGAGTGGATGGAGATGAGGAAGAGAATTGGCCTTTGCCATCGCGAGAATGGGCGAGCATGGGCAGCTATTCTCGACGAGCCCAGATTTGTGTACTGCGCCTGCCTTGGATCGCTGCAAAACGTCGATCGGAAGGCGGGGTGGCTCAAGGCCCAGGCAAGATAGCAGGTGCCACTTATCGGCAATACTGAATCGAGGGCACTTCGTACTCAACGTTTGGGGCATTTACAGGTACTAACTTCAAGCCGCAACGGCGCATTCCGGTGCCTCTCAGTTGACAGCGCCACGTCCCTGTCAAGCCCAACAGATCATCCATCGTTGTGTGTACGGCATAACTCACTGCTCGAGCTGCATCATCATAGCGCAGCTCACGCCCTCCAGACTTTACTAGAGCACTCCGCAAAGCCCGAGTACCTGCAGAGGCTGTGCGCCGGGCTAGCAGCCCGAGCCGTAGCTGCTTCAGCCCGCGATGCTAACGAGGCCGGATGTTTCTCTCAACTTCTTTTTGACTTTGTCCATGCCAATTAGCTCTGTCATCTCAACGCATTTTGCTCCATCCGACTCATGTGCTATCACTTTTGAGGAGCGTTCCGTGTACCCGAGCGGATAGCGCAGGTGCAAACGATCACGTTGATAATTGCAACGGCAGAGGTGGAATACGAAGGCTGAGAGCGGGCTGGTGTTAGTCAGTATACTAGCCAGAGTTAGCGGAGAACTCAAGCTTCATACTTTCAGGAACCGGCCGAGGAACAATGAATGGAAACGCTACCAGAACTTGGGTATCACGCACGTGTTTGTGCAGCCGCTGCTCTTAGCACCGTTATTAACGCAGAGCTATACGACTTAGTGCTTGAACAGAGTTTTGCGGCATATCGACGCAGCTGCTGAGCATACAACGCAGCCGTCTACGAGGACAACCTGAAGCATTAGGCCTGTCCGCCAGTTCATGGCATAACATTGTGCTGATCAGCGGAGAATGGCCTTTAGATTGGTGTCTGCGCCACCACAAGGTTAAAACCATGGCGCTCTTCCAGATAGGCCTGTAGCCGGCTATATGCTCAGGATAAAGCTGAGATTCGGACTCCCTCAAAGCTTGCTGGTACAGCTAAGTATGGAGCTAAGACTTGGCCTACATGATATGTGCTTGAGCAGTTGACATGCTGCCTGGATTTTGCCAATGTTGCGAGGATCAAGGCGGAGAAGGGCGCCGAGAGAGGATCGACTAAGCAGAAAGCTTGTAGCATCGAGACGGAAGCAACAAAGAGTGCAATGGACTTGTCTCGGCAACGCCTGAGCAGGGCAAAGTAATGAATAGGTTTGCTGACGGTGGCCCAGCCACTGGTGAAAACAGTCGGACCAGTTTGAAAATGCTTTGTCGGCCGACGACTAGGCCACTACTAGACTAGCATGGGCAGGCAGGCAAAAGAGCCAATGACCCGAACTTGTGTCGGTATCGCACTGGTGGCCAATTTTTGCCATGGATCTTCGGTGCCGGCATACGGCGCACCGCTCGTGCTTGTAAATCCCAAGGGGAGCATCAAGACGCTAAAGGCTCTTTGGCGAGATCATGGTGCTCGTAGCAATTCCGCTAGGACATGATGCCAAGGCAGGGACGGGAAGTCGATGGATATTAACCCCCCTCCTCTCAGGCTTCTCAAGAGAGCGAGAGAGAAGCGCTCGTGCCTCCCCCGAGAGCTCAAAGTACATCATTCTCCGGGAAGACAGTACTGTAGCAGGACGGAGCACCGTGACATTAGCCTGCGCTCTCGCTAAGTCATCGCAAGGTGGCTAGCGCATTCTCCATTGCCCGGCCCCCCAGCCCAGAATCGTCTTATCTAGGCAAGATCTCTGATGCGATTGTCTAATCGTATCAACCCTAGTCTCATGTAGCACCGTGCTCCGTATCCGCAGCAGGAGTGAGAGAGCTCTCAGACTGATAGCAGGGTCCATGTCCGGGTATACAGTACTGTACAGTACAGTACAGGTGCAAGTAGACTCGCTCGAGCCTGGTCTCTGGAGTAAGAAGTGGTCCACGGTCCAAGATCCAAGGATGTCAGGCCACGCCCAATGGCTACCTAGCAAGGGGACAGAGACAACGCGTTACCGGCGGCCAGAGACAGACGGAGGGAGCGCGAGAGAGCGGTGGACGAGAGTCAAAAAGGGCACAGCAAAGCAAAGCAGAGCTCTGTTGACGGCAGCAAAGGGCAGCGCCAGCCAAGCAAGCGCCGTCAGCACTCTGGGATTTGGCCGGAAGCCCCGTCTGCCCGTTGTCCGTCCGTCCCCTGTCGACAAGTATGGGTGGGCCGTAGCTCTTGCTAACGACCATCGTCCATCACCACCTCACCTTGACCCCATCGAACGAATCCTGGTGCTACGCTGATCCACCCACGCCGCGCTGGCACACCCCTCGGACCCTTGTCCAGACCCAGGCCCTGCGTTGGACGCCCAGCTCCACCCCAAATCGCACGTCTGCACGTCTGCACGTACAGGTACCAAGTACCGTGCTCTTTTTCGCTCGGGAGACAGCTCCTGCAAGCTTGCTCGCAGTGCGCGCCCAACTGTGGAGCTGGCGCCGTGGCGGGAGAGACTTGCAGCTGCTGGCAGGAAGAAGGTTCGTCGATTGCTGCAGCGTTTGGGCCTCCACGGGCGAAGGATGGCAAGATATCGCCCCTAGCCAGCAGGCCGCTGACGGGACAGAGGGCGAAGAGGGAGGACGACGAGAGGGAAGACTGAGGTCGGTGAGGAGGCGCGAGAGGGGGGGGAAGTCCGGAGCTGAGCAGTGCTATGGAGAGAAGAGAGACAACGGCTGGACCGGGCCAAGCGCTAGGTAGATGGCCGTCCTGTATTTTTTTTTTTTTCCCTCTTGCTGCTCCAAGCACCAGTCGATGGAAGCGCGCTTTGCCTCAGCGCCACAGGCTGCCCGTCCAGCGCGCTCCAGCGGCAAGTGCCCTGGCCAAGCCCCGGGGCCAGCGAGGGCCAGTGGAACAGAACGGCGTCGGTACGGCGATGGGGATGGACGCCAATCGCACCCGACTGTGTACCTTGCGTGGCTCGTCAACGTCCTCCAAGCTCTGCAAACCCACTCCAGGCCTACCAATCCACAGTCTGGCCTAACCGCGACGGGCTGCTTGGCCTGCGCAGACCCCCTAGCTCCCTCAATCGCACCTGTATACGCGCCCAAGGGGTCCGGCGCCTGGTCGCTCGTACCGCCTGGCCGTACTGTACCTGGGGCGGCGCCGCCACTGTCTGCGCACTGTCCCGGCCGCTGGAAGTGAAAGTACCGTCACCACGCCCACTGTAACCAACTGGCAGCGGCCTCAGTTCCCCACCCGAACCTTGACTCTACCGCTATTCCCTGGCCTGGCCTGGCCCCGTTGGTCTGCCTCCCCTCAACCGCCAAAAACAAAACCGTCCCCAGCCTGGCCTGGCGACAGTCTCTTCGATTCTCTTCCTCTCTCTTGTCTTCACGACTCCACCGACCTCCTCAATTTTTTCCTCTTTTCTTCCCTTGTGGTTCAGCTTCCGAGACTGAGAGGCGAGAACGAAGGTAAGTCGAGCATTGATTGAGTCCTTGTCGCTGCCCTGTTGGCGGCGTCTTGTTCCCCACCGTCATCAGCCGACTGAGAAGAGAGGAAAAAAAAAAAGAGACATTGCCGGATAAGCTAAGCTGGCCAGCCTCTACGTCTCTTTCTCTTTTCTCTCCGCCATCCGCACAACCCTCGACCGCCTTTCTCCTTTCCAACTTTTCTTCTCCTTGTCTTTTTTCCTTTTTTCTTTTCAGAATTATTCATGCCCCAGCATCGTTCCGTCTCTTCGTTTCTCTTATCCGGCATTCAACGCAGCTAATCGCTCTGCATTGCAGTAGTGGGTGACTTTGACAAGGAAGCGAACAAACGCCTGCAGTTGTTTGCACACAGCTGCGGTCCGTCTTAAAGCTCCCTCCACCTCTCAAAACCGACCTTCTCCCTCTCACTTCGACACAGTCTTCACTCGCTGCCGGTATTCTGCTACTTGCGGCGTTTGTTGCACCGCCTCCATCACCGACTTTTTCATCCTGCCTCAGCTGCGCTTTGACAAGTCTTTGCTGCGGCGTCTTCGAGGCAACACCACCTCGCATGTTTTACGATTGAGACGAGACGATTGATATTGATGCCTTGTTACGACTAAAAACGCTTCTATCACGAGTATCTCTTACTGTTTCGCAAAGAAGAAAGAAAAAAGTTTCGCTTCGTCGTTCTATCGTTTTCTCAAGCGTTTGATCAACTGCTACATTTGTCGAGCCTGTTGGACCACCTTGGACCACCTCCGTCTCCCCAATTGCCCTGTCGTTCCGATTGACTTTGGACTCTTTCATTGCGAGCGTTCTTCGTTGAGTGGTTAGCGTCGAATTCCGTCGTTTTTTACTACTTCTCCTGCTTTTCCAGACGAGACTCTGCTCTTGTCTGCCCCATCCTCTGCTCTTACAAACAAGGAAAACACCGGAAAGCTGGATTTGCCACACAGCCAAGTGCAGACCCGAGGGCCTTCTGACCTCCCGTACTTGGGCTTTCACGCTGCTTCCCGCTCATCGTTTATGAGCAGCGATAGATTGCCGTCTCTTCCGCCGCTGCCATACCAGGCAGACTCTTCAAACACCTCCTCACCGCGAGTTGGTTCCATTGCCTCGTCAATTAGCTCTCATACTGGGTCTCTGTCGTCGTATACCTCTGTTTCATCGTCAAACGGCCCCAAGACTCCGTCTCCAACGCTGCCTGCCCAAGCCATCACGGGGCCGGCCACTACCATCGTCAGTTACGACGCGATGAACCAGAGTGCCGACATGTACTACGCAGGGCACATGTCAGCTGGGCAGCCGCCCCCTCCTCAGACCGTTACTTCTGGTCTGACGCACTATTCACACCAGCCTCAGTTGCTTCCTCCTGGGCCTTCACCCTACTCCAACCAGGCTCCCTACAGCCAGTATGGCTACAATGGCATGACATCCCCTACGGCTGCTCCCCCGTCAGTATCAAATCCTATGGGCAACCAGTCAACTGTTCTGCCTTCTATTCCCGGCGTGGCTGGCCAAGCCCAGTACGTCGGATTCGATACTACGGGACAGCAACCCCCTCCGGGCATGAAGCCTCGTGTCACCGCTACACTGTGGGAGGATGAGGGCAGTCTTTGTTTCCAGGTTGAGGCTCGAGGCATCTGTGTTGCTAGGCGAGAAGGTATTGCAACCCCTGACATGTTTACATGCCTCTTCCAGTATAAGACAAGGTTGCTAATTTGATTTGGGGGCAGATAACCACATGATTAATGGAACCAAGCTACTCAATGTCGCTGGTATGACTCGCGGCCGTCGAGACGGCATCTTGAAGAGCGAAAAGGTTCGCCATGTTGTCAAGATCGGCCCCATGCACTTGAAGGGCGTTTGGTATGTTGTCTATCCCCCCCCCTTTCCCCTTGGTGAGAAAAGAGGATGAGTTGATCTCCGACTAACATCAAAGCAGGATTCCATATGAGCGAGCATTGGACTTTGCAAATAAGGAGAAGATTACGGAGATGCTGTACCCGCTCTTTGTTCACAACATCGGTGCTCTCCTGTATCATCCTAGCGCGAATCCCGCAAGGACGAGCCAAGTCATGACCGCCGCTGACCGACAAAGACGCGAGAGTGTTCCCATGCGAAACCCACCTCCTCCTGGCTTGCCATCAATCGGACAACACCACCCATTGGCTCTGCCCGGGCCTCAGCAGTCGCTGCCTTCACAGACAGCCACCAGCAGGCCCCCTCTTGATCGGGCAGTAACCTTCCCCACGCCCCCTACTAGTGCTTCTAGCGTGATGGGAAGCATGGCCACTTCAGAGGGCTTCAACTGGTCGAGCCAAGGCATGAATGGATCACAAGGTGCCAATTCCATGACAATGGACGGCGGCCTTAACGGCGCACGTTCTATGCCCAATACCCCTGCTGCAACTCCTCCGGGCTCCATCCAAAGCATGCAATCTTATCCCTCTGCCGCTCAAGGATATGACAACCAGCGTCCGATGTACAACGCACCGTCGGCTCAGCACTCGCCTTACCAAAACTCGGCGAATCCTCCGCAGGATCGCATGTACAGCCAGCCTGGCCCGTACACAAAGAGCGAGATGGGCCCCCCCGCCAGCCGACCTCCTGCGGCCATCTCTGGCGAGCAGCCTGACACCAAGGGTCCTAATGAGCAGCAAGGCCAAAACCACCCTGAAGAAGAGGGTGAGCATGAGGCGGAGTATACCCATGACAGTGCTTCGTATGATCACGCTCGTGCTCCGTACAACTACAGCAACGGAGCTGGCGTAGCAGCTATGCCCAACGATGCAAACATGCCGTCTGATATGGCCAACTCTCAAAGCCACCCCCCTGCCTCAGGGCGAGCGACCCCTAGAACTGCGGCGCCCCCTCAACCCTACTACCAGCACCACACTGGTTACAACTCCCCGCAACGGGTTCAGCAGTCAACCAGCAACTTGTACAATGTCATGTCAAGCGACCGGGCGCCACAGAACGGCGCCCCGGGCAACGACGTATATGCACAGCCCACCGACATGCCTAGCACCATGTCAAACGGCTATGCTACCCAGCCTCCGGTAATGAATGGCTCGGGTCAAGGCATGAAGAGGGGGCGGGACGACGATGATGACATCGTGCGGCCTACAAGCGATGAGATGGGAATGGACCTTAAGCGACGAAAGACTATGCTGGAGACAACAGTATCCGCACCTACGTACGACGCTATGAGTAACCGATCTGCTTCGGCTATCCCAGCTCCCCGCCGCGTGCGATAGAACCAAACTACGTAATCTGAACTTTTTGCCTTGAGTTTCATGTTTCACTGAGTTCCATGTTCTCAAGGTATTGCAGCATATCAAGGTCAACCACGGTGGGGGGGAAACAGCGGCGGCGTCATGAAATAATTTTTTTTCTTTACTTTGCAGCGATTTGTGGCACCATTTGCTTTTGGCCATTTTCATTTTCCTCCAATGGGGGTGTAACGACATTCCTTGCCGTGTACTTTTTTTTACACTTTTTACGTTTCTTTGCACCCGCAGACGATTCATGGGCTTTCGCTCCATGCCAAAGACGCGATGATGAATTCACGACTAGCCATCGATTCTATGTTATCTACGATGCCCCCTGTCACGGATGTACATGGCTGATGAGTGACGGCTCTTTTTTTTATGCATGGAGGAATTTAATTGCACAAAAAGAAGGCGGCACGCGGTTGTCGGCTTACTCGTTCTCTCTTATTGTTCTTCCCCGTGGCTCTTAAGGCGGAGTTTGCGTGGACGGAGAAAATTAGAGGATTTACCTGTAATGATCTTCAGGCGAGATACAGTCAATCATGGGGCGGTTTTTCTCCCATGATGTTTTAGCCTCAGCTTTTGTCTTTGATTTTCTTTTGCTATTTTTGTTGGCCTGACTTGTCCTTTGTCTTTGGTTTCTTTTTCCTTTTCTTCTCTTTGCTGCTCTTTTTAGCTCCGAGGATTTGTTTTATTTCGCGAAAGACGTGCGGGTTTTGCTTTTGGAAATGAGAGAAGACGTCGGGGCAAGTCCTGATAATGACCTTATGACCTTACCCTTGCTTTTTTTTCCTTCTCTTCTCTGGTTATTAGCCATAAAAAGCACTACAGACGGTGCATTGGATGGGTTGCGTTATTAGGTAACGAATTTATGAAAAACGACAAATAAAAGCTATTGAGTATACGTTGGAAAGCAAAAAAAATAGAGCATCGAGTGTTTCTTGCGAGTAATTTGTGTGTGAATGAAATATTCCTTGAGTAGTTGTCTTTTCTTTAGGAGCTGCTGTTTGTGTAGTGAGAAGAGGCTGAGTGGTTGAGGAAGTGAGGCCTAGTAAGTAATACATGCAATTCCGAGTGAGGCTGTCGTAAAACATTTGTAAGCATTGAAGCAGAGATTGTTGTTGTATTTTCCCAACCATTCTTTGACCTTTTACCTTTATATTTGACTGCCCCTTGTCCCTTTTTGCTTTGTTTGATCTTTTATTCTAATTTTCTTACAATATGTAGGTATTCCCTATCATGACTCCAGCGGCGGCATAAACGCCATGCCCTTGCCCTCGCCTCCATTTACGCTCTTACTTCTAACATGCGTCCTCAGCTTCTCCAGGATCTGGCTATCCTTCCACCGTTGCGGCACAGGCCTGTACGCAGGCTTGAAGTTGCCCACGGTCTGCGCCCATTCGCCCTTGGGAGGGTCCTTGGGCAGCTCGTCCTGCTTCCTCTCCATGAATTCGGAGCCGGAGGAGGCGCTGGCAGGGCTGGATGTCACGGAGGGGTTGGTGGAGGAGTTTGGCTCTTTCTGGGTGGCCCAGTAGTAGATGTCCCAGTCGTTTTCGTCGAGGAAGAGGTCGTACTGGGTCAGTTCCTCGGTTGTCATTGTCGGGAGGTTTTGAGAGGCAAAGGTGGAGAGGAGAAGATCCGACTCGAGGGTTCCGCGCTTCCGCGACTGGTCTTTAGAGAAATCGTAGTTAGTTTGAGGTTTTCTGGATTTTGTGAAGCAATGGATAAAAAAGCCCTTTTGTGGACATACAAAGCAGTCTTGCGCGCTTGGTTGTGTCGTCTTCGCCGACTCTTCGGAGGGGCTCAACACGGAATGTTGCGCCTTGCAGCTCTCCCACCTGAAGCTCACCGGGCGTGGAATTGTCGCTTCGTCGGAGGGCGGTTGTGCTGATGGCGCATCGCTGAAGCAGCGTCGTTTGGATAGAAGATGAGCGGGCGATGAAGCTCCGCAGAGGCGCCGCCGCAGGGCGCATGGCTGCTGCACTGACCGACGGTGACATTGTGGGATTGTGTGGTTGAAGGCGTTACGATTTGCATTTATCAGATTGCCGGAATGGCTGCTTTGACGGAACGACCAAGTCGCAAATTCGGCTATGGCGGGGCCGAGGCCGGGACGCCACAAACAGCCTAGCGCTGCTTGTGTCCTCGCAGCTCGCAGCGCCCCCTTTCAAGGGCCTCAGAAGGCCTTTTCAGGGCTCGTAGAGCGAACTTTCAGGGCCTGCAGTGGCCAGGATTACAGCGATTGTGAAACTCTTGCAATGTCCCCTCACGTGAAAATCAGCGCAGGGCTAGTCCCGTTGCGGCATAACGCATAAAAGTTACTGGGTCAACAAAGCCGCATAAACACCTTCTTCGCATATTTTGGATGAATAGGCCAAGGTGGTGGCCCTGGGGGGGAAGCCTGGAGAAGCTTAGCGGTTCAAGGTTGCTTGCTTCTGAACCCACCTCAGTGACACCAAAGTTCCACCACCGAAACGAAACGCAACCACAAACAACCTCTGGGAAACAAAAAAGGAGGAGTCAAACGTCAGCGACGGAAAAAAGAAAAAAAGACAAAGAAGGATAAATAATATTTTTTTTTTCTTTTTTTTGTTTCTCTCATACCATGTCGTCGCCGCCATCGACGGCCTCCGACGCAATGCTGAATTCGACCTCATCCACCTCTGGAAGCGAGAAATACGAAGACGCCTTGGACGATGGCATGACCAGCACGCCCAAGACGGAGACGTCCAGCAGCAGCAGGCCCGAGTCGCGGGTCAGAAACGACGATGCACGATCCAGCCAGGAAAGCGTGTCGCCAGTCAAATCCCGCCACAGCCGTATTATGTCAGGCACAGAGCTGTCGCCGCTCAGGATTGTGGAGAGCCAGCGCAGCTCATTGGACGGTGCGCTGCTCAAGGCAAGTGGAGGTGTGCGCAGCCCTCGCAAAGTGTCGCCCGATCGCCGGTTTCCTGTTAAGATCAACATCGGCGGCAACACCATATCGCGGGTCGCCAACGAGCAGTCGCCCAGCATCGACGAGGTGGTTTCCGACAGCGACGGCTTCAAGCGGCCAGTGTCTCTTTTCGACGACCGGCGGCGCAGAGGCATCCAGGAGGAAGACGAGGAGGCGGCGAACCACAGCCAGGCGGGCGACTCTACGATTGGCATGGAGGACGTCGAGACGCACCACCGCGGCGACGCGACCGCCGGCGACGAGGATTTCACCATGGACGTCAGCACCTTTAGCAGCTTCTCGGCGGTGCCCAACATGGCGATGCTGGCCAAGCTTGGCCGGACGCCGACGGGCAAGAGAGGCGCCCATGCGATGGACGATGACAACTTGAACGAGCGCCCAAGCCGCTCGCATAGGTCTTCGATTTCCTCTAGACGCGACATCTTGTCGCCTTCGCGGACCACGCCCAATCTGCCGTTGACGGCGACACCCAGCGGCAAGCTCTCCAGTCTCATTGACCTTGACACGCCTAGAAACGTGCCTTCCATCACGGCTCGAGAGCTGGAATCTCTCAAGTCCAACTTTTTATCTGAAATATCCTCGCTCAAGGCTTCGCTAAGTGGCAAAGAGGCTGAGGTGCAGTCTCTCAAGACAGCCGTCGTGGATGCCGAGAAGAGGGTCGGCCAAACGATGGAGAAGATGCGCGAGGAGCGTTCCCTGAAGGAGGAGATGGAGAATGTTCTCCGGATTGTGAGAGAGGAGATTATCGAGACTCAGAGAGAAAAGGACGAATTGGAGCAGCAGCTGGACGAAAGTGAGAAGAGAAGAGAGATGTCGGAAATGATGCACCAGGAGGCCGAAAGCAAGCTGGCCGGCATGCGTGCTGGCAGAGACATGGAGAAGAATGCATCGCCCGAAAAGCCTTCCAGCAACACGCGTGAGGTGGAGATGGCCGTTGAGCGGGTGGCACGCGAGCTGCACACCCTGTACAAGAGCAAGCACGAAACCAAGGTTGCTGCGCTGAAGAAGTCATACGAAAACCGATGGGAGAAGAAGGTACGAGAGCTCGAGGTCAAGATCCAAGGGCTGACTGAGGAGAATGAAAAGCTCAAGTCTGGTGGCGACGTGACCATGACCAAGTTTGACGCTGTTGAGATGGAGGAGTTGAAGCAACAATCCGTGCGAGACCACGCGACCATGAGGGAGATTGAGGCAGACGTTCAGCGGCTGGAGGCTATTGTCTCGACAATGCGAGCGGACAATGACGAGCTGCGCATCAACTTGCAGCAGGAGAGAGTCGAGAAGGGAGAGCTGGTCCAGCTGGCGGAGGAGCTCATGGCCATGCAGACGCAGCAGGCGCCGGCACCAGCACCAGCACCGCCGCGTCAACCCTCTCCACCGCAGCCTGCACCCCAGCGAGAGATGCGGTCGCCGCCGCCCCGAGAGATGCGATCACCGCCACCGCGAGAAATACGATCGCCACCGCCGCAGGTGCGCCAGCCAACCATTGGACGGGCAGACTCGGTCAAGGGACCGAAAGCCAACCCCGCGAACCGCCTCTCCGGACTCCGTGCCCCTGGGACGATGCTTCGACAGCCGCATGAGCGGGGAAAGGGCAGCGTGGGAGGATTGCCCAGACCGAATGGCGCGAGGAACAGTGGCATCTTGAGCAATATTGAGAAGATGGGTTACAGGGGACAGTAATGCAAATGCTTCCCTGTGCTTTGTTTTTTTTAGCCCTCGCAAGACAAGCATAGCGATGAAGGGTAAATAGAAAGAAAAAAAAGATTAACTACCAGATGGAGTTTTCTTTGCTTTTTCTCCCTTCTTTTTGTTTTAGAATTTTGCCACTTTTCTCAACTACTCTCGCTTTTTGGGTTTGGTCTTGGGAGGAAACGGCCGGGAGGTCCTAGGAATGACTTGTCTTTTGTATGAGAACGTGCGCAACTTTCTTTCCTCTGCCTCATCTTATTATCCAAGGAAGGAAAAAGAAGAAGGAAGAAAAAAAAAAAAGTTGCTGCCCGCTTCATGAGGAGTTTATTCTTTTTATTTGATGAGATGATATCCTGTTCTTGTTGCTGTTGTTGTTTGACAAAAGTGAGGGGTGTCCTCTTTTTTTTTTTTTAACACTTTCTTTTATAGCTCCCTTCTTTGATCTTTGTTTTGTTTCTTCTTTCTGTTCTGCCCTGTTTTTGTAAGGGTGGATGAAGAGTCACCTTTGTTAGTATTACATTTGGATGATGATGATTTTATGTTGATGAAGACCAATTATTTTACAATTATTTATACTATGCGTTTTTTTGTGTTTGCGTTTGATTATAAGATGTGACGTTGTGAATGATGATTGCTTTGAATTCAGAGATTTTGTTTCTTCAATATACATGCCATTATTTTGTGTATAACTAGATAAAAGAGGTTCATTCATGCATCTCATTAGATAAGAAGAAAGAAAAAAACAAACGGAAAACGAAAAACTCCCAATTCATCGCCCTCACAGTTTATACGCCTCCTTGGCCGTGCCCCCAAAAATCATGGCCCGCTCTTCATCGCTCAGCGAGCCCATGTAGCACATCTTCTCGACAACCTCCTTCCACTTGGGCCAGGCCTCGTCCACCTCGTCCATTTCCTCATTGTGGTCCTTTGAGTCGAAGCCGACGGTGCACACGGGCCAGTCGCTGGCAAACATGATGCGGCTGGGGCCAAAGGTGGCGAGCACGACGCCCAGCCAGGAGAGCGTGGACTGGAAGATGTGCGAAGGGTCTTGTTCGCGCAGGGCGGGGGTCATTTCGGCGAAGCCGCCGGAGAGCTTCATGTAGGTGCGGGAGCATTTGCCGAGGGAGAAGATGGCGGTGCGCCAGGCGGTGAAGGAGGGGTCGGAGGAGACGTTGTAGACGGTGAGGTCGGGTTTGCAGAGGTGGTCTGTTGTGCGTTGTTAGTATACGTGTATGATATAGGGAGTGTAAGGGAGGGAGAGACTTGCTGATGATGAATGTGACCTTTTCCTCGTCTGGAACGCCTTCGTGTGCCCGCCCAATCATCTCGACCGTCTCTTCCAGCTGCTTCCTGCCGCGGCGGTGCTGGTCAATGGCCACTTCGAAGACGAAGCCTCGCTTGCCCAGGTACTTGAGCCCCTCGATGAACTTGTCCTCGAGCATCGTGCCGTGCGGCTTGTCCTGAAGGAGGTACCTAAACCCCTTGATCTTGGGCCAAGCCTCACCGGCCTCCTCCTCGACTCTGGCAATGTAGCGCTCCAGGATCTCGGCGCCGCAAATGACGGGCGCCCACGGCACAATGGCCAGGCATAGCGACTTGTCCTCTGGAGCGTGGCCCTCCCCGTCGAGGGGCGTGCCGAGGGCGACGCGCTTCAGCCAGCGGACTTCCTTCAGGGGGCCCTCCCAGCCGGCCTCGGCCTCGGCGCCGCCAGAGGCGATTGCGGCAAGGTCGTGCTTGCGGTCCGTCTCGACGAAGATGAAGCCCAGCAGGGACGGGGCGGTGCGGGTGGCGCGCTTGTACTGGTCGAGGGAGAATTGGCCGGCGAGCGGGTGGTCGGGGGTGGCCCAGGCGAGGTTGGGGACTTCGGACTCGGGGTAGATGTGGATGTGGGAGTCGATGATGGGGAGGACGAGGCGGTCTTCGGGGGAGGACATTTTTGGTGATGGAGATGTTGGAGATGTCGGTGTATATGGGAGAGGGAGGCGATGTGGAGGGATTGGATTGGCGTTGTTGCTCTTTGTTTAGCTGATTGGCAAGGAGAGAGAATTGGCAGCCAAGATGGTGGTAATGGTAAGAGTCACGAGAGAAGGGCAGAAAAAGGAGATTGATTCTATACGAAATATAAAAAGCATCTCGAGCGTTGCTACCCCGAGCTCAGCTCATGGAAGCTCCCCTTTTTATTGACTTGACTACCCCGCCATGCTGCAGAACTCAAGACCCCCCCTGAAAGCTCCGAGTGGGGGAGTGACGTCTCTGGGTGTGAAAGTGCAGAAAGTGGGGGATCGAAGCGTGATAGTCATGCTGCTGTTGAGAAGGAGCAACTGGACCCTTTTAACCCGAGGAGCCGGAGGACATTAGGGGATTGGAGAGACTGTGAGATTTTGGAGGGGTTCAGGATGGAAGGGAATTAGCAGTGAATGGTGGCTGAGGAACGGTCAGTTTGTGGAGCGTGGTGGCTTTTTTGGTGGCTGCGCGCTAGGATTCTATTGTTTGGTTGTTTTTATATGCGACGGGTATTTTGGAGTTGCAAGACTGATGTGATTTAAGCCATTTATGGACCTGAACTTGATCTTTATGGAAATTGAACCAAAGGATAGTTTAATGAGATGATGTGTTGACGTATAAAGTATAACTGATTGCCATCTTATTGGTTATACATTTCTTCGTGCTCATGTCCAAGTCTAGCTCTCTTATACCAAATCTACACAGTACCAGACACTCAACTACACCCAGCTTCTTCCATCACAATGAGTTCTCAAGCTCCATCAGCCCGCCCACCGCATCATGCACCTCGCCGTCCAGCTTGGCCGCGTCCACGGCGCTCCCCAGCGGCCGCCTGCTCCTCCCGCCGCCATAGCCATAGTACTTTTGCAGCGCCGCCTTGATGCCCGCGATGCCCAGCTGCACCAGCGCCCAGTCGGCCCTGCTGAAGCGCGTCTGCAGCTCCTGCGCCTCCTTGAGCCGGCCCTCGTCGTAGAGCCGCAGCATGTGGGCGTGCGCCTTGGGCAGCAGGTTGGCCGTGGCGGCGATGACGCCGTGCGAGCCGCCGACCAGGCCGTGCAGGAAAAAGTCCGTCTTGCCGGCAAAGGCCGCAAAGGGCCGGCCGATGCGCGGGTCGTGGGCGATGCGCTGCAGCTTGCCCATGTTGCCGCACGTCAGCTTGCAGCCGACAATGTTGGGGCTGGCGGCGGCGAGGCTGGCGATGAGGTCCGAGTCGAGGTCGATGCCGCCCGTGACGGCGGGGAAGTTGTAGAGCAGGATGGGCAGCGGCGAGGCGGCGGCGACGTCGTGGAAGAAGTTGAAGATGACGGGCTTTTGCATGGCGCCGACTGCAGCACATTAGAATGGGTTGATGGGTTCGACACGATGTTTCTCACCCCAGTAGCTCGGCGACAGCACCAGCGCATAGTCGGCGCCCGCCTCCTTGGCCTCGCTGCACAGCTGGATCGTCTCGCGGGTGCTCTGCACGCCGCAGCCCGCCACGATGACGGCGCCCGGCTTGCCGTGCTCGTCGAGAACGTCGCGCGCCAGGCGCAGCACCTGCTGGCGCTCGTCGTGCAGCATGTGCATGGCCTCGCCGTTGGAGCCCTGGATGACGAGCCCGTCGACGCCGCCCTTGGCCAGGCGCGTGAGGTGCGCGCGGATTGCGTCAAAGTCGATTGTCTCGTCGGCGTGGAAGAAGGCGACGGCGGGGACGTAGATGCCCCGAGGGGGGCAGGGAATTGAGGCTGTCATGGTGGTGATGCTATTGTTTGGTGTTGCAACTTTGACTCTTTCTACAATTCAACAAGAGGCAAAAGAATCAACTCAATCCATCGATAAATCATTATACTCGAATGAATGCTTCTCTTCGGCTTAAGAATTAAAAACCATATTGGGCGCCCGATTGCGGAGACCTGTCCCGCCGTGTAAGTGGTTCTGCTACCACAAGAGCGCGTTACCCCTCCATCTCCAAACCGCCAGCGGATTTTTATCCTACTCAGCTGTATCGGCGTACTTGAGTGGATGGCTCATCTTTCTACCGCTTTTGAAACCTATTACCACATAGTAATGGGCATTTGCAGGTAGGTAGTGCTACGTATAAATGAAGCACGTAGTAAGGCCAGTGTAGCCTCCTTCTCTCCACGTCGGCTTTTTGTTGTTATATGCCGATGGTAGAAATGGATTGGAGAGGTTGGTGGTGTCTTGGGTTGAAAGACTGGCGGCGAGTGCTCATGGGAGATGATTGGGACTGGCGACGTAAAGTAATCAGCAGTAAAACTGTAGCCTGCCAGAGGAGTTGGGCGGCATGAAAAAAAAGAAAAAAATCGAATCGCAACATATAGCCGTGCCGTTTGCTAAACGCCGAATGGCTTGGAACGGATGATACTACATACATAGGCCAAGTTTTGATGATTTAATTCCTTGTACATATGATGCGGTCAAAGTCCCTGGCTCCGGACATAACCAGAAAGGAAAAGAGTGGGACCCCCAGAAAATGGTCTTCGGCAGCGCCAGCCGGGAAAGTGTTTTAGTGGGGGAGGGAGACAAACGCCGAAAACCTCCAATGGCGTTAGGACCAAGAGCTGAAATGTCGCTGCTGCAACTATTTCTTGGCTTCGGACAACACGGCGAGGGAACTAGGAAGAAATGTTTTGAGAATGAATCCTTTGCGAGAGACTTTACTCGGAGATGGGGCTGGAGATTTGGAGATATATCCTTTGTAAAGCCCGAGTATGACCGTTGGGTGGTAGTTTTGGGTTACTTCTTTTTGTGTGAAGATTGGATATAAAAGGGGATGGGATAGCTCTCAGTCCATCGGCTTAAATCAATTCAGTATCATCGCCTTGATAACAAGCAGTTGACCAGTTCAATTGCCTTACAACTTAGACACATACACATACACATCGAGTCATACCCAGTTGCAAAGGACACAATACATCCACCTTGAATAGCATCAAATAAGCTACTCCAACAACCTTAATTCACCATGGCCGTCACGCCCGTCTGGTTCATCACCGCCGCCTCCTCAGGCTTCGGCCAGGCCATTGCCATCGCCGCCCTCCGCCGCGGCCACACCGTCATCGCCACGGCCCGCAACCCATCCCGCATCCAAGACCTCGCCGCCGCCGGTGCCCACACGCTGGCCTTTGACGTGACGTCTCCCCTCTCCACCATCGAGGGCGTAGCAAAGGACGTGTTTGCCAAGCACGGCCGCGTAGACTACCTCATCAACGCCGCGGGCTTCATGCTCGAGGCTGCCGTCGAGGAGGCCACGCCCGAGGAGGTCTACCAGAGCTTCAACACAAACGTCTTTGGCGTGATGAACACGCTTCGAGCCTTCTTGCCGTACATGCGCGCGCAGGAGGTGGCTGATGATGGGGTTCGCGGCGTGGTGGCCACGTTTGGCAGCTTGGGGAGCTGGCGAGGCGTTGCTGGCGGAGCAGTCTATGCCATGACCAAGTGGGCGTGCTCTGCCTTGGCCGAGTCGCTGGCCATGGAGCTGGAGCCGTTCAAGATCAAGGCGACGGTTGTTGAGCCGGGATATTTCCGCACGGGCTTCTTGAACCCGGGGACGTTGGCCTCGTCAAAGGTCCGTATCGATGCGTACGAGGATGAGAAGACGCCCACGGGACAGACGAGGAGGCGGCTTTTGGTGACGGATGGAAACCAGCTTGGCGATGTGAACAAGGGCGCCGAGGTCGTGGTGGATATGCTGTCTGGCAATGGGGCTGCGAGTGGGCGAGAGCTTCCTGTGAGGGTTGTGCTTGGGAGTGATACGGAAAAGGTGATTCGGGACAAGTTTGAGAGCACAAATAAGATTCTTGACGAGTGGAAGGAGGTTTTGAGAAGCACCGACTCTCCTTTGAACTAGACAGGGCGGCATTCGAGAGAGGTTTAGCTTGCATCTTGATTTCAGTACTGCTCAGCGCCATAGATGGAAAATGTAATGCTTTAAATTCGTTAAAAAAAACTTATTAACCCATTTTTCATGATTTATAGTCATAACCTCTCTTCCATGCGAGAAAAAAGCAACAAACTCCGTGCTCATTGAAAAAATTCCCTAAAGACCCAAAGCGCCTCGCAAGATCTGCATAAACTTCCACACGTCCTCGAACCGGCTGTATAACGGGACCGGTGCTACACGCAGCACGTCTGGCTTTCGCTTGTCGCACATGACTCCGTTTGCCTCCAGTGCCTGGGCGATGCTGTCCAAGAGACCCTCGCGCAGCAACACGCTCAGCTGTGTGCCTCGTCGGGCGGGGTCTCGAGGAGTGATGATCTTGAAAAAGGGCTGGGCGGCGTTGGACTCTGCGTTGATCTTGTCCAGCAGGTGCTCGGCATAGGCCGTTAGCACGAGGGCCTTGGACCGCAGCTCGTGCATGCTCGTCTTGTTGAAGATGGAGAGCGCCGCCGCAACGCTGGCCAGATCCAGCGCCGATGGGTTCGACACCTGGTATCCGGCCGCGCCCGCGGTAGGCACAAAGGTATTGGCCATGTTGAAGCGGACCCGCTTGTCGCCTCCATACCAGCCCGCCAGGCGTGGCCGGTAGGTTGGGTTCTCGGCGTCGTTGGAGAAGTCGACCTTGCCGTACTTTTCGTGCACAAACGCACCCGCGGTAGATCCCGGCCCCGCGTTGATGTACTTGTATGTGCACCAGCAGGCAAAGTCGACGTCCCAGTCGTGCAGCTTCAGTTCCACGTTACCGGCTGCGTGGGCGAGGTCCCAGCCGACCACGATCCCCCGCTCCTTTGCATAGGCCGTGATCCTGGGAATGTCAAAGAACTGGCCCGAGTAGTACTGGATCCCGGGGAGCAGGATCAGGGCGGTGGAGTCGGCATGCTCGTCAATGGTGGCCAGCACCTTTTCTGTGGAGATGATGAAGTCGTTGTCCGGCTCAATCTTGATCATGCTCTTGGCCGGGTCGTGGCCGTGCCAGACAATCTGGCTCTCAATGGCGTAGTGGTCGCTGGGGAAGGGCTTCCACTCCAGGATGACCTTGTGCCTCTTTGCATCGGGCTTGTAGAAGCTGGCCATCATCATATGCAGATTCACCGTCAGGGTGCTCATGTAGACAATCTCATCCGGAGACGCACCCACGAGATCGGCAGACCTTCTGGCGCAATCTTCGGCTATGTCCTGCCACTGCACCAGCGGCGACTTGCCCATGTCCAGGAAGTGGCCATTGACGCCGACCGACGCCCACGTTTCCAGCTGGGCAAGGACATACTCGCGGACGGCCTTTGGCTGGGCGCCCAGCGAGTTTCCAACAAAGTAGATGCCCTGCTCGGCCTCTGATGCCGTCCCATTGACACCGTTAGTGCCATTGTTCAGCTCACCTGCAGCATCCAATTAGCATCTCAGTGGCTCACTATACAATGGAATAAGAAACAAACGACGGTCCATGCCAAGGACCCTGATGCGATGCCGTGACGGCCGTTGATTTGGACATACCGGGAATGGTGCCATCCAACGCTCGTTTTTTCAACGAGCCCTTGGTGGGCAGAATAAACTCGTCGCGCAGGTGTCGCAGCGAATCCTGAGAGTCTAGCTTCTGGGCGAACTGCAACGAGTCTGCGTCCGCCGGGAACTTGGGCGGGGCGCCGCTACGAAGGCGCTCGACAAAGGCTGGCAAGTCCATATTGTTGGTGTTGGTGGCCCTGCTATTGTTGTCGCTGCCGTTACCGAGAAAAGCCAAGTCGCTGGCTCTGGCTCTGGGGCTGAATGCAAAGCCTCTATTCAGCGCCGTCGTTGGTTTGAGGAGCTGCCGTCGGGGCTGGAGTCTAGCGAGAACAGACATTGTGCTTTTTAGTGGCTTTGGTAATCACTTTATGTTTCCACGGCCCGGCGCCCCTTCCACGAGCCAGAGCTGTTGTTCCGCGCCCATGACCCCAAGTCCGTGCCGATTGTAGCAAAGACGGCGGCCCATTAGGCAAATAAAACATGGGCCGTAGATAGAGAGCGAGCGATAGAGGCGGATCTGTTGGGCCTATTCTAGCCGCAGCCGCAACCGCTTGCTCCGGCATGCATCATCCGCTCTTCCGCGATCCGAACTTCCGCGATCCGTCTGCCGCAGAATCGCATCGCATCGCTTCGCATCTCAGCAACGCCGGCTGACGAATGTGCTGCTGAGCCGCATCCTGATGCTGCCCTATTTGGTAACGATGGCGTATACGACTTCCGGGGTGGATCCCGGGCTCGGGGCTCAACCGGGATGCCCAGCTCAGAGCTCTTGTAAGGTTTTGCTAGGCTCATGTACGCACTTGTCCTAACCCAACAACAACTCTCCTCGATGGCACTAGCTTACTGATGAATAGCAGCGGAGCTTCGGATGAAACTCCCTAATCGCGGATGGCGGATCGAAGGATGCTAGAATCCGAAGACCAACACCCGTATCTGCCCCCATGCTCCCTGCTGTTATTGTCGTTATGCCCAGAGTTGCATGGATTACACGTGCAGACCACGGACCTTGGCAGAAGATGGTTTCTGCTGAACAATATTACGGAACTACTCACATGGCGTGAAGCTTTTCTCATTCCACTCCGGCCGCTAGCAATCATTGTTCCTGTTCCTGACCGCTCCCACGTGCGATAACTTTCATATAAGGCCCTTAGCTGCCCCGTGTTCCGTCAATCCCAGCGATAGAGGCATCACTTAAGAAGCAAACTGAAGCAACGGGGGTTTACCATTTCGAAAAACTTCAGTTTTGTCGATCCTCTCCACATAATACTACAACAGTGGTTGTCCATCATGTCTCCCCACGCCGTTGATTCACAGACTTTGGGCCAGACCGACCCCTGGAACCTATCCAAGTTTGCCGTCACAAAAAATGCCTTCCTCCCTGAGGAGAGCCAGCCCAACACGTTGTCGGATCCTTATTACGAATCATGGGAGCTCGTTGCCCACAACCTAGCAGAGCTTATCGAGGCCCGCCGAATTCACGATGCCATCAATGAACTTCCCGTCTTGTCAACAGACTTGCTCAAGTCCGAAGCTGAATGGCGGAGAGCCTATGTTATCCTGGCTTTTTTCACTCACGCATATGTCTGGGGAGGAGAAAAGGCTGAAGAAGTATGCGCCACAGCATCCATCTTTGTCTCATAACCATAATGTATACTCGAAACTTACACTAATTCCCATGTAGATTCTCCCAGCTTCAGTCGCCGTTCCGTTCCTCAAAGTCTCCGCCCACCTCGAACTCCCCCCTGTCTTGACCTATGCTGCCTGCAACTTGTGGAACTGGAGCTGCTCGGGAGACGACTTCTCCAAGTTGGAAGACCTCAGTACTCTGGTCACCTTTACCGGAACCGAATCCGAAGCTTGGTTCATGCTGGTCAGTGTTGCTATTGAGGCCACTGCCGCACCCATCATCCATACTATGCTTCGTGCTCTTGACGCCGTCAAGACCCGCGATTACGAGGTCATTATCAAGTCTCTGCAAGAGCTGAAAGTTGGCATCGATAACACCAGTGATCTCATGGAGAGAATGTATGAGCGCTGCGACCCCATGGAGTTCTATTACAAGGTCAGGCCCTTCCTTGCCGGCAGCATGAACATGGAGGATGCCGGTCTGCCAAATGGCGTCTTTTATTCCGAAGGAGATGGCAAAGGCGAATGGCGCAAGATCAGGGGTGGAAGCAATGCACAGAGCTCGCTGATCCAGTTCTACGACGCTGTCCTCGGCATCGAGCACAATGGCCACTCAGACTCTACAAAGAGCTTCCACGACGAGATCAGAGAGTACATGCCCGGTCCCCATGGAAGATTCCTGGTGCATGTAGCCCGTTCCGGCAGCCTCCGCGGATTGGCCCTCGAGACGCCTGTCCGAGAAGAGCAGCACCGTCTCAGGGAGGCTTACACAGCTGCAGTGGATGCCCTCACCGAGTTCAGGGGCAAGCACGTCAAGCTCGTGACAAGATACATCATCATTCCCTCCAAGAAGCCATGGGCTGGAACCACCCGCAGAAATCTGGCCAGCTCCTCGTCGAGAAAAGGAGGAGAGGGGCTGATGGGCACCGGAGGCACCGAGCTGATTCCATTTTTGCGGCAGGCAAAGGTCGAGACCGAAGTTAACAAGATTGAGAGTCCTGAAAACTCTGAGAAATCATAATCTTTTCATGATGGATTTTCCCCACTGGAAAAAAAGCTGAAGGAAGATGTCAACATATATGAAACAGGCGTTTTGGAGGATTTTGGATTTTTCTGTACAAACAGACGGACAGCGAGTGTTTACATTGGCCTTTAAGAGTTAGCATATTCTACAGTCAGATATAGTCAAGAGCATGTAGATATTAGAAGTGGCACATGTGTGCCTTATGAAAGAATTTGAATCAACCACTATGAAAAGGTTTTCGTACAGACTTGCTATCAAGACTTCCATCAAGACTTCCATCAATGTTACAAGCAACTTCCCTGTCCGTCGTCCAAACACTCAGCCAGTTCGGTATATGGATTCGAATTAGCTCTACTAACGAGAACAAATTTTATTAGCCCGTGAGTCAGTGAGCCAAAGCCCCCTCGGTGGCGTCGCCGCTGCAAAAGACTCGGCAATCACTCGCTGTATACCGCTGCAGATAGGCAGTTTGTGCTGACCTACAAGTATTTTCCGTCTGCAAGGCCGTCTCGTGATCGACTACTTGGGTTAAAAATGCTGCTATAATCTGCACGATATGCATGTCACACGTCCTATGACTGGACAGATGCCATCATGCAGTTCAGAGTGGGCGCTCTAGGCTAGAGACGCTGTGCCCCGCCCAGTTACAGGCGACATTGGGCCCCTAAGCACTGTAGCTGCTGCTGCAAAACAGAGCCAGCAGGGCCAATTAGCGGCTCGCTATCACCTAGCGGAAAAAGAGCGGTGACGACGTTTTTTTCTGTTCGTTCGTACAAGAACCATTGGGTCCTGTCAATGCTGGCCTGAAAGCAGTTTAGTGAGTCATTCGAGTTGTAGCTGGGGGGCGAATCAGATCGCAGACCCCACCATGAGACTAAGGGAAAAAAAAAAAAAAAAGGTTTGGGAATGCACTTCAGGCAAGAGGTACCTGGTACCATGTACTATTTCACTCGCGGGGGCCTTCAAGATTTTTTTTTTTTTCCTCTCCTCTCTTTTGCTGCATCATCCGCAATCAACCTCCAAGCCAGACAACGAAGTCGCCCTATAGCCCAGAATTCCCATTCAGAGTCCCCCAGTCAGAAACTTCGTCGAGCCACAATGCCTTCGGCCGTCGCTGAGCTGTAAACGCCCACTGCGGGCCGTGCCCATCACGGCTCGCAGTCCAGCAGTTCAACGAGTCTAATCAACAACATCTTCGACGTCAAGTTTTCCAACAGGTTTTTCCCGCTCTTGAGCTCGCATGCTCTTCCGAACAAACCTGTCTCTGAACCCGCCAAATTCTGCTAGTAGCCCGCTTTGATAGGGCCTTCAACGTCTCAATTGCTGGAAAAGGTTTTTAACAAGTCGAATCTTGGACAGCCATTGCCTTTACGTTTCCCCCTCAACCCCCTTCCTACGACCAACCAGTCAGCATCCAATTCGACACCCCAACATATCGACTGAAAGAACAAAACAACCGCATCAAACGTATTGAACAAGCATAGATCACATTTACGCCGCATCTATTCATCCGCCCATCCCTCTTTTCAGCAAAAACAAGCTCTCTAGAGCTAGCCCCCTTATATAAAAGAAAATTTCCAGGCCCACAAGTTTATCTGAATACAACTATACATAATGTCTCGAAACATCCGTCAAAAATATCCTGCAGCTGCGGCTAAAGCTCAAAAGCGCCGCCGCCTTTCGGATTCTTCCTCCTCTCTTGACCTCTCCGATGATGAAGGCTACTCAGCCGTGGAAGATATCAGCGACTCTGAGGACAACGATGAGGATGATGTAATAGCGGTCGAGGAGGAAACAATACTCTTAGAGGGTTTACCTATTCCCTCTCACGCTCCTCGACCGCTCTTGGAAGATGAAGACGACGAAGAAGAAGAAGAAGCAGAAGCAGAAGACGAAGCAGAAGATGCTGATGAAGAAGAAGAAGAGGAAGAGGAAGACGACGACGACGACGACGATGGAGACGAACACTTGGACGAAGATGCTGACAATGCAAGCTGGGCTGGCATCCTGTCAGACGTTGAAGATGGCCAAGCATCTGACTTCTATCACGACTCGAATCCTTTCGCCTCAGACCCCATTATAGAACGACATGTCCGTTTCGATATACCGGATAGCGATTCAGACTCTACTGAAACAGAAGATGACCACGCCGATCTTTTCCCCGATATCTTTGTCTCACAGAATTCTCTCGACCCTGCGTTCCGCAAAGAGATTGAACATGATACTGATGAATCGTCCGGTTCCAACTCCTTTTGGGATTATCATGGCCATTACGAAGAAGAAGGGGGAGACGACTCGGAGTCAGAAGCTGAAGAAATAGTCCGACAGCTCCCGGATGACGAAACCGTAGCTGCCGTGCCGACTCCTGACGCCACCAACGTGCCGGAAATTTTTACCCCTACCTTTGAAGAATCCCTAGAGCTTGACGGATACGAGTGTGAGTCCTACTACTTGAAGCGGGACACGGGTGCCCTTTACTACCTTTTACTAATACCAATGATTCAGCTGATGGTGACACCACTGATGAGGAAGACATTCCTGAGCCTGTCATCCGCAAGAAGGCTCGACGTCCATCTAGTGCATTGAGCGACGAAGCTTCCGACTCGGAGGCGGATTCGCCTGTCAAATCAGAACGCGGCCAGCCTCGGGTGGGCCGCTTCAACCTGGACCGGTCTGATAAGAAACCCATTGCTGTCCTCAATCCCTTGACTCGCAAGATGATGATTTTTACTCCTCATCGACGGAGACATCTTGACTTGTCACCGGAGCAGTTCAACTTTCCCTGGGCGATAGAGGACCAGACCACTCCGCTGCTCAGCAACTCGGCCAACATGATGCTCAGTGCCATGTTTTCTTCCAATACATTCGGAGACTTTGTCAATGCTCAGACAATGGGCCCTGCGGAAGCATTCTTCCCCTTCCCCACCGAGACCAACGAAGATGATAGCTCAACATCTCCAAGCACGGATGGCGAGGATGACGATGAAGAAAAGCTTGACATCAACGACTTTATCACCTTTGGCGAAGCTGCCGATGACGAATCATCTGGCGATGAAGGTGATAATGACAAATGGGGTGCATCGCCGAAGCGTCCAGCCACGGCTTCTGGTGACATGGGAGCGCTGTCACATCTCAATTCGAACACTGTTGGCGCCTTCCGCCGCAATCAAATTAACCAACAGCTGATCCTGAGTAGCCAAGCGACTCAGGACTCACTGGCTTTCAGCGGTCCATACAACTACACCGCCCTGCGAGGTCTTAAATCTGACCGTTTCGATACTGCGACCGTGCCCTTGACCCCCATTCGACGGCACAAGAAGCAAATCAATGAATCGACCCGGAGCTCTCTGGAGTCAACCTCGACAAAGCGTAAAGCTCCAGGCGAAGCTAGCGAAAGTAACCATAAAAGGCACCGAAGCATTTCTGACGTGAATTCTCTACGGATATAATGCGTAGAGGAAGCTGCGCATGAAGCTACTAAATACGAGCGAGGACGGTGCATTGACGTGCCCCTGGCCTCAACATCTTGACACATTCATTCTGGCATCTCATTTCTTTTTGTTCTTCTCTCTCCATTTTGAACAATTCAACGAGGACTCGATATTTCGTCCCAGCGTTTACGAAAGTTGACGGCTTCTCCATCGGGTAGACGGCGTAGGCAGGAAACGGTCTTGGAAACAAGCTATGTCGTTATCGGGATACTAAACATGGTTATAGGAGAATCTCTCTGGGAACAAAAGCATTAGAGGCTCACATTCACGCCAAAAGTTTTTCTTTTCTTTGTGGTGCCCAAAGACAATGCAGGCGTGCTTTGGTCTTTGGGTAATCAAGACTTCCCTTTTGCGATTGCCGCGATACTAATGACTTAATGCCCATCAATGTGTGGAAACAGCCGAGTACATAGTCTCATTTTGAAGTTATGACTCTTATCACTTTGCATGAACAATGAACATGGTCTGAGGATTTCTCATGACTTTTTCTTCATTCGCTTTTTGTATTATTGCTATTGTTTCCTTTAGTATGTACGAATTGAATCGAAGATATTTCAAAGTTAAACTTTTTGCTCTTGCTATGTTTGTGTGCGTCTCGCGTGTGACCAGCCCCTTGCAATGTGACATTGTTAGGCGACGAACTGACAGGGATGTGAAGCCCCAAAAAAGAAGGAAGAAAAAAGCTAGCAAGGGTTGGTGGTTATTCAAGTAGGATCAGATCTCACAAGTGATCGAACAAACAAAAAGCAAGTAAACAAAAAAAGGAAAAAAAAAATAAACGTTTGAGTCTAGTCCGATCTAGCCAGGACTCGAACCTGGAACCTTTGCCACCGGAAAGCAACGCGCTGCCATTGCGCCACTAGACCAATAGTTGTTGAATGAAAAAATTGTTTGAGTATATATGCATCAAAAAAACTGGGTGATTTATTGATGCTTCATTGAGAAGACTCGGTTGACTTCCTCGAAGTGTTTTTTATTGTGTGTAGATTACTTTGCGAATCCATCGTTTATCATCTTGTTTCATGCAATAATTGCCCAACTCCAAGTGCACCTATACACTCTATATAAAGTTCTATTTACCTCATGCTCGTTCTTTCTACTCCCGCATTTGATACCATGGGAAGAAAGACGGAAGCTTTCGAGCGGGTGGCGTAGGAGCTCGAAACCTGATGGTGTGTACCATTGACTTTTCCCGTCTGGCGGTAAAGGATTCATTCGACTCACTGACTCACCGGGACACCTTGTGACTCTTTTTTGGGTTTTGCCATGATGCATACATGGATATAAGCTGATATCGTTGGGTAGCATTATGCTGCCGGTGCGGGCTGTAGCGCCCGTTTTTGTGCATCTTCTTGGTGGGTTCAAGACACGTCAAACCAGATACTTTGCTCAATGGGCAGTTTAAGTAGTAGTGACATGATAAAGTTTGTGGGTGTCTTGATCTGAGAAGGGTGAGCTAATGTAAAATATTGGCCACGGACCTTATCGTCGCCAGGTGTTCCTGTGGCTACAAGTGGTAGATTGACCGAGCATGGGTGCTTGGTGTAAGTCGAAGTGGATATTGGATGCCAAATGAAAGCCATCTATGCAGCTAACATCTGCGGTTTGGCTTACGGCTGGCAGAGAACGGCAGACAGGATGCATGGTTTTGGCGACAGAGTATATCTACATGCGATGGGAAGCAATGCTGGTGGTAACCTGGGACGGGGTTAGGACGTACATGCAGCCAAGACTGAGTGAGCTGTGCATGTTGGATGTTGCCACAGGCGGTTTGCCGCGTGATGTTGGGCCGCTATAATGAGATGGAGTGATGGTAACAGTCTTTTGCGAAAAAGGCATATATCGGGGTAAATCTACGAGCCTCAATGCTTCGATTCTGTATAGACAGAAGTAATTTGGGAATATAACAAGCCATTCTTAATGATGAGTGTCCTGTTCACAAAAAAAAAAAAAGAGTTTGGAGGACTGCACTAGGTATGCATGATGCTCTCCCCCTGCAGATAAAGGCGCGGTGCTATCAGATATCGATTTAGGAGAGGCAGAGATCCTCACCGTCGTTATCAGCATGCGCTTTCCATCTGTCCAATCCCAGTGTTGTTTGTATCGGCGTGCGTATATTGCGGACGTTCATTCGCTCTCGCTATTTGGCGAGTGCTTGTTGAGGTATGCAGAAGCGGTTACCGGGTAGGAGATGAATACGATTCAATGAGAGATCTGGCTTGGTATTGGTGAATGTGTATGAAAGAGGAAACTATCTACCCGAAATCTACCGATTTGTTCTAAATAGTAGTTATTAAGTATGATGTAATAGATACTGTTGAAATACTTGGTGCCTTGTTGGAGATGGCGATGATAAAGAGCTGGTGCTGAAACTGGAGCGAGACAAGCTCTTTCAGGTTTGATCACCTTCCGTATTATGGCGCTATGCCATTGATGCATCTTCTCAACCATCCTACTGCCAAACCATCATTCCCATGACTTATATGTAATTTGATTGGATTCTAGTTAACTGGAGTGGAAGAGAGGAACGTGCTATAGTATACCTGGCTTTACTCCAGTGTACATGTAATTGTAAAGGATAATCGGCAGTGGAGGTAGTAAAAGTTGATTATTATCCTTGCTCTGGACTGAGAATGACGCTCTGTTTAACATTTCACACGAAAAATAGAAAAGGAAAAAAAAGGGGAAAAAAAAGAGGTGCATCATAGGCGATATTATAAATGCATGGAAGGATAAGCAGTAAAAGCCTTCCGTGGGACTTGGATCTTAGTGAAACTGGTGATAGTTGACGGGATTCTGTGATTCAACCGAGGGCTATTCCATTTATAATGATATTATGCAGAAAAATTCCCCAAATAACGTGCAACGCATGTTGTTTTATTCCTCTTTCTAACGGCCCGAAATATCGTGAACGCTGTAGCTTATGCAGCGAATGGCATCCCTTTCAGTTTTGCAGATATAAAGAAAAGGGGATTGTTGTTCAATTACCTTTTATTTTTCTTCTCCCTTTTCTTACCAGGGAAAGTGCCCTCACTGTACATGCTCTTGGAGGCATCCATCCCTCGTGCCTAATAGATCTATCCTATCTGACATTGCGTATACTCTATAATACCCCTACTAACGAGCACTCCCAATACATTTGTCGAATAATTTCACGCTGAAAGCAAGACGGGCTGCAGCCATGGCAAAGGAAGCGAGAGGCGTTTTGACATTGTCCATCTACTGAGTGAAGACTTTGCCAGTGGGAACCATGAAAAGAGCGATTGACACATCAAGGTGGGGTATTAAGTTGATGAAGCCAAGTGTGTGTAATAGCTGACGATTTGGCAGAGGACTGGTACCTTGGAAAGGGGAACAGCAACGGGAGGCTGGAAGAGACATAGTACGGATATCTGGCAATTCTGCATATGTATATCAGCATATAACTTGCTTAAATATGCTAAAGTCAGCTATTCCAATTGTTATGGGCTTACAAACTGAACTGTCCATGCCACTCTTGGTAAGCACATGTGTCTAGATGAGCGAGACCATATCAGAACCTCTGGAAGCGCCATATTTAAAATAAATGCTTTTGGAAAGTCTCCTTAGGGTGTCGGTGCTCATAGCTCTAGAAGTGAGCAAGCAAATACAATTTTTTCTTTACCAGCGTTGAGCTTGATATACCACGTCTCGAGAAGGAGGCTTGGTTCATAGCAGGACTCCGAACCTAGACAGTGGGACAATATATCGGAATATTTGATCATATATGCATCTTCTTATTGATACAGCTTGTGATAAATCGAGATTTAACACCAGTCACTCTATGACATTTGAGATAGATCAGTATATATTGTGTCTTCTAGCCTTGTGGGGATTTTAAAGATGACGAAGTCACGTCGAGTTGGATGAGCATGCGAAATATGGGCATATGTCATTCGAGGATTGCTACATAGAATAAAGTTATAAGGCATGCTTTCGCTTTCTGGTACTTTGAAAACGCTTTTCTTGTATAAAGAAAGTATCGGCCTAAATGCGCAAAATACTTCAGACACCACGAGCGTGGAGTTTATTGGAGCAGGTATGGAGAATATGGAGAATCTGGGGTAATCTCCAAAAAAACCATTGACTAACTTACTAGCAGAAATCTTGAATATGGGAGCCATTGTGACGATAGCTGCTCAGCTTTGATACATTTTTTATTATTATACGGATACTGTAACCATGTGGCTGCCTGAGCTGCTGATTCATGCGAGAGGTGCAGATAGACAGCCAGGCACACGAAGATAGTTGTTGCTAAAATTATACATATAAGCCCGAGACCATAAACTAATATAGGCATATATGAAGTGCACAGCTACATCCACATGATATAATATTTATAGAATGATTTGATTGGCTAGCTGGCTTAGAGCAAAGATGGTGATAGTACGATACAGTCCTGGCGTTGCATAACACTGCTTGTAAGGGGCCTATTGTTGTTATCATGACTTGGCAAGACAGGAATGGACTAGAAAATGATCTTTAGTACGTAATACTGCTCTTTGGTTGGCTTAAGATCAAATACGAAACCAGTCCGGATTACTACGGTGATCTGCAGATCTCTAAGCTGGGCGCGCGGCTTTTTCTGGTTTCAGCAGCGTCAGACTTTCAAAGGGGACGCCACGTATGACAAAGATGTATCTGACTGCCGTATCTCTCGGCCAAGGAAAAGTCTGTTGCTTGTTCTCATCATACGTGGGACGCAAGGAAGAGATGGAGAAATAGTCGCAAGACTGAAGTCCTGAGGGATGAGGAAATTAGTACTACTAGCAGTGTTAGGGCCAGCGCCGCAACGTGGTTGTTGGTACTGGATTTCAACAGGGCCACTGCGCAGTAGACCGAGTACAGAGTACCGCTGATGCGTGGCGTGTGTATTACGAGGCGCAAACGTGGGGAAGAAGCACGAGACACGAAACAGAATCGCCTGCGCCATTCCACGGCCTCTCCGCACCGCCGTAATTTTTTTATCCTTTCAATCCTCCCTCAGCAGCACCTGTCCTTGCCCTGGTTCTTCTCCTTTGCCTCGTCTCGTACTCTGTGCGCAGCCCCCGAAAGACGACCCGACAGCAGCAGCAGTGAACCAAGCAGTCAATCGCCTTGGCTTCCTGCCAGCGGATCTCCAAACCGTGTCACAGGCCGCTCGGAGCGTTTCCGTTGGCGCATCGCAGGCCCGCTGTCGTCATCGTCTCTGCTCCAGATCCACTCGGCAGGGGCTCCCTTTGCTGCGATAACGCCGTCATCGACGCCGCTCCAATAAATAGCATCAGCATCTTGAGTCCGCCATCATGGCCTGGGAGCTCAACCGACGACGCTTTTTCCGAGCCGTCAACAGCAAGTTCATCTATGGACGTTTGGTACGTGCGCCGCTACACGCAACGAGACATTTCTGGAGTTTTGCGCCGCGGATGCATTCGTTCGTTCCCTTGGGCTAGCGATTCATGTTCGCAGCCTCACACTCTCCCTACCCCATTCGCTCTACAACACCACCGCCCAGAAGGCCGTTGCCCTCCTTTTGCATAGACTCGCTAACTGACTGACTGATTGCTTGCACTTCTCAACAGCCTCTTCTCCACACCATCATCTTCATTATCGAAATGGCATTCGTTGCCCGGCTGACGGCGCGTTTCAATGCGTACTATGAAGCACGACCTCGTACGTCCCCACGGTTGATCATTCTACACTTGTCGTCTTCTATTATACGTGATTGCTAACTCAAAGATCCGCATCCGCAGTCATGACCATGATGGTCACCAATGCCATCCTTGGTGGCATCGCCGATACCGTCGCGCAAACCATCACCTCTGTGCGCCAGCGGGCCCTCAGAAAGCCAGGCGGCATCACCAAGGACGATAACATTGCAATTGAGATACACGAGCTGGATGAAAAGAATCCGTTTTCAGACCGCGAGCTCATTCCCGACTCCAAGAGTCTGCCTCCGCCGTTCGACTTTGAGCGACTTACAAGATTCATGGCCTATGGTTTCTGCATGGCTCCAGTTCAATTCAGATGGTTCAAGTTTCTCTCATCAGTCTTCCCCATTACCAAGACAAGTGCATTTGGGCCTGCCATGAAGCGAGTTGCCTTTGACCAGCTCATCTTCGCGCCATTCGGTGTCGGCGTTTTCTTTACGGCCATGACTCTGGCTGAGGGAGGTGGTCGCCGCGGAGTCGCTCATAAGCTACGAGACATGTATGTCCCTACGCTCAAGGCCAACTATGTTCTTTGGCCCGCAGTGCAGGTTATCAACTTCCGCTTGATGCCCGTGCAGTTCCAGCTCGTGAGTTTTGATATCCAAACTATAATTTCTGTCCATGCAGCTAACGTTGTCAATTAGCCATTTGTCTCGACAGTTGGTATCGCCTGGACTGCCTATCTCTCCCTGACCAATGCGGCCGATTAAACTTCAGATAAGACGAATTCCCACCTCGATGAAGTCTTTGATACGTCGGGAGTGCCACAGAGCGCTCAGTTGTGGAGGTATCGAGGGGAGGAGGTATGACAGCTAACCCAATAGCCTCATCCCAGCCCATTAAACAAGATTCGATAAAAGTGGCAAGCACATCAGAGCTGCCATCGAGAGAGTATGATACACGTCATTCTTAAGATGGAACATCCTGCTTTTTGTGACGGAGTTTGCAAACAAAGTAGAGGCGTTTGGAGTTTTGGCTACATCACTCGTTCATTGGATGTGTTCAAGCTGCTATAGCATTTTGAATCAAGGAGGCAACGTGACTCTGGATTTTATCGCTCATCGTTCTGTATAACGGTACAAAAGCATAACAGATTCAAATAAAAAAAAATTAACCAGAGGCAAAGAAGCAGCATTTACCAACTCTATAATCAGTCTGAGATAACGGTTCAGATCATTGAAGTGGTGATATGACCTGATTAAAGTCCGAATCTATGTGATATGTCACCGTCTATCATTCCAGACACAGGTGATAATGGCAAAGAACGTATTAAGCGTGATTTATGCCGTCGAATGGGCCTCACGTCACTCTGGCGTGGTCCGGATGCAGCAGCTTAATGGCTCTTGGTCCAATTGACTGGCCGCTGAGATACAGAGGGTGCCCCCACCGCAGCTCCCTGTATTAATCAATCGATTAGCTGTAATCTATTGAATTGATTGCCCGTCCGTGCTTCCCAGCACCAGCACCAGCACCAGCATCAGCACGGACCCCACCTCGCTGAACCCCTCCATCCTTCCTGGCCGTCGCAGCTCAAACTTCTGCGTGCTTTTTCCTTAAAACACAGAGCTCGCCTCTTCCTCCACAACGTCTTCTTTTGCAGCGCGAGTCTTGTTTCGCTTCACACGCCAGTATCCAGCCAAAATGTCTCTCTCCAACAAGCTGTCCATCACCGACGTCGACGTCAAGGGCAAGAGGGTCCTGATTCGGGTGAGTCCGGATTGCCCCGCCACTGCAGTGATGAAAAATGGAGGGGACCAAGTTGGGAGCTTTAGCATCGACGTCAAAGCTCTGCTAGAGGAGCGCCGTCGAGAAGGCTAATCTCTCGCTGGCTTTGGGCAATATGGGGATATTTGATAGCAGATGTCAGAAGCTTTGTTTGCTCGTATTTGGCTGACTGATGTGCTGTGTTTGTCCAGGTCGACTTCAACGTGCCCCTCGATGAGAACAAGAACATCACCAACCCCCAGCGAATTGCCGGTGCCATCCCCACCATCAAGCACGCTCTCGACAATGGCGCCAAGGCTGTCATCCTGATGTCCCACCTCGGACGTCCCAATGGCGCTGTCAACGCCAAGTACTCCCTCAAGCCTGTTGTTCCCAAGCTGGAGGAGCTCCTTGGCAAGCCCGTCACCTTTGCTCCCGACTGTGTCGGCCCCGAGGTCGAGGCCATTGTCAACAAGGCCGACAACGGCGCTGTTATCCTGCTGGAGAACCTCCGATTCCACATTGAGGAGGAGGGCAGCTCCAAGGACAAGGAGGGCAACAAGACCAAGGCCGACAAGGCCAAGGTTGAGGAGTTCCGCAAGGGCCTGACTGCTCTGGGCGACGTTTACGTCAGTAAGTGCAATACTCTCTCTCGTCTGGAAAGCTGTTTTGTTTTTACATGTGGCTAATTTGTGTCGCCAACTAGACGATGCTTTCGGCACTGCCCACCGTGCCCACTCTTCCATGGTTGGCGTTGACCTGCCCCAGAAGGCCGCCGGTTTCCTCATGAAGAAGGAGCTCGACTACTTCGCCAAGGCTCTCGAGTCCCCTCAGCGACCCTTCCTTGCCATCCTCGGTGGCGCCAAGGTCTCTGACAAGATCCAGCTCATTGACAACCTGCTTGACAAGGTCAACACCCTCATCATCTGCGGTGGCATGGCTTTCACCTTCAAGAAGGTCCTGGACAACCTCGCCATTGGTGACTCTCTCTTCGACAAGGCCGGTGCCGAGACCGTTCCCAAGCTGGTTGAGAAGGCCAAGGCCAAGAACGTCAAGATTGTCCTGCCTACCGACTTCATCACCGCCGACAAGTTCGACAAGGACGCCAACACTGGCCTCGCCACTGACAAGGACGGCATCCCCGATGGATGGATGGGCCTCGACTGTGGTGACGAGTCCATCAAGCTGTACAAGGAGGCCATTGACGAGGCCAAGACCATCCTGTGGAACGGCCCTGCTGGTGTCTTTGAGTTTGAGAAGTTCGCTGGCGGCACCAAGGCCACCCTTGACGCTGTCGTCGAAGGCTGCAAGAACGGCAAGATTGTCATCATTGGCGGTGGTGACACTGCTACCGTCGCTGCCAAGTATGGCGTCGAGGATAAGCTGAGCCACGTCTCCACTGGTGGCGGTGCCAGCTTGGAGCTGTTGGAGGGCAAGGAGCTCCCCGGTGTCACTGCTCTGTCCAGTAAGTAAATTGCATACCCTACTTATGGGTCGAATGAGCGAGAGGAATAAATTGATGACGGGGGGATATGGCATAAAAAGGTCGGCTCGGAGCACCCCATCTATAACGGAAAAAAGTATATAAACATATACCAGTGCGGATATGCAAAATAAAAAGGTTTAACGTCATTATAAAGATGATTGTGCTTTCGTGTTGTCACCGTAGCTTGGTAAAGAGTATACAAATCACTAGCTTCCGCTTGAATCATGTCACATGGAGCACTTTTTTGTCTTTGTTCCTTGAATTAGAAGACCCAATCTATAAGTTTAACGTTCCTCACAAGCCCCGGTGACGTGATGTTGGCTCGCCCGATCGATGTCCCCGTCGTTCCGTGTTCTTCCCTCCTCCTCGAGTCTATCTCCGCTTGGCCGCCTCAACCTTTTTAAGCTCTTCCCTATGAATAGAAAAACACGTCAGGATCCGTGTACTCATAAGGAATAAAACAAAAAGCAAGGGAGTAGCAAGAGTGTGTATAAAGAAAATGTGATGAGAAATGGAAAGGAAAAAAAAAATAAACCCCGCGAAAATAGTAAACATTATTAGTCCCATGTATATATATGTGTGTGTGTGTGTGTCTCCCATGCCAATGCGGATATTGGGCAGATTATTTAAACCATTGTGTGAAATAATATGAGAACAAAGCTTAAAATCAACAGTAGCTGCAGCAATGATATAGCAACGACAAAACAGTGTTATAAATCAGATATTTTCATCGAAAGCGACGACGGGGACGGAAATCGAGGGACAGCGCTGTGAGGAGAAGGGTAGAAACTAAGAGAGAGCCAACCACCCACTTGAGCTGATTCGAAAAGTCGTCGCTTGTGTCGTCGTCGTCCCAGCTCTCCTCCCACAGGTGCTTGGTTTCGCCGTTGCGCTGGGCGGCTTCGGTTTGGTCGGCGGGCCAGTCTGTTTGGAGAGGAAAAAAGATTGACTTGGGTTAGCATGGCTGTTCTTTGTCTTTGGTTCTTTGGTATTTGCTCGTAGGGAGAAGGGCGAGAAAGGGAGAATGGAGTGCTTCGAAGGTGACCATAGGAGAGAGGAAAGGAGAGGAGGTGGTCATGTACCGTCGACGGGGAAGTCTTCGAACTCGTCGTCTTCACCTAGGGCCAGGTGCTTCTGCTCGGGCTTCTGCTGTTCATTTGGGGTGGACTGTTCGGGCTCAGCGACCTTGGGCTCTGTGGTTGATGCCATTTTGGGGAGAGAATGATGATGCGGCGAGCTTTCAGCCTAGCGCTCGAGGTGGAATTGCGCTGGAGGTGTTATCGGACGAGGACTGAGAATGGCGATGGGCGGCGATGTTGTGGATAGCTGCTGGGGTGACGGAGATGAGAAGAGAGAGGGATGGCTGAGGCCCTGTCGTGGTTATCGTTGGCTGCTGTTGTTATTGTTGTTGATGCAAGGATTGGCCAGGGACTAGCTGGCGATGCTGGCTCGAGCTGACTGGTCGTGACGACTAGCTGTGGTTTCCTAGGAGCCCCCAGGCAGTAAAGCGGCAGCGGTGCGGCCGGTGCCGGAAGAACGTTGGGTCCGGGGAGCTGCAGGTCGCTGCGCTGCGCTGAGCTGAGCTGAGCTGAGCACGCCGTCCACTGTGATGACGGGCATCAGTGTTGCGGCTTTTAGTGCCGGAGGTGCCTGAGCGGCTTACCGTTTTTGCCTGTTTTAGGGGACTGGCATCTGCGGGCGGACCTTTTTAGGGGCATGATCGAGCCCAAGGATACAGCGAGGGGCGCCTATAACCGAAAAAGCGCGCGGACTAGGAGATCGCGTGGCGAATACTATTGTTCCTCGTGCCTGTTTTCTCTTGTTTAATTCTCTTACGGATGCGGCGGCAGAAACGGGAATATGTAATATCAATAGTCTTGACGTCTATAAAGGAATCGACGGAACGGTATGACGAAAGGCTCCCTGCCGTACCTATGTACAAAAATGGGTAAAAAACAGCAGCGAGTAAAATGAGGGCCGCGCAATGTGTAGATGTCATCTCCTGGGCTTAACGGACTCGTCGCTCCGGAATTCCGCAGAGATCCCGGGGCTGAGCGTATTGATTGATTACCGAGCTGATTGAGGGCATAAGAAACGGAATTGACGTCCTCTTCACTGGGTGTTTAGTATAAAGCCAAATTAAGCCCGGCGGGCCTCCGGGGAGAGACGCCCCCACGGCGAAAACTCGACTTTCTACAACTACCTACAACCGCAGCTTCTTTTTTCTCCTCTTTTCTTCTCTTTCCCTTCTATATGACCGGGTGGCTTCTTTACACTACTTGGTTTCTCAATTTCTTGTTTGCCTTGTTTTTCTTGTTGCTGTCGAACATTGGCCTACGCTGCTTTCTGCACTCAACGGCTGCCAGCAAATCGAGTAGCCACGAGGGGTGCATGCATGCATGGCATAAGCGTCTATTTCTCTGATTCTTACTACTAGCACTACTGATCCTTTTTTTTTTTTTGGCGGCAATTTTTCTTTCATGCGGGATTGTTAGTCGACGCAGCGGTGCCCTATCATCTGTCACTCTCGCCGACTACTTAATTAGCTGAGCCACCCTCCCAGTTCGAAGGGTGCCCGATATCTCGCAGATCTTGTAAGCGAAGAGGCGTGTTGCACTGGGAGGATTAAATACGACGCCGATACGCCTCGATCTTGGCACTCAGCCTCACTCGCGGCAGCTGTCTTATTTGACGGCTTTATTTACCTGATATCGCTCTTTTCTTTTTGCAGCACCAATTGCTTTCGTCACGGCCAGACACAGGTTTTGTCCACCATGAGTCGTTTAGCCGGTTGGTTCCGCTCCGGCGCGAAAACCGAAAATGGTTCCAACTCGAGCCTTGCCGCCACGGATAGCATCGTCAAGGAGAAGGAGAACTTGGTGGAGGCAATGAATTGGATCGAGCTCATCATGAACGACGACATTGACGGCGCCTGGGAGAAGTTGCAGACGGGCGACTCCTCCTTCCACGAAATGGGCTCTGCGGTGGCCTTCTTCATGCGATCCGTGCTGGGCTTTGAGAAGCAGATCATGACTGAGGCTACGGCAAGACTGAATGACTGTGAAACTAGGGCGTGGTCAGATCTCAAACGGGCGCAGAAGCACGGCGCGGCTTACAACAGCAGTAAGCTCTATCCGCCGGGGACCGAGTACGAGTTGATCATTGCCGAGACGCAGCTGATGGGCGCCGTCGTGGGCGTGCTGCACGAGAGCCTGGTCGAGGCCATGAAGAGCTTCTACAAGCTGCGAAAGGCGTTCCTGACGCTCGATGCCATTGTGGCGTCGGAGGAAAAGATTTTCAAGAAACCGACTCCGGGCTCATCCCGCATGTCGCTCATAGGGAGCAGCTCACCTGCCGATGGATCTGAGACGGAGTCTAATGGAAACACGGCAACGCCTAGTGGAAGTGACTCTGAGACCTTTGTAGATGCCAGGGAAACTCTGTCCGGACTGCAGACGCCAAGCGATCAGACCGATGCTTCGTCGACGTCGGCGGCCTCGAAGCTGGAGAAGCTGAGCATTAGCAAGTTGGAGGATACGTCGAAACTGAGCCTGCGGTCTAGAGATTCCGATTTGAGCTCAGACGTCGAACTGGACAATCCCGTCGACAAGTTCATTCACTCTGGAGCCAACATGTGTTTTGGAGTCTTATTGCTCATCCTCAGTCTCATCCCTCCTGCCTTCTCACGCATCCTCTCCGTTGTTGGATTCCATGGGGATCGGCGACGAGCTGTCAAGATGCTCTGGAAGTCGGCTGCGCACTCCAATATCAACGGCGCCGTGGCGGGCATGATGCTGTTGGTGTATTACAACGGACTGCTTGGAGCCGCGGACATTCTGCCGGATCGCAGAGACTATGATGAGGATGCCGAGGCTGTCGGACCCCCGATTGAAAAATGCGAGCAGCTCTTGGCTGAGATGCGACGACGATATCCCGACTCACAGCTGTGGCGAGTGGAGGAATCGAGAATGCTGGCAAACGAACGAAAGATTACGGAAGCATTGGAATTGCTCAGGTCGGGCAAGGAGTCGAAAATGAAGCAGGTTGCTGCCCTCAACAACTTTGAGCTATCACTGGACGCCATGATGTCCTACGAATGGGTGCTGATGCGCGATTCATTCCTGAGGTGCTTGGAAGTCAACGACTGGAGCCCATCACTCTACTACTACCTGGCTGGCTGCGCGTCTTTGGAGCTTTACCGAGACGCTTTTCACAGCGGCGACAAGGACGAGGCAAGACGACAAAAGGTCAAGACGGAAGAGTTCTTCCGCAAAGCGCCAACGGTGACTGGCAAGAAGCGACTCATGGCACGCCAACTGCCTCTGGAGACATTCTTACAGCGAAAGGTTCAGAAGTGGGAGGACCGAGCCAAAGCCCTGGGCGTTGATTTGGCAGATGTTACTGGATCAAGCCCTGCACTGGAGATGTGCTACGTGTGGAATGGACAGAAGCGCATGGGCACAGCACAGCTGGAGAAGGGGCTTGATTATCTCAAGTGGGAGAGATGCACGGCGAGCAAGGAAGTCATAGCCAAGATTCAAGAAGAGAAGGATGAAATGGCTGTGTGGGCGGTGAGCATGGCATCGTTGCTTAGAGGTCTGGGCAAGCTGGACGATGCTAGAACACTGCTGCAGGAGAAGGTCATTGCTCACGACCGGTAAGTGCATTTTTCTACGCGAGGAATTCAAAGAAAAATTGCTAACAAGAATAAAAATGCAGATCTGTCTTCAAAGGCACCTCCAAGGATGACTATGTCCTGCCATCCGCCACTTATGAACTGGGTGCCATTGCGTGGGCTGAGTGCTGCAATCCTCCAGAGGGCGAAGCTAAAGAAATCCTGGAGTTTAGACGCCAGAAGATGGTGGCATGCGAGGAGCAGCTCAACAAAGTCAAGGTCTGGGAGGCCTACGTCTTGGATACGAGAATCGGCTTAAGAGCGCAGAGCGGATTGGAAACTCTGGCTTGGTTTAAGAAGAAGAATGGGTGGTGAAGTGACATGGTTTGGAAGTAAAGATTTTTTTTTGGACAGGGATCATATATGGGTTGGATTTTTTTACACACAAATCGGCATTAAAGGGATTAACTAGACGAATGCACGCGATACTGCTTCGCCCGGCTCTTATCTGGGATTTGATCTTGGGGGATTATATATAAACGGACGGCTACTATGGCGTTTGTGTCACGGGTAGGGCGTATAGATTTATACAGAGGGAGATGAGACTTTCGGGGGTAACAAAGCATAAAGGCTGTATTGATATTTGCATATGCATATTGGGCATAGATAGATTGGAGGCTCTTTCATTATCCTACATCATCCTCTTTTAAACTTTCAGTGCATGGACTGCCTGGTAGTTGGAATAAATACATGAAAAAAAAAAAAAAAAAGACTACACTAATAAATATCATCATGGTATCAAATACTGCTTTATTCAAAACAAAACTTTCCAAAAAAAAAACAAACAAACAAGCAGTTGACTTTTCCAATCAGGCCCTCACTGAGATGCCTTCTTCCTACTGCTCCTCCTCGTCTTCACCCCCTCCCTCACCGCACTCATGCCCTGATCAATCTTCTTGGACGACCGCTCCTTGACACGATGCTTGTCCGCCTCCCTCTTGACATCCTCCAGCACATCCCTCCCCTTGCTCGTCCCGCTGACCCAGTCCAGGATGCCCCACGAGCCGTAGTTGGACGTGCCCTTGCCCGCGTAGTGGATCGCCGAGCGCTGCACGATGCCGCCCATGATGATGCCCGGAACGACGGTGTAGCCCGACATGGCGAGGGTTTCCTCGAGCGTGCAGATGGTCAGGATGAAGAAGTAGGTGAGGATGTGCGGGCGCAGCAGCACGGCGGAGAGGTACAGCGGCAGGAAGCGGTAGAAGAGCAGCGGCAGCGGGTGGTCGGCCATGAGGCGGAGGCTGAAGGGCGCGCCGGCCTTTGCGTGCGCGTAGGCTTGATGGCGCTTGGACAGCCAGCGGTAGGATTTGCCGTGGAGGACGAAGCGGTGGATGTAGTAGAGGAGCGTCTCGCGCGCCGAGAGCAGGACGAGGACGTGCTTGGCGATGCCCCACGGCAGCGGCAGCGTCGTGGTTGTTTTGAAGACGGGCTCGTTGAAGACGAGCATGAAGACGAAGCTCAGAGCCCCTTCAATGGCCGTCATGATGGCCAGGTTTAGCAGCACCAGGCCGAGCAGCTTGGCGAGCGCGGCGGCATCGCGGGGAGGCAGGGCGGAGCGCCCGCCGTGCTTGATGCCCTCTGCGAGGCTGGGCAGCGAGACGTCGAAGAAGAGCGTGGCGAGCGAGGGGATGAGGAAAAAGACTATTCGGATGGCGAGGATGCCAAAGATGTGCACGACAATGGGCGGCTGCGAGAGCACGAGGGTGGACCAGGTCATGTAGAAGAAGAGCAGGTTGAGCGAGGTGGACCACGAGGAGAGGGCCGGGCCGAGGAGGTACCCGAAGATGGGGAGCGAGAAGAGGACGTCCATGGCTTGGAGGGGTCCTGTTGTTGATATTTCCAATTGAGTGAATCTGGTGATGATACTCAGTATAGCTCTTGGTGTTTGTGTTGGCGGTGAGAAGTTGTAAGCTCCATGTACGGGGTTTGGTGGCAAAATAACGTTGGGTTGATGTATGCAGGTACCGCGGAGCTTAAAAAAAAAGAAAGACTCACTAGATAGAGAGATCACGACTACGAAATAAGTCTCGCTTTAGCTCTCTCTGGAGAAAAATCTTGATTTTTATGTGTGTGCCGAATGCATCTCTCACCAAAGCTGTGGTTCATGGTGGGTGCTGCTGGGATGACGTAGATGAGCGCGATGGACGAAAGAGGCTAGCCAATGACGACGATGGCGAGGCCAGGCTGAGAAGGTTTCTCGGTGGCTGCGATGACATCTGAGAGATTGCTTCTATTGGAGAGTAATAGGTGACTATTAATTTCCCTCTAAGTTGGTTGGGGATATTCTATATACAAGTGTGAAAAGAAAAAAGAAAAATCCAAAAAAAAAATCATCCATCTATATGTTCGTTAATTCGTTAAATCCCGGGCCAAGCTATGCTAACAACACCATTTCCAAAACTGGACGAAGCGACAAAAAGCATCTGGTCTAGGTACTATATGGTGTATTGCTTGAGTGGCTGACTGGGACTAAGCCGACTCAACGTAGGGGTTACAAAAAAAAAGACCAAAAAAAAAAAAAAGACAAGAAACCACAAATAGTGCTGTCTGTCAGTGTGAGATTATGAGGCTAGGAGTCATGTTGGGGTGGAGTGCTTGCGTGCTCTTGCGATTGACGAACGGCAGGTGAGACAGCAGCTTCCATACCACGAGGAGGCTCTTCATGGTCTCCACCGCCATCACCATTGTCGCTTGGGCTTGGCGGTAGGCTTCGACCTCCACTCATAGCTGCCACCGGTGTAGCTGTTTCGAGGTAGTGAATATTCAAGGGGTTGTGATGGCTCAATGTAGGAACTTCAAGGGTGTCACTCCGCATCCTCTGCCTCCCTCTGGTCTGAGCAGGCAAAAAGGGTGGACTATTGTTCGGGGCCCCATGTGAATAACCTTCTGGCAAAGTGCTTGCCCGATTTTGTCGTGGGAGAGAGGGAGAAGGTGAAACGACGGATTGAGAACGAGAGGGCGACAAGACTGGCTGGGGTGATGTGCCTCGATAGCTGCCCGCTCGGGAACGAGAGCGTGGCAAGGGAGTAGCGTTACCATCTGCGTCTCGAGGGACGTTGTACGTATGCCGAATTTTTGGCAGGTTTGGATTTTTCCAAATCTCTCCAGGAAGCTCTGGGAAATCGAGGGCCTTTCCTGATTTATCATAATCATCGACCCAGTTATGCGCCTTGTTACCGAGTGCGTTGCCTATAGAAATAAGCATATTTGCAACCTTTCGTCTATTGCCCGAGTCTGCTGTGGAAGTCCGATGCACTGTGCTACCTGAAGATATATGCCGGCCAATGGTGGATGCTTCATTCGAAATGCCAGTTTGCATGGTCGACATACGGTCAAGAACACCGTGTGATACAGTAGAGAATCCTGTATCGGTATGCCTCATTGCTGGGAAATGGACCGACTCCGGTGTTTCTGGGGAATCTGCTTCTCCAGAACTCTGAGGTTGGCCATCCCGTTCAGTTGAAGAAGAATCTGTATCAGGAGATTCGCGTCGACTTTGATATTCAAGGTGCTGATGGGAACATTTGCACTCTTGAACGGCATGAGGATCGGACTCTTCTTTGGCGGCCTCTACATCGGCTGCGAGGACAAGGTAAAGAGATCCTATGGCAGCCAATCCCGTTCCAACAATGGGCGCCCACTGGCCTATTGCATTGCAAAGGTACAATACAAGCGTTAGCTATATGAACAAGGAGGGCAAATACCATGCAAGACAACTTTGTGCACTTACCAATGCTTGCTAGAGGCTCGACCTGATAAGACACCGGGCCGCTGAAAAAATTAATCTCTCCGACTATAATGATGGCAAGCCCGGCGCCCCCAAACACGGGAACGGCCACGACGGAGAGGAATAGGCGAATTCTGTTGTTTACACCACTCATAGACTTTTTTGTTGCACCATTGGTACCTGAGATTGTTTCGTCAACTGGGGTATCGTCGGCCCCGAGACCAAGGCGAAGGCGAGACTTCCACTTGCTTTCGAATACTTTATCTGTCATGGACGCCATCCAGACGATTGTATGGACGCAGCAGCCCGCCGCTAGCAGTGTGGCAGTGCCAAATGTGAGTATTCTAGGAACGGGAATCACGTAAATGTTGTTTGCTGACCCTTGCCTCATGGGAGAAGACGGCCCATCTCCCACGGAGCAACGCAGTCCGCATGTTGTGTCATCGCCGTAAGGGAATTTCGAGGGATTGTTAGAGACTGGATTTCCCTGGCCATCCTGATGGCAAGGATATGCCTGGATGCGGTAGAATTCGATGGATAGGCTAAGCAGTCCTGCATGCAGCAAGGCGTAAGTCAGCCGCTGGATTGATTCATCAGGTTGATTTTCAGTGGTAGGTCAATGCTTGGAGGGCAGGCATCTGAGTCACTGAATCAAAAAGGGCAACAATGCTCACCAGCAAGAATCAACCCCGCCCATAAAAAGATTGTGTTGCGGCCACGGGTATTGAAGTAAGTCTCAGACAGTCTGACTGTCATTGGAGCGACCAGAATGGCAATCGAGCATAGCTGAAAGGCGCCGTATACGTCCATATCCACGGCTTCTAATCAAGGACAAATAAGCAAACAAAACTAAATCAGCTTGGGGGCTCTAATTGGATAGCAGACTGGGCCTTTCTCTCACCGTCTCGATGCAGAGCTGCAAGGACGATGCCATGAACCGCGGCTACAGCCGGAAAGAGCAGCGCTGCAGCCAAGCAAGCATTTTTGATCCACTCAGCTTTTCGAGCAAACACGCACGCTGCTATGAGCACGTAGTATCTGTAAAGAGATTTAAACGGTTTAGAAACGTGGTAATGTTGGGGGCGCTGCTGAACCAAGTAGTAGCTCAGCCGGTGTGACTTACAAGACTCTCGATCCCGGGCCATATTGGCCAGAAACGGGCCATGCGCAGACTACTTTCAGACCATCGTCGGCAGGAATCGTGGCGTTTCCAGCGGACTCGAGAGAAGTTGATAAAATGCTGCGATGAGAAACAGCAACATCACCAAGCAGCTCAGTCCATGAAAGCGCCGGCATCAGCCCTCTGCGTCTGCCGAAGGACTCGGCCCAATTGCTTTGCAGCAAGTGAGTAGGTATTGGTCGCTATGCAGCGGCTGAGCAAACAGCTGGTATCTCTGGAATGTAAGCTACTGTCAAACTCCCCCAACAACTGACGCAAAATCAAGAGAGCCTCATGCAAGGGGGAGGATGGTGATGATGGTAAGCGGGTGTCTTATAAAGCGGGCGTCTTATAAAGCGGGCGTCTTATAAAGCGGCCGACAAGACGTGGGAGAAACTGTCTCAGCTGTTGTGAGGCTCTTCCACGGATCCCTCCCTCCCTCCTCGATCCGACTGAAGCACTAGTTCCGCTCCTCGTAATCCGTGCAACACACAACGAAATCCCATCTCTGCTAAGGGCAAGGCGTGGTTGGTTCCGAAGGATTGCTCCCTCGTCACACGCAGTTGCTCGCAAAGTGATATCGTATAGGTATCATCTTGCAGCTAGGAGGATCAAAAGCAGCCTAGCTGCTGCCAGAGTCGCAGGCAACAGAATTAATCCCACTCGCCCTGCTGCAGCAGCCTCTCGATGAGGCCTAGCAGAGCATAGCCATGATTGCTGAAGCTGGGGTTGCACGGCCTAGGTCGAGGCTGGCAGCCGCTGATAGGGCCAGCCGAGGGCGGATCGCCCGCAGGTGGTGTTTGCCCCCGCAGCCGGATACATGTATTCGATCGTCGGCCATCAGCGCCGTCACCAGGGTTGCCACCGGGACCGCAGTTCAAGGCTTGTTCTTGCGCGTCTCTTCGTCTTCTAGAAGCCTGGTCAGAGAGGTTAGATCGTGGCTGTGAAGCTCGAGTGACGGTGATGCTGTGCGCAGGGAGCGATGCGAGCCCCAGGATGCAGAGCCGCGAGCTGGGCTGCACATGAAGCAGCCCTTATATGAACGTTCGGTGACCCGATGGAGGCAACCATTTTGTCTCGACGTGCTTATAGGAAGGCTGGGTGGCTGCAGCTGCGGGCACTCGAACCAGGATTTGATCAGCGAACTTGCCAAGTCCGCCCTCGTCCAGGCTCATTGCACGCTCATTGCACAGTACAAAGATTCCAGCAGGCTTCTTTGTTTGCAGCCGCCAAGTTTGCGCAGCCGCCAATCCGTTCTTTGGTGAGGACACGTGAAGCTGTCTTTGTCGCATTGCCAAGAAGGACCAAGTATCTGCGCTGCGGCCAAGAGGCGAACGATTTAAGGAGAAGGAAGAAGGTACTTAGTGCATTGTCTAGATGCTAGAGTCTGACGATTGCCTTTTTTTCTTTTTCTTTTCCTGATCTCCAAGAGCTCATTGTGCTGATGGTGGAAAAGGCAGACGAGAAAGCTGGTGTCGAAATCTTTCAACGCTTCAGCGCTCGTTTGATACAGCAGCCTGGCCAGCATCTGCGGATCAGTTGTAGCGGGTTAGTGACCTGAAGAGGCCTGTAGTTAGGCGGTGAGCCTACTAATTGGCGGAGCTGGAGCGACCTGCCTACTCATTCCCTTCAGCATCTTCCCTGCTCACCAGTCAAATTTGAGCCAGACTCATTACATCATCGCGGTCCTGCTTGACGAAGCCGCCATCGTCGACATGGCTCAGAGCGACGGTGATCCTCTGTCGACGAGCCAGATCAAAGACTGGCGGTCCATCATCACGCTGATAGTGTTTATTCTCACAAGTGAGTTGTGGCACTGTTGTACCATGAGAACAAATAATGGTTTACTGACTTTCTTTGTTTGTTAAACCAGACGTCAATGTGCTGTGTCCATTTCACATCCCCATCTACATACCCCGGAAGATATCAGATCTCTTTGAAGACAGTCTTGGAGCTCTAAGAATTATTCCTAAACGGCGGTATCGCCCTCCTCCGCTTGCTGAAGACGACGACAATGGCAAAATCAAGCCATGGGTACGGCTCAACTTCCCCATGAACTTTGTTACGGCACCTCTCATCGCAGACTTATTTCTACTGGCCATCTTAGCTATTGGCCGTCAAGAAGTCCACGATGGCATCATAGGCGCCGATAACATTTCACCAATCGATATTATGGCCTTCTTCCTCACCTTGGCCTACATCGCCATATCGATCGACGCATCTGGCCTCATCCGATACTTGGCATTCAAAGTGCTTCAAAAGGGTGGCAAAGTTGGGCATCGACTCTTCTTCTACCTCTATGCTTTTTTCTTTGGCTTGGGCAGTTTCATTGGCAATGATCCCATCATTCTGTCAGGAACTGCCTTCTTGGCCTACATGACTAGAGTCTCGAGCAACATCATTCATCCGAGAGCATGGATTCACACTCAGTTTGCTATTGCGAATGTCGCATCTGCCATTTTGGTTTCTTCTAACCCGACGAATCTTGTCCTTGCGGGAGCCTTCAACATCAAATTCATCCACTATACCGCCAACATGATTGTTCCTGTCGTCGTTACTGCCATTGTTCTATTCCCTTTTCTGCTATACATCGTCTTTGCAAATGAGGACCTCATTCCGTATTCCATCAAGATGCACGAGCTTCCAGAAGAAGTCAAAGCCAAGAAACCTGTGAACCCCAACATCCCCCATGCAAGAGGCCATGTTGACGAAGACGAGGCCGATCTTGCAAACAACGAAGAAGGCAAGTTGCTGTCGCTTGAAGAAATCATGAATCCATTTCTTGACAAGGGCGGAGCCGCATTTGGCGCTGTCATTATGGCTGCTACTTTGGTCACTGTCCTGGCAATCAACGCTGCAAGTGCCAAAAGCGGCGCCCACCCCGTGTTTTGGGTCACTCTTCCGGCAGCCTTTGTCATGTTCTGCTGGGATATTGGTTTTGGATGGTACCACCGAAAGGAAACCCGAGACATTGCGAGAAAGGGTAGAGAAGAATTCGAAGATGCACAAATTGCACGAGCCGAGAGAAAATTTCAACAAGCCGAAGAAGCAAGACAGACTTCCGCTGCCAGCCACGAAGTGCGAGGCGAGACTGGCTCTTCATCTCCAAAGTTGGAATCGAAAGACGCACAGCTCCAAGAATCAGACGGTGTTTACGAATTGAATAATACCAGTCCGCCAGCTGCACACGTGAAAGACGGGAAAACGATACTAAATCCTGCTGTCCATGCTGAGGGACACGCTCCGACTCCTGCGATTCTCCTGGTCGAAAATACTGATGATCGTGTCCTGGCAGCAATGTCATCGGCCCATTTGGAACGCTCGATATCCCCACATAATGGCTATACAGAGAAACAGGAGAAAGGAAACATGACAAGTGAGGTCAACTCGCTCGAAGAAAAGAGCATTCTAAACCAAACTGGCTCTGATTCGCCCCCACAAGGTCTTTTTGTGCCCCAGTCGGATGAAGATTTAGAAAGAAGACGCCGAAACTCAATGGCATCTATCCATGGGCCGCACGGGCCAGCCACCCTGATGTCGCTTGGCCAGGACACGCTCAGATGGTGCCAAGAGACATTTCCCACGGCTGCTGCCGTTGTTCTCCACCTCCCGTTCGCCTTGGTTCCGTTCGCCTTTTGCATGTTTATCCTTGTACAAGGGCTGGTAACAAAAGGCTGGGTGCCAGTCTTTGCCTATGGGTGGGAGCACTGGGTAAAGAGAACTGGGACAGTCGGTGCTATTGGGGGGATGGGCTTCCTTTCTGTTATTCTATGCAACGTATGTATAACCCCAAAGTCATTTGTAGTCGCAAGCTAACTGGATTAAAGTTTGCAGGGACAAACATTGGGACCACGATACTGCTATGCCGGATCATCCAGAAGTGGCAACAGATCCATGTAGTGAGTGGTGTCCCCATTAGCGACAGAACGTTCTGGGCAACTGTGTACAGCATGGCTCTCGGCGTCAACTACGGTGCGTTCAGTGCTGCGTTCAGCGCTTCGTTGGCTGGTCTGCTTTGGCGCGACATCCTCGCCAGGAAGCATATTCGCGTAAGAAGTCTCGACTTTGCGCGCGTGAATCTTCCCATCATTTCCATTGCGATGATTGTCGGATGTGTGGTTCTTGTGGGCGAAGTATACATCGTCAGGAAAGAAACGCCCTACAAAATGTAGATGCATTTATGAGATAGATTTCTTTTTGGGTTTACGATTTACGACATGATACCTTGGTTGCCTTGTGGCACGTACACGAAGAGATGTTCGATAATGCTTATGCGTATAGATTTGTTCTATGTTTTCATCTGTGCTTTTTTGTTGCAAGCGTTAGTAGGCATAATGCAAAGAACATACGAAACAGAAAGGTTCAGGGAGTTGATCAACATGTTGAATGAATAAGTATACATCTCGGGTTACATGGCCAATCAAGAATAAGGCAAGTTACATATCCAATCATGAATGAGGCAACTATTTTAGTAGGTTAAAAGTAGACAGTTCATGAGGCAAGGCAGGTTAGCTAGCGTGACAGATGGAGCTGGTAGCTCAAGGCTTAATTGTTGCACATAGAGTATCCAACAGTATCTGAGTTGGAAGTTTGTTGCCTACCGAGGTATGGCTAGACATGATATGGCTAGGCTTGTGGCAGATAGAGTTCTGAGATCTGGCGATATAAACGTGACGCAAGGCGGTGATGGCCGACGGACTGACTTCGATCTCGCTTACATTGCTGTAGCCAATATTTGCAACAAAAGTTTTGTCTATCGACCATGTGTTCCATGCAAACGAAATACCAGGCTTGGCAGAATTCTTAACTCGAGGCCGCACGAGGCAGCTGTAGCGCGCATTGCCTGCTCTCCTCCTGCTCTTCACCTTCTGTCAGCTGCTATTCACGTTGGACCAGACCAATTCACATCAGATCAACTCTGAAACACAAAGAACAGCCACACGTTTTATAAATTTACGATATTTCGACTGAACACTGCTAAAGAGGCTTTGTTGGCTTTTGTGGCCCCGATATTTCTACTCGGCATCTGCACATCTGTGGCTGTCGAAGTTAAGCCATCTTTCTTGCTTTTGCAACTCTAAATTTCCGATAGACAAACATCGCATCTGAGCCGTCAAGAGTCCATATTCTTTTCATTTCTCCATCGTCAATTCAGCTTTTTTGGTGTCTTCGATTATCCTGCATCTTTTTGAGAGTGCCAACAAATATCTGATAACGCTCTCCCGTCATGCTCGCCACAATGTGCGGATTCGACGACTTACCCACAGAAGTCTTTGAGCAGATCATCGGCGACGTGAAGAATCCCCAAGATCTGAGCTCTCTCAGCCGCTGCAGCCGTGGACTTTACTGGGCAATCTCAGACAAACTCTTTACTATGGCATTCGATAAACGGGCCGCGTCGAAAGGAATCGATCATGCGGTCTCGCATGTGTTTATGCATACCGTCAAACACGACTCGCAGCATCTGATCCAGTGGCTGATGTTTCGCCAGCATGGCCCGAGATTGAGAGGGTAAGTGAATATATGGCGGCTTCGTTGATGCAGAACTGCCGGCTGATGATTGTAGACCGTTTCCTTTGATGCAAAGTTTCACCTTTCTCCATTACGCCCTACTTCAAGACGCTCCCAAAGTAGCAATTCAGCTTCTCAAGCACGGATCCGATCTAGATGAAGATGCCGCTCTATATCCTGACCTCAAGTCCCTGTATATTTCCGTGGCCAGGCCTCATAGCAACAGTCTTGGCGCACTGGACGGGGCTCTTCGCATCGCATGTAGCTATGCTCTTCCAAGGATGGCAGAGTATCTCCTGATACGCGGTGCTGATCCGAACACGTACAGCGCATTCGGCTTTGCGGCAATTCACATCGCTGTGAGAAAAAGGGTACCTTGGGCGCAGTTCAAAATGTTTGCTCGGTTTGAAGGGCAACAAGACCTAGAAACTGCTCTATGGAACGCCAAGATCGCTAGAACTGCGCAAGTCTTAATTCGCTTTGGCGCCGATTCCAATCTTCCCATACAAGGTTCTCGCAGTCATTCGTGTGGGCCAAAATGTTGGAAGTCATTGGCCTGTTGTCCCAAGGAGCAGCGAGTTCTACATGTTGCAGCAGGCGGGGGGTCTCTTGCAGTCGTTTCGATGCTTGTCAAACAGAAAGTCAGCTTTTTCCAAGCCGATGGTGAAGGAAACCTACCTCTGTTTCACGCCATGGTTCAAGGCCATGATGAAATCGTTACCTTTCTTATAGAACAAATGCGGCGTGTTCAACGACGTAGAAAGGTATCGACGAATGCAGTCATTTGCAAGTCTACACAGAGCACTTTGTTGCACATCGCTTGTCGATTTGGATACTCTGATGTGGTCAGCGCCCTCATAAAGGGTGGTGCTGATGTGAATGTGGAGGATGGTTTAGGCCGACGACCGATACACGAGGCTCTTGGGCAATGCGCCCCTGACATGGAAGACCGCATCGTGGAGACACTTTACCTTCTTTCAGAGAATGATGCATCCCCAGATGTTGTGGACTGCAGTGGTACGAGGGCCCGAGACCTCGGCGAAAAGCATATCTTCTCGGGTGTCCGGGCGTTGTTTGAGTATGCTACAATGGCTAGATACGAGTGGCAACGACTCACGGAATCGCGGCAGCCCGAGAAGACTGAAATGTAAGCAAGCAAGATCCCGACGCTGGCTGTGTATCTGTGTTTTAGCTAACAGAGCTTCTTAGTTATGACAGGGTCAATTCGTTGCTATACGAAGTTAGAGCGCAATCTCAGCCGGGTAATCAGGATGAGCAACATCCTGAATTTCCGTCGCTTGCTCGCAGAGCCAGACCAGCGATCAAGGCAGCAGCCAAGGCCCCCGTGTGGGTTAAACGAGAAACGTTTCCTGAGCTGAAACCTTTGCCGAAAGCCCCCCAAATGCAGAGTAAAAACGCAAAGTCTGCTTCAAATGCGGGCTCGGTCTGGGGTGCTTCTCAAAACGCCACTAGATCTGTGAATGTTGTTGCAGAGACGGAGGTCAAGCAAACCGTGAGCAAGAAGGGTGGCAAGAAGAAGAAGTGGACACCCGTATCGCTCAAGAACATCACTTGAAGAGTGATGTGTCTTCATTTGCTTTCATTATCGTTTAATTTGGCTTTGTTTTCTATTTCTATTTTGCCCTTTTGTTCTATCCTATCTTTTCCTTTATTCCTTTTCGCCAAAGAATGCGCATATGCTTTGTGCATGGAGTCTAGGCGTCTTGTTCTATACTATTTCCCCCAAAAATGGATATGTTGGCCTCCACAGGCATAGTTTTGATGTATAATAGACTAAGAGAATTAAAATGAAACGCTCATGTTCGCTTTCACCAAACTCCAATTCGAGATCAAGCGATTAGTGCTGGTTCAAAAGAGAACCTTGAGTCCCCAGCCAGCCGCCACACCTCGAGCAAGGTAAAGCGTGAAAACAGTCGCTGCGTAAAAGACACCCGCAAATATAATGACGCCGTCATAAGAGCCGCTGTCTGCTCGCAGAATAGCGCCCGCAATAGGAAGGCCAATGAGAACACCAAAGCTTGCGATGAAAAAGGCTGTGCCAGTCCGCTTGCCAATGTCTTCGATGTTGCATACCCTGCTGATACAAACTGGCGTAATGCTAATCGCAGCTCCGGACCAGAAGCCATAGAGCACAGTAAAAGAGTAGATGGCAGACTCGTTGGTGCCGGCAGTGTACCACAACGCAAAGATTAGGGCTGCGCAAGTAGTAGATGTGAGGGCCAAGACGTTGAAAGCACCAAAGCGATCGGCAGCAAATCCTGGCAGAGCACGGCCAGGAATTGCTCCGACATTCACAAGAGCGTTGAGGAGATAGGCTCGCTGGGTAGGCATGCCGGCGTGGATTGCGTAGGAGGAGATGTAAGTGTAGGGGATGAACACGGCGAATTCAACCAGAAAAACGGCAAGGGTAGTAAGGGCGTATTTAGGGTCACGAAGAGCCTTCAAGTCAATAGCACTGCCGGGGCTAATGCTGGTGTTCTTGTTGTGAGGCAGTCGCTTTTTCATAAAGGTGATGGAGATGCCTCCCATGGCGAGGCAAATGAAGCCGATGAAGCGGGTAGCCCAGGCGAAGCCAATCTCAGGAGTGATGTAGAGGATCATGAGAGGGAAGATGATGCCGCCGAGACCGCCGGCGGTACAGGCGATGCCGGTGGCGAGGGCACGGCGTTTATCGAAATAGTGGCCGATGATGGCGATGGCGGGATTGAAAAGGAGGGAGGCAGAGGCACCGCCTAGGAGGCCGAAGCAGAGGAAGAATTGATAGAATTCTGTGAATGGGTGTGAGTATGAGAAGAGATGTGCTCGAACAAGACGGGTATACTGACCTTTACATAGTCCGATTAGCATCATGGACACGACGATGCCAATGTTTCCCGGTATCACGAGGACTCTGACATCGTATGCATCAAAAATAGGCCCTGACAAGTGTACAAGTTAGCAATCTGCCCATTCCATTACATATATCAGCGTACATCTACCTTCCCCGTACCACAACCTCAATCCAGGGATGTCGAAGAAGATAGAAATGAAAGCTTTTCCATACCAACTTGGGCGCCGCAAAAGTATAAGAAAAAGGCGTAACTGCTCAGAATCCAGCCAATGGTTGATTCTGGTAGGTTTCGTAGCTCATTCTCCGAGAGTCTTGCCTGCAACACAGCCATGGTGTTGAGAAGACCCATGGAGGGGATCATACAAGCCCAGGAGCCCAGGACGACGAGCCATGCCTGAAGACCGCCATCGGGATATGTCATAACTGACAGGTCTCCAGTAGTAGTGAGAGTTGCTAAATATACAACAGTTAGTACAAAATAAAGTACAAAACGGCGTTGGATTAAAACCTGGGGTAATACAATGGGGTTTTCATGCACAATAGGGGAGAGGGTAGACGCACCAGCTGTCATTTTGGGGCTGGTATTATATCTAATTGTGGGAACCAACAACTGGCGTCTCTACAAGGCACAAAGAATGAAAAAAAGACTATGGGCAAGGCCAGGAGAATCACAAACAGAGGTTCCCAGAATCTGGGAAACGGACATTAGGGGGACTTTTATTGATTGATAACTTTTAGACTAGAGAATTATGGATTAGACTACCGGCGCGCCAAGAGCTTTTGCAGAAGTGGATTTCGGTGAATCTTACAGGAACGCGCCCTACTGTACGATGTACGAATACGCTTGAAATAGTGGCCGCCATGCTGCTCTTTTGTGCTTCACATCGTTGAATCTTGAGTAACATGGAGATTAAAATAGTATTTCAAGATGAAATGTTCATATTTGACATGGAGCATCTTCGTACCTGCAGGTTCGTACTCGTAATGTTGTTGAAGAAGCTATCAACTAGGAGTCGAGCTAGACTAGGCCACCGGGATACGCAATTTTTTTTTTCTTCGCCATCCCCAAGACCCATCGCGGAAAGCGCCGGTTTCAGAACTTATGACTAACAGAAACGTGCTGGAGACTACTGCAAAATTCTTGCGCGATCCGGATGGGCGATTTCCGTGGCCTTGGCGAGATCCATCGTAGTATCTGGTATTATAGTGGCGGTCGAGATAAGTGGTTGCATCTATCAATTGGAAAGTATGCACAGGCTGCCATATGGCGCTGTAGTAAAGGCAATGCCACTGGGAAGTAGCTTGGAGAAATGCATGATGATGACGATGAAGTAGTGAGATATGCTTTGGCTGAACTTTTTGATGTTGTTGTTTTTGAAGGTGCAAGATTTGAGCTCTCAATTCTGGTGCGAGATGGCTGATTGTATACTTCAATTGCAAAGCACGCCGCCAATCATGTCTAGATGCGGCGTTTGAGTGTCATTACTACCGTAATGTCTTATATAACGTGTACCGCTCACTCAGACTGGGGAGGTTGAAACAATATGACTACTATCATGTCTTATATAACGTGTACCATTCACGAAACCTGAGGATATGGTCGATGAATCCGGCGGGCTGTGTAACCAATAGCCCTACTTTTATTATTCATTTCTCTTGTCGTCCCAAGACAGCTTTAGACACCTTGCCTTGAATATATCACCGTTTCACTACTAATCAACAATCTTTCAGTTTTTCTGAGATACTATGCATCTTACGTGTTTCTTTACTCATCCCAAGATAAGCATCGACCCTCGCATCTTTTTGTTACTCAATATTGCCTATTAGATCGCGTCCGACATTATCCGATTCAAGTCATGTCTAATGTGTCAAAACTAGTAATTGAACCTCGCTCCACTTGTGCTCCAGTACATCTTAGGCTGTATCAAGCTCACAGCCTTAGGTCAGTCTTACTCTTGCAATCTGTTACTCATTTATGCTACTGGATATAAGTCTGGGGGAATAACAGCAGTCAGGCTAGCAGAGCGGCAGTATATTGTTTGGGTTGATTGCTTCTTGGCATCTGTTAGTCTAGGTGTGCGACCCGGTTCAAGCTCTAGAGCCTGATAGGTCAGTAGGTTGTTATAGCGAATTGGAAGTCATAGATAAGCTAGAGCTTTAAAGTGGTTTTTAATGACGCTGTGTGCCTCTATTCTGTAAAACCAAGACGTCGCAAGCAAGAATCTAGATGGATCCGGGGAAAAGATTCTTTATTTCTTCTGTGAAGCTACCGAGACCTCAATCTTATTATAAACATATCTAGTTTTATCTATCTGTGAGAAAATAATTCTAAAGTAATTATCATTCCCGAAGATGCTCAAATTCAACCAATTATGATACATTGGCGATGCCATCATATGTCCCAATTGTCAGACTGAGCAATACCCTGTACAAGCACAAAGGCCTTATGTGAGGCTGCTTAAGGATCGACGCCGCGTCTGCTCGAAGCATATTCTGATCAATTTAGAATACAAAAAAAATAATAAGTATAACTCGAAGTGGATTCATAGAATTTAATTGAAACTACTAGGTAGTTTCACGCTCTAGATGGCGACTTGGAACGAGGCTGAGAATTCTTGGGATGGCGCCCGCCTACCCCTCTATAGTTGCCGTATTTGGAAACCGATCTCTGCTGAGAGCGAATGATCACGCAATTTGGAGCATACAAAATAGCAGAGCTCGCTGCTGAATACTAGCATTATTCGATATTCTGGAATTTTTGAGAAAGAAACCATTTCAAAATGCCGAACCAGGAACATTCGAAGAATGGAGGCCAAAACACCAGTGGTATGCCAGATCCAATGGCCGACTACGATCTCTCGCGTCAAATCCAACCCGCAGTCGGCATGAGACAAGGCCTGTCAAACTATGGCGACCCTCACTTTTCTCTCTTTCTTCGCAAAGTCTTCATCAAGGCATTGGGATATAGCGAAGATGCGCTTTCGAGACCCATTATTGGCATAGTCAACACTTATTCGGGCTTCAATCCTTGCCACGGCAATGTCCCGCAGCTCATCGAGGCCGCAAAGAGGGGTGTCCAGCTAAACGGCGGACTGGCCATTGATTTCCCAACTATCAGCGTCCACGAATCGTTTTCTACTCCGACTAGCATGTTTCTACGGAATCTTATGAGCATGGATACCGAAGAGATGATCAAGGCGCAGCCGGTGGACGCATGCATTGTTATTGGTGGTGAGATTTGGTGTTTTACTTGTTGATCTGCCTTCCTTTAATAACTCCTCGTGATTTAGGATGCGACAAGACTGTTCCGGCTCAGTTAATGGGCGGGATATCAGCAAATAAGCCCGTATTGCCCTTGATAACGGGTCCAATGATGCCAGGAAGCTTCAGAGGCGGTCGCATCGGAGCCTGTACTGATTGTCGCAATAATTGGGCTGCTTTCCGAGCCAATGAGATGGATATTGAAGATATCTCTGCTCTGAATGAGGAGCTTGCGCCGACAGTGAGCGAGATTACTCCACCAGAGTATCTAACCAACTAACAATTGATGAACAGGTTGGAACTTGTGGCGTCATGGGCACAGCGAGTACCATGGCTTGCCTGACAGCTGCTCTTGGACTTGTACCTCTACGAGGCGGCGCAACCGCTTCTGCTGTTTCCAGTGCCCGGCTTAGGATAGCAGAGCAGACTGGTGCAAATGCCGTACGAGCAGCTCAAGACAAGCGTACACTCCAATCGATCCTTTCGGAAGCATCTTTTCACAACGCTATTACTGTTTTGCAAGCAATTGGGGGTTCTACGAACGGCATTGTCCACCTGCTTGCTATTGCAAATCGCCATCCGGAGATTTACGACAAAATCACGCTGCAGACAGTGCATGAGATAGGAGAGAAGACACCTCTGCTTGTTGATCTCAAGCCCAGCGGCGATAACTACATGACTGACTTTCACAATGCGGGTGGCATTCCTGCTCTTTTTCAGACTCTGCGACCCCTCCTAAAGCTTGATGCTCTGACAATAACAGGCGAAACACTTGGAGAAGCTCTGGATGCTGAGAATTTCCGATCCTTTCCTTTCTCTACACAAATTATTAGACCTTTGGCTGAACCTTTATACCCATGCTCGAGTCTCGCCATATTGTATGGGAATATTGCGCCAAAGGGGGCTGTCATCAAAGCCAGTGCCAGCAAGTACCGACACTTGCTCAAGCACCGAGGCCGAGCCGTGGTGTTTGCCGGCCTTGAAGATCTTGCTAGGCGCATCGACGATCCAGACCTGGACGTTGACGAGAACTGCGTTTTGGTTCTGCAGGGAATAGGCCCTATTGGCTTTTCAAGCCCAGGTATGCCAGAGGCTGGGCTGATTCCCATTCCACGTAAGCTCGCAGCTCGCGGAGTCAAGGACATGTTACGTCTATCGGACGGGCGCATGTCTGGCACGGCGGGAGGGAGCATTGTCTTGCATATTTCGCCAGAGGCTGCTTTGCCGGAAAGTGTATTGGCGATTGTGAAAAACGGGGATATAATACACTGCGATGTTGAGAGTCAGAAGCTCGAAGTAGAGCTTAGCTCTGCTGAGATTGATGCAAGGGTGAAGGATAGGATTGACAGGCTTGAAGGAAAATTGGAAGCTCGGGGTCCTGCGGAATCTAGGAGACAGCCGACTCGAGGATATAGAGGCTTGTATGAGAAGAGCGTGACGCAGGCTGACAAGGGCGTGGACTTTTGCTTTTTAACTGCCCAAGGAGCTGTTAAATGAATGACGCCTCTTTGACTTGTTCTTAAGGGCTATGAAAGGAATACACAGCAGGTGGGTCTTTCAGGGGAGGCTTATTGTAGGCGGCATGTGGGAAGCTGTTTAACAATAAGCTAATAGCAACTACAAGATGTGACATCTCCATTGTTAGGAAGAAACTCATCTGTTATTATTCTTATAACTGTAACTATGGCGTGCTCATGTCATATAATAGATGCACCTGCCAACTTTGGTATTTTACCTGGCCACCAATAATTGTATAAAGCGTATCAACACCCTGCTCAGCTGAGACCGGTTCCATATCAAATGGGTCTTTACGCCAAATGGTAACATCGGCAAATCGACCCGGCGTCAGCATACATACCTCTCGAATGCGATTCGCCCAGGAACTTGGCCGCCTCTGTTGTATGGAGACTGATGGCCTCTGGTAGCGTTACAGTATGCTCTTCTCTCAGCACTCCAATGACTGTTTTGCGGGTAGTCAAGCCCTCTGATGAGTGCATCGCGCCATAGCTTCCAACAGGGAAATCAGAGCCAGCAGTGGTTAGGACGCCTGAGTCAAGCCATTGTCGTACTGGAAAGACTTGCGACACCCTATCTCGGCCGTAGTAGAGCTCAGATACGCCGGACACGTCATGGAGCAGCGGGAATTGAACAGTAACGGGAATCTTGAGGGCCGCGGCTCGCGCTCGCTGCTCGGCTGAAGCGAATCCTCCATGCTCTATAACCAGGGTCCCCTGTGGCATGTTGGGATGTCGTTTCATAACCTCTTCATATACATCCAATAGAATTCGCACGGCTCTGTCACCAAATGCATGCGTGCCAACCCGCCATCCTCGACGGACAACCAGGTCTAGAGCAGCAACCATTGTATGCGCGTCCCAGAGCAATCAATTTCGATACTCGTTTGGAGAGCCACAGCCGCAATCCTCTTCTCTCCCATATGGCTCTTCCATTGCACTTGATTCGATTCCGCCATCCAGCATTAACTTGAGACCCAACAATCCCGAACGCAGCTGATGCCAGTTGAAGCGTAAGAGGTGCTGGCAACGTCCAAGCCATGAATTCGCGTCTCAACATCAACCGGAGCTTCAAATTTATAGACGAGAGCCACAGCAGAGTCCTGGATAAACCCCGTCATCTAGCCGCTTGCATCTTTCTCGATGTTACCACCAGGAGGAGGGGCCGTATCCTTGGTAATGTTGGCAGCCGCCAATGCACAGGAATTGACCATCATGTTGTGGCCGCCTCTTCGTACAACGATTGAATGCACAGTGCTTATCTCATCGAGCTCTTGAATGGTTGGAAGTCACTTCTCTGGAAGATTAAATTCTTGCCAGTTCGTCGTTGTGAAGATCCATTCCCCAGACTCGGTTTTGGCGACGCGGCGGCGAATTAAATCCAGTATCCCGCCAAGATTCTTTGCTATGGACCGAAACATCGATATGCATCTGTGCAGCAAGCATGAGATGAGTGTGAGTATCATCAAAAGCCGGAAGCACGGTAGAGTCTGTCTCGTCAACAACACGAGCATCAGGCCCAATCAAATAATACAGGTCATCTTGGCTGTCTGAAATGGCGAAGATGTGCTGGCCGACGATGGAAAGTGAGCGTTGCGCAGGTACTCCAGGCTGAAGAGTATACATATTCTTTGCTCGGATTAGAATGTTCTGCCTTGATGGTTCCTGCGCCGACACTAATTGACGCCATATTGATGATAGACTCGCGATTTCACAAACTACTTGAAACAGAGAGGTTGTGTGGTGAGTTGACATGTCGATTTTACAGATTGTTTACTCACTTTATATCCAAGTATACATGCACTTAGTTTGGCCATTTTGCGTCATTTGTCAAAGATGTCAAGTAATAGCCGCTGCAGCGGGTAACTTCCAAGTAACTGAATGATCATCATTGACGGTAATGGCAGTACAAACTCGCTTGAGACAGTTTGTAATTAGATGCGTGTACTCCACCGTTCGTCTCGTTTTGGTAGTATTCGGAGCTGCATACCGGCAATCCATAACGGGCTTCGGCATCGGGACAATGGCCGCCCTCATCGGTCGCAAAAGACCCTTGGTAATAGCTGTCTCGCGCATATCGAGTGCCGACGCGAGGGCGAGCGACTATTTATGTGTGGATAACGATGATGTTCACAGCACGTTGGATATCTTTTATACTTGTGTTCTATACAGCCAAGTCTGGGCTGATGAAGCAGATGGGCCTAAAAAAGAGCCCCCCCCCATTGCTGTTAGTTCTAGATATGGCCACTTGGGTAATTTGTACGAGAATATCTTGTGAGGCTTAAGGAAGCTTGAATCAATATCCTAATTTCTTCTTCATGTCTGAATCGATAGTATCAGGCAAGCTTCTCGGCAGCTCTTTGCTGTAAGACTTGGTCGGTGATCGGCAGGCTGGAATCGCCGACTAGCCGAGGCGGTTATGCATGGACCGGAGAGCAGCTTCAGCGGCATATCGTTTACACATTCAGGTAATAAGATGCCGCCGCTTTTAACCGTATTTACAATAGCATTTCTGTTATTACAAATGGTATTTAGAGAAGATGTGTAGTCTCAAAGTATCACATGAAACCCGTATTAAGACCTATGTCGTGTGCTCTATCTAATACTACTACCTCTAGCTCAAACTCCCAATTGACGTTCATACTCATCTATAGCCTGAACAAGCGAGCTCTTCCAATCATATGAAAAGACCTTGTTCATCCTTTCCGTAATATCTCTTGTGTACAAAGTAGGATCGCTTCCAATGCCAGGGTTGCGCCCCTGCGCTGAGTTGCCGGCAAAACGGCTGCTGGAAACAACCCATTGTCCCCTTTCTCGCCGGACAGAATCATACGCCTTGAAGGCAGCCTCGAGTGCTCTGTTTTTGGCACCAGAGCGTTCATACAGGCCTCGAGTATCCGCAACCTTCTTTAAAAGCGTTGCCATCACCAGTGCGTCTTCAATGCCCATTCCGGCGCCGGCACCATGATGGGGTGTAGACGCATGAGCGGCATCTCCCGCGAGAACGACGCGTCCATAGGCGAAGGTCGAGAGGGGGTGGTCAAAGGTGTCGAACATGGCCCAGCGGTTGAGCTCTTCCGGCAGGGCTGCCACAAGATCTCTCACTGAAGGGCCGAAGTGAGAGAAGGCTGCCACAACATCTTCCTTTTTCCCTGGAATTGTTAAATGTTTAAAATCAGGCCATTCGCCCTCATCATGCACAAAAGCGACCGTATTCAAAGCGTTCTTGCTTACGATGGGATATGTAAACAAAGATGCTCCTCGGCCTAGATACGACACAGATTCTTTGGAGAGTTTCCCAAGAGCTGCCTCTGCCTTTTCCATGGGTACTAGTCCGCGGTAGGCACTTGTATAAGAGTAGTGAGGCAAAGCCGCTGGATCATCGTTGCCCAAGAGAATGCGCCGAACTTGTGACTTGATGCCATCGCATGCTATGACTAAAAGAATCGAATTATACATATTTATCAGCATCTTTGACTCTTTGAACAGGCGTCTGAAGAAAAGGTCCATGTCGAACACTTGACAGAATCATCATACCTGCGTCGGCTTCGGCCGTAGTGCCATCAGAAAATTGAAGAAGAAGAGGCTCTTCGTCATCTTCTTTGTGTGTAATTGCTTCCAAACGTTTCCCCATTTTTATATGCTCTGGTGGTATAAGCGCAAGCAGACCATCTAGCAGCTGGGCCCGATGAGTGCTGTGGTATGTGAATGGTTTGACCACGACGTCAAATAGTTTGTCTGCCGGGCGAAGTTTCAGATCCTCATCACTACAGCCGTTGATGGCGTTGAGGTTCTCAAAGACGCCAGATATTTTTTGCAACTGTTCTGTTATGGCGGGATCCAAGGCTGTCATGCAATCCACAATGGGCGTGGGAAATGCGATGCCGGCGCCAATCTCCTTGATCTGGCTCGATTGCTCGTAGATGGTGACGTGGATATTTCTGTGTACAAGACCGATTGCAACGTGGGCACCCACAATGCCTGCGCCGATGATGGCTATGTTTAAAGGAGGGCGGTTGGTGCCGTTCATTGTGGTTTGGTGGTAGCGTGATTCGGATATTTGGGTACTGGAGATTGGAGGAACGGAAATAGTGCGGAGCATGTGAGAAAACTCGCCATGATATGGGCTTCAGCTCGCAGTTTTAAATCCGATCGCTCGTGTAAATAATGTCCAACTCGCGATTCCGAGGAAAGGAGCGCTTCGAGAGGGGCAGGGGGAAGAGATTCGGTGTTCGCTGTGAAGTAACATCGGGCCATACTGGCGCCGACGCGAGACAGTGTCTCTGATTCAATTATTTCCAGCGATTAGTTACAAAAATTATGGCAAAGAAGTTGAGTTGAAAGTATTATAAACATCAGAACGCCCCATCACTAATCAGAACGCCCCATCACTCTATTATTGTTACGTGAACTAAGCCAACTTATTGTGCTCCGCAGCACTTTGCCAAAGTCTTGACTCAACACTAAATCGATATTGAAGATTCGAACGAGTACCTATACCCCTCTTTCGCATCCATACTAGCGCTTGAGGGGTTGCAGATGGTCTCTCTAGCAACTACCTAGCCTAGGTACGATATAAATCAGCATAGGGCTTTACTCATCTCGAAGGATTGTACGACACGTAGGTTGAGGCTGTTATGTAGGTAAAGTAATGGTATCACGAGGCAATATCCGTTTTGCCAAGAGACAAATAGGCTGCCGTGATACAAGTACCGGCATATCTCAGCACACAGGTTGACAGGCTAACATCATGTGGGGTGCGTTGCTAGAGATTTCTGTGGAGTAACACAGCAGACTGACGGCACCAGAAATCAGAGCACCAGAATGAGAAAAATTTTACCTTGCTATCTAAACCCGTGTGTAAAAGCGGGTCGCCAATAGTTGGTGTACACTCTACAACGACGTGTGATGTGCTGATGTTTGATCTTTAAAAGCATTAAAGCAATGACCTCGTAAGGCTGGACGTTGTAAAGACAAATCCACAGACTATCCATGTATTCCATAAGCGGCAGGCATTCCGGACTACCCAAATATAGGCACCGTTTTCTGCCACAACGGGCTTACAGAACAGGACATGCCAATTTCCGGAGGCGAAAAAGGATAAACGATTAGCAAGCGCTACACATGGATGCGCGTGATTACGCCAGGCACCATCTAGGTCCGATGACCTGAGATTGACGCAATAAGAGCTGATTCAGTATGACAGAACACGAACTAGTACGGTACTGGATGTCATTTATCGTGTATCGTGCATCGTGTATTGTGTCTAGCACTCTGCAGGCACAGCTAGCCCGTGCCGCCACTTCTAATAAAACGGCGTCAATGCTCCGCGAACCCACCCCTGGAAGCCATCGCCGCACAGAGCCTTGGAGGCCAATATAGATCCATGCCCGCTAAGCCACGCTTGCATTGAATCGCCTGAAGCCGGACGGTCGGAAGAGTGGAGCAGGCGCCGGTACCACGAATGGTGATCTCCCGTGTAAGCAGGGCGTGCGTTCCGGAAGCCCCATCGCTGCTCGGGAGAGGCCCAGCGCAACTTCGCTGAGGCACTATTGACGGGCTGCTCGCTTGCTAAGATTAAGCCTTGCGCCTCGCCAGCCCGGCGGGATACCAGCAGGATGCCAGCAGGGCCGCTAATAGAGCGTCATGGCCGGTGTCCAGGGCAGATGCTGTGCGGAGAAGGCGCTGCGGTGTCCCTTACGTCATGGCGGGCCGGATAGGAGTAAGAATAGCAGCTGCAAGCCCGGCTATTGTGATATTTGATAATTGACGGGTGGAAACCGCCGTGCTGGGTCTCCATGCACTGCACCTCCATCGATGTACTCCAGCTCTTCATGCACCTCTAGCCGCTTGCTGTGCCTCTGCGCAACCACCAACGAACAGCATCTGCTTGCAACTCTGTGCGTGATGCCCGTCAGCATCCGGCGGCAATCATGATCTCTCAGGGGGCTGCAGCGGCCACCAGCGGCTCCGGCAGCAACTCCGGCAGCAACTCCAGCACCAACATCAGCGTGGCCGACACCGCCAACACGGCCGACCTCTGCGACCTCTCGCCCGTGCCCACGCTGGTCGTGTCGCCGGCGTTTCGCATCCAGCGAGTGTCGCAGGGCGTCGAGGACGCGTGGCATCGCGGCCGGCACGAGTTCCTGGGCAAGGATCTGTTCACCGCTCTGTACGGCGGCTCGCCGCTGGAGCGCTTCGACCGGATCCCCCTTGCCCGCGCCATCGAGGAGGCTGTGGCTGCCCGCAGCTTTCGACACTGCTACGCCGTCTACAGCGCGCGCGGAGTGGCCTGGACGGCGCGAATCATCCCCATCTTCAGAGGCGACGAGATGCTGTCGCTGGTCCTGGACTGGGACCGGGTCGAGTCCAAGACGGCCGACGGCGACGAGATCATCCAGAGCGCCCTCTCCGTCGACGGGGTGCTCCGCCTGCTCGTCCAGACGGTCAAGGACTATGCCATCTTTCTGCTCGACACCCGCGGCTACGTGGCCACCTGGAACACCGGCGCTGAGCTGCTCAAGGGCTACAAGAAGGAGGACATTGTTGGCAAGCACTTCTCGACATTCTATGGAAAAGACGATCTTGAGGCTGGCAAGCCCGAGGACGAGCTTGTAAACTGCCTGCGCGAGGGCAGAGTGCAGGATGAAGGCTGGCGCTATCGCAAAGACGGCAGCCGCTTCTGGGCCAACGTCATCATCACGGCCTTGTATAGAAACGGCGTCCATGTCGGCTTCGGCAAGGTCACCCGAGATTTGACAGAGCGTAGAGAGGCCGAGCTGAGGCTCGTTGCCGCCTACGAAGAGAGCGCAAAATTGAAAAACGACTTCCTCGCCAATATGAGCCATGAAATTCGAACTCCAATGCACGGCATGCTCTCGGCCTGTGCTCTCCTGCTCGACACAAAGTTGGACGAGGACCAGCGCGAGACGGTCAACATCATTTCGGAATCGGGCCAGGTTCTGCTGCAGGTCATCAACGGCATTCTCGACTATTCGAAGCTGAAATCAGGCAACTTTTCTGTCAATACAGACTTGGTCGGCGTCGCGAGCGTCATTTCTTCGGTGGTAAAGAATGTACAGATGACACTGATTCCAGGAGTATATATCAAACTGGTTTTGGCGCCCGGCCTGCCTAAATCTGCTCAGGGAGACCCGCTTCGCTTCCGGCAGATCTTCCAGAACATCATTGACAACGCTGTCAAATTTACCGAGAAAGGATCCGTCCAAGTTGATGCCTCCATAGCTGCTGAAGACGAAACATCGTACACGATACTTACCCAGGTGACTGATAGCGGAATCGGCGTGCCCGAGGATGATGTTCAAAACTTGTTCAAGCCGTTTACGCAACTCGAGAAGCCCACGAAAAAAAGATTTCAGGGAACCGGATTAGGGCTGTCCATAGCCAAGTCTCTGGCCGAATTATTAGGCGGCCAGATGGGCTATCGACCGAACCCCGAGCACAACGGCAGCATATTTTGGTTTACGGTGAAGCTCAAGAAGATGGCCAACTCTAACCAACTCGGCATTCCTGACATGCAGATTGATCAAGAAACCGCAAAGTCCCAACAAGATTCTGAGAAAGAAAAGATGCTACGCCGGATTAGGGAGATGGCACCGTACAAACGAATCCTCGCTGCAGAGGACAATCTTGTCAACCAAAAAGTATTGAGTCGTGTTTTAAGCTCACTTGGCTTTCAAGATTTTACCATTGCCTCCAACGGAGCCGAGGCTGTTTCTCTACTGACTGCTTCGCCCAACGCATACGACTTGGTTCTCATGGACATTAGCATGCCCGTCATGGATGGCTTTGAAGCCACTAGAAAAATCCGGACTTGTGGCATCCCAGTGCCTATTATAGCCATGACGGCTTACGCTCTTAGAGGAGACAGTGAAACCTGCCTAGAAAAAGGAATGGATGATTACATCTCGAAACCGGTTAATATCAACAAGTTGTTACAGAAGCTTCTTACATGGCTAGACTCGCCTGAATGGTCCAAAACTGGAATTAATGAACCAAACTGATGGCGCACTCAGCTCACAATATGCGAGATTGTTGCCGTGAATCTCGCCTCTGCTAGTCCGAAACCGTTAACAACGCCATTCTTAAAAGTCTTTGGATTGTTGTTTTGCTATGGCTGGGATTCACCAAATGGAGTTTTAAGGAAAAAGCAACGATACAGGTGTTGTTTACAAGGCGTACGCCCGTTTGCTCGGCTAGGCGATTTTATGGAGTAGCTCAAATTCGTTACTCAGGATCATCACAAAAGGATTTCTACGGCGAATTCTTGATTAGACATTTTACAAGCACGAGGCGAGGACAGATTTTGTCTTTTCTTCTTCTTTTGGCGTGGGAGGAAACAGTCGCACAAGGGGGGGGGGGGGGGGGGCGTTGCCCCAAAGTGAGAGTTCCTGGGAATAACATTCTGAACGTTTACGCTAGTTATTCCTTCTGATCCAGTTGCGGTGTTGCTGGCTTCTGGTGTTCTCTTCGGATTATTTGGTACATATTGGTATGCCGGTTCTATAATTGGGTGGTAGAGACGAAAACTGGCGTTTCTCAGGGAAAAATTCTTCTTTTTATTCTTGTACTATTTATTGCTTTCTTATCTTAGATTCCACCTAGAGACAAGATCTCATTTTTGTGATTGGATTGCAAACTTTCTACGGTTTTGATTTGTTCAAGAGTGACACGGTTCAGCTATCCGAATTGCTCATTAGTAAAGTTTGATGCCTTGCGTACGGAAGTCGTCCGTGCTGCTCCACGGCCAGTTTCCCCGGACGCAAAGCATTTCCTGATCTGGCAACATTAAGCACTAGTCGCTTGCATTTTAGCCGGAGCTAAATGGAAGGATCTTGGAGCATTAACGCTTACACGCCGGGGCTAACGGGGTGGGTGGCTACGAGGTGTGTTTTGGGCTTTGCCGTGCTGTCTGCATTGAAGGGCAGCAATTTGCGAGAAAAGTGTCTGCGGGTGTGATTGGGTGAGCGTGTTGCAGAGTGACGCTCTTGATCCAATATACTTGAGTAAGCGGTTTTGCAAAATGACGCTCTTGATCCAATATGATTAAGTGAGCGAGTTTGTAAAGTGACCAAGTAAAACGTCTTAGTTTACGATCATATACCTTGTTTGGATTTAGAGTATAGTACTAATGAGGCTTGACATGACGCTCTATAGCGATGGGGAATTAGTAATATTAGAAATCGGCACACACGTCAATGTCATAGATGCGTTAGAGTTTCAATGGGTAGATTGCTCAATCAATTCACTGCACTTTATAGCTTCTTACAGGCACTTCTCTAACCGTTCTGCTTTGGGATGACTCACCGCCTCTTAGCACAGTGCAATAGAGTCTTGATACCAGCCCACCATTTTCTAATCCGAGCTTAGTTGCACCTGCGGCTACCTGGGGTTGCATCCGTTGTGAAGGTGATGAAGGAATGGGTATGAACTAACGATAGCCATCTGTACTTTATATAGAGAAGCAATCTCTTCTTTACAACCATATATTCCTAGTCGAGGCTCATAACAACAACCACTTCAGCTAGCTGGCCATGTAGGCAGCCGTCTTTACCGCACTTGCAAACTAAGAAGTGTATCAACGTCAAACATGTCTACAACGCAATCCACAATCGTCCTGCCGCCAGAGGCACATGGCGAGGATCTCTGGTCCTCCCAGTCTCTATCCGGCGCGACACCTCTCGAGTCTCTCCCCAGCCCAGGCGACCAGTCTCTTAGCGAACAGCCGTTATTCCCATGCACGCCCATCCGACCTCTAGACACTGCCAGTGTCCAAGAACCCGCGCCTTCCGCCGTCCTCGAGCTGAGCGAGCTGAGAATTAGACAAGTCGATAATGCCACGGCCAACGGCTCATCGCCCGCCGCTGGCCTCTTTGAGGAGGGAGGCAGCCCGACGCATCCCGTTTCGCAGGGCGTTCCGCCCGAGCTTCGCAGCTTCTTGGCGGAAATCATCTTCGTCCTCGTTTGCACGGCTGGGCAGGTCATCCTGTCGCTGACTCTGGGCCAGGTTGTGGTGAACCAGTTCGTCTTTCGGGAAGCGCTGGGAATAGTCCCGGCCCAGACCCCTTGGCTCGTGGGATCTTCGACGTTGGCAAGTGGCTTGTCCGTCATTGTTTTCGGGCCGCTGGCTGATCTGGCTCCCCCGAAACCACTCATGGTGGGAGCTTTTGTGTGGGCGGCAGCGTGGAACGCAGTGGCCGCCTCTGCCATTTCTGCAGAGCTCAAGATCCTCTTCTTCGTAGCTCGAGCTATGCAGGGCTTGGCTGGTGGAGTGCTCGTGTCGACTTCCATGAGCATTCTTGGACGAGTGTATAATCCGGGCATCCGCAAGACTAGAGTCTTTTCGCTAATGGCAGCGGGAGCGCCGTTTGGCTTCTGGATTGGCTGCGTCCAGGGAGGTCTCCTTACTGCCCATCTCGATTGGATATTCCGCAGCACGGCCATTTTTCTGGCTGTTTGTGCGCTTGCTGCTTATTACACGATACCCAATATGCGGCCTGCGGCGGATAGTAACGCTGCAGCCGTGCCTTCGATACGGCAGTTTGACTACATGGGCGCTTTGCTTGCTTCGCTGGGCAGCGGGCTGATTCTTTTTGGGCTTACGCAGGGTTCGGCGGCACAGTGGAATCCGTATACCTATACTTTGGTCATTGTTGGTTTCATTCTCCTTGTCGCGTTTTACTTTGTAGAGCGCCGTGTTGCTCGCCCTCTTATCCCAAGCGGCATTTGGAAGACACCTGGGTTCGTTGCAGTGTTGGTATCCTACGTCTTCGGGTTCGGAGCTTACAGTGAGTTTCATATCTGCGTGTCTATGCCCGTTTGAATTCTCGGCTAAGAAAGTATTCTTATCCAGGCGGCGCGTGGCAATTCTACGCCATTCAGTTTTGGATACGCTATCAGGGGGCCACTCCTCTCACGGCAGCATTATATATTCTTCCTAATGGCATTGTGGGCATTCTCGCAGCTTGGATCGTCTCAAAGACTCTTCACGTGGTCCCTGGTCACTGGATATTTGCCACAAGCATGATTTGCTTTGGCCTAGGGCCGGTATTCTTCCTTCCGCAAACTCCCAACACCTCGTATTGGGCCTTGTCGATGCCTGGCGTGGCTTTGGCGACCTTTGGGCCTGATCTCAGTTTTGCTGCGGCTTCAATCTTCATTACTTCGAGCGTGCCCCGGTCCTACCAGGGCGCTGCTGGCAGTCTGTTGGTTACGGCACAGAACTTGACCATGGCAATCATCACCTCTGTCGCAGACTCTATCGGCATCAAAGTCGACCAGCTTCCTTCTGGAGAGGTGGGGCTTGAAGGTATGCGTGCCATCTGGTGGTTTGGCTTTGCTTCGGCCATGGTTGGGGCCTTGATTACCATTACCATGGTTCGAATTCCCAAGGCAGAGGAGAAGGAACATGTGCAGTAAAGGAGAAGCAGATGATGTGCTACGGACCAAGTAGGGATTTGGACTGATGGAATGCGCTATGTGAGTATTAGACGAAATATTCCAGTTCCCTTTTAATTGCTTCCATCAACTATGTGCAGTTAAAGAGAAGCAGACGATATACGACATATGTGAGGCTGGTTGCAGACTAAGCAGGGATAGGATTGATGGATCCCAGATTGTCAAAGTGCTAGACAAAATATTAAATAAATTAATGAATGATGTTAAGAATGCCTTATAATCTCCTTTTCCCTTGCCACCTCAATCTATACTAATTTGCTCCTTGACAATCATAGTCGCTATAATGCACATTCTTATTCCACCGATAGTTGAGGTAAAACGCCCAATTCACTTTTAATTCCTTCCGTCAACTCAAATTTTTCACTCTCCCTCTTTAGAACCCTTTTCCACATTCAAGTGAGCATAATTTTTTACAAGATTCGCCAAAACGTTGGCGTCTCGATCCTCTTTCTTCCTGACGATACTAACCGGCCAATGGCTTCGTACAGCTTGTGCCATCCCCTGCCTCTCATCCCATTCTCTCTCGTCCATTTTCATTGAGTCTTTTAACAGGGCGATTTCGGGGCGTCTCATTCGTCCGTAGACGACCCGAAACAATGCTTCAGCCAAGTAGTGGTTCCGGCGTTGGTTATACAGGCCTGTTGCAGCTAGAATGAGCGTGGATCGCAGTAGTTCAAGCTGGTCCGTGGGCGTTTGATCATTTACAGCTTCGACACAATCCGAGGCAATGAGCATCAGTGGTATGATGATGAATAGGTCCATGGAGTCGTATCCGTGGCGGATATAGTACAGGCGAACCAGAGTTTGGAGATATTTTTTAGCATCGGCAATGAGCTCACGTATGCGAAGCTCTTGTCCCGTTGAAATTTGCAATAATGGCTCGAATATGGCAAGTACTAGATGGTGATAATGCATGCTGTAGCAATACAAGGTTAATAAGATTTAATTGATAAGAGGGTATTACTCGGGAAAAAAAGGGGGGGACTTACTGGAGTTGCAATTGTCCAGGAAGTGCAATCGTCTTGGGTAAAAGTGATGCTGGTAAGCCACGAAACCAGTTCTTAAGCTTGCGGAGCAGCTCATCGGCTATATCGAGGGTCATCTGAGATTCTTGCTTTTCTATGTAGGCCGTTTGGCAATATTCGTTCATGATGACCCGCAATTGGGATTTTGCTTTGTACATTTGACCAAAATTCGATGGTATCAGGCTACGGCTTAGTGGGTATTTCAACCACACTTCTCCGTACCAGAGTGCATCTTCTGACGGATTTGGTAAAGGATAGATCGGGGGCTTCTTGAGCCTCGGGGGCGTCATGAAGGAGAAGCTTGAAAGCCTGAAATAATCAGAAGAGATCAATCCTTGGAGCCAATGTACTTACGTCTCCCAATTAAATAACGACCATGCAAGAAATTCCTTGCCCTTCTGTAATCTTATTGTCCGCGGATCCTCAGTCTGTTCGTCCAGAGGGCTGTCAAAAAGCCGAATCTCCTCAGCCAGCTCTATTGCGTGTATTCTATAAGACTTCCCAATCTCGTCCAGGCCGCAGATGTTGTAAAAGACATTGAAAATCATACTAGCTTGTATCGTGGTGAGTCGTGGAATGGCCGATTCCAATTCCCAAAGACGCTTTGCCTCGGCAGCAAAGGCATATCCGAGTGTTTTGGGATTCCAATATTCTGCTCGATCCGCGAATTTTTGATAACATACCTAATGACACACTTAGACAGGGACAGGTACAACAGGAACTAGGATGGAGGATATCATACACATGAATAAGCCAAAACAATATTGACGAGCAGCGACGAGCAAAAGTCTTTTTGTTTCGCGACCATGTCTTCCAAGAAGTAATCTTTCTGAACAGCCGAGGTGAGATGGTGCTCGCATCTGAACCAGACTGAGAGAATGTCTCGCATGAGCACATCATCCTTACAAACTGCCGTCCATAACGATGGTTTTGCATTGGCCAATGGCGCATCAATCATCTCTGCCGAGTGAAAAGGTTTGACATAGAGATTTTGATACTCGTCCGAGTCCAGGCTGTCGCCATGATTGAAAGCGGTGAACTGAGACGGGTTTGAGTAAAGCGATGCCGCTTCGTATATCTTCGACTCCATGTAAGGATTGTTTATGATGAAAGCTGCGGGCATTTCTGATCGGTATGGCAACACATATCGTAATCGAGTTTCGGGAACAACAGCCATTTGTACTAGCACATTCCCAACTTTGATATGGTTGAGAATTGTTGTGATATCGGCCCCGGATCTAATTATTCGAAAGACATGTGGAGCCTCGCCATCGGATAAAGTTCCTATAAGCTCAAATAGCTCCTCATGAGGTGACTTGTAGTTTCGTATGTCTTGGTAGCCTCGTTTAAGAGCCTGCGCGCTGGTCTCTCCCGGTTTTGTTGTCCACTGGCATTCAATTCGCCTTTGAATACAACGACGGCATGACGGCCTTTCGCCGGAACACTATCAGGACAGCCAGAATTAGCAGTGTTTGTAGTCCTAGTATTGATGACTGTAATGTGTACCTTGGCCTTTTGCTTGCGACATGCGGTACAGGCCGCCACTACCATGTTTTTTCTGGAAGACGGTGCCGGCGGTGCAGGCGGTTCTTCCATCTCTGGCTGTCTTGGTGGTGCTGGCAGCACCCGGCGCAAAGGCCGGACTCTGGAAATGTTTGCCTCCTCAGGCATGATGAATCGCCCTTGAAAGGCCGTGTATTCCAGCTTCGAAGCTGCCGCGGGGGAATAAAGGTTGTAAAGGGCGTCCAGTGCCAGCTCGTTCGTACAAGTAAGCCCGGGTGCCCCAAGGCTGCGGCTGAACCAAACGATATCCAGGGACAGGGATGATCCAAAATTGAAGGCTGGAGCTCCATTTACTGACTCAGTAATCCAGAGCCCAAGGCTGCTCTCGGATGCTCGAACATTCTGCGACCCCTCAGTAGCAGAGACGTGGCCAGCGCATAACGCATTCCGCCATCCTCCGTAAATGCGCACACTTGCAGCAAGGATGTGTCCGAGATGGTGATTGGCTTTCGCCAAACCGGAGACGCCTCCGGTGTGGATCACAAAGTTGTCACAGCAGATCTCTCGCCTCGAGAGATGAAAATGTGACTGGACGCCACTACTCGAGAATAGCTATAGAACCAAGGCTTTATTGAATTAACGTGATGCTACATTACGTCGCTACCTAGATATGAGTTGCTTTTTTCGACTTTCCGGATATTGGCACAAACATTCGCATCCCTTGCGTGGGAGGGGGCGGCTGCTGCCCAATCGGAGCAACACGAAGCGGCGCCTAAAGGGAAAGATCAGCTTGGAACCTTGGTACGTTGGATTAGGTGGCAAACTTGCAATAGCCAATAGAAACAATAGGAGATAAAGTATTACTACAGCCGCGGGTGGCTGATCTTGGTACGACTAATACATGCATCTGGCTTACAGCACATACCAGCGGTGAGGGAGCCTTGCCTTCTCATTCGACTTCGAGAAACGAACCCTTTGGGCTACGCTAAATTGAAAAGTGGTGCCATTTCCTCTGCGAGTTTGAAATTGCTTGCTGCTACTAGAATGAAATGTAAGCTAAGGGCGTGTATGATGGTTAACTTCGTTCAGTAAGGGTGAGACCAGACCCGTTTTTTAACCTACAGCTATGGGAGGCCCGTCTGCGTTTTTCTTTAGTCGTACAAATAAAAGGGACACGACAGCTGCTGTGAAGTGCGTAATTATACGTTTTGTTGCGTTATAATAAAGGTACGATATAACAATATCAAAGAATTGCACGTGTCAGGGCAGCACGTGTGATTTGAGACACACTGTGATTCATACGACCCAAGTCCAGTAGCATCTTCATACGGCTTGGAAATTGGATTAGCTGATTCGTAATATTCGCCAGGGAAAAGTGGTAGGCTACTCTGTCCCTAAAGAGAAAAAAAAACATCTGTAAATAGCTCTACGTGCGCTTAGCCTACGGCAATGTATGTTCTCCTCCTTCATCAACAATCTGAATCTTGATACTTCCATTTTTTGGATCGGCTGCGAGATGCAGGGCGTCAACAGCATCTTCAAGGGGGTAAACATGGGTTACTAGAGGCTTTAAATCAAGGATTCCCCCACTAAGACACGCAATGCCTGCCGGCCATGTGTCGCGATAACGGTTGATAAACTTGAGTTCGATCTTTACATATTGATTGTTAGTGGCCAAACTTGACGTGGCATCGACATCTTGTGCTGGTATTACGTACCTCAGCCAGAGAAATGTGCATGAAAGGTAGATTATTCATGATCGATTTGCCTACTCCAATGATGCAGATGGTTCCTCCCCGTCGAACAGTATATGCGGCAGTACAGACGCTGCTTTCCACCCCTGTGCACTCTAGAACAGTTCTCGGTGCGTAGTACTCCTGATTGAGATCTTGCCCAAGCTCTGGTGCCGTATTAGCATCATCATTGCGAAAGAGTCTTCGGATTCGACGTCCATTCTCCGCTGCATCTAACGAGGGATCCACCCGGTAGGTCCGGCACGACGGGACAAATTCTCGGGCAAACTGAAGCCTTCTTGGCTCGATGTCTGTGATGACGATCGGATGTGCGCCAGACGCTCTCGCCGCAGCCAAAGCAATTAGCCCAATAGGGCCCGCGCCACAGATAACCGTGCCAGAGCCAAGGTTTAGGCCTGCGGTGCGGATGCCGTGGAGGACAACGCTTAGAGGCTCAAGAAGAGCGCCCTCAGCAAAAGATAAATTATGAGGGAGCCTGGAATTCCATGTTCAAAATTAGACGCATTTATGCGGGGAAATAGAATTTTGAAACACACCTGTGAAGCCATTTAGCAGCGTGAATCTTGTATCTCTGAATCGTTCCAGCGTAAGGATAGACGCCGGAGAACTTGACGTCTTCGCAGAGATTGTACCTCCCCTCTAAACAAAGGAAGCATTCGCCGCATGGCATACCCGGCTCAACAGCTACCCTGTCGCCTAATTTTACCATCAGTGTCAGCTACACAATACTATAAAATTGCAAACGCACCAGGTACAACATTCGTAACGCCCTCTCCGCATTTGAGGACAACTCCAGCAGCTTCATGGCCCAAGATGCAATCCCCTTCGAAAACTAAGGAGCCTATCCGCCCGGATTTCCAGAAGTGGACATCCGATCTTTCAATGAACCCATCAGCCTCTTCTAGACGTAATATACTTTGTAATTAATAGTACTCACCCGCAAATTCCAGTAGCCTTCACGTGGAGCAAGACCTCTCCATGGCCCGGTTCTGGAACTGGAGCTTCGACTAATTTCAGGCGGTGGTCGGCTGTTGCTTGTAAAGAAGGATTAGGCCGTGTAGTTTTGACAAGCTTTTGGCTATTTGAATATGCAGCTGCCCCGGCTTCTTGCTGTATCTTTGCTGATACATCGAGCGAATCCCTACTGGTGATCGTCGCAGGTGCCATTTCTTTTTCATTGGAAAACATTGATTTAGAGAATATTGCAAAGATTAAATATATCTGGCGAGTTTACGGCGTCGTGGCCTGTATCCTACAGCTTATATAGGTAGGTTGCTTGAACTTGAAGCCCCACGACGCTTTGCGGCTAGGCTGCGATATACCTGAACGAACTACAGCAAGACAGTTTTAGGCTAAAAAGAGGAGAGCGGAAGTTATTTCCAAACAGGATCGGAAGCAAAGTAAGTAATAAAGGCAGATCATGCGACTGGATGAACCGTTTGGAGGGGCCGAAAGGCTCAGTGCAAGATCTCAGACGAGGTGGCTAAACTTTCCTATTTCGGCCATCTTTTCGCACCAGGACTCGCCCGCATTAGTTGAAGTGGATATGCATTCAGGTGTCGGCTTATAATAGAAATAGGACTGCAAGTTCAAAAAGAAATAACATTACTACATTTTTGTAGTTCTTATCCATAATCTCTGCCTCTTTTGCCTCACATCTGTCAACTTAGAGTCGGAATAACCCCCTTGTTATCGTTACTTTGCCTCTCATCAAGCAAATGGCTCCTGGAATTCTTTCTGTCCAGCCAATTGTCGCCAAAAATGGCGTAGGAGATGTCATTGAAAACAAAAATGGGCTGAACAAAATTTCCGAGGAACATGCCATCGTCCTTAGGACCTTTCGTTTGCTTATCAGTGACCTCTGCCAACAATTCAATGGCGGTCATCCTGGTGGCGCCATCGGCATGGCTGCGATTGGAGTCGCTTTATGGAAGTATGTGATGCGCTACGCACCACATACCCCAGACTTCTTCAACCGAGACCGATTTGTACTCTCGAATGGCCATACTTGCTTGTTTCAGTACGCCTTTTTGCACTTGGCAGGATACCGCGGCATGACAATGGATCAGCTAAAGTCATACCACTCGAAAAGATGGGACTCCATCTGCGCTGGCCATCCAGAGATTGAGATTGAAGGCATCGAGGTAACAACAGGGCCTTTGGGCCAAGGTGTCGCTAATGCGGTTGGATTGGCTATGGCTACCAAAAACCTTGCGGCAACATATAACCGACCTGGATACGATGTTGTGTCGAATCATACATGGTGTATGGTGGGAGACGCATGTCTCCAGGAAGGCGTGGCGCTCGAAGCCATATCTTTCGCGGGCCATCTCAAACTCAACAATCTGACTGTTATATACGATAACAATCAGATCACTTGTGATGGCTCAGTGGATTTGACAAACACTGAAGACGTTGACGCAAAAATGCGTGCGTGTGGTTGGAACGTGATCAACGTCGAGGACGGTTGCTACGACGTGGGAGGCATTGTGGCCGTATTGGAAAGAGCCCGAGCTTCTACTGACAAACCGACGTTTATCAACATAAAAACGATCATCGGACTAGACAGCGCAGTCGCTGGACAGGCAGAGGCACACGGAGCCGCTTTCGGCGTTGAAGATGTGAAGCGTATGAAGCAAGCATATGGCTTCAACCCAGAAGAACGCTTCGTGGTCGGTGAAGAGGTTCGTCAATTCTTTTCCGAGTTACCCAGTCGTGGAGAACAGATTGTTTCACAGTGGGAAGAGCTCGTGAATCGATATAAGAAGGCGTATCCGGACATTTTCAAGGAGTTTCAACAACGCTTAGATGGAAAGCTACCATCGAAATGGAAGACACTATTACCTAGTCCAGAGACTCTTTCTGATAAGCCAATGGCGACGCGAGCGTCGTCTGGACTGATGATCAACCCTCTCGCCAAAGATTTCAATTCGTTTGTGGTGGGCACAGCAGACCTCTCGCCATCTGTACACATGGGATGGGAAGGAAAGGAAGATTATCAGCATGTAAGTGTAATTCCTCGCTAAGAATCTTTGCTATATCATTTAATGACGGTATATTTAGCCTGATCTGCGGACAACCTGTGGCATCAATGGTTCTTATGCAGGACGGTATATTCACTACGGCGTACGAGAACATGCAATGTGCGCCGTATCCAACGGACTAGCAGCCTTTGCTCCTGGCACTTTTATTCCAGTTACGAGTTCGTTCTTCATGTTCTACTTATACGCCGCGCCGGCGGTACGAATGGGTGCCCTGCAGCGACTGCAAGTAATCCACGCAGCAACTCACGACTCCATTGGAATGGGTGAAGACGGCCCGACCCATCAACCCATCGAACTGGCCGCATTATATCGTTCAATGCCAAACTTGCTGTATATCCGTCCAGCAGACAGCGAGGAGACAGCCGGTGCCTGGATTGCAGCCATCGAAGCGAAGGATATGTCGTCTGTCATCTCGACTTCACGACACAAAGTCCCGCAGTTGAAAGCTACCCGGCGAGATGGTGTATTAAAGGGCGCTTACGTGGTCCAAGAAGATGATGATGCGCAGCTCACACTCATTGGCGTTGGCGCAGAGTTATCGCACGCTCTTGATGCTGCCGTCCAACTGCGCGAGTCAAAAGGCATCCGCTGCAGAGTAGTTAGCTTCCCGTGCCAGCGCCTGTTTGAAGGCCAGACGTTGGATTATAAACGGGATACATTGAGAAGACACCTCGGGATTCCCGCGATTATCATTGAGCCATACGCCCCGAATGGGTGGGAGAGATATGCCGATGCAGGTATAAACGTGAAGCGGTTTGGACACAGCCTTCCAGGCCCGGAAGCGTACAAGTACTTTGGATTCGATGTCGACAGTATTGTGTCCAAGATTTCAGAATATTTGACGAGGATCCGCGAGGATGAGGTTCTAAGAGGAGAGTTTGTTGATTTGTAAGATCAAGAGGATTACTTAATCTTAATTCATTCATTATCAATAATTGTGAAATTATTTCATTAGCTGCATCATTACAGTCCAAGGTCATCATTTATTTTCTCTTTACTTTTTACTTGTAGTGTATACCTATCCAACCATAATGGCGTCTTGCTCTGTTATACTGCTTTTGTATCATCGCCGTCTTCTCGGGGCTCTACATCATCTACTCTAGTTCGGCATTCTTCAGGCGCCAGTGATTCTGTTATTGAATAAACATTTGAAGCCTAAAGCCTTCACATTTCTTTTGTATCATTTACCCTATGGAGGTCAAAGCTACATGCTCCGCTTCCACTATATCAAAAGTAGTGAAATTCACCTCGGAGATAGATACCCCGCATGCGAGTGGCCCTCAATTTAGCATGGAGATGGTTCTCGATAGTGCTGAGCCTACGCAGAAAATGCTCCATACACACTAAATTAACGAGAGCGAGAATGCTAATTAACCGAAGGTGTGCCTATGTATACTGAAACGGGTAAAATAGGCAAATGAGGATGGCGGTGGCGCTGCAGCAATTGGCCTGTTAGCTGTTACACTTTTACGATCTATCGGGAGATGTTTGCCGCCCTCTGCTGGATTCATTATCTGAAATACCTTGATACCAGATTCTGATGGTGGCCATGGCAAGTCAAGCAATAGTTGTATCTCAAAGAGATCGGAAGAAGCGAGCGAGAACAGGCTGTTTGAGGTGCCGAACTCGGCGACGCAAATGTAAGCTGAAGTGTACCGCAATTGGAGTTCTGGGCGCATCTCTCCTAGAGGCTGTGATCCCAGCTACTCTTCCCGGATTTTCTCCTCTAGAAACTTTCTTGACAATGGTATAAGGCTAAACAAAGAAACAAAACGTAGGTGATGAACGCAAACCTCGCTGCCAACGCTGTCTCGATGCAGACGCAGAGTGCATATATGGCCCGAGGCTTTCATTTTTGGAAAAGAACGCTATTACCGCCCCTGATAGTAATCTAGATGGGAAATACAATGGTTCTAGAAACTATTCTAAAATTCAGGTCAATATCTAATTCTCTTCTGTTCTTGTGGAAATCGGCACTAACTCTATTCAATGATAAAAGTTTGTGGACGACGAACACATTCGACCGAAAGATGCCGGTCTCAGCAGAAATTCTCAAGCCTTAATTCCTTCTCCTCTTTCTCCCGAGAAAGAAAACACTTTTATATGTTACAGTCCACCCCTAAGAAGCGACCTAGGACCGACTACAGCTAGTACTCGTATTGATGAACCGCCAAATATCTGCTCTGGGTCTGATGACACATTTCGCGAAGATGAAACGGCTGCCGCGAAATCTCTGGATTCACAAATCCCAAATGATATGTCGCTTTATCGCCATGAAGATAGCCACCAAGATCAGAATATGATGAGAAAGGGCGATGGTTTCGAGATTGCGCTGGGTGTTTTGATGACTCTTGGTGCTGGAGATCATAAGGCGGATACATCACTTCATCTTACCTCTAACACAGGAGACTATGAAGGGGGCAATATATTGTCACCGCTGTCAAAGCTGGAGAGCATTGGCAATATTGGCCCAATAAGCCATCGCGTGGCACTTCAGCTTTCGACAGGACGGTCTGTTGACCTGCTGAGGCACTATAGATATAAGATTGCTCCATGGGTGAGGCAAATTTCCTACTCTTGTATGCCGGAGGTTGTAGACTGACATGTAAAATCAGATGGATATGTGTGACACAATCCAAGCCTTTGGTCTCGTTGTTCCGCATCTTGCAATGAGATCAGAGTTGTCATTTGATGCACTCTTGGAACTTTGCAGCGCTTCATATAATATCCATCATGTTCATGCTGATTCTAATAGGGGTCCAATGGCAACTCGTACAGATGGTCTGTCAGATACAAGAAAAGATCTCATCGAACAATCTACACCGTGGGAAGTTCATCTTTGGTCAATATTGGCGACTACGAAACATTTCCTTACTGACCCTCCCGAATCATGGGACGACGTATTGAGTAAAAATAAGCTTCTACATAAGGCTTTTCTTGAACATAGATCATCAAACGACCTGAACGCGCGTATGGTGTGGCTGCTTGCCAGGCTAGGTAAGCGATCGAATTATTTAGTAGCTCTGAGCAGAAGAATATGTATTGACCATGCCAGGTACTGCTGCTGCTCTATTAAAAGAATCCAGCCCATTTGTCAACAGCAACATTCTCAGATCCTTACTTCAAAGTTCTTCTCACAGAGGATCTAATGTCGGAAACTCTGAATACTATACGCATGAGGCTCTTGCTTTATGCGCCGAAGCGCTTGAGTTCTCTTTTGGAGATCCGTATGTGGCCAATGGTTTCCATATCGAACCCCCCAAACCCCCAGCGGTTCGCTGGAGGTCCATTGTCAATAAACTCAATGATTGGTACACGAATAGGCCGCCAATATTTCATCCGGTCATTGAGCTCAATAATGGAAAAGCTCTATTTCCAGTTATATATTTCACCGATGGGATGGCAACCCTCGCTAATCAGCTATATCATACCGCCATGATGATAATGTTAGCAAATAAGCCAAGGACAGTGCAGCTTGAGCAACGACGGACACCATCTTTATCGCAGCTATGGCATGCTCAAAGAATATGCAGTATTGCCATTAATAATAATCGATGTGAATGCTGGGACCCATGCCTCTTGGCTTCTTTTTATGTAGCTGCGCGACAAATGACCCACGAGTCTCAGCAAAGAGCAGTACTGCATGGATTTGAGCACATTGGTACCCTCGGCTGGCTTGTTAATAGCTTCGTTGATCAGCTAAAGCAAGAGTGGAACGCTTCAGAGTCGCCAGCGGCAAACTGAGCGAGACAGTCTTTGGATTGCTTCTTGCATGCCATCACCCAGATTGAGCACTTTGTGGCGAGCTGAGATCGGCCTGCCTGGAGTTGGAGCGCTTTGGAATAGAATAACCCCATGCTGCTTCAAGATCAGGAATTCTCCAAGAAGTTCCCCATCCCGTTATCGACTCAATATCACGGATCAGATTCACCACTATTGTATGCTCTGATTCGTGGCTGAGTAGCCTTCCTGCTAACCAAAGCGGCTGGATGGCGTTGTTGAGGCATCCTTGATGGGGATTGGTCAACGAAATGCCGCAAATTCGTTTTGCATGCCAAATACATGATCCCGTTACACCGGGTATGGCGTCCTGTCGTCTCGGCATCGAAGATAGCATCAAAATGCAAGCAGTGTGGTATAGCTGGTTGGAGGAGATTGCGGCCCAGTGGAGATAGAGTATCTGTGGAAAGGGGCGAGATTCTATAGTAGACATTGGCAACAGCTCGCCGGGACGATGATCTATCCAAGCTTGTAGATCATCCCACAGGTCATTCCAGCGAGATGAAAACGATTCTGTTGTACAGCCATTGGGGACACCAAGTTCATCATGCTGTGTGCGATCCGAAACCAGCTCGCAAGCTTTGGCGCAGAGATAAACAGCGTAATTGGCGTGCATGTCGGGGCTTTTCACGCTGTTAAACAATTGGCGGGCGCTCAAGCTGTCGGTATCAGGAGGCAGCCAAGCGGCTGGTGTAATCATAGTACTTTGCGTCCCATCGGATATCAGGGCACCACACAAGTCTAGTTCACAGCTTTGGTCAGTTCAAATGCTCAGTTTAGGCATTGGAATAACGAGTAACATCATTGTAAACGCACCCATCCTGGCGTGACACCAGAAGACGGATTGCAACAGTCCGCCACCGAATCCGTGGACTTGGAAAGCATCGAAGAGAGCAGCGCATCCTTCTAGATGCCGGCGCCAATCGCGTGCACTGGCAGACATCATTTCAAGGCAGCATAATATCACGCAGATCGGAATCACGGCTTGATCGTGAGCTTGTAGAAGTGGCGTCAGAAGTCGGATCGCTTCCTGATACAGCTCTAAACTGTCAAAGTTATTCTGTAAAGTCGGGTTCCCGTCGGACGCCTCTTTGCGCTCTATTTGTCGCGCAGATATAGCCAGAATTGCACATAAGAGAGCTGGGGACGTCTGCGCCAGGAGGGGCACTTGTAGGCCAAAGGCATGAGAACTGTCAAACATATCAAGCTACCCATCGATGAATACAGTGACATCTAAAGAAGCGATAGGAGGACTTACCCATGGAGCAACCTCACTTGAATAATTCTTTAGATACTCAATCCTCCGTCCCTGTGAAAGAATATGTGAAGCCTGATGGCGTTCTGATGACTGATGCTCGCTTTCATGCGAATCCTGCCTCAGTGTCAAGCTGCTTTCGTGAGTTGGAGATGGCGGGGCAGTCTGTGCGGTGCTCAGCATCAAATAGCGCAATTCTTCTCGAGATTCGACATATCCCGGCTCAAAAACAAAGTCATCGAGTTGCCAGCTTGTCGATGGAGTCGAGAACTCGTCGAGAGAAAAGCGACGCTCGGTTGGAGTGGCTTCATGTTGCCGCTCTTCGTCATGCATAGTGTCTCAGCTAGGTTGCCAGATAGACATTGACTTTTCCTGACGCTCGCAAAAATAAAAAATACTGTATAACAAAATAATGATTGACTTTCAAGCTTTATCCAGCAAGATGGTCATGCCATTGAAGTAGTCCAAGAGCACATGAGGGCTCTGGCAGGCTAAAATCAGCGACGGCGCGAGTGATTAATAAGCCCCGTAAAATTTGCGAGAGGAAAATCTTCTAGGACTTCCTTCGTATCGTCAGATCACAGAGCACAGATTCATGTTCCCAGCTATCCTCATGCAGCTAATGAAGAAGCGCCACAGCTGGCTTCGAATAGCCAAACACTGATACCGGTGATGAAACACATACTGTACCTGATAGGCACAAACATGATGTGTACCCAATGTTACATCACAGTGAGTAACTTTAAAGACACTTCTTTCCGGTTATTCAATTGATTCAATTCATTCATAACTTATGACTAGCATGTTTGAAAACGAAAGCTCCTTTTTAAAAAAAAAAAGAAGGTGTTTACTAACTAGATGTTTTCATTTAGCTGTTTTATTGCTTTTCCTTTTTTTTTTCTCTTTCACTTTTCTTTGTTTCATCACTATAGCTATAAGAGGGGAGAGAGAGAGAGAGAGAGAGAGAGAGAGAACGACGAGCACCTCATCGGACGAAACCTTTTCTGTCAATACCTTTTCTGTCAATACCTTTTCTGGCAACACCTTTTCTAGCAGCACCTTTATCAACAACATAATCAGTCATCTTCAGCATCGCGAGGGTCATTCTCCCTCCAGAACTTCTCATAATCATCCCAAGTCTGCGAGGGAAAGGTAAGTGGCACAGTGATAGGGGCAAATGGGATACCCGCATCCTCAAACTCTTTAAGACGAGTGTCAGTCTTGGGTCGGCTCCTGTTGACGCTGTACACCGAAATCCGGTGGCAAGAGTGCGTGACATGCAAGCCCCAGTTCCAGGCTGTGCGAATCTCAGGAGGCTGCGTGTTCATGGCATTGTCCCAGCAGCGGACCACAATCTCAACCCAGCCCTCAACGTCGCACGGGAGATCATAGCTCCATGTGCGCCAGGTCCATCTCCGCTTCTTGGATAGGTTCTCGAGAGGTATGGTGTACCAGTTGAAGCCGCCATCGGCTGACAACTCCACACGCTCTGGCCATCGGCCTCCTCCAGAATAAGCCCAGCCCTTGCAGCGGATCTTGCCGTTGTGGATGATGACTTGCTTCGTCCACGGGAACATGATACCGGAGCTGACCGGCATCTCTTGGATTTGAATGCCGTCAGTCATTTTCAGGTTGTGCTTTCCGACCTGCTGCGGGAAGTAGAGGTACTCCGCACTCTGGACGGGTGCTCGAGACGGAAGCTTGATGGCCTTGACGCGGTAGAGCCACTTGACGCTTCGAGCTCCGATGTATCCAAAGACAACGATGCGGAGAGGATATCCGTGGATGCGAGGCAGAGGTTCGCCATTCATCTCCCATGCGAGCATCACCTCATTTGCCTTGACCTTTGACCAAGGCACACTGACAAGATAGTTCATGCACTTGTCATCCTTGAAGTAGGTCTCGCAACCATAGAATTCCAAGTGCTTGGCACCTTCGATCAAGCCTCCACACTCTTTGATTACCTTCTTAAGACTGATGCCGGTATATTCAGCTGTACCAATTGCACCCTCGGCCCAGGGAGCTTGAGGGATCTCGTCACCTTGACCAGGATACTTCAAGATCTGTTCAATACGGCGGGTTCCAGAGCACTGAATGGTGATTGTCTTTTTCATGCGTGGGAACCTAGACTCATCCATGAGATCATCCAAGGTGTATTCACGAGGCCTGGCTACAAGACCGTCCATCATGAAGCTAAACTTGTCCTTGTCGATGATCGGAATGCCTCCATGATTTCTCACAAAATGAAGGTTGTTGGGAGTGATCTCCTTGTCGGTGACCAGACGCTTCGGGGGCTCCCCGTTGTATGGAAACTGCAAGAGATGAAGCATATCTTTGTGCTTCTCTTTAAGGACACAGTTCCAAGAGTCATCAGGAACTCTAGTGAGTTCACCGCCGACAGCATGGTGCCACAACTTCCAGCGAGTGCCGGGAAGCACGGGGTTAGTTGGCGGGATAGGTCCAAGCTGGAATTCAGGGTTTGGTGGAAATGTCTGCGACGTCAGGATCTTGTGCGCCGCCGCCTTTTTGTCTGGATGATTCTCCCATTCGACAAAGCTTGCGCATATCATGTCAGCATAGGAGTAACAGACCGTGATGTTCACGTCAATGTATCATGTCTTAGACGATGACTTACCCGATCCAGCCATCTCGCTCCCGAACGAAGAGCTTCTCAGGGTCCCCCACAGCCTTGATAGCTTCCTCATCCTTGGTCAATTTCTCGGGGAAGACCTGAAAGATGAGAGATTTATTCTCGGGCTCGGTCATATCAATGACCGGGAGCTCGGCTCCCGCAAGTCCTTGTTCAATCTTCCATTCATTGGGCCGACTATTTGTCGGTATCATTGTCTTGAATGGCGGCATCTTGATTCAAATTTTTCTGGCTTTTACTGATTGAGAGAGTTTCGTTTGGCAATTGAGAGATCTGCGTGATGCTTGGGCTGGCAGATCGCAGCGCACTCAAACTTATAGCTACCCGATTCCCCGCTCCAAAGTCCGAAGAGATTGCGGGCTTGCATTATCTCGTCCTCAATTGGGCTGGGGAGACATGCACTTCATTTAACCGCTAAACGGAATCTGCGTCATCATGAATGAAGCGACGCTATCGATCCAATCAGGATTGCTGCAGCTCGAGATATACTTTGCCCCCGCATGAGGTGGCTTGGGGAGCTTCATATGATAGCTGAGCCGGATTGGTGTAAACGTGCAGAACCTTCTCACTGCATGCAAGCTCATGAACTAGTAGAACTCTGCCTTAGCCGCTTCATCGCCAATCCCTATACGCGAAAGCGGCATGATGGCGGGGATTTCAGCCATCAGCGTACATTTCAACATCCCAATGATGAAATCGTAAGCGGAGAATGACGGTTTACGTCGTTACGAGATGGGCACGCATGTTACAAAAACCGGCCATTTGACGACTGCTGGGGGGAGGAGAATTGAAAAAAAAAAAAAATCAAGATTTGGCATAAATAGCTATCGTAGCCTGGCTATATGAACGAAAAATACTATTGCCCGAAAAACACTATCGCCTGAGAAATACTATTGCCTCAGCAATACCCAGCAAACATGGTGAGCTACTATATGTATATTCGTGTGAAGAACTAGGACTCATAATTTCTAGTCGGTTTCTTCTTCTTCGGACCATCCTACTAGCACTATGGCCAATGGTAAGTTTCCGTTCGAGATTTTGCTATAGTTGAAAAATATCATTATCGATTTAGTTTTCAAACCAAATCATTCAATTGTATCAATTGACTAATAGCCTCTAGGCCAGCCAAGCGCTGATCCAGGCTCTGTGCAGCAAATTCGATATGGCAACGGCAACGGTGGTTTGGTTGTCTTGAGCGATACCCAAACCATTGAAGTCCTGGCTCATTTTGCCCGTGAACGCATTCCTGAAAGGTAAGAATAAGGCTCCATTGCTATGTTGTTGAGTGGTTATTGGACTTTCAATACTCATCCATCTTCGCATTGCAGGAGCGTGCATGCAAAGGCAGCCGGCGCCTTTGGCGAGTTTGAAGTGCTTGAAGATGTCTCTGACATAACTGATGCGGATTTCCTCACCGGCGTTGGAAAGAAGACCAAGGTCTTGACCCGTATCTCAACCGTCGGTGGAGAAAAGGGATCTGCCGACACAGTTCGTGATGTCCGAGGCTGGGCAATCAAATTCTATACGGAGGAGGGTATCCAGGACTTTGTCTTTAATGATCTTCCTGTCTTCTTTATCCGGGACCCCATCAAATTTCCGTCTATGAACCGAAGCCACAAGAGGCACCCTCAGACTAATGTTCCAGATAACACCATGTTCTGGGATTTCCATAAGAATAACCCGGAGGGGATTCACGCTCTGATGCACCTGTTTGGATCGCGTGGTATTCCAGCCTCGCTCAGAAATATCAATGGCTATAGCGTCCACTCTTATACCTTGAGCAAGGCTGTAAGAGGACTTCTCCAAGCAAGCTAGCTATTTTATAGCAGACGCTAACAATTGTTAGGACGGGAGCTATGTCTACGTCAAGTGGCATTTCAAGCCAGAGGATGGCGTCAAGACCATGGACGCAAACACGGCTGTCCGCCTCGCCGGATCAGACCCGGACTATCATGTCAAAGATCTGTTCAAGTCTATCGAGAACGGCAAGTATCCAACTTGGTCTGTTTGCGTCCAAGTCATGAAGCCTGAACAGGTCAAATCGGCACCCATTGACATTTTCGACTGCACGTTCACTTGGCCATTTGATAAATATCCTCTGCGCCGCATTGGCCGCTTGACTCTTAATAAGAATGTGAGTTCATCACTCATATTTCAAAAGAGATATTTCATACTAAGTTTTTGAATTTAGCCGAACAACTACTTCCAAGACATCGAGCAAGCTTGCTTCTCGCCCTCCAACATGGTTCCAGGCATTGGGCCCTCGGCAGATCCTGGTTTGTAAACCCAGTTGTGCCCTCAATAGAGAATGCTGTTACTGATGGATATGACGTGCAGTTCTGCAAGCGAGAATGTTCAGCTATCCTGACGCCCACCGTTATCGCGTTGGACCAAATTATTTCCAGCTGCCGCCAAACAGGCCAACTAATACCGTCTACGCACCCTATGTGCGAGACGGTCCCGGAACTATGAATGGAAACTATGGTAGTGACCCCGACTACGTCTTCTCAGAGCTTCGCCCAGTTTCTCAGAGCAAACGGGTCCAGATACCACTTCAAGAGCACTGGGACGGAAAAGTGTCGTCCTTTGCTACGAAACTTTCTGACAACGATTTCGTGCAAGCTCGTCAGCTTTGGAAGATCATTTGCAAGGAGGAAAATGGCAAGGAACATTTCCTATATAACATCATTCCGACGTTGCAGGACATCCCTGCCACCCTAAGGAAGGAGGTTCTTAGTAAGTCATACTCCCCCCCCCCCCCCCCCCCCCCCATGTGGGAGCGATACGTGTATAAGAGACAGAAGCTGACAGTCGTACAGAGTACTTTGGGCGTGTTGATCCAAGCTTGCAGCAGTGTCTTGAGGAAGACCTCAAGAAACAACATTAAGTATAAAAAAGGAAAAGAAGAAAAGCATGTCTAAGGACAATGTGAAAGCTAGGTTTGGCTCCGACCATGATACGATGCTTGGTGGTATCTACATGTACTCACGGTCAAGAACACAATTTTAGGTCAACAATTTGTATCTTTACATTGAAAAGAACGGACAGTAACTCCAGCAACTCCAACGCCTCTTGTTCTAATAAAATCAGAAGGCATGTGAGTGGTGTGAACAAATGAACCCATAACACCGTAAGACTTGCCGGCATCGGCATCGTGAGATCTATCTCCATGCAGTATGCATCAAACCACAATAGCACTTACGTAATGCTTCTTCCCAGCTCCTTGCACCAGATCTTAAACTTCCACTGTTCAATCATCGGCCCCATGGCATTTTTATCCGGCACCAGCGTGTTTGCATCTGCTGTGGTTCCATACCATATGTTCTTTGTGGAGATGACGGCTTCCGCCACCCAGACCGTTTGCGCCAGGAAAAGGCCGCCCAGAAGGCCATCTTCCCTGCGTGCAACTGGGTTGGTGCTGCGCTCCAGCGTTGTGTCGGCCAGCGCTTGAGCCTCTGCCTCGACGTGAGGGAAGCGAGAGGGCACAAGCGACACCAAAAGCCGCCTCTTCAGCATGCCGCACATCATAAAGGTGCCGCGGAGGACCGGCCACGGCATGGAGTTCTTTCCCTTGTTCCAGGTCGGAGCTGCGAAGATGAACTTCATGCTACTGCTTGAGTCCACATCGTCTTCATGTGGAGGGGTTTGGCCTTGTTCCTGCTGCCGCAGCAAGTCTTCCCACATTCTCAAGTAAGTCAGGTCTTTCTGGAGCTTCTCGACTGCCGCCTCAACCTCACTTTCTGCAGGTGGAGTGGACGACAGGACCAAGCTGGTGACCATTTTGAATATGTTGGGTCCAAAGATGAGGGCAGACCAAAGCCGATAGATGAGCTTGCTCTGCTCCGGCGGTATGGTCGGGTCATGGCAGATGGCGGCGCGCAAGACCTTCTTCCATGGCTCCTCGGTCAGGAAGCATTCCTTGTTATTGAGGAACGATTCAGTGACCTTGAGAGAAGGGTCAGCGATGAGCTCTCAATGTGGGACTGCCTATGTCTCTCGCCTAGGTATACATACTATTGGGCCGATGTGGGCCATGAAAAGAGCCAGTTCAAAGTCAGTCTTGAACCTCTCAGGGCCACGAAGCTGAATTAGCCTGGCAGCTCCTGCTGCGTGGCACTTCCAGGACGCCATCTCTGGATTGGGGCTCAGAAGCTGCACAATTTCGGAAAAACCAAAAGGTCAGTAAAAGCGCTTGACGGCATCAATAGAGCTTTCTATCTAACGCATGTTGCATTAGATCTCATTCATGACATACCTCAAAAATGCCAAGGAGTTCTGCCGCATACAGTGTCTCCTGGGCCATTCGGAGCTCCTCATCGTCGATGGCCCTCTGAATTTCTTTGAGAGCCTTGGCATAATGATGGAGAACTTCGCCATCTATCTCTTGCGTTGGAGTGTTGGTAGCCAAGCCGCGAGTGATTTGACTTAGCCTTGCTACAAGACAGTCGACAGTATAAGTCAAGGCGGTAGCTTTACCATACAAGCTAGGCAAATAGTCTAACAGCCTTCTGCTCTGCATTTGAGATAGCGGCAGTGAGAACAGTCCGTCTCCAGTCCTGCCGGGCTCCATGGTAAAGCAAGAGAGGTAGGCCATTCCCAAATGCAGGCCTGTGAGTGGTGCAATGAGCTCCAAGATGGGGAACCTCGTGCTAAACTTCTGGCTGTAGTCATCGACAACGATTGTGTGGATTCGTATGAGCTGCTGCTTAGTCGGCTGCGGGCTGCTGTCCGTCGCCTTTTTCAAAAGCTTACGCTTGGTTGCTCGCCTCTTAGCTACAGCTCCATTACCAGCGGGCGTACGGCCAGCATACGCATCGTGCGTGTCCTGGCCGTACAGCACCGACTCTGGATACTGGACCGCGTTGCCGCGATAGTTTCGCTTCTGCTTTCTCGTCGTGGCCACATCCCGCATAGCATGCCGACGGATTAAGGTGCGAGACTTGGGGTCCTGGGGTACCCTATGGTTGTCATAGCTTACAAAGGAGAAGATCGTCTTAGTGGCCGCGGCCGCCATTGTTCGATCGATGTTACCTGCAGTTGCAGTTGGCTCTGGGATTAAAGAGTTGGCAGTGTGTAAGGGTCACCTGTGAGAATGGCACGGTTCCGTTTCGGGCGCCCGTCTTGCTGAGGTGGCGCGAGTAGAACTTTTATCTACGACCCAAATTCGTACGACACAACAGAAAGTTCAGGCAGAGTTCAGCAGCTCGCCTCATATATCAAATCCAGCCCTGCATCTCGCAACCACGGCGCTATGCTGCTTCGGGGCAGTTGATGCCTTGTCAGAGTTGCATTGGAGCTGACGGCGGACACGCATATGCATGCATGCCGTTAGCGCCAGCCACTTGGACCCTTTGTCCGATGGCTTACCATATATAAAGAGCAGCCTATTTTTCGACAGGATTCAAGATAATCGCTCGCAATTGTGGCCGGTATTGTGCCAAATCTGCAACGCATGCCTTGCAGGGTTGACAAGGGAGGTCCTATCTGGATACTGTAGAGACAGACAGGCTTACCACACCGATCAGCCCTATCTACTTCAGATGAGAAACCTGATTTCTGGTGAGCCTGACAGGACTCTTGAGTAGCACCAAGACGGGTAACATCCGGGAGGTAAGAAGTATCAACTCTTGTGCAGAGTAAGTATGTACCCATGAAGTGCCTATTGTTGCAGGTCCTGCACGTACTTGCACATGCTTTCCCTTGCCCCTTATATCGCTTCCTGGCGTTGCTCTGATAAGAGCTAGGAATGCTATATTCTATTGGGATAGAATCACCAGCTACTAGTACTGCCCTGCCCTGTCTGCGTTCTAACTTCTGACTTGAAATTCTCCCGAGGGGAATCCTCCAGGATGCGCTGGCCACGCGACTAACCAGATCATCTCATCTCAGGCGGCCTGTCATTCGTTTCTCCCGGCTGCTCAAGCTCCATTATCTCTTCTTCGCGCTTCTTCTGCGTTCCCCGCCTTCCAGGAATGGCTGCAGGGATTGTGGCTAATCTGACAGCCAGGCCTTGGCCGTTGCTCACGGAAAAGAAGCTTATATATATTTGTATACACACGAGTGACCGTCGCCGTTGCGATAGTCGACTCGTGTCTCACAGTGGTCAGCTCACAATGGCCAGATCGGCACTGAGCGCGCATGTCCAGCTCCTATCGCATGGGGGTTTCGCTGACGTACAAATATCACGGCACGCATGTAAGCACCCACGCGTATTACCCAACGCTGCCTGTTTCTGCCCAGCACTAGGTCCAGTAGAGCATCGCGACGGCATGCCTGGGACCACCATCACCACGCATCCCACGCAATCCCACGGTGGCACACAGTGCTGGTCCAGCGAAGCGAGGACAATCCAGCAAAGATCGCCACGGGGAAGCGGATGAAGATGCACGCGCGCGAGTGGCAGTCAGATCCTCTGCAACACTGCTTATAGAGCAATGTCGTTGATATACTGCTCTAATGCGCGCAGGCTTCAATGTTTCACTCTGCTGCTGGCTCTGTTCTGTGTGATTGCACATCTCGCTTGCAGGGATTCCATCTGACAGTGCATCACGGATGCTACGCCGTTGAATGTGATTCCGGCATCCTTCTTCGGCTTTCCGCAACCGAGTGGTCAGCGCCCTCTCTCGGACTGGACGATGCACGACGGCAGCAATTTGCTCACCCAGTGCTACTTAAGCGTGTGGTTTTGTCTCTCGCATCTTGACGCTTCGACTCCTGGAAATGGGGACAAGCCGTACGGATCTCGGAACAGGATCAACGTGCCGCCGAAAGGACAGACCCGCCCTTTCTCTGCTCCCCACTCGTCTACAGAACAATTTGAACATCCCTGCCACCGCTTGGAGCCGTCGAATCAGAGCCCTCCCCACCGCCTCCAGTCTGCGGTTGACTCTCGTGGCCGAATCATGCTCGATCGATGGTCTTCTCTAGCGGCAGGGGTCTCGTTGATTGCCCGTGCCGCAGCCAAAATGGCGGCCGGGCGAAACTGGTGATTGGAGTGGACCGGCGCCAGAGCTGTCGAAAGGGGTCAAATCTCCCACGAGCTCGCTAGCACCAGGAGCTATACTGGCGCTCGAGAAGTGTCTGCCGTTGGACGTTTTTGCTGTCGTCGTGATCGCTGCAGTTGTCGCTGTTGCTGCTGCTGTGCTGCTGGCCCAGCTTGGCTTTGTGCTGTGTGTCTCAGACCAGAGAACGCTCGCAAATACTGCAGCAGTGCGCTACGACTCGACTCGAGCTTGGATTGAACTCGACTAGACAAGCGACACAGCTAACTCTTGACCCCGTGCTAGTAGCCTGCAACTAATTTCCCTGCCTCTTCTGTCTCGGTGACTAGAGAACGGTCCATGCTCCAACGAATCGTCCGCGTACGCCGCCTCTTGAGTCTTTGGCTGCATCCGAGCTCACACTATTGCACGCTTCAGCACTGAATATCCATATTTTTTTCCTTTCTTTTCTTTTCGTCTTCTTCTTGTTCTAGTTGTTGGTACCGGTCTTTTAGAGGCTCGCGGGCTTTGGTCGGGCCACAACCTACCGAAACTCCGGCTGCGTGAGCGTGGGGAGCGTTTCATGCAAAGGCAAAAGCTCCTCACAGACGTTGTTTGCTGCCGCCGGGGCCAGACAAACGTGGCTGCGTGCGCCAATTTCACGCTGCAGCCAGGCGAGACAGTCGACATTAGACACTCACCGTCTCAAGCTATCGAGTACCAGCGTTGGACAAGTCGCCCTGCGGCTCGCCGCTGCCGCCCACCATGGAACGCACTTCCATCGATTCGATGCCCCCTATCCCAACACGCACCCACCGTGTTCACTCGTCTCAGCGCAATCGCATGTCGTCGACGCCCACTTCTGCCGCCCGCAAACGATACGCCATTCCGCCTGGGAGCCCTGAGATTATTTCCAGTCTCATCACCAGCCTTAGCGCCATCGCTGAGCCTGCCAACCACCACTTCGACACCGGCCTGACTTCAGCGACTCTTTCTCTGCCAACGAGCCCAAACTCTGGCCAAAGCCGCCGCAGTTCTCGCTCTAGGCGTGGCTCTGGTAGTTTCGGCGTTGACTACGGGGCGTACAAACAGCCTTCCCTTTACCAGGAGCACGGCGGCCCTATTTCCCTCGACGAGCTTGCGGCCAGCCCGCCCGTTATTCGCACATCCAAGCCTCCGAGCGGCTTTTCGCCTCTAACCGCGCCGCAAAGCCCTCGAAGCCACCGAAGTACAAGTCGAGAGAGTGGATTCAAATCCTTTATACGTAGCGCCGCAAGCTCTCGCCCATCATCCACGGGCTCGTTTGCATCCAAGAATGATGATGCTCGCAGCATCGGCAATCTTTCTGTAGAACGTGGCTCTGCGCCTCACCCGGAGCTGAGACCACGCCGTTCTCTCGACAGCTGGGGTAAGAAGTCGAATCGCAGTAGCAGAGTCCTTAGCTATATGGGCTCTAGAGAGCACCTTCGCGAACCTCAGGTCGATAGAAAACGAGCCTCTTCTACTCCAATAGTTGGCGGCAGCGCGACAGTAGGAAGTAGCATTCACAGCGGAAGCAAGACAGAGCAATTCTTTGGGGAGAGTTCCATCAGCGAGGAACCAACGGGAGTTAGTACCGATGATAATCTGCTTGGAGACGGCCTGCACCATATTCCGGCTCGCGATTCAAGTTTACGCAATTCGAGTTCCAGTAGGAGGCGATCCAGTCTTCGACGACCAATGAAAGACAGCGAAGGACTTGCTGGGGACAAATTCCTCGAAAGTACAGAGTCCGGCTACGGTCGTGACTTTACGAAAATGAGGCATCGCCGCTCGGACTCGGATACCAATAAGTCGACCACTAAGTCGTCTTTATACGACGTTGAAGAGAACTCGACTCGAAAACTGAAGCAGAGGGCGTCTAGTAGCTACTTGAGCGCGAACTACATTGCAGAAGAGAGAACAGACGAGCTCGAAGATGAAGGCGCTCCCTTCCCATCAGTCTCACAGGGGCGTCGGCGAGATGAGTTTGATCGCAGAGACCAACGCCTTTCTAGCCAGACAACACCTGGACCCAGCGATACACTCCGTTTGAAGCGCAGTAGCTCTAGATTAAAGCGCCTCTCAGTGCCTCTTATTCCTCAGGAGAATAAACGCGCAAATGACGAATCGGCTCCGAATACTAAGCCCACGGGCTATGAGAGACCTCAGTCTGCTGATTCTGTCGATGATGCTGTGGAATCTTACCTTTGCTCACCACGGCTATCCCAAAAGATTCGCCATCCCGAGACTGGCCGAGTGATTTCGTTTTCTGAGGTCGGTGACCCAGAAGGCTATGCAGTTTTCTGTTGTGTAGGAATGGGCTTGACGAGATACATCACTGCGTTTTATGACGAGTTGGCGTTGACTCTGAGGCTCCGTCTTATTACCCCCGATCGACCTGGTGTGGGAGACAGTGAGCCTTATGCTGACGGAACGAGTACACCTCTCAGCTGGCCTGGTAAGTTGCCATGACTTTATTTGAAATGTATGCAACTTGTGACATATAAATGTCTGCTAACAAATGTGCTGCAGATGACGTGTACGCAATCTGTCAAACTTTGAGAATCAGCAAATTCTCTCTGATGGCTCATTCGGCTGGAGCCATCTATGCTTTAGCCACAGCTCTTCGCATGCCTCAGCATATTCGAGGGAAAATCCACCTGCTTGCACCGTGGATCCCGCCTTCTCAAATGAATGTTTTTGGGTCGTCATCACTATTGCCGCCATCACACACGCTTCCAACCGCTCAAAGAATCCTACGCGTCTTGCCAACGTCTTTTCTGAAGGCGGCCAACAGTAGTTTCATGTCGGCAACCAGCTCATCAATTACAAGCTCTTTACCAAAGAATCCTCGCAAATCTAAACGCAAAACGGGCCACAAAGATGGCAGCAGCAGAAATGCTACACCATCTACGGACAAGGAAAACGGCAACCACGCGGCGGACGGCAAGGACTCAAATGGCACTCTAGTCAATGAAGGGGATCAGGCATTCCCCTACGCCAAAGAAGGCGTGGACAAGACTCTGCCTCAGCCTCCGACGGGCAACGACGTGTCCGACCCACCTCCAGCTTTTGATCCTCTCGCCGATAAAGAACGACAGCAATCGTATGACATACGGCTAACACATGCGATATGGGATCTTGCCACGACGAATGCAAATCCAGCTGTGGATCTGCTCATCTGTCTCGAAAGACGACATACCATTGGCTTCCGGTATGTCGACATCACTCGACCCGTGATTATTCGTCACGGTAGCGAAGATACTCGGGTCCCTGTTGAAAACGTCAAATGGCTGGGCAAGATCATGAAGCGATGCGAAGTCCGAGTACTCGAAGGAGAGGGCCACGGTTTAATGGCCAGCGCCACAGTAATGGGCTCCGTGCTGATGGAGATAAGCAAAGAATGGGAAGACTGGGAGAGAGCAACGAGGAGTGCGGGAAACAAAGAACGCGAAAGAGGACGACGCGGAGCCCCTGGAAAATGAGCTTCACAGTTCAAGAGGGCTCCCCCATTAAGATTTTTTTTAATAATTTAGCCGTGCCATTTATGTAGGCATCTTCCTACAAGCTAATATTTAATTGGGAGGATGGATCATGGCGTTCGTATGACAGTAGAGCAGCTTTTAGATCACAGAAGCTTAGATGTTCTGGCAGCATATGTCTTTACAAAGGAGGAGGAAGATACCCCGAAGGATGGAGAAGAGGAATTGCCAAAGAATCTGCGGTGACTTTTACCTTTTTGAATTGTTTTAAGTAATTACTACTCGCTACTTATGTCAGGTCTGACGCAGCATCAGCGTACATGGCGATCTAATTTCTTGTTAATCACAGATTCTCTTTTCTTCATACTGATTCAATAAATTCATGAGAGGGCTTAACTGAGTTTGACCAGCCCTGAATTTTCATTCATGTGAATTGACAATCATAAAATACAGCTCTTTCAACCTTTGAACTACGCCAAACAGTGTATACACAGACTTGATATGTTTTGTCTTACGCCTCCGTCAACACTCTAGTCCAGTCGAACTTTCTCCATCCTTTCTTAAATCCATCAACCCTACTATCAATCTTCGCCCATCGCCCTTGCTTCTTAATAATGTGTGCATCAGCATCCACAATGCCACCGATAATCTCTCTCGCAAAAAGATCTCCCTTTGGCCAGCGATCCGAATTCTCAACAACGTGGCCCAACCCTCCGTCCAGCGTAAACCACACGTGGAAATAGGGCATCTCCTTTGCGATACACCGGCGGAACGCTGAGCGGCCCATGCCTTCTTTCGCTTTGGCGCCGGTGTCGATGATCTTGCGATGCTGGGACCATTCCTCGTCAGAAGAGAGGAAGGCCACCTTGAAGAATGCGGGTGCCATGGCGCCTTGGTCGTAGGGGATGGGGATGGCCATCATGGCGGCGTGCATGTGCTTGTGCGGCGCGGCGGCGTTTTCGTAAAAGATGACTTCCCGGCCCTGGTCATGGTACATCCTCGTGAGGCTCTTCATAAAGTTGCGAATCTCCTCCCACTCGTCGTCGTCGCACTCGAGGAGGTTGGTCCGATGCGCGGTGGGGACGATGACGGCGCCGCCTTCGCTGATTTCGGGCTCGGTGGCCAGCGTCATGAAGACGCGCGTGGCGAGAGAGACGACGGGCGCAATGGGCGGCAGGCCTTTGTCTTCCTTGTGGCAGAGGGGGCAGTTTTCGAGGACGCGGTTCATCTTCTGGAACTCGCTGACGGCCATGTTCTTCAGGTTGACCTCGCTCTTGTGGATGCGCTTTGCTAGCTTTTCGGCGTTTTCGTCCATGTACTCGAGGTCGTCGTCGAATTTGGCGTCTTTGGCGATTCTCTCGGCAAGGCGCAGGCCTTCGCCGCCTGCCTGCCCCTTGGTTCGGCGTTCTTCTTGGAGCATTTGCTCGATGGTCATGTCTGTGTTTTCTTCGACGAGGCCGCGCTCGCGTCCGCGCTTGGTGTCCACTGCCTTGACCTCCCCGCGGGCGCCGGCGAGTTGGCGACTCTCCATGACTCCAAGGACGACTGCTTCAGGGGCATTGAGGCGAGGCGTCATTCCTGCCGCCGCAAGGTTGTACTCTTCTTCTAGCTGGGCTGCATTGGGTGCCTTGCGTAGCTTTGCCTTCATCATTTGAGCACGGAGTCTGTTTAGGGCTGTCTGGTCCATTGGAACAGGCACTGGCTGTGGATGATCCTCTCGCACGACTTCCCCTTGGCGGATTTCTTGTCTTGCTGGCTCTTCATGTCTTTGGCTCTTCACTCGTTCTCGGTAGAATTCACCCGTAGGCTTGTCTTTTGTCTTCGCATCGTCGCCGTATAATCTTCGCCTCTCCAGCTCTTCCTTTTCTTCGCGCGCATCGTCAAAGAACTCCAAGCTGCCAAATTGCTTCATGGCGATTTCTTCCACAGACTGTCCCGAGTCCTCCGCCGCAGTATAAACAGCTTTCAGTTTGGTCATTCGCCACGATGAGCCAGAATCGCCAAATGTATAGTCAACTGTTCTCTCAGATGGCTGCTGCTCAACAGCAGACGGCAGCTTGCCGCTATTCAAGTCTTCGAGAAAGCCGCTGTTAATCTCTCGACGAGATATCACTCGCTTCGGTGGCTCTGGGGTCGGCGATCGAGGTTTGTTCTGCCCGGGACGGTGGACATGTTCGACTTCAAAGGCCGATGGCGCGGTCATCCAAGCATCTCGTTCCAGTGGTTTTGACGTGCCGGTCGCATCTTCGTTTGAAGACTTGTCCTGATCCGAAGGAGGCATCTTGGCCTTTTCATCTGATGACTTGTGGTGTCGGTCTTCTCGATGACGCCGTCTGCGGTGCTCCTCGTCGCCATCGTCCTCGTCGCGTGATCGGCGGCTTCTCTTGTGCCGACGGTCATCGTCCTCGTCGCCATCTTCATTGTGGTGTCGGCGACGGCGATTGTCGTCTCTGTCTCTGTCTCTATCCCTCTCCCTGTCCCTATCGCGATCCCGGTTACCGTCCCTGTCTCTATCTCCATCTCTTTCACCGTCGCGATGCCGGTGCCTGTGTCTTTCTTCGCGGTCTCTGTCGTCGTCTCGATCTCGGCGATGGTGGTGTCTGTGCTTGTGATGGCGGTGTCGCTCGCGGTCATGTTCTGATTTTTCGCGCTCAGCTTTGTCAGCGGCGAGCTGCTGCTCGAATTCCTCCAGGCCATCCATGATGCTGTGGGAGTTGTCTTGGTCGAGGCGGACCGAGCAAGCTCTGAAGAATAAATGGCTGGGTCCTTGTTACGTCAGGGTTTTGGGCAAGCTGTAGCTATCGTTTGCGCTAAGTCCCTGTGCCATTAGCGCCTGGTACGCCTATAGCTGAGTACTTGACGATTGTACCAAAAGGTAGTCCCAATGTCCAAGAACGCAATTTTAGCTATTATCTGACGTTTGAAGCTTGTTATAAAAGGGTGAGCCATCATTATAATTAAGAACATCACTGTCCCCAGTTCAGTTATTTTCAAATTACGTGATATACCAAGCAAAACGCCTGTTATTCTTGTGGACTGCTAGCTGCTTGCCTATTTTGGCAACTGAAAAAAGCTCCCTAGTCCTGACGCCTTCAGCTTACCCTATAAATGCAAGATATCATGATACAAATACTTGCTCGGCTTGCTATTTACTCTAAGTAGACTCATCAAAGTCTTTTAGAAGCCTATCAAGCTCTTCATGCCTGCGGATAGCATCTTTTAGTCTTGGCCAGTCTCCTCCCTCAGGAATAGCCGTACGATCTGCCTGTTGAAACCACTGAGCATATCGATTATACATTTCTCCAACCAACTTTCCTCCTGGTGTTGGCAGCTCGTGTTGCCATTCTTTCCACTCTGTTTCCCACGAAATTTCAGTTACCTCATCCGTGGCGTAGTCATGAAGCTCGATCTTGATACCAGGTATGGTGGCTGCTTGTATGACCGGCCCAAAAGGATTTGTTATCTTCAGTTCTCCGTTTTGGCCCTGGATATACCACACAAAGGGTAGGTCGCCCTTGAATGGGTTACCACTCCTGAAAACAACCGATAACGTCGCGCCATGTTGAATATTTGCGGCACCTGGGGCAAGCTCTCCGTGAGCTGTGATGAGGTCTGGAATGTCGCTTCGCACAGTCCGCAGCTGCGCTCCCGCCTCATCGACAACTCCAACCTCTGGCCATCGAAGCTGTGTTGCGGTATGGGAATCTTTGAACTCCCCCAACACAAAGTGTACAAGGTCAATCATGTGAGCGTACAGAATAGTAACAAAGTTACCTCCAATTGCTCGCTGAGTAAACATGTCTTCCATGCCGCCAGCAAGAATCGTGCCAGGTCGTTTACCCCATGCGGTAGCGCTGAAGCCACGTACTTCGCTAGAAAGAACTTTTCCAATTCTATCAGATGCCAGTATTTCCTTGACTTTGGTGGTTACCGGCGAGAGCCGTGCCTGTAGGCCGATGATGCTGGTTTCGTGTTCTTTGCTGTCGCCCAGAAGAGCGATGCTGCGCTCCAAGCTCCCAGTCAGCGGCCATTCGACGTACACAGCCTTTCCTGCCCTGATGGAAGGCTCTGCGACCGAGTAGTGTTTGTCAACTCTGGTGACTACTGAAACAAGATCGACTTCATCGTCTGCGGCGAGCAGAGCAGGATCGCCGTATGCTTTCACGGCGGAAGAGAGATTGAAGTGGGACCGAGCCTTTTCAGCTGCCTCTTTGCTGGAGTTGAGAAGCGCGACAATTTTGTATTGAGTCTTGCCTCGAGCGGATTGAAGGTATGGGAGATGGGCTACTGCTGCCCATGATGTAGTGGCATTCGGTGAGAGGCCGACCAATGCAACGCGAATATGTTTATCGGCCATAGTTGGAAGAGCACACCGGTAAACAAATGCAACAAGTTCTTGAAAATGTGCTTCTTGCACAAGAAACTGATTTGCAAATCTATCTATTTAAACATTTGTTTGTTTTCAGTTGGGTATTTATAGATACATATATCGTGATTCCACGGCGCAGGCGCCGCAAAGAGAATGAAATCAGCACTATGTTGACAGCGAGATGGCACTAGATCTGATGGAGCATTTGCATCAATATACAAGAGGCCAATCATGTGGCTTGGAAATATGTGCACTTTCCTTAAATCCATAAGCTCCGCGGTTCGCCGAATTTCCAAGTGTATGAGCTACCCACAGTGGTAAAAATCGCTTCAGAGAGGAGATGACAAACCACGATTTCCGCGGAAAATGGATGGGGCTGCTTTGTGAAGGGAGGTTCTAATACAACCAATGTAGTCTATTAGATCAATGACACAGATTGCATCCTTGTTGGTCTAGTATCTGCTATGAGTAAAATTTATGCTGTCCGAATTCATCCTGCTGTATTGTCGATGGCATTAAGCAATACGGCGAAGAGGTTGGTACTTAAGACCTAAAGACAAAATTTTAGTAAAAAAACAGAAATAGTGGTAGTAAACGAGGTAGAAGAGCTATTTCTTGATTAACGTGAAGACTGCTTCTCTAAATAAAGGCTCTTTAGAGTAGAAAAAATTGAGAACAAAAGAATTCAGGGACGATACAGTAAAGAGTGACCACACAGATATATGTAAAAGAGATCTTCAAAATGCCCATATGACAATACACATCCCGCAACGAATAAGCTTAACGCGTAGCGTAGCTACATGTATCTTGTGGTGCCTTTCCACTCCAACTCTCTCTTCCTCTCTCTCTTCCTCTCCGTCTCTCTCCCTATATTCCTATGTCGAGCCCTCCACCTCCTTCTCTGGCGATTCTGCAAGCTACTTCTCGAAGAAGTTGGGCATTGTGAAGCGGGTGCGGAAATTTCAGCCTCTTTCCGCCACCGCTCTAAAGTTGACAAGATATCTACCGTAGTTGTATGGTCTTGTCCCAATTCTGCCTCAGTCGCTGACAGACAGCTCTCCATTAGGCCAATCGCTTTATCTATTTTCCCCATTTGTTTCCGAATACGAGCAAGTAACATCATGGTTGAAATGATATTCGGGTGGTGGGCCCTTAGTATCCCTTGTTGTATTTTGAGTATTCGTGTCACCAAGTCTTTCGCTATTTTGAACTTGCCTTCAGAGCAGTACATGTTCGCACGATCATGCAAACTCATTAGCGTGGATGGGTGCTGGTCTCCCAAAACAATATTTCTAAACTCAAGCGTTTGCGCCTCTAATCTTTTTGCTTCTTCAATCCGATTTTGGTGGCGATATACTTTTGACAGGGCCCTCATGCTCTCAAGTGTGTCGATATGAAATTCCCCTAATACTAGCTTTCTTCGCTCGAATGCATATGAGATCAAGTCTTCCGCCTCTTCGGAGCGATCTTGATCTAGATATATTATTCCAAGGAGATATATACTCCCGAGCGTAGAGCGGTGCCAATCTCCTAGTACCATATGTTGTAGCTGATATGCTTGTTTGCTTAAAACTTCTGCTTCTTTCAGTCGACCTTGCCGATGGTGTACTGCCCCAAGCTGCGTAATTTGTTCGAGCGTTGTTGGATGCATTTCTCCACATCGTATCCGAGTCATATCCAATAGCTTTTCCGCCAACTCTCGTAATATTTCTGGATAGTAGCCATTGCCCCAGAGACATGATATTATTTGACGCAGAAGCGACGTGCTGGCTGCATACAGGTCATCATTGTTCAAGTCAGATCCTGCTTTTCCAAGAACAGAGTTTGCATGAGGAAGATATCTTAACAATGTTCCAAAATCTTCGGTTGGCAACAGCTTGGTTGGCAACAGCTTGGATATGACCATCATTGCATACCGAGCGTATTCAGCCATTTGTTTCTTGGAAATGAGCCACTTGTGTATCACTAGCTGCACAAGACGGTGCATATTGAGATCTTGGTCTGTTCCCTCAGATATAAAAGAGAATGACCTGAGGAGATCTAATGCTTCTAACAAAGCAGATGAAGTGCTGTTTTCATTCTCATTTGGGCATAGCTCACGGTAGTAATGTTCAACAAGTATTTTCGGAATGGCCTGGAAATGCAAGACACCTAAAAAAGACAAGATGTCGCTTGCAATCTTGTCGATTCGCTCGATTTGTTCAAAGGAAATGATCCAGGTTGCCGTAACTGCGTGTGGCGCCCTGAGGTCTCTGCCCTCAGTTTGAAATGGTTCATTCAACATATCAACGAACTCAGAGTCTCCTTCATCTAAGCGATCGACATAGTTGCGTACAGTTATGCGCCTCTTTTTTATAAATGATGCCGCTTGCGCAAGGGCGAGCGGCAAATGGTCGAGCCTGGAGGAGAGAGTAGATGCGTCTGTTGCGGAGATTTCGGCTGGTAAAATGGCTCTCAGAAGCTGGTAGGCCTCGTTGGAAGTCATGCTGGGGACTTGAATAGGGTCCCCTCCTCGGCATAGGTCGACTGCTGCATTCATGTTTCTCGTCGTAGAAAGCAGCATACATCCTTGATGGCAATCCGGCACATAATGAACCAGCTTGTCGTCTTCGGAATCAAATTCTGTTTCTGTATCATCAACGGTATTTTTTCCTTCAGAGACAAACAGCTCACTGTCGTCGGCATTGTCAATTATCAGAAGCCACCGAGATTGATGCTGTGCTTCAAGCCATTGTTTAACGATTAACAAAACATTTGCTTCAGGGTCATTGATTCCAGGAACATTGCAAGCTTTAGCAATGTTAGTATAAGACTCCCGAAAGCGATGGGTATTGCTAGCATGAACCCAGAATATCGAGACATCTGGATTCATCTTTCGTAGCCAGTACGCGAAAGCTATTGCTATTTGTGTTTTTCTATAATTCGTTAGAAGTGACAAGTTATTAGTATGACCAAAACATACCCGTTGCCACCAAGGCCACAAAGTGAAACCCTTCTACGCGGCTGAGATGGCCCTTGATATTCGCCTAGGCCGAACTGCCGCCTCATCTCATTTTGGATTTCAGGCCTATCAATAAAATCTTCATTTGGAGGATACGGGATGAGAACTAGAGTTGGGTAGATGTATTAGAGCAAAGATCGTGGCTACAGTATTGATTACATACACTTTGCTATTTTGTGTTGCGGATCGTCTCCCACTGTGAGAGCTCGCCTGGATAGACTCCTCATCCTCTCTCTGACGTTTTTGTATTCAGTATCGTAACGTCCGAATTTAACAATCTCGGAATGTGTGCGAGCAATGGCGCAAATGTGTTCTGGGCCGTTTTCCCACGGGCGACAATTTGTAGCTCAAGATTTGGTAACTAGAATTGCAGCAGGTCCAGTGATTTCCCATTATCCAGTCTCGTTCTATACACTACAATTAGTTGAATGATGGATGTATAATGCCATTTTGAGATAAAACTCACTTGAACTGCTGTTGGAGATTTCAAGGTTTCATAGAAACAGAAAACCTCAGACTTGCCCTGCTCGCCTAGAGCGCTGCAAAAGTCTCTCTGTTGAGTGCTTAGAACTTGCGAATTGCAACCAATAGATTGAAGCAGAAACTGATTTGGTCCGTTACCAGCCATGGAAATAAGCGCACTTTTATTCATGCTATTGTGCGGAGTACCAAAGAAGATGACACCGTATACGGCGCGGAAAAGTTCTTTGTCTTGTGAAAACTCCGATCTTGACAAAGATATTAATAGCTATGACACAAGATATTAAAATAGAATTTTTTTTTTGAACAATTGTGCACGTTCCCTACCTGTTTAATGATCAATCCTCCGAGACTGTGCCCAAGGAAAATGATTGGCTTGAGTTTCGAACCAGTTGCTATTGCGAGCAGGCTATTATGGAGTGTAGTGGCCAAGTCTTCTAGATTTTGCATGTTGCTGCTATTCACAACATCTGACTCATAGCCATATATCATTATTCGTGCTATTGGCTTATTCGTAGTCTCTGAAATCAGATCATATGGAAGGGAGTCACGCAGCCACATGTGGGACCCATTCCTTTGTCTGAACGATCCGAACGCGTGGCTTCCGAGGCCAGATAATGCGATCACGCTAGTACAGTTAGTCAATGGTTTATTGAACAAGATGTAGACACCTACTCTATCTTATGGTCTCCTGGAGTCGGAGCAAAAAGCGTTGTTAAGCCGTAAAAGTCTTTGTCGATGCTTAGGTATTGTTCACCTGTAGCCATGGCGTTGAACGTTTCTGGTACAACAATGTCCCAATGGGGGCGCCTTTGAAGCCGTGAGGGCAAGTCTGGGAACGTGATTGTGGCGGATTGGTATTGTTCACCAGCTTCAGTAGCAAGTGACTTGATGGACACATCCAGGCCATTTTCCTGACTCTTCAAGAAGCTTTGTAGTTGTTCACGGCTCCAGTCGGTCGGCACACCGCGAATTCGGAATGAAATGCTATCGGACTGCGATTCTTTGTCTGTGCTCTCGGATGCTGCTGCCTCTGCTGAACTTAACAGAGGCAGCTGCAGTTTCATGATCATATGTTTTTTCATGGTACTAGTTGGAAGTATTCGGTGGTAATTGGAACATGTTTTGAACAAACTTTGCTGTAGGGGCAGAGCAGCTACAAGTCTCGCATCCAGCGGGACAATGGAACACGGCTAGAGGTTGCACAGGGAGGGAACCAATATCTATTTGTTATTCTCCTCTTTTATGCATGATGAACCAACATGAGGAGTTCTACGGCGTACAAAATCCACAGCAGTTCCAGCGACCTTGCGATCTTCGGAGATGAGGGTTGGTTCATCTATGGATTCCATTGTCAAGATCAGGTTTATGGAGATGTCGTCCGCCTTACAACATCATCAAACATCTTGCTTAATCTTGCTTATCGAGGAGGCTTCTTCCTCTCTCACCCTTCTTTATCACACATCCGAGATTCTTCGTTATGAGGGAGGCCGGCCTCCTCTCCATGTAACTTTGATAAAGAGAATACTGCAACTCGATATCAACTAGCGGCCTTAGCTCAGCTGGGAGAGCGTCAGACTGAAGCCTCAACTTCAAGTCAATTGATATCTGAAGGTCGTGTGTTCGATCCACACAGGCCGCATTTTTTTTGCCATTTTGAACTAGAAATCTAGTAATTTTTTTTTCTAACTCGAGAGTAGAGTAGGAGCGCGTTCTTTCATCAGTCGACAGAATTCTATATTTTTTCTCGTGCGGCAGTCATGCCTTTATTGCATTGATGGACGGATGTGATATAGATAGAGTGAGTGATGCGCGATACACAACCATTCATCTATGCCTGATGAAAATCAGTATAAGATGAGTCGCGCGAATAGATTGTATCTTTGCTTGCCATTTAAATCTCGCAAGATTCCTTCATATATGGATCGTATGTACGAAATACTCCATATGTATACCTTTGATAATAAATGCCTGCCCCGCCATCCATTTATGTGTACGTGAAATCCAAACGCCCAAAAATGTAACCCAAAGAAACGTACTCCGCGGCATCTATCTGTCCTCTAGGATAAAAACTCCGACAAATGAACCGCCATTAACGCGCGCAAAACTCTTGTCTACTCACAACTCTGCCCGCCCGTCCGATCGCCCAAGTTTATACGTCGTCATCACAACCGCATGATCTGACGTCCATTCATTGTTCTGATGATTTGGCTCTGCAGCGGGCTCGCCAGCAACAATCGTTTCCGACCGGAGAACTTTGAGGCCCTGGCCCTTGTGGTACACAAAGTCGATGCGATCTAACGGCTCCGGTCGACCGTTGTTGTCCAGATAAATGGGCGACCAGGTGATGCCGGGCTCAGCGTTGGGGTCGGGATGAGCCTCGCGGAACGAGTCAATCAGGCCCGACTGGATGGGAAACTCGGAGCTTGGCCAGGGAACAAAGCCATAGCCACAGTGCGCCTTCTTGGTTGCTTCGGTCCAGTCCAGGTGAGATGGCGCATTGAAGTCGCCCGTCAGGATAACGGGGATATCGTTAGCCTCCGAGAGGGCATCTTGCATGGCACTGACGATTTCCATGATTTGCGGAGTGCGCCTGGATTCATACTCCCGGTTGAGGACTTGGGCCAGCGGCATGTGGTCGTAGCAAAAGTCGTACGGGCCATACGGATCAAATCCCAGATGGACATTCCACATTATAAGCTGGCTTTCGCGACTGCCCAGCTCGATGCGAATAGATCCGCCGGCAGATTGTTCAGGGAACGTCTCCACAATGGGGTAACGGCTGATGATGCCGACCTCATTGGGGCTCTGCCAGTAATACCATCCAAGCGCCTGAGCGAGACGAGTTGCCTGGCCATTCCAGCTCTCTTGAACGCCGACAATGTCGACATTCGTGTTGATAAGAAAGCGGATCTGCTTGTTGTGGTAGTCCTTTACATTTGTGCCGCCAAACCACATATTGTACGACATGACCTTTATTTCTTCCACGAGCGGCTCGCCGGCTTTGCGCACCGGGATCTGGACCTTGATCGTCGCAGAAGATCCATCGCTCGCGGTCGCCTTGACAACAAAGTTTGTGTCCTTGTCCTTGTTTCCAGGAGTGCCAGAGATGGTTCCGTCCTTGGAAAGATTCACCCAGTCGGTGCCAAAGCTGGTGACTTTGGCGAAGTGAGTGGCGTTGTCCTTGGGATTAGCAATCAGGCGGCCGAGCTTTGCTTTGAAGGGGCTTCCTTGTCGGGCATTCTGGGTGATGATCCGATCGGTGACGAATTCAATCGGGCCAGAGCCGGGGATGATGACGTCGATGGGCTTCGAAAGCCACTGGTATCCGCCCTTTGCCAGGAAATAGGCCTTGTAGAAGCCCGGGGAGAGATTCGAGACGTCGACCAGCACGCTGCCCGTCGCATCGGGCGCATACGACCAGTCTAGCGAGCCAGCGACGAATTCTTGCTCGACAGGGCCGCCATAATATGACTGGTACACTGCGACCCAATTCGCGGGGTCCGGGTCCGGCGTCGAGTACTTGAACGTGAGGAGCGACTGTCCGACGTCGAGAGCGAGAGTCCCGGGAGGGGACGCGGCATCGCGCGGCGACATGATGGCAGCGGCCGACGATGGCGATGCGCCGAAAAAGAGCGAAATGGCAGCGGTCGCCGCCGGAATCAATGAAGGGAGCCTCATGGCTTTTGGCTGTGTGCGGTGCGCGCAATAACGGCGGATGGCGAGCGTTTAATTCTCTCACGGGGCCGCAGATCGGGCAGATCAACTGCGGAACCTGTCGGGCAGAGAGAGGTCTAGCATGGGACGAAGTTGAAGGCGGGAGGAAGTCTGCGGCGATCTCTTTATACGGAGCAGCCACATCTTGAAACAAAACCTGATGGCGTCGTTACTTCATCGTCATGACCCTTCCGTCTCCATCCATTAGCGCATCACGAGTGTCTTGTCGATGGTGGCGCCTCGACAGGGCCAGGCGCTCCCTGCTGTTCCCTGTTAGCGCACTTTAGGGGCCTTGAGATCCCCCTCGGATTGCGCGCTATCGGTGCTAGAGGCCCCTATAGGGATGTGGGCGCCACGGTGGAGATTCAGCGGTTGGAGGGGATTTCTCTACGGGACGTGGGGTGATACACGTACAAGTACTACGCGGCCTTTTTGGCGCTAGACGGTGTCCAAGACAGGCGAGTTGTGGCACGAGTTGTTCTGGCGGTCTGTTGGAGAGCGCCTCATGATTCGGTTTCTGGATTCGCGTGATTTTGTTTCGACAATAATCAGCAACATGTCTCAAACCCCTTCCCTTTGGCTTCGATTGGACTTTTGAACTCTTGCATCAGGTTAGAGGCAAAACCTTTGTGAAAGTCTATTTCTGTTTCAGACTTTGGCGACCTATCAGCCAATAGTGGAGACAAGACATGAGGCTTGCGGGTAATGGCAGAGCATTACAATCATCAGCGCCCACGATAGTATGTAGTAACTTTTATGGGCAAAATTGTTGCAACGGTAGTGCAGCTACCATCATATCTTGAGAGCTAAAGAATGCGACATTCAGGGTCCCAAGACCTCATCGCTAGCTCGCCCGTTTACATGTACCTGACAAACCTGTCGTCGCTCTGCCTGAACCGCTACTGGGCTGGAGGCATCGCGATGTAACGTCAAGGTACATGCAGCTGATTCTATCACCAGGCGGCCGATATATGAGTTTATGTTTCCAACATGCATCATGATGCTCTAAAGTTGTAAAATATGAACGAGTGATGTACTCGGCACGAGGCTATAGGCGAGTGACTACATGTATCGACGCAGAGATGAGAACAGCTTGAGGTCTAGATTTAGAAAGAAAGGACAATTTCAATCTTGCATGACATTCTAAAACACTCTGTCGCAAATTTATCAAAAGTTCGCAAAGAGCTTTTAGATCATATGATGACAGAAGGAAAAGATTTTGCGTCAATAGAAGAAGGGAAGCGTACATCACAGTATCATGTTATCAAGTCTGAGTCGCTCTAGCAATGTTGTCTCTCTCAAGTTATAATGCTGTATTCAAATGAAGATGCTGCATTAAAGTGAATTTCTCTTTTGCCTCTAGATGAGCCAGAATTCTGCAAGATACAGTTAGGAGATAAAATTACCAACAAAGCTTCATATCATGATACTTCAACAATATTGCCACGAATATATTTTAAAAGAGCAACATCCGCCAGAGACTATCTCTGTACTTTAAATATGTTGATTAAGTCTTCATTATAAATGCTTCCGCCAGTGTACTTTTCTCGTCCTGAATTTATACACACTGAAGGACCACCTACATGAGATTCCCACGTGCGTGCCGTATGGGGCCTCGGAACAAGATGCTATAATTTCTAGAACATGCCGAAGACTTCAGACCTCGTAAAGGGTATGTATCTATATGTATTTCTTCTTTATGTCTATACTCTTAGAAAGAACCTCATTCACAGACTATATACTATACAAAAGGACTACGATAACCCCCCTTCATGATGCCACCAGCCTAAATATCAGGATGAATTTATAGCAGAAATACAGACATCAATCATTAGAATACATTTTATCTATCTTGATACTCGCTATGGCGTGTATATGCAAAATCCGATCAGGTCCACTCTCAGAGCGTTCATGGATGAGGTCAAAGAGGTCACGAGGTTGTTAATAATAGCAATTACGACATCTGAACGGCTCATACCAAACACGGCAAAGAAAAACAATTAGTCTCATCCTCATTCGTTTAAATTCGCCTAGCCGAAAGCTTCATTGAGCTCAGTTACTATCGAAAAGCCCCGCCAGATGAATGTCATTGCAACAATAATGGGGCACAGTTTGACTGCCACGGATCGACGGCAACCAAAACCCGGTTTGGCATACAGTCCTCGCCATTGCCTGAGACTGTATCGCCTGACAAGCTGGTGATGGCTGCGCCTTCAACGCGGGGTATCGCCATGAAAATCGAGCTTTTAGGGGTGACAGCTCTCATCATGACGTTGATGGCATCGGGCGATCACAGCTGTACGGAAATGACGAAACGCTCTTGCGTAGCTTTTCTAGACAGCTATAAGAAAGCTAGTTTTCCTCCCCGCCACTTGTTTCTGAGCTTATTTCCTAATTCTTTCACCATCTTCAATTGAATACCATACATAACTGAGATTATACCATACTCCAATATGAACACCACGGGCGGAATAACAGACGAGGCGGCGATTGAGACGCACGACCTCATTCACGATGCCGAGCTCGAGGAGCAAAGGGTGTGTATACTCTGAAATATTGCATCAATGCTGACGAACATGTCATTAATGACTGGTGCTATATAGTCCCATGGCGACCATGCATTGACCCAGCCCGACATGGGCGAGGAGTCTATGAACGCATCAAAACCAATGGAGACTGGACAGAAGAAACAGGGTCGCCATTCAACGATGGATAAGATGAAGGAGGCTCTGCATTTTAATAAGAAATGAAGAGATGGACAAAGACGTAAAATCTGAAAAAGAAAAAAAAAACCGCTTTTGATGCTGTCCAAAACTGTTGATGAGAACAAAACGACCGAAAAAGGGCACGTGTCTGTGTTTTACTTTGCCTTTAGTTTTTAGGGACCCCTAGTTTCAGTACCGCAATATGAGTTTCAATCTCCAAGTTGTCAATCTGGTCTTTTCAACCCGACAGTGCCACTCATGTTCAAATTGAGTTCCTTTTTCCCCATCTGATTCTCCCATTTCTCCAGATCTTCCAATGACCACAAAAAACTCCACATTGCATTTTGTAAAGATGCCCTTTTGGCGCATCCTCTGGAGAATCGGTGGAGCTGCCCACGTTTTTCCCGCGGCGGCTCCATCGGCAAAGGCTGCATCCGCTAGCCCCAAACCCGCCTAGCGCGCCTGATAATCCCCTGACCACCAAATTTCCCCCAGATTTGGTGCATCTCGATAGTCGAACGAGTTTTTTTAATTTCCTTCTTCCTCACACTCTTTTTTTGTCTTTCATTGTCGCAGCTACGCCATCGCAGGCTTCAATCGCTTCGGCGCAAACGCCGCCATTCATTCCTTGTTTGTTTTGTTTTCTCGAACCCCCCCCGTTCGGCCATGCTTCAAGGCCTCATCCGTTCTCTATGACAAACCGCGAACCACTTTTGACGAACCACTTTTCCCGGTGATATATATACGAGCAATGCTGCACCTCCACTCTCTCTTTTCAGCGCTTACGCTGGCGAGCCCTGCGCTCGCAGCTTCAATCCCTCGCAGCAGCAGCGGCTCCGCGCCTTACTCTTCAACCACCACAATCTGGGCGACCCCCCACGAGCAATACTCGTCCTCCGTCGGCGTCTTGGGCTGCAAGGTCAACACCAACCGCGTCGCCTACTGGCCCGAATCCGTCGACTGCTCCAACATCTGCGTGTCCGTTTCGTATCAGGACCGCCAGGTCTACCTCCTCCGCGTCGACCAATCCCAGGGCGCGCACGACATGAGCTACGATGCCTGGAACTATCTCGTCACCGGCTACTCGGCCACGAAAAAGCCCGTTGCGGGAGGCCCCATGGAGATGACTGCGGAAAATGCCGACATGTCCAACTGCGCCGACCTGATTCACACAAAGGGCAGCAAGCTCCCCCTCAGCGCGGCAAACAGCATGAACTTTCTATTCAGCTGTCTGCAGCAGGAGAGTTCTTGGGTTGCAGGCAACTACGTTTTATACAACATCATGGATGCAATATGCACTGTTGGCCAGGACCAGACCTGTACCTTGGACCCGCCCAACAACCAGCCAACCTGTCCAGGCACCCTAGGCTTGCCCGACAAGCTCACAAGCGACCCCGTCTGGAACATCCAGTATCCTTCCGGCGACAAGGTCCTTGCCGGAGCACCGCCAACTGTCCCAACGGGCGTGCCTGTTCCAGCACCGGCGCCTTCTACCACCAATGACGACGAGAGCGCTGCATGGAGCCCCAGGTGCCGGGACTCTCTCCTCTGGATACCAGTCCTTTCATCAATTTCCGTTATATATACGTGGATGTTGTGGTAATTATTATGAAGAAAAGCAATACCCCGGCGAGGGAACTTATGTCTTGGATATGACGTTTATTTCTTGATACCCCCCATTGTTCATATTCTCTTGTATATTTTAGTGCCACTTTATGGACTCATGACAGGTTCATCAAGATTTATTTACTTGATCTCAATTATTTACTTAGTCAATCATTCATTCATTCATTCATTTATTTCATTTCATGTAATGCTGTACTTAAAACTATATCAGGGGTATCTTGGTTAATTCTTCCTCATGCTTTGCACAACTTGGCCGCTGACTCGTCTAATCCGTATATATGCTCCTCGTCCCCTGGAACTCCCACCTGAAAGCCGGTAGCCATGCCCGTTCCCATGTGTACCAACATATGGCAATGCAGCATCCACATTCCGGGATTGTCAGCAACGAAGCTGAGTACCACATGTCCCTTCCTCGGTACGCTAACAGTGTCTTTTCGAAGAGGCTTCTCTCGATTCCACTCGCCCGGAGAATCGCTTTCCGGGGTTGCATAAGGGTTATAGCTGCCCAGGCTGCCGCTTTCAGCGCGGAACGAGGACAGCACATGGAACGAGTATCCGTGAAGGTGGAACGGGTGAGAGCCATCGTCGAGGTTGTTAATCACAAGCTTGACTCTGGTTGGTTTTGATCCACTAGGAATAAAGGGAATGAGCTGCTTATCATCCCACGATGAACGATTCTGTGAGAGCAGTGGCAGCGACTGGGGATGCCATGATGTATGGTTAATAAACCCAAGAGGAATGTTCCCATTCACTGAGAGCGTCTGGGTTGAGGCATAGAGCAGAATTGTCTGTTCCTCATCCGCAGTGACAATATGAGATGGTTCTTCTGTTGAAGAGAGCGTGGCAAGATCCATGTGGTGATCGCGAAATTTCAAGGGGGACGCATATTCCCTATCGTGACCGGTTACGGTTTTCGGAAGCGCGGGAAAGGTATGGTTCGGGTTTAAAGCGGGATTTCCAAAGCCGAGATTTCTGATTTTGTTAGTTATACATTTTTCAATCAAAGAATGAACCTGCTGGAATACTCACTCATGGTCTAGATAGACATTGAACCACGGCTCTGCGGCCTGATCGCTCTTCCACTTCAGAAGCAGGTCAACCCTCTCGCCAGGATATAGGGTTCCGACAGAATCACCGGCCTTGGCATCAACCTTGCAGCCTCCGTCTACTTGCAACGGCTGGAGCGATGCACCATCAACTCCCAGCGTCAAGCCTGCGACTGTGCCCGTATTCACCACCCTGAGACGCGTTTCTCCGGCAGACTTTTTGATCAGAGGTGGGAAGTCGCTCAGAGCTGTGGCCTTGCAATGGACAGGCCTAGCTGGGACGGCCATTGAGCAATCGTATCGACCACGGCCGTTGATGACCATGGAGTCGGGAACGGGCTCTTTGCCAGCACTTGCCGGGCTGGAGTACCAAGCAAGGACATCGCTCTGCTTGCGGTGAAACCAGTCGCCAATCAACAGCAATGCTTCGTCTTGCAAAGCCGCGTTGGCATCACTACGGCGAGGCTCATGGATTACGAGTCCGCCAAAGAGGCCGTCTCCCCTTTGCAGCTGAGCATGGCTATGCCACCAAAAGGTTCCGTGTTCGTCGTCGCGGATGCGAAAGTCATAGACAAACGAGCTCCCAGGCGAGATTGGGCATTGGGTGAAGCCCACGGCACCATCCATGGCATTAAAGCCTTGCATGCGCAGGCCATGCCAGTGCAGGGAGAGACCCTCATCCCTGAGGTCGTTGTAGACGCGGACAATGATACGATCTCCGGATCGACCCTCGATGGTCGGTCCAGGGAAGTGTCCTGCCACAAGCATTAATAGCTAGCCCAGTCGGACTCTGCAGAGGCTCTTACACACCATTGACAAGATAGACTTGCTTCTCCACTCCGTCTGGGGCTCTGGTGCCCAGGGTGACGTGCCACTCAAAGGTCAAGGTCGTGGGATCTCGTGTGGAGTGCTCGACGGGGTGCAGAGGGATAGCGAGCTGGCTGTCGTCGAACGAGTCGCGGCTATGGCGATCAATGGCAAAGGCGAGGACGACGATGGAGGCGAGACTGAGAGCAAGCAGGAAACCGACGATTCGCAGCACCGTAAACCTTGATTTGGGTTTGGGGCGTGTTACAGCAGGCTCGGCTGGGAGAGCTGCCTCTTCGTTGGCGCTCAGCTGCGAAGCCACATCGTCGCTGTCGCCGTCTACTTCGTCAAGCAGACGACGGTCTTCGAGTCGGTCCCTCATATCTGGTGGTTGGAAGTCGAATCTTCCGTGGAGAGGCGTCACAGCATCCACCAAAGACTAGCAAGTACAGGTAAAGAAACAGAGTGAGAGCAAGCGGTACATGATAGAAGGAAAGGGAGGAGGTCCAAGGGCGATGGTCGGACCGCATCACAGGCTGGTTTTGCTATCAAGGGCCGCGCGGAATCTCCTGCATCATACGTAAGTCTTCAGGTAGGCCGGCATCGACTGCCGAGCATTGGCCACGCACCGGCACGTGGGGGGAGGCCAATCCGCCGTGCTTGATCTCTTCTGGCGATGGCTGGCATCACCATTCGTTAGCGGAGGCCCACCGAGAGGAGTCTGTACATGGGCGCAGTGTCTGGGCTCCTGCTAGTAGTACAAGTAGTGCAGAACGCCTCGTTGCGGTTTTGGATCAGGGTTTGATAAGGATTCCAGCGCCGCTTGGCGTTACGCGTACAACTCGAACGATGGCAGCGTCTACTTCATCTTTCTTCTATATCTATAGGTATTGAATACTTGGTGCAATGGCCATTTCATGCTACTAGACCACCCGGCCGCATGCCGCCATGAGGCTTTTCCGTCCCGTCCATCTCAACATTAGCCGTTGTCTTAGTCTCCGGGTCTTCACCTACTCTGCTTTCCTGGTATCCCGTGGACTGTGGACCTGCAACGAAAAGCCCGTCCCTTGCTGCAAGTCTCTCAACCCCTGCAGAGCCTTGCAAGCTGCAGCCAACCACAGCTGCCGTCACGAGGTCCGCCGTGCCGCTGCGATTGGCCTCTTTGCTTGGCACATGTCTCGACCTCGCCATCTGCCTCGCCCAAATAGCCAATGACATCCCTTGCATGCAGCATCACGAACCATCTTCTCTTGCCGTTTTTTTCTCTTCTGTTTTTAGTCGGCGAGGATTTCCTTCAGCGGCTGGGGCCAGGTATTTTTCTCGCACTTCATTGCTGCGCGGGCAGGCCACCGGCTCTTCTGACCCCACGGCGATCATCTGCCCGCCGTTGTAAATGTCTTGACCTTCCGGTTTCGGTTCAGGCGACGATGCGACACTGGAGGGCGTGCGATACTATCCTGTTGATTCCTATTGTTTAACCGCACAATGGCATACAGCGGCTCGGCAGGGACGGCCGCGCTTGAGACGCTCGATGCTACGTCGTGATCGGCGAATCACGGTGCCTGGGACATCGAAAAAATGAGAGGCATGCATGCGCAAGAGGGGTCAGTCGCTCTGATCGTCATGTATTTATATAGATGTACTTTGTGCGACGTTTGGATCTGAAAAGATGCTTGAGTGTTTCTTCGCTTTCTTGGTGAAGCAGGGTGGATAAGTCAACCTGGTTTTTCAGCTCCTTCAGTTGTTAGCACGGCAGACACCGAAAATGGCTCCTCCTCGAGGCCTGGGGTCTGCTTCGGCGACCCTATTTTCCATCATCAGTCTTGTCAAGGCTGGAAGTCTGAAAGACATTGACCATGTTGTTCTCTTCATGCAAGGTCCGTTGCGCTCTGTCTTGCGGATTCATTGAACCTTTGCTGACCATGAGATGGATGCACGTATACAGAGAACCGTGCCTTTGACCACTACTTTGGCACAATGGCAGGGGTTCGAGGATTCAGCGATGCGAATCTGCAGATGAACGATGGTGTCCCGGTCTGGAAGCAGATTACAGACTCTTCATTAACCACGGCTGCCGACTATGTGAGCCCGTGGTACATCAACTACCTTGGCGGCAACTGGACCGAGGCCACTCAGTGCATGCTTACCGGCACCAACAGCTGGTACGAGAACCATGCTGCCTGGAATGACGGTACCAATGACCACTGGGCGGTGGACAATAGTCCGTACAGCATTGGCTTCTACAAGCAGCAGGACATTCCCATCCAGTGGGCGTTGGCAGACAACTTTGTCGTTGGAGACATGTACCAAGTGCGTTATCCCACGTCTCCATCTCTACACCTTTTCAAGTTCAATGGCTAACAAGATCACACAGGAAGGCGTTGTCGCCGCAACAAACCCCAACAGAGTCACCTGGCTCTCCGGCAGCATCAACGCCCCCGGCGGCCCTCAGACCCCCAGCGAGGGCGGCAACCCCTACATTGACAACAACATCACGCCCGGCTGCGAGAGCGGCGGCTTCAACTGCTACCCGCTGAAGTGGAAGACGGTGGGCGAGTTCTACGAGGACGCCGGAACCACCTGGCAAGTCTTCCAGGACGCCGACAACTTTGACGACAATTCCTACGCCCGCTTCGAGCAGTTCCAGAACGCGGCGCCGGGCTCCAGCCTGTACAGCCGCGGAATGAAGGGCCTGACGCTCGACACCTTTTACGCGCAGGCCGCCAACGGGACGCTGCCCGAGGTGTCTTACATCGTGGCCCCGATGGAGCTCTCGGAGCATCCCCCCTATTCCCCCCACGACGGCGCCTGGCTGCAGTACCAGGTGGCCCAGGCCGTGCTCAACTCGCCCAAGTACAACAAGACGGCCCTCATTGTCTCCTACGACGAGACGGGCGGCTGGTTCGACCACGTCGACCCGTACCGCTCGCCAAACGGCACGGCCGGCGAATGGATCCAGGACCCCTACGGCCAGGTCGGCTACACCTTCATTGGCCCGGGCTTCCGGCTGCCCTTTTACATCGTCTCGCCGTGGACGCGCAGCGGCGGCGTCTTCACCGCGCACAGCGACCACAACTCGCAAATCATGTTTGTCGAGAAGTGGCAGGCCGCAAAGGGGCGCAACGTCACGACCGACCAGATGGTGCCGTGGCGCCGCAGCCACATGTCCGACCTGACGGACGCCTTTGACTTTGACCACCCGGACTACACCATTCCGTTTATCCCCCAGCCGCAGACGCCTCACACGGATTCCAGCGGCAACTATGATGGCTCGTCGTACTGCCAGTCTCGCTACGGCAACACGCAGCCGCCGGTGCCGTACACGGGAAGCGGCGTCATTGACGACATGACGACCCAAACCCAGCAGGGCTTCAAGGCCATCCGCGGAACGCTCACCGAAGGCCGCCACCTCGTCCTCGAGCTCAACGGCTTTGCCCTCGCCCAAAAGACAACCTTTACAAAGGCCATTGTCCTGGGCCGAGCCACATCGCGCCACGACAACCCGGCCCAGCGATGGATTGCCCACGCCGTGGTCATTGGCGGCACAGACTTTACATTCTCCGACGACAGCGGCAGGAATTACATTTGCGCGAGCCAGCTCCTCTGCAGCGATCCCAACGAGGCTGTTGTCTTCACGGTGACTTACACGGCGGGCAGGGGGTACGTGATCAAGGTCAAGGGCACGCAGAATTACCTGTCCGTTGGGGGGCGGGGGACGTCGAGCTATGCTACGTTGAGGGGGGGACGTGATTACTGGCAGATATATAGTGTTAGCTACTGAGATGTCTCGGGATATTCAAAGGTACATAGTATGAGGGTTTGGGAGGGAGGTATGCAATGCATTTGAGACAAGATAACGGTTAGCCGTGAAATGAAACAGTTAAAACGGTATTCTCCTTGTCCTATTATTGTTGTAAATACATGTAAACATTCTTTGTTTTACGTCAAGTGCGGAACCACCAGGATTCACCTTATAAACACATTCCCATCTCAACCCCCCCCCCCCCCCCCCCCCTTTTCTTCAACGACTTGAAATTTCAACCAACCGTCGCAATACTATCCAACTGCTCAGGCGCCGGCCTCAACGCAAAAATATCCCCCCCCGGCGGCGCAACCAGCCCATCCACCGCCCTCGCCGCCATCCAATCGCCCTCCTGCGCCGCCGCCCTCACATTGTCCGTCGCCGCATACTGCGTAAACAGCAGCTCCGGATAACTCCACTCGCTGCCTCCCCCCACCGCCGCGGGAATCACAAACTCGACCGCTTTGAAGAGCGACTGTCCCTGCGGGCCCTTGTACTTGAACAAGTCGACGCCGACTTTGCGGGCGATGAGCGCGTAGCGCAGGTGTGCGCAGAGGTCAAAGTTGGCGTAGTGGAAGCTGCGCGTGCGGGCGAGTTCCTGGGGCTGCGAGCCGTTTGCCGTGATTTGGCTGTTGATGAAGCTCTTGGCCAGCTGGCCCTGCGATACGGCTAATGAGCGATTCCCGGTGAAGAGCGCCAGTGCTGCGATCTGCATGTTGGCAAACGTGCCGTGGTTGTTCTGCGCAGACGCCTCTTGGATGCCAAACGGCGAGTCTGCGAGCCACGAGAGGAAGCGCTTGTTCCAGCCAACAAAGGCCTTTGCGTCAGAGGCCGTCCATCCAGGCGCGCCCGTGTTGAGAATGGCCACTGCGTCGACGACGTTTGTGTATTCCTGGCTGAAGTCGATGATGCCAATGGAGCGGCCCGAGTTTGCGCACGGAATGAGCTGCGCGTGATCCAGGTTCGGATTCATGGCCGTGTCCGCATCCAAGAACCACGTGCGAAGAATGTCCGACGCGTGCTTGGAGTATTTCGGATTGCCCGTGTAGTACCACGCCAGCGACAGCACATACGACGAGTTGAACATTTTGCCCACGGAGACACGGTCCTGGTACTTGTCCACCTCGGGGTTGCGCACGCCGTCCTTGTTGATGTACGGGCATCCGTCCGGCGTGTTGGGATTGGGCCAAAAGTACGGTGCTTGCGAGGTGTAGTCGTGCAGCGTGCCGTTGGGCGGAGGAGTTGCCTTTGCGGTGACGGTCCAGGGGCCCTGGCTGAGCCAGCTGTCTGCCTGGGCTGTGAGATGCTTCAGGGCAGACTTGAGGCTGTGGTCGCCCAGGTCGAGACGCAGCTTTGCTTCTACGAGGCGGTCGCCGTCAATGACGACGGTGTTGGGGATGAGTGTAGGCCAGCCAGAGCCGAGGGCAGGCAGGGCGTGGGATATGCCCGCCACGGAGAGCACGGCAAATGAAAGACAAGCAAGATGCATTATGACCGTCTTTCTATATGAAAACCAAGTCAATTGAAAGGCCTGACCTCCAATTAAGCTTCACTGTCGAGACTCACAGCTGCGGCCACTCCTCCATTTTGTACTCGCAAAGATCCCCCCTCCCCAGATTTCCCCAGATTTTACCCCGGACCCATTGCTTCATTGAACGGATACTTGTCCGTAACTACTGCACTGGAATGATCAACGAAGAGGAGGCAGAGTTGCATCTCGTACACCATATCAGAATAGACTCGGACAATTCTTCCAAAGGGGGCACGCAAAATGTTCCACCAATCAACGCTCCTCATCTACAACGCATCATGGGAACACCCCCTGTCCGGTAGCATTTCAAGATCACACACGATGCCGCTAGAGCACGTAATGGAAGGTCATCGTCTAGGGCAAGGATGTCATTGGTCTCATTGAGTCAATAAGATTAAGTCATAACTTTATAACACTAAAAATGCCAATGCCAACTCCTCCGCTACCAGGTTCGCCGTGTCGTTTGTATCGTCTCTCCCGCATTAGGTCTTTGCTGCTAATAGGGCTTCACTCTTCAATTTTTTCCACGTTACTCCTTCTCGACCTCGGACAGCTCATCTGCTACACCGCGCCCAGCTGCGCGGCCTGAAAAGATGCAGCCTCCCAGAAACGTGCCCTCGAGCGAGTTGTAGCCGTGGACACCGCCACCACCAAATCCCGCCACCTCGCCCGCGGCGTACAGGCCCGGGAACGGCGTCATGTCCTTTCGCATCACGTTGCTGTTCAGGTTGGTCTCGAGGCCGCCAAGCGTCTTGCGGCTCAGCAGGTTCAGTTGGACGGCAATCAACGGGCCGTGAGCAGGGTCAGTCAGGCGGTGCGGCTTCGCAACACGGCTGCGCTTGTCCGGCCAGTACGATCTCGCATTTTGGATGAGCATGGCCTGCGCATCTTTTGAGTAGGCGTTGTTGAACTGATCGTCACGAGCGTCGACAACGTCCTTGACCTTTTCAAAGTCGAGGATGGGGCCGTTTCGCGCCTTGGCCAGCTCGTTCATGCCATCAACCAGGTCCTTGAGGTTATCGCGCACGACAAAGTCCTTGCCGTGCTCCTGGAACTGCTGCACATTGATGGTCCCCTTTTTGCTCCACAGTCGGTTCTTGAACACCTCCCAGATGCTCTTGGCTGTGAGGTCTGGGTTCTGCTCCGAGCCAGAAAGGGCAAACTCGCATGCAATGATGGACTGGTCCAGGATGAACCAGCTGTAGTCGTAGCCCGTCTCGCAAATGGCCTTTAATGTGCCGAGCGTGTCAGTTCCCGGGAACAGGTATGGCGGAAAACGCTTGCCAGTGGCATCAAGCCAGAGAGACGAAGGTCCCGGCAGGATGCGGATGCCGTGCTCTGGCCAAATCTCGTTCCAGTTGTGCAAGCCCTCGGTATAATGCCACATCCTGTCCCGGTTGACGAGGTTGGCCCCAACATTCTCGGCGATTTGAAGCATGCGGCCGTCGACGTGAGCCGGCACGCCAATCACAAAATGCTCGGGAATCTTGGGTCCGAGTCTGTCCACGGGCCAATTCTTCTTGACAGCCTCAATGTTGCCTCCAATGCCGCCCGAGGTGACAATGACGGCGGCGCCGTGGAGCTCAAAGCTGTCGACGACATTGCGACTCGTCTTTTCGCCTCGCGCCGAGTTGTCCTCCTCCAAGACGCTGCCCTTGACGCCCACGGCCCTGCCCGTGCCGTCCACAACCAGCTCGTCGACCTGGTGCCGAAACTTGAACTCAATCAGGCCCTCGTCGGCCGCCTTCTTGACCGGGTCCGCAAAGACCTTGACCACCTCGGGCCCGGCGCCCCAGGCAATGTGGAAGCGCGGCACCGAGTTGCCGTGGCCGTCGGAACAGCCGCTGCCTCGCTCGGCCCAGCCGACGTTGAACAGGAAGCCCAGGCCGCGCGCGCGCATGTAGTCCTCAAACTCGTCCGCGGCAAAGTCGACAAAGGCCTTTGCCCACTGGCGCGGCCAGTAGTCCTCGTTGCGGTCAAACTGCGCCGACCCCAGCCAGTCGCGCATGGCCAGCTCGCGCGAGTCGCTGATGCCCATGCGGCGCTGGTAGAAGGAATTGACCATGAACAGGCCGCCCAGCGACCAGAACGCCTGCCCGCCCAGGCTGTTTTCGTTTTCCTGGTCCACGATGACGGCGGGCACTTTGCGCTCGGCCAGCTCAAAGGCGGCCACGAGCCCGGCCAGGCCGCCGCCGACGATGATGACGGGCTTCTTGTCTTCGGAACCCATGGCTGTGCGGAAGACGGATGTTGCTCTGGAGGATGGGAGAGGAGAGACAGGAAGAAGAGAGGAAGATGCAAACAGCTCGCCGTCCGTCTGGCTGTCGCTGCCGGCTAAGCTATTGACGTGTACACATCTCGCATGCGGGAATATTCTGCCCGCGTTATCATGCAGCCATCGAGGTACATGTACTTGCAATCGATTGTTATCGGGTGATGTGGTTGCCGTGTACCGTATAGAAGGGTGTGGGTGACGTATAAGAATGGCAACAGCAAACACGCAGCTTCAGCGATGAGAGCGCAGCAGCCACAGGGGATGCGGGCGCCAAAGTCTTGGAGCACCGTTGCTAGACAGCCGCTAAATCGAGCGCTAAATCCATTGTCCAAAGTTAAAAGCGAACCCCGCTACCCCGCGCCCATAAAGTCACTCGATTCACATTGAAGCTTTCCACTGTCTGACAGTCAGCAAGGCAGGTATCCAGCAGCTGTGGAATAACATGAGTTGAGCTCTTGACATTCAAACAACACTACAAAGACGTAATCAGCGCACAAACTAATCCAAAAGACTGTGAAATAAAGTACACGCACACCAATATCGTCACTAACACCTCCAAGCGCTGCCGAGGTACCTCGCCCTTTCCCCACCTCCCATGTCGCAGTACCTCCGTCTACTTTGGTGCCGCTTCGAACAACGCACTTCACATGCAATTTCCCCGCCTCTGGTGCCTTTCCATTGGGCACATCAGGCTGAGGTGACCATCGTGCCACTTTGGTGCGTGTCGAGCATGACCATTTGTATGACCTTGGCACAATTTCTCTGCATAATTCACGTTATTCAGTGGGATCGCGTGCTTGCGTGTTGCATCTGGCCATGTGTTGGCCCCAATCGAATCAGTGCATGCAATGGATGGCGATAGCTGCATCACCTTGATGGCCTTGTCACTCTAGTCCCATCATTGCATTTACCGCGCATGTCATACTACCACGTAAAAGAATTCAAATACCGCAATCAACAGCAAAATTCTCTTATAGAGCCATTGTCGTATAGGAAGCGGGATTGCTATCCACATCCGAGATACTAGCCTCATGCAAAGTGCTTGGATGCTGGAGCAGATGTAAGGCACAATCGTATCCATTTGCTGAGCACGCAGCAAAGTTGTCTGCGGTACATGTACATAATTACCTATATTGAGATGCAAGATTGACTTTTACGACAAGAAGAATAAAAGATGCATGCGTAGAGACAGCTTTAACTTGCCTCATCAGGACATGCTAATCTCCATGTACCCTACAGGCCAGACCTGTTATCCAGTGGCAGCACATGCATATACTCTGCCCTTGAAAACACAAGAGACTCAAGTTCACCATATACAACGATGTGCAAATTTAGATCGAAATATAGCCAGTTCAGTATCCTATCAAAAATCTTTCAGTTGTCAACCCCGTACATGGCCAAACCCCCCTTAAACCACATAACCATCAACGTCACCCCATCTCTCACACACTCTTCACTCTTCGACTCTTCACTTTCCGACTAATATCCCGACACTGCCTCTTATTCCTCTTCAACCCCCTCTCCACCCTATTCACCTTGGCCGCCAACATCTCCGTCCTCTCACGCTGCTCCTTCAACAACTGCATCAACACCTCAATCACGCGCCCTTGTTCACGCGTATTCGACAACTCCGTAGGGACAACATCCCCCTTCTCCTGGAGACAAGGCACCCGAATCACAAGCTCAGACACTTTCTCGTCGATTCCCTCTCCCTTCGGCGTCTCCTCCGGCTCAACGCCCGCCTCGCGCGCCATTCTCTGCACACAATCTTCATGCGACTCTTCTTCTCCTGTATACAGACCCTGCCCCCGAGGACATTCCCGCTTCGGTTCAGCTTTCACAGCTCTGTCCCCTTGGCTCACAGGTTCATTCTTTCGCCTCGCTATGGCCGGATGTTCCAAGCACCACGAGCACCCACAATCCTCGCCCACATGACCATCCTCAACCTCCATCGTCGGGATATTCATTATAGGAGGGCAATCCATCCTGTCTGTCTCCAAAACTTCCTTCACATCCCTCGGAACGACGCCCGGCGGCGCTTCTTCCACAGCTCTCTTATATTTTCGCTTGAAACCCTCCCACCAGTCCTGCCTCGCACATTGCGACGCGCCAAACATTGCTCTTAAAACGACAAAATGCCCCCAAGTTAATCTGTTATTCTTCCGCATATATCTCGCCAGTCGATGATTGGCAATGCTGTTTTGTTGCTCCGTGATACGCGCCCTAGGCACCCATCTGATGAAATCTCGTCGCTCTTCCAGAGACCACCACTCCGACTCACTTTTCCACAGATTCGTCAGCCGAGTATAGATGTGCGAATCAATAACGTTGTGCCCTCCAGACGGTGGCATTGACATGTTTCTTTCCCTTTTCATTGTGATTTTTTGTCCTTCACTCCCGACGTGCGATGAGACTAGAACTGGAACTGGGACTGAGACTGGGACTATTGCATCTTCCTTGGATGCTGTTTAACTGCGCTGCTTTTGCCACCGAAGGTACTCCTGTACCTGTAATGCTTTCCTTTCCTCGTTCATTATTTTCCTCCTGACGTCTCGGATCCAAAACTCTCGCGGGCTTGTATCAAATGTTAAAACAGGCACTGTACCATGCTACAGTTAGTAATTGGAATAACGCCAACATACAGGACATGGGGAACTGACAACAAGCAAAGTCAGTGGTCTACTTTTCGCAGCTGTCCCATGACCAGACTACATGTATAGAAAGCGAAAATGGCTAGAAACCCAAACAAAGAAAAACCAATAGCAAACGCTCAAAAAACGGAAGAAATGAAAAAGTTGGGGGGATTGAGGATTGAGGATTAAGAGTCTGCACGCGTTTTCTGGCTCTGGTCCCACATGTTTGGGGATCGGAATGAAAAGTGAAAGAAAAGTGAATTCTCGAGTGATTGAGGGCCAGCTGCCAGTACCCGTGCCCTAGCCTCAAAGTTACGTGTACAGCTACGGTACTTGCAAAAAAAGAAGATCGAAAAAAAGGAAGATCGCCTCAACTCAGTGTAAACTCCTTGTATTGATACCTTGATGATACTGCTATATCGATACTATTCCAGACTCAAAGAAAACAGACAAAGAGGGCAGCAAACAGGTTGATTAGTGGAGGTTATTGTGCGCAATCAAGTTGGGGCTTTCACCCCTGAGTTTGTGAATCCGACCTCTGGTGCCAAGGTCCAGGATTCGTTCTCTCAACGTGATTGGATTGTCAATCTTCTCCAGTGCACACAAATACAGCGCAAGACCAGCCACATGAGGCGCTGCCATCGAAGTGCCGGACAGCTTTCGGGTCGCCATGTCTGTGCTGATGTATGTGGATTCAATGTTGACTCCGGGAGCAAAGATGTTGACCTCTGGACCAAAGTTGGAATGCTCCCACTGGTGCCAATCGGCGTCGATGGCACCAACCGTGAATGCATTTGCCGCGGATGCTGGCGAGACGAGTCGAGCTGGCCTTCCCTCGTTTCCAGCTGCGACGATAGTCAGGATGCCCATATCGAAAGCAGATTCAACAGCATGATTCATGGCGCGAGAATAGGACCCCCCTTGCCGCAGCGTCAGCCAGTCTTGCCACACTCAGACACCAGAGTCAAATTTCCTCAACTGCCACTTACCAAGAGACATGTTGATTACAGCAAGACCTACGCGGTTTTTGGTGCGAATATCGTTGGCTGACCACTGATATGCGTCCATGACGGTGGACATGAGCGTCTCCTGATTGCGGAATGTTTTGACAGCGATGAGCTGTGCCTTCTTGGCCACTCCATAGGACTTGCTCCCGATAATCCCGGCACAATGTGTTCCGTGCCCCTGAATGTCAGTGAAATCTCCGTCCACGGCGTTGTAACCATTTGAGGCCCGCCCCTCAAACTCAATGTGGTTGACGTTGATGCCACTGTCCAAAACATAGGCAAAGGTTCCGTTGCCGGCGCTCGTATCGTAGTGGTAGGTTCCAGTGTTGCGTCTCTTGCTGGACAATGTTGCGAGGCCCCAAGGTGCGTTGGACTGAGATGCTGCCTTGTATGAAGTCTCCTCGCGAATGCTGACGACTGTGTCGGGCTCGATTTCCGCAACCTGCAAACATCGCTATTGTGTCAGAAATGACTCTCATCGCTGGGGTGCCTAATTCTGCTTACCCTTGTATCATTGCGGATCATCTGGAGTGTATCGAGGTCAAAAGCTCCAACGTATGCCCGAAACTCGCCAATAGCATATGCCTTCTCGATGCCAGTATGAGGAAGCTTGTGGTTACCAGAATTACGGTACTGGATAGCCGCAACCCTTGACATGTGGTTTCTGACTTCAGGCATTGGGATGTTGTTCTGGAGGGTGACGATGTATCTTCCCTCGGCGCTGATGGAGTTTTCATTGGCATCGTTGGCATCGTTGGCATCGTTGACGGGAAGAGCAGTGATGCGTGGCAGCGCCGCGATCAACAAGAGTGCGACATGTTTGAACCAGGCCATGTTTGCTGTTGTCTCAAAGAATCTGTGATGCAAATGTGATAAAAAGAAAGATATTAAAAAGCAATGTTTACAAAGCTGCTCAGTCAAAAAGCAGCTGCTGGAAGATGGTTTGAAGAGCAAAGTTTCCCATGGCCGAGATTTATAGCGTGTTTACGATTGTATGGTCACTTCCTCCTTCGGTTGACAAAGTTGGCGCACCTGCCCTGTGCTTTGTGGTTCCTCCTCCAACAGCTTTTCTCGATAAGCGAAACCACCTCCCTGCTAAAGACATCTACGATAGAACCGCCTGGAAACGACACCATTTGAGAAAGTACAACAGATCAACGCTCCGCTTTGGGGCAGTGTTATAACCGATCCCAGTACATGGAAGGCTACACCTACTATTAGGTATCCTGATATTTACCCAACCGGCATCACGTAAAGCTTCAAGGATATTGTCAATAATGCTATTTGTATATCCTGTAAAAACTAGCCATAGGCCAAAAGACACGCCTGTCTATGATTCCCAATGCGTAAATCCCAGCCACTGCTTCTATCCAGTGCAATGCACCTCTCGCGATCTAGTCAAACATCTTATTTTCTTCTGTACCCAATTAATATCCCTGGTATCACAAACTCCAAAAGAAAGAAACCGCTTTCCTATGCAGAAACACTATATACAAGAAATCCGACTTCTGCATCTGCGGCAGCGACAAGCAATCGACTCGCGCTCATGCACACTCATGCCAAAACACCGTTGGCCTCAAGCTTGCCCAGCTCCATCTCCTTTACTGCAGCAGCCACCTCAGGCTTCCTGCTTGGGAGAGCAGGCAGAGCTTCAACTTCTTTGCGGGTAATGCTCAGCTTATCCGGCGACAATCCCATTGACTTGAAGAATGAAATGGCCTCTTTCCACTCATGCTGCTTTCGCTCTCCAGACCACTGCAGCTCCTCAGCCATGACATCAATGACACGAGGGAGCGCGCGCAGAGCATTTTCAATGTCAAGGAAGGCGAGGCGAGTGCGTCGAGAGATTACATCGGCAGCTGTGCAGGCGGCTTCAGCGCGGACGCCATGTCGAATCTCGGCCTCGACAAAAGGAAGCGATGGGATCAGGCGGGTGGCAGCGGAGTTGGATGCTGAGAGAACTGCCCAGGCGCGGTCGCCATAGTTGCGGGACAAGTGCTCAGCAATGTCGGCATCGATATGATGGACTTCCATGAGCTGAGAGGCAAGAGACGTCGAGTAGCCGTGGGCTCCGACAAGGGGAACGTTCTTGGTCAAACAGTTGCCGGTAGCTTGAAGACCAGGGATTCCGACGCCACTGATATCGGGGAATGACACAGCTGAAGGTGTAAGGTCGAATGTCTTTATGGCTTCGTCGACGGCGTCCTCAGCCATCTGGCGGTAGGTGGTCCATTTACCACCGGCACAAGTGAGAAGACCAGATTGCGAAACGGTAACAAGATGGCTTCGTACGAGAGACTCGGTGTTCTTAGCCTTGGGGTCCCGAACAAGAGGGCGAATGCCTACTCCATGTTAGCTTCACTGGATCTAGAGTAATCAGATTCCGAATTGATACGTACCAGACCAAGTTGCCAGAATATCGGACTGGCTCAAGTGCGACTCAGGCCGCAGAAGCTTGTTGACCTCCTTGAGAATAAACTTGACATCTTCTTCCTGCGCAACCGGCTCTTTCTCGATCTCGCAAGAGTTGTCCGTCGTGCCAGCAACCGTGTATCCCTGCCAGGGCAGCACGAAAATGACTCTTCCATCGGAGGTGGCTGCATCAAGCATGCCCATGCCATTCGGGCATAGGCTGCCGGGAAGCATGACGTGAGCGCCAGAAGCGGGAGCTACGAGAGCCATGCGGGAAGGGTCGTCCATGCGTTCGACAGCATCGGTAAAAGGCCCCGTAGCGTTGATGACGCCTTTGGCGCGCACGGTGAACTCCTTGCTATCGCCGTTGCCCAGGGTATCTTTGAGGGTGGCGCCGCGGATTCTGCCGTTCTGGTCCTTGTCCAAGCCCGTTACTTCGACATGATTCAATACAGTCGCGCCGTATTGTTGAGCGGTGATGGCCAGAGAGACGTTCATTCGAGAATCATTGTGCTGGCCATCATAGTAAACCAGAGCGCCAACCACTTTCTCCTGGCGCAGTAAAGGGAAGTTGGCAGCGGCCTTGCTCTTGCTCATAAAGTAAGAGCTCTCGAGGCCCTGCGAACCCGCGAGCAAGTCGTAAGCTTTCGTGCCGATCCACATATAAGGAGCCTGCCACCAGTTTTGGAGGGGCAGCAGAATGGGGAGCGAGTTGGAAAGGTGAGGAGAGATGGTAAGGAATGTCTTGCGCTCATGCAGCGCTTCCATAACCAGCTGCAGCTGGGAATAATCCAGGTTCATGACGGCCTTTTCGAGATAGCGCACGCCGCCGTGGACCAATTTGGTGCTCTTGGAGCTGGTGCCCGCGGCGAAGTCATCGCGATCCACAATAGCGACCTTGAGGCCGCGAGTTACAGCGTCAAGCGCAATTCCAGCGCCAGTCGCACCCGCGCCGATAATGAGCAGGTCATATTCTTCGAGGCTCTCGTTTGTCTTGCTGTGGCGCCGCAGGTCGGCGAGCTGTTCGAGTCGAGATGGCACGGCGGGGAACGATGGCGGAATAATGCGGCCATTGCCGTCGCGCTTTACCTCTGCGATTGGCTTGTGAGTGGTATGTGATATTCTGCTGCGAGCATAGAGAGCAGCGCCTCCAGCTGTGGCGGCGGCGGTCAGGCCCAAGAGAGGGCGCCGAAGGCGCGAGAAGCCTCCAACCATGGTGACGAGATTCGAACAAGATTAGCAGCGATGCGCAAGTCTGCAGATAATATAAAATCCTCGAACACGGACAGTAGAGTCTGTTGTGAGGTAGAGCGATGAATGAGGCTTCAGGTAGAAAAATGTCGTGGGGGGCAAAGGCGTTGTTTTAAAGGATGCAGGAAGCCAGGGCCAAGCGGGATCGGCGACAAGGAGATAAAACAATCAAGGTTCGTGGGTTTCCACGGAAAGCCAGAAATGGAGTATAAAGGCGAAGAAACAAAAGTCAGATAGGGTTTGCGTCAGATGAGGTGACTTTGATAATCAACGTCAACTGAGCTCGGTGGATGATGCCGACGTGGGTCCAGCGAGATTTCGGTCGATGCGACGATCAAGTTGGGGGGTCCCTTGGCAGCACTGATTCGTGGAACGAAAGGGGCGAGTTGATTGGGAAAGCACGGCGGAGAAGAGAAATTGTAAGGCTGCAGCTGCACAAGCTTTAATGAAGTCGTTGCGTTTCTGGTACCGTAATCTGGCCTCGGAGTATTCCACGTGGTGGCTTGCGTCCTGTGCCCAGGGCTTCATAACCGATGCAGCTTTTTCTTTTGACTTTATCCGTTGGAGCCTCATAACCACAGCCTCAACAAAACAAGGTGATGTCACGGACTCGGAAAACCGCTACCATGCCAGACAATCATCGACTTTTCTTGGCTGCGATCCCGGTGCACCCGGTTCGGAAGTGGACTGGATCGGATTCCCTGAAAGGGTTCAGGTCGTCGCCTCCAGGCCAATCACGCGGCAGGCCGTCCTCCGGGTTACGGACCTGCGCGGGTCGTGCTCCAAATATGGCGGCGGCGGAGTGGATCGAGTGCCTGGATTGGGGGCGATTCGGGCTTACAGAACCGAGGGCGATCAGCCACGCGTCGAAGCTGCGCATCTGAGTGGATGGAGTTGATGACTTTGCTCGGCTGTGGCTTGCGAAATGGGTCCAGCGCTTGGGGGTTCTCGGTATATTTTCGGTATAGGATTCCCGAGTTAAACTCTCCTCAGGCTTTTAGTGAGAGGCCAAAACTCATAGAAGACTCGCGATGTGCCGCGCTTTCGCCAGCTGTCTCCATTGGCGGAACGCCATCACTCCGGGTTGCTGTCTTGGGTATGGAGGATTATCCCACCAACTGAAGAGGCGCATTCTTACTTTTCGAGCTGTTGCTTCGCGATAAGCTTAAAGGTAGACGGCCTGCACAACCATCGCGATGATTGGGTTAACGTTGCCTGCGTTGTCTCGGCCGAGCCAAAAAGCTGTTCCAGAGGCTGGTCACATGTCAGCCAATGGTGCAGGCCGAGTAATGCAAGCCACATTCCGCCATCTTCAGCCACAGTTAGTCAGCCAGCCACGATCCAGACTCTCCTAGCCAGATGCATCCAGACCTCCAAGGGTCCTGCATCTCTATCCACCAAATATTGACGCCAATAACCAATAACGGGAATTTTGGTGCTCTCAGCTTCTGACAAGCCGCCACCTACCGACGACACCGAGGCCGAGACCAGCGCTGTCCTACCATGGACTCAGCTATCATGTCCAGCGCAAACACGTACAGCCTCCCGCTTCAGCTGAAAACTTGCGTTACCACATGTCGTCTCATGACATCCTGAGGTCGGCAAACTCAACTGCATTCAGACTGGCTACCAGTATTACCGACTCTGTCATCCAATCATGGCTCCACACCGGGATTTACGCGGCGGTGTCAGACCGTTATCCTCAACGTCTTCCGTTTTCTTTCTCTCAATCCCGCCTTTGTTTCCCACCGGGGCACAGACGCAGGGCGTGTGCATACTCGATACCAGGTATCGCGCAGAGGCCACTTCTAAACCGAGGAACCCTACCCGTCTTCCCGTCCAGCTCCACAGACTGCAGCACGAGGCCAGGTGACCATGGCCGGGGTCTCATTGTCTTTGTCGCCTTTTGCCTCTCAACTCATATTCGGAGAAGCCCGTGCAGCTTTTCTGACCAGTCGCGGATCTCACACCGCAAGGGTTGAGTGAGAAAAGAGGAAAAATGTCTTGGCAAAATGGCTGGAAGATATCGCTTAGCAGCGCTTGACCCTGGTAGTGCCAGGGCGCGTTGTCAGAATCTCGCGATAGTGGCATCAGCCTCATCGGTGTGCTGTCTGTGGTGTTGAAAGCTAGTATTGCACCAATGCTTTAGTACGAAGCAAGGACCGGTGAGCCAAATCATTGGCCCAGGGGGTTCAGAAAAGCTTCTGTTCTCCCTAGATAAGGCTGGGTTTGCATTTCAGCCCCTTTTCATGTAAGCCACTCGAGATGCAGTAGCTCTGCCTCATGCTATACATGGTAACAGTGGCAATTGGGCCATATACCTTGCTGAAATCTCCGAGCACATCACGAACCTAGCTTTCATCACATTTCACTACCTATGCCGTCTTGCATTTGCATTTGCATTTCCAGCAGACTGGTCCAGCTGCACAATTACCCCAGCCTCGAAGCCCCATTTGAACACGTACCCTTGCTCTGCAGCATCTCCATTTCAGGGCGCTCGGCAGATATCACATCCCAGACTTCACAGGCTTCATTGATACCCAACGGCGCACCCTATTTTCTTAGGCTGTTACTCATTATTACTACATGGTTGTATACCATTGCCGCTCGCTAAATTACCCTTCGCTGTACTTGTACATCTGACCGTACTCCGAATTCCAATAAACGCATACCCAAAATCAAGAAACAATTCATCAGCTTCTTTGCCATATTTCCTTATCCTCTTTCTCCTTTTTATACAATGGATAAATGTCTTTTAACACCCCGGTTCACCGTATTTTTTACCTGTAATCTTCCCGAGACCATCTCGTTCTGTTTTCATAAAGCGTTGAGCATTTGGTGGCAGCCATTAGACTTTGGTGTCAATGGCTGAGGGACGAGTGTTGGACCACACGTTCTTGCGAGGCCGGAATAGGCGCGTAAGGCCCAGCATCGGAGTGTTGATAGGGCTGTTTCCCGTATAGAGGAAAACGTCGTACAAGAACCCGCCAAAGGCGGTGCCGCAGAATGGGGCTACCATGGGAATCTGCAATGCATAGTCAGCAACAGCGGCTTGTTTACACAGGGGTAAGATGAAATCCGGCGTACCCAGAAATAGTAGCCACCGGCAGACCAGACCTCATGGCCATATCCGATCATGTATGAAACCAGTCGAGGACCAAAGTCACGAGCGAGGTTGATGGCATAACCCGTCTCCCAGCCAAAGCAAGCACCGATACCAAAGATGAGGAAGAAAAGAGCAAGGGGCATCATGTGTCCAGCATTGACATTGTTGGGGTCAACCAAAGCAAAGATACAGAACATGAGGATGCTGCTGGCGATGAATTCAGAGAAGAACATGCCTGTCCGAGTCATGAAAGGGGCAGGATATGTGCAAAAGACCCCGGCTGATGCTGTAGGGCCAGTCACCGTCCGGATTCCCGCGCCGCCCTCAAAGGCATCAAAAGCCGACTTATAGTTGCCATACACGATGGCGGCACCAACCATGGCTCCGAGAAGCTGAGCAAGGGCGTAGACGGGCAACTTGCGCCAGGGGTGGCCGCGGTACAGACAGTTGGCGAAAGTCACCGCTGGGTTGAGGTGGCCACCAGATTTACCGCCAACAAAGACACCGAACATGACGGCAATTCTATTTCGCCAAGCGTTATTAGCAACAAAAAACTCAGAAACGGGTAACCGCTCGGCCACTTACCCCCAGCCCCAGGAGATGCTCTGGTAGTCACCCTTGGTGCTACCGCTCAAGACAACCTGTGCAACGACACCATCGCCAAAGAGAATGAGGACCATTGTTCCAAAGAATTCGGAAAAGGCATCCATGCAGTATTCTCGAATCCTGCTCCATGCCAGCTGCTCTTCTTCCAGAGAAGGAGACATCAGCTCCAACTCTGGTGTATCTTCAAGTCTTGGATTGCCCATGTTGGAGCTGTAAAGAGGAAGAGGAAGAGGAGTAGGCTTTTCGATGGAAAGTTCTGAAGTCTCTGGAGAGTTGGCGATGGACATGAAGAATGAGACGATGCTCGGCGGAGGGATTGACAAGTGTTTACTTGAAAGAGAATGGAGGGAGGTGATGTTAAATTATACTTCTTTTCCTCCCACGTTCAACGACCCGGGCTAGCGATATGAAATACTACGCGGTCAAGGGACGGACAGGATATTTTACGTTTCTCGTGGGGCTGGCACGGCTTGCACGCCCTACTCGTACCGCGGTTGAGGCTGGCTGGGATTCAAACAAGAAAGATCGGGTAAGTCGGTCCTGCAGACGCAGACGCAGACGCAGGCGAGATGAGGGGGTGTACGAAGATGACAAGATTCCCACAGCTGACAGTCAGAGATTGGATTAGATCTGGTCCCAACAACAGCTTCATTGTCTGTGGATCTTGGGAATCGAGAACACGTTCTTCCCCGCCTTTACTACGGGGATGCAATGCGAGTTTGAAGGACCAGGATATACGGGAAACGATTGAGAGCGCTAGAGAGTTACGAGTAATACGTATCTCGAAAGCTCAGGTGATGTCAAGGTTACAAATGCTAATGTTTGCCCGGACGGGTGAGGGGAACTGGGAATCGCATGATGGGTGTTAAATGGCAACCTAGAGTTGGGGATTCGAATGCATAAGGACGGGGGCGTCGTCGCTTCTTTCGCTCTCGCCCACCTGCGCACCCTCGGCGGCTTACACCGAATCAGGTCACACAGACTATTTTTCATGGCTAGAGAAGGAGGAGCATGGCTGGCGGGCGGGCAGCGGGCGTGGCCGAGACAATGCGCAGTCTTTTTGTGTGAGAAGGGTGGCGGTGGTTTCGATGTGAAATTCATACCCCCCTCCCTGTCCAAATTAGACAAGAGGATGGCTAGGGCTTTTGTGAGACCCTCGCGGGGAAAACAAAACGCCAGTGTGGTCTGAATCCGCGCGGCGTCGGACCTGACCGGACGCAAGAGCGGTATTAGCGCAGAGAAGCGGAGTGAGACTGGACAACGGCTCTTTGGCAAAAAGAAAGGGGAGAATGGCGGTGCGGGAGGAGGCAAAAGAAAAAGGGAAAAGGGGAAGAGGTGCCCCCCGCGAGGATATAAGAAGGCCGCAGGAGACGAACAAAGACGCATTGAGCACTCTGCAGAGCCACGACGACGCACAAGCATGGAACGCAATCTCAGACACAAGACGAGAGCTGTGGACAGATCAACCCGGCATTAAGCTTCTGGGGCTCGTCCATACATGAAGCAGCCTAGTTGCTCGGTGCATGGATGCAGCGGCGCGCATGTCCCCGTTGAGACAAAGCGGCAACGTCGAGTGTGTGCACAAATGCGAGGATTGGGGCTAGGGCCATGCCATGCCACGATGGGCTCATGGACGTTCACCGGGGAGGCCGCTTCTTTAACCGTTTTCCATGGCCATTCCATTAGTAAACGGCCTGCTCCTTTGGACGACGGGGCGCTTATCCGTTTCCTAACCAAAAGGGTGTGCTGCCATGCCAGGACGGTCAGGATGGCCTCCCCCCTCGCGCGACTATTCGGTATTGCAATCCCAAGCTGCAGCCCCCACCCTCGCTATTCTTTCCGATCAAGATCCAGACGCTGGCCGTTTTTGTCCCGAGCGTAGCGGCGTTTCTAGCTGCGTTTCCAGAGCTTAGGCGAGCGAGAGCTGCAAAGCTAGCATAGGGCTTTTGATGGCTGGGCTGGGCTGACGAGGCGTCGCCAATAAGGTCGGGCGGGAGAGCCCGAGACGGGAATTTGGGGACGATGCAGGTCTTGTTATAGCGGCAGCTCTATTTCTGCGGCATCTCATCGGGGTCCCTGAATGCTGGGCTCGGGTTGCAGAGACCCGAAAATAAAGGACCCTGGCAGACACACAGCCTCGCGTCGTGCGGGGATCCTTGCTGCTGCAGAGTAGACTTGTAGTGCTTTTTTTTTGAATATTTGTGTATAATTGCTACCAACACCGTAGACTATCGAAATGGCTTTTGCCCGGAGGAGCAAGCCTGCGCGGAAATGGCTGGCTGGACTGCTTTGCCGTGCATGACTAAGTTGCTCTGGCACATGCCCAGCTGAGAGTGGGCGTGTCTGAATTGGATGACATGTGCAAAGTCAATTGAGTCAGTTTCAATTACCGATGGATGACGGTTTCCGATGGATGACGGTCTTTGTCTGAATGACGGTATCTGCCTTTTGCGCTTTGCCATGCCCGTGGAGCAGAAACACAGAAACCCATTTTAATTGTTGAGCCTCTCAAGTCGTCGACGTAATGGCCCGGCGAACGCGTAACGGCCAGTCTTGCACGTAATGCCCGGTCCAACTAAGCAGCACATTAAGCATCGCCGATCCGCCACCATAGGTCTGTGTAATCACCCCTATAAGCAAAGCTTGGTGCTGGAGTTTCCCCTCCACCGGTTCGTTCCCAGCCCAGGTCCAGGGCCATGGCCAGGCCCGTAACGTAACCCGCGCCTCATTGCTCGCCTTAGCGCCCGACGCTCGGCTCTGCTCGCCTCTCCTCGTGACCGTCGCGCCTCCACAGTCTGGGGAATGAGGGGTAGCTCCCATGTGGCACTCCCTTTAGTGCTGAAAACGCAGCCTCTGGAGCCACTCGGCTTGCCTTCCTGGGAGCCTCGATCCTGCTGGAGGCAGTTTGTCCGGAGCGCGCCACCGGGGCTAAGCAGCACAAGCTTTAGGGCTCCCCCTCAGTGAGGAGCACTATAGCGCACTGGACTTCTGCCGCGTGCCTGCGAAGACCGCATCGTCGGAGAATCGAGGTCGCTTAGGCGTAACCGCTCGTCGACACACACTGACTGACTCTGGCTTGGCTGACCAGACCCTTTTTTATTATTATTATATTATACCTCGTAATTTCCGCTCTCCTCTCCGCTTCCTTTTTCTTTTCTTCTTCTCATTCTCAATTTTTTATCATCAAGCTCTCTTGTTCTCTTGACTATTAGCACGTTTTGTCTGTATCATAGGAACTTGTTTCTGCCCCTTTTTTCAAGTCTCTTTTTTTTTTTCGCCACGCAAGCCACACACTCCGTACTCGCACCTTTCCCTCCGCATACTCCTTCTCCTATAAACGCAAATTGCGTCCCCTCGTGAATGCTCTCATCTTTTCTCCCAAAAAGACTCAAAGATAGGAGACTGCGGAAATCAAAGACCATGATTCGTCCCACCTTTGTTGGAGCCATAGATCAGGGCACCACCAGCTCTCGGTTTCTCATCTTTAACCAGAAGGGAGAGGTGGTTGCGACACATCAGCTAGAGTTTAAGCAGTACTATCCTCATCCTGGGTAAGTAGAGTATTTGTATCGTGCATGCGAAGAAAGAAATAAGCTTATAATTTCCCCCTTTCGTTTAGTTGGCATGAGCATGATCCTGAGGAGCTCATCTCCTCCGTAGAAATCTGTGTGGATGGCGCTGTCGAGGAGTTTGAGAAGCAAGGCCACACGCGCGAGCAGATTGTTGCCGTCGGCATCACCAACCAGCGTGAGACGACTGTTGTTTGGGACAAGACGACCGGCAAGGCGCTGCACAACGCCATTGTCTGGACCGATGCCCGATCTCAGGAGCTGGTCCGCAAGCTGAAGAACCGCATTGGCGCTGGTGAACTGACCAGCCGGTGCGGCCTTCCCCTTTCCACGTATCCTTCAGTCAGCAAGCTGCTGTGGCTCCTTGGAAATGTCCAGGAGGTCAAGGAGGCGTATGAGCGCGGCCATCTTGCGTTTGGCACAGTCGACTCCTGGTTGGCATTCAAGCTGAATGGCGGAACAGCCCGCAACATCCACGTCACAGACCCGTCCAACGCTTCACGGACAATGTTTATGAATCTGGAGACACTGGAGTACGACGCAGAGCTCATTGATTGGTTCCGTCTGGACCGAAACAAGGTCATTCTGCCCAGGATTGTTCGCTCATCAGATACCGAGGCATACGGCTCTCTGGCCACTACTTCACTAAAGGGCACCAAGATCACGGGATGCTTGGGCGATCAGTCCGCCGCCTTGGTTGGCCAGAAGGGTTTCACAGCCGGTCTCGCCAAGAACACATATGGCACCGGTTGTTTTTTGCTCTACAACGTCGGCCCAAAGCCCGTCATCTCAACTCACGGTCTCCTGACCACAGTTGCGTTTGACTTTGGCGAGGGCAAGAGAATGTATGCGCTGGAAGGCAGCATCGCCGTTGCCGGATCCAGCGTTCAGTTCTTGAAAAACAACTTTGGCTTTATCGAGTCATCCTCTGAACTCAGCGCCCTCGCTGAGGAAGTAGAGGACAACGGAGGCTGCACGTTTGTCACTGCTTTCAGCGGTCTCTTTGCCCCTTACTGGATCGACGATGCCCGAGGCACCATTTTTGGTATCACATCTTACACCAAGCGTGGCCACATTGCCCGCGCTACCCTCGAGGCCACATGTTTCCAGACACAAGCCATTCTGCGAGCCATGGAGAAGGACAGCGGAAAGCCGCTGGCTGAGCTCGCCGTGGACGGTGGCATGTGCAATTCAGATTTGATCATGCAGGTACGTGCGACTAAGAAGGAGCTTGACAAAAGAAGGATTGAGAATATTTAACTGACTATTTTTTTTTTATAGACTCAATCTGATTTCACCGGCATTACCGTCAACAGACCGGGAATGCGCGAAACGACAGCCCTTGGTGCTGCCATCGCTGCAGGACTGGCCGTGGGTGTGTGGAACAGCTTCGATGACTTGGAAAAGGTCAACAACGAGGGGCGAACCATTTTCAAGCCTGCGATTTCAGCGCAAGAGGCTGGCAAGAAGTTTGCCCGGTGGGAGAAGGCGGTTGAGATGAGCAGGGGATGGCTGAATGAAGCATAATAGCATAATGAATGTGATGAACACCAAATACTGTTAAATAATTAATATACTGCGAGCGGGTTGCGTTTTCTTCTACAGCTATCGGCCCAGATCTCAATGTGTAAATGTCATATATCGTACTTGTATCTACGACGCACGCGTGCATAGCCTCTACCATGGTTTGCATCGTGCATCATGCATGCATTGTGCCTTGATGATACGTAAAAGTGGTCTGCCCGTGTGCCACACAGCTTTTCAGCTGTAATCTCAAATGCAGGCACCGCGGCTCGGGATATCACCAGCTGATATGAAAATTGTTTTTTTTTTTTTTCTTTCCCTTCCTTCCTTGCACGTGTAATAGGCTTGACTCGTGAAATAGGTACCGAGAAGATGGGCTTTCGTGGATACCCATTTCCCGGAAGATCACCGAAAGCGTGCCTGGACCCTTGTGGATTTCTGCACTCAAAAAAGAAACATGAAATGGCACAGTTCTGTTTTTCGGGGTTGCTTTTACCGGATGGACGTGGAGACGGCTCGGTTTTGCAAAAGCCGACACAGGACTTTGTGGGGACGTCTAGAGCGGACCGTTCTTAACGAAGGCATCGCTAGGTTGGGAGGGAAGCTATGGAGACGTGGAAGGGGGCTCCGTTTTCTGCATATAAACGGAAGCGGTGGGCGCTAAAATGTCCGTGCAAGTGGTCATGCTGGAAGAGGAGTTTTTTTGTGTCGCTCGTGCTTTTTTCGCCCAGACAAACATCGGATGATCGCTTTCCTTGTACGGTGTAGAGCGCAATTTGCTTATGGCCCGCTAGCGAGCATGACGATCCGGGGTCGCGTAGAAAAGAAGCTTCTGGGGAAAAGAAGCTCCATATTCTTCTTCAGCGACGATTATTTGCCTCTTTTGAAACGGAGGGCGGGAAAACGGTGCAGGGAGATGTTGCCCAAAGCGGCAGCGTGTTTCTACATGGTATATACGCTGGGGAGAGAGGCTCAGCAAGCCGATTTTCAATAGTTTTTTTTTTGAAATTGTGCGCTCTGCCGTGCTCACGGAGGAGTTATACGAGACGGGCTAGCCAGGCCCTCAAATTGCGGGTGGTAGTAATTCTCACCACTTTTTTTTTTTCCGTCCCGCTGGACAAGGGGGTGTAGCTATAGCCGCTGCTTTGTGTGCGCTAGACAAGAAAGAGATCTATCTAGGAACTCGAGGGAAACCCCGGAAGCGAGTGCTGCAGCTCAATGACTTTTTTTTTTTTATGAGGGGTGGGAACATGCGGAGAGAGATAGACATGGGTGATCCGATGGGGAGAAGCAGACGAGACGAGGGGGAAAAGGAAGAGGAGTAGAAGGAACAAGAGGGTGTGAGAATGATGCGTCTGGGAGGCAAAATTGGGTGTCGTGGAGGTTGGCTCGTGATGCCCTGCCTTGCTCCGGAGCATATATCCTCGGCAATTTGTCATGTCGGCGGATTGAGGCAAGATTATGTACGAGATTTAGCGATGGCCCCGCGTTGAGTTGATTTTGGGTAGGTTAGATTGATTAGATGGATGGAGTGATGCTGGGAGGTGATGCTGGAAGCAGGAATTTTGGTGATTGCTGGATGCAGTTCACGGCCTGGTGAGAGTGGCGATGGTAGTAGATCAATGATTGATTTGTAGGGCTTGGAGCAGGTTTAGATGACAATTCATGTTTCTGTTCTTGGGAATTCAAGTCTCAAGCCGGTGATGGTGACACATTTTGATTCTCAAACTTGTTCCCTGAACAAGAACTGAGTTGAGAGCGGACAAAGGGACCCGAAACACCGAAAACCAAAACTTGGATTTCCAACCCATTACGCCTTGATTCGCAGCCCTGCCATGCCCTCTCTGATCTAATCTTGTCTTCTCTTATCCTCCATCTTCATACGGTGCGGTATGCTGTCCGTACTCCGTCAATCAGTGCCTCGCTCTGCTTGCCCGAGCATCAGCTCAATTGCTTCGGGACTTATAGCGAGCACTTGGTAATACTAGCCACAACTATGGATCTGATGCTCTAATTAGAGGCTAAACGGGACTGGAGAATTTATGAGCAAGGCCAACGACTACACAAAACCCCTGCCGCCATGAGCCCTGGAGCCGCCCAGTACAGCGCGCGAAGAAGCCTGGAAGGCAAAGAGAAACGGGGAGTTCCCCACCTCCGAAACCGCGGCAAGCCACATAGACAGCAATCTGCAGCGTCAAACCACCAAAAAAAGACACTGGGCCGCAGGCAAATCATATCGCCCCCCCCCCTCTGAGGAATGACGAGATAAACACCTTTTTTTTCTGCCTAGATCACGGCGTTTGTTATCACAAAGTCTCCGGATGCGCGACACGGAGGCTCCAGGCCCGGCAGCGCCCCAGACAGGCCCGGCGGGTGAGAGCCAGCAGCGGCAGCAGCAGCAGCAGCAGCAGCTGTGGAATCATGCCGAGCCTCCACCGCGTGCTGGCCTCTCGCTGTCCGTGGCCGAGGACGATGCAAACTCGGCGTCGAGCCACGACGAGGGCTCCAGCGCGGATGAGACGACGCCGGCGGTAGCCTCGTCGGAGCAGAATGGCGCGGGCGCGACCAAGAAGCGCAAGAGGACCAAGTACCAGAAGACGTCGTATGTTGGCCATTGTCATTCCGTGCTCCTGATTGTGTCCCTTGCCTTGTCTTAATCACTCGTTATCATATCATCATCATCATCATCACTGGTGTTTGTGTGAATCAACATGGCAGCATCAACTCCACAAGCCTTCTCCCAGCCTGACTAATCTGACTCGATATCCAGATGCGAGCTCTGCAAGGCGCGCAAAGTCAAGTGTGACCGCGCCGAGCCCGCCTGCTCGTGGTGCGCGCGGCATAACCGGACCTGCGTCTATCTCGAGAGGCAGAAGCCGGGCAGCCGCATCGGCTTCAGCCTGGAGCTCGAGGCCAAGGTCAACCGCATCGATGCGCTGCTGCAGAGCCTGGGCCGCCGCGTCGAGGAGCACATCGCCAACGATCACCTGGCCGGTGCGCAGGCGCAGAGCCTGTCGCCGGCTCTTACTAACCATCTGCCGTCTCCGGGCGATGGCTATCATCAGGACGGCTCGAGGCTTGGCCCGGTGGGAGCGGCGAGGAGCACTCCTACGACGAGACCGAGTCTTGCTGCCCCCGTCTGGGATGCGAATGGCACCGAAGAGTATCAGGACGGTCGAGTGCCGTCAAACAACTCGGTATCCGCAAGCAACTCCCACGCTCAAACGTATCCTCCTTCGGGATTCTCAACGTCTCGGAGGGGCCCCTCATCCATCAGTGCCGCTAATGACCTTCCCCCTCACGATATTGTCTACAACATTGTCGATCTCTACTTCAAACACTGCAACCCCTGGTGCCCTATCCTGGACCGCAAATCTATATTCGGCATCTTTTTTGGCTCAACGTCTCTAAGCGAGCCTGATCGAGTCCTTTTACATGCCATCGTCGCAACGACTTTGAGATTCTTAAAAGACCCTCGGCTGTCTCCGGAAATGAGGGCCCACCACCATGCAGTATCGAGGCAGATTGTCCAGATGTACGCCATGGAAAATGTCACCATTACAGCTCTAAGAGCTCTAGTTATCCTCAGTTTGGACGAGTTGGGCACCTCGAATGGGCCCAAGGGATGGAATATGCTCTCGCTTCTGGCGCAGAATGTCAAACAGCTCGGACTGTGCGAAGAAAGCAGCGTCTACTTGACCGTTCAGGCTGACAATGTGCCACACACGGGATCAATACGGCGAGTTGTTACTGGGCGCCCGGAGTCGTGGATTGAGGACGAGGGGCGTCGACGGATTTGCTGGATGGTATATCTGCTCGACCGATACGCAACAATAGCGACGACGACTTTCGATTTTATGCTGGAGGATAGAAAGATGAACCGGGTTCTTCCGTGTTCGTATGACTTGTTTTCCAGAGACGTTCCGGTGGAAACGCGTTCTTGGGTTTCGCCGTCTCAACAGTATGGTACCACTGGGTATGCGGTCAATAAGCCAGAGAATCTAGGGAGCTTCTCTTACCACTGCGAGATTCTGAGGATACTCAGCAAGGTTCATAATTTTCTAAAGACGCCCGTCGACATAACATCGTCGGCCGACGTAGCCAGCTGGCGAAATACCTACCGATCACTAGATGGCGCGCTGGATGGCTGGCTGAGGAGTTTACCAAGCGACTATAGCAAGATCTCGGCGCTGTGTCACTCTGATCCTGGAAGCCGAGTAGCAAATTGGTTCATGTTGCACGGCGCATATGTCACATCAGTGGTACGGCTGCATTCCTCTGCTGCATATCCCACCGTCAGATCACACCTCTTTGTGCCGTCGTACTACGCAATGCAACGGTGTCTATCTGCAGTCCAGAGCCTGGCGGATATTGCTCGAGACGTATTTGAAGCAAGTGGTCTGGATAACCTCGGTCCCCCTTTTGTATTTGGTCTCTGGGTTGCTGCTCGGCTGTTGCTCGTACACGCAGCATCCATAGGCTGCCCTGTCGATCCCAAGATTGAGTTCTTCATCGAGATTTTAAGCCACATTGGTCAATACTGGGAGGTGGCCAACAATTATGCCAAGATATTATCCAGAGCTGTCCAGAGAGGACGACAGGGAGATATGAACTTTACGGCTATGCGCAGGTGAGTGTTTATAATACACACAACACCAGTGATCTCATTTATATGTCTTTCATGCTTACATCAATCACAGGAGCGCACATGATTTAGCAACCTTGACGTCGTCAACGAGACAATCGGGCGCGGAACCTACATCAACGCAGGTGACGTCGCTGAGCGAACTCGACAACATTGACATCTTTGACTTCTTCAACTATCCGAAATTACTAGAACCAAGGACGGGAAATAGCCAAGCATGGCAGACCCAGGGCGTTAATGGACTGACGGGAGAGTCAATGAGGATGCCGGATCCGGAGTCGGACTGGCTAGGGTACACTTCACAATATCAGTAAGCCTTTAAAGGATGGAAACAGATGATTTGATCAGAATCTTTTTTGGGGAATTGTTTTTTTTAGCGCGAATGGATTTTTTTATGAGCAGCGATACCAAAAGCAACAGAAATGTTATGTTATGTATGTGTGGTTTAGGGCCTTGGATGGAAGAGTTGGATTCAGGGGATGGTTTTATTATATGGAATATATTCAGTCTGAGATGTGTACAAATATAGTTGCTATTGTATTTTCACTAATGGTCTGATGCTTGCTTGGCGACTGTTATGAGATCTAGTATATATTGTCAATAACGGTTGTTCCTTAGCTGGTGGGAGGTATTTTTGATTCGTCGGCATTACTGTTATGCTTCATAGGCAATTGTATCACAAGTATGGAAGTCATTGTGCTTTGACAATGTTCTATTAGTCTATTTATGCTGCCATTAACTCATCTCCTCTTATTCTTTTCTCCTTTCTCACATGAAAATATTTGCACTGAAAGACTAAAGGCATGCAGTAATAAATACAACGCTGTAGAATAAACACAAAACACAAAACATCCACCTCCACTTGAGAAAATAGAGGAAATGACTTGCGCATCTCTCGCTACTAAACAAAACCGCCAGTCATGTTCACGCAGCCCTAGCCGCCGCCAACAGGGACAATCTCGCCAAAGAGCTTCTCTCGCTTCATGAGGAGCCCGGTAATCGTGTGGACGCCACCTCCCACGCAAACGAGAATGAATGCCTTTTGCATAGCCTTTGTAATAGCTAGAATGGCTTGATCCCTAAGATCCCCACTGATTTCTTCAAAGATGATACTCTGGGCCCCGGCAATGGCATTTTGAATGTCAGCGGCTGAGAAGTTGTACGCGCTGCCAGCCAGCACTTTGGTCAAGTTTTGAGTGGCACTGGACTGGAAGACCTGACCAGCAATAACAAGTGCAATGACAGAGCCGCCAATTTGGGAAACGTTTTGTAATGCAAGTGCGTCGCCCATGTGTTTGGGACTCACTTTGAGTGTGGCGACTGCGTAACCAATCTGAAGAGTCAAGCCGGATCCTACAGCTACGATGACGGTGAAGCCATATATGTAATTCGCGGGGGTCTTGGGATCGAGATAGGCTGTGAGCAATGCGCTGCCAAGAGTGATGAAGAAGCCGGCGATGACGTAAATCGGCATGTAGTATCGGACTTTGGAGAGAAGATAGCCGGCCGCGAGGTTGAAACTAACGGTGAGGATGACGAATGGGAGCAGTCGAACTGCGGCCTCGATAGCGGTGTCGCCATGGACGAATTGGAAGTATATGGGGATGAAGTAGACGATGATAAAAAGGGAGGTGATGTTTGATGATGTTGCAATGTACAGAAGGACCTGAGAGCGAGACCGTAAGAGGTGAATCGGAAATGAACGGTTTTCAGGGGTTGTTAGGATAGAAAAGGTTTGTTGAATGCCAAAAATGATTAATACAGCCACGAATACCACAATAGTGGCAATGGTTCGGCCATCGTTCCAAGCCCATTGGCCACCTGCCATGGTAAACGCCAGCGTAAAAGAAACCCAGGTGCTGGCACCAAGGAACAGTCCAAGAAAGTCGATCCGCTTGACGCGTTCAACAACGGCGATGGCGGCGCCCTCAGCTGCATGAATGGATGGGAGACCAAAGACATATACTGGAGCGAAAGCAGCAGCAATGATGAGGTTGATGTAAAAGGCCCAGCGCCAAGTGGCACTAGATTGAACAAAGGAACCTCCAATTACGGGTCCAAGAACAGCGCCTATGCCCCAACAGAAGCCTGTTCCAGTAATGTATATTCCCCTCTCTTTGGGCGTTGTCAAGACGGTAAAGTAGTTTAAGCATCCCATGAAGACGCCACTACCGCCAGCTCCAGCAATGACTCGTCCGACAATCAAGGCAGACATGCTCGGTGCTGCACCGCAGAGTGCCGAACCAGCCTCGAAGAGAACGGTAGACGCGAGAAACACCCATTTTATGTTGTAGTTTGTGTATAATTCGCCGTATAGGAGGATGACGGAAACGGAACCGAGGGGGAATCCGGCGCCGATCCAGGCGAGTTGCTCAACATGGCCAAAGGCTTCAACAACTGAGCTTTGGACGTCGGCGGCGATGGTGGTGTCGAGGCCGTAGATGAAGATGGAGACGTAAAGGGCGACGTTGATGAGGATCCAGCGGAAACCGTGGATGGACCGAGTTTCGTTTGGAGTTTCGGTGGAAGCGGAGGATGGATATTCATCAGAGGAGACGGGTACGGCCTCCTTTTCGATGTTTGGAGTATCTAGATCCATGGCGAGGTGAGTGACTCAATATGTCGTGATGTGTTTGAGTGTCAAGCACCTGGTGGTAAAGACAAGTTAATGAAAAGAGTGTGTGACAAGAAGTTATTGAATATATAGTATGGAAAGAAATTCTTCAACATGTTCTTTGACAAATTTCAACTTTTGACTACTATCGCCGAAACCTGCATCTCTTCTTCTATATATCTCCGATGTCAACAATTATTCTCGGCGTTTCCAGTCTCCCAAACCTTGCAATTTGTAAGCTCCTCTCATATTTCCGTCTTCTTTTGGGTAATCAAGCCCCTAATTAAAGCAGTTGAAAAATGTACAATTGTGAAAGATCCATCTAAAGCTTCTTGGCGGTCTCGAAGCTATTTCCATGCCAATATGCCATATTAATGTGAGCCCAATGACACGGCAGCCAATGAGGCGAAGTTATCGCCGTCCCCACAGTCTAGTTGAGAGGCAGGTTTTTGCGTAGAGTTTTTTTGAGGGGCTAGGCCTGGTTGGTGCTTAGCGGGCGGGATAGCAAAAACTTGCCGTGAGAGGAGCGCCTCATCGGCGGTTTCACGATGTGATGAAGCAGAGATGGCATTGCTGTGCTTCTTTTTGCGAACTGTAATAGAAGCTTGGTTGACGAATTCAGAGATTTCATCGGAAATATGGTGCCGAATTACTTGAGTTTAATTGGATTGTGCTGGCTGAGAGACGAGGTTGGAGTCTATGATGGGCTCTCTGAATGGTGCTCACATAATAAACGTTGCTTGTATGCCCTCTTATTAAGCATAACTTTGGCATACAAGTATATGCAGGTCGTCTTACTTGGTATTCCTATTCGAGGCTAGCATCTTGACTTCTAAGCCGGCGTCTAGCTTTCTTCTACCCACGTGGCTCGTATGCCCTATCAGAGATTTCTACGATTCATGTACCTATATATATCGGGACTGAGAATCCCTTTTCTATTTTTACTTTAGTCACAATGTTTGAGTTGGTATAAGCATTTGACAGAGTCCCTAGAGGGCCATGGAGGCCTGGTGAGCTAGTATATCTCTATATAAAGGGATGTTGTGATAAAGCATGGAGAGGAAAGAAAGAAAAGAAAAGAACCGTTGAACCAAGATGAGTCAGTCAAGAAGAGGATTTGTGATCTGAAACATTGGATCACGTTTAGAGCGCAATTGGGCGAGAGCTTGAGTGGTGAGGAGTGCATGTAAGCTGTGGCTAACTTTATTTCACGTTTTGGAGTGAGATGTCTGGGCTCAAGCTAAATTCGATTTTATAAGAGCGTTTATTCCAAATGATTTGACCATACTAAAAAAACAATCACTGGTAGTCTCAGTTCAGTTCTATAACTCAGAGAGGGATATGGCTCGTTTCCACTGCACATGCGCTTCTGCATGGTGCTAAAACCGAGGCTTTATGAACGTAAATGCTTACAATCTATCAATATGCCGACACTAGTATTTAGTTATCGATGTAGTAGCAGTAACTTCTTTTTTCCGTCCATTGGAGAGTGTCTTGGCAATTCATTGACGTAGCCACTGGTTATCTAGTAGTTAAATAGACGCTGGTCGCATAATGGCGGATGAAGTCAACAGGAGCTATCTGCGCTTCCAATGGCAAGCCATCTCGAGTAGTTTTCCAAGGTTGTCGTTCAAGCTTTGTAATTTATTATTGAGTGTTGTGTGACTAAGTTTCCAGTTGAAGACCAAAGGGATACAAGGAAAACAACTCTCGTTTAAAGAGCGCGGATATATATATGATAAAGCTGTCAGAGTGTTGTCCATTGCGAGCATACATTTTATTGAAACATATAAAAGGTTTGTAGTAAAAGACGAAATAAAATGATGAAACGAAAGTGGAGTGCGTTAAGTGAGGTGCATTAAGTGAATCTGATGAGAGTGAGAGGCTACCCTAAGTCGAATGCGCATGAACGTTTCTACGCAACATTGAAAACAGAAGAATACTTGTGGATAAGTTTAATGCCTTGAAGAAGTTACTGGACGGATTGATTGTAATGGGAATATGATTTATTTTAACAAGAAATAAACAATATTAAGCGATGAGAATTTGGCTTGGTCCCCATGTGCAACTTTTCTGTTATGACATTTGAATGCTCGATTATTAAAAAGGTGGATTTGATATGACACTCCAGTGATCGGCACACAAAGTGATTTAGAATTCTTAATTCTTTTGAATGAAACAGTTTTAAAAAGATTTGCCATTAAGGTAATATTATGAGACTATCTGAATCTATTTGCGCTCTGCTGTAAGGGAGTAGAAACAAGACATTGTCGCTTCACACTTTTATGAGAAGAATTTTTTTTTCGCAAAGCGCTATATATCCAAAGTCTCAACAGAGAAATCAATGAATCCTATTAGGTCAAAATATACCGTTGTTATCATGGTCTCAGTTATTGTGTCTGCATGATAATATACGCCATTTAGCTGAGAGTGTGCAAATTTGAAAAGCAAGTCTGAGTTGATGATCTAGTCTGCTGGCCAGCCTGAACGGTTGTAAAAGATGGCTCACAAAGCAATTTATTGTTTAAAGCCGGCCAGGTCTTTAGTTATGGACCCTAGCTGCTTTTTAAATTCTCTTTATAAACGGCCTCATATGCAATATGTCGATCGCTTGGTCCAAAATAGAGACGCAGCTCCAAATTTACCATGTTTCAAACCAGCTCCCTGTCTCTCACTTACTCTTAAAGACAAGTACGCCGCAGATCACACAAGCAGGGTCCTCGAGGCACGAGACTGAATTCTGCAAGTGCGCACTCAGACTGATTGACTGACTCGCTGCAAGTCACATTCAAAGCAGGAACGGCAAGTCTCCAGCAAGCCACGTGCTAATTAATCAAAGTGGCGTTTTTCGGACAGTCAGGCAATCTAGATGAACGGCAAGAGATACGAAACGGGTGCTCTGTAAGCTGACAGCAACACGAATGCGCACATGCACACACAAACCGGGGAGTTCGGAACTTGATTGCGTCGATCGTTTTCATTTAGTATGCGACTGACAAGAGGCCGGCCAGTTTGCTAAGAGATGGCTCTGGCTGTCTGGTGCCATGAACCACCGTGCTAGAAGCCCGAATTCGAAGAGGTGGGCTCTCGGTAGTTGTCTGCTAAAAAAGATGCGCACTTTGACCGAGGCCATCTCGTTCGTCTCGTCGCTTCGCGCTTCGCGCAGCATGCTAAGAGAGACAGCTCCATCTAGCACACCGCCGGATGCTTGGCGTCTCTCGGATATTGGACCGACCATCGAACGGCTCTTGTCTTGGTGAGCCCATGTGGTTTGATGGGTCGGAATGGTCGGTTAGCACACAAAGGCACATTAGGCACCAGAATAAAAATTGCGGGCATCTGGAGCCTCAGCCCCAGTATCAGCGACAACACGCTGGAGGAATTCTGAGGAGACTCCACGGGGAATGGAGAGCACTGGGGAAATACGACGCAGCATGGCGGAGAAAAAAGGGGTTGGAAAAATTATCACCATGGGGCCGAGGTGTAAATGCCTCCTCGAAATACTGCAGCCTGGAGCAAGAGAGACAGTAAGCGGCGGATGGAGAAAAAGATGGACGGGACAGTAATACAGATGGCTCGTGCAGGCTCAGCTCATGCGTGTTTGGGTCGTTCAGTGGACTGATTCCATTCGAGTGGGAGAGAGGACAGCTGGCTTGGACGAGAATAGCTGAGACTCATGATTGATCGACATTCGCAGGGAACAAAAGACTGGGTCGAAAGCAACAGCGAGGAAACCAGCCAAGCAAATGGGACACGAAAGTCACCGCGGACGGGCGCCGTTGGCAAGGCCTGGGGCGCGGGTGGCCAAACGATTCATTCTGCTAAAATAAGTTTCTGGAGGAGGTCGTTCAAGGGGCGATTAGTGTCACGAGGAGCGATCGATCTGCTGTGAGTTGGATGGTGGTGTGGTGTTTGGTGTGAGTGCGATTTACGGCAAGATTACTGATTGAGCCGAGGATTATGCGGCCGGTAGAAGTCTGGTGCCACCGGTACTGATTTAGCACTGGGAACCTATCGCCGGTGGGCGAATTTGCCTGAGGCTGAGGCAAGGCAAAGCCTAGGACCAAAGAGGAAAACTTTTCTTCTTCATGATTCCTTCTAGAGAACACTCGTCCAAGTCATTTCATGTGCTGTATCCTCTACGCGATTCCAAACGACCTTATCCAATATAATTTTCAAATCTCAATCCGCCAAGCAACTCAACCCTCCTAGCACCCATATCGCAATGGCAAATGCGATTGTACAGTAAGTATTTCTGCGACGACTCTAGCACTGACTCGGGACCCACGATGACTCCATCTTCGGCGCCTCGCCCACTTTTGCGCCGGCAGTCAATTGGCCGTGGCGCGCACAGGCTCCGGCTGGTCCCATCAGCCTCCATCACGCAGACGTCATCGACGAGGGATCAGCACCAGGCAGAAGCATTTCGAAGACCCGTTGAGGAAGAAATTTCGCGATGGCGTCGGATCGGTTTTTGAAGACGATGCTTCGTCTGACAAGGTTGCGGCGTGGCAAGTAAATGCCTCGCCGCTGCAAGGGCAGCAGCAGCAGATGCAAGTCAGGAGGATTGGCGAGCCAAGACAGCCACTCGAGAGAAGCAGTTGTCGATACAGCATGAACTGCTCTCTGGCTCCAAGCAGGCGAGTCTAATCTACGAAGAGCATCGATCGATACGGGCTTATGCAGGCTTTGCCAGCGGCCAGCCCCCGATCGCATCTTGGTCCCTGCTAGTGACTGTCAAGTGCCGTACTCCGACCCCCTGCCGCCACTCACGGCGCACCACTCACGGCGCCGGCCTGGCGCCACTACCGGACAGACATGGCTTGAAGGCCCTGCTTGGCAACCTCGAGAGCGCCTTTGACGTCTGTCGAGGCTAGCGGACGGGACCTGGGACTAGTTTCTTTGCGCTGGCAAAACAGGGAAGGGTAGAGAATGCGGAAAGATTGAGAGAAGCGGCAGCACAGCACAGTGGGAAGGCGAAAGTGGCATGTTCGAGGCCATGGCCCATGGTGATGCTGTCGCAACGGCATCAAAACAATGTTTGCGGGCTGCGCCGTGCGGTCTAGAACGCCGCATGGACAGACACAAGGGATGGACATCAGAGAATGGGCTCTGCTCAGCTTTTAACCTGGCTGCCTGTCTCTGTTTTGAGCATGGCCGAGAACGTGCGAGGACCCCAGGGTGCTGGGCCGTCCGTTCTCGCTGATTGAGTCGTGTCTCAGTGTGCCCTCGTTGCTTGGGATACTGCCCCATGCAGCCGCAAGCGACCTCCAGCATTCCCCAATTCTCGCTTCTGTGCGGAAAATGCGAATGCTGGGGTAGTCTGTTTTTACTCTTTTCAGCGTGGCCAGCCGTCGTCCGCGAACGGCCGCAGAGGCGCTGAGCAGACGGCGATTTTCGACATTCTGGGTCTGGGGTACTGTCCGCGTGCGTAATCTTCGCATCTGCATTTACACTCCGCGATCTGAGCTCTTGTCGGTTTGGCCGAATACGTTCCAGGTAGTGCTACCACTATACTCTGTATCAATCTCCATGGCACGGTTGGATGGGGCAATGGACGTCATGTTGACTAGTCTCGGTGGGTGTGGGTATTCTTACTTTTGCAGCGACATGGTGAGACCCGGAATCCCCATTCTTTTTCTTTTCGCCGCAGGATACCTACCAGGCGAGCCTGTTCTCGGTCTATACTGTATGCCAAGTTGCAATGCTAGTCCATCCTGCCTGAACCCTGAACTCCTCCATGATCTGAATGCAGCTGAAGTTAAATACCCAGGCTTGCCCTCCACAGTAAACTTTTGCTCCCCTCCTTTTCCCATTCCCATCCTCCGCAGTCTGCCTTCTTCTTTTCCTTCTTATACTTCTTCTTCCCCAGATCTTCTCTCATCCAATCTCATGTTAGTGGTTCCAATTTTTTGAAGAAGCTGAAGAAGAACGTCTGCCACGGCGCATATCAATATGGCCGCGCCGCACCACACACATTTCTCTGAGGACCCCCCTCAGGTCCTGAATCAAAGGGATTTGGACCTTGCCAATGAGAGGCTCAATGCCAATGGCTCGCAAACTGGCAACGGGTCCAGCACGGACAATATCGAGAAGCAGGAAGATGCCAACCTGCCTACTGGCACCGACAACAAGCTGGAGAAGATGGGTACATATGACAAGTACGAGATTACGGAAGATGACTGCTACGAGGACCTGGGCTACTGCTATCCCAAGTGGAAAAAGTGGTACATCCTGACCGTCATCTTCTGGGTTCAGGTATCAATGAACTTCAACACCTCTCTGTATTCCAATGCCATTCCCGGCATCTCAGAGGAGTTCCATGTTAGCGCACAGGCGGCACGATGTGGTGCCATGATCTTCTTGGTACTCTACGCCTTTGGCTGTGAGCTGTGGGCGCCCTGGTCCGAGGAATTCGGTCGCTGGCCCGTCTTACAGCTCTCTCTGTTCCTTGTCAACATCTGGCAGCTTCCCGTCGCGCTGGCTCCCAACTTTGCCAGCATCATGGTCGGTCGTGCTCTCGGCGGTCTTTCTTCTGCTGGTGGCTCTGTCACCCTGGGTATGATTGCCGACATGTGGGAGGCCGATAACCAACAGTATGCAGTCGCATATGTCGTCTTCTCTTCCGTCGGTGGATCCGTCTTGGGTCCCATTGTCGGTGGTTTCACCGAGAAGTATCTTGACTGGAGGTGAGTCATCAACCGAGCACCTATATCTTTTTACTTGCCGTTGCTGACATTACTGTTTTAGATGGTCCATCTGGGTTCAGCTTATTTTGGGTGGATTTGTACAGATCCTGCACTTCTTCACCGTCCCTGAGACCCGTACCACCATCATCATGAACCGCATTGCCAAGAAGCGTCGTGAGCAGAACAACGAGAACATCTGGGGACCTGATGAGCTTGTCCCATTCCGCGATCGCTTTTCTGCCAAGGAGGTCATCACCACCTGGATCCGTCCTTTCAAGATGTTCCTCACTGAGCCCATTGTCTTGGTGCTTTCTCTGCTCTCTGGTTTCTCCGATGCTCTCATCTTCATGTTCATCCAATCCTTCGCCTTGGTCTACAAGCAGTGGGGATTCGGCACCGTTGAGATCGGACTGAGCTTCATCCCCATCGGTATTGGCTATGTCATTGCCTGGATTCTCTTCATCCCTGCCATTAAGCGCAACATCAAAGAACGAAAGGCCAAGCCTGATGATGAGCGCGCCCAGTACGAGTCTCGTCTTTGGTTCCTTCTGTACACTGCCCCCTGCTTGCCGATTGGTCTCATTGGCTTCGCCTGGACCATTCAGGGCCCTCCTATCCACTGGATCGGCTCCATGATCTTCGTTGCGATTGTCGGTATTGCAAACTACGCCATTTACATGGCCACCATCGATTACATGATTTGCGCCTATGGCCCTTACTCTGCTTCTGCTACCGGTGGCAACGGTTGGTCTCGAGACTTCCTGGCTGGTGTCCTCACCATTCCTGCGACTCCCTTCTTCACCAACATCGGAGCGTCAAGTGGCAAGAACTTGGAATACGCCAGCACCATCCTCTTCTGTATCGCCTTCATTCTGGTACTTGCCGTGTACGTTATCTACTGGAAGGGCCCGACCCTCCGTAAGCGATCGCCCTTTGCTCAGCGACTGGCCGACGCTCGTGCTGAGAACGCCAACGAGGGCCGTCGTGGCAGTGCTTCAATCGACCCCATGCGCCGAGGTAAGTTTATATCAATCCATGCTTTTTCAATATCCAAATACTAATTTAGATACAGCGTCCCACTCATCTAGTACCGCTGCCCGACCTCAACCTGACAGGCGATACAGCCAGCAGAACCGCTTCTTCGGCGAGAGCAGAGTCACTCCTCGTGGCACTCCTAGAGGCACCCCTGCTGCTAGTCGTCGCCAGTCTCTTGCCAATGTCGCAAGAAAATAAGGCGGTGTGTGTGTTTGTGATGAGGTATATATAATTATGGGATAGAATATAGAATCAACGTCCATTTTTTGTTCTATTTTGTTTTCTTTTTATCGCAGAGCGAGATTGGTCTGCATATTCGCTGCGAATTAGGTTTACGTGATTTGTGGGAATACCTTGTATCATTATTTACGTCTTGCTTTCTTTTGTATCTTATACCATAGTCCTTTGGATGAGACGTACTTTATTGATATTTGAATGTCAAAATTGTTTTACTCATATTTTGAATCTCATCATGCTTTACAACATGGCCTAATCTAATGCCCATCTATAAATAAGTACGCATCCGACGATACGAAGACAATGTTGCTGAGATGCCACAGACGCGCCACAATCCAACCGATGACTCGCTCGAAACTTTCAGGTCTGAGAGGCGTTCGTGATCCATCTGGTATCGAAAACAGGTTTGCGGTCGGAAGTGGAGACTTTGCTATTAGTCTAGACTTTTTAGCCCTTGCGCTTAGATCCTGATGATGCTTCACCAACGTCGCGTATGAAAGATCATCGTCATCATGTGGAGCCGGCAGATGGCGCCCATCTCGGTCTAATTACGAGTTTACGGGTAACTCTATTGGTTTTGGAAAGCTAAGGATTCCAAATTGGGAATATCCAAGTTTGTCTCCCGAGAAGCCAGGGAGATGGCACAGATCTGTTTGACCCACTATCACAATGCGGTAGAAAGACTCAGATGCAGCTAAAATAGCATACTAGGTAGTCGGTATAGACCGGCTAATCTCGTGATCCACCTGTTCAGCCTCTCGTTGGAAATACGGTTCATCCAACAATTACTGATATGGGAGACCCACTCTCGAGTACTTTATTGAATTCACTCGGGAGAGGTTGCTGGCTATGGCGGCGTTTGTACCCCCTCAGGGTATATGAAGATTTGCGGCATGATGGCTGCTTAATCAATGTGATGCTACCCAAGCCGGATGAATGCATTGTATAGGTATCTCACTTTAGTCAAGTGCTTATGAACTGCAATTTCATTGGATGATATTGGAGATGGATTCTGTTTGTGCAGAGGAATGGTCAGGTTTTTATGCAATACCACCTTGATGGGAATGAGAAGTGAAAGGAGATTTTGTAGTAAGGAATTGCCATATAGCTGCAAAACGTTCCCAATGTAGCAACTGGCTACATGAACAATGGCGCAATGGATATTACAAAACTATGCTACTTCCTGTTATTTGCTGGAACACTCATATTTCCCCAAAATTTACTTGCTCACCCATTTAAGAATACGCTGCTCGCTTCCTGGTTTCAGACGCTCACTCATAGAACCCTCTAGTCAATTTCACCATGGCAGACAGCGCAAGAGACCTGATCCAAAAGCTAAATGCAGCTGCTGCGATAAATTTTGACGACGATGACGCTACACGACTAGAGTTGGCCATGGCTGCCCGCAAGCTCTATCACAAGCTGGAAACAAATGCAGAAAAGGTCTTGCGATTTATGAACGAGGAACCTGTCGTGTACCCCGCTATCCAAGTCCTCATTGATACGGGGATATGGGATGCTTGGACCGCTAGCGGCGGAGGCGAGAAACACATTGACGAGTTGAGAGGGATTGCCAAAGAAGATATTGACCCAGAACTTTTACGTAAGTATACTGGACAACGTAGATGCTAGAAGCGGGTTGTTAATATACGGATAGAACATCTTCTACAATTACTAGCTTCAGGTAACATTATCGAGGAGACCGGAGAGGGTCTTTTCCAGCCGACGGACTTTTCGCTCTCTCTTGGCGATAAGAACACTCTTCTCGCACCAGCGCTCCGAGTAAGGTACATACTGAGCACATCTTTAAAAGTGACAGCGTAAAAGCTGATTGAGGAACTATTTGATCTCAGGACTGACCATGTTATGCGTCCTTCTCTTCACTTTCCCGAATTTCTGGCCAAGACTGGCTATCGCATGCCATCGGACGATACTAATAGCTGCTATATCGATACTTACCCCGAGAAGAAAGATTACTTTGGCCGTTGCAAGGAGAATCCTTCGTATCAAGAGAGCTTCTCAAGCTTCCTTGCTTTATGGAGCCAGCACAGGAGACCATGGCCTCAGTTTTACGATACTCAGGCACTGCTCGATAGTTCTGATCTGAGCAACGGTGGCGCACTGGTTGTGGATATTGGCGGGCATCATGGCGCAGATCTTTTCCATGTGCTTAAGAAACATCCTGATGTTCCTGCGGGATCACTCGTGCTGCAGGATTTGCCAAAGGTTATTGCTTCGGCCAAGTTTACTACGGACAAGATTAGGGCTATTGGACATAACTTTTTCGAGCCCCAGCCAGTTAAAGGTGAATTCATATTCTCAATACAACTTGCAAATACTGCTCTTTTACGGCTTCATACTAACAGCAGATACAGGCAGTCGAGTATACTACTTTCACGCCGTTCTTCATGACTGGCCAGACAAGACTGTAGTGGATATCCTGAAACAGGTCGCAGCCGCGATGAAGCCGGGCTACTCAAAGCTGTTGATCAATGATATAGTTCTCCCGCCTGTGGGAGCTAGCATCCACCAAACCGGGTTGGATTGTTTCATGCTGCAAATATCTGGCAAGGAAAGAACAGAGGCGGTGTGGAATAAAGTGATTAGTGAAGCCGGTATGAAGATTGTTAATGTTTGGCCAGATGGACGTGGGTATGAGAGTTTAGTGGAAGCGGAGCTACTATAGATGAGAATATTGTGTATATTCAGTAACTAAACTACATAGAGGGTTGACCTTCATGTAATGCTGGCGACGTTAAAAAACTTTCAAGAGAGGCGTTCAGACTAACGCTTCTTCTTTACCAACAGCAAGACCATTGCGACTTCGCCAGTTAGCGTCTCCTCGCCAGGCTTAATGCCAGCTTCATGTAGAAGGCTCTCTATTTGCCTTCTCAGCTGCCTTACTATGTCTTCCTCTGTCCCGACCTTATCTGGGTGGGCTTCCCTCCATCGAGTCACTGGACTAGCAGTACCCATGATCTTCTCAAACTGCTCGGGTGTAACTAGACCTCCTGTGCGAACGATGTCGTTTTCCACACCCGTTTTGTCCTTGTTCCACTCCTTGCGAACGAAGCTCTCTTTATCGAACTCTACTACCGGAACTTCAAGCGTCCAAGGAAGCGGTAGGTCAATATAGAGATCGCGAATCAACAAGTTACCTGCCCTTGACCATGGTCGTAGCCCATTGTAGAATTCTTCTACGAGGGCCTTTATTGCGACCCCGTTCGGCGTCTTTGTAGCATTTATCGCCGCTCCAGACCGTGCCCAAATGGCAACGGTGCCGCCAGGCTTGAGAATGCGCGATGCTGCTTTCCAGAAACCCGCCATGTCGAACCAGTGGGCGGCGGTGGCGGCGGTGACCAGATCAACGCTACCATCAGAGACGGGCGGCTCCAAGTCGATACCGAGGGTTTCGGCAGTCGATACTTCAAAACGTATAGGCAGGTTTGCCGACTTGGCAGAAGCGCGTGCGGTGTCAATCATGCCCTCCGACGGGTCCAGGCCGATGGCATTTTTGAAGAAGGGAGCCAAGTCCTTAATTGCCTGGCCAGGGCCGCAGCCGACGTCGACAACGGTGTGGAGTTGGCCGCCGGTAGAAGTGTGATGATTGATGATGATTTTGAAGAGCTCTGGGGAATATCCAGGGCGTACCGCCGAGTAATTCTGGCCCTGGGCCACGGTATATGCACGAAAGATGTCCTCTGTAGTTGCCATGATTACGGCTCAATAACAGGATGAAGCTGAAAGTTGAGAATGTTTGTTATTTAGAATCGCTGGAGATGCGCCAAAAGTTGCAGCCTAATCGTGCCTTTATAGCTTGGCGAAACGCGCTTTAGTTGCCGAACCGGAAACCGAAGCTATACCAGACTTTGATTGACCCCTCGAAATTATTTTTAGCTGCCGAACCGGAAACCGAAGCCATACCAAACATTGTTTTATATCTTGACGAAGCTATTTTTTTGCCGAGTCGGGAGCCGATCTGGTGTTAATCCCCTGTAAATTTTAATTCCGCCCCGGCGCGTCGTAATCGGGTTCCTGTTTTAGCACATTTCGAGTCCTGTTCCTGATCTAAGTGCATTGGGCTATAAAGAGTTAGCAGAGCCCTTTGGTAACAACTGCTAAGTGAGAATTGAGACTCAACGTATAGGTACATGTACTTGGCCTGAACTGAAACAGATGTTTTTAAGCTACAGCAAGCATCGTGAACATTGACGAAAGCGCGTTATAGTAAGCGTGACTACTACTCCATGATTGATAAATGCATCTATTTACCAACAACGCTATGCTATATGCGTGGTTAAAGGCCTTGAAATAAGGGCTTTATACCTAGCTTTACAAATAGATATATTAAAGCGTATGCAGAATTGTGATGGCTTCTTTATTGCAAGCTATATATACGAAAGCTGCCGCCCGATATTAAACTATATTTTATTAAGTCGTGTTAGAATGTAGCCTTTTAACCTTCCTATTGCACTAAGCTTTATAGTACCCTCAAAGTGAGTTCTCTCGCAACTAAATATGCTTTGAAGAGCTACTTCAAACATGGCGGCACCTAGCTTATGTGGGTGTAGGGTGAGCTTCTGAGAGGACGAAGAATGGTGTGAGAGGCTGTAGGAGATGCATCACTTGTCGCCTGCTAGATAATACCCTTGCCGGCTATTCATAATGGAATTGAGATTCGGGGGAGATTAAAAATGCTGTGACAGGCGACGTAGGCGTCGTAATCACGGTAGGTGGCTCAGCTAGATTACATAACATAGAGGATCAGTCTCTCTACTGTGTAGTGGTATGCCAATTGTAGGATGAATATCAAGTGATCTCTTATCTTCAATAACTTCATTATCCAGAATCAAAGAAATAGTCTGTGTTATTTTTTGTTTCAATTTTAGTTTATAAACAAAACAATTCGTTCCGTTTCAGTCTGGAACTTTTTTCATCATTCATCTACATTTTAACTGCGCCTGAGTCAGCCCACGCTTTTTTGCCTCAAAACTTCTATTTTCCACTTGTTAGTTACAGGCTTATATAACCCGGCCAATTCTGCTATATAGAAATAATTCCCATTTAAAAAACTTTGAACAATAGCCGAAATGCATTAAATATGATTCTACCGTGAATTAACATTGCGTTGTGGTTTACTTTTCGAGAAAGTGTTCTTGTTGCAGCTTTCATTGTCGATTCTTCTTTTACTCTGGCTACATCACGTAATTATGCAAGATGAGCCAATCTTAGAGGCATACAAGCTGTTAATATATGTCAATCATACATATACAGTTATTCATCTATGAAACTCCGCTGCTTGTCTCATGAAGGAAAAAAAGGGAAGCGATTTTCGATGGCCCATAACTCCATGTACTGCCTCGGCACTGGTGGGTTATAAATCCGAGCTATTCGATAACTGGCATAGTTTCGTGCCTCATATAATGGGTACTTGGCTCTCTCCGGAAGGCCTCTATTGCCTATTGTGTGATTAGGCTCCGCCTCTAGCCTGGCGGGTTCCTGGCAGCTGAATTACCCCGGATCAAACTTATTAGCTTCTATAGAAATCTCAGATTCGGGCAGTTGTATGTGGCCCAATTCCGTGTAGCACGAGGTTAGCCTCACGGTGCAGCGGACATACCCTCTCCGCCTCTACAGTAAGGGAACTTGCATCTGCGGGGGTGATCTCCCTTATGCATTTCTGTCATGTATTAAGGTAGCATCATGCGGAGTTTCTGGGATATAAATTGAGTGTATAATGACAGCATCTCCCGCTCAATCGAACACAATTAGTAGCCATATTGATACAACCTGAAATTCACCTTTGAGCCTCATTCCCATCATAACCGCCTTTCTCCGAAGTGGGGCTACTCTGTCCTAATTGTCCTGATGGCGCAAGTTCAAGGCCACTACGATCCCCAATTCGAAGAGCTGCGGAAGCTTTTCCAGAAAAATCTGGATTCCAAAGCGGACCTTGGAGCTTCCATCACTGTGAACATCGACGGCAAAAACGTTGTCGATATTTGGGGAGGATACGTTGACGAAGAATGCACCCGTCCATGGGAGGCTGAGACTCTTGTAGCAGTCTGGTCATGCACGAAAGGAGTCGCGAGCCTTGCTCTTCTGATGCTCATTGACCGCGGCTTGGTGGATCACGATGCAAAAGTTGCTCAGTACTGGCCTGAGTTCGCTGCCAACGGGAAGCAAGATATTGAGATCCGACATCTCCTGTCTCATACGTCAGGTCTTTCAGCGTGGGAGGAAGTGGTTACCTTTGAAGACTTGCCTGACCAAGACGCTATTGCAGCAAAGCTTGCCGCGCAGGCTCCTCTATGGGAGCCCGGCACGGCGTCAGGATATCACGCAGCTACTTTTGGAGTATTGATAGCAGAAGTCTTGCGACGCGTGACAGGCAAGACGATGAAACAATTTGTCGCTGAGGAGATTGCAGCTCCTTTGAACGCATATTTCCAGATTGGCCTCTCGGACAAAGATATCTCTCGCGCGAGCAACTCTATCGCGCCGAAAGACAAGCCACCGACTCAGGCAATGCCAGAACCGGGATCAATCTCGTTCAAGACGCTCGCCAATTCAGTCTTTAGTCCAAATTTCGTCAACACGGAAACAATCCGAAAAGCAGACCTCAGCTCCTTCAACGGCTTTGGTAATGCTCGCGCGATGAATCGCATCTACTCCACCCTAGCACTCGGTGGTGGAGTTGATGGGGTGCAGTTGCTGTCTCAAAAAACGATTGACCTTATCTTCCAAGAACAGTCGGATGGCATAGATTTGGTAATGGGATTTCCTATGGCCTTTGGCGTTGGATATGCGCTCGGAGGACGAGGCTCCGCAAACTTCATGCCAGGTGGAAAGGTTGGCTGCTGGGGAGGCTGGGGAGGATCGTTATTCATTTTTGACATTGACAGGAAGCTCACATTTACATATGCTATGAATCAGATGTCACATAACATAATGGTCAAAGGGAGAGAAGGGGAGTACGTGAAGGCTGTATATAAGGCTTTGGGAGTGGAACTAGAATAGCGGCGTCGAAGAATTTGAGGCTCAATTACAAACAAACACTATCAGAGCTGTGCGCTGCATCAAGGGCGCCTTGCCTCACTTTAGGAAGAATGGCGGAGGAACAATTGTAAATGTAAGCAGCTTAGCTGGCTTTTATGGTGCCCCCGCAACAACCGCCTATGTACACGGATTCTAAATTCGCTTTGAGCGGCTTCTCAGAAGCTTTGGCAACTGAAGTAGGCGTATTTGGCATCAGGGTTATACTTGTTGAACCAGGCTCTTTCCGGACCAATCTGGTTACCAATCTTGTTGTCCCCGCGCGCAAAATAGACGAATATGATGGTACTCCGGCCAGAGGGCTTGTTGGAGTATCAGCACGCGTCAGATGGCCAGCAGCTAGGAGACCCCAGCAAGGGAGGGAAGAGGATAGTAGACGTGGCAACTGATGCAGTAGGCGAGGAATTGGCGAAGAAAGGAAAAGGAGAAGTCTTGCGAGTTCTCCTCGGTTCTGATTGTTTCAGTGTCGCGAAACAAAGGCTGAAAAGGGTGGGAGAGCAATTGGATCTTATAGAAGAGATTGCCAAGAGCACAGATTTTGCTTCAGACTAGTCTATATAGCGTTCCCGGATATTCGACGTGCGTGCGTGTGTGAGGCTGAGCTGTTTGATTAGTTATTATTTACTTATTTATTCCTTGCTTATGCCCGTATGAGGTCTCTCAGTGTGGACCAATCACATGTGTCCTAGAGATCCTCTCGCTTCTGTAGGCGGCTCGTTGAAGCCTAATGGATCTTTAGGCGGGGTCGTGTGACTTTCAACATTTCGACAACACTCGGCGCATATTAAAACAACTAACTCTAGATGCGGCGTCAACGTTTGAAACGAGGACTCAAGTCCCTCCAAGGGAAGCTGCCAGGCTGGCTGCAACCCGAGGATCAAAATGAGACATCTGGCTATCATACTTCAGAGTCCCAGAAGCAGATATTGGTTATTAACACTCGATACGATGAAACTACAATCAATGAACTTTGGAATATAGCATATGAGAAGCTGCGAGCGGAAGACGGTGCGCTCATCGAGGAATACGAGAAAAAGCTTCTGGGAAATATGGCTGCTGGACTAGGCTCAATGTCAAACGCCAACATGAGAGATCGAATGCAGACAATACTAGAGTACCAAATGAATGACGTTAATGCAAATACATGGAAGCTAAAATTCAGGAGCTCCGAGGTCGAAGTCAGGGATCTGGTACAGCCTATTCTAGGAGCTGTGAGTTTGGTCAACGAATATATCACTGATGCCGTCGCTGTAAGCTCCTATGCATCTCTGGCTTGGGCAGGTATCAGTTTATTTCTACCAGTAAGTCGAGATGCAAATATATATATCTAGGGAGGACAGCGGGTTGATCATTTTAGCTTTTTCTTAACCCATCGACCCAAATGGCATCTCTGGCACAGGGTTTGGAATTCGTCTCGACCCTTATCGCCCAGAGCCGAATGAGGGAAGAGCTCTACCTTCGTCGCTATGGGTTGAAGACTCAAGCAGACCATTCCTTACAACAATCTCACCACGAGTACAAGAACGGCTTAGAGCGGCTCTATCGACAGATTTTAAAATTTCAAGCCAGGGCTTACTGCTCCTTTACTGACAGCTCTGCATCTCGCTTTTGCTTTGACATCATGAAGAAGAATGATTGGGATCAGCTGGTTAGTGGAATTCGTGAACAGGAGACTATGTTTGCCAAGTTGTCAAAGACTTGGCGCGATATCCAATATGATAATGAATGCTTGGCGGCTGATAACCGACACCGAGAGACATTAAACCTCTGGTTTACCATTGGAGCAAATGTCGCCAGCTTAGAGCGGGCAATTCAAGAGGCACAGAAACAAGAAAGCCGCATCGACCTACTGGAATGGTTGTGCAATATTGATCACACCGCGCTTTACAATAGTGCTCGCCAAAGTCACATAGATGGCACAGGCGAGTGGCTCATACATGGGAAAGAGATATTCAAGGCATGGGAGAAGAGTATCGCGCGTCAGTCTTTCTTATGGCTCCATGGAAAAGGTATGTCCATAAAGTAGCAGTGTGTCCTTTTATTTATCAGCCAAGGGTACCTAACATTTTTATAGCTGGCTCTGGGAAGTCTGTATTAAGCTCCTCTGTGATTAAGCATTTGCAGGACCAACACAAGGGTAATGCTACAAATGTGCTCGCTTATTTTTATTTTAGTTTTAGCGATTCTCAAAAACAGACGGTCGATGGAATGATCTCATCACTTATAAGACAGATCAGTGCTCGTCGGCCGAATATGCCGCAAGCAGTCCAAAGCCTTTGCGAGTATAAAAATGGAGGCGGCCGTCCGGATACTGAAACATTGATAGAGGCGCTAATCTCCTCCATGCAAGGATTTTCAGCCGTATATATCATTGTTGATGCATTAGATGAATGTCCGATGATTAACGACGAGAGAAAGAAGCTCCTTAAAAGCTTACGCAATATCCTTGAAGCAGCGCCCGATAGCCTTCACATGTTTTGCACAAGCCGCAAAGAAGTAGACATAGATGAAGTCATTAGGCCCTTGTTACTTGAGCCTTGGGGGGACGAAGTCGATCTATCTAACCAAACTGAAGCTCTTAACGATGATATTGCTCAGTATATCGATTCCATTTTGGCTGATGCCAATTACAAAACATGGCCAAAAAGTGTTAAAGAAGAAGCAAGAAGAGTGCTGATGGAGAAGGCTGATGGCATGTAAGTCAAGCCTCATATTCGTTAGTAACGATAGTCTTGCTTACTGCTAATTAAGGTTCCAGTACATCCGCTGTCAATCCGAAAACTTGCAAAAATTATCCTCTATAGATGCCGTGCGCAAGGCTCTCCAAGACCTTCCCAGCGGACTTGATTCAACCTATGCCAGAATGCTCCACAGCATAGATGAAGACTTCCGACTACAGGTCATAGCTTCATTGAAATGGCTCGCCTATTCAACGGGTTCCCAGAGCATTGCTATGCTTGCTGAAGTCTTCGTACTACCATCTAGGCCTGATGACGGATTTGAGGAAATCTCTTACCTGTTCTCTCCAATGGATGTGCTCAAGTACTTTCCTGGACTCATCGTCATCGGGAAAGGCAGTGCTCGGGGCATACAAGAAAATTCCCTTGTTCGGTTAGCTCACTTTTCTATCAAGGAATACTTGACATCGGATCGAATACTTCACAGCCGTGCGTCTAGCTTTGCATTTACGGAGTCTGATGCTCACATGCATATTGCATGCTCGTGTCTCGCCTATCACTTGCATATAAGTTCGATGAATGCGATATTGGATTTCGATCAGCCTAGTAATATATACAGGGATCAAGTGCGGCTATACGCAACCCTCAACTGGGCATGGCATCTCGAAATGATACCTCACACATCCTGGCCGCCTGATGTTTTACGAAATGCTGTTCTCTCGCTGTCAAGCCGCAGCCAAAGCCTGCTCACTATGGTTGGAGGATGGCTCAGATGGGAGGATTTTATTCGGCGACCTTATTACTATACTGCCTTGCGCGGCTTCCGCCAGCTCACTGAAATACTAATTTCAATGGGTGATGGTGTTAATGGGTATCTCACGCAGCTAGATTTAGATGACGGTCTCCAGGCTGCGGTGAGATACCGCAAGAAAAGCATCGCGAAACTCTTCTTGAAGAATGGCGCTCAAATATGCGACTGTCTAGAAACAGCAGCAGAGCAAGGAAAGACAGCCTTGGTAGGGGGTTTTCTGGATCACGGCGCTGAAACCAATGCACTCGCTGGTAAACTGGAATCGGCGCTGCGAGCTGCGCTATGGAGCGGCCATCTCGGTATGCTCAAGCTGCTCTTGAGTCGCGGAGGCGATGTCAACAGCCCATTTATAAAGGCAAAATACGTGCCCACATCAAGAGCCTCAAGCAAGCAACATGTTATAGACTGTCTGCGTTTTCTATTTGACAACGGCGCTGGCGTCGATATGAGTGCGGACAAGTCTCTTACAGAGGCACTCTATGTGGCAATATCTTGCCAATACGAGGAGGTATCCCGGCTGCTGCTCGACCGAGGTGCGAACGTAAACGAACTCGCTAGGCAGCATGAGTTTCCACTCCAAGCGGCAATAGCACAACTTTCTCCTAATATCGAATTCATCAGGTACTTACTTGATTTAGGCGCAGATCCAAACGCTCAGGAGGGGAGATCTAACACGGCTCTGAATATCGCATGCGATCACGCATTTTGGGAAGAGGGGCAGTCGGTAGAAATCGTAAAGCTTCTAATCGACTACGGCGCTGATGTCTCCATTAAAGAGGGCGCATACGGAGCGGCAGCATTACAGGCAGCATGCCAGAACTCCAAGATCTCGATTCCTGTTATACAGATGCTACTAGAGAAGGGCGCTGACGTGAATGCTCGAGGTGGGTACTACGGCAACGCTCTGAATGCACTGTGTCAGCTTGAAACTGGACAGGAGCGCAAGCTTGAAGCAGTGAAGCTGCTTCTGAGCTATGGCGCGGATGTTCGTACTGAAGCTGGTTGTTATGGGACGGCACTCCAAGCTACGTGTGCCTGCCCCGAAGAATACGGCAGAGAAAACATAGCGCGTCTTTTGATACGCTCTGGCGCCGATGTGAATACACAGGGTGGACGATACGGCACTGCACTTCAGGCAGCTTGCGAAGTCGGAACCATGGCGGTGGTGCGTCTCTTACTTGAAGAAGGCGCCCTTGTTAATGTTGAAGGCGGATACCATGGCACTGCCTTCCAGGCCGCCTGCGCAAAAGGCCATATTGAGGTGGTGCGTCTGCTCCTCGAACATGGCGCAGATATCCATCTGCGCAACAATGGAGCCTGGCACGCCGCTGCGCAGGCTTACAACGACGATGTTATGAGGCTATTGCTTGACCTGGGCATCGATGTGAATGACCAGCATGGTCCGCATGGCACTGCTCTTCACGCCGCTTTACGGCTTGATTGGACCATCGAGAAAGAGTACATAATAAGGCCTCTAGATGGCCCACGTAAACGTGCGCTTGATGGTTTCAAACTCTGGGTGAGCAGAATAAATCTCTTGATGAGTCGCGGTGCCGATCCCAATCTAGTGGCCGGCGAATACGGCACAACACTTCAAACAGCGTGTGCCTCAAAGCCAGGACTAAATTTCAAGTCCAAAGTCGCGTATCCCGGTCCGGCCGGACCAGAGTTTCTTCTCGATATTTGCCCCAACATCGACATCAATGCACAAGGTGGATTATTCGGCTCGGCTTTGCAGGCGGCAGCATACTCGGGCCAGACGCCTACTATCAACTTACTGTTAAGCAAAGGAGCTCATGTAAACGCTCGCGGCGGGAAATATGGCAGTGCCCTGAATGCCGCCGTTATCGCACGCAACTGGGACATTGTTCAGATTCTACTCGAAGCCGGCGCGGTGCCTGACTGTCACATGTTGTTAGAGCCTGATGAAGAGTGGCTTCAAAGTGTGCTGGAAGACGACAGCGATGGCCAAGGCGCTGTGGAGAGGTATAGGAAGTTTTGGGAGGTGGAAAAGCTAAGGCAGGTAGACAAGGAGAAGGAGAAAGCATGAACCTCTGCCTACACTCTACAAGCATCATACAAGCATCAAAAGAATCAAGTCACATCAAATACGTACCCGTAGAAAGATTCCGATTTCATCGACTGATATGCTTACATGAATACGGAAGGAGTTACAAACATGCATTTAACCTCGTACTCTACAGACACTCAAATATCGCGTATCATTCTTGACATACGAGTACGTTTCTCTTTATACAATGCAACCAGCCATTAATTTATTTCCGTTTTTCTCACTATATAATTTCTTCTAGCCTTCAATAATAGATATGTCACCTTCCCCCCGAAAAATCGTACTTTGGCTGATCGTTGCCGCCGGCACCATTTATATCCAATGAGCTGCAACGATGGGCGTAATCTAAATGGTGTTCACAACCTCTATGCACCCTTCCACATATTCCTACCTACCCCGCATTCGAATGTGACCTGGCAATCGGCATAAAAACAGGGAATTACAACCATATTGCAAATAATCAGCTTACATTACTACTATTACACGCACTAAAGTCAACTAGAATATGGCTTTGGTCGCGTTTTATTCGTGTATCACGTTGTATCATTCTTCACCGATTTCATGTCAGACAGACGCTTTCAGAGAAACTACCTATAGTCAATGGTCTGGTAAACGAAGTACTCAAGCAGTAAATACAGACGTCTTTGTCAAGTCATTGTTGAACGTACACCAAGAGGGGGATTATATGCTATACGAAAATATGCTTTCATTTTACCACTGTATGTCAATATTTCTCTTGCGGTCCTTCTTTTACAGAATACCCGCTTGTGGGGAATCGAAGCCTTTTATACCCGGACAAAGGTGCACCCCAACTTGATCCCATAGGATTTCATTCACCGTCTTAGGCTAAAGCATATAATAATATGTGTGTGGCAAACTGTACAGTCAGTATTCATCATTAACGTAATAGGGTCACCTCCGTAGGTTTTCTTTCGCATACGTTTCTATCGTCAAAGTAATCGTTAAAAGCATCCAAGCATGGTTTCGTGGCCAGCTTTCTCGCTAGATAGCTTCCAGTCCACTCCTGGAGAACATTACCAAGGACCACCACGCAATGTAAAGCCCATTCAAGAGTACAAAGTGAAGCCTGAGCTTCTGCCGCCGAGTTACGAAATCAAGGGTACAGACCTAGCTTCCAACATTCTCTTTGTAAATGTAAACATTACAGAGTCGAGCGGTCGCGAACCCTACAAAGGTTCCGTATACATTCAAGGTTCGTTCCTGAGTTTTTGTTCAGCCTATAAAGCAGAGGCGGAAAAGAAAAAAAAAATATAACACAAACAGGCGAGCGCATTGTACTCGTTGGACCCATCCCTAACGAAATCGAACTCAAGAGGGACCCGAGTGTTACTGTATGCGATGGAAAAGGTCGCACTATCATGTCTGGTCTCGGGGATGCCCATACACACATGACCTGGAACGGCGGTGATGTCAATCGGCTTGGGAAAATGAATGCCGACGAGCATTTACTGCTGACGAAGAACAATGCAAAATGCTACTTAGACTCCGGTTATACCATGTAAACATTTCATCTTCGCGGACTTTGAACCTGTCATTAATTATATGCCCGCTAGGTACTTTGGTGCTGCGGCTGCGAAAGATGACCTCGATATAGCCGTTCGGGACGCAATCAATCCGGATCCATCCCGGGGCCCCGTTCCCTTGCAAACGCGCGCGAGATTGCCAAAACAGATGGTGAACTGAGCCCCGATATCAGCTTCATGGCAGATAACGTTGACGGTTAGTTCTTTAACAGCCCTATAGTACGATATCTGATTAATCGAGAAACAGATTTCCGCCGTATTGCCAGGACTATCGCAGATCTCGGTGCTGATAACATAAAGCTTAGTATGTCGGGGGAGGCTATCACTGAGAGTCGTTCCGCCGAAGATTGCTACTATACAGAGGAAGAAACTCGGGTAGCCATCGAGGAAGCGCATAAGTTTGGCAAACGCGTCTGCTCCCATGCTAGAGCCCGAGATTCTGTCATTCAATCCGCAAAGTACGACGTTGACATTATTTACCACGCCTCATATACCTGTGATGAAGGTATGAAACAATACTTAGTCTTGGACTAAAATCTGTCAATGCTGATTGCTAGCGATTAGGCATGACGATCCTCGAAGAAAAGAAGGATCATATTGTTGTCGCCCCTGCTATTAACTGGCTCTGGGCGACTCTCTATGATGCCGAGCCCTTTGGATATACCTTCAATTCTGCGGAGGCGATGGGTTATAAGAGAGAGACTGAAATTGCCGTGGCGGCTTTAAGAGAGATGCATCGCCGTGGCATTATTGATTTACCGGGAGGGTCAGTTGCTATTACACTGCTGTTCTTTTGAGTCGACTGAGCAGTAGCAGGCTCTATGCTGACATTTTTATTGTAGTGACTATGGCTTCGCCTGGTGCCCACATGGTACATATGCACGGGATCTCGTTCATTTCCACAGGCTGCTGGACATGACTACACACGAAAGCATCATAGCTGCTACTGCGGGAGTGGGAGCTTTAATGGGCCGTCCACATGAGCTCGGCAAGATTCAGCCCGGATACTATGCCGACTTGATCTTGGTTGACGGAGATCCTATTCAAGATCTTGAGATCCTTCAGAATCATGATAAACTGAATGTCATTATGATCAATGGACGAATCCACAAGGCCGGACCAAATGAGTTCATTGAGAACTAAGGTAATAGGAAGACAAAGTGATTGCAGGCAATCTCGTAACGAGCCTGCCAATTCGAGTGTGCTGGGCAAAAGATTGAATAATTTTCCTGGTATTTAGCAATTAATTGAGCAGATTACATAGTTCTATAGTTATAATCTTTTCTTTTGTAGAGAAAACGGCGGCATTGCTTGTCGCTTTATATTTATTTTGTCTTATCTGATCACTTGATTCCAGATGAGTCGATCGGACTCGGGGTAAGTTATGATATTCGCTTCAGTTACTATCAAGATAGACTAGAATTGACAGCTCAAATCGTGACACTGAGTCCTATCTAGAGGGCCTCACCTCGTGGCTCGACGGTGTTAGCTTGCGGAATGGACTGATATATAGCTTACATGATAAAACCAGGAAACGTAATGTGTTTAATGAACCAGTGGATATTTGTAGTTCAAAATACCACGAAGACTACGAATGTTATCACAAATTGTTGTCTTGAATCACCAGAACTACTGCATATTTTGTAATCTCAATGTGTAAAACCTGTCTAGTCTTCTAGTTATGTGTAACGATGTTCCAGGTCTGAAGCACCGTTTGGGATAGACAATACATGTATACTGCATGCTTCTCTGAGCCGAAGTTTTGGGTATGTCACCATTGCCGCCAAATAATCGACACATCAGAAATACAATTCACTGACTTTTTCTCATCCACCGCATATCTCATCAGGACGGTGAGTCACTATGCTGTTTCACATAGAGATCCATAACTGCATGCCTTTCAGTAATCAATTAAGGCATTCGCGGCATAGGCGGTATAGAAGACGGCCTCACCAAACGGACTTTTCCTAAATCCGACAACTCTTTGCAATCTCTTGCGGAGCGACTCTCTGGTCTATATCCGAAGCTGGATTTGTTGGAACTTGGTGGCCTAACTTATGTGAGTGGGGTGCTAGATTCACGTACGGTTATATATTGCACGTATACTTCAAAGGGCAAAGTCTGCTGACAAGGCAATTGGTTGGGCCTCGAGAATCCTGCTGGATACTACGGAGTATTATTAGTACTACTTGTGCCCCTCATATGTCGCGTAGTGACATGGAGCTCAAGTACATAGAGGTCCCTGGATTATAAGGATTCTAGTACGGGTCGTGTTTTTGCTATCCTAATGGAGCTAATTGACCTATAGCTTACTTTTTTTGTTACTCTGGCAGCATGTAAAGAGAAAAACAATATATATATACATATATAGGACTTGACAATTCATATTCCCAATTGAAACCGCGTTTGTTTACTCTTCTAATCTAACGCCGAATATTTCTTATGGAAATACTTCTTGCACGAGATACACTCCCTAATCAAGCATTGCATTAGTGAATGCCGGACCGATCTCCCCTGTGGAGGAGGTCAGCACACTAGTCCGTATATGTCTCGTATACCCGATTTGGCAAACGAGGATGACTGGGATCTATTGCCGAAAACATACTGTGCCTCGCACTTTGTTTGACTGCAGTATTGCATATCGGAGATATACCTTGAGAGTAGAGCATGTTTGCCGAATTGGGCATACGAGCACACCAGATTCGAAATACGATATGATGCTCTAAGAAACTGGAGCCCATAGTTCAAGAATATATATAAGAAGGCACTTGCCCTAGGAATTTTAAGAGACTTCATTCTTAAACAGCTAGTTACAAACACATTAAACTACATCAATCCATACACTCTATCGTACATCATGGCCTCGATTAAGAAGATGACCACCAACCTTCCTGCGGCTGCCCCTCCGCCCAAAAGCTTGCTTGGCTATCATCGCCAGTTGTCTCCCACAGCTGCAGTCAAGGTCAGTCCCCTCTGCCTTGGAGGCATGGGATTTGGAACAGCATGGGAAGACATTATGGGCAGCTGCGACAAAGAAGCGTCTTTTGAGTTGATGGATTACTTTTACAGCCAAGGAGGCAACTTCATTGATACGTGCGTACTAAAATCTTCTCGATCTATCTACGAAAGAAAATGTGCTAACTGCCTGTGTTTCTAGAGCGGGCAACTACCAATGCGGAGAGTCTGAGGCAATCATTGGCGAATGGATGAAAGCACGAAACAACCGAGAGGAAATCATCGTGGCTACCAAGTATACGTCTGCTTGGCAGTTACACAACCAGGATACAAAGATTCAGTCGAATTATGGCGGAAACAACAAGAAGTCTCTGGTGCTATCTATTGAAGCGAGTCTCAAGGCACTGCAAACGTCATACATTGATTTGGTTAGTTTCTATCAAGTATCACTTTTAAACTGTCTGCCGAAAGTGCTAATTTAATTGTGTATTAGTACTATGTCCACACCTGGGACTTCACGACCAGCATCCCAGAACTCATGCACTCTCTACACAATCTCGTTGCAGCCGGAAAAATTCTCTATCTGGGCATTTCTAACACCCCGGCATGGGTTGTCGCCAAGGCCAATGAGTACGCTCGCCAGAAGGGATTGACTCAATTCTCTGTCTTCCAAGGGCAGTGGAATGCTGCCGAGCGAGAAATCGAGCGCGAGATTGTCCCCATGTGCATTGACGATGGTATTGCCCTGGCACCCTTTGGTGTCTTGGGAATGGGCTACTTTCGTACTTCAGCCCAGCGAGAGGCTGAGAAACAACAAGAGGCTAGAGAGGGCCGCAAGGTCCCTTTCGTCGATAAGCCCCAGAAGACAGTCATGGCCGATACTCTGGAGAAGTTGGCTTTGGCTCGCGGCACGTCCATTACTAGCATAGCCTTGGCCTGGGCTAGAACCAGGGCTCCATATGTCTTCCCTATTGTGGGTGGTCGCAAGACTGAACACCTCAAGGCTAACATTGAAGCACTGGGCATCGATCTGACAGAGGAAGAAAAGAATGCGATTGAGAATGCCGTACCATTCGATTTTGGATATCCTCAGACATTTTTGGGTGGACCAAAGGGCACTCAGTATGCGAAGGATGCTTGGACAACGAAGAGAATGGGACACTTTGATTGGGTGTCACCACCACAGGTACGTTGATATTGAGCAAACCCCATGTTATTAAATTCAGGCTAACACGATATAGGCGCCCAAACCCCATCCTTTGTAAGATAAGGCTTCTTAAGGATGCATGCTATTACATATGCGTGGCATTACCGAAGCATCACATCAATAACAGATTACATATTGCTACATCATATCTAGACAGCACTTGGCGAATATAGCTACAATAAAATCACATCATTGTGCTTACAGTTAAAACTATCACCAGCCAACAAATCATCCATTCATGTCCTGTTGAGTTCATACTATTGTTTCTTGGCTCATGCAGCACCCATCTTAGGTGTATGTATTTAACCGAACAACAGCAAAAGCACTGTGTCAGCATCTTTGGTCGCACTTCATCCCGGCTTGGCACTAGCGAGCTCTTAAGTGGCCGGACTTATTTAAAGCACTATTCATACTTCTCTCCTAATTGCAGTCATTCGATGGTTGGCATTCATCTTCTTTTCACCGTGCTCCGAAGAAATGTCAGCTCTTCCCAGCGGAAATTTCGGCGTATTCGCGATATCAAAAGCAGGAGAGAGCCAAATACTCTCGACTCCTCAGGTAGACGACTATGGACGTCAATTACGCCAACGAAGGCGACATGCCAAGTCCCGTGCTGGGTGTTTGGCATGCAAATCATCCAGAGTCAAGGTAACATTGCAGGCAAAGTCAAGCATTCCATATTCATCAAGAATTTTACAAAAGGCAAAAGGCAATCATTGACTAATAACATTGACAAAGTGTAACGAGCTACGACCTGTTTGCGCGAGGTGCTCAGCCAAGAATATACCGTGTCAGTATGAGTTTAGCATCATGTCTATGCTACCAAGCTATCCACGGCATCAAATCCATTGTCACGAATCTGCAAACGGCTCTGTCCCGAGGTCTCTCGGACTAGGTCTTGATATGCCCGTTCTACAGCTTCTGCATCATTTTGATCGCCACACTGCATCGACACTTGCCTTTGGCACTTCTGTATGGAGAGACAATGTGCTTCCTCTAGCGCTACATGTTTGTCACTTCAAGCCAACTAATTCTACTTTATTAAATGCTAATGGCAGCTAGAATGAGATTCTTATGCATGCAATCTTAACGATATCGGCATCTCACCAGCACAGCATTTCGCCCGACAATAGCACATACACAAAAGCTATGGCTTATCATCTAGATCTCACTCTCTCCGGATTCAGAGGTCTCTTATCACAAGGCACAGAAAACTGCAATCATGATGTAGTCATCGCTTGCTCTCTGCTGCTAGTGCACTACGCTTGGTCCATGCCCTTTTTTGCATACGCAGACGACAAAATTGATATGAGAAGCGAACCTGACAAGCTACTCAAATTCTCTGCTGGTCTCAAAGCAGTCATCATTACTATGAAAGAAGACAACGGGTACTACAGAGGCATTTTCAAGTCTCCCATGTCCAACGCTTCTATCCAAGCATTCCAAGACTGGGAGTCTGCTCTAGGAACCACGTTTGACTTTGGCGATTTTTTCTTTGGCGCGAGATCAACTGCCTTGGAAGGGTCTTTCGGATGCTGCAATGAGCATGGATGTGCTGATCCATATGAGCGGCTGGCTCCTCTCCTTAACACGATGGATGCTGTATTAAACGGCCATGCCATCCATCACCTAATGCTACAGATACGGATATATACGCTTTTCTGGCCTTCAAAAGCATCCAGAGATTTTGAAAACGCATTTTCTGTAAACCAAACCGAAGCATGCGTTGTCATGCTCACTTTTTACGCCACCGCGTGGTGGCTTCTCTCCGAGAGCGTGTGGTGGGCACGAAGACGTACAAAAGTCATGTGCGAGTCCATTCTTGAAAGCCTGGATAAAAATAACAAAAACAAGAGGTGGCAAGCAAATATTGAGCACGTACGTCAATATTTCAAGTTCACGCCGAATGGCGCGGGGGGATGGACAATTGGAGATCCGGGTTACCATCCAGCAGAGTATTGACCACATGTTTTCAGCAGCTTTCAGAGGGTGGGATGCTGTACAGCGTGCTTATTATCTATCAATATAAATTTGCCCATCTCATTATGAGCAAAAAAAATATTTGTACAATTGGAAAGTGCTGCGAAAATGTGCCCCGTAAAAAGACAAAAAGAAATCGAAGCGACCACGCCAGGAGTCGAACCTGGAATCTCTAGAGATGATGAAGACCGAAATCTAGCGCCTTAGCCATTAGGCCACGCGGCCGGGAGCTGTTATTGTTTTGAGGTCGTCTATTTGGTACTCATAAGCGCAAGGGAAGTTTGCCGACCAGATTGCAAAAAGATCGCGATATGCGGGAGTTCCAGCCAGCTGGGATTTCTGGCGTGGGCCAAAGATCTAAATGTTGGGAACTTTTCGCAAGGCAGGTGCAGGGCAGGCAGGCGCTACGGCCGTTATACATTGCAGAACGGCAAGAGCTAGCGTGCCGATTACCTATTCTGGTAATAGAGATTAATCGTGGCAAGTGGCAGAGAAGAATGAATGAGAATACGGCAATGATTGAAAAGAGAAGTGAAAAAAAAAAGAAAATCATCTATAATGTCTAACAGCTCTAGCCACAGGATCCATCCTCACCAGTCTCGGCTCAATGGTCCTCTACATTCTCATCTCTTCCTGGATACATAATGTCTTGAACCCATACCGCCCGAACAAGGTTGACAAAAACAAAGCCAAAAATAAGGACCATGCAAATGCTCATCCCTGTAGTCACCCACTGCAAACTACCGCTTGCCAATTCTTTCCCGATAGAGATCGTTGCTAATGTGAAACCTGTATTGGGAAACACCATAGACCACCAGCCAAGATGAAAATATTTCGGTGGCGATGAAACAACAGCGACGACAGCGATGCCGAACCACCAAAGGCTGAGGGCCCAGAGTGAAATGGCCACTAGCACCGCAATGACTCTGATGATACTTTTCTCGATGCCCAGCTCCTTGATGCTATCCGGTACTCCATTCGCCATGCCGATCAAAGCCAAGGCTGTGAACGCTGGCGGACCAACACACATGAAAAGTCCAGGGCGGTGCTCTCGGTTCGGAAGACCAGACTGGATCAAGCGTCCAATCATGTGGGAATACATAAGTATAGCAACCGACATCCCAAGACCTTGGCAGGTTAGCCCGGCGATGAGAATCGGCATAGCGGCGATTTCAGGCTGTGTTGATGCTATGACAGATGCAATTGTCCCGGAAAGCATGATGGGAAAGATTGGCAGAATCAGAGTTGGCATGAAACTCTGGAGGTTGAGACTATGAACCGCAAAGACATAGCTGTATTGGCCAATAGCAAGTACTGCCGTCAAAGCGACGTATATCCAAAAAGCTGCTTGTATAGCCCATTCCAGCCCGACATGGTTGTCCGGTATGGCATATCGTTGGGTACTTGTGATGATGGTAGCGATGGAGAGAAAGAAGGTCGGGAAAAAGAAGCCTTCTCTTGGGTGCGTGAGGGAGCGGACCATTTCGCCAGTGTGGAACATAAACCGAGCCGCCATGGTCATTGTAACGAGCGAAAATATGATAATGTTTACGATATAAACCACCAAGCCAATAGTTTTCAACCCGTGGAATTGATTGGGCTGTGCAAATATGAGCAAGGACAGACCTCCTGCGCTCATCGGTAGAGTATACCAAGCCCATGTGAAGTGTTGAAGTCTCTTTCGTATAGATATCCTTGGTCTGTTCGGATCGTAGATATCAACGGCCGCTTTCTCGGTGGTTTCCTCGACTGTGTGATGCTTGTCATGTGTTGGCGTGTTGACGCGAGTTACATCGCCAGAAGGCACCCGTGTATGGTTGGTGGCACTTGTGGTAGGCCTTGCTCCCTCAGCCTCATCGTCGTTGACGGGAACAAAGAATTCTGAAAGCTCCTGTCCCTCAAATTCGGATTTTCTAGAAGCAGGTAGTTTGTCCCATCTCAGGGACTGTGCGTTATGAGACATGATGGATGATGTGATGTGGCGTCGAACAAGCGGCGCTTGGGAGAAAAAAAGTATACTATAGTATAATAAAAAGCTCTGTAGAGTCAAAACATCTCATTGATGAATTTTTTACAAGAGGAGATTTCATATCTAAATATTCTAGAACCTCCTTCCCAACCCTGTTTGCTATCCGAGAGCAGGCGAAGCAAGGACCCCAGCGACTTCCCGACTTGTATGCCTTGGACAGGTGGCTGTACCAGGAGCTGACGCAGCAAACGGAAAGTCCGGCCGCTATAGTTGGGTATCAAGAGGCAACCTTGTCTCATTTCGAAAATATCCTGGGTGTAGTGAGTTACATTGGCTACCTCGCTGAAGCTTCATCACGTATCAAACATCTTGGCCAAGATGTGGCAAGGCAAAAGTCCCGAGCTTGGCACCGGTACTTGCGCCGCCCTTAAAAGCCGATCAAACTAATCGAGTGCCAAAAGGGAGTATTAGCCAATTTAGCTAGCGAGTCAATCTGCCGGTAAACAATCAGGGGTTGATACGATCTTCAAGGGCTAAAATGATGTCCGTATCATGCCGGGCAGCGAGGTTAATTCGCCAAGCCTCTCATCATCTTAGCGTAATCACGCCGGAGTCGCCAAAGATAGAATGTAAAGTACTATTCTGAAGAAATCGATGAATCTAGTGATTAATTATATTGTTGTCATTGAAGGAGAACATGGCAGGGCTCTTGAGCAAGCGGAAGCAAGTGGATCCACGTGGCCAGCACAATATCTATGAGAGCATGGGTGAGTCCATGTTCGCGTCACAAAATAAGATAAAACTGCCTATACAAATTCCAAAGCCTGATTTCATTCCTTCTATCTAGATTGACATAATTTTGTAAAGGTTCACTACATATGTCGTCGAAGATGGCTTGACAAACTTACCTCGTTAAGCTTAGACGCTTGCGCAAGATCTTCAGGAATACCCATCATCTCTGACACGCTCCATACCCACAGAATAAGCTTGGCAGCTACAGAGATAAGAATTTTAACAAGGTCGTATGCGCCTCAGAATCCATCCTGAAGTGTGATATTGTAACAATGGAGCATAGGTACAGGGGAAGCATAAAGCTTCTTGTAAAGGTTAATTCCGACGCTTTACTCGGAAGCCCGCGGATTTATGCTTAGGCAGGCATATGTGATAGGAGTGCCACACATCTACAACTAACAAAATCCTACGGCTCGAGTTTTCGCTCCATCTCAACCACTGCGTACAGAGAGAAAGAGGTATGGCAAAGGGGGTTTATACTCAAAGTGCTTGGGTCCCAAGTGATCGGCGGCTTTGGCTTGGCATCGGTGAGCCGGCCCCCTGTCAATTCTATAAGGAAAATAAAGCCTTGGCATCAACAAGTAAAACGACAACAATGCCCAATTGCCATTTCTTGGCAGCACGTATGATCACCTTTAAGAACGTGCACGGAGCCCAACAATGGAGTCGCCGAAGTTTAATGGGACAGATTACGCGTTGCCTGCTTATACTGGCAGAGCCCAAGTTAAAACGCCATCGAAGACAAGCAAGGATTCTGAGTCGAGATTTTTATTTGCTGCAGGCTTTGGCGCGACAGCTACCCAGTATAACGGGATAACTGAGACAGACATGCACCGCCTCCGGATTGTCCACGCATTTGACCAGATGCTGGTCTCTACATTATCCTCCTACTTAGGCGCGTTTGTCAGCTACCCCTGTTGAACAGGGAATATCGCACACGTTCGATCTGGCGCTCGCCACGTGCCAAGATATAACGAATGACGGTTATAAAATTTGCGAGGCGTATTCAGGCTCTGAAAAAGCCTAAAAGTCTCTTTTCTGAAAGATTTGAATGGCATAGATATGCAGATCTAATACCGCTTCACCCGGAAGCTCTAATTTCGGTACATAGATCTGCACAAGTTAGGCCTGTCAATTTTTTCCTTTCTATAAATTCCTTATCTATAAGCGATGTGCTCAGCCTCTTGAGAATTGCGAAACACGGAAAAGGGGAACTTTGAATGTGACAATATCTTATCGCCGCCCTGGGCTCGTATATACGACAGGGCAAACATTTTGATGCCCAGCTGGGGAAACAACTATAAAACTTTAGATTCAACCCCATGCTCGTTTGCCTTCCAACTCCTTAGCGATGCTAATTGCTATAAATAAAAGATTTCCATCATGCAGCCCCTTCAGCCAAGACTGAATGATCGACAACCAAACGTTTCAAGTACTCATCTCATATTTGCTCCTCGCCCTCAACTTCTCCCCATACGCCCTAAAAATCCACGGAATCGGTGCCATGGCCACCGTCACAAACCCCAAAAGACTCGTGGCCCAGCCCGCGCCCAGGTGCTCGTACATTTGCAGCGCAAACAATGGAAACGCCGCAGAGAGCAAATACCGGCTGAACATCATGGATCCAGAGGCGGACGCTCCGTACAGTGGGCCGTAGGCGTCCAGCATGAAGAGATTTGCGCCTGCATAAACAAGCAGAGAAGACAGCATGACGAGGCCTTGGAAGACGATGGGCACAATCCAGTGGACATGGAAATGCACCGTCCAGCCAACAATGAAGAGACAAATCGGCAACATGATGCTCCCTATCAGAGCAGACACGAGTCGATTCTCCGACGGCAGCGGCTCATCGTCATCATGGCCACGCTGCCACTCCGTCAAACGCCTCTGATAAGACTGAAGATCAATCAAAACCAGGGGCACTGCCGCAAGCGCCGTGCCGCACATGAGGCCCAAGTACGACAGCGGCTCGCTCTCCACCGACCACCCATAGTAGGTCCGAAATATCCAAGGTACAGACACGACAAACGTATACAGCAAGCCAAACAGGAATCCGTTATACACACTAACCAGGGTAACAATCGGTTCGGTAAACAGCATGTGCAAGGGCCTCTGGATTAGTGTCGTGAAGAAGTATCTAAACGCTCGTCCAGGTGAAGTTCGCTGCGACGCAGAGTCTCGTAGCCCCAGACGCGTAGCACGTCGTTTTAGAATAACCTTCTTGTACGTCTCGCGAGTGAAGCATACAGGGATATAAAACGCCACCGTGATAAATATAGATATCCACTGCGTCCACTGCCATGGCTTGACGAGGAGAACAAACCCGCCTATCAAAGGGCCCAGGGCCGCTCCAAAAGATGGCACGGCATAGTATCCTCCTAGGCTAACACCTCTGTACCGTGGTGGCGTAAAGTCGAGTAGCGTTGCTGGCGCATTGTTGATCAGAGGTGAGGCAAACACACCAGCAAAGAACCGGCAAGTCGTTAGTCCGCCTATCGACTTGCTGAAACCAGACCCGAGTAAAAATAGAACGAATACTGGAGTTGATAGCAAGAAGACGGACTTTCGACCATACGTCTCCGAGAGTGGTGCGCCAACCATGGGTCCAAAGGCGAGGCCGAGGTTGTAAAGCGAAAGAGGCAAGACAGCCACAATGCGGTTGCAGTGAAAGTACGAGGCGACGGTATCTTGGGCGGGCGCATACATGGATCCGGCTATGGTGCCAATCATGGCAAGCATAGTTATGGCAATGGTGCTGAAAATTCGTAAAGACGCGGAAAAGTTGCGAGGATTGTCGGGATCTTCAGGACCGGTCCAGTCGTAGGCGGCGTTGATAGTCAGAGGGAGGACCGTGTTTGGCTCTTCATATCGACCCTGTTCTTGATCATGGCCCTGCTTCTCATTGTGATGATATTGATCTGCTGCTACCGGTGCGGTGTCTATGGCAACTCGGGATATCACCATCTCGCTCTGTGGAGCCTCCAGTGACGGTAACGTTGGTCGATCCATGTTGCTTCGTATATACTCTGTATCCAGCTATTAATCCACAGTGAAAGGTTGAGATCTTCTCATGTTTATCTTCATAACAGCTTCCTGGTCTGCATGCAAACTTGTTGAACATGCAAGCTGAAGCAGACTTTTCTCGCACTAGTCTCTCATAGCAAGAAGTCTGCTCGAAAGTCCACTTCATCGTAATGAGAGAAGCTAAGAAGATGTAAAGGTTTTCAGGAAAAGATGTAAGCGCTTTTAAAATAAACCCCCGAAAACGGTGGGATCTGCGCCTTCTCGCATTGTCAACTCACAATGAGAACAAAATGCCCCTCTCACGCCGATAATTCATCGGGTTCAACTACCGAAATGCCGGCGTCATTACCCGCATCCGGATTCGGCGCCCTAAAGTCACCCCGGACTACTGGCTGGTTCCGTCAACAACTGATTTAGCCGCAAAGATTTAGTAATCAAGATGACTCAAAGGCGGAGTGGACAAGCATTCATGTTACAAGGGAATCGTGAGAGGTAGAGGATATTCGTTATATTAGGTATGTATGTATTTATATATAGGTATCAATTGCTATACGTTATCTTGTTATCATATCCGTCCTTGCATCAACAGAAAAAAGAAAGAAAAGTTTAGGCATCCTCGTCGGCAGCCTTGCCAACACCGGGTTGGTTCTGGCCAATATACTCGGACTTCTTGAGCATGTTCCACTTGTCTTCCTCGGAGTCGAGGTGGCGGAAGCAGAACCAGAAAGCAACACCACCAATGAAGGCGATAATGGCGACAGTAGTGTAGTTCCAGACCAACAGGGGATCGTCAGACATGGGAGTAAAGGCCTCGCCAATGGCGGCGGAAACGGCACTCATGAACAGGTTGACACTCATGACCAGAGACTTCATGTTCTCAGGGGCCTTGGAGTAGGCATACTCGTAAGAGGTGACGTTGGCGAAGATCTCAGCAATACCAATCAGGATGTAGGGCAAGCACTGGGCCCAGACATTGATGGGAGCGGGAGGGCAGGGCACTTCCTCGCCATCAATGATGGTGGTTCCGTTAGCGTGGTTACCGCAAGGGCTCTTCTTGTAGATGTAGTACTGCATGACGGCAGAGGCAACCATGGAAAGGGCAGCAATCAGGAAACCAGTGGCCATACGCTTGATGGGGGTGAAGGCAATGCCAAGCTTGCGGAGACCAGGGTAGAGGAGGTGGTCAATGAGAGGAATCATGATGACGATGGAGATGGGGTTGAGGTTCTGGATAATGTCGTTGGGGACGCCATGTCGCTCAAGAGTACCGGCTTGGATGGTCAGGTTACCAGTCATCTGGTTGTAAGACAGGAAGAAGATGGGGAGGAAGAGGAAGACCTTGCAGGCCATCAGACCACGGCGGACCTCATCAACCCAGGCGTCATCATAAGTCATCCACTTGGGGCGCTCGCTAATGGCAATGCGCGAGGGGCGAGCATAATCCCAGTTGATCTTGAAGCCCTTGGACTGCTTGCGAGCATACCAGAACATCTGCAAGAACTTCTGGAGCAGAGAACCGGTAGGAGGAGTGAGCTTGTACTGCTTCTTCTGGCTCCACAGGACAAAGGGAGCAAGAAGGAACATGCCAGTAGGGATGAGGAAAGCAAGCCAGAAACCGACGTACTTCTCAACGTAGACCATGCTGATCTGGCCAGCAAGAGATCCGATGTTGATGGCGAGGTAGAAGTAGAGGAAGATACGGGTGTTGGTCACAGCAGGATCAACAATGACACGCTCGCCAGAAGGGAGAACCTTGACATGCATGCGCTTGTCTTCGTTCTGGTCGGCAAGTAAAGGAGAGACGTTGGCCTTGAAAAAGCCAGTGCCTGTGCAGAGGGTGATGAGACCGATGATGAAAGCAGCGAAAGCGCTGTCCTTCTTGACAATGACAGCGGGAGCAGCGGCGGCGACGAGGATAACGTGAGCAACGGTAGAGATGGCAATGGCAACGTGGAGAGTCCAGAAACGTCCCATGCGAGCATCAGCAACCCAAGCACTGTTTTCAAAAGCATTAACATCGAAGCAATCTAGAAGGGTTGTTGCACAAAGCGAAGACTTACCCCATGAGAGGCATGATGTAGGCCCAGAACTGGTTGAACAAGCTGATACCCATGGCAGCCTTGGGGCCCATTCCCAGGGCACCGGGAAGACCATCGGCAGTGGGAGCAGCACCAGTGGTTGAACCCGGAGGAAGAGGTCGGTTCACAAAGTTGGTGTAGAGGATGGAAGATCCATAGTAGGAGAAACGCTCGCAAAGCTCAACAAAGGCAATGGTGTACATGGCCCACTTGATGCTTCCCGAGACACGGCGCAGGGTGCGCAGGTCCTCCTCGGTGGGTGTGTCGTCGAATTCCCCCTCATCGTTACTGATAACATCGACGTCGACGTTGGCATGTGCCTTTTCGTCAACGATAGTCTCCTTGTCAAGGCCAGCCGCGCGACGGTCGGCCTCGGCAATGACGTCGACCTCAAGGCCGGCAGCGTTGCTCATGGTGGATGAAGGTTGAGGCAAGGCCTGATGAGCTTCTAGATGGCGCAAGTGGTCAACCCAGGAGGATGAAGAGGGCAGAGCAGACGGGCTTCACGGCACAAGGAGAAGGGGGAGAGGGCTGCTCGTCAGGCCGTTCTCGTCGACTTATATAGACAATTCGAGGGTCGAGACAATGCTGCAGACGTTGATAAGCCACACAACCCCCCAACTTGCCCAACCCGACCCTTGTATCCGCTTCCATGTGCTGACCCGGTCTTGTCCCTCCTCTCTGCTGCGTATCTGGCGTGTGGAGGCGAACCGAGTCGACGCCCAGATATCGACTCGGGCCAAGACCAACAGCCGCCGGAGGGCGAGACTGGAAGCAGCAAGGCCTGTGGCAACTAAACAAAAGATCCCGGACCAGTGCCGGGGCCATCCAGGCAACAAATGGTGTAGGTGGAGGTGGTGAGAAGAGAGCTAAGCGGGGAGGACGCATGGCGAATTGCCCGAATTGACGCTTGCACCACCAAGTCGCAGGCTACTGGCAAGCCCCAGCCGCTAATCGGGTTGGCTGCTGGATGCGAGGAAACACTGACCGCTCGCGGCCAGGGGTCCTTGTGCTCTACACCATGCTGTGATCATACTGTCCTACAGTGCTCCCTTGCTTGATGTATGTCCGTGGCTGCAACGTTGTTTGGCATCCTTCTTGGCATCCTTCTTGGCATCCTACGCTGTGGTCACCATCAGGCCTCGTCTTCGGCCATTTACCCATTGACCTGGATACGTCTATTTAGACTCACACGCTTCCTCGGCAGTCGCAATCACAGCATCGTCCACCAGGAACCTGCATCACAATTATCAAACACCCAGATGTTCAGCATCCCGCACCCGTGTCTCACGGCAAGGCTCTCTCCATGCCCCCTAAACGATCCGGCGACTTGGCACGCCAACATTAGAGGCTATTGGCGCAAAAACAGACGACAGAGCCATGTGATGGCGGCGGGGCGGCGACCAGATAGCTCTGCTTGGCATCGTTAGCGATGACACTGACACGAATAATGGCTTTCTATTAGCCGTCGTCGACTCTCTTTATCGACGGCAGCATTGTCTCGCATCTCTCCATCTACATATCTAGGGTTTTCGCTAAAATAGACGTCTCACGGGCACCTGCATGCGGCTTTGCGCGATCGTGGCTGCGCCTGAGGAGCCTTTTTTTTAAACAACAAAAATTCTCCTGTAACCTCAACCTTAAGCTTGTTATGCTTTTTTATCGCCCGAGTCCGTCTACACCAAAATCCCACCCAAAATTCGCCGCCTCGCAGCAATAAGCCCGCCCTAGGCTGGTCCAGGCATGGAGCGAACGGCTCTCGACTCTCGCCTTGGACGCCACAGTTACAAAAGTCCCTGGGCCAAGTCTCGGCCAATGGCATCGCGCCCAAGTCCTGTTTAAGCTCGCCGTGTTGCAGGGTCGACATGCGAGCGAGCTCCACAGACGCGGATCCGTTGCGCTGCTAATTTCAAGCCTAAAGTAAAGCTCAAATATCAAGGTTACTTTCAGATGCCCACATGGAGCTGGCCGCGATTACGAGTGCCTAATGTTACAGAGCCTCCTCTGCTCCATACTGCCACTGATATTGACATTCCAGACCATCCAGATGCGATTAGCGCTTGGCGGTGTCGCCCTGGACGCCAAGAGCCGCCGAAGCACGCAATCTGGCGTTGCGGCGACGACGACGAAGAGTCATTCGACTCAAGTCGCAGCCTCAGCCGAGAGCAGCTGAGAATCTCGAACGAGCGACTCTATGGCATAGCGGCAGTAAGTGGGAGCGCCTTCTAGCTGCGGTTCTTTTGTTCCTGAGCGCCTCCATTTGCCGCTGGGCCAAGCCCAAGAGCGGGTGGCGTGACGGCGGCGTCCAGCCGATAAGGGAACCATGCTGCTAATCCTCGAATCCTGCAGCGCTCGCTGCATTGCCGGGGCGTCTCAAGCTGCATGGCCGTCGGTCTAAAGCTGCAAGATGGGAGGCCTTGTCCATGTGGCTTGTGCAAAAGTCCTGCCAAGAACCGTCTATACGGTCTCCCGATGCAAAGAGCGCTACTCATCGCGATCGAGCCATGTACAGCATCCATTCACAGTTCCCAAGATGATGGGATCATGGGCGGTTGCCTCTCCCACCTCTGCACCAGATGGATGCAACCCTGGGCGTCTCCCCGAGGCCCACAGCACCCAAGTCGTGACAACCTTCGGTTGCACATGTTTATCTTGGCCGTAATACGGGGTTTTGTGGGCCGCTTGCCACTGGCGTTGCTCAGTTGCTCAAAACTCTCGTAATAATATCACTTCTCTGGACGCTGAGATGGAGATGAAAAGCAATCTGTTAGTCAAGATATTGGGGAATATCTGGGGAGAAGACCATTCTGCTGGAGTTTGACGGCGGAACGAACCACGGAATCTTGATTACCCCATACGGGGTAGACGAGAGCATTGCTGAAGGTATCTTTGTGATCGGTAAACCAAATAAGCTTCAGCTCATAATTAAGGCGATGCTATTGCCGCCACAAGTTCGTTCTGCCTTTTGCCAAAAAAAAAAAAAACTCATTCCGCAGTTGATAGATAGGGCGGCCAGAGACGGCTAACCAAGGCTGTTGGGCGACTTGTTCGAAGGATTTTCTGCGGGATTACATCGAGGAGAAAGATCCCGTTTTGGGCACCTTCAACCACACCACCTCGACCTGAAAAGCACTTCGCTCTTCGCCCTTCGCTATACATAGCCTGCCTGATATTCTCGGCTTCCAGTCTAATGGGCGCATGATGACAATGCCCTTTCATCAAAGCAGAATTTCGGACATTTCTTGCCTCTCGGAGTCACCTAGCACTTACACTTAGTCTGCTATATATGGACTGCTCCGTTCTTGTAATTTGCATGTCAGAGTCATATCACCCTGTCGGCGCCTTTCCAATCGAAGCCAAAGGGAAACACACGCGCGTGCCAAGCCTCCCTAGTACAGCTGCTTTGGGCCAAGTCGCTCGGCCAATTCTCATCCTGTACGAGCGCCACAGGTTAGAAGTCTTCGACAACACTTCTAGGCGTATCCGGGCTGCGCCAGTGGGTGGGGATGGCGCATCCTGGCCGTTGATAATGGGTCGGCTAGCATTGGATGGATGGTAAAAAGCGACGCTGTGCTCAGTTAGATTCCCCAGAGTAGCAACCACCAAGGCAGGTTCACAGTCCAGGTGGCGGTTTGCCGAACCTTTGAACTTACTATCGGTTGCTTATCAGTGGCCAATTCCCCAAATCTAGCCATAACTGGGGAAGATTGACCAACACCACTACGTTTTAGAGTTGAAAGTTTAAGAAGACATCGCCGAGAAAACTCTGCAGAGGCTGGAGCCGTGTTGGCTGGCAGTTGGTCTGCCCACCAAGCGGCCAGTACGAGCTCTTTGAAATCATATCTTTGCATCGCAAACAACCTGCGCTTATCCCACTTTGTTGTCATCTCCGTTGGCAATACGCTCGTCTCCACAGGCAAGCTCTTGGCGACTGGAGGTGAGCGCCAGTCAAATGTGATACAATGCATGGCACCACACTTTTGGTAGCATTGGCGCCAGTCGGTAACTTGGCATAAACTCCGTTCAATTTGAAGCTGAAATTTTGTTATGCGCGATGCAACGATACTGAGACGAGACGTAAAATGAGTGCAGAGTAGCTGATGAGCTTACAAGGCCGTGAACATTATTAGTTTGTCGCCAACAAATGCACCAGTTAGTAGTGGTCATCAAAGTCGATTTGGCTCTTTTCTATAGGAGCGAGAAACATGATTCCCCTGAGTCAGGCATGAGACCAGTGCGGCAAGATCAGGTCGTAGGTTGACTTGTTCGATCTCGAGCGCAAATGCGGGACGGCTTGAACTGGCCGAAATCTCACTGATGGTAAGAACTTTATGTACGACATCAACACTGTTAGGAAAGACGTTTGAGGAAGCTTTGGAGAACGAAGGTTTTTTCTAGGCATACTGCTCTCTAGTTATGGCCGTGTACTCTATCCTCTAACTCAGAGTTCAGATAATGCACATCGTATAATACCTAGCTGATCTCTCTACCGGAAGCTACTTAAAGCACATGCTGCTATCTGAAGGTTCAAAGGCGTAAAGATCGCCCCAATATTCCAAGTCGTTCAGTTCTTCTTCAGAAAGCTGTATACCGGCAAAGTCTTCTCTCCTTGGCGTGCGAAACCGAGAGTGGACGGCACCCACATCGTCCCAGTGAAACCATCCAGCGTGCTCCCAGTCGACGATGCCCACAATTTGATCATTGCGAACAATGATATTCGAGGGTTGTAAATCGTTGTGCATGAAGTTTAGCTTTCTTGATCCTCTTTCTGAGCGATCACTGAAGAGGATCGCGCTTTCGGAAGATGAGATATCTCGATTTACTATAGGATTCGGGTCGGGCATGATATAAGTTGGCTCCAATACTGTTGAAGGAGGTTGCACGGTGCTCAGCTCGGCCATCATCTTTTGCGTTTGCTCTTTGAATGAATCTTTCTGTGCAGGAGAGAGATATGGCCATGCTACATTCAGTGCGACGCCGGGAATCCTTTCCTGGACAATGGCATCCTTTCCTTTGAGCTATAATACCGTCAGTAAAGTATACATTGCTGGCCTCTGTAATGACTTTACCTTTCCACTGAAAAAAATCCGGGGTACTGGTACAGTGTTGGGAACCAGCTGTATTGCTGCCACCTCATTTTTGTCTGCGGTCGAATAGTCCCGAGACGACTCTGATCCAGCATCTCTTGTCCCTAAGTGGCATGACTTGATGATGATGCTGCCGAGAGCAAACACGTCTCGACCCCCAAACGGATTCTGATACACATAGCATGTCGAGTCGCACTTTTCGAGCACTTCTGTCCAGTACTGCAGTGCTTCTTGCGTGTTTGAGTTGCAGTATTCTTCTAGTGGTTTGAAGTCCTGTGGACTAGGATTATAGCGGCCATAGAGGGGAAGATCATAGTAGAGGTCTGTAGGCGGGATTTTGCCCGCTTCGGCTTCGTAAGGATCCATAGCTTCTGAGGGTGGAAGTTTTATTTCAGTTCAATCACATCCCTTTGCACAAGTTTAAACAAGAGTCTACTCCGCCAGAGATCATTGGCAGACGGGATTGTTGTCTAAAGCTAACAGCATGATGGGTTCTTCCCATTCCTATCTTGTTTAATGTTTACCATGGCAAGTCCCAACCGTAGGTGCCTTTCAATGAGATACCAGTCACTAGTTAAGATTGCACGACAAATCTTTCGCCAGACGTCTTCGGTTGGCTTCCGATACTCGTTGGTTGGCGAGTACCTCCTTGAGTGCCCGTTGGCTGTATGACATGTTAGCGACCAACTTGGATGCTTCATTTGTGAATCACATAAAGCCAGACCAACAGACACCTAGCGGTAGGTAGTTAACACATGCCGTTGAAAGTACCATGTGCAAGTACGATGTAGATTGTTTGTTCTCTAGGTAGGTACTTCGCAGCGCTGATCACTACAGAGACCTTCTAAGCTTGAAGCGAGTTTGCTAATGAACACGGGCCATGGTCCCGCTTGATAAGTTGCAGCCCTTTTAGGCCTGGGGACTGGAGTTTCGCTGCTAATGCGGAAACCTGCTTAGTGCCACACACCTTTTCCGTCATCTTCGGCGGACTTTGGCACGAATAGCCGAAACATCTGCTTCGGCTCCTTGTGGTTCATTCCGAAACACAATGGACTTTGCTTTAGGCATGTATTACCGTATTTAGTAAGACTACTGGATTGTGGATTTTAATAGCTACAATCGGTCAAAAGATTGCCAAGAATAGCTAGTGAAATACTTGATTAAGAAGTCATCAGTCAAATACTTTGAAGAAGCGAGGCATTTGATCCGATATCAATTATCTTTGTAAATATCAGCTGCTGTATATCCCCCTCATCGCTTAACCAGTTCTTTTAGAGCCTTCCTCGGCCATCAGTGGAGCGACGGGCAAGAATCGGGCCTTTGCGCCTGTGATCATCGACATGTAGTACGACGGTTGCCCAATCTGCGCCGGTGCCACCACCTCTACGTCGAATCGTTCGAATAGGGCTGATACGACTTTGTACACCACCATCTCGGCCAAGTTCTTGCCCGGACAAGTCCTTGGGCCACCGCCCCAGTTGAGGCTGTAGCGTTCCATGAGGCGCACGTCAAGAGCGTCGCCACTGAGCCATCGGTCCGGGCTGTAGGCCTCTGGGTCTGAGCCTGTCACAATGTTTGCATTTCGATGCAACGCCGCTGGGTTGCACCCGACTGTCGTGCCTCCTGGGATGAAGTGCCCGTGGACATGCAGGCCGTTATCAGGAACTCGACGAGAGAGTGACATTGTCAAGGCTGGGTGAAGGCGCATGGCCTCTCTAGAAGCTGCGCGCGTATACTGCAACTGAACTGCGCCCGCATATGATAATGGATCCTTGGCGCTCCGGATTTCTTCTGTTACTTTCTTCTGTACGTCGCCGTGTGTTCCAATCATTGTGAAAATGGCTGTCAGTGTCGAAGCCATCGTGTCGTGGCCCGCGCCAAAATTGGTCATTCCCATTTTTCGAAGATAGACCTCTGTGAATTCAGGCCTATCTTTGTGGAGTTGAACGAGGTCTGCCATTAAATCTACCCGGCGATCTTTACCAGCATTTGGGTTCAACGCAGTCTTGATCCTCCGAGATATACGCTTTCCCACGTCCTAAATTCCCGGGAGGTCAAAACTTGCTTCACGAAAAGGGAGTAGCTGCAGTTATACTGACAGGAAAGAATGATCGAAAATTGGGTGGAGCAGTGTACTTCAAGTTCCAGACATCTCTGAAAACCCATTCGAATAGGTTTGTACACATGGTCAATTTGGTCATGGTCGGAAACAGACCCATGACACTCTTCCTTCTCCAAGCAAGATAGCTGTGACCGCTTGATCCCCAGTCAGTTCCAGCTTTGAGCAGTCCCGGAGACCAAGACAAAACAGAAGCACCAAGACACTCGACGGCAATGATGTGCATCCACTCCTTCAAGTCTAGTTCCGCGCCATCCAAAGCCTTCAGCCGCGTAATGACTTGCTTGATAACATCGTCGACTGCTGCTTCAAACTTGGTCACATTGGCTGTTTGGTAGACTCGCCCAATTAGCCGTCTTTGGAGGCGATAGCGCTTCATGTCCCTCTCGGACAGTAGATCCAAGCTGTCGACAAAATGAGGACGCAAAAAGTAATCTATTTTTGGCATGATTAAGCTGGTTGCCACTATAATTCACATGGTCAGTAAGCAGCCATCATCATGCTCAACACATCAACATACAATAAAAGTCACTCTTTTCGTATCCTTTGGTGCTACCTATGAGAAAAATTTGCGTTAATACATCAAGATATTCCATCATGTAAGACCTAAACATACTGTAGATCTTGTCAAAAGCCTCCATGCTAGTGAACCAAAGTTCATCGGGGCCAACTCGCACTACTTCGCCATACTTCTGGTGGAGTGTGCATGCCAATTCGAACATGCCACCATTTCGAGCATGATATGCATGCCATACATTAGAAATAGCAGCTAATTTTGGGCCCGGCACCTGTGCGAGAGGATGGAGAAACAGCCTATACAAAGCAACTGATGCGATGCTCAGCAGCAGCAAACAAATGCCATAGCCTAGAACGCCAGCGGCACTCCATATTAACCCGGATCCCATGACTTTGTGCAAAACATGTAGCTGGCCGCTAGCAGACTTTAAAAATGAGATGATAATAATCGAAGCTATTCATGGCTTCATCTTTTTTTTAGGCTGCCGTGCAGCGTTACACTTTTGAGCAGTTGGTGACAAGTGAAAAAGTTGTGGAAAGCCCGATCATAATATCAAGAGTTATTCGCTAACAGGGTCTTACCTAAGTGCTCTAGGGTAGGTTTTTTCCATGCACGCAGATACGTCAGGTTAGTGTAGATCTTTCAATATTGTGCAACAAGAAAGCTATTGATGGATGAAGAATCAATAGATTTACATTCATTGGTAGTTTTTTTTTTTTTTATTTTCCTTTGTTCTTTGTAAATGTGGTATACTTCCAAAAATGGGAGAGCGGGAGAAAGTGTAAGCACAAACTGGTGATGATGCAGATGGGGCCAAACACTAAAAGACAACACTATCAGCTACAGTTATATACACGACTTTCAAAGTACGCGTATATCTAAGTGGGAGCATAAATATTTCCTAAATCATTGCTCTAGTGGCATGTTTTATACTTGGGAAATGAGTGTATCGGGCTATTCAGTTTGTACTAGATCCATATCCCTAAGCTGTAAAATCTAACCAAGACAGACGTTGTACTCTCGTATATTAGTTGTGTTTAATAAAGTCTAAGATAATCGCTATGTAAAATGCTACATCAGTCTTGCATGCTTTTAGAAATTGAGAAGTAGGTATCTCAGCAGCTCTATTCTAAATGATCCATCATCAATTCATTTTCATCATCATGGAGCAGTTTCTTCCTTCTTCTTCTGCTTGCGCTCCTCTTTTGCCTTCTTTTCAGCTCGCCACTTGATGCCTCTCGCCATGATCAGACACAATGGCAAAGCGCACACTATATATATGAGGCCAATCATCGTAAAGGACCAGCCCACGCCAATGGCATTCATCAGAGGAACAATAGCCGCACTGGCTCCAGCTCCAACCAGGCATCGAGTGAAGTTGTTCGCAGCGGTAGCAGTACCGGCCTTTCCAGGGTGGAGGTCGACGAGCAACGTGTTGGACGTGTTGTTGAAGCCAATCATGCCCATGCCCATCAGACAGCTGACGATGCAGGGAACTGAAACGTGGACCACTTGGTTCATGGCCCAACCCCAGCCGATGAGAGAAAGACCGCTGACGCCAAGCAGTGGGAGTCCAATCTCCAGTCGCACACGTTCAATGGGAAAGTCGGAAAGATCTTGTTGGCGGCTGCGGTCGAGAGGGATGCCCAGCTTCTGGCAGTGTCGTTTATAGTTCCAGTTGATTCCGGGACCGACAATCATGGCGGCAAGGACTGAGCCAAATGCCAATGGCAAGTACATCAATCCTACTTTGATCTCGTCATATCCATACGAGTTTGCAAATAGAGTGGGCATCGCAGTGGCAATGCAGTAAAAGCCGGCGAAAATGAGACTGCTGGTGCCAAGGAGGAGCCCAGTCTCCTTCTCCAGTAGCATGAGTAGAGAGCCTAGGATATTGGGTGGTTTGAATTTGAAGGCATTTTTGGCCGGAGGAGCTTTGCGATCCTTGTTCCGCCGTGATCTTAAGATCTGCCACCCTGATCTGTAAAGTGGTGGTGGGTAGATTGAGCCATCTCCGACGATGTGACGGCAAGTCTCGGGCAGAAACATGGCAAGAAGGAAAAGAGTCACTCCCGCGAATATAGTCAGGAACCAAAAGATGGCCCTCCATCCGAGTGTCTGAGAGAGGGCACCTCCAATGATGGGGCCGAGCGCCGGGGCGAGAACTATAGGCACGACAGTAAAGCCGACGTATTGGCCTCGCTCGGCGGACGTGATGATATCTGCCACGACAGCCATGCACAGTGCCACGGTGGTGCTTGAACCAGCAGACTGGAGACATCGAAGGCCAAGAATAGCTCCGTAGCTGGGAGCGAGAGCAAGACCAATGTTGGCGCCAATGTATATCACGAAACAGATGATATAGGCCGGCCGTCTTCCGCCACTGTCCGCCAAAGACCCCAAGAACATGGGAGTAATGCCCTGAAAGATCATATAAGTCGTAATGGTAAGATTAATTTGGGTGCTAGAAACATGGAGCTCATCCGATAGCTGTGTCAACGCCGGTAGGTAGATCTGAGCTGATATAGGTGAGAAAAAAGCCGTGGAGGCGGCTCCAAGAGCCAACATTCGTTTCTGCCATGTTGTGAATACCGAGTACGGAGGTGGTACCGCCTCTACAACCGGTACAGGCTGTTTCTCCGCATCGGCGAGTTCAAGTGAGAGCCGATTCTTCTCCGAATCTGAGCCGCTTTTTGTGTCTTCTAGCGAAGAACTCATGATGATGGTGAGGATGCCGACAATCTCATCCTTTTGTGAAGTTTTGAGAAGCAAAAGATAAAAATCTTGGCTTTTATAAAAGAGAGAATCTCACCGGGAATAAGAAGGAGGTTAAAAAAAAATTCGAGCTCCTCCTACTCCACGCAGGGCAGCATTATCGGTCAGTGGTCGGCAACAACGAGCCGTGAAGATCTCGCCGGGCTCGGTGCCGAAATCGGCAAATCTGATTGGGGGCGCCTGAAATAGGTAATATATCACGGTGTAACGTCTTTCTTGGCCATTTTGCGGTCAACAGCGTGAAAGGGGGTTTCGCATCCTCGAGAGGCTTTCTAATCTGATGATTAAACACCTGCGATGCCGATCTGGTAGGATGCAAGCTGCGGTATGGACCAATTACAGTTGGTGTTTTGAGCTTTAACGTCCTATTTTGATCATGCATTGCTTAGCTTCTGAGCTCCTTAATCTGCTCTACACTTGACGAAGCAGCTCTTATAGTCTGTATCATTGAAGCTTCTCCCAAACAATATTTGATAAATTACCCACATGCTTTACTTTCCTTCTTGATGCCATCGACTCCACAGTTGTGATCGCGAATTTAGGCGTCGCGGTACATTGCTCCGGTACCTGTTGCGCCACGGCGTGGAAAAACCCCACACTCCGGGGCATAGCAGCGATGTGGCCACTCAGAGCATGTCTTGATGAATGTAGCTCCAGCTTGCCAGCTCTCTCCTGCATAGGGGATACGATAGCTTTACATGCCTTTGTCGCCGCCAAGATGGTGAGTAGGGAATAATGAATGTCTGATATTGTGTGTTTACCCTTTTCCTAACCAAATGCGCTAGAACGTCGCATACAATACGGTGCTGCGGCAGAGCAAGGCCATCCGCAGTGACCTCTCCAACATCCAGGCCAAGAATCCACCCACGCCCGCCGAGATTGGCAGCGTCTCAGTGTCCCTGACATCATTCGCAAAGTCGCTCGACGAATACCACAACCTCGCGCGCCAGGAAATCGTCCCGAAGAAGCAAGAGGAGGCGCTTGAGCGGGTCAAGAAATTCCGCGAGGAGCTCTCCCACTTCCGCGGCGACCTCGATGGGCTGAAGAAGGCGCGAGAGGACGCGCAGCACAACCACAACCGATCAGAGCTGCTGGGGAGAAGACCGTACAATGCCACGCCAGAAAACCCATATGCCAATGCTCCCGCAACGGCGACGCAGTCCACCTTTCAGCCTCGGCACCACAGCTCAAACAGCACTTCGATGACGACTGGCGCTGGCGACGAGTTCCGCGAGGCGCATGCTTTCCGAGAACAAAACTTTTTCAGTAATACCAATCACGCCTTGGACGATTTCATCACCAGAGGACAGGCTGTGCTGGGGGACTTGGGCCAGCAGCGAGAAACGCTGAAGAACACGCAGAAGCGGCTGTACGGCGTGGCCAATACCCTGGGCATTAGCGGCGATACAATTCGCATGGTCGAGCGCCGTGCCCGAGAGGACAAGTGGATATTCATCGCAGGAGTGATTGTATTTTTCTTTTTCTGCTGGCTAGTTCTTCACTATTTACGGTAAACGGGGACGCAGCATGTGGGAAAGGCGCCGTGGCGTTGGGTATGGATATCAAAAGAAATGGCCATTCATAATTTCTTTAAGAGCTATCAAGAGATGGTGATAAAATGTCCCTCTTCCTTCCTCAAAGTCATTCGATGCTCTAGCCGTCTTCCTCGCCATCGAGATTGCTAAGCGCTATCGTGAAGAGGACGTCTTTGGTCGTTTGAACCTCGACAATCTTTGTTTCTGGGAGGACGTGGTTGCTGGTGCTGAGCTTGCCGCCCATCTGTGTTTCCCAATCAGTCACGTCCCACTCCAGGCCTTTGGTGGTGATGTGGCTTGGCTCCTTGAGCGGGATGATTCCGACGTGCTTGCCAAACACCTCTTCCTCGCCGTCCTCCTTCACCTGGATGCGATGCGTGCCGGTCTTGAGGAGGAACGTCAAGCTGGATCCCGAGAGAAGATAGATGCGGCCATCTGCATACGCGGGGTCGGCTTGGAAGAGGTAGAGGTGGTGGAGCTGGCTGAGGCCTTGGTCGATTCGCCCGCCGATGCCGCCTAGGGCGATGATATCGGTCCCGGGAGGCTGCGTCTTGCGGATCCAAGTGATGGCCTTGCCAAAGTCGGTGGAGTATTGGTCGGCGTCCTGGATGATTTGGGCAGGGGTGTGCTGCGAGGTGTAAAAGTTGTGAACCGATGGTCTCAGCGAATCAAGATCACCGATGATGACTTGTAGGTTTGACTACAGATTTGTTAGATGCTGTACGTGTCACGATAGTCTCTTGATAGTTTGACGTAAGAAAGAAGAGAAGAAAAGAAATAAAAGCAGAGATGATGACGATGATACTCACAAATTTGCCTTGAAACGACGAGAGCTCGTGAAGACGATTGGCGCCTCCGTCAGCCGCTATGCGGAGAGAAGCTGTGTCACGGGTCAGCTGTCGGTTCCCTTCACTTTGCTTGGAGGGGCAGCAAATCTCAATTGTGGGCGGGCATACAATTTCTCCAGAGCCTGCGCAGGTTGCTGCCATTCTTGAGAGGCTGATTGAGCACCAGGAGAGCAAAATTCTGGCTCTGCTGGTCCTGCAGAAACCTGTTAGGCTGCCACTCAAAGACCGAGTCCATGGTCAAATGCCGCCGATGCGCGAGTATTGAAGTAAGAGAGAAGAGAGCAAGAGGAAGGACGGCTGTCTCTCAGAGGAGTCGCATCACTTTTCCTAACGAGGGGGGGGCTATTTATGAAGGAGTAAGACAAGAAAACTGAAGTAAAAAAAGGTCACTGCTTTTTTTTTCTCCTCTTTCTTGTCACCAAAGGTGCTCGCGCGACCTGGAATTTCAGCTCAGCTCAGCTCAGCCCGTAAAGGAGCTTGTGATGGCCTGTGACCTCAGTCCAAGCTCACAATTCACATCCTGCTGCGACCGGGCTCCCCTTGTACCGTTACACCAAAACTCAGGGCTGCAGGTACCAGAGCCCTTTGCTGCGGCCACTTTAAGTTCGGTTGCAGCAGCGTGGATAAACCTCGGAGCGAGGCCAGATGCTGGGGGAGATCTGGATGCATTGCTCGATTGCTGATCTTTTGGCTCTGTTAATTAAACATGCATTGAATTGCAATAATTACTGTCATCTACCTTGACTATGGCAATGTGCTGCTGGCTACCCTGCTCTCACCACAGCTTTGAGTAATCAACATCATTCGATCGAGGGGCTGAGCGCAATGGTGCAGAGCTCGTGTCAAGCTTTTATCTGAAATAAATATCTTGTTCCCCATTATTCGTGAGATACTAATATTATACAAGCTTCCTATTCATGAAAGATTGCTGCAATTGCAGGCATATTCGGGTGATGCCTGTTGGTGAAGCGTAAAGAGCTTCTTCCTCTGTATTGACGGATAATCACCGGCTAAACATTTTGGCACAAGCACTCTACGGAATTGGAGATGGGCTCGCGCTGACCAATCTTGGCGATTTTGTCATGCAGGCCATCTTTTTTTCTTCGATTACATATCCGGCCGCAGGCATTGCTGCTCTTCCCCTCGCCCACTAACCTCTTCTTTTCCTCCATTGACTCTTCTATCCGGCTCTCTATATAATAATCCATCCACAATGTATCGTACAGCACTAAGAAACGCCTCACGGCCTGCTGCCAGCACTTTGCGCACCGCCGCCATCCGGACGGCCCCTCGGCGATTTGCCTCAACTGCTCCTGCGGATAGATCTCGATCATGGAAGAGCTCTGCGCTTCGATGGGGTTTGGCGGTTGCCGGTGTCTACTACTATAACACAAGCTCCGTATTTGCGGATGAGGTCGAGGGTATGAACCTTTTTCCATCTTGGCTTTGTCAATGTGTAAGTTTCTGGGTTTTTACTGATTCCTGAAGCAGCTCACGCCCTGCCCATTCCCGCGCCATATACCGAAAACGAGCTGCCCACCGTCGATGCATTGATCGACCAGAAGAAGCGAAAGGATGCTAGCCCCAAGGCTGCCGAGCCGGCTGTCGCCAAGACCGAGGCCGTCAAGACCGACGACAAGTCAGAAGCTCCCGCCCAGAGCGCTGTTGGCTTTGGCGGATCTGCCGATGCCCTAGAAGAGGAGGCCAGCCAGGAGGGAGCCTTCAACCCTGAAACTGGAGAGATCAACTGGGACTGCCCCTGCCTGGGTGGCATGGCGCATGGTCCTTGCGGAGAGGAGTTCAAGACTGCCTTTAGCTGCTTCGTCTACTCTACCGAGGAGCCAAAGGGCATGGACTGCATTGACAAGTTCCAGTATGAGCAGCCCGGACAATGTACGCTCGTGTTTGAGACATTTGACTGACAATCTCATAGGGGCATGCAAGAGTGTTTCCGACAGTACCCCGAAATCTACGGCTCCGAGCTTGAAGACGAAGAGGCCGAGGCCGAGGCCGGTGACGCCGCAGCTGCTGCTGCTCCCGCCGCAAAGGCTGCACCCTCCGAAGTCCCCGCCGCACCCGTTGATGAGGAAGACCGACAACAACTCCGAGAAGCCAAGCTTGCTCAGGGCCGCCACTCTGATGCCGCTGAGACAGACAACCTGCCTGGCGTCAAGCTGGTAGAGAGCTCAGTCCCTAGAGTGGCTAGCGAACAGAAGGAGCAGAAATGAATAAAGTAATGGAGGAAGAAGCAAAGATGAACAAGACAAAAATACGGTGTTTGGAGACATAGAGGGAGCAATAAAACAAAGGCAATCGGCGGAATCAATGGGGATTGCCTTTGATGTACATTACGTGGTCTGTATGATACGGGGCCAGGTGTATCCCAACACTGCATGGATGGTGCGAAAAAAGGAAGCCATGGGAAGGTAGACGGCTTGCATCTATATTGTATAAACACGCGGACAATTATGATATTCAACTTTTCAACCTGCTGTTATAATACGCTGACGCTGAAACTATACGCCCAAAACTACCTAGCCTAGCATGTGCTGGAATCCTATCTACGGTATGCAAAAATGCCAAAAAGATGAAAGAAATCAACCATCAAAACCAACGCCTTTCTACCGATCCAAAGTCCAACCTATTCCAAAATTTCCATATTCCTCCGTTGATGCTTGTTTACGCCGTAGTGCTCACCCCATTTAGCCCAGGCTCGGGTATAGCCTCAGGCACAGACACAGGCACCGGCACCGGCACGGGTTCAAGAACAGGCACAGGCTGAGGAACCACCATGGGCTCCAGCTCGGGCACAAGGTCGGGCTCAGGCGCGGGCTCTTGCTTGGGTTCGTGAAATTTGAGCATGAGATACTGCGGCTCGCCCAGTCTTGAGCCCTCGGCAACCTGCTTGAATCCCAGCGACTTATACAGCTGCTGGCCCAGGGAGGATGAGATGATCCAGATGCCCTTTTTGTCTTCGTCTGCCCTGTCCATGCCCCATCGTGTCATCATCTTGCCGATGCCGATGCCTCGATAGTCGCCGTCTACTGAGATGGAGTTGAGGGCTATATGTGGCTTGCAGTTAGAATGGCGTCCCCTGTAAATCTCTGTATAATATGTGCATGTACTCACTCCACATGTTGTGCCGGTTCTCCCCCTTGAACGCCTCCTTGGACTTTTCAATCAACTCCATGACTTCGTCATTGGCATCCAGCAAGGCTCCCTTGTCCAAAAACGGCGGCAGCCTCGCCAGCCTCAACTCCATGTCCTTGGCCTTCTCCTCCGCAGTCTTGCCCTCGTCCTCCTCGTACTCGCCCGCGCCCGCTGCCGGCGCCGACCACTCGGCGCATCCGACGATAATCTCCCCTTCCTCGGGCGCGTCGGCCAGCACGACGAGATGGTGCAGATTCGCATCCGCCAGGCCCCTGCGCATCCGCAAGATGTTCCACTCCAGCTGGTCCTGGATGCCGGGCTTGATGCGCAGGCGCTTGGGGAACATGGCCTTGTGCATGGGGCTGTCGAGGAAGGCGGCGACGTCGAGGGCGGCCATGGCGGGCACGTCTTCGTCGCGGGCGTGGCGGAGGCGGAGGGAGTGCATGGTGGTGTTGAGGCGGGATCTGGATCTTAGAGGCAGCATGAGAGATGATGATGATGGTGGGATGCGGAAATTGTTCGGGGTGTTTTTTGGTGAAGGAATGTAGCGGCGGATTGGAGAGACGCTCCTCGCTTTATATAAGGCTTGCTCGGTATCTTCGGCACAAGTTTGTTGGCTACGAACTGCTCTTTGAGGTTTTATGGTAAATCTGCTTCTTTTGTCTTCCGAATCTCAGTCGATAGAGAGAAATGTGTCTGGTAAAGGGATCTTTTATCCATGGTGAACGGCATTGTAAGAGGGAGGATGAGATGAGATGAGACAGCTGCCGCGTGGGATGCTGACGATGACGTCACACTGCTGATAAGGAAGAGCGCCTCGTTACTTATTACTTGGTTAGATATAAGAAAGCCGAGCACAGATATGCGAGTTGGCTGATGTTCTTTTAAACGCCGGCTGCAATCTGTCCTTGTAGCAACTTAGAAATAGAAAGCGCAAAAAGTGCAGCTCAGACATGGTCAAAGGAGACACCATCCGGTCACTGCTCACGACACCGTTCCCGAGGGGAGGATTTGCAGAGGGCAGCACTGAGATGTTCTAAATCTAGTGCGTCAATACCGAATGCACTGTCCGGAACTGGGGACGATGCATCATCGATGCGAACTCACGGGTGCACGAGGCTCTAGTTGTGGTTGATGCAGCAATAGCCCTCGGGCACAAAGCCGCACCCCTTCTCTCCCACTGTATATGGGAATTATCGTGGCCCGGATCACATAGGCCTATGCGATCTAGATGGCGGTTCGCAAGGCCATCGATGCCACAAACTCGCGTGACACAAATCTGCAAGCATTGTGGAATTTTGCGTGGATTATAACGCCTCCAGGAACTAAGTCAATGAGACCACAGCTCTACGCATGCTTTTAGAATACTGTAGCACACCTGACTAGCTTTTTCTGGCTGTTACTATCACCACGAGCACGTCACCGCCTCTTACTATCGTGAGTACAGAGTATGGGTGTTTCGTATACATGTCTTCACAAAGGCACTCATCTAGGTAGCGTTAAACTTATTGGTGGCGAGAAGCTTTTTATTGAGTTAGTTATATATAACCACTTTAGGACAATTTCGTCAACATTGGCTCTGACCAAGTGCCTCTTGGACACTTGGCGTTGATTAGTCAGCTCGCGTAGCTCAGTTGGTTAGAGCTTCGTACTAATACTTCAACCTGGTTGAAATCTTGGTAATGCGGAGGCCGCAGGTTCAAGCCCTGCCGTGAGCAATTATTTTTCTTTTTTGCCTCCTCTATGAGGGTTTGTTTCCCCTTTGTACACAACTGAAAACTACTCGTACATGTGTGTGTGTAGTAGGGTACTTGTGCTTGGTAGGTGTTGCGAATATTGAAATTGGAAGTGATATGTTTCAGTCGTGGTAAGGTTTTCGACTTCGTTTTGGCTTTTTTTGCCATTGTCTCAACAGCAAAACTTCCCAAATTCAGCCTCAGGGTAGCTTGTTGTTGTATGTGGTTTGAGAAGTCACATTGTACAGCTTTGGAGAAGCTTTAATTGCTTTTTGATGTGAGTATATTGATGCGAAATCCCACTTACGCTAGCATCAGAGCAAGAAGCTGTTCCTCTACGACACTGCTGCAATTAGCTAAAGAGTCAAGGTGTCTAAGAAATCTCACTAGCCAGCTTCAAAAAGAGCGCAATCGTTACCAGCGTAAGCCAAAAGGGTAATCAATATATGGATATATGTTCATTGTTTTGTATATTTAACGGCCGTAATAACAATCGTGGCCACAATGCAGAGTCGAGATAGAATCAACTGCCAAGCTCTCCCTTAACCCAGACGCCAAGTCCTCGACAAAAGAAAAAAGAAATGGGTGAAATGGTGTACAACCGTGATTAAATGGAAGAAAACAAAAAGCAATTCGCCCGCCATATTTCTTCATTTCCTCATAGCACAAGAAAGAATTAGTCTTTCCTGCCCCTGTACAGGTAGCGACCCAGCAACGCCTCCACGGCTCCAACAGCAGCCAGCACGCCGACGCCAACGCCAATGTGCTTCAGGTCCAGCCTGCTCCTCTCATACAGCCCCCAGGCGCGGTAGCCCAGGAAGCCGCTAACTCCCACGACGCCCGCGACGTTGGCAATGGCAATGGCCGTGACGCTGCCGTCGGAGAGCTGCGCGAACTTGCGCGTGATCCACGAGTCGGCCCTCTTGGCCTTGCTGGCGGCCTTGCGCTTGGAGGCCTCGTTGGCGCGCGCGGCTTCCTCCTCGCGGCGGATGCGCTCGGCCTGCGTCTCGGTCTTGATGTCCTGCTCGAGGAAGTCTGAGTGGACGGTGTGCACGCTGGGCAGGTCGACGTCGATGAGGGACGCGGTGGAGGCGGACTCGTTGGGGATGATTTCGGGCATTTGAGGGGCAGCGGCCTATGACATCATTAGCGACTGGCTGAGCCTCGGATGTTTTTTTTTTTTTTTTTTTTTTTCTCGCAGGATGAATTGGCAAATCTTTTATAGCGATTGGTGATTGGAGAGGGAATTGAAGGGTTTATGGATGGCTTACCTCTTCAGGGCTCTGCCTGGCACCCTGTGCAGCAACGTCGGCGTAGGACACTATTTGTCGTTAGAAGCCATCACCAAATCTTACTTCCAGTGTGGAGGGGTATGCTCACTTACTGTTGACGGTTTGATTGATCAATTGAAGAGGAAGATGGAAAATGCGAAAAGCGCGGTCCTTTAGGTGGAAAGTGGTGAAATGTGGCGATGGTGGTAATTCACAAGATGTCGATTTTAGCTCTTTCTCGGAGTAGAAAGGAAGGATGGCAGCGACTTTAAGTATCAGACTAAATTCTCGCAAAACGCAGACAAAATAGCACCAGATGCATGTGACGCAAACGCAAAGTCACGCCAAAAAAATGGGAACCGAAAACCAAACTAGCAAGTCTCGAAGCTGTGATGATGACGTATGCGGCTCGACCCCCGGCCGCGGCATCGAAGCGATCTAAAAGCCTGTGCTTTTTGCCTTTTCGTGTGTGTCGTGCCTTGGCAGGGAGCAAAAACCAGCGTCGATTACATCAATCCCGGCAAGATTGGGCTGTTTCTACGGGGTTCTAAAGGAACAGGGGTTGGTTATGCATGTTTTAGATGGGAAGAGAACAAGCCACAGCGGTGGTGGTCATGTAACTAAAACAGAGCCGGGGCCCAGATGCAGAGAAGTGAAATGACTTGCTGGAGACATGCTGCGAGACAGTCTCCTCTCTCCACTTGTCGCATTCATTACTCGCCAACGACGTTTGGAAATATCGCAATGCAGCTCGCGAAAGATGAGCCCCCGCAATGGTTCGCAGATCGATGGGATCCCGAGTAGTGAATAGAAAACACACCATGCACCTAGTAGGAAGATTCGAATAATACCTACTGTACTACGCCAACATCGCAGAGTGGTTCTCTCCACAACACGAGCACAAACTAGCTGCATCAGCCTTCACGCGGACGCAGTTGTGCCATCTCATATTTTCTGTTTTCGTGGGTTTTATTTTTGTCTTTTTCCAAATTGAAATGGCTTGATACAAAAGAGCTATTCATCCATCCAAAAATGACCGATAGTCTCCTCTCAACTTCCACACATCCTCGACCAGAAAAAAAAAGAGAGCTTGTAAGCTTTGAAAGGTATATATGAGTTGAAACAAAAGAGAGAAGGAAAAAAAAAGTATTGTGTAAGAAAGAAGAGAAGAAAAAGGTATAGGCAAGAAGTTGCTCATGAGAACAGTTCAAAAAGATGAATGCAAAAAACACAACGCCATTCGGCCGTCCGCACTTATATAACGACAACAATCTTCGCTGAAATGCAAGTGTGATTCCAACGCCGCGAATCGGGGTATCATGGTATCTCTCAACACGCATCTCCAAATGAGTCTCGACACCATCACGCCGCTCAAAGTTTTGAATAAACTCCAACAGTAATCATGCTACTGCCTCGTCTGGTCTTTCGTACAAAAAATCAGTTTTCATGGGGGTATCTCTAAAGTCGCTCTTCTTTATGTCTTGTTGCCACGGAGCTTCTTGATCCAGTGCTGCCGCAGATGCAGGGGCATCTTGCAAAACACCATGGCCTTGTGCTCGTCGCTCAAAACATTCTCTGATATGTTAATCTTCAGATCCGCATCCTCATCGGCAAAGTCCTTGAAGAGCAAGTCCACGGCCTCTTCCCGCCACATACGCGACCTGCTTGCCTTGGAAAAGTAGTCGAGCGCTTCTATAATCGTCTGAAGATGGGCCGCCTGGGTTTCCGGACGGGATCGAGTGTCAGGGGTCGATTTCGTCCCCGTGGCTGGGAGAGAAGAGGCTAATAGAGGTGTAGGCACGCTTGCGCTCGAGGCACTGTCATCTCGATGGGACAGTCGACGGCGCTTTTCTGGCGAGTTTGGAAGTGCGGAATGTGATAGGGCCGGTCCAGATGCTTGCGAGGAAAAGTCGACAGACTGCAACGAAGCCATGGGCGAGGGTCGCTTTCGGCTTTGGGGCTGCGAGTCTTCAGGAGGCGTGAGAACCGTTGCCTGCCCAGCGGTCAGGTTGCGTGGCACAGAGGGCGCGGTGGTGGGACGCTGCTGAGTGCCTGATGCGGATGAGAGAGCTACCGGGGCTTGATTCTGGGAGCTCTTCTGCGGCGACGGCGGTGGTTGGCTCTGGCCATCGGCGGAGTCTTGTACCAGGAGCGGTGTCGAGTCGGCCTGCAGGTTCAAGACGCCGGTGCCCGGCATCTCGGTGTCGTCGCAAGGCTGGCCGTCGGTCTTCCGCCGGGGCTTCATGATCCTCTTGGGCGCACCGCCGGACCCAACCACGTCCGGGTACAGCACCTCCATGTATTCTTCGTGGTCAAAGGGCCTCCCCCTGAGGGCTCGCGACAAAGGCTCGCGCTAAGTCAAATCAGCAAACCGGCGTCGGCGAACAGACGTGTGGGCAAAAGCTAACCTCGATGTGCGCTTTCCATGCCTCCTCGGTCGCCGTCACAGTCCTCGTCTGGGCGCTGTACAGAAAGTCGGGGTCCTCTCGCAGGCCTCGCCACAGCCGGAACCGCTTGCGGGCATTGTCGCTCTTGTTGATCAGGTGGCTCTTGGCCGGGTAGGCGCCGTGATGCTCCTGCAGGGCCTGGGCGGCGCGCTCCCACGCCTCGGCCTTGAAGCTGCTGTTCTCCCGCATGCCCAGCTGCACGCTCTCGCACAGGCTGCGGAAGAAGGTGGTCTCGTAGGCGGGCGTCCAGCTGAACCTCGGCGCCCGGCGGTCGCGATCGACGCGGCCGGGCCCTTGAGCGTCCGGGCCGGCGAGGTCGATGTCGTCTTCAGACATGGCGGGATCGGATCAGATCAGCTCGGTCCCCAGAGGCCGGGCGGCGGGCATCCGTCCCGGAGCACGGTCTCGGGCAGTCACGGGGTGTTCGAGGCTCGCAGGCAAGCACGGCGAGGCCCCCCCTATCGGCAGGCCCGTGTGAAGCAGCGGCGCGAGGGATATAAGTTGGGCGTTCAGTTGTCGGGGGCTTCGAGCACGGCAGAGCTCAGAGCTCAGAGTCGGGTCGAGGCGCCTGCTCTGCTCTGGGTCAGCGCCAGCCAGAATCGTGACCTGCCGCATACGGGCCGGTGGGGTGGTCGGGTTTGCGTCCCTTGGCGTCCACATCGCTCTGCGAAAAGGGTCACGTGGGCGTCTCTTTTTCGCCGGCGCTGCTCGCCCGTCTCCATCGCGCCGTGGCCGCCACGTACATGCGCGGGACTCCCAGCGGCTGGCATGCACAGAAGTTGCACGGGCGATGGAGGCGTGCTGAGGCCGCAGATGCGCTGCTGCTGGGCATCGCCTGATGCGCTGGACTGGACTGGACTGGACGGGACTGGACGGGGGGCGATTATTTTCTGCGTGCAGGTCGCCCCGGGGCTGCATGTACCTGTACAGGCGCCGGGTGTAGGTCCTTTGGCGCCTATAAGGGTCCGCGCCAGCTGCATGTGCTGCTGCGGCCTTTTGACAGGCGCTAATCCGCTGACATCATGGAGCAGCTGGCCACATGATTTGCGCTGCGACACCGCCAGTCCAGCGTTTTGACTGACGACCCTGGTGCCGCCCAAGTACCGGGTACGAAACACTCATGATGCATTTACTGGGTCGTCCGTCTGCCATGATTGATATTACACGTATCGGACAGGTCAGAGGCTGTAGATGCCGGCTTGGCTGACTTGTTACACGACATACATGTACTTACACCTACACGTGCATGAATAAAGGGTAAAGTCACAGCACACACATATATTACATGTATGTATACCTATTTCTATAAAATATCATCTACATGTAACTCTGTCCCAACCTATTACGAGCATCTCTACTCAAATGGTCCAATTTTATTAATATTAAGAATGATGACGAAGCTGAGATTTGCATGCCTCTACGCACATCTCTAGATCAGAGTGGGCTCTCTCAGGACCCTGTTTCCCCGTCTGATTCTCGATCTGAATCGAACAGAGTGCTAGAGAGGAAATCATTAATCTCGTTATGCGTACAACTCTTAAATCATTGCCACTGCGCCGGCAATAATCATTGCCGCCGTGACCAGTGGCTTCGCAGCACCCGCAGCGGCAGTGCTCAGCGAAGTCGTGGCGCGCGTAGTCGACGCAGGCCTACCGGATGCCGCGGTATTCGAGCTTACAGCTCCGGTAGTCGTGGGCAATGCAGATGATGTCGTCTGTGGAGCTGTCGTCTCCGCTGTCTCCGTGGTCTGAGTCGCGTGCGTCGTCTTTGGAGTTGTGGCCGCGGTAGTCGATGTAGATTCACCCGCGGCTGTGGCTGTAGCCGCTGCAGACGCGGACGAAGAAGCGGCGGAGCAAAACTGGATAGCAGCGGGGAGGACCTTGTCTGTATTTTTGATACCAGTATGTCAGTTTGTTTGCTTTTCATTTGTTCGAAAAAGTGGAATCCTAGTCTTACCGACGGCAACATCATTGCCACAGTCTTTGAGAACACACGCAAGTCCCGAGTTGTAGATGGCCTCGTAGTTGCTCTGAACGCAGAAGCAGACTGCGTCAGTTGTCGAGCAGGAGGTTGCCTGCTTAGTCGCCTCTTCAAGACAGTCTACGGAACACTTGGGAAAATAGTCTGATAGACTCTGTGCCGCTACAACGCCAGCCACGGAGGCGGCAGCGAGGAGTGTAGTTGTCTTCATAACGGTGAGTTGAAGCGAAAGTTGCCTGGAAAAAGCGCTCCCAGTAAATCAATTATCAAAGAGAAAAAGAAAGGGGCAAATAGATAGATTAATGTTGAGAAAGCATCTGTCAAATCCTTCAACCCAACGGTGGGGAGGCAACATAAATGTAGTTCAGAGACTCCTCTAATTCGCGCGTCAAAGCGTCCAGGCCAAGGGACTTTTGCCATCAATATCCAGCCTCTTTTTGTCTAGAACTCAGGTTGCCAATTGACCTTGCCTGTTTAAACAAGCACTAAAGCGCAGCCAAGCGGCGTTCCAGCCGAAATCGCTCGTATGCTTATTACTACTCTAATTTCACATGCGGCTTGGTCCAGTTCAATACTGCATATTCGCCGAGCCGTCATGCCTTGGCAACCACTCGGCCTCAAGCTAAAGCGGTAAGTGTTGGCGAACGTGTTGGCGCTAATACGAAGCTGAAGCCCAGCGGCGTGCTGTGACTGGAAGGATTGGTGATGTTGGTGGATATGATCTGATAAAATTTTTATCTGATGATCAGATAAGATCACTATTTACTGGATGCTATCCCGGTCCCTACACACCTCGGAGGATGCACCAAGAGAGGGGTCCGCGGCCATGATCCCTGACAATTCCCACGTAGCACGGCATCTTTTGCTGTTCATGTCAACGCTTGTATGTATGCCGCTGTTTTTCGTAACCCGATCGCTTTCCGAGAGGCATTTTCCTTTGGGAGAAACCCCTGCCCGCTTTAGATCGTCTTGGCCACTCGCATTCTTATTAGGTATCTGTTTCTGTTAGCTCTACCACTCTACCACGCTTTGCCAAGACGTTACCGCCGGGCATGAAATTTTCTGTAAAGAAATAAAAAGCCCGCCGGAGCCGATTCCCAGCCCCGAAAATGCCCTAGCTTTGTTGGCAACTGCTCCCCTCCTTCTCAGCTCTGTCTTGACCTCTGCGTCTCTGCAAAGCGTTGGCCAAACGTGACGAAGCTTTCCTCGCTATTCACAATGGGTTTGTTTTCAAGGGTTGCCCCTGAGGGGGAAATAGCCACCGCTGTACCAGATATTGCCGACGAAAAGGGCAGAGGTCAGAAGGATCCCGCGCAGATTTCAGAGGAGCCTGACTTGAGCAGTGGCGGGGATGAACATGTTCAAGGTGGTGTCCAGAAGATTGAAGCGGCCGCACAGGTTTGGTCGACACGGAGCATGGTCGGTGCCTACATTATGTGAGATATTCCACAAAATTCAACCAACTATGATGGTATGCTAATGCTAGTATGATTATTCCAGTATCTGGCTCATCTACTTCATCACATCGATCGAGGAGGTTGTTACCGGCGCTCTGAATCCCTTTGTCACCAGTTCTTTTCAGCAGCATTCATTGACCGCGGCGACTGGTATCATGGCTAGCCTCTTTGGTGGACTTACCAAACTCCCACTGGCCAAGATTCTCGATACTTGGGGTAGGCCTCAGGGGCTGCTCCTTATGCTGCTGATCTGGGTTGTTGGCTTTGTCATGATGGCTGGCTGTAACAATGTTGAGACGTATGCTGCAGCTCAAGTATTTTCGTCTATCGGGTATGTTGTGCCGTCGTCTTGCTTTCTACCGCCAAGATTTTCATGTTGACTAACGGTATCTGCACCCTCTTAGATCCCAAGGCGTCAGCTACTGTATTACCATCTTCATCGCCGATACCACCTCCCTTATAAACCGACCCCTGATGCTTGCCTTTGCAACATCCCCATATATCGCCACAACATTCGCTGGTGGTCCAATCGCAGACAGTGTCATTGCCCATATTGGTTGGCGATGGGGTTTCGGTATCTGGTCCATCGTGACCCCGGTTGTTGTCGGCCCTCTGGGTGCACTCTTCATCTGGAACCACGTCAAAGCTCGCAAGCAGGGGCTGCTTACATCAAAGTCCGGCCCACTCACCTTTTCCGCTGTCAAGAAATACTTTATCGAGGTGGATATCATTGGTATTCTGATCCTTGCTACGGGAATGGCCTTGTTCCTGCTTTCCTTCTCCATCTACTCGTACCAAGCTGAACAGTGGCGTGCGCCAATCATCATTGCTTTCATCATCGTTGGCGGCATTCTCATCATTGCCTTTGTGTTCTACGAGGCATACCTAGCGCCTGTCAAGTTCATCCCGGTACACTTGCTGATGGATCGGACCGTCTTCTTCGCGGGCATGATGTTCTTCTTCGTGTTTGCCAACTCTTCAATCTGGGGCAGCTATTTCAGCTCCATGCTGCTTGTTGTCTGGAACACTGGTATTACCAAAGCGACTTACATCGGTAACATTTACCGCGTCGGCTCATGCTTCGCAGCTCTTGTCCTTGCCTACTTTACCCGCATCACTGGCAGGTTCAAGTGGACTGCGACTTTGTATGCCCTTCCTCTCACTCTTCTTGGTGTTGGACTCATGATACAGTTCCGACAACCCGATTCGAGCATCGGCTACGTCGTCATGACTCAAATCTTTGTTGCTTTCGCTGGTGGTCCCATGGTAGTCGCTGGAGAGATGGCCATGATGGCTCCTTCGGATCATCAGCACATTGCCGTTATTATGGCCATCCTTGACCTCTTTTCTAGCATTGGTAGCGCCATCGGATCAACAATTGCCGCCGCCATCTGGACGGGCACATTCAAGAAGAACTTGATCAAGAATCTTCCGGCTGATGCTCCCGTGGACTCAATCTACGGCAACCTCTACACCCAGCTAGGATATCCCGTTGGTTCGGAAATCCGACATGGCATTTCCATTGCATACGGAGAGTCTCAGCGCCTCATGCTCATCACGAGTGTATGCTTTATCGTGGTTGGTTGGGGATGTACGTGGATGTGGCGAGACATTAAGCTTCGTGATCGTAAACAGACGCGTGGCAATGTCATCTGATCTAAGCATCATCAAATACACAAATTGCCCATCTTTGGTATCCTAGAAGCGTAGCTATTCTATATCAAGTTGCAGAATTTGGGTACAATGGCAAAATTAATAGTTGAGCATGAGGTAAAAGTTTGGAAGTTTCCAAGTGTGATGGAGCTGGCATATAGGAAATCGATGAAGAGAGAAAGAGAGAGAAAGAGAGATAGTGTGTATAACATGTAGCTTCTGCAAGTGGCTGAAGAAGCCGAACATCTATAGGAACACTCTATCATCAAGAGAGAACAAATCCTTGAAAAATTAATGGCAAAGCAATTGAGCAAAGTCCATGAGCAATGACAGAGCGACACTAGCCTAACGGCTTATAGAAGTAAACCCTTGAGAGACGAGACCAAAAACCCCAGCTTAATGCATACAATTATGGTAACCAAGCGGTGTGGCTCGAAACAATCTTTTTTGGCGCTGACTTTTGCATTGAATGAGATTCTTCATGGTTTCAATCGTTTGATTCTCTAAATGTTAAATGCTTCGCAAGATTCGATGTGTTCCGTAAAGAAAAGTGGATGAATCGGTTAGATGTATTCTCAAGACAAAAGAAAAGAAAATCTAGCGACGCCCAGAGCACATCAGGGAAGTTACAAAGTCAAGAGAGTTGAGAATTCCATGTTAGTAACAGAGTCGTAACCGATGTAACGTATGATGGAGTGTAGAGTTTATAGTAACAAATTAATTCGCTCATGTCAACTCTTCTTCCTCTGGGTGGTCTAGTTGGTTCATGGCGTCTGACTGTAATGGAAAACATCTCATCAGAAAGTCGGCGGTTCGATTCCGTCCCCGGAGAGTATTCTCTTCGGAGAAGGGTTACATTTTTGCTAAATTTTCAGATGTATCGTTTGTCTATTGTCTCTTTTCTTTTTGATGCTCCTCAACTTTGCCGCTGTCAATTGAATACTCGCGCTGCTGGCCCAAGTCTTCATCTCTCGCTTTTGCCATGTTTTATTGCGAATCGCGCTTACTGTTGTAGCAAATTGCGAGTTGACACGATCCAAGTTTTCAAGCCTTATAACCACTTGCTCGGTACATATCGCTGTTTAAAGGTCCTGATTGATTGCAATCTACACAATGGCTCATATGCATTCTAAAGTGAAACAACTAGCTCAGATGTGCCTCTAGTGCCGTATTTTCTGATTACCTACCGACGGACTTTGAGTCTTTAAATACCAGCCGTAAGCTTATTTAAGCAGAGAATAGCATTGAAAATCAGGTATCGGGAGACGGGCCGAGCTGACTGCCACTTGTCATTGCCCCGTACAAATAGAGTAGTTTTCCGCGATCTATAGCGTCTGAAATAGCCTAAACCGACTGACTAACCGGCTTGTCATCCCGACGCAAACAAGTTTCACGAATCATAGCTCTGAGATCTAGCGGCAGTTGCTGGCCGAGTCTCGGCCGGGCTCTCCGGAAACGTCACGTATAAACGATCAAGTAGAAGCATCATTGTGGCGTGGGGTCAATTGAATTGTTGCTCTGGTATTCTCTTCAATCGAATGTGTGTGCAACATGGCACTGCCATTAAGGAACAGGTTCTATGCTCGCGCTGGCGAGAATAAACTTCCTCTTTCTCATCCAGAGGTTGCGGTAGCACGGCCCAAATTCTTTGGCGCGGCGTTGCTGAACTTTGTTCTGTACATTCTTTTGTTTTTCTGCCTCTTTTGCTATTTATATGGGTCCCTCTTTCAGCAAGTTCCTCGAACACACAACATTCACATCTTGTGGGTCGATTATGATGGCGGAATCATTGGGGATGCCGTGCGAAATGCGTACAGCTCTTTACAGTCACACCAATTTCCCTCTTTAATTGAGAAAACCGCTTCGCAATTCCCTACTCCAGGCGACTTGAGGGAAGCTGTTTGCAGATCGCACTATTGGGCCGCCCTGTTTACATCTCCCGGGGCTTCTGTCAATTTGGCTCAAGCCATTGCTGGAACTAACACATCTGTATATAACACGTCAGACGTGCTCACATTCATCTGGAATGAAGCCAAATATCCTACTATTGTGGACGGTGCCATCTCGACGAACCTTCACACGCTGGCTGATGCCGCACGCGTTTCTTTCATCGCTCTCAATGGCTCCTCTGCTTTCCAAACAATTCCGCCCAACAACTCTGCTGCTCTGTCTGCCTTTGCGAATCCCTGGACCCTGGCGTCAATCAACATCAGGCCGACGATTCAAGGCACTCGTGCGGTCTACAACACGATATCTTTTGTCTTGGTTCTCATTGAGGATTTCTTCTTCCTTGCTACATTCAATGGGCTATATAACCAATTCAAAATCTTTTTGCGAATAGGACCGGAACGAATCATCATTGTTCGCACCGCCATCTCTCTTACATTCACCATGGTCAGCGCAATGGTGAATTCTGCTGCCATCTGGGCGTTCAAGGCGAACTGGGGTGTCACAGCAGGTCAATGGGCCCTCAGTTGGCTGACTTTATGGCTATTCGCCCACGCCAACTTTCTCCTATTCGACACTTTCACCATCTGGATTCCTCCACAGTTTATATCAATGTCCCTCGTCACTTGGATTGTGATGAACATCACGTCAATCGTATTTCCATTCAGCGTAATGTCACCCTTTTATCGCTTGGGATACGCACTGCCTGCACACGCAGCCTATGAAATCCTTACCGACATCTGGTCCAACGGCTGCAATCCGCATCTATCTTACGCTCTACCAGTCTTATTTGCATACGAAGTACTTGGGCTTATCGCGACTAGTATAGGCGTATACAAACGTTGCCACAATGCTGTGATAGTGGAAGAGACTACCAAAGAGGCTATGCGATTACGAGTAGAGGCAGCGATCAAGGCAGAGCGCAGGCGCAACTCGTTAGCGGGACAAGAAAGTCGCGAAAAGCGCGCTCGAAGAACCCCTACAGGACAATCATCCCATGTTACTGGCGATGCGGGTACTTTGGAGGATCAAAGCAACGACGCCACTGAAGACGAGGACTTTGAAGACCTTGAAGAGGTCGAAACTCAAATTGAGAGAATGCGATCGAGAGCATCCGCGCTGTCCAATGTTGGCCCAGCCTTTCGTCTTATCGGCTCAAATGATTAACGGCAGTTTGTTCGTACGTTTCCTTACTCGTTACGCTCATCACATTCGTATATGATCGAATATAAGCGATTCTATTAATATCTATACCCTTAGCCTTAATACATCTCCATTCCTTAGCGGTTGCCTGTTTCTTGTGTCACATTTATCGCTTCAAAAGCCAGAATCTGCAGTGCTCGAGCCCAGCCACGGGCTGAGACCGAGAATAGAACCCTACAGCCTCGTTGAGGGAAACTCATCCAATCAGAACGCCCCCCCTATTTTGGTGAGCTTGCACAGCGGCAAATTATATATCGTCAAACGCGAGCAGACACCCTCTAAGACGCCATACGAACTGTCGTTGTGCAACGTACAATGAGTATTTGGAATTGCTCGATAAAGGAGGGGGCGCGACATGCAGCGCAGCCACCACAGCTAATCCTTCGATGCTGCAGAATCACAAACTGTATCGCCTAATATTCGCAACTGTCACTCAATTCCAAAATCATCTCAGCTTCCAATCCGCCGTCAATGCAAAAACCCAAGACTCGAAAAGCCAGATCAGCAAGCGACACAGTGTTCAGCCATGCAAACCACCTCTTCAATAGCTCCAGCTTCAGCAACTCGAGTGAATCTAGGTCCGCTACCAACAGCCTTCAGTCCACCCAGTGACTGCACCTCGTTACGATACATCAATAACAATGTTGTTTTTATGGGCGCGGCCATAGGCTATGGCTGTTACGAAGTTCATACTTCAACTATGCCATGCATCGCCGAGGACACCAGCAAGCGAGATGGAGTAGCTCGGTGCACACTCGACATACATGGAATGGATGCTGGTGGTGGATTTTGCCAGTCACTCCCATCTTCCAGTCCAAATGAAGCCTGTATGGTTATGACGAGTATTAGCCATCGTGATTTTTCTCTTACTCAGTCATGCTATCCTCCCAAGTTCGCTTCGTTTCTTGCTCCAACGGACTATGACATTGGAAAGTGGGCTTCACAGCCCCCGATATACTCCCCCGGTCTTGCTTGCCCTTCCGGGTATTCCCCTACGTGTACTATAGAGCGCATCGAAGGGGTTACGAACTCGGTGGCGACAGCCACAGCGACAAATGCTGACAATGTCATCTGGAGCATGCTGAACGACGGCGAAACCGCCATAGGCTGCTGTCCATCGTGAGTAATATGCGCTCTCCTCTTTTTCAAATCAGCACAAATGTACTTGGCCGAAAAAAAAACATGGCTGCGACGGTATTGCTCTCTTTTTTTGTCCATTGCTTTCTTCGCCTGTCAATCTAAATGCCATGACTGACTTTTATTTCCCCTTTAGTAATTACGCCTGCGATCCAAACTCTCCGCATCTTTGCATCTCGACACCACATTTGGGCGATATAATTGCGTTAACAAACGAAGTATCCTGTTCCAGCGGTGCAACGGCATCTCAAAACCCCACCGCCCTAACAGCCGAAGCCATAAGAATACTTTTGGTCAGGTCGAGTGATCCAACGTCGTCTCTCAGTAGTTCATCGACCAACAACCCATCACCGGGCAAAGCTCCTCAGAATGGAGAAAAGATCGCAATTGGAGTAGCAGTTCCTTTGGCCGTTATTCCAATAGGCGCGGTGGTCTTCTACCTCCTAAGACGTAGGAGAAGACTACGGAAACAGGTATCAGATCAAGAAGGTTTAGCTGAAGGAGACAACTCAGGCTCAGGCCAGAAGGCGGAACTTCCAGGCAGTATTTCTGGCGCCATTTCTGGGCCAAAGGGCGTTGCCTATCAGAAACCTGAGCTCGACAATATGGCTATCACGATTTTACCTGAGCTAGCTGGCGACCCGCCTTGCGATACGATACAGGAGCTACACGGTAATAGTATTACGGTAACGCCAACCGCTACTACTACAACAACGACGGTCTCCAAGCCTCATGGCCCAGTTAGTGACAGCGCTATTGGAGAAGATGGCCAAAACAATCCAATTGGCGCTTTGTCTGGCGCGGATCCTGGCAGTACCTCAGAATTAGGGCTATGGAATTGGAATAATTCCGACACGCTGAGTGGAACTAATGAATCATCCGAACATCCAGCAGCCGATGGGCATCATAGTAACTAGGATAAAATATGTCCTGAAGCATCTGAATTACAATTGTGTAAAATAATAACCTCATATTTCAGCGCAAATTTGAGAGCGGGCGTTCTTGTCCAAGGGTATATCGATGATTACATGCCTGAGTGGCGTGTACAAAGAGTTATATCATAGCAATAGTCGCTTTTTAAGCTATCTAGATTCTCTAGACTATCTTGTTTAGTCTTTATACATGTGTTACATCGTTATGCTCGTATAAAATCTCCGCTTTCCGCTAACTTCGACGCCCCCACGTAGCAGTCAAACACGGCACAAAGATCTGATCGAGCATCTGGAGAGCTAGAACCTTTTCGTTATTCTAGAACTCGTATTAATTTCCATATTTGGTATGACATTTGTGATCCAAACGGTGGATCCTGCCGGTATACTTCACAAACCACACATCAGTAGTGTTAACCTGAAAACAAACCCAAATCCTCCATTCGAGATAATACATATACATATGTAGGAATACAGAAACATTAACTTATAATACATTAATTTAGCCGCAGTTACAGTTACTGCACTTATATTCTTATAGGATCAAACAAGTGGACCTTATATACATTATCTAAGTGTCTCACTCTTTCTTTCAGTGTAACACGTATGGCTTCCTAGTTGCGAAAACTTCTTGGAAGACAACTTCACTTACTTCTACTGCATTAGCAAGTTCTAAAACGCTGGTGGAATTATGACATTGAAGCCATCGACCCATGTCTGTAGCAACGATATACTAGAAGCACAGCTGAGAAACCTTAGATCTGAAGCTAAATCAAGTGTTGCGAAGCTTCGGGAGCCTAATTGAACATACATCTCCGTTATTCCGTTTGACAACCATTATCACATCTGTACTTCTTCATTTCGGCGACTGATTGCTAAAACTACGCGATTCAAGCGATGCTCCAAAACCGCATATAGTCCCAGCGCAAGGCTCGTGATATATCACACACCATGATGTCTAGCTTTACAGCAAAGTCTATCTGTATAAAGTTACATGTACCCTACAATAAAAGATTACCCGCCATCTTTATGGGAGCATACGATGAGCTAATATACACATAGCACTCCCGTGTTGGTTTCTAGTTCTATATACAAGTAAGCTGCTTGGCCATGAACAATAGAAGTATGCTTGTGAGTCACGGATATTGCTATCTAGACAAATAAGCAACAGACTGCTTTAGCTGAAAGAATTATCGAAGAAAGCATCAAATTCTAGAGAGAATAAATGGCAAATGATGCGTACGAATAGGAAAACGCCAGAAGGAGACACATTCTTAGGTAAGCTCTAGTTAAGCGGAACTTCTCGGTCGTTTGCCCTGACATGGGTCCTAGAAGCAGAATGGGAGCCTGTCGACCCAGTGCCAGGCATTACCGCCGTGCTTTCTAGGCTAAAGTCCAAGCGGCTCGGTTTATTTCAGATAGCTAGCGGGGAGATCCGGTACTTTCTGTTTCCTCTCCTCTATGCAGTAACTATACTTCTTACTTTGCATCAACTAGTAATATATTGCAGGGGGAACACTGTACCTTGTAATGGCCTATTTCGTCCACCCCTGAGTAAATACCAAAGTTCATTTAGCTATGCCAAGGATGTGCGTATGATGGATGATGCCACACCAGGGGCTTTGATCTCCCAGCAGTTAACTGACTGGGGTTAGCTTACATGTAGGAACATGCACTTGCGCCGAATTGACGCCGGCACTGAACCTCATGACGCCACACCTTTTGACAATATATATCACTAACTAATCTAATTTAATTTAGACGAATGCTGATAGTAATACGTTACACTGATTTGGTGTTGAGATGCTACGATGAAAATTGTGTATTGACTGTTTGACTGGTTGATGGCGCGTTTTCGCCAATGGTTCTCTGTGTAGGCGGCTGACTGACTATGGTGTCAGCTGCGTATACCAATAGCAATTTGGATGATATATCGCTTTGGCCAACTTGGAGGCCGTTTCAAAACCGTCAAGCGGACAACTCGCCATTTAGACTTTAGTCTTTGCAATTGTCTCTGTTGCTTCCTCCTTCCACTCCGGTAGCCAGCGCGTAAGCGGTGGTCGCTCTTTGATAATGTCTCCAGTGCTCCACAGCATTCGCTTCTTGTCTGTTTCCTCGGAGGTTTCGTTATCTGGGCAGATAACGTAGAATTTGTCCTGTTCCATCTTCTTATACAAGAAGTCGGCGACTTGCTCCGGCGCCCACGCTCCCGCCGGCTTCTCTTTGGTCTGGCCGCCCCCAGTCTAGGAATGGAAGTAGAAAGTAAGCTTCATGTATAGTAATAGTAGAAACGGTAGGTATTATGTATGTATTGGTCTGCTAGAGATGAAAAAGGAAGTATGTTGGAGTAGCAGTTACTCACCATGCCTGTGAATGTCCAACCCGGGACAAGAAGGTGTACACTGGTCTTGGTGTCTCGCAGGTCCCAGCTGAGATGCTCTGCAAGGGTCTTGACAGCAGATTTAGACGCATTGTATGCAGCGTTTCCTGGAGGGTTGGTGATGCCCTGTTTGCTGCCTGTGATGACAACGGAAGTGGGCCGACTTTTGGCAGCTTCTTGAACTACCGGGAGGAAGGTGTTGATACCATTGATTACGCCAAATAGATTCGTCTCGAGGACCTATGTAGCGTGCAGGGCACATGCCATTGTCAGTGGTGGGAAATATTAGCGCTGAGAACACCACTCTGCTGCTTTGTCTTCATCTATAGCCCCTCTAGTATATGTAGTAGGTAGTTGCAGGCACGTACAGTTCTAAAGTAGTCGTCATCTCCCCATGTCCCTCTGGCGCCCACGCCCGCGTTTAAAACAAGAAGCTCGATTGAACCAAACGTCTTGGCAGCTTGGTCGCGGAGTGACGCCCAGCCTTCAAGCTTGCTCACATCAAGGACCGAAGTGGCTACATCTGATGAAGATGAGCCAACTTCAGCTTTTGCCTTTTCCAGAGCCTCGGCGTTGCGATCGACAAGGAGCAGCTTCATGCCCTTGCTGCGGCAGAGCTTAGCAATGGCAAGGCCAACGCCGGAGGCACCGCCGGTAATCAGAGCGGTTGAGCCCGGAGCGAAGACGGCAGCTGCGGCGGACATTTTACGCTGCTAAGACCGGGTTGGGAAGGATGAAGATGGTAAAGCTTTGGCTGTGAAATGCCTTCGGGTATTATACTATACCAGGCTAGAATTGCAGTGGTGTGAAAGTTGAGGGAGCTTGTGACCCGACTATATCTATAAGAATTTTAACATCTACGAGTTACCCGCATACAAAATCTGACGCCCGCTACAAAGCGAAACTAACGCATGACTTCATTCTGCAAACAATGGCCGCGTTCATAGTGAGGTCAAATAGAAAACGCGGGGTTCATGGAGAACAAACGCCGATGTCTCTTCGGCGATAAGACGCCGTTTAGAACCTTAACTACGGGAAACACAACATTATATCAGAACACTTTGAACCTTCTTTCAAGCTCTGCCAGCATATATAGCCTTAAGTCCAACTTTGTTCAGCCTCGATGAGGATCAAAGCCACAGCTAAATGACTTGCATTCTGTGACTGAATACTAATCATCATCTAAACAGGCCTTGGATAAAGCAACCCCATTCACCATGTGGTAAGCAGCAATAGTGCTTCAGGGGCCAGGGACCCAGGCTGCGATCCGACTCATGCGAGGAACTGCTTAAAAAAGAAAAAGGCACAGATGCTCATAAGCCGCCAAGCAGCTGGGAACCTCTGTAAAGAGCGAGACTCTCCCGAGAGCTCTGCGCTGCGACTCTCTGTCTGCAAGGAGCATCTAAGCTGACAAGCTGACTAACTCGTACATGGACATGTAATCCTATCCCAACTCAGATGCTGGGAGCGGAGACCTAATAACATGTGTTGCACTGCACTAGTAGCAATACGCAGCGCATCGTCGGGTTCCCGCATGTGTCCGCGTACCGATACGTAAGGCGCTCTACTGTAGATACATCGGTGCGGAAGGTCAGCAAATGAATAGCCTACTACTGTAGAAAAGAGCGTATATTGGTACTTGTAGTCAGCTCGCCCACCTAGGCAGGCGATATGCAAGGCCTGTTGTGGCAGCTTCTTCGATGGGCCACCGATCCAGAGGCGCCACAATCTGGGATTTGCAGCGCTTTGCTCACCCGGCGGCTCTCCTTTTAAACTTAGCGCATGATGGTAATCTGCAGGTCCCAGACAGCTTACATGTATGTACACACCTGCAGTACACGAATAGAGTCTGATACGCTGTGGCACTTGGATGTCAACAGCCCTCCTGTATTCACGTTTGGTTTTGTCCCGGCATTGACGCTAGATTCGGGGATATTTTAACCGAGAGCGAGGGCTCAAAGTGCCGAGGAAGTCTGGAGAAGGGGCAGTATCCTCACATCACCAGCAAGCAAGCATATGCAATACTAAATCCGGGGGGCATATACAAATCCAGCAGCCCCTTGCAGCAGGAGTCTATGAGGATGGAGCCCTGGTCTTGTAGCGGCAGTCCTAGCGACGTATTCCCTCTAGCACCAATCAAGCATCGCCATCCTTCCATTGAGGCCTGGAAATATCAAGGACCTGCTAGTATCACACATGCCGCCTAGCCCTGACGGCCATATGTCGGAGACAAAGACGGCCAAGGCTCAAGTGCCGGCTATTATCGCCAGCTCTGCGGCTATGTGAGCCATTTCCAGCCATGGAAGTTGCCTGTCTGTTTAGCATCCGGCCTAGTGCATAGCGTGCTCATCTGGTCAAGTCCTCATGCAGCAGCCTGAGCTATGCAGCAAGATGACTCGTGCCGAGCTAGCCACAAGGCAGCTACACATAGCAGCCTCTCCGTAATATCAGAACAGCAGGAGAATCTTCCACTCGCTTGCTGGATACTACTACTAGTTTTGTCAAATGCTTCCTCCACTAATCTTAATGCGGGAGGCGCCAGACCACGCCGGACCCATGGCTTCTGGCGGCAAATGTAGTGGCGCCGCGTGTGGGCGTGGAATGAGAAGAGGGTGTGGTCCAACAGCACTCCTTGTCAACTAGTGGTGTTCTGCGGCAATGTCTCGCTGTCACGCTGATGAACAACCCCGGATTTTCTATTAGTTGGAGGCAGCGTGACATTTCCACGATGACTACCGGGCACTCACGAGAGAGGCGCGAAGAAGGACATGATGACTGTGATCGGCCATCATCTGGCTCCGACATCTGCAGTGGCTGGCCGCGCATTGTGATGTGTTTCCTTCATCACAAGCTCAATGCGCGATCGAATCATGTCAATGCCGCCTCAAACGCCGGTCTCTTTGGCCCCCTAGCAGGAGTTCGCGCGTACTTTACATGTAGCCTCTGTACCCCAGACGACCCCTGGTCAACAGGGCTACAGCCATAGTCAGGCACCAGCCTTTTTGGTTCTACCAGTTGCACTCTTTATTCCCTACTTCCAACGGTCACCCTGTTCTGTAAATTATTGAAATATGGGTAGCAAATAGAAGCCCCTGTCTGAATGGAGCGCGGCGCCAACCGGGCCAAGCTTCCTTTAGGAGCCTTGTTGACCTTTGAGGCTATTTGCCTATCTTCTCTGCCGAGTCTCCTCAATAGGATAGGCCAAGAACTGTGAGCACGAGGGAGATCTCCTCCGTTTCTCGTTGAACTAAGATCCGCGACCTATATTCCGTACCTCGTGCACACCATCGAGCTGACAACGAAGATCGCTACTCGTAACCGCAAGTGAATAACGGAGCATGGAGCGGGAGATTGTCCCGATCAATATCTTCCAATCTCAAATCCACAAACTCTATTGTCTTGTATCCTGGCCGCATGAGAAAAGACTCAGCGACGGTCTGCTTGAGTTGTAACAAAATCTCGTCCCACGTGTTCCATCCAGCCTATCGGCCCTTCCGTCAGAAGACGTACGCAGATTCCTCTTCGAGATAGCATCTCTACTCACCAGCCCTTGGAGCAATGTCCCTCCATCTCCCAATCGAGTCTCATGGCGCTTCTCCACCGATGAGCCCGCCTCCCGGACATGGGTCTCCCCTTTCTGGAGCATGGCCACTGCGAAGCTTGTTTTGTTCAGAGGCCAGACACACTAGAGCTCCGAATGGCCCTGGCTCGAGCCCATCTACAAACCCCTGCTGCAGTCCAATCATCGGCCCGGCCTCTATTGTTATCGCGGGTGACGATGGCGTGTGGATGCTTTTCCTTGGTGGTTTGCTTGCATAGTCTCTTGGAGACTATTCACCTTCCAAAACGGCATTGGGTATGACTTGGGTCATTCGGCGTAACTTACATAGATCAGACTGGGCTTTGTCATTCGATTTAAAAGTACATGATGCTGTATATATTTAAAGGCGCAGATGTCTTCTCATCTACCGGATCTTCTGGCACCAGCACCAATATCTCGAGGATATCACAGCTTATTCTTGGCTCAGGAGCCTAGTATTGTCTCTCCTTTCAATCCAAAGCCTCAGTCTTCTGTACATATTCCCCGTTCTCAAGTTGTATATACAGCATCATTACATACGCAAAAATGTGGTCCCCTAAGATTGCTGCCGCTGTTCTCGCCTTTGTTGGAGCTTCCAACGCTTGGGCTCCTCCCTCATACTCCGGTTACAACCTTGTTTGGTCCGACTCCTTCGCCGGCAATGGCGGTACTTCTCCCAACACTGGCAACTGGAACATCATCACCGGTTACCTGAACGTCAACGGCGAGCAGGAGACCTACTCCTCCAGCACCCAGAATGTTCAGCTCAGTGGTGGAAACACTCTCCAGATTGTCCCCTGGAACAACGGCGGCAGCTGGACCTCTGGTCGTCTCGAGTCTACCTACACCTTCACCCCTGCTGCAGGCAAGGTGACCGCTGTCGAGGCTTCCATTCGCTTCGGTACCAACGCTCCGGCCAACCAGCAGGGCATGTGGCCTGCTTTCTGGATGCTGGGTAACTCCATCCGTACTGGTGGCGGCTGGCCTTCTTGCGGTGAGATCGACATCATGGAGGTGGTCAATGACCAGTCTACGGGCCACGGAACCATCCACTGCGATGTCTACCCCGGCGGTATCTGCAACGAGGGTAATGGTATCGGCGGCAGCACTGGCATCAACGGCGGCAACACCAACTTCCACACCTGGCGTGTCCAGATCGACCGTACGCCCAGCAGCTGGCAATCCGAGACCATCACCTTCTTCCTCGACGGTGCTCAGTACTTCCAGGTCGCTGGTTCTCGCATCAACAACCAGAATGTCTGGAACAGCCTTGCCCACAGCCCTCTGTTCATCATTCTCAACGTCGCTGTTGGCGGCAGTTTCGTAAGTATCTCCTTCTTTGCCCGTTCGGCTTCCACTATGCAAATTACTAACATGAGAACAGCCCGGAAACACCAACGGCAACACCCTGGGTGGCTACGGCAGCATGATGGAGGTTGGCTACGTCGCCCAGTACTCCACCTAAAGGAGTTTCTATCTTATAGCACCTCATTGAGAGATGCGATATTATAGTATATATGCCCAAGTCCTTCTTGGGCTCAGTGACGATGCTGGAACGATAACCACTCGTTACTACGCACATACACGCCTTTTATGATGTATATAGCTTTTTCTCCATGTATATATTGAAACCTACTCTGCGGGATGAGTCAATACCTATGAATTGATGATACTCATGTTTATAAGCACAAAAGGTTCCTATTCTGCCATCTCCAAGTGAAGTTTTTGTGTTTCTCCTTTCAATCACCTAGCAAATGTAGCAGCATACACTCTATCCTATCGCTTGGGGGCGTTTTCCGTTTCAACTCGGTCTATTCTAGCTCACTCTATATAGATGTAACGTATGATAAACTACTATACTGTACCAGCGCTACCCTCCACCTGCTCGACAAACTCATGTAACTCAGCTATCTTCTTTTCTGTATCCTCTTTTCGCTGTTCTTGCAGGTCAAACGTCGCCCGCAACTCATCAACCATGAACGGTTTTAAAGGGGCCTTTTTCGCAGCCTTGTAATCGTACACCACGATATCCTCAAAGCACTTTGCTGCCGGTCGCCGTTGCTGCTCCGAATACACGACAACGTCTAGGTAGAAGCGATCGGAGCTATAATCTGGCTTTGTGACGAGTTTGTGCAAAACTGTGATGCGGTCCGGAAAAGTCATGGGCTGCTCTGATGTTAGAATCATGGCGCGCAACGCGGCGGAACTGTCTTGTAATTGAGGAATCATTTGTGACTTACACATTTAAAGTCTGTTCTAATACTTGCTAATATGAGACCGATGCCCTTTGGTGTCATAAGATCAAACCATTCCTGCTCATACTTGGGATCCGTGAACTGGGCAAGCTTTCGTGTCCAGTTGACACGACCAGACTCGGCGAACCGGTTATAGATGACATTATTGACATGTCCTTTACAAAGTTAGCAATTCGAAACAACCACAAGACTGATCTTGGCTGCGATTTACCCTGCGTTTCAAACAATTAGCCAGATCAATGCAATAAACGATTTCACCCCATAGTTCCAAGACTCACCATCAAATCCTTCATTCAAGAATAACAAAGACAAAGTCAGTACTGCTCTCGGATTAACGCATTATCAGACGGATAGGGTCTTCTCACCATATCTCCCCACTGTATTGCGTGGCCATCAACTCCTCTTCTTTCAGGCTCGGCCAAGAACCCTTCTCGACCAGCAGAAAGCACGAGCCAGTTCTTGTCCAGATACGCCAGTCGATCTTTCACCGTTCCAGCGTCCTCAGGTGAAAGTTTAAGAGAAAGGGATTTTGTCAATCGGCCTTGTAAATCTGATAGCCATCTCGGATTGATCGCTCCATTTTCCGATGCTTGTGGTGGCGGCGTTGCTGCAGATAATTTAGCGGTTGTCATAAAGGAACGGGTTGACAACGGTCGCGCGGCCCGAGTTGCGGCATAGCCGCTGAATTTCGCAACCGCGTTCTTCATCTTGCCCTGGTGTGTCCTTTTATACCGAAAGAATAACACAATGCAGCTCCGTAATTGACGAGACTGTGAAGAGAGAGTTTGCTCGGCTTATTTCTTTGTAAGTTTGACGACTCCGGCTAGCCTCGGTAATTTGCTCTTTGCCGTTGTCTGTGCTGTTTTAGCCTTTTCCAAATTGCGGGATCTACGGCTCATTGGATTTCTGCGCCTTTAAGAAAACAACATGTCATTAATCTTTAATGTCCAAGACTATAGATATGCTGGCGATTATGATGAAATGAAACCGTGCCACAGATTAACCGCTCTGCGCTTACTTGCATGTAATCACTTATTAGCATTGCGCTCACTCAATTATAAGCCATGTAATTGGATGAGAGGGGTTTGCAGCTGAATGCAACATCCATTCATATATTCCCAATCGGGCACTATATCGTTTGTCAGGTTTCTTATTGGGTCCATGAGATCTGGTTTATATACAGGTGCGGAGTCGAAGGATATAATCATCTTTTGGCTTTTGCCCTAAAACCCTTGGTTGACGCCTTCATAGCCCGGGTTTGCCTTTGCCCACTTCACAAGCTCGCCTGCCCATGTCAATCTGGGCACCTTTTCTTCATTGCGAATTCCCTGTTCCGCAAGTGCATTTCCCAGATCCTTCTCAATCTCAAGACGCGGCAGGTCTTGGTTGATAATCCTCCACTGCTCCTCCGACAGCGCCTCCTTTGCCAGCTGATATCCGCGAAACTCGGTCTTGATGCCCAGTCGGACAGCCTGCGCGGCACCTCCCAAGTTCTCTGGAATATGGGGGGTTGTGTGAAGCGACATTGCGAGCCAGGCCTCCCGGGCAGCAGATTCGCTCACGCCGTGCTTGAGAAGCACCGCGACTGCTTCGTCGCCAGCAACAATCTCGAAGCGCTTGGGGTTGCTGTCGTATTTCTCGAGTGTGCTCAGGTCGTGGTAGATGCACGCAACGAAGAGCACATGGGGCTCAAGTGGGATTCCCTTGAAGGACTCGAAAGAACCGGGGAGACCCGCAGATGGCGTCTTCAATAGCGCTTGAGCATAGATAAACAATCGAAAGCTGTGATAGAAGAGCGACGGGACCAGAGACTTGAGAGCAACGTCAAGAGCCTCGTGCGCAGCGGGATGATCGGGGACCAGAGCTCTGGCGGCGGCCGTCAATGTGGCCCGCTCAGTGGATGAGGAATCGCCGGTTGCAAGACACATCTTACGCTTATAATGCGTGTAGCACTTTGTAATTATTCTTGTCTTTTCCGCTTTTGAAATTGTAATGTATGACAAGGGATAGTACAGGTGCCACTGGCTTGGCTTTTATATACCTAATTCACTGGCTTCGACTTCCTCAGAGCACATGTATAATGGCTTTTCCTTTTCATGACCGCTTACAAAAAGCAGCCACTAGCGATTAAGAATCACCAAGATTCTGCGCTCCGATGCCTCTAATGGCGCGCCTTTTGGCCCACATGTCTTCAATGGCGGCCCATTAATTCAAGCACAACTGGCTGCTACGCAGTCTGGCGTTCTGAGTCGGGCAACTTGATTAGCGGCATCGGGAGCTTACTTGGGTTAGAAACCACTGCTATTGTACGCAACCGACGTAATGTGGGTGCATTAGCAATTACCCCTCGTGTGTGCGAGATGGCGGCGAGCAGCGGCTCTGTATTATTCGCAGAAAATTGCCTGTTTAGAATATATATATACGATATCTCCTTTTTGTGTATATAAAGTGTTTGCGGAGACTTTCCTTGGCTGGATTATAAATGTTTGTTGTTTTGTATATGTTTTCTGTGGCTTCGTGAAAGGCAGCATCAGCTACTTGCCTTGCTTTGTAAGTTAACAAGCAATCCGCCTAGTTGGAATAGTTACCTAGGTGAGCGTAGAGCTTTTCCCATGAATACTCTCAGTCTATATTCCCCAACATCCGATTTGTAATATATATTGTTTGACTCGGAGGTAATCTTACACGTAAAGCGATGCTCAAGATGAGTATTGAGAGAATTTTATTCAGTCTGTGCACCTATTAGTGCTCACGTATTGTATCTAGACAATCAGGTCGGATAGATGTTTCAAATCATGTATCCGAAACTATTTTCTTACGTCTAGCATATAGATAGTTTTTCTACCCATCTAAAATGATGCAAAAAGTCTTAACAACTTATCAAAATAGGTCTCTTCTCGTATTGGATATATAATTGCAGGCTTTATTTACTCGTCCTTTGCAATTTTGAGGACAATTCGTCCCAAAACTTCGCCTCTTACAAGCTCTTCGTAAATCTTTGGCAAGTCCTCAAATGGTCGAACAACGACCTTGGGCTTCACAACACCTCTTCTTACAAACTCAACAGCCTCTAGACATTCCTTCAGCGATCCAACCAGGTTACCTGTAATGTTGAGGGCCCTGAGCGCGATAGTGGCGACAGTAGTTTGAAGATAGACTTTGTCCGGGGGAAGGCCCACGCAGTTGAGCGTTCCGCCGATAGTAAGCATCTCCGCGGCCTGAGCATAAGCCTTTTGGTTGTTTGCTACCACTATGGCTGCGTCAGCTCCGCCATTTGTGAGCTCTTTGACTTTCGCAACAACATCAGGCGTGTTTGTAAAGTCGATATAGCCGTGGATGCCATACGACTTCAGGAACTCTCCTTTCTCGGCACCACCATCTACACCATAGACAATAGCTCCTTGCGCCAATGCGTATTGAACTGATGCCCAAATTAGCCATTATCAACCTGGAAGGAGGTTTTCTTTTTGTTCGGAATTTACCTGCAAGATGACCCAGTCCACCACCAGCGCCAACAACTACCACAGAATCGCCTGCCTTGACATTGGCATTTTTGACTGCCTATTCAATCTCATTGTTAATAAAGGCCAAATCGGATCTTGGCTGCATGTTGATCTGCGGCTTACCTTATAAGTAGTCACTCCCGCGCAGAGAATGGGCCCCATAACAACCGGGTCAATATCATCAGGCAGCACCGCTAGATAATCAGCACCGATGACAATGTACTCTTGGAAGCTTCCATCCCTGTGATGCAAGTGGTTCAACTGCTTAGCGCAATATTGCTCTTTTGCAGCCAAGCAATAGTTGCACCGACGGCAAACACGGGCTATAAACGGGACGCCGACATAGCTGCCGATTTTGATATCCTCAGTTACTCCAGGGCCCAGGGCCACGATACGGCCAATACCCTCGTGTCCTCCTACATGGGGTAGTTTGACATTGCGGATGTATGATCCATCTGCTGACATCGCTGTGCCAGCTTGGGTGTGGAGATCTGCTCGGAATGTTAGAAATGTTGTCTAATGAATGCGTGCTATTAAGATTCAGCAGAAATTGAGCTGAGTTTGATCTTACCGCTCTGGCAAACGCCTGAGTAGAGAATCTTGGCCAGGATTTCGTTATGACCAGGCTGGGGAACCGGATAGTCATGCTTAAAGACAACACCCCCGCCCAGCTTTGGGACCGTAGCTGCGGTCTGAGTCTTGGGAATGGCAACCATTGTTGTGAAGTGTTGAGTGGGTATAGATAGATGAAGTGGTTGTATATAAAGAAAATGCGCGTATAGAGAGAATTACTTGGTTCGTCTTCTTGTTGGACCACTACTTTGGTTTTGCGACCGACAACTACTGATCATTTATATATTTCAAGATGAAAGATTCTAAAACCATCTTTTGTCTTCAAAAGCCCAATGATCTCTCTGCCCGCTCGGAATAACGTGTGCTTCGTCATGTGGGATCAGGTTTCCCCAACTTTCCCCGCCAAGTTTGTCCACCATTAGTCCGGGCGAGGCAAGTCCAGATCGGCAGTATCAATTACATGCGGCCACAGTGTCGCATTTTACGTGAATACGAATTACTTGATGGATTTGGAAGCCAAGGCGTATGGCAAAGTTCCAGTTTTCCCAGTAGTGTTATCGCTTGAAGCACGGTATCTCGAGTGCAATGTACTCCGGTGAAACGCTTAGTTCATGTAGTACCAACGTTTAATCCACTTAGATTGGAATCAGTCTGCATAACCACATTGTCAAAAGTGGTTGTAAGCTCAAATCAAGGCTCCAAGAATGGACCTCTTTACTGCCCGGTTGCTGCAATGGGTTGTTTCGGCATCACAGCATCACCATCACAACCAGAAGAACTTGTCATTTGCTGATCGTCGCAAATTCCTCCCGCTTTGTCTACAGCTTATCTTCCCGCGTTGCCTCCCGCCGTCTTCCCGCTTATTCCGCTAACCGTCCCCCGCTCGATAGCCGTACGTGGGGTAGCAACGCAAAGCTCTCACAGCCATCTCCCTTTTCATGCATAAGACTGTCAGAGGAGTCCAGTCTGACACGCTCGGCTCAAGGCGGAAATTTGACCTCCTCTCTCCATCGTGAGTCTTGAAACAACCTCCGCCATTTGCCCGGCGAGAGCGGTACTTCCCGTCCGTCATTACTCCGGAGCCGGTGATCCTTTGTAACTTGATCATCATATTCGCCCAACCTCTGATGGCCAAGAGGTCATGCGATTTCTGTGTCCAGCGCAAAACGCGATGCGATAATGGCAGCCCATGCCGCAAATGTCTCGACGCACAACCTCCACTTGATTGCACTTACTCGAGGCCGGTGTTGAAGCGCGGCCCAAAGACTTCAAAGCTTACGCAGCGATGCAATTGGAAATGGAGGGCCGAGGGACAGAGACAGCCGCGGGTCGCAAGTAGTTGCCTTGATGCGGATTCATTGGGAATTGCGGCAGATGTCTCGGCTTCATGCTATTTGAAGACAGAAAGACTAGCTCTGTCGATACTCAAGCCGATAATCGAGTGCTACAGTTCTCGGTTGTATCCGGTCTGGCCAGTCCTCTATGCCTCGAGTCTTCTTGCTATGCTTGAGGATGCTGAAGCAAACACTTTGGCAAGTTTGCCGAGCTTGCTGTGTATCGACGATGTCTACATTATGGCATTGGCTCTGTGTTCTGCCACTATGGCTCAGCTGAACCTTGGCGAGATGGAGGATATGTCTTCCCACATCACTAGTGAATACTTGGAGAAGGAGTGCAACCGACTTCGCGCCCTGACGAGCTATCGGGAGAACCCGTCGGTAGAAGGGGCTCTCACGTCCTTCTTTCTCCATGTCTACCACGCAAGAGCGGATAACAGAAATGCCTCCATGCTCTTCCTGCAAGAGGGCATCTCCATCGCTCGACTTCTCCGTCTAGATCGGATAGAATCTGAACCGAGCCAGCTTCCGAATGATTGGACGGATAACCAAACCACTGTAATTGCTCAGAAACGTCTAGTATACATCCTCTTGTGGGTGAGCGAAAGGTAAATAAATTTGACATAATAGCCTCTATATTCATTCGAAGAAGCACGATAGCTAACGCTCTGAACTACGAATAAAGAGGCTACGCTATTCAACATGACCTTCCCATTTCTATACTCGATACAGTCCAGATACCGTCTGCCAAGTTGGATGATTTTGATAAATATGGAAAGGGGCTGGTCGAACTTGCCACGTTATTTGTAGCCTTTGACGCCTTCTTCTACCGTACCACTCGCTATATGCATGAAACATCTCAGCCTCATTCTGAAAAATATCGCCTTATAACAGTTCAGGAATCTTTGAAGACGATTACTCCAAAGCTTTCCGAGTATGACTTAGTACAACAAGCGGATTATACTATCACAAGGCATTGGATGCGAGTTCTGCTTTGGCAGCAAGCCATGTCTCGGAGTCTACTTTCATCCTATGCTGAGCATGATTCAATGACTTTCCTCTTCCCATCCCAAATAGCTCAGGAGTTCCTCACGTCTATCACAATGAATTCTACGGAACAGTTGACATCATTGGGAAGAGATCAGGTAAGACATCTTATCTATATGAACTTATAAAGGATCTCGATACATTAACCTCAAACTAATGCGAATATAGTTGATTAAGTCTTTCGAAGTCACAAACACGCTGGCGGATGTAATACTATGCACTACGAGCGCCTACAACCGTTCTCTTCTACCCAGCACTCACAATTCTCGACGCGGATCAAATTATGCGACGCATAGAGAGAGCTGGAAATGCGGCCCAGCTGATTTTCTACATGCTTTGTACCAAATAATTTCGCCATTCTTGACGTATGATAGGCGATTGTACGACATGATACGACTAAAGGCGGCAGATGCACTCTTACAGGCGCCGAGCAGGATTATTCCAAGGAGCGTTGACAGGGTGTTTAAAGACACAGAGATGGATGCAGATGAAGAAGAGGATAGAGGCCTAATTTTAGAGACAGTTTCCGAGCTTACAGCTGAGGCAGATGCTCGCAATGTTGAATCAGAGGGCCTAGGTAGGCTGGATGATATAGAGGAACTGCTCTGGTAGCGGTACCCTACAAGGTGATTTATGGGTTGAAATTTTTCTAGTAAATAACATCTTAGTCCACGGTAGAAACATTTGTGATAAGGCATTTTAGAGATGATAAAAGATGGTTTAAGTGATCTTGTGCAGATATCACGTTGCTTGGTCAGCTGTATTCTCGCTTTGCTGCTAAAGATAGGTGTAAGTTGATAGGAGAACTTCAATGCAGATCAGCAACTCGATATCAACAAAGCCACAGATACCCCGAATTCTGAATAGTCAATCTTTGTAAATACTTCCACGTGATATACCAATCTCCTCCCCCCACCCTTTCACTCCCTTTCTTTCTTTTTTCTTTGTATTTTCACTCTCAGAATCCTTTAGAAGCCAATCGCACTCAGCGTCCTCTTCTAGGCGGGGATTGAATGACGTGCGGGTACTCCTTATCGCGATAGCTGACTAAGGCCCTGGCAGCCAATGTCTCGCCACCAAATGCCCGCTATGAAAAGTACAGATCGCTTGGATTCCTCCAACTCCGCCGACGAGCTCCGTCTGGCAGACCTTTTTGTCTGCGGTTTTGCTTTCTTCTTGGATGATTGAAGAAAGCTGGCATTAATTCGCCTGCATCGTTTTTCCATCTTCCTCCTGGAGGCACCGCCCGCCTCCAAGTCTGCCTGCCATGGCAGCCCTCGTGGACAATCCGCAGATAAAGCATGCGGAGCTGCTTCGTCCGCTGCCATTCCACTTCCATGCCTACATCTGGCCCTTTGCCATTGTTTGGCCCATCTTTCTTCGATTCTATCTCTCCGAGGATCTCTACGAGAAGCACATTGGCGGCTCGGAATGGACGTTTGTGTGGTGCGGAGCCATCATCACGGCCCAGTCTCTTGTCTGGCTGAGCACGCACTGGAGCGTGGCTCTCGATGCGCGATTCACCGCAAGCAAGGCCAAGGATGTCCAAGATGCCCTGTTGATCAAAGTTCTTCCTATCGCTAACGCCGGCTCTGGCGAAATCTGCAAGCTGGTGCGAGATAAGGTGCGTCTGATTGGCAGTTTCAGGGATTTGTATCGTTTCGGCGACTAACAACTATTCTCTATAGGTTGGCGGCAAGACCAACACCTCATTCCTGTTCCAGAAGCGCCGTTTCCTCTACAATCCGGATACAAACTCCTTCAGCTGCCTCCGATATGCCATCGACGCCGAGCCCAAGCCCACCATTGGCGAGTTCCAAACATGCCGAGGCATCGAGAAGCAGTCCGAGCTGACCCGCATCGAGCAACACTATGGTATGAACACTTTCGACATTCCCGTCCCGACATTTACAGAGCTCTTCAAGGAGCATGCCGTCGCGCCTTTCTTTGTGTTCCAGATCTTCTGTGTCGGCCTGTGGATGCTTGATGAATACTGGTACTACTCGCTGTTCACTCTTTTCATGCTTGTCGCATTTGAGAGTACCGTTGTCTGGCAGCGCCAGCGCACCCTGACCGAGTTTCGTGGAATGAGCATCAAGCCTTATGATGTCTGGGTTTACCGCCTTGGCAAATGGATCGAGGTCCAGAGCGATGCGCTGTTGCCTGGAGACCTCGTGTCAGTTGGTCGAACAAAGGAAGATAGCGGTGTTGCATGCGACATGATCTTGGTTGAGGGTACTGCGATTGTCAACGAGGCTATGCTCTCCGGAGAGAGTACCCCCTTGCTGAAAGATTCAGTCCAGCTGCGCCCGGCTGATGCTCTACTTGATACTGAAGGACTTGACAAGAACGCTTTCCTCTGGGGCGGCACCAAAATCCTCCAAATCACTCACGGCAACCCTGACCAGGAGAAGCCCAAACTGGCTTCTGGTGTCCCTCCTGCCCCTGACAACGGAGCTTTGGCTGTTGTTATCAAGACCGGTTTCGAAACTTCGCAAGGTAGCTTGGTTCGAACCATGATTTACTCGACTGAGCGCGTGTCCGCGAACAACTTTGAGGCCCTCTTGTTCATTCTGTTCCTTCTTATCTTTGCGATTGCGGCCTCATGGTACGTCTGGGATGAAGGTGTGCGAAGGGACCGCAAACGCTCCAAGCTCTTGCTAGACTGCGTTTTGATTGTTACCAGTGTTGTGCCTCCAGAGTTGCCCATGGAACTTAGTCTCGCAGTCAACACTAGTTTGGCGGCCCTTTCAAAGCTAGCCATCTTCTGTACTGAGCCATTCAGAATTCCCTATGCTGGACGTATTGACATTGCTTGCTTCGATAAAACAGGAACGCTTACTGGCGAAGACTTGGTCGTCGAAGGTATTGCTGGATTGGGCCTGAACCACACTGATGTTGAGGACAAGCGGGAAGGTGACGGCGCTCACTCTACCATTATCGATGTGAAACAAGCTAGCCTGGAGACGCAGCTGGTACTTGCTACTGCCCATGCTTTGGTACGACTGGATGAAGGCGATGTTGTAGGAGACCCCATGGAGAAAGCCACTCTTACTTCTCTTGGCTGGGGCCTTGGCCGCAACGACCTCCTTTCAAGCACTCCCAAGGCTGGTGCTACTCAGGGCAATGTTCACATCAAGCGCCGCTTCCAATTCTCCTCGGCTCTCAAGCGTCAAAGCTCTATTGCGTTTGTCAATGGCGTACACACAAGGACCGGTCACAAGATCAAAGGTACATTTGCTGGCGTCAAGGGTGCTCCGGAGACAATTCAGAAGATGCTGGTTGAGGTGCCCGCCGATTATGAGGAGACTTACAAATTCTTTACACGCAAGGGATCCCGAGTTCTCGCACTGGCATACAAACAGCTCTCCGTTGATTCCGAGCTGGGTGCAAGCAAAATCAATGACTTGAAGCGAGAGAAGGTCGAAGCCGATCTCACATTTGCTGGCTTTTTGGTCCTTCACTGCCCCCTCAAAGAAGATGCTAAAGAGGCTGTACAGATGCTCAACGAGAGTAGCCACCGTGTTGTCATGATCACTGGTGACAACCCTCTGACCGCTGTCCACGTCGCTCGAGAAGTCGAAATTGTTGACCGAGATGTTCTTATTCTGGATGCCCCTGAGGACAATGCCGGCGGCGAGAAGCTTATCTGGAAGAGTGTTGACGACAAAACCAGCATTCACGTCGATCCTTCTAAGCCAATCGATCCCGAAATTCTGAAGAACAAGGATATCTGTGTGACTGGATACGCTCTTGCCAAGTTCAAAGATCAGGCTGGATGGTACGACCTTCTCCGCCATACTTGGGTCTACGCTCGTGTATCGCCAAAGCAGAAAGAAGACATTCTTCTCGGCCTCAAGGATATGGGCTACTATACCTTGATGGCCGGTGACGGAACCAACGATGTCGGGGCTCTGAAGCAGGCTCATATTGGTGTTGCTCTCCTCAATGGTACCAAGGAAGATTTGACCCGCATTGCAGAACATGCTCGCAACACTAAGCTCAAGGAAATGTATCAGAAGCAGTGCGAGCTCATGAACCGATTCAATCAACCTTCGCCTCCCGTTCCCGTCCTTATCGCTCACCTCTACCCTCCTGGACCTACCAATCCCAACTATCAAAAGGCGATTGAGCGCGAGGCCTCCAGAAAGAATATTACGCCCGAAGAATACATCAAACAGCATGGTCATCCCGTGGAGACCATTACCTCTCCTGGAGCCCAGACCATCTTGAGCAATCGCCAACAAGATGTCAACAAGAAAGCCGCCTCCTTGGCTGATAAGCTGACAACCAGCATGATGGAAGCTGAGATGGGTGATGATGAACCCCCGACTTTGAAACTGGGCGATGCTTCAGTTGCTGCGCCATTCACCTCAAAGCTTCGCGATGTTATTGCTATTCCTAATATTATCCGTCAGGGCCGTTGCACGCTTGTTGCCACGATCCAAATGTACAAGATTCTCGCATTGAACTGCCTCATTAGCGCTTACTCCCTGTCCGTTCTGTATCTCGAGGGCATCAAATTTGGCGACACTCAATATACCATCAGTGGAATGCTCATGTCTGTCTGTTTTCTGAGCATTTCGAGAGCTCGAGTCGTGGAAGGACTTAGCAAAGAGCGACCTCAGCCAAACATATTCAACGTCTACATCATTGGATCTATTCTTGGCCAGTTCGCCGTTCACATTGTCACTCTTATCTATATCGCTCGTTTGTGCGACAAGATTGATCCGTAAGTGCCAAGCATCTCCTTGGGTATCGCATGATTTACTGACTTTGCTATAGACGCTCAGGAGACATTGATCTGGAAGCCGAATTCGCCCCATCGCTACTCAACTCTGCGGTTTACTTGCTTCAGCTTATTCAGCAGATTTCTACTTTCGCCATCAACTACCAGGGTCGACCATTCCGTGAAGGTATTCGTGAGAACAGGGCCATGTTTTACGGAATTGTTGGCGTGTCTGGTCTCGCCTTTGTCTGTGCCCTGGAGCTCATGCCTGAAATCAATGAGCAGATGAAGCTTGTGCCGTTTACCGAAGAGTTCAAGACCAAGATGACCACAGTCATGGTTGTCGACTATGCGCTATGCTGGGTCATTGAAATTGTTTTGAAGAAGGGATTCAGCGACTACCGCCCGCGTGACATTGCTGAACGCCGACCCGAACAGCTCAAGCGCGAGGCTGCGCGCAAGAAGGAGATTGAGAAGAAGAAGACAGAGGAAGAAGAGAAGGAGCGATTAGCAAAGGTGGCTGAATTTGAGAGGAGAGTCGAGGAACGCAAGAGGAAGATTGAGGCATGGGCTGCTGGCCGTCAGCAGCCGGCGACGGGGTCATGATTTTCCTTTCTTCTTGGGTTCTATTAAGACGGCGACGGCGGCGAAAATCGTTTGGCACGATGAAGTGGTACAATTATAGAGCTGGAAGCTGAATAATGTTCTTAGATGTTCATAATTGATGACGAGCAGCGTAGACTGTGTAAACTACCGAATCTAATAGAGTTTCCTCTCTTAAAGATATTACAAGAATTGCTGACAAGTACGTGATGAGTTGATTATGCCGCTAAAACGCCTTTTCTCGCTCGTCACTGGCCAATATTGATGTCCAATGCAATGCAATGCAATACAATGCATGTGACGCGCATTATAATTTGGCCTCACTGACACTCACATACAATGCTACAGAAGTCTATGGATTTTATTTGTCAAGGCCCTGAGCAGCGTAATTTCTGCTTTCGGCATGACTCATCTAGCTTTCCTGATAAGTAGGCGCTGATAAGCCCGCCAGCTTGGAGCTTTTGGCCCCTCCAAATGCTCTTCAGTGACGCTACCACTGAGCTTCGCCAATCCAACATCTACAGCTGCCAAAATGTCCATCCACCAGCTCTCCCGCCTGCTCCCTCTGCCAGACGATGAGCTGCAGCAAGTTCTCGACTATGCTGCAACTCTCTCCAAGCCCGAAGCCGTAACGCACTTTAGCAATCTTCTTGGCGACTCGCCCCCCGTCATCGACTTTATAGCTACATTCAACGCCCGCCGGAAAGACCCTACAGTCCCTCAGCCTCAACCTGCGGCTGCTCCGACCCCTTCGGCTTCGTCGTCTTCAAAAAATCAGTCCAAAGCTCAAAAACCCGCTGCTGCTGCCGAAACGATAGAGCCAGTGCCGAGACATGCAAGGCAGGCCAAGAAAAAGAAGGCGCCGCTGCATGCACTCGAAGCTCGAAGGGTGGACGATTATGCCGGCCCGGCGGGAAAGGCATATAGCAAAAAGGATTCTGATCTGGAATACATAACCCAGCGATCCAGTGCCCCCAATAGCAACCAACCATCAAGAGGAAACTCACCGCCAAGACCTTCTATCAAGGAACCTACCCCAGTGAAGGCGCAGCCTGCCAAGGTGGAAGCGCCGGCACCGCAACAAAAGTCTTTGGCAGCAAGTGGTTACCTCATATCTGATGGTCTATCAAAGAAGTCAAAACCGAAATCTATATCTACACCTGTGTCTCGTACATCTACGCCAAAGCCGGCAACCAGCGGGAATGTCACAAAAGTCTCAATATCGGGAGGCGTGCCAATGGCCGGCCAGTCAACGGCATTGGCAGATCTGGATGCGGCTATCAGGTCTCTGGAGATTACGACAAATCCAACGCTGGAGAAGGATGCGAAATCGAGGAGATGCAACTGCGTGGCAACGAGGCACCCCATTCAAGCAGCCGCACCAAACTGCCTCTCATGTGGAAAAGTCATCTGTTTAAAAGAGGGATTGGGCCCGTGTACATTTTGCGGAACACCGTTACTAAGTGCCGATGAGATCCAGGCCATGGTCAGAGAACTTAAAGACGAGCGTGGGAGGGAGAAACAGGCCGCCAATGCATCGGCTCATCGCAGAGCAGACGTGGCCAAAACACCTGCACCATTTACGCCCCCTCGGGGCTTGGACGGCGACGCACCATCATTATCCGAAGCAGCGGTCAAGGCGCGAGAGCATAGAGATAAACTGCTCAATTTCCAGGCGCAAAACGCAAAGCGGACGACTGTGAGAGACGAGGCAGCGGACTTTGACGTATCGGGCGCAATGAGCGGAACGGGCAGCATGTGGGCAACGCCCGAAGAGCGAGCAAAGGAACTGAAGAGACAGCAGAAGATTATGCGCGAGATGGAATGGAACGCACGGCCCGGGTACGAAAAGCGACAGCAGGTAATCAGCATTGACCTCTCTGGCCGGCGAGTCGTGAAGACGGTTGCGCCAATCGAACGGCCAGTAACACCAGAAGAAGACGACTATGATGAACCCGAGGACACGGGAGTTCTGCGAGAGACGTCTGGAAACAAGAATGCCGGCGGGGCGTTTAGCACAAACCCGCTCCTTGGAGCAGCCGTGCGGCCTGTTTACGATGCCAAGGGGAAAGGGGGCGAGGCTGAAGGGCGAGGCAGCCGCGGTAAAGGATGGAGGAGGGTTCAGGATGATTTGGACGATAATGAGGGCGTTATTCTGGACGGCGGGGCATATGGATTACAGGGCGTTGGCGGAGATGAGCCTGAGCGTGGGTGATGGAAAGCTGGATTCGTAGAGCAACGTGAATAGAGTGTATAGAGCAATCATCACGGCATCTATATCTTGAAAGAGGATACCTGAGCTGGAGCTTGCACTCGCATGTTTGGCCTGGCCGTGTGCAGTATTTTACAACATCTAATACGAAGGATACCCATGATCGCCTGCCAGATCCCGCACGTGCTTCGATTGCAGCATCGAGAACCCTTACCCAGCACCCACTACGAGAGCCGCGGACCGAAAGTCATTTTGGCATTTTAAGGCTGCTGACTAAGACGCTAAGACGTGTCGCGTCATTCACGTGATTTCGTGTCATTGAAGAATTTCTCAAGTTCATCGAGTTTGTTTGAAAAAGAGGCTTCCGGCTGGTACACGCCATTGCGGAGCGCTTTTGCCTCTAGATTCGCCAACGCCGGCAGTAAAGTTTAAAAGAAAAGAAACAGTTGCTAGGAAGAGAGAAAAGAGCTGGTTTCCATCGACTGGAGCCACTTTTTGCCTCGCAGCTGAATTCTGGATAGGGCGTCTATTCCCAAGGGGCAGAAAAAACCCCGCGAGCAAAAAGTGAGACTGAGGGGGGTTTTTTTTTTGGGGCGGGGAGCGCGCGAGGACAGGCAAAAAAGTCCTCGTTGGTGCAGCTTGTCCCACCACCGCAACGGCCAGATGGTGGTGGCTAACGGGCGAACCCTGGCAATGCATGCCGTTTGAGGCTTTTCTGAGCTCTGCGAGGAGGAAAAAGTGCGCAGCCCACTGTATTAGAGGGTTGCATCTTAGTGGGCAAAGGTGAGAGGCAAAAGAGGAAGAGGAAGAAACGGTGCTTGTTTGCCTCTTTTCTGCCACTAACATCCATGCACTATGATGATGTGAGCGGCAGCTGCAGATGGCGCTGCATCTTAGCGAGCGCTGAAGATTCTGCAAATTAAAAAAAAAAAAGGAACGAAAGAAAAAAAGTCCGAAACCAGAGGGGTAGCATGAACCAAGCCGGCGCTCTTCATCGTTTCTCTTCTTGCACGGCACAATGGTCCATCAAGGTTGAACAGCTTTTTTGCCAAACGATTTTTTTCTCTCAGGCGTCAAATCTACGAGTTCAGAACCTGTACAAGGCGTTGGATCCACTAGAATCCACCTGCTTAGCGCTGCTGTAGTGCGCGTGATGCTCTGGCACTGGCAACTGTGGTGATGGCTTCGCGCCTAGCCTCAGTGAGGTAGGTAGGTCCGCTGAGACTGGAGGACTCAGAGGGTAGACTTCAAAGGACATGAAGCATTTGGTGGCTGAGACTCAAGTCTCTTGTGCGTGCATTCAAAGAGTGCAGCGCTTGATGCGAAAACTATTGCCATCAAAAGGAAGGGCAAGGAAGTCAATATCGATCCATTGAAACTAAATCTCTAAAGCGCCCATGGGAGCAGTGAAAGCGCTGGAGTTTAGCGCTCTCTGGCACTGATTGGGGCCTCCTTGGGGACTTTTTTGGGGGGGGTCCCGTCCTTGCCCGTCCCTCCCGCATCCGTCGCGACTGGACCGCGCGTAACCCACACACACAAACCAGAACTTCTTCTGTCCCGGTAGCCAGAGCCCAGGCACCTGCTCTCTTGCTTCACCACCCGCCATCATCTCGACGACTTGGATACAGACGCCGCTGCTCTCTGGCCGCGAGCCCTGTTTGCTGCATCCCACGCCCGCCTCGAGACGCGCCGACGCGCCCTTTTGCCGCCGCCGCCGGTTCGCCTGGACCAGACCAGACCAGCCCCGATTAAACGCCAACCCAGGCCTCGCTCGCAACGCAACGCACGCCGTGGGTTGTCGCGCTCGCTCAGCACATCCGCGCGACATGCCTCCGACCATGGACGGCGCCGACTCCCGCTCGCCGCTGGGCCGCCAGTCGCCCATCGCCGCCTCCTCCATGTCCGCCACGACGGAGCTGGCGGGCGATGCGGCGTCCTCATCCCAGACCGAGGTCGTGGAGGAGTCACCCCGCGCCTCGCGGTCCCCGAAACAGTCGCAACAATCAGACGCCCTTGACGCCGGCCCCGGCTCCGCTCTCAGCATTCCTCTGACCGTCACAAACTCCCAGGAGTCCCACGTCACCAGCTCGTCGGCCCATGCCGTGACGCCTCCCGCAAGCGACATCAGCAGCGTGACGGACAATGGCATTGCAGGATATCTTGGACAGCATTCGGCTGCTGCTGCCGACAAGGCCGACCACCTGCTGCAGCTGTCCACCCTTGCAGCCGCCCGAGACAGAATATCGATTGGCACGGCCGTTGGTGTGTCTAGGAAACGCATGGCTGATGGCGAGGTCAAGGCCGGCATGGCAAACATGAGCCCTATCAAAGGTCGTGGCCATGGCCATGCCAGGAACCTGAGCGCCGTCAGCGTCACATCGACCGGCAGCACAATAGGGGAGGTACGTAGAGGCAAAATTATGGCTCATTGGAACATATGGGCAGCGAACTGACTGTATTTCTAGCTGTCTGCTGAGCTCAAAACTCGTCTTTCTTACGCCATGGTCAAGGTCAATTTTGGCTGGCAAGGCCATTCCATCGAAGAGGTCGAGTCAATGGCCGCCTCGCAAGCTGCCTCCCCTACCTCTGGCTCCTCCACTATCCGACGACACGGCTCCTCCACGAGCCCTCGCCTGGATGTTACTGCGGCGTCTACTCAAGTGCACCGCGCCCAGCAATCCGCCATCCGCCGCAAGTCTGACTCCCCCAACTTGATGTCCAACAAGCCCTCTCTCGCTCCTCCGGCGACTATCCAGCCTTCTCTCAATGCTGCGCGCTCCAATCCGCGCCGCAATTCAAGCCCTCGATACACCCCCACCATGCTCTCCCACTCTCATTCGGCATCTCCTCACACTCCTGCTCAGCCAATGGCAGTTGAATCACACCAGTCCCTGTCTCAACCCGCGCGCATGACCGATCCAATTCTTTTCCCGTCTCATCAGAACGTGAGAGAGCAAGATGCCATGGAGGCATTGCTTTTTATGAGCAGCCCTAATAATTCTGCCAATCTGAAGCATACCTTTTCTCCTTCGGCCTCTCCAAACCCTCAAGTTGGTGCTTTTAGGAGTAGCGCTGCAAGACATGCACTGCCCAGTGCACCTAGGAAGGGCCTTCCTGCGCATAGACCCTCGAATCTGAATCGAAGAGCCGGATTTGATAGGTCTCCAGGGCTGGTTCATCCTCCTGGATCTCCCATGGACGTGGACCCGCCGCAGCACGGATACTACAATCCCAATGGTGCTACTCCAAAGAGGCGTGTCAAGGGGTCCAACAGTCATTTGAGGGGGGCTCTTTCGCTCCCCACTGGGCTTGGTGCCGGCCATGCTACTGCTAGGAGAGTGTTGCGAGATGAAGACATTGAAAGGATGCTTGACCGAGCCAGTGTCGAGGCGGCTGACTCTTCTGATGATGAAGAGATCCAAATTCCTCGCTTGAGGAATGAGGTGGCTGGTATGATGGGAGTCCGCGGTTGAGGCAGTTGGATCAAGCTGGTTATTCTCTTTATGCATTTTTCTTCTACATTGTGCCATATCATGGCTCATGTTCAATTGTCCGGCAGGACGCTTTATGCCAAACCAGGCCTATGCCAGATTCTCGTCGACTGACATATTGAGCAGTGTGGCCATATGTACGGCTAATACACTACGTCAGTAGTACCGTGGCCAACTGTGACAACCCATGGTTGGTCCAGCATTTTGTATTGACTTTGTCAATCAATCTTCAACTGGCCGCGACTCAGCATCTGCTGCACCGTTTGACGGCTGATGCTGCGGGACCATTCCTCGAACCTTGTCATCAATACGAGGCAAGCGCGAGAGCTTGGCAGCGCTCGGTGAATCCGGCGGCTCCGATAGGGCCACCGCCTTAGCGTCCGGGCATTCGTATCAAGATGCATTTCTGGGCGATATATCTTTGGGCGAGAAGTCTCTCGGCCATGCCCTGAGATTGGAGCTCTTTGTCGTATACAAAAATTGTTGGGATATTTGGCACGCTGGAGAGCTCTTCTTTGGATACGAGCAGGCGTTTATAAGCTTGAATTACATGCATCATCTGTGGAGTTGGGAACATGTTTCGATGTAATGTATCGGAGTGTGGCGGAATACTTGTTATTGAGCAGTCGAGGAGAATCATCCTCTGACACCTCGTCCAGAGTAATGGGGGGTTCAATTGAAGAGGGATGAATGTGGTGCTGCTGGAAGACTTTTCGCAGTCATGAAGGCTACGTTTAAACATTTTGAGCTGAGCTGCTTTGCGCGGCTTCAAACTTTGTAGGCTGTGGTTAGTGAGGCAATTGATATTTGTGACGTGTGAAATTTCTACCATGTAGAAATGCCAATAGTAGTTTTTTTAAAAGAAGCCTTTTCTCTTCGTCTACCCATGGATTAGTAGCTTCCACTTGGCGTATATCAAGGCAGACGACTGCGTAGAGAAAATGTTGAATTGATACAGTACATATAATAATAAATATTGATCTGTGTGTATTCTGAAATTAATATTCTCTTCCAACTGATGCTGAATTTGGGGAGCCGTCTATCTGTATGGAGGAAGGAGCTCACGCGCTTGATAAGCCTCTGATAAAGCTGCTTCTGCTTCTCGACGTCCCTTTATTGAATTTCAACTCTTTAGCTTTTCACTCGCTCAAGGTAGATGCAGAGAACTACTCAAATGCAACCGCCAGTAATTCAGCCTACCTATGCTACATTGACGAATTTGATTTCGATTGATGTGTATTTTTTGCGCCTCGATACATGCACGGTACCCTTCTCGAGGTGAAGTTGGCGTGTGAGAATAGCCATTCTCCAATTTGTACGCCCAGTCTTGCTCTAAGATTAGTGTCTCGATGTTAATGGCAGGAGCTGTCAAAATCAGGCGACATGTCAAGATTCTGTAGCCGAGCATTGACAAGACAGCGCATTTCTCGGTCAGCAGACCGTTCGACTGCTCAGTTTTGGGCACTCATGCTCTGGTCTAGACAATACCCCGAGGGCACCAAAGCAGAATAACGGCTGCTTCTCCCCGCTTGCTAGAACAACTCTGGGCTTCAGCCGGCAGTAGCTGCTCCAGCTGAAGCAGAGAAGGGGACTAGCCGGGCGCCAACAAAATGAGCATTTGGCGATCGTGAGTCCATAGTTTCACCTCCTACGGCGCTTCTGGGGTCTAGGGCCGCACTAGGTGTCAGCTTCTCCCAGACTACTGAAATATAGCCCAGCTCTGCAGTCCACTGGATTGCTAAAAGCATCATGCTCTGCTGTAACTTCAGCATGGCCAGCTGCTGCGTTGCGAAGCAACTATTGAGTCGGCCTAGCCGTGAAAGTCGGCATATGCGGATGGACAACCAACACCTCGCTTTATCACCTATCATTTTTGTCGACTTGGCCGCAAACAACGCAGGCAGAAGGCCTATCAAGGCCGGAGGATGACGCGCATGTGCCGGCCCCAATAAGACATTGACTTATTAGCGGCTCTTCGAATGGCCTGGCCCACCAATCCTGATTTGCAGCCACTCATCAAACCCGCGCCCGTGATCCGTTCCGAGACAGCCCATTATCTCTTGCTGCTTGTTGATGCCCAGTCCGTTTTTTTTTCGGCCGCCGGCAGGATGGCCGTTGCGGACATGGCTTGCCTCAGTTTAATATGTCGAGATTGGAAAGTGGATGGTGGACAGCACGTTAGACAGACTTGTCCGAGACACGCATGCGATAACAGCCGCCTCGAACCTCTCTTACACGACTCTCTGCCCAAGGTATCAGAGACAGGTGTCTTGGGATGCATGTATCAGGCCCATGGTGGTAGGTCTAGGCGCGGCTGGACCTATCTAGCCTCCGATTATTGCCTGTTGGACACCGCTCTCTCACTCCTCTCGGCCGCCCATCATCATGAACAGCCGCTTCCAAAGGTTTTCGCTAGCTAGCGGTAGCTTCTGACGATCGACCGACAAGGGGGCAAAGGAGAACCCACCACCAAAGTGATTCTAATATACAAGAAGGCTGTGATCGCCCGCTTTTCCCACGGCTTGTTTCTTCTGATCTTACGTAGCCTGGGCAGAGTAGGACGGCGAGTGTCTTTTCATTGGCCGGGCATTGTCCAGCGACACGCATTGAAAGACGCCCGCTTGCGCAACGACTTCGCCTCTTCGCCTTTCTGTCTTCTTCCTTCTCTTCTATTTATAATTATTCTTCTTCTTTTTCTTCTCATTTCTTAATCATTGTTGCCGTTTATCTTTTATTACCATCTTCAATTACAACAGCATTGCGCTCTTGAACATCAGCACCCTCCTTCATACTCGTTTATTTCAACGCTATAGCGCACTCTTACAACATATCAGCAACTGATTGTACTCCGCCTCATCCGGCATCAAGCTTCAGCACAGCAGCATAACATACCAAGATTGGAAACATCTGCCATCATGGATCAGCCTCGACCTCTGCGGCAGTTCACTGGAAATCTCTCGGCGGCACGACCGGCCACAGCTTCGCCTTCACCACAGCTGCGCCCTCAGCCTTCCTTCCGGGACCGTTTCTGGTCCACATCCAGCTCCAACTACCACGGCAAGGACAGCGTCATCCAAGAGCCCCAAAACAACACCAAAAAGGGTCCCTATGTCCCCCGGAATGCAGCCTCTGGCTTCTCGAAAACCGCAACGTGCCCGCGCGAACAGCAGCCCAGACGAAAGGTCGAGAGACAGCCGAGCAAAGACTCTGTAATCGACGTCTACGCTAGCTCTCCTCTAAGTGAGCTAGCGGCGGGCCACTTATACGTCCATACAGGCTCCGAGTCAAAGTCCAGCACCACCGACTTTGCCGACTTCATGACGACGGCCCAGAACGAAGAGCGCCTTCGCCGAGCCGCCAATGCCGTGCATGCGCGAAGCCAGTACCGTGACAGCGGCTATTACTCCCCGTCTACCGGTGGCCGGACCGATGGGCGCTACTCACCGTCTGTGCCCTCGTCGGCTTCAGCGGCCGGTTTGAAGAAGCTCAAGTCGCAGCCTTCGATGAGGACGTTTGGGCAGCGCATTGCGGATTACATCAAGCCTCCGCGGGACGAGTCCTTGCCGCCCATGCGCCGGTGAGGAGGGATGAATATCCAATCGATCAACGAACATTCGATAAATCATGCACTGCATTTATGGCAACACTTGGGATTATATAACATTGTGCTTTAATGAGATTCGGGAACGTAATGATGCGGACTGAGGGCTGGGAGTCATTAATGTAGCCTGACGGTTTTTCTGCCTCATTCCTAGAGCTCACAAAAGGAGGCATACTTGGCTATCGGCAGCATCAAATACTCGTGTACTACTGGAAGGCAAAGACAAGGGCGTTTTGGATACATGTACTTACATGTAGGTATGGATACTATGGAGATGGATTTAGCATACGCACACTTTTCTTAATTGACTTGAAATACTGACCAGCAGCCAGTTGGCGGCGCTATTATTATTCTTTTTTCCTTCTTTCTTTCTGAAATGCTGGTTCAATTGATGACCCCCCCCCTGCCGATCGTCACTTCACGCCGCATTTAAAACTTGGCAATAAGTGGGAAGAGCTTTCACGATAGGAGTGACGTCTGAGCCTCGAGATAAGCTCCTTTTCGTGGAATCTTGTTCCGACCAAATGGCTTGGCAGCCTACTTAAAATACTGTCTTATTTGTAGCTCCCATAGGCAAAAGGGGCTGCTTTTTATTGCTTGCCAAGCTGGGGTTGGTGGTTTGGTATGAAGGGAGCTGCATATAATGCCATCTTTTGGAATCAAGTTACAATAATTGCTTCAATAGAACGACGCCAACACCCAAAAATTCACATGTCAAAAATGAAGCTTCATCGTAACAATCTTTTCAATTCATTTTCTTTTGTTCTCTCCTTTTCTCTCTCCCCGCATATCCCCATTTTTCAGTTTCATCTCGGCTCATGAATCATCAACGCCGAATACGGAAATTCCAATGGCAGATGGCTAACTTTTTAAATCATCGGGACCTGCCGATCTCCCTCCCTCCTCCGGGGGGGGGGCAAGGATTGCATTATTGACCAGATAAGATAGTCGGTCTAGCTGTTAGCTCCGGTTTTGCTTGAATCATCGCGGCATCGGCGTGCGTAACCCAGGTTGGCAGCTCGGAATTAAGACTCTTCTCTTACTTGCCAATAGTCGATAGTCGAGGAACTTTCGACATGTAGCGTCCCATTTTAGTACTTTTGAAAAGAAGCATATTATCATAGTTTGGTAGCTCCAACGCCTGGGGTTACATCGCGTGTTTGCTACCGGCCGAACGATGGCATTTATCCCGCCAAGATGACGCACCGGGTGCTACTCAACCGTGCGTTGTGCACGCTCGTATCTACCCGCATCTCGTCATACTCTTTATGGCTACATGTATTGTTAAAAGATCCCTCGGATTGTTTGCGAAGGCGGGAGCGGGCTGGACTATGATGGCGCGGTTCGGCAATGCTAACTGTATTATCACGAAACTATCCTCTTGGCGAGCATGGTTCTGATCCCGACCTGCCCTTGTGGTTGTCTCACACGACGGCACACGCGCCGTGATTGACGGGGGACGCAACACGAGCTGTCGTCCCGCATCCCTAAGAAAGGCGAGGAGAAGGGGCATCATGTCGGCTCCATAAAGTCCAAGCAGCGCCGCCGTTGGGCTCTCAGGAGGCCACTCTCTCTTGACCCTTCATCCAGCACAGTATCCAGCACACCATGAAGTCGTCGGCACTGCTATGGGCAGCACAGCTCTCGCTCTTCGCGAGCCTCGGCGCCTGCGCGAAGCAGCTCGAGCAAGTCCTCACTGTCCCGACAGGATGGGCAAGGTTGAACGAGGTCGTGAACCCTTCGCGCCACATCCGAATGGCAATTGCTCTGCGGCAGCCCAATATTGCCAACTTGGAGTCCAAGATGACAGCCAACGGCAACCATCTGTCTTTGGATGAAATCCGTGAATTGCAGGCTCCGGCGCAAAAGGACATTGACGATGTGCTACATTGGCTCTCACAGAACGGCATCTCTGGCACCGTCAAGAACGACTTCATTCACATCAGAACGACAGTCGCCAAAGCCGAGCCCTTGCTGAACATGAAGCTGAGCCGTTACTCATTTGAGGGCAAAAAGCCTGTACTTCGTACCACCAAATATACAGTCCCCGACTCCATTGCCGACGCCATCAGCTTTATCCACCCCTTGGCCAACTTCATGTCGGCTCGCCATACTGCACAGGTCGTGTCTGCACCAGCGCTATCAGCGTCCAAGGCCGTACAAGATGCACAAGACGAGGCATTTTGCGCCGGTGGTGTCGAGCCCGCGTGCCTTCTCCAGCTCTACAACATCACATATTCGCCAGAGAACAATATCTCGCCCGTCATTTTTGGTGTGGCTGGTTTCCTCGAGGAGAATGCCAATCTGCAGGATCTGCAGCAGTTTCTCAGCACATCTGCGCCTGAAGTCGCCAAAGCCGGCCGCTCCATCAACGTCGAGCTGATTAATGGAGGCGTAAATTCGCAAAACCTATCCGAAGCCGGCGGAGAAGCTGCCCTGGACGTCGATTATGCTGTATCGATTGGCTTCCCTACGAATGTTACATACTACATTACCGGAGGACGCGGAGTCAAGCTGAATGATAACGGGACGGCAATCGTAGGGGAGGATGACGATAACGAGCCCTATTTGGAGTTCTTTGATTATCTCCTCGACAAGCCCGATGGCCAGGTTCCTCATGTACTGTCGCTCTCATACTCGGATGACGAGTTGACGGTCCCTCGCGATTATGCAGAGCGCGTTTGCAACTTGTTTGGCCTGCTCACGGCTCGTGGAACCTCCATCATCTTCGCATCCGGCGACGGCGGCGCTCGAGGAGGTCGCAACTCCAACTGTGTCACCAACGATGGCACACACCGGCCAGTCGCAATGGCGACGTTCCCTCCCACCTGCCCCTGGGTGACTTCAGTTGGCGCTGTGGAAAATATTGTTGAGCCGCCCAGCGGCGCCAGCTTCAGCACCGGCGGATTCTCCCAGTATTTCTCCCGGCCAGCGTGGCAAGAAGCCGCGGTGACGGGCTACATCAAGACCCTGAATGGACACCTGGATGGACTTTACAACCCGTCTATGCGTGCCATTCCCGATGTCGCCGCAGTCGGCACTGATTTCATGGCCATCGTAGGCGGACAGACGCATTATCTGCAAGGCACCAGCGCCAGCACTCCCCTATTCGCGTCCCTCATTGCCTTGATCGACGACGCAAGGCTGCGTGCCGGAAAGAAGCCTCTGGGGTACCTCAATAGTGTTCTTTATTCAGACAAGGTCAAGTCTGTTCTGCAGGATATCACGTCAGGGCAGAGCGCCTCTTGCATCGTCAACGGAACGAGGCCTGGAGGATGGCCGGCGGCTGTGGGCTGGGACGCCATTACCGGGCTTGGGGTGCCGAAAGAGTTTGACAAGCTGCTAAAGGTTCTGCTCGATGTATGATAGAAGTGGTAGTTTCTGTAGTTTTTTGCCTGGCCGACGTAATAAGAAAAGGCGCCATGTTTGACCTGATGTCAAGATAAAGAATGAAGATGGTGTGTACTCCAAGTTGGATGCGTGCCTGTGCTAGCCGCAGCGCTTCAGGGCGCCAGGTACCGGCCGAGCTGCTCCATCGCCGGCAATGATGCGCAGCGCAGCGCTAAATCGCTAAATCTAGACCAACTGACCCGCTGAGGGTCGCTGGCCGAGTCCGCTAGCCACGCGCTCCAGGGCCGCTCCAGGGTCCCTCCAGAGCCACTGGCATGCCTGTGGCAGCCCCAAGGCCGCGCCGCTAAGCCGCCATTGGCAGCGGACAACAGCGCAGTGGGCCAAACCCGCGACAGCATGAATGGCTCGCGCGTCAGATGCTTCTCACCGACATCGACCGGGGCTCAGCTCAGCTTGACCTCAGATTCGCGCGTTTCTTCTTGCATGGACCGGCAGCGCTTTTGTTTTTTTCCCGCCAGTGAACTGTGCTGTTTCGGGTTCCTTTTCTCTTCTCACCCGATTTCTTCAACGGCCACAGATTGATCGCATTCCGCACCGTCGCCCGTCTCTCCTAAGCCTTTTCTCCCCAGCGGCACATCCATATCCACGTACAGCGATCGCGCGCGCCATACGAATCCTCCTCGGTCAATACGACTTTACATCCATATTAGATTACTGGGCAGCCTCCCGAAAAGAGAAGCTGGAGCCATTCCTTAACGGCTTTACGCTTACGGTCCGGTTCGGCCCAGCGGCAGGGATATCGCATCGCACTACCGTTTTCCTCTCCGCACTTTTGCATCTTCCATTTGTCACGATGCCGATTCAGGCTGTTTGCTGGATCAACTTGATAGAACCCTAAGTTTTCTTCGAGAAAGCAAGATACTTTCAGCCACCAGAACGCGGCGCCGAGCTTGATTGCTCGAACGCCTTGGACCCAGCGGGCGTGCGATACCCTCACACCTTCTTTTCCCATTTCCAGTCTTTATTTACCATTCCCTCGGCCACCGTAAACATCAACAGTCGCATCTCCTTCTTCGGCATATTCTCACCGGCAGCCGGCCTCGCTCAGTCTCTCAAGATGCCTACGCAACACGTCGAGCCGGAGTCTCACGATCTTCTTCAAGATGTCGCCAACGCGCTGCTCAAGGCGCGAAAGGTGGTTGTTGTGACTGGCGCTGGAATCAGTACCAATTCTGGCATTCCGGTTCGTCAATCGATTCGGCAGATGTGCTTCATGTCTGGCGGCTACTGACTGCTGATCCAGGATTTCCGCTCCGAGAACGGACTCTACTCCCTTATCCAAGCCCAATTCGATGCTGCGAACCACCAGACACGATCGGTCGAGCGCTCCCGGACGGATGGTACTGGCGCCGGCGCCGGCGTGGAAGAAGACGAATCGGCGAAACGTGGAACGAGTATATCGCGGGAGCCTTCTCCAGAATTGGACGAAGTTGCTCAACAACTAAGAGAAGACATCAAGGCGCGCGCAGAATCCGAAGCTCTGGCGTCCGGCAAGGACGCTGATACACAACGAATCGAGCCCGCCTCAGCTCCCGACGCGTTAATCGAAACCCGTTCGATCACTTCACATCCAAAGTCTGCACTTCTTCCCGCGCCACAACTGACGACATCTCCTCCATCCTCTCCTCCCAGAGAGGCCTTCATGCTTACTCCGTCATCACTGCGAGCCCATGGGGACCATATCGCCGGCGCCTCTCATAAGCTTGTTTCGTCCCCTCTCTCTTCACCCCCGCCAGTTCTCTTCGACCCCTTCCATCCCTCCTCTCCTTCAGATGAAAACATGAGCCGCCGCAGTAGCACTACACCGTCTGAAATGGACGAATCTCAGGAGTTGCCGTCCGCTTCCCAAACGTCCAATGTGGCGAGGACGTCTTTGCCCAACATGAAGGGCAAGGATCTCTTTGACGCCTCGATATGGGCAGACCCTACGAGAACCTCGGTGTTTTACCAGTTTGCAACATTATTGAGGCAAAAAGTCCGGGAGGCCGAGCCTACAAGCTCACATAAGTTTATCAGTCATCTTAGAGATCGTGGCAAGCTCGTGCGATGCTACACGCAAAACATTGACCAAATCGAGGAAAAAGTTGGCCTGTCGACATCTCTTCTGGCCGGCCCTGGCAGTAGGGGCCGCTTCTCACGCAAGTCAACCGCAAACACGGCACAGCTCAATAAGATGGTCGAAGAAGTATCCAGCGGTGAGAACAGCAGCGATGCTGCTCCCTCTAGCAGCCAATCACCAAGCGAGACGCCAACAAATGCACCAGACCAGCAATCACAGACCAGCACCACATCATCCCAGCCCATTGGTAAGACGGAAGATGAAACTACCACACCGCCAGATCAACCCAAACCAATCCCAAGAAAGGAGGCGCCGGCACTGCGTTCTGGTGTGGAGTGCGTCTTCCTGCATGGCTCTCTACACCTTCTACGGTGCTTCCTTTGCGGACGAGTTTGCTCTTGGGACGACGAGGACCGCGAAGTGGAGACGCTTTCTGGCCAACAGCCTGAATGCCCTCACTGTGTTGGTGCCACTGAGGCTCGCCAGGAAAGGGGCAAGCGTGCGTTGGGCGTGGGCAAGCTGCGCCCTGACATTGTGCTCTACGGTGAAGAACACCCAAACGCCCACCTTATCAGCCCCATCGTGACGCATGATCTTGCTTTATATCCGGACATGCTCCTGATCCTTGGGACGAGCCTACGGGTCCACGGCCTCAAAGTCATGGTCAGAGAGTTTGCAAAGACAGTGCACAGCAAGGGTGGCAAAGTGGCATTTGTCAATTTCACCAAACCGTCAGAGAGCTCCTGGGGCGACATCATCGACTACTGGATCCAATGGGATTGTGATGCTTGGGTAGCCGATCTCCAAGTTCGCATACCAAAACTTTGGCAAGACCCCGAACCGCCAAAGATCAGGAAGAAGCGTGAAGTAGGAGGAGCCGGCGAAGAGAACAAAGAGGAGAAGAAGAAGCCGCCCGCTCAGAACCCTGTCGCCTTGCGTGACACCAAAGTGAATGGCGCCTACTGCACGTTGAAAATCTTGAAAGAGCTGCGAAGAATTGCGGGCAGCCCACCACCACCACCGTCTTCTTCTTTACCGCTTCCTCTACCTATACCTATGCCGCCACTACATTGCACCACGGCAGCCATTACCGCCACCCCTGAGCTCCCTGCTCCCGCCCAAGTCGTCCCTGAAGCTGCCGTTATAGACGCTTCACCTGTCAGCACGCCAAAAGCAAAGCCCAGGCGTTCGCGTAGGTCAGCCCCTGGAACCATGGACAGGCCAAAGAGGACACCATCGACATTGAATCCAAATCATGGCCGCACAAAGAAGCCCGCAGAAGAGGCCAAACAAGACGTGCCCGAGACACCTGATCAACCCCCTTCTGTCAACACGGTGGAAGAGTTCAGCTCCATTCTACACTCTGTCAAGTCGAATCCCCGTATTAGGAAGAGGAAAATGATTGATGGAGAAGAGTTTGTGTTCCCTGCGGTTGGGAAGAAGCGCGCTGCATTGGATAGCCTGTATAAAGGCCCTGAGGAAGAGGACAAGAAGACGCTGCCCCCTCTACGTCCAAAGCCCGATCCAGTAGCCACATTTACGCCGTCGCTAGCTGGATCTGAAGGATCTGCAGAGGACGCTCTCGCCTCAATTTCGGTCAATATACGAACGGCAACCGCATTTGCAATGCCGGAGGCATTCTACATTCAAGACCCACTCGTCACATTGTTGGAAAACCCACCCCAGTGGAAAGCTCTGGAGATGAACCTTGGTGAAGGCAAACGCAGCAAGCGTCGCACGTCCAAGAGGTTTCAACCGGTGCAGATCGAAACGAAGGCGCAAGCAGAAGCAAACGCGGCACTAGCACTGGCAGGCCTCAAGACAAACAGCCCTATGGTGACGCAGGTTGCCCATGCCGTTTCTGGCAGCGGACTTTCAGAATTGGCCGACTGGGCGTCCCACTGGGATTGCAGGAAATAGAAAGATGAAGAACGGACCACGTGGATATGTGTCTTCTTTACGAACCAGTCGCTTCTTCTTTCGTTTTTTTCTTTGCTTTTCTTTTTCATCCAATATCACTTATTCCTTTGGTGGAGAATCATGCCTTGAGAGATGCCTTGGACAAGGGAAAGGTATTATAGAGAGTCGGCATATATAGTGAGCATTTACACGGGTGTTGGTGGTCATGATGATTTAATACGACAGCGCTGGGAATATCGGGACTGTGCCTTTCTTTTTTTTTTTCCCTTATTGTTTTTTCTACCAGGCACACATTTGAGTCACGAATCGTTTAGGGATTTAGACAACGCTCAGCGTGATTGATGTGTTTTCCCCTCTTTCTCTTGAGAGTATACATAGGGCGGACAATTCTATATCGGCTACAATGACATGATTTTGCACGATCGATCTGATTCACGTTTATAATAGGCCGCTACCGGCCCTGCTATCGCCAAGTGTTCATTCCCCTCACCAAAGGGCGCCGTTGATGTATTAGCCTGGCTCAATGCCCCAGTTGCCTAGGAGATTTACGGGTATTGATAACAAACTTGGATTAGACTCAATATATAAGCATACAATAGTGACTTCGTATTCATACAGTATTAAGCAAAAGAGCCACTGATGCGTGAAAGGCGGAATCATACCGCTTAGAACTAATTTTTACGGAGCTCACTTGGAGTTTTCAGCTTGGTGGAGGCCATCCTTAGCCTACCTAGACTGCTCAAGCAGCGGGGCAGAAAGGCAAGAGTAATAGGACCAAGAGTCATATCGGTTACGAGCATGCATTAAGAATTTAAGATTCTATTTCGGCGGTTAATTGTGGTTTGAAGCAAGTGACTCAACTAGAAGGTTTCCGCCGGCCGGTTTCCGGAAGAGAGAGTTGTGTAGCGAATAGACTAAGGAGAGAATGGAGATGGATATAGTCTGGGATAGGCCGAAGACTTTAACATAGCTGAGCTCTTGTTCTTAACATCTAATCAGCAATGGGTTCCGTGACAATCCAGCAGCGAAATGAGTTGGGAGAAGGAAAGATTGGAGAGGATGGTTTCAAGGTGTTTGGTGGACAGCTGAAAAAGGATTTCCTATTTGCCCCTGGGTGGAGGAACATTAACCATGGTGAGTTGTTTCATGCAATGACATTCGACTGCTACAACCAGGACTAACCACGCCGTGCTTATATGCGTTGATCAGGCTCCTTTGGCTCCATCCCCCGAGCCATTCAGGACAAGATGCGTCACTACCAGGACACCATCGAGGCGCGACCCGACTTCGTCATTCGCTACGAACATGGCAAGCTCAACGATGAATCCCGTGAAGCTGTCGCGACTATTGTCAATGCACCGGCCGAGACAATCACATTCGTCAACAACGCAACAGAGGGCGTCAACACTGTCTTCAAGAACATAAAGTGGAACAAGGACGGCAAGGATGTAGCCTTTTATTTCACGACCGTCTATGATGCGTGTGGGAAGACAATTGACTTTCTCTACGATTTTCATGGCGAGGGCAAGTTTATCAGCCGCGAAATCAAGATTTTGTACCCCATTGAGGACGAGGACATCCTACAGCGGTTCCGCGATGCTGTCAAGCAGGTCGAGGCAGAGGGAAACCGCGCCAAGATTTGCATCTTTGACACCGTCTCTTCTAATCCGGGTCTTGTCTTCCCCTGGGAGGCCATGACCAAGGTCTGCCGCGAGCTCGGCGTGCTGAGCTTGGTGGATGGTGCTCAGGGCATTGGCATGGTGCGGCTGAACCTTTCAGAGGCGGATCCTGACTTTTTTGTGTCGAATTGTCATAAATGGCTGTTTGTGCCGCGTGGGTGCGCTGTGTTTTACGTTCCTGTGAGGAATCAGCATTTGCTGCCGTCGACGCTGTCGACGAGCCATGGCTATATACCCGAGACTGGCACGCGGAGCACGCCGCCGGATATATATGGCTCGAAAAGCTTCTTTATCAATAACTTTCAGTGGGCGGGTACGAAGGATTACTCGGCAAATTATTGTGTCAAGGATGCTGTAGCCTACCGCAAGAAAGTCCTCGGCGGGGAGGAGAGAATCTTGAACTACCTTTGGGATCTGAACAAGAAGGGCAGCAAACTCATTGCAGAGATACTGGGCACAGAGGTTCTTGAGAATAGCAAGGGCACGTTGACGAACTGCGCCATGGCGAACATTGCGTTGCCGGTGTGGAAAGGAGAGAAGGGGCCGGAAGCCAAGGAGACGGATGTTGTTGTGCCGGTGGAGGATATGAGCTTGGCTGTGGCGTGGTTGATGAGGACTCTTGCGGATGAATATAAGACGATTGTGCCCATGTTTTTGATGGGGAATAGGCTCTGGTTTAGGACGAGTGCGCAGGTATACTTGGATTTGGCGGATTACGAGTATCTCGCGGAGTCGTTGAGGGAGATGTGTGAGAGGGTTAGGAAGGGTGAGTATAACGGCTGGCAACCTGATTGGTGATGGCAGTACATACTTGGATGTATGCAGTTACAGGCTGGGCCTAGAGGTTACATTTCAACCTCGTTAATAAAATGATTACTCACAATGGCTGCATGCTCCATCCAAAGGCTGATTTAACTCACACTCATAGCACAATACGAATCTATCCACGTGAAAATCTTGACTATAGAACCCTGCAAACTAATTTATCCAATTCTCCGACTATATGATTAGGCAATGATGCATATATGCACCCAGTTCTATCCAGTAAACATAAGGCGAGTGGCATAAGCAAGGCATAATCAAGGCAGAAGCAAGAAACCCCACTGTAGCCTAAGCTTTTCTCCATTAATTGGCCCATCCACACACCCATTCATCCCTGCCGTTGTGCTAAATAGCTTCGCCACAACAGGTAGATACAGGCAAATCTAATTCAAGGCTCACAGATGAATTGTAGAGATGGTAGCCCCAATCTTGATATATTCCGGTGGCCTACGCTCTCTGGAAAAAGAAAAGAAGCTCAACCTTTCTGCAGGTGATGACTCTCAACAACGTTATCAAATATCGCTTTTAAAAGAAGTCGCGGTATAGTAATCAGCAAGATGTCACTGACAACACTCTCTTCGCAAACCATGGGTTGTGTGGATTTTAGGCAGGATGCTGATGATCTATCTCTCGCAACGGAAGATGGTCTATGTTCTGTCTGCCAGAAGCTTGGCTTTGACTGGTCTTGGAAGTGCCCCGGATGCGTTGATGCTTCTCAGTCGAATTTACAAATCGAAAGGCATTGTCATATCGGCACAGTGAAGCGCCTTCTTGGCAAATCATCCTGCCCGGGCTGTCGACTCATTCTTTCATCCCTCGAAATACCAGGACCGGGCCCACCATCGCTCATGGAGCAGGAAATACAAATCTCTCTCGGCTTTTGGTCAAGTCATGGTGTATATTCTGAAAGTTACGAGGGGGAGTACGAGCTGCCTGAAGCAACCGGATTACTCGACGAGGACGATACCTTGTGGGTAGCATGCTTTGAAGTAACTCTGAAAGGCCCTCGCGCATCTCCTGATTCGATACAAAGTGGAAGGATTGTCAGAAATGGCCCGTGGTTTGCCGAAGAGAAAAATAAACTCGGAAATTTGGACATGCGCGGTCGAAGCGTTTCTCCCATAATTGGCGTCGGCATAATCAAAGATTGGATGCGAGTTTGCGAACAGGGCCACAGTCGTTGCAAAGTCTTGGCTCCACTGTCCTCGAGAGAGAGCAAATTTCGTCTTATTGACGTTGAAGAGCAAAGGATTGTTGATTCCACACTTTCAGAGAGGTATATCGCTTTGTCTTACGTATGGGGACCCAGTACGCTTGCAGTCCTCACAAAAGATACCCTTTCTCAATATTCTTTGAAGGGGGGGCTACAAGCCATACAGCTACCGCAAACTATAGCTGACTGTATGCAACTTGTGAAGAGTCTTGGCGAGCGATATCTGTGGGTGGATTCCCTTTGCATTATACAGGACGACGATGACGACAAGCTGGAGCAACTCCGCACCATGGATACTGTATACCGCAGTGCAACTTTGGTTGTAGTTGCAGCTGCTGGCAACGACGCTCACGCTGGCCTTTGTGGAGTTGGCCATCTCAAGCGTCGCGAATGGCAAAGAAGAGAGACATTGTGTGGCCTTTCATATATTACAGCTCAGCCACCGCTTCGTGAGATCCTCAAGGGAACCACGTGGAGTTTGCGAGGCTGGACATTCCAAGAAGCAATGCTCGCGCGACGAATTCTGTTTTTAACAAACCATCAGATGTACTGGAGCTGTAAAAACAACAATTGGCGTGAAGACATGACTTGGGACATCTCCGGCGACATGTGTCTACATTCTTCGTCTGACTCGTTCTGGGAGGCGCACATATCGCAGTGCCGTACAGCGAGATACTGCCAAGATGTCGTGGCCTTTACGAAGAGAAAGATTAGGGAGCAAAGCGATGTTATCTGGGCATTCATGGGCATCCTTAAATTGCACTCATCTCGGTTTCCGGAAGGCTTCATCTGGGGTCATCCACTGGAGAGACTGGATGCGACGCTACTTTGGGATGGATGCCCTGGTAATCACCAGCGAACTGCCCAATATCCTCTCAGCTTCAACGATAAAGTGCAGTTTGTGGAGTATCCCTCCTGGTCGTGGCTTTCCACAGATGCTCCAGTCGGATTTGAGAGTGAATGCGGAGATTGTATAATCTCAGCAGTAAGCTGGCATAAACCACTCCTCTTTGAAGATTCCACAGATACTACTACCGGCACTTGCACGCTCGATGGCCATACGAAGAAATTTTTCTCAGGTTCAAGAGGCGATGTCACCAAATACGGGCTACTGCAGTGTACAGCTGAGACGGTAGAGCTTTCTGTTGTTCGAAAGCCCTCAAAAGCGAAACAGGATGACCGAGGTTCAAATCTCCTAGAGAAACATTTGGCCAGTGACAGCAAGTCGTCTTATCCTCTTTTAGGCAGTGATCGAGTCGAGGCCACAGTATATCTACCATCTGGAGAGAGTGCCGGCAGTGTCTTTGTTTACAAAGACTTCTTTGAAGGCAATGATCAACGACTGGGGCAATTCATATTGCTATCAGCCAATGCCAAGGAAGAGGCAGATGAGATTTGCGTTGAAATCCACGGTGGGCGGGACTGTGGTAATATATCACATGGGCATGCCTGCAAGCATATTCAAAGCTACAACATCATGTTGATTGAGCGGCGTGGAGACATCACTTATAGATTGGCACTTCATAAAGTAGAAAGTGAACCATGGCGGAAGGTGAAGACGCGCAAAGAGCACTTCATTCTAGGATAATCATGAGCTAGTACGCTTCTGAGAGAAATAAACATTTGTTCTATTGATGGTGTTTGAAAACACGCTTAAATCTATACCTTGTGTACATGCTTTGCATTGCTCGTTTGATACTCGCCATATTCTACCCTGCACTCAGCTGAGATGCCAATGTCGAATCGACTCTACGGCTGGAATTACTCCGCAAAAAAAATGCCATCGCATCTCAGTAGTTTCCATTATGCTGTACATCTTCGGCACCATCAATCCATCCGAAAAGCTTGTTGTCATACCATGAAGCTTAATGTTTCGATCCCGATGCGGCAGTCTACGCCGTCAAGCATTGACCGACGATCGTCAGCTGTAAAGACTCACTTTCACATGAACGGGAACATGTGCTCGGCTTAGAAGGTTGTATCATCTCAAACACTTTACAGAAGCTGAGAACAAAAAGCAAAGAAACGGCGAGATTACCCGTCTCCCGCACCCCTATTACAGCAGAGGCGGATATTCACGATTGGCCCAAGTGGGCGCTACGCTGCCCGTTTCAGAAGATGGGGTCTCAGCCACCAGGCGCCGGGATCTCGCTGTTTCAGCGCCATGAACAGGGCGTCTCAGCCCCTGCGAAACGCCAGCCGGTCTCCGCAGCGGCGTTTTGAGGCTTTGGTTGGCTTTGGTTGGCTATGGGTCCTTTTGTCTTTGAAACGTCGTGTTTGAAGGAGACCGGCAGAGAAGGGGGGCAGCAGCTGTTTTTGACCATTTGGCCCTGCGTCAAAGCGCTTTCGGTGTGAATAAGACGCTTCGTATTGCGATTACTATTTGTGAATGGGAGTCCGCGTCATGGCATTGGATGGATTAGAGGAGCGGCAGGCAGTGATGCCGAAATCGTGCAGAAATAGGCCCTCAATGCACTTGAAATGAGGACTTGTATGCGAGAGGGTCCGCTCGTGATTGATGAAATTAGATTGCCGAATACACCAGCTCCGGTCGATTGGATAATGGTATTTCCGCGTCTTCGATCCTTTCATGCCTCTGGCCGAAATTGGGCATTGACTGCTGGAAATTAACCGGCTGATCGTCCGCGGCCAAACGCCGTGCTCTTCACCGCGGTGCTTACTGGCGTATTTCACCTGGTAGCATTGGCCCCTTGGAGTGTAAACGCTCGCTTTGATCATCACGATTCAAAACCTCAACACCTACCATTCCCGGCTTAACGGCTGCAGGTTCTCGGCTGATCAGAGTGGAAGAAACAACCGCTAGCACCGAGGCCGTAGCAAGACCAGCCGGGATGGCGTTGATTCCAGCCAGTTGCCGGTCCAAAGCCATCGCGGGTCCACCTATTGTGAGGCGCCCTGTGTCTGAAGCTTAGCCCCAGTCAGCCATCTCCACGAAGCCGCCTGCAGAGATCACAATGCATGGAAATGAGGAGGCAAACAGGAAATCTCCCGCTACTACTAACAGCAACTATGGGGAATCGCTGTTTATGGGACCTGGCTAGAGGCTGGCATGGGCCTGGAGCCTTCTCCTGCTCTGCCCACTTGGGCAAGGTAGCAGATCCTGAGACTTGTCCGCGTCTCCTGGGCCCCTGTTCCCGATGTCCATCGAGATGGGGGAATGCATAGGTATATATTCTGCCCATCTCTTGGCTTTTTTGTTTCCTCTTCTCTTTTCCTTCTCCAGCCACCTCTGTGAGGGACGAAAAGCAAAGTCATTTTTTTATTTTCCTTTTCATTTTCTTCTTATTCAGTTCTCTTTTCAAAACCACCTGGTGTGGGTTTATTTTCGCTTTTTTCTTGTATATACACAAACCGCCAAAAACAAAACTACCCTCTTTATTTTTATTTTCTTTATTTTATATTTAGAAACTTCGTTTACTATGCATTCACGACTTCTTTTGGCAGCCCTTTTCCTGGGCTTCATCGCCCTGGTTTCGGCCGTGCCTATGCAGAAGCGCTCGTTCAAGGTGGAGCGAAGAGCCAACCCCAACTTCACTGGAAACGATGGATTGAAGGCTCTGGCAAAGGCCTACCGCAAGTTCGGTATGGAGATGCCCCAGACCATGAAGGATGCTATTGAGGTTCGCAAGGCTACCGATGCCGCCCGCCGAGCTGTTGCTGCCGCCGCGGCTCCTGTTCAGGAGGCCCCCAAGGCGAAGCGCCAGAGCCTTGCCGACATCCTTGGTGAGCTTGGCCTTCTTGGTGGAAACAACAACGCTGGTAATGGAAACGGAAACGCAAACGCAAACGCAAATGGAAATGGAAACGCTGGTCAAGGTCAAGCTGGTAACGCCAACGCCGGTGGACGACACCACAAGGGCAAGGGCCAAGGCAACGGTCAGGCTGGTCAGGGTCAGGGTCAAGCTGCTGGTAACGGAACTGCTGCTGGTAACGGAACCGGTGCTGCTCAGCCCGCTGCCAACCCCTCTGGCCAGTCTGGAAGCGTCACCAACACCCCTGAAGGCAATGATGTTGAGTTCTTGTCCCCTGTCAGCATTGGTGGCCAGACCCTGAACCTCGACTTCGACACTGGCTCTTCCGATCTCTGGGTCTTCAACACTCAAATGTCCTCTCAATTCACCGCTGGCCACACTCTCTTCGACCCCACCAAGAGCAAGACTTTCAAGGCCATCCAGGGCGCTACTTTCCAGGTCTCCTACGGTGATGGCTCCGGTGCTGAGGGCAACGTCGGCACTGATGTCGTCAACGTTGGCGGTGCTTCCTTCAACGCCCAGGCTGTTGAGATTGCCACCGCTGTCACTCAGCAGTTTGTCGACGACCAGGCCAACGATGGTCTGATGGGCCTCGCCTTCTCCAAGCTCAACACCGTCCAGCCCCAGCAGCAAAAGACTTTCCTCGACAACGTCGCCAGCTCTCTCGCTGAGCCCGTCTTCACCGCCGACCTCAAGAAGGGTGCTCCCGGAACCTACACTTTCGGTGCCGTTGACCAGACTGCTTTCCAGGGCGACCTTACCTTTGTCAATGTCGACAACAGCCAGGGCTTCTGGCAGTTCAGCAGCGAGTCCTTTGCCGTCGACGGTGGCTCTACCCAGCAGGCTACCAAGGGTGGTCAGGCCATTGCTGACACCGGCACCACCCTCCTCCTTGCCGACCCCATCATCGTCAACGGCTACTACTCCCAGGTTCAGGGTGCCCAGAACGACGCTCAGGCTGGTGGCTTCACCGTCCCCTGCGATGCTCAGCTCCCCGATCTTGACCTTGACGTTGGTGGCAACTACGTCGCCCGCATCAGCGGTGCCGACCTCAACTTTTCCCCTGTTTCTGGAAACAGTAAGTTTACAATCCGCCCACTACCTCTATTAATAATGATTAATGACTGACATGTATGGTCAGCTTGCTTCGGCGGTCTCCAGGCTACTACGCAAGGTGGACTGGGTGTCTATGGTGACATCTTCTTCAAGTCGCAGTTTGTGGCTTTCAACATTGCCAACAACACCCTGGGATTGGCTCCTCACAACTAAGCGAAATAAGCGAGAGGGAAAGAAAAAAGAAAGAAAGAGAGCAGTTTAATCATAGAGAAGAAATGGGAAATATTAAGACTTTGCAATAACATCCGTGCTCCAATCTTTGTAATTTTTTCTTATACGTGAAGTGATGCTATGATTGGAGGCAAAATCCCGGGTCCCACATTGAAATCTCCGATTGTGTTTCAGTGCCAGGACAAAATACACCCTCAACGCGATAGAAAGTCGTATAACAATGTTCCTATCCTGGCCCCTTGTGGGTGGGCTCTACATAGCCGACGGGTAATTAAAAGACCTTAATCTTTCCTATTTCCTATCTCTTGCTTTTTCGAGTCCCTTGTGTCTTCCCCCCTTGGGCAATATATAGAGCAACCAATGGTGCCATCCAGGCCGACTTGGCAGCCCGGTTTTATAACAGATTGGTAAGAGGCGCGTTGGACAGAATGCCCTGTAGATAAACGACGATCGTTCCCCACAGGCCAGACGCTCATATCTTTTATAAACGCCGCTCTATAATAAACGCCGTTGACTGCTTGCTGCCCCTGGCCCGCCGGTCGAACAATCTTGTTTGATGCTCCTGGGTAATAGGAGTGGCAGCGGTTTTCAGACCTGTCTGCAAGATGGAAGACCAGGCAGAGCAGTCGAGACGCCCCGACACCACGCGCGACCAACGCCGCGATGCTCAGCTGATGCGCCGGCTGGGCTACACTCACGCCGCCATCAGCGCGGAGCTCAACCTGTCTCTCAGCCAGGTCCAGTACGCCCTCTCGCACACGGACACGCCCATCACGCGCCCGGGACGCCCATCAAAGCTCACAGAGGCGCAGGTCCAGGAGCTCAAGGCCTTTATGGAGGCGTCCAAGGAGAACGAGCTGATGCCCTTTGGCAAGATTCCGCAGGCGCTTGGCTGGGACGTGGGCGAGTACTGTATCCGCCACACGCTGCGGAAGCTGGGCTATAGACGCCCTGCAGGCGGCCGGAGGAAGACGGTGGCTGTGAAGAAGAACAAGGAGGGCGAGGCCGGCAAAGGGACGCCTCAAGAGACACACGCAGAGACACCTGCAGAGACACCATCAGAGACACCTGCAGAGACACCTACAGAAACACCTACAGAGACACCATCAGAGACACCTACAGATACGGCTGAAAATACACCCAAAGATACGTCCACCAACGACTCTGGACCTGTCGAAATCTGAGGCTGCCTCGGCTTCGGCTTGAGCCGATGACAGCGCCCTTTGACAGCATCTTGGCAAACGGCGCCGTCGACTTTTTGCTTACCTATTCACACCATTGGGCGATGGCCCAATGGGGTAGCGGAGCACTCGACGATCCCGACAAAATGGTGGCGTTTGGTCCGCGTAAAACGTGCGCCGAATCGAGGCACAATGTGAGGCTGAGCTGTGCTACGAAAGGGAGCGATGCATTCCATCGGCCCTTTTGTAAAACCCCGCATTTTCCGAGGCGAGTGAGGCGAGTGAGCCACGAGATTAATGATCAAATCGGTGCCAAAATCCGAGTATGCATGTTTTCGGGGCCTGGACTAACTAGTCGATCATGACGGTGACTGGCCTGAAGAAGACGCGTGATTTCAATAGGGACTTGTTAGTCTGCGGCTGAGAAACATGGCGTGTAGTACAATGATTTATATAACTCGGCTTCAGCTGCTTCTTGGTTTTTATTTGCAAAGCAGAATTTATCACGAGTCAACGCCGGTTTGATCATTTTACTCAACTACACATTACAAACTACAACAACAATTTACAACCACAGCTAGTTCAAAACAACTCGCTCACCGAGACGAATTCGCAATGGGCAACTCCAACTCAAGCCCCGACTCGACAGACAACGCCGAGGGCAAGAAAAGCCTCTACCGGCGCTACGAAGACAAGAAGCGCGGCCCCGGCGCCACCGACGAAGACATCCTCAAGTACACCGGCAAGACGCGCGACCAGCTCAACGCGTGGGCCGAGACGGCGCCCGGCGTGGCGGGGAATCAACCCGCCGGCAAGCTCGCCATTGGAGCGGCATCGGGATTTGCTGGCGAGGGCGCTGCTGGCGGCCTGGGAGGCTGGGGAGTTGAGGGGACGAGGAAGATGAAGTTTCCGCCGCAGCAGAAGCCTGTCAAGACGGTTGAGGATTCGGAAGAGGAGGATTAGAGTGTGATACCTATTGAGCGTTTGGGCTGAATGTTAGCCATGGATTGTTTACTTGTTTTGTTCTGCGTACACTGAGAGTCTACTTGTCTAGGTACGAAGAGCTGGAGACAATAGAGAGAGAGCCGGCAAAGACTTGATATTTATTACAAAAGACATTCAACGTCATTTGCCATCTAATTCTGTCCTGTCCGGTTGAACGCATTCTGCCATGTGCCACTTGGCCATTGAACTTCCCAGGTTTCTTCTTCGCATAATATCGTTGGGAAGTTTTGATCAAAGATGGAGCGCCTTGTAATCCTCATTAAGGGAACTTCTTCTCGCATGTGCATGGCTTCGCCATCCTCTTCGTCTACTTCCACACTATCCTCATCTTCATCTTCGCCTAAATCCATGCAGCTGTCGCTGTCTTCATCATCGCCATCTTCATCGCCATCGTCGATGCCTTCATCATCGCCTTCGAATCCCCGTTGATCATCTATGCTCTCTTCTTCAGACGCAACGTCAAAGATGGTATCCTCATCATTAGAATATTCCTCTTCGGACTCAACCATTGCCCTGAATGCGTTATTTCCGTCTTCAGGCATACCCGCAAAAGGTACCGGCGGGGCCCCTGCTTCATTCTCTGGAGAAATACCATGTCTATATATATACAGCCCCGGAGCAAGTCTATTCTGGTAAGAATCCGAGTATATAATCTGCCGCATAGATTCGTCGGGCAAATCTGACAGGTACTGGGGCTCATTTCTGGATACGCCCACTAAACTCTCAGCCCTTGTATCGGAAATAGAAGCCCAGTCGGCGGACTGTGGTTGATGCAAATCCTCGTAGGCATCGCTTATTCGTCTAGCATGTTGATAGTAGAAATCTTGAGCGTAGTCATCGTGAATGCCAATACGTTGTGCAGCTGCCATCTGGTGTGCTTCGTAGCGGTCATTTGGTAATGGTAACGGTGTAAACGCCTGTTGAAACGTTAACCATATATAGCGTAGACGGTGAGAATAACGCAAGACCATACTTCTGAGTCAAGCTCGAACAAGCGCTGCCATTGCTCATATTCTGTTTGAATAAGGCCGAGCTCGTCTTCAGCGGACAGTAGAAGAGACCCAGACCCGAAGCTAAAACCATATAAAGAGTGATATTCCATGAGTATATCCTGAACAGTCGAGTCCAGATGAACTAAAATTCTTGGTTTAAATGGCGACGAAGACTTGAGCTTTGTTTGTACGGCGATGATATTAAAAACTGAAAGCAACGATACTCTTATGGCTTCTATCTGTGAAATTACTGCTACATATATTAAAGACTGCACAGATGGCTTATTCACATAATACTCGTCATTCAAGACAAGGTGAAGACGTTCAATAACTGAGCAGTTCAGCAGGCTGCTGTGTAACCATGCTGTGAAACGACGCCTCCTTCGCCGCCATGACAACAACCCTTTAGCCATTTAGTAGGAGTGTTCACGACATGACACATGACAAGCCGAGAGATGTGACACGACATCTCGGATTCCCGCTGCACCCCCCAACCAAGTGAACAATCTTCGAAGCCCGCCGGTGAGATTAACGAGGCATCGCCATTAAATCTGGCATTAGGGTAGCAAATCAGCACTATTTGAACTGCCTATGCACAACATTCGATTCGACAGCCCCCCTGCGTTGTCGACTCCGCCAAGACGGGTGAGATTGCAAGATTACGCACGTAGCCTGCCAGGTGATCGTAACCAATAGGGGAAATGCCGTGTGCTCTGCTCTTATCCACATTGACGGCGAAGTAACCATTTGTCACACAATTAGTCATGCGTCATCGATACGGACGGACGGCATGCAACTCGGGAATCCAACTGAAGAATGTGAATACTGTGTATTTTATGTTTATTCTAAAAGTCCGTTTCAAAACACAGGGCCTATCCTATTCAGCAACAAATGTATAGACCTACTCCTTCAAGTACTGCCTGAGAATGTCCTTAATCTCCGCCTCCGTCACCTGCTTCAATCCCAGCAACTCATTGTCGAGAGTCTCAAACTTGGGGCCATACCGCGGATCGTTGATGGCGCGGACAAGGTAAGGAATGAAAGTCTCAGGGCCCAACAATCCCTTTGCCAACCTGTCGTCGGCAACACGAACAATGTCGTCGATCTTGACCACCTCGGGCTCCCAATTTCGCTGAGGCGCAACCTCCTTGGCCAGCGCGAAGAGCCCGTTTTGCGAAATGGCTGCGCTCTGAAACCGGACCTCGCGGTTCTTGGTCTCCTCGGGCTTGGACAGGATGGCCAGGACGGCTGCGGCCACCGTGTCCAGTTTGGTGGTGCTGAAGACGGTGTTGCCGCCGTCAAAGAGCTTGGGCTTACTGTCCACCGTCTTCAGGAGGAACTGGTGCTCCAAGCCCCAGTCCAAAAACGGGCCGCTGTATGCAAAGGTGTACGTGAGCGGGGATGACTCGGCCTTTTCCTTGAGATATTTCTGGATGGCAATCTTTGGCGCAAAGACGGGCAGCGCTCGAGCAAGCTCGTTGTTCAAGTCGCAGCCGAACTCTGAAGGCACAAAGCGCTTGACGCCGGCGGCGATGGCAGCATCGATGAACTTCTTCTGTGTGTCGACGGGGGTGATTGGGTTGATGGCCGATACAACCGCATCCTGGCCGGCGAGAGCAGCCGTTAGAGAGTCGAGAGAATCATAGTCGACGTCGACAACCTTGAAGGCGCTGGGGTAAGTGGCGCTGGAACTGCCACGACGGAGGACGGTGACGTTGAATCGCTTGTCGTTGAGAAAGGCATCTACAAGGACTTTGCCTACACTGCCACTGGCGCCGATGAGGGCAACATTTTTGAGAAGAGCAGCCATTTTTTCTTTCTTCTTTTCTTGTGTGTGGGGGTGTTGTTGTTATTGTTGTTTAGCAAAAAAGTTGTAAGAGCTTGATGCTGGATCTATTGAGAGAGTCTGTTGTGTAAATGGACATGACCACTGCCGACTCTCTCTCTTTTAAACATGAGCAGAGGCATCATGAGATTCGGTGTATTGCGTGTTGCATTCTACTTGCGCCATTTCATCCCACATTACAAACGCCTTTTTACTCAGCTTGAAGAAGGCTATGATTGGCAAGCACCGCCAGTGTTGGGAGTTGCTCAGGATGCTCCGCGATTATGCAATCTCTTAGCCTCTTACAGAGACTCGCCCCCATAATTTCGTGTTCTCGCTGAGTGATGGCAACTGGGCTACAAAACAATGGAGAATATTAGTGGTATAGCTGTAAACATGCCTTTATAACGAGACTCTTACGCCCTCTGTCACACGTATTCTGCTGTATTCACCGTATTCACCGTATATACCGCTTCATCTGCTTCTGCCACTTTACCCCTCGCAACTTCTGACGGCTTTACTGTAGTCTTGACGCTTATATCCATCTGCATGTGCATTTGCATTTCCATCTGCTCACGAAGGGTAGCATCCTGCTAATTCCTTCTGCCACCCTGCCACTAATTCCGCTTGGCTGCTAATCCCGGCAGCAATCTCTCCATCTCAGTGGCCCAACTCCAGGACCGCTCTCCGGGACTGCCTCCGAGGGGGAGCCGCCGCGCGCCTAGGCTGGAAACAGGCACGGCTGGGCGGATGACATATCGTAGCCATCGCGGCCTAGGCTTCTTTCGGAGTGGGAGATGCCGACGACTCTCTTGACCGAAGCTGGTTCCGCCATGTCTTTTCAAAGTGGGATGGCCGAGGCCAAAACTCCCACGGCCTTGGATAAAGAAGCAGATTTATCATCCTCTGGCTACTACCCCGGAGCCTTGTCGGCCACGCGCCCAGATGTTTTGGTTCTTTTTTTCTTCTTTCCTTTTTGTTCTTCTGTCATACAGGCTATTTCTGAGTAGTTTTCTAGATTCGTTTGTCCGATACCAACGCTGATTTGCCGTTTTTATTTTAGCGCATTTGTCTTTTATCAACTTTTGACTTGTACCTTTGGGTTTTTAATCAACTAGACATCTCATCCCACCCACCGCTCCGAAATCTGATCTGATCTCAACCGCCAAAAAAGCCTATCGCGCCCCGAGCTGTTGGTTGCTTGGTAATTTTTCTAAGCCCTCTCTGGGACCATTCGCCGAACTGCTTTTCAATCTTTCTTGTTACCAATCCCGCGCAACCCCGCCACTAAACTCGCGGGATCGCATCTCGAGATCTCGGCTCCGGTGGGAGAGGCTTTCGTGGAGTTTGAGTGGGTTTGCCGCCAAAAGCACCATTCAAGATCTCCCTCTCCAGGTTCGAAATACACACCATCGAGGGTTCTCAAGGAGAGCAAAGGGCGAATCTGGATGGGCTTTTGCCCCAATCGGGACTCGTTCACTCGTTCAGCCGCATAAGCGGATCTGTTAGACAGCAGGCCTGGCTAACGAGATCCCCCGGCAAAGCCCATCGCATACTACAAACGTGCTCCGTAACGACGTCGCGAGAGAGTCCACCTTCGGATGGGAAGTGGGAGACACCAATAGCCTCAGGAGATGGCCCCCCCATCAGGACAGCGTCACGTCTGCCACTGCGGAAGAGGCTTCCTTCGCAAAGAGCACCTTCGCCGCCATCAGGCTATACATAGCAGTCCCTCTTTTACGTGCCATGTGTGCTCTCGATCGTTTAGTCGCAGGTGAGTTGAGAAGTACCTGCTGCCCCCTTTCCCCCCCCTTTTCCTGCCAGAGTAAAATGAAGAGGAAACCAAGCTCCTCCGTCGTGAGCCGACCAAAGGGACGCAGGCTAAAGGTTAGAAAACCCGGTCGTTATAGTGATCTTCTTCGCCGCCATCTGACATTACACGATGGCCCTGCTCATTCGGATTCTAAACGGGTACGAGCCTGTGATGCCTGCCACGCCAGCAAGATCCGATGTGATGGAGGCACGCGGTGCTCTCTATGTACCAAGCGAGGGATAGACTGTGCATTCACAAGAGGACCTGGGCCCAATGGCACGTCTGATTTGCAGCGAAGAAGCGTCTCTTCATTGCCATCGACTTCTAAATCCCATTCGCCCGATACTCCCACGCCCAGCATACCGACCTCAGATGCCGATGGCACTGTTAAGACTGTTACAAGCCTCTCCACCAGCTACACAGATATCGTGGGCCCTGCAGATCAGGCAACGCAGCATCTGAATCCATCCATCGCCACGGCGGGGCTGAAACTAATCCTCAACGTCATTTCCAACCCCCTATCATCGGAAACAATGTCAAGAAATCGACTACAACTGCCTGAAGAGATAGAAAAGTGGTCCTCGGAATGTCTAAGAGCATACATCACAAACTTCCATGACCGGTGGCCCATATTGCACATCCCAACCTTTGAGCGGGAGGTGATTTCCATCGGGCTAAGAAGCACCGCCATCATGATCGGCTCTTGGGTCCGGAACGAGACTGCAGACAACAGCCTCGTATACGACATCCACAGCATCCTTGTCAAGAACCTCCTCGCTGATCTTGTAAGTCGCCCTCTCAATTATATGGAGAGGTAGTATACTTACATGGCGGAACTCTTGCAGACAGAAACTACTGTGGACGCTGCCGGCGTCTGGCCCATCAGGACCCTTCAATCGGCCTTGTTGAATGTTATTTTTGCATTTGAATGTGGGGTATGTTGTGCCAGTTTCCAGCAGAGATGCGAGACAGATCCTAACTGATGGTTACAGAATGACACACTCATGAAAAAAGGTCGCCTCCTATACAGCCTTCTTGTCACTGTATTCCGACAACTCAAAGTCTTCAACGCCGAGGCCGTGGAGCATCAGATTCGGATCCATTTCAGCGGCGATTTCCCCCCATGGGCGTTTGCCATGAAGGAAAAGTGGAAAAGGTGAGAAAATATAATTCCCCTGTGTAGTCCAAGTGCCATGCTAACCCCCCCCTTTTAGGCTAACCACCAATCTGTTCAAACTCGACACATATATATCCCTATTAACGCAACAACCACCATCAGTCCAACGCGAAGAAATGAGCCTCGGCTTAACCTCCACATTCGCCCTATGGAACGCCTATGGCCTCGATGTCTTCTTCAGGAGATGGCCTTCCGAGCCCCTGGAGCGATCATCGTACAAGATCTGCGACCTCGCGCTGGGATCTCAACAGCCAATATCGCCCGTCATGCTCGTCGAAGACATACAGATCCGCATGATGGGCGTGACCAACTACGTCTGGATCCTGAGCAAGATGCGAGGGAACCCGAACCCGGCACTATGCGCATCCGCCGACCAGAAAGAGCTGATAGCCACCCGTCTAAAGCGCTGCAAGCTGCAACTGGATGGCATGGCTGCTTTGTGGATGGATCCAGAACAACACAAGATGCACATTGAGTTCCTGCTTAGAGCGTACATGGGCTCGGAAGAGCCTTTCCACAATGACTGGGAAAAGTACTCACGGGGCCGATTCTTCTCGTATGTCTTTAGCGCCACCATGATGTACCACCTCCTCAGCATGCACATCTACGCCGACGCGCAAAGCTACATGCAAAACCTCCCAGGCATCACATCAAGCCTGGCCCCCTGCGGCATTACTCTCCCGAACCCCCCCAATACTGCTGAAATCAAGGAGTGGGCAATGTCCATGGACAGCAGAATTGCAGTCTCACATGCCATCGTCGCATACCGCGTCTATAGCGGCCATGTGTCCCCCTCTGAACTGAAAGCCGAAGTCGTCGATCCCATCGCCCACATGACCATCGCGGTAGGGGCTGGCATTTTATGGACGTGGATACAAAACAACGGCATGACGTGCACCTGCGATTGCATGAATGTGCCGCTCGTTGACGGGCTGGACTTTGGCTTTGTGCGTCTAGAGACGGGGAAGAGCCCGGAAGTGGAAAGCTGGATACGAACTGGGGGTGATGTCTGGCTCAACGGAGTCCAGGTATGTAAATGCAATGTAGGGGTTTGGCTTTCGCCATTTGCTGCGATACTGGCGCACGGGGCGAGGAAATGGGAAATTGGTAACGCATTTGCGCAGAAGCTGTGGAACCAGCTTGGACTTCAGCGATCTGTTTAGTATATGTTAAACTTTATGAAATTGGGACAACGGAGTTTCTGTTTTGCATAAGAGCATTGTATGATTGGCAAGGAAGCAAGGTATCTGGAATGTATATAACTAAGCTGCATATAGGTACTCACAGTATAAATGATAGGTACTAGGCATGCATTATTGCCAAGTAGAGGACCTACCTATACAGACAACAAGGTCAGAATGACATGAGTGTTTTCAACAAAAAACCGAGCTCAGCGGCTGCAAGATGGTACCATTTTATTTTCTTCTTTCAACATGCAATCAGCAACAAGCAAGGGCTAATATCCAACGCTATATTACAAATGAAGCAACTATGCCAACTTTTGCATACAAAATAACCGACTTTTTTTTCTCTCTCTATTTACAGGCCATCATTTCCACGCAAGATTGTAGCCGCCTGGCGGAAGAAAGAATCCAGTCGGAGTCTGACAGGTCGTAGAAGCAGCCGTCCAGGCTTGTGAGTGGTTTCTCCAAGGCGCTTCAGAGCGTGATGAAAATCTTGTAGAAGCTGGTATGCAGCCTCAATGTGTCCCTGGTCAGAGGCCAGTAGGAAGAGGTAAATAAGAAAGTTGCCACATAAAATCAGCTGAGACCGAGCATCTGTTTTTCTTTGTTAGCGCAGTTGCAAGACGTTTTTCACAAAGCCGTCATGGCTGTCAATACTTACGGCGGCACCAAAAGCCACGCAAATCTTCTTCAGAGATGGAACTGAAAAAGCTGACGAAGCTCTGAAACTCGCCGAGAGCGTGAATAAACCACTTTCGAAGATTTGACTCGGGGTTGGCCTTGGCTGCTCTAGTGGCAGGGTACATCAAACCTCGGTACAACAGCGCTTGAGCAGCATAATACGTAAGATGTAGGGGACCTGGGCAGAATATGTTAGTATCTCTTTTTCTACTCAAAAGAATCCCTCTGTTAGGATCCCCCACTCACAGTTGCTAGCTACATCCTGTCCTCTTTCAGGACCAAGAGCAAGGCATTGCGGAAGCAGGACATGCCAATCTTTGAACTTGTCTCGCAAGATGTTTAATTGTACTGCCCTCTCGCCCAAGGTTGATAGGCTGGGTCGAATTTGACTGCGCAGATGATGTCTTGTTAGCAACTACGTTGAAGGTGAGATTTTGTGTAGCAAAGTTAACTTACAAGCTGCAGTCTAATACATCTCTCAGGACCATTGTGAGATTGATAAATTGCAAGAATCGAGCGCCAACCGAAATCTGAAAGACGGCATCTTCAGGATCGACCATGTGCCGTAAATCCTCGGGAACAGTCTCGTCAGCTCGAATGTCGTCCATGTCAGGCGGAGCTGTGCTGAATGACGCGTGGCTTATGTGCGGAGGGTTCCCATGGCATATTGAAGACCAGCAGTCTGAAGCGTATACTGCCCACCAAAGCTTCTTTCTGACTCTTTTCTCCCACGGTTCAATGCTCCATCGGCCAGGATCTTGATGAAGGCCTATTGTCTGGGCACACGCCGTGGTCTGTGCCGTCATGGTCCACATGCTCGGCGTTTCAACGCTGTCGACATCGGGCGGTGTGATGTGGTGAAGCAAAAGGCCTGCTTGTAAGCTGAATAGATTGGGGTTTTCATGCTCGCGCCTGAGGGCCTCGTGGGCGTGGTCGATGCATTGGTGCTGCTCAAAGGGACAAGCCTCTTTAATATCCCAGAAGACGCTCGCCATGCCATAGATTGCACCGCGCAACGAAGCGGGGATCTTCATCTTGTTGGTCTTGTACTGACGTAGGAAACGGGATTTGGTGACCACGGGGTATATAGGATGGACATGCTTGAAATACAAGCGCACCAGGTGATCGCCGTAGGGCCATGCCAACGTCTCAGTTTCATCCGAGGCGGCTTGCTTTGCTTCATTGGTGAAGTCGGGGTTCTCATTTTCCAATAGCAGGAAGTGAACCGGACGATCGTCTGCCGTAGGGCCTCCAGGATACACCTGGATGATGTTGGCATCGAGCTCATCATTCTCGTTTATGATGAGGCATCTGAAGGCATCCAGGAGGTATATGTCTTGTTCACCCGAGGGCCCCATTGAGTGTGCCGTCCTGTTGAAATTATCTTCAAGTGTATGAAGAGGATAATCAGATGCCAAAGGGGCTGGAGGAGAGAGACCATATGAGGTTGGTTCCAACGTGTTTTCAGAAGGCCCGTTCTGGCGAATCAAGCCCTGATGTACAACTGCCGCGGGTGCGGACGACTGTTGCTCCAGACTCAGGTCTCCAGCGGCACTGAGTCCTGCCGACGACTGGATAGTGTCCGCCGGGCTAGAATGCGAGACGCTACGGCGTGGCAGAGCCGGCGAAGAGCCCATGGCTGGAGGCGTGACGAGCTCGGCTTCAGAGACTCCATTTTCAGTGGCACTCTCGCTCTCTTGTTGAGACGAGGCCTCATCAGGGGTTGGCGAAGACTTGCACACTATTCCCCTGCTCTTACAGAATAGACCTGCGAAGTTGAATTTAGCACTCGGTGACGCCGTAGAGTTTGGGATATCGGGAAGCGGGACGAGACAAATCAAGATGCAGTGGAGAGATGCAGCATGCAGATGCGTAGTATCGGCCAACGGGACGCCTCGCATACACATGCATACGGCGAAAAGAAGGGGGTGCGTGGCGTGTATAGAGTACTGCTCGTCACTGCTGAGATGCGTCCGTCTGAGCGTCATTCATCTCGAGCACGCCGCAACGTCGTCCACACGCAACAGCCCAAACAACGCATCAGACCAACAGCCCCCACCCCCTCGTTGACGCGTGGTAGGATCTGGCAGACAGCGGCAGCAGCAGCCTCTGGGAACGACACAGCTTCCTGGGACAAGACAGGCCGGCATGGAGGCTCTTCACTTACAGGGAGGCTCTGAGGGGATCACGCAGGCCGTCTTGCGCCTCCGGCAGGCGTCGCAGGGCCGGTTCTTGCGGCTCCGCGGCTGTCTGGCCCGGCCGAACTGGCTCTGGATGGTGAACTTGCGGGGACGGGCCTGGCCTTGGGCCAACGGGTCGGCGCCGCTGAGCATGTCGTGCGTCACTCGAGCGTTTGACGGCGAGCGAGTCGTGCGGCGTCCGGGCTGGAGCTGGAGCTGGACTGGCTGGGCTGGGCTGGCTGGGGGCTCGTGTCTTCGCCGCACCGCGGGTGGAGATGGTGAGGACGAGACAAACAAAGCAAAAGCAGTCGCGTGGCTCGGCGAACGCTGCGGCGAAGCTTCTTGTGCGGCGCGTCCAGGCTCCGTTGCAGACTCGTCCGAGTTGGCCGACACGTAGCGGGGAACGGATTCTGGGCCGCGTGTCGTGATCGAGGCCGTGGGAGCGAGCGAGTAACGTGACTGGCCCTGAAGCTCGCACTTCGCCTATGGCGCCTGGACGGCTGCATCGCTGGCGGTTTGTGCGAGGTTTGGCGCACGGGGGCTAGCGCGTTAGTGGCCGCCTTACGGGGGGCACAGTGGACAGCGCCCCTAATCCGTAGCGCACATCGCTTAGTCCAAGCTCCGTTCTGTGTGCTACAGTAACGATTGGCGATGGATTCTGCATCCAACGCATGTGCATATAGGAGCTACTGTAGGAAATGCTGGCGGGTCACGGAGGTGAAATGGTGTAAGACGAATGGCTGCTCGGGCTTATCACAGGCCTGCTGTTCCCGGCATGGCTGCGGCCCATGTCTCACCGTCGGCCAATTCTCGAGACAACCTTGAGGGCTACGACGATGCCTAAAATAAAGGTTAAGTTGGGCAGATATCCAGGGCGTCAAGGGTCAACAAGCAACACATGAGGATCGGGCAACTTGATTGCATGTACCGTCTAGGTATGAAAGGCAAATGTAGGTTCGGGGAAGATGTACACCATACATTGAATTTACGCGAGCATAATTCGTTAATGTTCATGATAGCAGTAGTATGTAGACCCAAACAGTCCACTCTGTATTCTATTAGATAAACAGCACATATTTTTATATCAAATCAAACTGCAATAAAAACCACATGGTGTCGCTGTACGAATGATCCAAACAATGCAAAGCGGTGTACATACATCCAGCATCGCCTCTCAGTACATGTAGCTTGGCTGGTTAAAAGTCATAACTCAAAACGATTGCAGATCGCTCTATAATGGGAACTGGAAAAAAGCCATCTGCCTGACTCATCACCTCAAAATACGGCAGTGGGCTCATGCTTTGTGTTTACGTCCAGATGCGTAATTCCCGAGCTGTCGTCTTCCGACAGGATGTGGCCTGCCTGGGACAGATCCACCTCCCAGCGGTCTGTGTAATGCTGCTGGACCTCCCTGGCGCTGGGGGCATTCTTGACGAAATCATCAACCTCCCTGGCAGGGAAGATCCAGTGGAGCAGCCCATAGACGACGGCGCTGGACACAAAGCCGTACAGGTAGTTGAGGAAATAGAGCTCCGTCATGCCGGCGGGCAGCGACACGGACAGGTTGACGGCCGCGATAAAGCCGGGCAGGGTTGGAGCAACCCCCACGGCCCACTATCGGGGGCGGAGTTAGCTTTGCGCTGCAACAGAGATGAAGAGTGGAAAAGATGGGACTTACTGCAACGGGGGCACGGAAGTTGATGCCGTACTTGTACCAGTATATGCTGCCGCTGTGGCCGTGGTACAGATCGTCAACCTTGACCTTGCGCTTGTTCACGAAGATGTAGTTGGCAAACATCATGCCCGTCATCGGCGCCAGGAAGACGCCGTAGCTGGACAGCACCGACAGGAACGTCGTCGCCGTGTTGACCAGCTGCCAGGGGTTGACAATCGGGCTCAGCATCACCGTGATGTAGGCGCCTCGGCGGATGTTGATGTACCGCGGGAACACCGACGACAGATCGATGCCGCCGGCCAGCGCGTTTCCAGGCACGTTGCTGCCGATTTGCGAGATGCACAGAGCAACCCCCGCAAAGAAGAGCGCGGCGCGGGTCCCGGGGCTGTTGTCCTTTTCCAATAGGCGAACAAAGATGGTCGGTGGGTTCCAGACGGCCTCGCCATCAAATCTCCGCTGCGTGGCTCCGACAACCAGAATGCCAATGACCGATGTCAGGATGCTGTATACTCCGTATGGGATGAGCTGGCCCCAGACGGCATCCATCGGCTTCCTCGATAGACGTGCAAAATCGTTCTGGTTCAGGATACCGGCGGCGATGGAGCCAACGGTGGACATGATTCCGTATATCATGAGCCAGGCGAGACTGCCCGGACCACCCGTCTTGGGAATGGTGGTTGCCGAGTCTATCGTGTCACCAAAGCCTCCGTGGCCCATGGTTGCCAAAGCCCAGATTAGCAGCACTATGAAGAATACCATGGTTACCGCGCTGGCGAAGTAGAAGAACTTCTGCAGACGGTGCGGCTTGATCCATACGAACGGAAGACTGATGATGAAAAAGATGATGTACGACACAAACTGGGCCGTGGTCATGCCCGTCGAGGCAGGCATGTGGTTGGGGATGTGAGACTCATAGTTGGGATCCCACGAAAGTAAGATGAGCTCGAAACATTGGCCGCCAACCCATGACTGAAAGCCGTACCTGTATATATGCGTCACAACAGTTAGCAAGGCTGCCGAGTCGTCGGACAATGTCCGTTGTTGATACCATCAATCCACTGACCAGACTGATTAACCAATGGTTAGCACGCTACACATCATATTTGCAAGACGAGATGAGATGCAACATACCAAGACACAAGAATATACGGTTCCAGATGGCAAATTGAGACCCCCACATGCCCCAGACGGCACGGCTATACACAGAGAAGCCAACTGCAAAGAAGCTGATTAACACACTAAAGTTCCTTGGGTGAGGCACGCGAGGATGATGATGATGCTTACTGTGATAGTAGGCTCCCGACAGTGAGCTGATGACAATTGCAGTGGTGGCAATGATATTTCCGATGACAATGGCTACGATAACCTGTCAGCCAACCGATCCAAGAGCCGCTCTCGCTTCAAGCATGATGGACATACCAATAATAGCCTGCCAATAATTGAGGCCCAGGGGTATCAGTGCGCTTCCCGTGAGGAAAGTTGCAATGTTGCAGTTGATCAGCAGCCCTAGTAGGGGACAAAGTTTATTTTTGTCAGCCAAGGATCTCAATTCGCCTATACGGAGCATTGCGCTCTCATTTCAACGAATAGCCACTTACAGTAATTATGAAAGGTCCAGAAGCCCCATGTTCGCCTGGCAGCCTCCACGGGACGAATATCATCATTCTAAGACGCGCCAACAAGGGTCATCAATTAGCCATTGCCCAACGGTCAAGGTTACCGGCCGTACGAAGGATGAGTCGGAGCATTGAAAGGGAAGATGTGGCACGCAGGAATCGTGGTAACGGCGCGCCTACGGCGGAAGCGACTTACAATCCATTGCGAGACGTAAGGGAGCCTTGCGCGCTCAACAAGACCGGCCAATCCCATGGTCGCGTTAGAATTGGGACGCGTGATTCGCTCACAAAAAGATTGAAGCAAAGACCGAATCTAGGTCCGGGCTTATGCGCCTTCTATCAATGGGAAGTCGGCTTCTCTGGGTCTTGGAGCCCCGTGCGAAGCGATCAACACGATGCCGTTGCGTCTCTCGAGTCAACAAGCAACAGCAATAGGCATAAACACCTCCGTGATGGTCAGTTGTCAGACCGCAAACTCTGTGGGGCTGAGTAATATTCCTCCCAGCCGCGAAGCCAGAGGATCGCCCGATATAGCGGAAGCGGGAAGAGCCGAGTCGAGTCAAAGGCTCGGATTCAAAACTGAGCTCTAGCAGCGGCCAGGCCCGTCGGAGCGAACTTGACTGGTGCAAAGGCCGCGAGAAACGAAACAGCCCTTTGTGGAGGTTGAGATGGAGAAAAAGGGGACTTGGAGCAGCTTAAGCTGTGTTTTAGCTTTTCTTCTCGAGTCAAACCAACTCCGCCGGGCTAAAGCAGGAACTAACAGCCATTAGGCAATTGTGGCTATTGATTTCAATCTCAGCAGCTCATTTGTTCTGGCCGCCCTCTGAAAGGTTAGTCAGCGTAAGGCGGGCTGACCGCAACGGCCGTCGCAATCGAAAAGCTCGTTGGGAGGTCCCGGACAAAAGACAATCTCCCCGCAGTTTGCTTCATCGCAAGCCCTGGTCATGCCACTCGCACAGCGATGACCGGGTATCGGCCCGCTAGAAGCCTTCGAGATGCCGCGGACTTTGCAAGTTGTCGAAAAGCACATGCTTGACAATTCCGTCCATGTGCGGAATGTTAACGCCTATGGCTGATTGGCTGCCCATGCCTGCTCAATTGCCCCCCTCTTTCCTCTCTTCTTCTCCCAGGTGCTTCTATTTCGGTTTTAGGGGATCTTCAGAACGAGCTCTCCTTTCTGCTGCTTGCTGTTAGTCGCTGGAATGGCTTCTTCCTTCTCGAATGGCATCCAGAGTTCGGTTTGCTTTGATTTCCTTCATGCCCGTGTGATCGGCAAACTGCTAGCGGCACGCTCGGCCAACTTGTATGCCCCCAATTGGCCGAGCTGAGTCTTCCCCGATGCTACTCTTGTGCCCATAGGTGGTGTGACGGGTTTGACGTGCGCCTGATGCTGGCTGAATGAGTCGTTTACGTGCGTGAGACAAGAGCCGGCCAACCCGCCTGTATATTAGCTGTACGTTATCCGCGCTTTTGCTCGATGCAGGGTCGTCGGCCGGAGCTTTTTAGCCTTCTTTACCCATTGAGGGGCAAGGCCCATCCAGTTGGCCGCCGTTTGGGATCGCCAATCTGCCAGCTACGATCAAATCATATGCCCTACTGCGTATGTAAGAACAGAAGGGTCTTGGCTCTCTCCTCTCCCCCACAAGCCGGATTCTCCACCACGTAATAGGCGACGACGCAGTCGGGGTTCTCCGTGCGCGACCCCGTCTCTCACCGTTGAGCGAAACTTCGCCGCTGGTTTTCTGCTGCTCCATCTTAAAATTGTAGTCTCGAAAATAATCATGGTCGCACTAAATTGCAAGCGGCGGCCCCTAATTGCTTCCAGCTATGAGCCCCTCACGCCAATCTTTCCTGCCGTTTACTTCATAACTCGCACACATTTCTCTGAGCTTTGGGAGTACTACTTTTGGTTCTGATGGAGTTTGAATTTTTATAGGGAACAAGGAAAAGCAAAAAAAAGAAAAAGAAGAAGAAGAAATTGAAATTCACACATTTTCTTCCTTTTGATATCTTTCTTCTTTCTTGCTCTCTTCTTCCTCTTACTGTTTCCTTCTAGCAGCATGGCATATAGAATAGGTGTCGATGTTGGAGGAACCAACACGGACGCGGCTATTTTGGACCTCAAGGCCCTCGACGAGCCCGGACGGGGAGTCCTAGCATCATGGAAAGCAACAACGACCCCTGACATCACCAGCGGCGTGGAAGCCGCCATTAAAGAGGTCCTCGATCAGTCCAAAGTTGAAAAGAGCCGCATCCTCAGCGTGACCATTGGAACAACACATTTTATCAACTCTCTCATTGAGGCCGATGCCAGGAGGCTGGATCGAGTTGCTGTATTTCGACTGTGTGGGCCGTTCACGAGGCAGATCCCCCCCTTTTCAGACTTCCCCCTCGGACTTCGCGGCATCCTTGATGGAGGTGTGCACTACTTGGATGGAGGACTGGAGATGGATGGGAGAGAGATTGCTCCCTTGAATCCACAGCAAATCCAGGAGGCCGCAAAATCAGTTGTGGCTTCTGGCATCAATGCTATTGCTCTGGTTGGTGTGTTTTCACCGCTGGATCACCATGGAATTCACGAAGAGGAGTGCAGGCGAATCATACTTGAAGCTGCTCCCGGATTGCGGGTAGTTTGCTCCCACGATATAGGACCTACTGGCCTTCTCGAAAGAGAAAATGCTACAATTCTCAATGCTGCTATTCTTAGGACGGGAGAGAAGGTCAAGCATAGCTTTAAGCGTGCCATGGCAAGCTTGAAATTAACGTGCCCTCTTTTCCTTTCTCAAAACGATGGAACCCTTATCGATGTCGAAACTGCCGCCAAGTATCCTATCAAGACCTTTGCAAGCGGGCCCACGAACAGCATGACGGGAGCTGCATTCCTCGCCGGACTCGACAACAAACGGTCAATATCGAACGACGGTGATGATACAGTTGAACCTCAGGTGCTTGTGGTTGATATTGGTGGCACCACGACCGATGTATGTGCACTGCTGCCATCCGGCTTTCCGCGGCAGGCGCCCGGGTTCGTTGAAATTGGCGGCGTTCGAACAGCCTTTTCAATGCCAGAAGTCGTTTCAATGGGTCTAGGAGGTGGCAGCAAAGTCGAAATTGAAGATGATGGCAAAGTCCGTGTTGGCCCCGGCTCAGTTGGACACTTTCTCAAGAAGCAAGCCAAAATCTTTGGCGGCTCAACATTGACTGCGACTGATGTTGTTGTGGCTCTTGGCGAGGCCGAGCTTGGAGATGCATCTCTGGTCAAGGATGTTCCGGATCAAACCATTAGTCTTGCTCGACAGGAAATCAAGAGGAAACTCGAAAGAGTAATTGATCAGATGAAGGTGTCATCTGCGCCAGTCCATGTACTCCTCGTCGGCGGCGGTGCTCTCCTTGTCAAGGACGGGTTGGAGGGAGTTGATAAATGCATCCACCCTATTCATCAAGGTGCTGCCAACGCTGTTGGCGCTGCCATTGCCAAAATTTCTGGAGAGGTTGATACGGTGGAAATTCTCGAAGGAAAGAGTGAAAAGGACATCCTCGACGCGGCTTGCAAGAGAGCCATCGATCAAGCCATTGAGAAGGGCGCTTCTCCTGACGACGTACGCATTGTCGAAGTAAACAAGATGCCTCTGCAGTACATGTCGCAAGTTACCGTGAGAATCCAGGTTCGCGCGGTGGGCAAGCTAGCTATTCCGGACGAACCGACTCCGCCGCCTACCCCTCCGCTGGGTGAAATTCCAGATTATGAGGAAGAAGGCGAGGGGGACGAGGACGAAGGAGAAAAAGTCAGCGTACCGAATGCTCTTGAGCCGACTACTAAGCCGTCTCTACATGTAGATCTGGAAACATACCGTCCAGATGTGCGGGACGGGATCTGGTACGTCTCAGAAATCGACTTGGAGCTTATTTCTACTGGATGTGGTGTGCTTGGCACTGGAGGCGGAGGTCCTACTCATTACGAGTTCCTCAAAGGCTTGCATGCACTGCGGACAGGGGGGCAGGGCAAAATGAGGATCATTTCTCCCAAGTCATTGGATGATAACGCCCAGGTGTTTTTCGGCTCGTGGTATGGAAGTCCAAGCGTGATTAATGAGCGATTGTCATCGGGCAACGAGATTCCCAGTGGTATTGAGGCCTCGTCTAGAATTGTGGGAAAATCGATCGATGCGGTTCTTCCAGATGAGATGTAAGTTGAAGCCCATGAAGCATTTTTCTCCCGGCTCAAGGGAAGAACAAGAGGAAAAGAGGGAAAATAATGAGCTGCAGTAGCTGACAAGAGACAGTGGCGGCGGTAATGGTCTTTCGTCTTTCCCTACGGGCGTCCACTTTGACATTCCCATCGTGGATGGAGACGCAATGGGCCGAGCATATCCAACAATGTATCATGGTAAGTTTCCTACAGTCTTTGTCAGCCTTTGGTTTACGAGTTGCTGATTTTGTTGAATAGTCACTTTCAGTGTATACGGCCATTCATTAGTGCCTTGCGTTCTCACAGATGCTCGTAACAATGTGAACGTCGTCATGGTATGTTTCCACATGCACCTACATGAAGGGGTGCAATACTAATCCAAGTTATATAGAGTACGGACTCACCTGAGCGGCTGGAGACCATGCTGCGGACATCGGCCATCGAGCTCGGTCTGAGCTGCGCAGCATGTTCTGCGCCTCTCCCCGGTTCCGTCGTCAAGGAGTACGGTATTCCCAATTCTTTATCATTGACTTGGTATTTGGGCCGCGCTATTCACCAGGCGAGAAGGCGAAAGACAAGTTACATCGACGCGATTGTAAGTTTGGGCTCTTCAATCTCTAACAACTCTAATCGACTAAACTAACATGAACTCATAGTTTGCTGAGTGTGCTGGAAAAGTCCTCTTCAGTGGCAAAATCGTCGATGTTAAACGCTACCTTGGAGGAGGCTACACCATGGGGTCCGTTATCATCGCCCCATTAAATAACGAAGAGCGCGATGCTGCAACTGCTAGCAAACACCAGGCCGCCTCAACTGGCCGACACATGACAATACCGTTTCAAAACGAATATTTATACGCTGCTCTTACCGATGCTCAAGGGTCAGAAGAATCCCAAGAGATTGTATGCACAGTGCCGGATCTCATTTCGATCCTGGGACAAGACGGCGAAGCAATTGGCTCGCAGGATCTCAGATATGGCCTGCACGTCAGCGTCATTGCATTACCTGCACATCCCCTGTGGAAGAGCGAAAAGGGTATCAAGGTGGGCGGGCCGGAGGGATTCGGATTCAAGATACCCGTTGTCGAAGTGGATAAGAAGTTTACCGAGTCAAGGAGCGTAATTGATGAGTTTTCAACATAGAAGGAGCAAGGATACAATATATACATGACGGGAGTTGTTATCATTTACATCATAAGCGAGTGGAAAGGCATTGATAGGTAGATACCAGAGTTCGCATTTCATATTAGCATATCTTTTATCTTGTTCATCACTTCAGAATTTAGTCATTGAGGCGCAAACGTATTATAAAATGCCGCTGCTTTGTATAGCAATCTGTTTAGCAGCTCTCTTTTTTTGGGCTTTATTGAGTTTTACTATTTTACCAATGAGTGACCGACCATACCAGAACAAATAGCATACAAATGAATGACTAGAGTTATCAGTCTGTCCACCATTCAAACAATCTGTTCATTTCCTTCAAATGGCATTCTCCTGGCGGCGAATCTCAAAGACGTTGAGGGCCTCCTCGGCAGCCTTGACACCACTAAGAACCATGGCGCCAAAAGTAGGTCCTGCATCTGTGTAAGCAAGCACATCTCCACCAAGCAGATACAAGTCTTAAATTCAAACTTACCCATACGGTTAGCACCGTCAATCTCAGAAAGCTCCATGCCTCCGACAATGAGGCCGGGCACCACCTCACGGGTGTTCTTGACAATGGCATCTTCAGCCTTGCTCATGTCGAGGCCGCGCATGCCGCCCAATTTCTCGATGCGGCCCATGCTGACGAGACGCTTGACGCAAAAGGCACCCATTGGGCCATCGTGGCCGGTGGTCGAGATCACAAGAGGAGCGTTGATGGTGTTGGGGTCCATGCAAGACTGGTCGTCGTGGTGCATCGACACCAGAGTCCAGTTGGTCACAACACCAGCAATGCGCACTCCGTCTGCAGAGGGGCGGGTGATGAGATCCTCGACGCAGGTGGCGTTGAAGAGCTTCACGTTGGGCAGCTGCAGCACCTTGCTCATGATGGTCGAGGTGAAGAGCGCGGCGTGCTTGACAACGACGTAGTTGCCCTCGTCCTCGTACGGGACGCCAATCTCGCGGAGGAACGCGTCGGCCGGCTTGCGCATCACCATGGCGGAGAAGAGCTGGCCTCCCAGCCAGGCACCTCCGCCGGGCGAGACGGAGGCCTCAATGATGGCAATCTTGAGGTCCGGACGCTGAGTGCCGAGGACGTAGGCGGTGCTGAGACCGCAGGATCCGGCGCCGACAATGACAATGTCGGACTCGGCGTAGCGGTCGAGGTCTTCGAAGTAGCGCTTGGTCATGGCGCGCGAGACTTGGGACTCGCGGATGGGGGAGAAGGCAAAGGACTCCCATTGGCCTTGCATCTCGGCGACGGTCTTGGTCTGAGCTCCATCATAGGGGGCAACAGCCAGCTTGGACTTTGGAGTCACAAGTTCAGCAGTGCGCTGGACAGGAGAGATGGCGGCGGGAGGAGTCATGATGGGCCTACGAGGGTTAGGATGCTGTGCACAGTAACAAGGGAGAAGAGCATGATCCTTTCGCTGGTATTATCCAGATCAAGTTCCAGGGCCGTATATTCTCAGCCACGCTCCCTCCTCCTCTTCATCGCCCAGAAGGCCTCTTGAAGTCTCTTGTCTTACACGAGGCAAGGAAGAGACATACAGAGACCGAATGAGAGATGTGTGAAGAGGAAAAGAGAGCGGGCACCGGCTCATGCGATACACATTACCTGAAGAGACATGATCCTGTTTGGATGCATTACCACCGAAGGACGCCATGACGACGTGCTATTTCGGGGAGGCAAGTTGTACCAAAAGGTATATTGGAAATGTGACCTGAGAGTGTTAGATGCATCTAGATACTCGATTGGAGTGATGCCTATGACAAACTGTGAATTGTATCACTGTTGTTTCTGTTCAATTGGGAAATAGGACTTTGAATTGTCAATCGAAAATGTTTGTTGGAAAAGGAAAAAGGGAGAAGTGAATACTGCGTTATTTTCAATCTCAATTTATACTGGCAAATTTTGTCTAAAGGGAGGGGTAAGATAAGACGGATCGGCTCTCGATGGAATCATAGTGACGGCGATGTCGGCACTTGAGAGACGTCAACCCAGCCATTGCGGCAATTGTCCGGGGCTATCCGTGGTTGGCCGCTCTGACAGCTCGGTTTAGCATGAGATATTTTTCAAGTTATTGTGGGATTGGCTGTTTGTGCGATATTGAGATTTTCGAGGGCCACAGTTTTAGAACTTTTTGTATTCCGATGATCGCTCTGAGTTCTTCAAGTGAGAATAGGAACTATAGAATGTATTTCTCGCGATTGATGTGCGTAACGATGGTAAAATACAGTAAATCTCGCTAGTTGTCTTTACTATAAAGTTGAGCTCAAGGCTAATACAAGAGCAACATTGCTTCCACAATGGTTATTTAAGCTTAGCTTACAGCAGTATTACTGCCGTTGCAACTCTAGAAAACTCGTTTAACAAATGTCTAGCGGCAATTGACCAGTCTTAGCCCTATTAGCCGCGATCAGATGTCAAGTCGTTTATCGGAGTTGGCTTGCCCGGTTTCTTAAGAGCTATCAAGTCTGCCAATTAGCTACAACCGCCATGCCTGGTGATGTAACTCTGGATATGGTCCACAAAATGGCTGCAGCGCCTGGCCAATGTCATTCAAGTTATATGCTATATCGCGCGGGCCTAGTCAATCGTCAGCTATGGCGAAGTTTTGGAGAGTCAAGTTGCTAGGTAAACTGACCTGAGCTTGTGAAATCTCTTGGTAAGCACTGTCTAAACAATAAATAGTATTTTGTCCCAGATCATGCCTCGGCAACCTCCCGGATCGTTTTGATAAACTGCTGCGGATCATGTCCAAATCTTCCCAGAAATAGCCCGTCCAGCCCATCCTTCAATTTCTCGTATAGTCCCGGCCCGGCACTGCCACCATATAGCACCCTCGTCGTGCCTTTTCTCTTCTGAACAGAATCAAGGCCTCGAATTCCGGAAACCACATTGAGAATGTGCGTCTCTCCGGCTGGCTGGCTTGCTCCAATCGCCCAAACAGGCTCATAGGCCAGAATAACTTCAGATTCATCGGGTACGGAGCTCATGATGGCATCAACCTGCACGCGGCATTCGTCCACGGCAACATGTACATCGCCTTGCGTCCTTTCTCCAATGCACGCTAGTGGTATCATACCGTTGCGACTCGCCGCAGCAGCTTTCTTTGCTACGATAGCATCGTCCTCGCCGAAAATTCGCCTTCGCTCTGCGTGCCCGATTTCCACGAGCTTGACGCCTGCGCTGCTTAGCACAGAGGGACTGACCTCACCGGTAAAAGCTCCCTGGTCCTCCCAATGGCAGTCTTGAGCGCCAATCCAAATGGGAATTGGACTTGATTCCAGCTGAGCGACTGTGTTTGTGAGAGAAATGAAGTCGGGAATGATGAATATGTCGATGCTGGATAAGAGCTCTTGTGGTATATCCGCGAGCTTCGATATGAAGCTATTTGTAAAGTCTCTTGTTCGTTGAAGAGAAAAGTACATTTTGGTAGAAAGGCCGACGAGACGGCGCCTTGGTACTGGGTTTGTCATCTTCAAAATGAGGCGATGGCCGAATGACTGTGCTAACTGCACACAATGTCTTCTGTAGTGCTTAACAGAGCTACTAAGCTTTGAACAACAATTTATGAATAACAACGAATTGAAAAATAAGCATCTGGGACCTGACTATCAAGACTATCTAATTCCAGCTCCCCTCGCTGAGCGGATCAGTCAAGAAGCTCCCCCGCGCTCCGGCTCCGAGCCGTCCATTCCACTTCTGGGATGCCGGCAACCCAGTGTTATTCGTATAACCAATCACCCGGCCATGGTTGCGGACCCTGTACGCTTACACCAGTAAAGCCATACTGTGGTTTCAGGCTGCCAATGATATGGCAAATGATATGACAAGCATTATCTCTTCCGGGCTCGTACTCTCCTGGGCCCTGTATCCATCGTGGTCTCGTGAACGATTGTCGGAAACACCCAAAAGAGCCATGTCCGTAGTGCTACCATTTTAATTTCTAATGCTGCTAAATCAAGCTATGCACTCCATATTTTCTTGCGAAGCCGAGTGTGCCACAAGCCGGTATTAGTCTTCTACACTAACACAGAAAGAGTAGAAAACATCTCAAGTTTGCATGTCCCTGCGTGTTCCCAATGCAGCAATCCACCGTCTTGCCTTTCGCCCAGCTTTTACACGCATCTACCCCTTGCGTGATCAGCAAAACACCACATGGAATCGAACCGTTAAAATGCTTGATATTGGCTTTTCTATTGTCTCCCCCCACGTCCATTATGCTTCTAAATGTCCAATCTCCTCCACTTTCTTAGCACTCGCACTGGATGGATCGAACTCGTAAGCCAGCCACTCGGTAGCCAGCCTTCTGGCAACTTCCAGCCCAACAACCCGTTCTCCCATGCATAAGACTTGGGCATTATTGCTTTTAACGCTGCGTTCGACGCTAAAACTATCGTGGGCTGTTACTGCACGGATGCCTTTGACTTTGTTGGCTGAGATGGCAACGCCTAGACCAGTCCCGCAGATGAGCAGTGCGCGGTCAGCTTTGCCCTCGGCAACGAGGCGAGCGGCGGCGGCAGCTCTCTGGGGGTAAGGAGTCTTGTCCGAGGACTCGTCAGACCCTACATCGATGACTTCGCCTACGCGATCATCGCCTTCAAAGTCCTTCTTGATTGTGTTTTTGTAGCTGACACCAGCGTCCTGTACGAGTTGAATCTATGTTAGTTCTTGATGCTGACCTCATATATCGAAGATAATAAAATAATATTAACCATGATATTTCGTAGGAGATGATATTGTCCATTCAAACAATGTTATCAACAAGCGGGCAGACTTACATCGCATCCCATGGCGATCCTCCATTTCGGCGCCATCGTGCCCATAATGTTTGCAGGTTCAGACAAGATAAAGAGCAAGACAAGGGGTATAATTCAAAATGAACAAAGAAACTAAACTTCAGATAAAAAAAACTTGCGCTTTCAATCGGTGTACTTCATCATCCACAGGGGAAAATGCTTCGTTCGCGTCCTTATGAACCTGAGCGCGATCCGAATTCGGTAACCAGCATCGCCTTCCTCATACTTGCACCCCGCGCCAGACCAACTCCACGCCGGCTTACCCGCATCAAATCTCGGTTTCCTGTCTCACGGGATCACTTTTGCTTCATAGAAACTGATATTTGCGGGGTTCTTTGCTTCCAGGAGTTGGACAGCAGCAATGTTTGCATCGCCAAAAGTGCTCGGGATTACCCGATTAGGAAATCCGACTGGGGCTACAAGGAGGCAAACGGGAGGCTTCAACACGCAGGTCTCCCGATGGCCCTTGATCTCAGGGTCTTCTTCAGTGGAGGAATATGTAAAATTGCGGGGATCTGTATATTTATATCGGTAACCTAAAGCTATATGGTGTGGAGGACGAGTAATATGGGGTAGCATTAACGAGAGGTCTCGACCACGCTCGCCGCGGCGTGTAGGATGAAGATGGTAATACATGCCTCTAAGTGAGATCACGATGAAATGGAAGACTTGTTTCGTCCTTCCGTGGCTGAAGAGCTCCGATGTAGGAGTTATTGGCCTCCATAGTCTGCTTTCTGCTTATATTCTCTGCTCTTGACCCAGGTAGTTGCACTGTTCTGGCAAGACAGTAACTTCATTCTTCTGCTCGATACTTTTCACAAACCGAAATAATGTCCAATAGACATCTTTTCCACTCATCTGACGGCCTTGTCAACAAGGCCTTAAGAGGCATCATCACCTACAATCCTTCTCTCAGTCTCGATGAAGCCAACAAAGTTGTATATGACACAACATACGACAGATCCAAAGTTGCTCTCATCAGCGGCGGTGGCTCTGGACATGAACCAGCATGGACAGGCTATGTAGGCAAGAACATGCTTACGGCTTCTGTTCAGGGAGACATCTTTGCTAGCCCTAGCACCAAGCAAATCCTTGCCGCGGTAGACGCAGTTCCCAGCGACAAAGGCACCATCCTGGTCATTACGAATTACACAGGTGACTGTCTACACTTTGGTTTAGCCAACGAAAAGGCCAATGCCAAAGGACACAACTGCCGGACAATCATCTGCGGCGACGATGTATCCGTAGGCAAGAACGGAAGCATGGTTGGTCGCAGAGGTCTGGCCGGTCAAATCGGCGTCCTCAAGATTATGGGCGGCGCTGCAGGTGCTGGAGGCTCACTTGATGAAGTATACAACCTCGGCGTGGCATTCTCAGAACAGATTGTATCCATTGCGGCTACTCTTGATCACTGTCACGTTCCTGGTCGCACTCAACATGGCATGTTGCATGAGAATGAGCTTGAGCTGGGCACCGGTCCTCACAACGAGCCTGGCTACAAGAAGTTGTCTCCTGCACCGTCTGCGTCCGAGCTCGTTGAGCAAATCTTACAATACTGTCTGGATGAGAAGGATCCTTTACGAGGCTACGTGAAGTTTGCTCCTGGCGATGAAATCATGTTACTAGTCAGCAACTTTGGCGGCATGTCACATCTAGAGATGGGCGCTCTGGTAGACGAAATTCTGGAGCAGCTTCAGAGCAACTGGAATATTGAGCCAGTACGGATATGTGCCGGTTTTCTCGAAACATCCCTTAACGCCCCTGCTTTTTCGGTATCTGTCGTCAACGCCACAGCAGCAGCAAAGAATTGCAGTTACTCAGTGGAAGATATCAAGTCTTTCTTTGACGTCAGGACTACAACTTTTTGGGAGTCCATGGCCGGATCTCAGGCTCAGCGACGTACAAGGCAACAACAGCTCGTTGCACCACCCAAGGAAGAGATCAAGTCTGTCGACGAACGAAGAGACTTGGCAGTCAATCCAATCCTCTTGGAAAATATGCTTCGAAACGCATGCGAAGCTCTTATTAAAGCCGAGCCTGATCTTACCAAGTGGGATACAGTCATGGGTGACGGCGACTGTGGAGAGACTCTCAAAACCGGTGCCACATCTTTGCTAACGGCGCTTGACTCTGGGCTGGCCAAGTCAGGGTCAGTTGTCAAAGTTCTTCTGGAACTCGAAGATATTGTGGAGAGCAAGATGGGTGGTACTTTGGGCGGCATCCTTGGCATCTTCTTCGTCTCCTTACGAACCGCCGTCGAGAAAAACGTTGAGTTGGCTCAGGACCCAATCCTCCTTTGGGGTACTGCCCTTGCGATTGCCTTGGATAATCTTAGGCGCTACACTCCTGCCAAAGTAGGGGACCGTACCGTAATGGACACCCTGATCCCCTTTGCCGCTGCCATGGCCAAGTCAGACTTTAGCAACGGCGTCAAGGCCGCGGAGGATGGGGCGGATGCAACAAAGACGATGAAGCCTAGGCTAGGCAGAGCAACATATGTTGGGGTTTCAAGCGAGAACCAGGAGCTGCCTCCTGATCCTGGTGCTTGGGGAGCGATGGTTGCTATTCGAGGCTTGCAAGGTGGACTGGTTGGAGCAACATAGATAGAACATTGATAAAGCTGTCAAATGCTTAGCAAGATGTATATATTAATTTATATAAATACACAGCTGTATAGATCCGTCGCATTGCCCACCATTAACACGCCACTGTCGACATGATACTATCCTTAATCAGCACACTTGGCCGAAGCGATGATGTGTTTTCATGTAAGTCACCACACAGCTTTAGCATTGTTGATCTTTGTTGTTACACAAATTGGAATTCGTGATGGCAGTAATTCAATGCACACTGTACCTACGCAAATACCAAGCTATAGCTATTGCCCTTTCTCTTCCTAAGTCCATTATTTTTGCCATCTTACCTTTACGACCCTTCACTAGCACCAGTGACTCATGTGCTATTCTCGTATACTTGTTGAACAGCTTGACTACCAATCAGAGCGACTGAGATTCAAGAGCCATTCGCTGGAGCCAACTCGCAACATAGCCCGGAATATTTACCACTTCGAAGACACTTTCAACCTTCAAGAATCGCGTGCTCATAGCTGGCAGCTTCAGTATCTTGGCTCTTCCGAGCGGTATGCAGCCATTAAACGCCAGTGCCATGCCACGTACTCGCAGGACAACGAATATCACGGTCAGTAACACAGGAACTTGCGGCCGAGCCTCAGCTCCAGCTCAGCCTGCGCCCTAGTCATCACCCGCACACGGTGATAAAGTCAGGTGCCTCGTCGTATTCGCTGTCCCCTTGGCACTCGTAGCATCATCTTCATCCGCCAACACCGCCTACCGACAAATACCCGCATCCGCGAACTCACTGTCGCCCCCCTACATCCATCGCCCTGCTTCCACCTGACGTGGCGTAGCCCAGGGCGGCTCTTCTTACTACTGTCCTGCATAGGTCCCTTCCTGGACGCTGAGCTTCTCTCCACAGCACGAAATACACACGAGCCCGTAGCTCTCTCAGATCGGACTTTACCCGGGCGCGGCTGGGGCTTGTGTGCATCCCGCGTAGGACCCTGGATCGCGGTACAGGGGGGTTCCTTGCTTGCGGATGGGAGATGCTGCTGCTCTGGAGACCCATTCAGCTTTACAGGGAAGAGAGACGTCACCCAGACTGAAAATTTTCTTTTGCAATTGCGAAATCTAGGGGGATCACCTCAAGGATCCTTGCCTGCCCAGAATCGGATACGACACTGCGCTGCTCCAATCGATCATCTCTGGGGGAGTTTGTTTCGTTTTTTTCTCCCAAGACGCGTCAAAACAAAAGATCTAAGCTAGGCGTGGCGTTTTCGTATCGCCGATGCTCATCGCGGAGGAGTACCGGTAGCGCAAGACGCGAGCCGCTTTTTCGCTTATCCCAGAATCCTATGGCGCAAGAGCTTCAGGGCAACAAAGATGAAAATGACTGCCCTAAAAGGATGGACATGAGGGCTCCATAGGCTAATGCTGGCAATCATTAAGCTACAGTCGTTAATTTCATCTCAGCCGGGGCAAAGCTGCCCCCCTTTGGCTGCGGCCGAGGCTTGTTCGTGAACTGGATCCATCCATGCTCGGTATATGCAGTATTATGAGTAACTCGCTCATAGGTTACTTCATATTACTACGAGTAGGAGTAGCAGTAGTAAGACCACCGCTGTGAGTGCACTTGCTGTTGAATAGCCAAGTACTGTTGGTACATCAACTCGCATGTACAGTACAAGAAGATACGCATGTCAATCATGTGTGCAAGACTGCTGCCTGCTGGCAACAATCTTCCGTACCGTATCTTCCGAACGGCTCCGCGCTGCTTTGTCCCCGAAATGCTCGTAGACACAGGTATGCCGCACGCTGTGTCTCTCATTCACCGCTACATCCCCTTCAGGCCGCGGCACAGCTGCACTATGCGCCGTAGGAGATCAAAGAGATTTGGCTGAGCCAAGAGCCAAAGGGCTGCAGCAAAAGTGCCCGCAGTCAGCCTCGGGCCGCCTGGTGGCTGGCTGGATTCGCCAGAGTTGGCTGATGGGATGCCAGATTGGGATGCCCTCGAGTCGAGTTTGGATCCGCCAGTCTCACCATCCACGTTACGCTTTTCCCTACGCGGCTTTACCTCTAGACGCCGTCTGAAGGAACCAAGGAAATGCTCCCATACTGAGACAGTTCTGCGCCGTCAGTGCCCGGCTGTGCGCCGTGCCTGTTTGACAGTCCCGTGTCTCACTCGGGCGCGGCCTCAGCCGCCGTTTTTTATTTCCCTCTAGCCCTTTAGCCCTCGAGTATGTCCTTTTGGCTCCCTTGCTTCTTCCTCCCTTTGGATAGACAAGTGAGTACCCACAGGCTCCAAGGTAGACAAACACATATAATACTTGGGATAGTACAAGTAATGATGGAGGTTTGATTTCTCAGTACCCCGTGCCAATAATTGATCACACCCCCCAGCTCTGATCGCCAAATCACACGCCCCAACTGCAAGGTGACCAGCGAGTCACCAAAGATTGCGGAAGTGATCATATCCGAGTTACCAATGGCCTGGTCCCAATCACATCGAACAGCAACCTGCGCTAGCAGCGATTAGGGGATCCCTTGCCGTCATCCGCAGTCAAATAGCGCGGCAGGGATCTCACGGGGCTCCATACATCTTCCAAGATCAGGATGAAAAGATCGCACGCGCTCCACGCCTCACCGGAAAGGCCCCCAGCCGGCTGCTACTGCACACCTGCGTTATACCGGCATGCACGGCGTTCAGGCAGTACCATAGGAGGTACTCCTTGCAAATTAGTATAGGGCAGTAATACCGCTTCCCATTACGTCCTCTACAGAACCTAATGCTGCTCCACATCCCCTCTTCATGCTCCACGATGCCCATATTGCGGAAAGCCGACAGTGCCAAGTTCTGGCGTGGAAAGAAGCTTGAAAGAGAACCCTTAATCGGCGTTAACTCCTCCAGATCCGCACAGGTTAAATACCTAGCCAATGCCTCTGGACCCAACCTGTCAAAGTGTAGCTTCCTTATGACCGATGACCTGCGGCCGATGGTTTGGCCCCCTTCTCTGTTTACCGCCGATGGGGGCGATGTGCGCATTGCACCTGTGCTTGGCCGCGGCTTAGATGCTGTTCCTATACGTACCGAGAATACGTCGATAACCCCGTGCCGCTTTCTATTCTCTTCATACACCCGGTTAGCATATATGCTTATACCATTCTCTAGTTTACCAGGCAGATGCCTGGCGAGAAGTAAGAAATTTGGACTAACTGGTCTCGTCTTCCCGACCCCTTCGACGGTGTCCAATCATGTGCTGTCGGAATGGAGCCCGAAGCTCGGCAGACAGAATAGCAAGGAGATGCTAGTAGTAGCAGTAGGACTATTACTATTCAAGGAAGCGCAAAAAGGCGGCATGAGAGCCACCTAAAGTGTCATGATCCAAATATTGTACTATACCCAGCAATGGTAACAGTATAACCCTAGATGCTGCGGGCACACGGGACGATGGCCGATGAGAATTGCCTCGTTACATGCCCACACTCTTTCCTCGCTCAGGCACTTTTCTTCTTCCCAAGTATGGCTTATTCAGGACTACCGCATTTCCATAGTCTTGCTTTTCACAAGCTTGCATCTGCTGCTTGCTCCCTACTGTGGAAGATTGCCCTGTTTTGTTCTAGAGATGGGAATCTGGAACCCGGCAATCGCAGAGCTAACTCCAATAGATTCAAGAAATATGCTTGGCCACACTCACGTGCTGATCGTTCTTTCGTCTGATTGACTTGAGAGATTGACTCTACTAGTCCAGGCCAATTACAGTACATGTTAAAGTCACGCGTACTGCTCCCAGTCACTTAAATACATCACCTTTTCCTCCTCTCTGAATGTGATATATGACAGGCGCACTCTAAAGGCAATGATTCGACGAACATCCCATGACCGATTGGCACATCTTCCTAACCCATGCAAGCTCCTACGTGGGCTCTACACATCATAACCACTTCCAGCTGGATCTAGCAGTAATAGCCTCAATTTCTTTACTCGAGCCCCAAGTCACTCTCCCAAAAGCGGTATTACGAGGCATAGGGTAGCAAAAGCGATGAGACGAGGCCAGCACCATGTTCGTTGACGGCGTCTTTCCACATATTAACATTAACCGTTGGCTGTCCTAGTAGGTAGCACCACGCTACTGATTCTTACTTCAGCCCATACTCTCTACCTTACATATATCCATAGTTCTGTCGACTGGAATTTGGAGCATCTTATGCGAGCGGCACCAGCGCTTAAAAAAAGCTCTTTAGGTAACGAGATGGTCTCTGCTCTTTGAGTATAACTAAGAGCAGAGATTGTTTGCACTCTTGTATGTTCTTAGCGACTTAGAGTCAGTTAATTACATGTAAGTGTCATAAATTTCAGATTTTGCCCGGTTGCTCAGTGATAATTCGACCCTCCAACATAAAATGGATGAGTTTGTTCCATATGCATGCTGATCGACGAAGTCATTAAGCTCTGCAATTCCATGCGGCCGGGTCATGCTAACACTATTCTGTATACATGGGAGGTAGGCTCCATCAAGATGCCGGCTAAGGCTCTCCCGAGCATATGGGTGTGCACGGTTTCGTCATATAGGACTCAGATGCCAGGCTAGCTTAGGGACACCGTATGGAGCTGGAACCAATAGTCTCCGCCTTTCTCAAAATCCAAATAGCACACAGTATCAAAGTTTCGCACCTCATCTTGGAAGCGTGGGGAGAGAATGATAAGAGTGATGTGCACCATCCACTTCGCCATCCTGCGGTCTCTTCAAGGCAAAGAAATGAGATTGGGGGCCAATATAGAATGTAAAGAAGAGTCAAGTAGATAGCCAAGATATGTTCTCATGATTACTATCTGGGCTGGCCTCTTACCAACCTTGGGTTTGCCATTGGACAACAATATGCTCCAGCCGTATGCAAGAATATCTCTACTGCGGTACGAAGCTATCCTGCTCGCGGTATTCGGTATATACACGTACCGATGCCACCGCCCAGTTAATTCAAACCAACTAACAGGTAGTAGTAGCTTGCCCAATACATCTTTCACTGCAGGGTTGGCGTCACGCCGGGTCCAGCCACAACGCACGCTCAGGCTTTGTAGTATGCCACATACAGAGCATAAGATATATCTTTTCCGAGTTTATCTCAACTGAGATTCACTACAAGTGTGTGCAAAAGAGGGGATATGCAGTGTGAAACGGTCTACAGTCCAAGATCCAAATTCTTTGGCTCCGGGAGCGATGCTGCAGGATCGAGACTATCCACGATGCAGGAGATGATGCAGCGGGCGGTTGAGCAAACGTGAGATCACAGCAACCATGTCCGCATAGAGTGCGACGCTCGTCCAGGTAGCCTAGCAATTATTAACAGGCAGTGCTTCATATACGTGGATGTTAATTCCGATGCTCTCAGCCTGTAAAGATGACGGGAGAGCAAGGTCCCCATCGTCATGTTCCCAGGATCGTGACTAGCCTTGATCTAAGTGCATCGTTTTGCGCTGGCACGTGGTAGGCATCACTTCGCAGGCATTTCTAGCCAGCATGTGTGCTCCATCTACCTGCGTCTGGTCGCCGAGCGGGTCACCGGCTAGGGAGCCAGTCAATATCAAGGTCCCCACCCCCAGCTGTTGATTAAGACGAGCTCATGCTGCATTACCGTCACTGTTACTCGTGCAGGTGTGTTACTACCCCAGCTCCCTCACTACAGCTAGTATTAAGAACTTGTTGGTTGCATCCAACATGAGCTACTAGCATACCCGTGCCCTCCTACCCAAAGGCCATATTCCCAGTTGCTCGGTTGGGTTGCGACAGTTTGACTCAGCTAGCCTGTCGTCTCGTCTGTGGTTTCAGCGCGGAGGATTTTTGATACGATGTATGTACAACTACGCCTGCCAAGGAGGTCTCAATGAAGAAACCAATGCCAACGCGTAGTCGTCTCGCGAATGGAGGCCTGAAGCTTCCAGGAGGACCCAAGGGCTCAAAAAGACGGCAGAAGCTCTCATCCTTTTGTTGGTTACACCATGTAAACCGCAAACCTAGGGCTAGCTGAAAGCTGCATCGAGAATTTGTCATTGAGATAGAGTGGAGTAATACGTAGAGTAGAGCGCTCCGTAATCCCGCTATTTGGGGGCTCATCTCATCTTCAGCTAGAGCAAGCGGATCGAGTCAGGTATGACCGACAAGGTTCATCCCGTCATCAATAGCTGCTGTTGACGCTCCTTTCGAAGCTTTCAGCTTCCGTCAACTTCAGCTTGGGCATCAAAGCTTCGGCCCCTGAAACGCTCATCTACTGCTCTGCTGCTAGCGGAACTAGGCTGGCTCTGGCTGGCCACCCAGTCAGCGAACAGGACTCCAGCGATGCAAGGGTGGTTCTCGAAAGCGGAACTGGCGCGGCAAGGATCTCTTCCGGCTACAGCCAATCCAGATTCGACCTATACCTAGACGGACAATGGCATTACGACGCCCCTAACTTCGGAGGCCGCAACCTCCATTGCTACTGTAAGAAGAAGTTAGTAGAGAGACTCTTTCTACCAGCAAGATATGACCACGATGGGCAAGCTCAGCGCATTGGGGCCATGGCGACGCCGATATAGCGCTGGTGGAGCAGGATCCAGGCGACTCTGTTGGGTGTGACGGCCTGCTCCGTGCACCGGTGCGGATTCGCCCTCCTCTCGCGACTCGGTAATACCCCATCGTTGTGGTTTTCAGCTCCTGGCGATGGTCGCAACAGCCAAACGACACAGGCACTGTCCGACCCAGCGCAGCGGTACAACATCAGCCAATCCATCCCATTGGGAGCAGTGCTGAGCAGCTACGACCCGGTGCCACGGCAGGATGAAAGCGCGCCGACAAGCGTGTTGATGAGACAAGTGAACGCTAGGGAAAGCGCGAGATCTGCGTACAGAGATGTGCGTACGACTCCAGTGTGCATGATCTGTAGAAGCCAAAGAGCCTCATCCATGTCGATTTCCTCATCTGTGTTTTCGCCTCGAGGATCCCGGGTTGCTGCTGTGATATGAATAGTAACTGTTTCAGTGGCCATGTGTGAGCCAGAGAAGTGGTAATACAAAGATTTTGGGCCTTGTATCTTGTGCACCGCTAGGCGGCCAGAATATTCTACGAGGCTTGCTTGGTTAATTTTTCAATTGTTTACTCATTGTGAGTGTTTGTTTTTTCTTGCAAGAATAAGTAGGATAATATAGAGAGCGGGGCAAAGAAACGCGTATCAGGCGAGGATAGGAATGGTATAACGCCTATATGGATAACTGATACATATGGCTACTACTCATGAATGGTAGAAACAAAATGCTAGGGTAATGTCATGGCATAAATGATGACATATATTGCTATGGATGAGTAACTAGTATTGAACCGGAAAAGCGAGCATGGTGTGAATGGCGGCTCCAGGTATGTTGGCCTAGGCTAACCGCCATCTATTTACCCAACCAGCGTTAAACAAAGATGCATCTTGAGAAATGAGCTAAAATAAAGACGTTGCATATTCTTTTCTTTACATATTCATGATGAAAGTCAACCGAGAACCAAGTCGTAGCAGGGTTATAAGTGGAGATATTCAAGAATCTCAAGCTCGATGCAAGGCAGAGCCAACCTTGGGTACAATAAATAATGCTCTAGGGTTGGTGATGGATGTAAACTGAACTACACGGTACATGTATGTGCTACGACTTTAGAGAGAGGCGTTCATATTTCTTCAGAGCGAGTAGATTCCAGCTGAGGCCGCCCGGACTCTGTGTCATAATCAGGAGAGAACTAGTGTCTACTCGCACTGCCTCGTGGAGGGTTAGACAAATAATCGTCGTGGAATGCTGGTTCTATGGTTAGTGTTAGTAATAAGAATCTGTCTTCTCTGGTGGACCAACGTGCGGTGCGGGAGATTTCTCGGGAGGGGTGGAGAAGCCGCGTGTGGATAGACTCGGGAGCATCCAGGTGCCACATGAGAAGAGAGCCCGGCCACGTAGTCGGAGGATAGGATGGAGAGGGGTAGCAGCTAGTATTGGGATACACAAAGGCATGAAGAGGTGGCAGAGAGTGTCAGACGACGTCTCTTTTACCAGATTGAGGCATAGTTGAGAACCAGACGATGAGAATTGGCGCCAGAGGCCGAGGCCCTACCCCCCTTTTCGGGTATCTGCTTCATCGTCGCGGTCATAAGCCGTCTGCCTGGGAAGAGGGGTGTTGTACCGCCCTCGGAATGCGGTGGATGTCTAGGATGATGGATGTGCGGATGCAAAGCCGCCACTTTGATGTCTCAGACAAGACAGGTTGAGTGCCAGTTGGACGCTGCCACACTGGTGTACTTTGGCACGGGACAAGCTAAAGGATCCGTGTAAAGCTTGGAATATACTAGTAGCACTAGTAAATACTACTCTCAAGGTGTATACTTGGTGGTGTTTGTTGCACAGTTATACGGGACCGCCCTCGAGGGACTTGGCAAGACATCTTCACTGGTCTGGTTGCTGACAAGGTAGCTGGTACTATACTATGAATGACCCCATATACTATGACTATCTACCGGTAGATACTACTATAACTACTAGTGCCAAGGGCAAGGCATCGGGTCGTCTGGTGAGATTGAAGCATGGCCAACAACAGAGCCCCCTGTAGAGCTAGAGGCCCTTGAGAGTGATGAAGTGAGCATCGTACAGGCAGTGACTGAGCTACCAATGGCATCCAACTTGCCCTTTCCGCTCAACAGAGATTACAACTATTTCTCCTTTGCTTTGCTAGTGTAAAGTGCATGGTTCCTCTTGGTTGCCATCAAGCTGAAGACTGGAGCTGGAGCGAGCAAGAAGCCGAACGTAGCACCGTCGTGGCTCGGCTCTGTGCAGGTAGAGGGTACTAGACGCGGCACCTCCCTGCGCACCCACTAACTGCAAGTCTCTGCGGTCAGGCGAGGTAGCGGCTACAGGCACCCTGAGATAGGGCTGTTCGCTCGCCTATGATCTTCCGAAACGGAAAAACCCTGCGACGAATCTTGTCCTCTCAACTACAGTCGCCGCCTCTTGTTTCCCAGTCTCGTACATGTCCTGTCCTCCTCGGAAGCGCGCTTGGGACGATACGGCGTCGCTTCAGGCGAACAGGCTGCGTGCCGCCACGGGGCTAGGCGGCACCCCTGCAATTCGAGGTGCCCGAGTCCCCGTATCCCCTGTGTCGATCTCGTTTGATGCATTTACGCCCTCCTTCAGCAGGTCCACGCCCTGGGCCCTGGCCACTTGGATGGCTCCCAGGCGCCCTTTGACGTCTGCAAGAGAGCCGCTGGCTGTCATGGATGGTTGCCAATTTCTCTGGCGACGATGGTGGTATTCCAGGAATGGGGCGGTGGCTGGCCGTCTGTCCATTCGCTCCTCTCATTGAGATCCGCAGTCTCATCCCAGGAGTGACCACGAGGAGTGACCACTGAGAGTGACCGCTGGGCGGGCGGTTGAATGACTTGGATCTGCCTGCATATGCCACCTGCCAGCCCATTTTCAAGAGCCGAAGTGGCGCATCTGTACTCATTGGCCGTGCCTCGCCAGCTCTCCTTCGCCTTTTGCTATTCGATACGATGCGGCATGCGGCCTTCGTGAGACCCGCGATATCATGTTCACCGACCCTCCACAGGAAAGCGAAGCCTCGCTGTCGCGCAGGACCGAACCTTATCTGACCCCTGCAAGCTATTCACGTTCGGATGCGAACCGCTTGTCACCCCTCCACCATGGTTGCAGCACCAGTAGTCAAATGTGACTAGGCTCGACACACCTCTCACAGCGTCAGATTAGAGTCCGCTAGCATTGCTTTGGCTGGGATAGGATCTCGAATCGCGACCTTCATGCTTTTATTCCCGGATTATTTACCATCTATGTACTTTGCAAGGACATGCTGCGCTCAGCTGCCGCAGAATCGCACCCTTACCCTCCGTTGTCAAGTTGAGCTTGTTCTCAGGTTTGGATATAATGTACAGCTCGGGTATCACTCCCACTGCCTCAAAATCATCTTCGGTTCGCCTCAGAGATATCCATGATGACCTATGCGTGGGGAAGCGAATGGTCTCCATCACACATACCGTTTTGCTGTGTTTGCGAACAGATTGGTTTCGCAAAGTCGAGAGGGCTGGCTGCAGGTATAAGAAGTTCGTTACCGGGCAATCACTCCAAAATGAAGCTTATATCTGTTATACGGACGGCTCCAACTTGAATCGAAGCCTGCAGTTTTGATGTGTCAAAACCTCGTCAGACATTTGCAAGCAGCACTACGAATAGCTTCAGCTGAACAAGAAACGATCAAGGGAATAGAGACCTGACAATCTAGAAGAGCAAAGGTAAGACACATGCATCGAATGACGCACCCAATCTGTTATGCTTTATCTGGAGATCATGATCAAGGATAAAAGAGTTAATAAGACAAGGCGAGACCACCGATAAGAGCTGCGCACGTTAAACACTGAGCTATCACAGCTTTGGCCGACGGTACGTAAGCTGCATTTTTCTTCTTCTTCTTCTTTCCTTATAAAACCCTTGATTTCATCAATTACTACGCGTTGTTGCCTGCACTTTTCCGTCTTTATTTCCCGAGCACTTTAGTCATTGCCCCTTCTCCACTGGAGAGAGCTAGTGTATGCGCACATGTGGTTATGCTATGCCAAAGACAAAACCGCGAAGAGCAATGAAAGATGATTAACAACCACCAATCGTTCTGTCCGCTCGTCTTTGCTGATTTGAAGCGCGTGCCATCCACTTCCTACTTGTTCATGCTTTTAGCCTTAGCTTCCTAGAATAAGCCATCAACGGCAGTAGAAACGTGATATACAGGGGTGGTGGCCGTTTGTACAAGTGCATCATTCTCGGCAGAGGCAAAATGGATCCCACCACAAGATCCTGGTGACGCTCATAGAAAGGGCGATCTATCGCTAACTCGATTGGATATGAGCAGGAAAAGAAGCAATAACTTGCTTGCGGACGACGGCGATATCAGAGTGGTGAAGTCCATCACCGCAAAGACGGCCGATCTTGGCAAGGGAAATCCGGGTTCCGATCGCCAGCATCACACGCCACGCCAAACTACGGTACTCCTTGCCTGCCATTGATGTTCAGGGCGCGCTCCTGAATACTCGGTCTAGCTTGGGCCAATTTTTATTTGAGAGGATCCAGGCCCTGCTATCCAAAATTTGCTATTAGCGCAGTCGACTAAGTTGCAAGGGAACTCAGAGCACAGGGCACAGGTAAGTGGTGAAGCCAAGCGTCTGCTTGCCTCTTTTCCTATATGCCGGGGTCGAATTATACCAAGCTCTCCCTTTGCTCCCTTTGATCAAGTCGATGCCGTCAACACTCCCCGATAGAGGCGCATAGGCAAGAGGCTTATAACGGGAACTCCCCACCCAAGCTAGCCAACTTGGCATGCCACAGGCAGCTGTGTACCGCAGTATGAGTAAGAAGAGCTCACCAGCAAGCAAGAGGCTTCTCATCTGAGCATGGCCATCAGGGGCCTCCCCTGCCGGGCTGGGGCGCTTGAGCTCATTCGGACCCTTGAGCTGGCCGCCCGCTGCGCCGGTCTTCAGGTGGCATTTGGGCGCTAAGCTTAGCCCAAGCCGGGGGGCGTCGCCCTCGACTCTGATCTCAGTGGATCTTTTGGCCGCTGATCCCTTTCTCTGCAGGCTCTGGTAGGACGCCATTGCTGCTGAGCTGCTGAGCTGCTGCGGCCAAGGCCCACCACTGCCGGTGGTCCGCCATCAAAGCCCGACTGAGTGGCTCTTGTTTCCCCAATCAAGTAGCACTAGGACACCAGCCATTGGCTCTTGCTGACCAAGGACTAGGATAGACGGGATACGGCCACGCCTCGGACGACGACACGAGAGTGAGCCCGCAGTGTTTACCAGACTGGCCGTAGCTTAGTCGCAGTACGGAGTACGTACCGGGACTTATACGCGCGCTCAGTTCACTCCTACGGCCGCCGCCACAGGGTAACATATTGAGCCGGAGAGCTCTTGGCATTCGTACACTTGAGGTGAGCTGGCAACCAAGTTTTCTAGTACTCTCTACCTATCCTTTTTTTGTTATTTTGTTATTTTTTTTATTACTCTTCAGCACGGGATGGCTACGTTACAGCCTCACCGGGATTGCCCGAGTCTACTTCTCTTGCCCCTGGCCACTTATACCATCTTGACCTTGGCATGCGAGCGGATATTGCAAGCCCTGTCACACACACCCTCGCAGAGAGAGAAAGAGAAGAAGAAAAAAAGGGCCACAAAGATTGATCCCGTCATCTAACTCATCATATTGCTACTTATTGCCGATATGACTTACAAAAAAAGGGGGGGCGAGCTCGCACTTGGCATCTGCCAATTCCATATGGAGTATCGAGCACAGCTTGCCGTCTCTTCCCGTCTGACCCTTCTTGGCCTGGTTGTCTGCCGGCATATGGTTACAACTGTGTGAGCTCCTCCCTTCCAGATCATCGCCGAGCTCCGCTTTGCACATTTGGCATCTGGCACTACACCCCCTCTCCTCAGTCGTTTTGGCCTGCTGTACCTCTTCCATCCTTGTAGAGTCCACCCTTTACAAGACGTGCAAATCTGGCATACCAGAGACTCAGGGCTGAGGGACCCGGTCACTGTCTTCTTTTGGCCATGGTCCTGCTTCAACCCTGCTATCCCCAGATGCGCGTGCTACTTTTCTTTTTTTCATGACCCACAACCGACCATGGTCGGCCGCCGTTCATAGCGCCCTGCCCAGATGCGATGATGTTAGATCCGATCCCAGCGTTCCGTATATCTTCAGATAGGCATGATCTGTTGGCGTCAGAGCTATCCCCGCTTTATATGACCATGCCCTGTCTGCCCCTTGTTGCCGCTACCTGCAAGCCGTTTAGAGCTTGGACTTGGGGATAATGAGAGCTCACAGGGTTGAGGGAAAGAGAAGAGAGAGAGAAAAGAGAGCTTCCCTCTCCTTAGTATGGTACATCTCCTCTGGTACAAGGGAGGTTGCCCTTGTGGTGGTAACAACTAGACCCTCCTATAAGTCCTCTCCAACTTTGGACTGATTGGTTGATCTGTCCCGCGAAATCACCATCTCCGCTTCCTCTCTTCCCCATTCTTGCTCCTACTATCCTGTTATTAATGCTGGGGCCCGGCTCGGCCTGGCGCCGATCGACGGCTATCTAGACTTGCATACACCATCAAGTCTTCAAAAAGAAACACCTCTCATGTCTCGCATCTCTCTCTCTCTCTCTTTCCCACTTCACAAGATCATCTATGTGGAAGCCTGAGACCTTGACTCTCCCGAATCTTATTTGCATATGCCATTCGCCCTTTTTTACACATCTGCCTTCGCTTTGCTAGCTTCGCATATTTTATTCACACACCTCTCTCCTCCCTTTGAAACGAACACTACTATCGCTTGCAACTGGGCGGCTCACGAGGGATCTGGCTTGCGATTGACTATTACTGAATTGCGTGTTTCTAACGGCAAACAGTCCAGCAGTCCAGCAGGACCTCGCCACAGCGGTCCCACTGTTGTTAAGACATCCGCGTAGTAGTACTGCGGCGCTATCTTTGAGCTTCTCATCACTTTGCGAGCTATCGCCTGTATGTTTGACCGTTCCGATGGCCAATTTCGGCGTCATTCTCCCTTGCGTTGGCGCATCGCTATGCATGTCCCAGCTTGTATTGATGTCCTAGGCCAGAAACTGACTTGCAGTTCGATGCGAAGAATGCTAACTTGTCTGATTAGACCGCAGTGAACCCTCGTGACGAGAGTACTCTTCGTCATAGCATTCAATCTCGACACTTCTTTGAGAGACCAGAGGACTAAGATCTGCGCTTCTTTCTCATCGACGTACTGCCGTTACCGCTATTCGAGTACTCGTTCGGCTTTCTCCCCGCTTAAATCACACCCACACAGCCTCGAGAAGTTGGCTATTTGCCTTGACAAGCATCCGGCGGAAAGGGGAAAGCAGCTTCTCCCTCGCAGCATACTTGATTGCTCTTTTTGGAATGCAACTGTGTCTGTGCAGGATTGGGTCACTTCTCCGCCTCTCGGCTCCCCAGTCAGATTCCTTCGGACCTGGTGAGTGTCTCACCTATACCCCACCCCTTGATGGAAAAGACAAGTCACTAACAAGGCGACATCAGTCTACAAGTCTCGAAGAGTCCAAAAAAGTGTTGGCCTTTGCTTTGGCCTCTGGGGAATTGCCGTGTATCAAATCTCCGAGCCAAGCTAGGCGAAGGAAGGGAGCACCGTCCTAGTACCGTGATCCTCGCAGGATAAGACCTCGTCGAGACCCAGTCTAAAACATTACTATACATCTACGACCTCTTAGCTAAGACAGAGAGGGCCTGCATACTTTACCTTTTCTTTGATCAATCCCCCCTCTACCGCGTTTTCTCCCCTCTTTCAACATCTTCATGTCTACTGCCAAGTTCCAGTCTCCATCCTACAGACTCTTTGAGGTGAGTCGAGTCCCAGACTTTGTTCCAGCATTTCTTCTCTTGCAACAGCACTACGGAGCAAAAAAAAGCTCAATTGTCTTTTGATCTAATTACTTTGCCCCGTTCCTGTTTTTGTTCCAAGACGAAGCTTGGCTTCTCGAGACAAGAAGAACCATTGAACACTAACACTACGAGATCCAAAGCCGGGCTTTCTTCCAATTCCAATTAAACCCATAATTGTCGACCCTGACGACGACTTTGGGTCGCCAGAAACCCTTACTCTTACATACGAGGAAGCTGTTCAAGCAGCACAAAGGGGGGATCCAAGTCGGGACTCCCCGCCGAGCGACTTCGACATGGCCTACAGCAAGGCTCAGTTACCTCCAGTTAATGGTGAGTTCCCAGTTGTTTCAGAGCATAAAAGAGTGAGAGTTGGAGATGAAGAATAGAGAGCTAACAGGATCACTATTTTGGCACCATAACAGGCTACGATACGGCGTCATTTGCCGATCCAGCTTATGAACCATATTCTACCACGGCGTTTTCAGCTCAGCAAGCTGAAAAGTATGCCCAATATAACCAGTCGTCATTCGCGAGCAACAACAATGCAGTAGCTCAATACATGCCACCGAGACCTACCGTTGTTACTTTCCACCCATCTTCCGGCGTCTTTGGAACCAAAATTCATTTCAAGATACATTCGCAAGACGATCTCTTCTCTCCTCAGGCGTTTGTGCTATTTGGAAGTGCAAAGTGCCCTGCAGATCTTATCCGAGATTCTCAAGATAGCAGTGGCTTTGCATTCTCGTGCAGTATAGACGCGCCGCAGTCTCTGGTCACAGGAAGCAATACCAGCGTGCCTGTGTCATTTGTTATAGAGGCTCCAGCAGGAGGAGAGATCTCGCGGACAGCCGCAGGGACTTTCCACTACCTGGAAGGGTCCGAGGATGACATCACGCGGGCAGACAAAATGTCCAAAGATGGCAGCACAGCACCTGCTCCCGAGATCGATCAGGCGAGTCCTTCACCGAAAGCTGAAGCGCCTCCTTCAGCCGCTACAAATACGTATGAGTATCCGCAACAACCAGGCCAATATGCCAATACATTTCCGCAGGGCAACAACGAGATGATATCCGCCTATCGAACTGCTAGCTTTTCCGACACGCACTACAACCAACACCAGCGGCGCGCCCATTCGGCATGGAGCGGCTATGGCAACCCTTTGGCTAGTGCGGGCAGAAGTTCTTCAACGTATGATCATCCCCCGATATCCAGTCGACCCAACTTACCGCACCATGCCTCCATTTCTTCCTCAGGGAGCAATGGAGCCCCCCAGTTGGTCCGCACCAGCACAATTACAGCTGGCGGAGGCGGCGCTTTCCACCCCATGTATACCAGCAAGGCGGTTTTGAAGATTAATGGTAATCTCAACGACATGGCTGCCAAGTGGACGGAAGAAGAGTGGTCCAATCGCCGCAGAATTGTCCAGTTCAAGAAGAGCCAGCACCAGGCGAGCTTGCATGTGAGCTTCAAGGCCGTTGCGGTGAACGAGAGGCCCCCAAACAGCATTTGCATTTCATGCATCTGGTGGCAAGAGAAATCTGACTGCTATGTCACCTCTGTTGACACGATTCATCTACTTGAGCAGCTTGTGGCTGCTCCTAATCGATTTAGTGTTGAAGAGAAGAACCGCATTCGCCGCAACCTCGAGGGATTTCATCCCGTCACCGTCTCAAAGGCCAAGGCGGACAGCGAAGAGTTCTTCAAGATCATCATGGCGTTCCCTCACCCCAAGCCCCGCAACATCGAGAAGGACGTCAAGGTTTTCCCATGGTCGACTCTTGAGCCAGCACTGAAAAAAATCATTGGTAAATATAGTGCCAGCCCCAGCAGTATGATGAACCCCGTGAGCGCGCCGTCATATGGCGCCCCGCCGGCTGGTCACCATGGCATCGGGTCACAACACGGCATTTCTTCACAGCATGCAGATTCTCATGGCCAGTTTCCCATGCACTCGGGTTACAGCCCGAGCCATCACGAAGCGATGCCGTTGCCTCGACAAGCATCTTGGGCATCTACCGGCACATACTCTACAAGTGCAGGCCGAGGACTCAGCCCCTCCGGCCTTCGCAACCACCATAGCCCTCCGCAGTCATCGTTGCGTATCAATACCAGCACAGCACAGCTTCCCGCCGTCTCTGCATATGACGCGAGAGCAGTGGCCAGTCCATATGCCAGCGCTGGCCTGCACACACCTCTCAGCCACCATGCTGCGGCCGCAACGCCTCCTCGATGGGAGACTGCTCCCTCGGCCTACACCGACAGCGGCTACCCAGCCCTCACTTCGCACCAAGCATCAGGTGCTCAGTCGGTATATGCTGCCGCCGCCGCATATAACGATGGGCCCCCGCGAGCGTAAAGCTTTCCTACCCTCTTACACTCCTACACGCAGCGACTTTTCGTCAATACTAATTATTTGCTATTGTCTATTCTTCAGACATCGACGTCTCTGGGATCGTGCGAAATCTTCTGCGAGGATTATTCTGCCGCAGATCCGTCTTAGCAGTGGGCGTCATTAAATCCCATGAACAAGTCTCGAGGTCGCGGGTGTAAGTCATGTGGCTTATACCCAATGAGCATCGTGACCCGCTACACCCCAATCCCCTCCGCCCAATTAGGGAATCCGGCCATCTGAAAGTGCCAATACGAGATTCCGATAATTCTAATATTGTGCTGTTCGCGCAAATATCAAATCGAAGCATTTTTAACGCCGCTTTATTTCTTTGGCAGCGCTATTTGTGTCGGCAGACTGCACGTCTGAGATGCGCCGATGCGGCAAGCAACGATAAATACTTATTATTGCATAGCCATTTTTACCCCTTGTGCTAATTTTCCCCATCATTAGCCTCAGTCATTACCGAGCATTCTAGCAGTCTGAATAGCTTCTTGACGCTGAAAGAGCATATATTTGAGAGGGCCGTAAGTCATGATGTTTCGGCCCTCACAGTACTATATTCAACGCCGAGCTACATATTCGGGAAGATGGCTTGAATGTTTGTCGCGCTTGACGCCCTATATCATTTCTTTTGTTTTTTTCTGAATAGGCATATTATACCCTTTTATGAGAGAGAAGACAATATCTCTTTCAAATGTGTTTGCGGACGTAACCTGGTTGTTATCATGAGCTGGAAGGATTTGTTAGGAAGGGAAGGCCACGGTAATGGATAAGGTGGAAATTGTTGGGTCTGGGCTGAGGACGGATGTTCACGGCTGAATGGGAGGGATCAAGGGTATGAGAAGGAAACGGACTCTCCAGCACCTATTTTACTTTGTCTTGTTTTCTTTTTTCTTTTTTTTTTTTTTTTATATGCACGGGTCATTTATTTTGCTATGTCAAAATCTGCGTGGAATTACAGCCAAGTAAATAGAATAATTATGCATGATCGATTTAAGGGTCAGACTAAATCGCATCTATATGTGCACTCTTTATATTAGGCATATTGTATTTTGTATAGCATTCCCCATTCAGACGAGTGGCAGTTGAATCAAAGCGAATATCTTGCTTCACTCTGCATTTAAGCTGCAGGTACTCCAAAATTCTAAGCTTATCTGGTAACTTTGCCGACCTAGATGGCCGTTTCACATTTACTAAACTGTCATTTGCATTGTAATAGAACTGTATTCGCTATAGATGCATCTACAACGCTCTCGCTACTAGAAAGAAAAGAGGGGAAAAGGGAAAAGAGTTTTGTTAAACAATCCAAAACCGCTGGATGTATGACATCGCCCTAACCCCAAGGTCCTCTGAATCGCTTAGACGTATCCATTCTAAAATGCCCAGTCAACGTTGTATTCCCCGCCTGCGCAAGTCCGAGCTGCGAATGCTGCTCTTCTCGTTTCGATTGATCAATGGCCCTCGCACTGGTTGCGAGGAGCGATCGCACTTCATGATCAGGTAGATGTGCAAGACTTTGCTGGTCGCCCCGACTAAGCTGTGATAGCTGCGTGGACGGTGCTGCTAGAGGAGGATTGTCGTCGTTGTTCTGCGCCGGAACAAGCTCTGATTCATTTGGTCGTGTTGCCAACGCCGTGGTCGTACTATCTTCCAAGTGGCGCTCTGCTGATTGGCGAGCTATTCTCGCCAGGGCTGATCGGCTTGGTCCTGTCCGGTGGCTGAGAAGTCTCCCCGAAGGTAGCCGCAAGGATTTCTCGCCGGCTTGGTATTCCCGCGAAGGAACATCGTAGAATTCGGCTAGGTCTGATGCGACGTTGAAGCGGCAGTGTCCTTTGGCGGTCATGTGGTGTTGGATTCCTTCGACAGTGCTGCGACGTGCGGCGCATAGGATGCATTCGCCGTTTCCGTGGATGACGAGGTGCAAGTATCCGACGAGCGTCTCGGGCTCGACTATGAGATAGGCTGGTTGAGGGATGGTGAAGCTGTGTGCTTTGGACATGTGCTCGAGATTTTCGCCAAAGTTTTCGTGCTTCTCGCCGCAAAAGAGACATTGTCCGGAGTTAAATTCCAGCTGTGCGGAAAGCTCTGTGCCACCATCCACATCACCGTCACTGTCATCACCAGATTCATCGTTCAAGTTTGCATCATCTTCCACCTCTACAGCTTTCTTTCCCTTTGGTGATGATGTTCTTTTTGTGCTCTGTGATGCTAATGGCGGTGATATGACGGCCCCAGGTTCTGCGATTTTCATTCGGAGATTGTAGACACTGCCAAAGAAGATTAGTATCCAACATCGGGTTCCTCTTTTTGACCAAACTGTGAGGCATACTGCCAGTCGCTCTTTGCGTGCTGTCGCCATTCACTTGGACTGTCGAATTTTACATCGCACAGCCTACAGAGAGAAGGGGATTTATCCTCCATGCTTGCTATGAGTTGGTCACAGGTGGCTCCTATGTCTAGAATTTTGGCGGTTTGGGTTTTTTGTAGAGAGTGTAAGAGAGAGCGAGATGATTTTCGCCTGCACTGGTGAGTTGTTGCTTGGAATTGACTTTGTTGATCGATCTTATAGATTCAGCGATAGATCTTTATATACAAGTTTATTTCCATCTCTGTTCCCGCGGCTAGAGCAGACGGAAGCAGCCGATAGCTTGTGGATAGTGCTGTTTGATGGTGGGGCCAGTTCAAACTGATGGTGTTGTCTGCTTGACTCACACATTGCCTATTTGGGATCTCCTCATCTCCGCCACCCTAGATTGCCATTGGCTCCTGAAATTGCTGTTCCTGCTCTCTGTCACAAGAAAGCTGTATTGTGTTTTGACGCGAAACGTGAGTCACAGTTAGTGAATCATAGAATGATTCATCAGTCAACCAAATAACTTTGTAACTCTAAACACTATTGATCGTGTCATGTTCATGTTAGACAGAGGCCACATCCTGGCAGCGCTAATTGTAAGAGCAATGACTGGATGGCCATCCCTGATGGCAAATGTCTTCTGCATAGCATTAGATGTATGGAAAGCTGAATGTATTATATGTGCTTCAGATACAATAAAAGAAAAAAATGAACCTTGTGAGACTAGATGTAATTTCAATAAGCACCTATAGACGCTACATGTATCTATAGCGAGCCTAGCAAGACGCCATGGGCATCGGTAGGTCACTGACGGGGCTGAGCCAGCTTCTCTCGCCTTTGACAAAGATGACAAGAGGTAATGTAGTGCAGAGAGATACCAACGCACATCGCACAACATATAACTACTTACAAAGGCATACTAATAGTGATTAAAAAGAAAACCATACAAAATGAAGGGGGCACTCGCGTAACAACCACTGTTGTCTATAAATACAGAGTTTCACGCAAATCATATAAATCTAACTATTGTTATCCTAACTCTTCGCCGTCTTTCCGTTATCACCTAGTAGATGATGAATATCCATATTTCGATGTTTAATAGTAGCCCAAGATAGCGGTGTCCGGCCTTCATTATCTTTTGCTTTAATATTAGCTCCGTATTTAAGCAGCAGCCTAATAACTTCCGAATTCTGATAAACAATAATAACCCACGACAGCGGCGTCCGACCCTCATTGTCTTTTGCTTCAATATCGGCTCCGTATTGAAGCAGTAGCTTAATAGCTTCCGAATTCTCATAAATAGTAGTAGCCCGCAACAGCGGCGTCCGACCTTCATTATCTTTTGCTTCAATATTAGCTCCTTTTTCAAGCAGCAGGTTGGCGATTCTAACAGTCTTCGCTTCAAGAGCAAGTAATAATGGCGTCCAGCCATCATTATGTGCCTCAGTATTAGCTCCTGCCTCCAACAGCAGCTTAATACCATCTTCCATTGGATACCCTATAGCAACAGCCCGCAACAGCGGCGTCCGACCTTTGTTACCTTTTGCTTCAATATCAGCTCCTTTTTCCAGCAGCAGCTCAACGATTCCGATAGAACGCTCTTCAATAGCAAGTAATAATGATGTTTGGCCCATATTATCTTTCGTGTCAATGTTAGCTCCTTTTTCCAACAGCAGCTTAATAGTTTCTTTATGCCTTCGCTTAGTAGCAAATAATAATAGCATCTGACCATTATCATCTTTCGCCTCGACATTGGCTCCCTTTTCAAGCAGCAACCTAAAGATATCCTCATTCCCATAACTAGAAGCTATTGATACTGGCGTCAGATCCCCGTAAGAGAAACTTTTGGAGTCCACTTCAACGCCTCTATCAATCAGCCACTCAGCAAAGCCTCTATGTCCACCTCTGGCGGCCCATCTGAGAAGTATCGGGCCATACTTGTTCTTTAAATCGACCTCTGCGCCCTTGTCCAGCAGCAGCTTGATGATGCTCTCTTGTTGATGTTTAGCAGCCCACAAAAATAACGGCAATCGATCATTTTTCCAGCCACAAGCATTGCGTACTTCCTCGATGACATCAGACAGGATTTCATCTTCGAGTGATGTAACACGACTGAGAACTTCCCAGACATCTGTGCCCTTTCTCATCTCCACTGTAACACCCGCGATCCTTTCTAGGAGCAACTTAACGATATTCTTATGACCTTTCTCAATGGCTAATATCAGTGGTGTATAACCATCTCCAATCTCCAGGTTGGTATCGGCACCTTGAGCAAGTAGCATTTTCACAACTACCTCATGGCCACAGCTTATTGCAAGAAATAACGCTGGCCAAGCACTCCGATTCCTCAAGTTGATGTCAATGTCCCTACGGGTCAACATCAACCACACATCGTCCTGATCACCTTGTTGTGCTGCGTGTAATAACGCTTCCGGCTGCAAGCGATTTATTAAAAATTCCAACACAACGTCATCATAGGGCTCATATGTCCTCATGGCATCAATTTCCCTTGTTGGCCTTCGTGTAGGTATCAGCCGACCTGTTTGGACACATGCCCTCCTCGTTAAATATTGCGAAGATCTAGTCTTTACTAAATCGAGTCGCTTAAGTTCTTCGCTCCGAACTCTTTGAAATGTTTCCATTGTCCCAGTGAGATCCGTAAGATAAATGGCGATTTGGTTGTTTGACCCATCGCGTTCTTTACAAAGAAGCAGCGCAAGGCCTAATTTCTGAGCCCCCATGCCGATGAGCCGGATGTCTAAGTGAACCCCTCTACTGCTTCTGGTCAAAGCGTTGTGAGAGTCATCAACATGGCTGACTTGTATAATGTTTCCGGAACCTTTGAATGCTGCTGGAGACGTAGCTAGTAATCCTCCACGATTATCAGGAGATTCCCATGCAAAAAGACTGTGATCATCCGAAACTCGCATAATCTCTTCCTGAAGTCTAATAAATGCTCGTTCCCCTTCTCCATATAGTAACGGCATATTAATTCCGAATATGCCTAACAAGCAATAAGCAAGGTCTTCCACTCTTTTTGTGCTTCTTTTTGCGGCCCATGACATTCTTTGTGCAATGCTGCATGTTTCTAAGTCATCATCGCCGGAGAGGATATCAACGGGGATACCAGTGCAGCTGGATATTTCCCTTTGTAAACCTTCTTTCGTCCCGAGACTTTTCCAATTTGCATCAAAGAACACAAGATCTGCAGGCGCAAGAAGCTCTTGCAAAGTCCATCCTCTAGTAAACCACTGGCTCTCCTCAAAAGGTGTTGATGGAACATCAGCAAGATAAGCGTAGCATATATGAGCCTTGAAATACCAAAGATACATAGAATTGATTGCCTCGGAAAGCTCTGAAGAACTTTCCTTATTGATGCAGCAGGTGTCAATCCAAATGTAATCGATTCCATTTCGCTTAGCCATGTCGCAAGATTGCTGTACTTTCTTAAATCCCTCTTTTGCCGTTGTATTTCTCTCCACATCTTGTAAGGTAAGCTCATCATTGCCCCATCTATGTGATAGGATGGCATATTTAGGAGTGCTAGTATCATCAAATTCTTCGATCTCGAGAGCGCCAGGCTCGGATATGAGCTTAGTCTTCAGCAAACGCATGATTTTGGATTGGTGCCAGTTGATTGTTGACTAAAAGCGTATGTGTGGTATAAAAATGCATCTAGGATCAAAGGCGGGGTCATTCTAGGCATCAAAACAAAGATTTCGTAGCAATAATCCTGCAGAAAGATGTTACGGAATTACAATCAGCCGAATAGCCAATTAGGTAGCATTACAGCCGATTCAAATACATATACCTATTTCAGCTTTCTCTTATTTTGTCAAGTTTCTCTCATTTTCAATCTATTACGGCTTGTTAGCGTGGTGAAGTATTTATATGTCAGCTGTATCCTTCTTACGATGGGGTCTATCGGGCTCAAGTGCTTTTAAAAAGATGGCATTTGAAGGGCTGTATCTGCCCTACGAGCTCATCGCTGCTTTATGCTCTACACGAGTGCGAGCGTACTCAAATATGAAAGACTACGGAGGAATTTAATCCCAAATGGATTAATTATTGTGTGGTCATTATTCGCCTTACATTAGGAAAACAAAGAACAATTTTTTGGAATTGTAGGTATTGTAATGAAACAATCTTAACATTGGTAGCGATATAGCGCAATAGACTGATTGAGAGTCTGTGCCAGCCGTTCTGTTGCCAGTATTGACAGATGTGGAGACGTAATAGGCATCTAAGATTGATGACTAGAATTATGGCGCTTCGTAACATACCAACTTATGCGAACTAAAGAAACTCATTGTTGGCTACCTACGCATTACGCCGATACTGGCCATGTTTTCCGATTTCCGAATTATCTACTATAGATAGAGGTACGCCGGGCAATTTTAACTCATGAGCTTAAGGAGCGATTGATGTGCGTCTGGGGCAAGACGAGTATCCTCATAGGGAGACGATAGTAGAAGTTGCATTCTCAACCTTTTGGCTAGTCTCGTTATATGGTACCCTATACTAAACGTTGACTTGGAAATTTCGGTATCTGACATCAACTTTTGCATTTGACAGGGTTGTTAGCCAGCAAGGACATCTAGGTGGCTCGACTCCCGGAGCGAGGACAAGGGCGCAGCTTGACCTTGAAGCCACAGTTTTGAGACAATATTTGTTCTTCAAGGACTATAATCTTCGGCCGACGCAGGTAGCAGAATGCAGGTGGTAAGATGCTGACTTCTCGTCAGGTATCGTCTGGGTACAGTTGTCTCAATTGGGAGTCAAGCTCTTTGTTTCGAATGATACCCATATGTAGACACAAAATATCCAAAATATTGACGTAATATTCATGTCACTGTTTATTTGCTATCAGCTTTTAACTGGTCCCTCTTCAGTGAGCGATGTGAGATGTTTCTCTTGTGATACATATATATCACGTATATGTTTACAGGTTCATTTCCTCTCTACGATAGATATAACTTTTTGTATTGGATAACTTGGCTACTATTGGCTTAAACAATCTTTGCTTCCTGGAAAGACGACGACGGACCGAGTGGTAAAACAGGCCATTAGGTTTTACATTCCCAGTCAGCAAATTATTCATCGAGTGCTCGCCTTTGTCATGATAATTACGAAAGCGAATAACTGGCGGCTCTTCCTTCGGCAGTTCCTTCGGTGAGCCGGTTTAAGGTTGGTTGAGAAACAGTCCGCTATTCCTTCGGCCGTTCCTTCGGACTGCTGTGTAGCCTACATGCATTTGATCAGGATTGCTAGTCTCAACACGGCGTGTTGACAGGAAACTAATAGGGCTTTCTGAGGTGTCAAGTTCATGACTATATATATATATCGCATTTCTAGACAACACTCATTGTAAGGGGAACAAGCTGACATAACGAAATAGCAGAAAGTAAAAGAGTGCACATGAGATTCGCACAGTTTTGGACTGTCAATACTATTCCGTCGCTGCGACGCAGGATTGCTGACATCTAAGACAAGTTTCAATGAGAAGGTAGATCTCTTCCTCACCTGTGTTATTTAGTACTACTGTTCCACCACGTAATTACTTTTTATGAAACAAATGTAATATATTTTTCGGACTGCTGTATGCACAGTCTCGGAGCAATGGTATACGACTTGTCATTTTATATGGTAATAACATGTTCCGTAATTGGATGTTCTTGATGATAGCGTTCTGGGAACGAAGATAGGAGAGAGGGCAGACATGTATAAAGAGAGATGAATCCCCCAGCATCCAACAGCTCAACCCACCATCTTCTCATCTACAATTACTTACTACCTCATTCCAAGAGAATCATTTTGACCTTGACTCACCATGAAATTCTTACCTGTCATTGCCTTTATCTCCCTTGTTGCGCCTTCAACCGCGACCTGGTGCTTCTCAAACGCCAATACTTGCCCCAAGGAATCATACAAGGGCCAGGCGACCTCGAAGTGCTGCGACAAGATTGGAGTACACAACCATGACCGTGGCTGCTGGGTTGAAGGCAACCTTTGGGAGCAGTTCCGGGATTGCTGCACACACGACTGGGGCTGCAGCGGTGTCACTGACTAAGTATCTTGATCGTTAAATCCAGGTCAGTCCTTGGAAATATTGCTCAATATTCGCTTACACTAATGCTAAGTATTGTAAAGAGTGTCATTTTCCTTGAAGATATCCAATTTTCCGCTTCTTGACTCCTTAAAAGAGGCAGAGTAGCTCAGAGGTAGCACAAGTTCCAGTATCTCTGTGTATGGGTGGATTTAGGAGGCTGTCATGGATGGTTGATCCCCTCGGTCATTGTATGGGTTTTACTACAAGATTCTGTCCTTACCGATGTCACTCTGGCCACTGAGGAGGAATGTCAGAATATCTGGCATGTTGAATAAACAGCACTTATTGCCACATCTATTTTGGACCGCGCTCGCTTGTGATTGCTAAAATGCCAGTAGTACAGCCAATCTGTCTTGTGGTTACCTCCTCCACCACTTAATAGGGTGATCTTCGGATCTAGGTAAGCACAGGCTACTGGAGTAACAACTTCTTTAAAAACAGCGTGCTGTACTTGCAAGCCCTAGAGTATATTGGCAGATAGACGCTGAAATTGAACGGTGCAACAGTTGATCTGCGGAATCCTGGAGAAGGTGGCAAGTTTAAAGTCTGTCTCCGCAGCCTGGCTCGGCAACATTGTTGCATTGGACGGCACACCATCCCCTTTTGTTGTGCCATCAAAGGATCAAGGAGTGGATTGATGCTACTCGTCGATAATATCTGCTCTCGCCAGAGAAATGGATGATGCCTCTGTGTGACGGATATTCATGGATCTTACTGAGCTCACTAAATAACTCACCCAGCATGTATAGTGATCGCCTCCCTTGTGGGATAATCGCATCATTTTCTATTGGCGTCTCTTTATTTAAGAGTCATGTATAAATGGCATCTCCATAGGTGTTGACTCCTCTTACTAATCTGCGCGCGTTTACTTATTGAGGCTAAGGCGAGATCTATCCAAGTTTAAAGGCGGTAGATCGGCAATTGGCTACCGCGCTATCTATTACATTCATCTATCTCTATGTAGATGAGACGGAGCTATATTTTACTAGATCGCTCGGGTTTAATGCCGCCGAAACATTAGTTGGCCGCGTCAGATCATGGGCTTGATTGTGGGGTTTTCCGTATGGCATAGGGACGATGCTACTAATTCCTAGCTTAATTGCTACATCGTGGCTGGGATAGCTAAAAGAGTGGAGGAGACATTGCCGTGACACATAACGGAGTAAATCCGAGCGAGCTGCTAACAAATCATGCTACAATCTTTTGTCGCAGCTGTGTCACTTGCCGATGGCAGTGCAAAATGAGTCAATCTAGTTCTAGTCGCCCCATTTTTAGGATTCGCATGTAACTGGCGGAGCGAATCACCAAGTAACCTTATCGTTCCTCAGAGAAAAACCCCGACTTTTCGCAGCGTAAAGACGGGGCGATGCTAGGCAAATGGGCGGGTTGTGACAATGCGGGAGCATCACCGCTAAGCTTTCATGGGGCTCCAAGCTTGAGACTTCAAGTATACGTATATAGCTAATCGTTCACTCTTCTCAGTAATAATTGAAAATTGCCAATTCTGTGCTACTTGAGTACAATACACTTGTCTTATCTCTGTACTACACTTTCAAGTAAAGCCGGCAAGCCGACGAGCCGATCAACCCTCATGGATCTTTTCAACTCCCCCGCCTTCTCGTCCCACGTAGAGGAGCTCATCAAGAAGTATCACGTCCCTGGTCTCGCCATAGCTGTTGTACACAAGGATGTCACTGCTTCCAAGGCTTTTGGCGTGGCGTCGTTTGATCCGCCAAGGCCAATGACCACGGACACCCTCTTGGACATTGCTTCCGCTTCCAAGTCTCTCACGGCGGCCTCTGTTGCCCTGTTGGTTGCCGATGATAAGTATCCCGAGGTCACCTATGAGGCTGAAATGGCCAAATTGCTGCCCGGTGAATTTGTCATGCCGGGCCAGGGCTATGAGGGCGTAACTGTTGAGGACATTCTTAGTCACAGAAGTGGAATGGCACCGTCAGTAGATTCTGGCTCTTTGTTTAACTTGTCAAATATAATGCTAAAATAAACAATTGCAGCAACGATAATTGTTATTTAGGCCCCCGGGCTAAACACACCGATGATGCACAATCCATTACACGCAATCTGCGAAACTTGTCGACTGCTGCCCCGATTCGGACAAAGTTTATGTACTGCAATATGATGTTCTCTGCTGCATCTTATTTAGTGGAGAAGAAAGCTGCAATCAACTTTGCTGATTTCCTCGAGGATCGTTTCTTCAAGCCGCTGGATATGACTTCGACCAATCTCCAACCCGAGCGAGCGCGTGCCAAGGGCCTTGGAGATCGCATCAGTCCTGGGCACTGGTGGGATAAAAAGGCCAAGAAGTACAACGAGTTTGCCATTCCGGATGCTCCCGAAGGCCAAGGCGCTGGCTCAATCATTACAAGCGTCAACGACTATATCAAGTACGTCAGGGCTCTGATGAACCAGGAGGAGCCATTTACAGAGGACATTTACAAGGGACTCATAAAGGGGCGGCAAATCGTAGACTTGGACAGCGAAAAGCTAAGCCCCTTTACATCGCCGTTGCTGTATGCGGCTGGATGGGAGACGCACCATTATCGCGGACACCTGGTTGTTGCCCACGATGGATGCATCGCCGGCTCGTCTAGCATTCATTTCTTCATACCTGATTTCAAGTTTGGAGGCGCCATCTTTGGAAATTCTGACGACGCGGGTTATCTTGGAGATGTCTTGCTCCAGGAGTTTCTGGATGAGTTGATAGGCCTGCATCAAGACCAAAGGCTCAACTGGGACAAGGTCTTGTATGAAAAGTACACGGACAAAAAATACGACGAATACGGCACAAACGACAACGAGGACGCAGAGGATGAAGAAAAGGCAGCGGAGGAGGAGCGCCAAAAGCTCTGCCCCGGGATCAAGGAGCCGGAGCCGCAGAAGATGCCTCTGAGAGCTTACACGGGCGAGTACTGGAATCCTGGCTGGCGCGGCCTGGTAGTTGAGATTAAGGACGGACAGCTCTTCATTGATTGTTCGGATCGGTCGTATGTGTTTACGCTGCAGCTGCGCCACGTCTGCGAGCAAACAAAGTACATTGCTATAGAGAGGGAAGTGGTGGGGGGGCTTGCTATAGTGCTGAGAGCGGAATTCAGATTTGACAACGGCACTGCGGTCAGACTGGGAGTGTCGTTTGAGGAGAAGCTGGACGACTATATCTGGTTTGATCGGGTACAGGAGAAGTGAGGCTTTTTGAGCCCGGTCAGCCCCTATACTTGCGCCTTTTTGTAAGATTTGACAAATAGGATTGGATAGAATAAGAGACAGCTGTGACGAGCGATAGCCGCGGCAATAGTATTATGTACGGTTACGGCTAGTAAGAGAGTTGAAAAGGTTGAGGATCGGTTGAGACAAGGTGGCTCACCGGCTCATCTTAGCGTGATGGGCGCTACGTACAAGGCTTCGATATGAGCGACAAGGGCGGATTTGTACCAGGTATTGACTCGAATCCTTCGTCGAAAGGAGTCGGCTCTGAGCGTTTGTTCCGGCAGATACAATTGGAGGTTTTTGTTCTATTTTTCAACGCAGCACTTGGCATAGAGCACAGCAGCTTCTTGTGCATTCTCTTCTTCTCTACTTGCATCTCTTTATATCTCAACAATCAGCCTAAATAGTACACGAGCAGATCTGTGGATTGTCGCCGCTTATTCGCGGATCCGTGCTAGGCCCGAATCTGCACCACAGAGATTGCAAGCAGCATCTCCAGATAGCCGATTGCAGCAGTGGGGATGCCAGAAGCTTGCCGGGCTCTGCCTTCCAGGGCATCGGGAGCGCTGTGGCCCCCAGTCTCGGCGCATCGGCTAGCAGATAAAGCGCCGCGGGCATTGCCAGCCCCTCACCTCCAACTTTTCCCATCTCCAGATACAGCGCCGTCATTTCTGACAGAATTGCGCCCTCAGAATCAGGCTCAGGAGCGTGGCCTCAGTCAGTAATTTCCGCGGGCAGCAGAAAACACCTCACCGCCAGGGCCAGCAGCAGCAGCAGCAGCTCCTCCGCGCCATCACTATCCATCACTATCTGCCACTATCTATCTGGGCGTCACGCACTCGTTCAACCCGCGGCATAATCATCCGACCCCCTGCCCTCAGTCGTCTGTCGTCTCGCCACCTTTCCTTTCCAGCAGACGCGATGCTGCCGAGTCGAATTGGAGGCCAGCCCCTGCGCATGGCCGCGTCCCGACCCCGGGTTGGTCACCGGCCGTCGTCGCTGACCAGCTCGCCGGCGCGCTCAAATACTGGCGGAAGCCGCTCGGTTTCGTCCTCTTCATCCGCCAATCCTTCTGGCACCGCAAAAGTCAAAGTTGCTCCTCCTCGTTTGCCCGGCATGTCTGAAGACGACCACGATGTCGAGAAGTACCTGCGCGAGAACCACCAGCGCCTCTTTGAGAACAACAAGAAATGGGCCGCCGACCGGCTGCAGCAAGACCCCGACTTCTTTTCTCGCCTGGCTGCCGGCCAGTCGCCCGAGTATCTCTGGGTGGGATGCAGTGACTCTCGCATCCCCGCCGAGCAAATCACTGGCCTAGAGGCCGGCGAGGCCTTTGTCCACCGAAACATCGCCAACATGGTCATCAGCACCGACCTCAACGTCATGAGCGTCATCAACTATGCTGTCAACCACCTCAAGGTCAAGCACATTGTAGTCTGCGGCCACTACGGCTGCGGTGGTGTCAAGGCCGCCATGACGCCCAAGGACATGGGCCTGCTCAACCCCTGGCTGCGAAACATTCGCGATGTCTACAGAATCTACGAAAAGGAGCTGGATACCATCACCGATGATCACCAGCGGTACAACCGCCTGGTCGAGCTCAACGTCATCGAGCAGTGCCGTAACATCCTCAAGACTGCAGATGTGCAGCACTCGTTTGAAACGAACCGATTCCCCATCATTCACGGCTGGGTCTTCAACTTTGAGGACGGCTCTATCAAGGATTTGCAGGTCGACATGAAGCAGATGCTGGGTAACATCCAGAAGATTTACAACTTGACCGATTAATACAATTTTCATCATTATTGTCACCTCTCTATTGTATCCGTCTCTTTTACATGTTTTGTGTTCTTGTATAATAACTATTGATGGCTTGGACATCCCTGCAGATGTCAGGAAGGAATGATATTATTTTTCTACTGATTCCCTATTCGCTCGTGACAATAATGACGCAACAGGAACAATCGTGTCAGGGGCAACTTTGTCTTGAGTATAGAGAGTCATTTGCCCTGTCCACCTGCGCATCCCTCTAGACAAGCCCTGCTTTCCTGATGCGGCCAACTTCTTGGTAATGCCCGCACTGTAAGTGCTCGGCTGCCCCGCGCTCGCTTCCCACATGGACCGGGGTGTCGTCCCCATCGAAAGATACCTTGTCCAGGCATCTACCATGACCTACCGCCTTTTGCTGCTTCCATGGTTGCCGGATCTAGACGACCATCACATGTGTCTGGTAACAGGGGTGATTGGCTTGGTGACCTTCTGCCCCCCTTCCAGAAATAGGCGTGTAAGTGATGCGCCAGTGCGCGATTGTGGTATCATTTGCTTCATTACTAGACTATATGGGCTGGGATCTAAATGAGTCTGGTGCTGACCCGATGCTGTCATCAGGCTATAAGTCGTGCGTATGGAACGTTTGCCATCGAATTTCGTCTGTTTTCAGGCTCAGCCTCAGCTCAACTCCGAAATCATGGCCACTAATGCAAAATAAATCCCTCTCTGAAAATCCAGCGTATTCCTTCTAAAATATCTCATGCTCTGATAATCTCTCCCCCCTGAAATGACTCGATATCATGATGCTATATATGGAAATGAAATTGTTGACAGAAAAATCGGACCACAAACCTCCTTATACATCTGCTGAGCGACTTTGTGTATTCGTCCGCGTATTGCTCTCCACCGTCTCCTTCTTCGAGAAGGACACCCATGTCTTGAAACTCGACAGCGAAAACGTCCTCTTGAATCTCGGCTCGCCATCTTCCGGACCCCCCTGCCCCCAGGGGCCCCTCTGCACGGCTCGATCTTCCAGAAGCCGGAACCTCCGCTTGGCCAGCTTCCACAGCTCGACGCCGGTAACAAAGATCAAGGTGAAGCCCACGGAGAGCGCCCACTCCCAGGAGATGCCCGTGTGCTTGAAGAACCGTGTGTTGAGGAATGGGATGTAGACAACGGGGAAGACGGACAGGCTGCCGATGATGACGGACCAGAAGAGAAACCTGTTGCTGTAGACGTCCTTGAAGAAGGGGAAGAAGCTGTCGTCGGTAGGGTTTAGGCGAAACATGGATCGGCGCAGGCTCTTGAACTCCCATGCCGCGATAAGGATGAGCCAGGTCAGCTCCGCAAAAGTCGCGGCGCGGGCTCGGAACACCGGGATGCAGGCATCAGAGAAGTTTGTGTTGCAGTCCATGCCGAGGTTGCCGTCGTTTGCGCCGTAGATTATAATGCAGAACGTGCAGAGCGTGCACGCACCCATCAGGACGCCGTAGACAATCATGTCGACAATGATTTGGTTCGTAAAGACGCCGCGGCGCTTGTCCTGCGGCGGCTTGCGCATCACCTCCTGAGCGGCTGGTTCCCGGCCAAGGCCGAACGCCGGGAACGACGAGGTGACCATGTTGATCCAGATGATCTGTAGGGGGGAGACGGGGAAGACGGAGAAGCCCATGTCGTCGACAAAGGCGAGGCCTGCGACGAGGAGGAGGACTTCGCCGACGTTGGAGACGAGAAGATGCAGCACGAACTTTTGGATATTGTCAAACATGCGGCGGCCTTCGCGGATGGCGGCCACGATGGAGTTGAACTTGTCGTCTGTCAACACAATCTTGGCCGCCGATTTGGCAACGTCGGAACCAGAGCCCATGGCAATACCGACATCAGCGCGAGACAGGGACGGCGCATCGTTGACGCCATCGCCAGTCATGGCCATGAAGGCACCACGACGGCGTAACGCCTCGATCATGCGTGTCTTGGTATCTGGAGCGCAGCGGGCAATAACAAGCGGAAGTTCTTCCAGCGCATCAATCTCTTCGTCCGTCATCTTATCAAAGTCGGTTGCCTTGACCACGATGGATTGCGCAACACTCTCGGGCAGAATGCCAAGGTTTCTGGGAATGATTCCCGTCTCTCTAGCAATAGACTTTGCAGTCTCGGGATGGTCGCCAGTGAGCATGTGCACTTTGATGCCGGCATTGGAGCACTCTGCAATGGAGGCCTTTGTCTCCCGGCGGGGAGGGTCGTAGATGCCGGCGAGTCCGACAAGGACGAGGTTCTGTTCAACTGCAGACCGTAGTTTTTCGTCCTCTTCAGCAGAGCTTGAGCTGGACTGCTTGGATGTAAATCGGCCTTGCCATGGACGATATGCGACGGCAAGGACTCGCTGGCCCTGCGAAGCGAGAGCGTTCATTTCCTGTAGGACAGACTCCTTTAGCTCTTCGCTGATGGGCTGCTGGCCTTCGCCAATGCCAACAAAGGCGCATAGATCAAGCACACGCTCCACTGCGCCCTTGGTAAAGACGAAGCTGTTTTGAGCGTCAAAGATTGAGTTTTGCTCATCTTCGGGAGCATTGTAAATGACAGACATGCGCTTGATAGAGCTGTCGAATGGAAACTCGGCAACTTGCTTCCAACCTTGGCCTTCAAGACTCTTTTTGCCGTGGCTGAAGCGATGCGCAAAGACTTGTAGCGCAATCTCAGTTGGCTCTCCCGTAGTCTGCCACTTCTCTTCATCTTTATCATACCTAACAGTGGCGAGGTTGCAGAGCGCAGAAGAAAGCAGAAATGTGCGGAGCTGATCCGTCATCTTTGCCTCTGGTTCAGGAACCCGAGGCTGTTTAGCCGCCGACGAAGAGTTGAGCTTCTCGTCTGGGACGTCAAACTTGAGCACGGCGGCGCTTCGCTCATTGTCGTAGTCGCGCGGTTTCTCATTGATAGGCTCTAGCGGCGGTGTATTCTCGCCTTTGCCTTGAGAGTAGACCACGCGTCCCTTTGTAGGGTCATTTGGGTTCTGAGAGTCGTGGACAGTGTAGACGTGCGACGATGGGATCCATGCTTGACGGACAATCATGGCGCCTTCAGTCAACGTTCCTGTTTTGTCTGAGCAGATGTTTGTGACGCCGCCGAGAGCTTCGAGGGCGGAGAGATCTCTAACAAGAACGTTGTTTTTGCTCATGACGCTTACAGCAACGACCATGGTTAATGTCAATACACTGAGAAAAGAGTTAGTTAAAAAGTACAAAGGTATGAGGTAGATGGAGCATACGCAACAAGAGATTCCGGAATAATTGCAATACCCAATGAAGTCGCATAAATGATAACCTCATGCCGCATATTGAAGCCGTTGACGCCAAAGACTATAATCGCGAGGATTACAGCACAGCCAAAAAGCACATATGCCAAAGCCGACAACTTCCTCTGCAAAGGCGTGCCAACCGTCAAGCCAAGAAACTTGCCCACAAAGTCGTAGATGCGCTTCGTGAGACCAACGACGGGCTGTTTCTTGCCATATTTGCGCCAGTTCATCGAGCGGCCAGCCTTGCGGCTCTTCTTTGCGGTCGAAGCGGCGATTTTGCCCACCTCGGTGGACATGCCTGTGGCAACGACGATGCCGCGGCCACGGCCCTTTTGGACAATAGTTGTAGCGTATGCCATGTTGGTGCGGTCGCCGATGCCAACTTCGCCTTCGGATGTGGCTACGGCGTCGGATTCATGAGCAGAAATGTTGTTGTCGGTAGTCTTCTCAACGGGAATGGATTCGCCGGTGAGTTGGCCTTCTTCACAGGCCAAGTTCATGGCCTCGAAGAGACGAAGATCTGCTGGGACGGTGTCGCCCATTTTGAGCAGAATGATATCTCCAGGCACAACTTCAGAACTGTTTTGTCTAGGTCAACACATGGGTGTGTAAAGTAGATGCTCTGCTTTGGGAGACACTTACTTGGGAATGACTTGAGTATTGCCGTCGCGGAGAACCATGGCGCTGGGAGAGGACAGGGCACGGAGAGCATCCATGCGCTTCTCGGCGCGATACTCTTGCCAGAAGCCTATGGTGACATTGAGAAAGATGACAAATGCAAGGACTCCTCCTTCAATGTAATCTTGGATGCCAAAGCTGAGGGCCATGGCAAAAACGAGAACCTAGTTGAATAGTTGGTCAGGTTACACAAGTATGTAGCATAAAGGAAGAGAAGGAAGTGTCTTACAATGATCATGGCATTGAAGATTTGCTTAGCAAGAATACTATACCATGGTATAGTCTCACCGATGTCGAGTTCATTCTTGGGATATCTCGACTGCAGGCCTGGGACCTGCTCCGAGGTGAGTCCCTTATCGACATTGGTTCCGAGAGCCTCCTCTGTCTCCTTGACGGTGAGTAAGAAGGGGTGCTTTGGGAACTCAGCCATCAGGGCTGTGGGCTATTGTATAGTGAATGAGAGATGGCAATGAGGCCGAACATGGATGGAAATGACAAGGTAAAAAGCGTTAGTGGGCACTGTCACCTGTGTACATCTGATATGATGAATGATTATCAAAAGAACATGAAATGTTATTCCAATATGCGGGGTGCGGGGTGGTATAAGTACTCATCATGTCAGGAAGATACCTTGGCTTGATTGGTGATGTACCATGGGCACAAAGTATCGGCCTCTTGAGGCGAATACATTCGCCTTCGTGGGATGCATGTTATCGACGGCGGGTCTCTTTGGCAGCTAGTGCGTGCTTGGCGCTGGTAAATGAGAAGAGGCTTGGGATGGGGATGCTTTGGCCGGCATAATGGTGGAGTGTGGCTTATTATACAGGTGTTTTCATCTTATAATTTCCTCCATCCATAGCCATCGTGATTCCCGTTCTCTGCCATGCCGTATTAAGCTTTGAGGTCTCGTCTTGTACCACTACAGCATGCGGTGTCTCAGATCATTCAAAGCATAATCAACTCTGGACATGTTGCACTATTCATGCCCCCGATGATGCATCGCACTTTCCAGGCCTCTCTTCCAAGAAACAGCCAAGAAGCTCCATTATCCACTCCTATCTTGGCAACGCGCGTTCCCCAGAATTTGGTCGAGTATGTATCATGATCAGAGTTTACAGACAAGAGAACAAGAATGACGAAAGTCACACCATTGATCTTGGCCATCATTCCGCCAAGATCTGGTTATCAAGTGCAGGTGGTGTATTAGAGTTATGTCGCCTAAGCTTATTCTGCGACCAACCAATGGCGATCCTCACCAGAGGTGGGGGAGGCTTGCCAAGCCATCTTGCTATGCCGTACTCACTTTGCTGCATCTTGGCAATGGGATTCATAGTGGCGAATATGGTTCTTCTTTCTGGAAGAGATATGGAAGCGCGAGTAGCCAAGATATCTCCATTGGTCCAGCGTGAGTGAGCCAAGGCTCTAAGACATGTATGTGAGTGGTGATGAAATAATAGCAATTGACTAGTGCGCCTGAGTGACTGTCGTTCTACGGCTTGGTGGATGAGCAAGTAACCACAAGCAGCTAGTAGTGCCGAGACTACAAGAAGATGGCGGCGACGAACGTTTACCGGAGCGCTGGTGGCTTGAGGAGGTTTGTCTACTTGAGGTCTTAATTACCACGGCCGGGAGAGTGGCAAAAACCGGGCTTGGGATTCTCGGCGTCACGTTGCTGCGCCACCCGGATGCGTTTGATGTCGGGGGAGGATGGGGCCGAGTTGATCGGAGATGCATGAATCGCTGGGATTGATAACGAGATGGGCGATGGAGACTTGTATCAAGGAAAGCTACCTCCTCTTGTAGTATGAAGTATCGCCGATTTGAATATGCATGTTGGGCTGGGTTATCTCTACACGGATGTGGATAGATGCTTAAGCCTCCAAAGACGTGGAGAGCCGAACATCATTCAAGAATAAAACCCATTGTAGAGTCATCATAGGAGACGAAGCGAAACAGCCAAGTTTGTATTTTCTAAAAGCAAACAACTACCAATCTATTTTCATGTATCGGTCTATATATATGTGTACAATATAGCGCTGTCGTATCTCCCAGATTCCATTAATTAATTATGTCCATCAACGCTCGCAAAATAGCAGACCGATTACGTCTATATATCGTCACACTCATTGCTCAATCACCCAAATCATATTCACAACAATCCGCTAATGCATGCCGTCAGTAAACCTACTCCTCCAATTATCCAACTAGACATTACTCCAGCCGATAAGGATGCCGAGCTTGTGGGTTTAACATTCGTCTCGGAGAAACCAAGGTACCAGGCTCCAATGTCCGTCAGCTTTCCAGCATTGTTTAGAAACGGTACGTTGGGCCCGACGTTGGAGACTTTGGAGCGAAAGGCGCCGAAATAGGTATACCGCGCAATGTAATCCAACTTGTCAAAGTAATCGACCGTCTGGTTGAAATATTCCTGTGTTGTCTGCAGGTCTTGGTTCGCAAACGCGTACTCGGTCACCCAGATATCGGTATCGGGCCATCTATCAGTCATTGTGTCAGCATCACTTTATAACATTGGCTGTAACCGTTCTACCCGTCTGAAAAGAAGACTTACGTCGCTCTCCTCTCTCCAATAAGCGATGCCAGGCCTGCAAAGTTATCGTACCAATGCACAGGCAAGAAATCAAAAGTGCAGTTCTTCTTCTGATTATCCGTACTAACAAGCGTAGAACAATTCGACAGGAACTGCTTCAGCCACGGCAAGCTATCAGGTCCTCCCGTACACGCCGGCAGACCAAGCTTGATGCCCATCTTGCCCAGAGGCTCGAAGTTGGCGACCCAGGCCTTTGCAGCGTCTGCGGGATTGATGCCGCTTCCGCCAGTGCTGGTTGAGCCATCTGGCTCGTTAAAGCCCAGGACATGCGAGATGTTGGTGCCCTGGCTGATGAGCGCCTTGACTTGGTTCAAGAAAGCTGTGTCGCTGAGGTTGCTCGACACACCCCACATCATGGGCACAAACTCGAATTGTTGCTGCGAAAGAGACTTGTTATAAGCCGCCGAGGGCTCCGACTGGTAATTGTAGTACCATGTTAAATCGCTGCCAGACTGCACCCAGATCTGGTCGTCTGTGGGATGAGCCGTACTGGGCACGTAAACGAGACCGCGTTTATCAGAGGTCGAGGCGCTCGCAAAGCCTGCAAGCAGGAAGAGCCCAAGAAGAGCGAAGCTGATCATGATCTTCTTTTCCCCTCTTCCTAAGCAGAGAGCAGGGGTCTGTTAAGATGGGTGATGACGTGGGGCGGGGAATCTGGGATTGACGATGAAGCAGCGATGAATTGAGTCCAATTTAGATCATCTAAAGAACTCAATCTTCTTTGCTGGCTGTCGGAAGCACGCGATAAAAGCAAGGCAACTCTCTCGTGGTAAGATACACGCGCAATGCGATTCTATCTGTGGACTCTTCTATGCTGTCTAAATCGAGGGAATCGCGCGACAATGGTTGAAGCAGCCGACAGGTTTCGAATTCGACGCAACAAAACGACCAGAATAAACGCAAAAGAAGACGTAGAAAGCGAAAGAAACAAGAGAATAAAAAATATGGAAAGAAACAAGATAAATCAAAGGTCAGGAAAGAAAAGAAAACAAAAACAGGCTTGAGCTGCAAGACGTAAACACACGTCTCTCAGCTTCAGGGCGCAGCTGAACACTATTCAGAGCTATACCCAACTTTGCCGCCGGCTCGCTCGATCCGCCGACACGGGAAGCAGGATTTTTTTCTAAAAAAGATGACATGGCGCCAACCAATCCGCTCCCAATCGCCAGGGGTCTGGCGAGACGCCCGTCCAATAACACAGCAGTGGCTAATCTCAAGGGCGCTTGGCGTGCAGAAAAGGGCCAGTTGCCATCGCTAACAGATGCTACGGGCGAGTTGAGATGCTACAAAGTTAGAATTGGCGCTTGTGCCTGTCAGAATATGGCGTTGCGGGTGTTAGTGCCTTGCATGGGTCTCTGTGTGTTTGTGCTTCGGCACCACGCCAAGCTTCGTATTATGCACAGCGGCGCACGAGCAATCAATAATTCAGCAGGCCCGGGACATTCGATAAGGCTTTGTTTAGTCTCGGCCAATAGAGGCGTCGGAAGGGTGGCGTGCGTTGCAACCATCGCGGTGGCACCAGCAGCTGAGCTGAGCTGAGCCCACTTACACGCATCTTCACTTAGTCATCCGCCAGCATCGAGAGTCGCTCAATAACGTTTATTTTCGCCTTCTCTAGATATTCATATGCTCTCTAGATAAACTTGGCATCGGATGGAAGAAGCTAATAAAGTCGCCAAGTTCTGTGCCTTGCCATGTCCATAGTTTATGCAGTTATAGTGCATTCACCCAGTTCACTGCTTCCTGAGGCTCCAGTCTCTTTGTCCAATCTGCTTCCGCATAAATGTTCTTAACAACGCCCTGCTGGTCGACCAACAACGTAGTCGGAACTACCATGTCGTTCGAATCGTTACCATGGCGCTTGTGAAGATCAGCCCCCATGCCAGTCGAAAGATCCACCAAATCCTCTGGCTGCTCCCAGGTAATGTTCAACTTTCGGGCAAGTTGAAGGCCATCGTCAGTCAACACGGGGAACTGAAGTTCATTCTTTTCCGCGGTAGAAAGTGAAGAATCAGGCTGTTCCGGCGTAATCGCCACCAGAGTAACTCCGCGTGCCTTGAAGTCTTCCAGGCGCTGCTGGTAAGCCCTCAATGTGAGGTTACAATAGGGGCACCAGCCGCCACGGTAGAAAACAATGAGAAGCGGCCCCTTGGCCAGGAGGTCAACACTGTTAACGGACACTCCACTAGCATTGGAGAGGGTAAATTCGGGGAGTTTTTGGCCAGGCTGGATTGTAGTTTTGACGTCAAATTCTTTCTCGACGTTGGCCTTGGCTTCAGAGATGATTTTAAAAGCGGGCTCAGGAATGTTTTCCTGAAGAGAAGTGGCGGTTGCTTGAAGGCTAGCGTTGAGTGAAGTAGCCATTGTGGAAGAGATTGATGGTTCTAATATTTTGAAAAGCTGGGAAAATGACTTGTACAATTCAACTGAGTTACAGATCCAAGAGTAAACTGATTTGCTCTGCTGGATTTTCCAACTCGTCCAAGACGCTGGCTTTTAAATGCCATTTTGAGCACATTATGCAGCATTATCAATCCAATGGATTCAATAATCTATTCTATAGAGTCGGTTAGCAATCCAGAACATCTGCCCCGTGTAAGTAATTTCTCAGATGGTCCCGCCCAATGGCCTGTTGCAGTTTCAGAACCATGAGTCAAGTTCATCCAGCAACTGCCCCAGCAACTGCCTCGTTGACCTGCATCAGCAACTTCCCTCTCCGGTAACTACTATGGGTAATCACTCAATCTTGCATCTCCGGCTTATAGAGACGGCCGAATCAGAGCGAATCAAAATGCAGGCTAGGTTCCGCGGGCATTGTCGAACATTCTACTGTGCTTCTTCGATGCCACTAAACGCTCCATTCTCTTTACTGGCTTCGTGCGAACTCGTCCGCCCCATCGGCGGATACCATGGCAGACTAAACCCAAAACCACAGGGTGCTTACATACGAGTCGACCAATTAGACGGGGCTCTCCAATGCATTCAGAGCATTAGTAAGATGATCGGATGCCCGACATAGTTCTGGATGCACTGTCCAGCAGCCAGACAGGTGGGCGCATCTCTCCTCCCTACATACTTGTACTAATAATAACCCAGGCTTTCGGGTCAAGGCCCGGACGAAACCATCAACGTTGCGTGTAGCCCTTGTACGCTGCCTCGAACCAAATGGACGACTTCTCGGACCAACGACCCGCACGACGCATGCGGCTGGGGACCAAGTCGTGCGCCGAATGCCGTCGCCGAAAGGTCCGGTGCGTCTTTCCGCCAAACAGCTCCGTCTGCCACGGATGCTCGCTCCATCAAACGCCGTGCCAGGCCCAGCAGCCGCGTCCGAAAGACGGTGGCCGGCCGGGCCATGCGCAGGCCCCGGGGCTGCTTCAGTCTCAGTCCGTGTCTCAGCTGGCCGCCGACAACGCGCTGCTGCGCCGGCGGGTGGCCGAGCTCGAGGACCTCATCAGCGGCCTCTGCGATGCGCTCGAGCCAAACGATGAGGCGTCTTCGGCCTCGGCCTCTGGCGCAGCCTCGTCCACCTCAGCCTCCACCATCGCCTCGTCGACCAACCCGGCGGACATCAATACGAGGGCGATTCAAGTCATCACGAACCTCAAGAACCACGGGCTTCTGCAGAAAGATGTGGCGCTGAGCTACAACTTCGGGACTGCTCCTATCGATGCTATTCCCATCGCTGCTCTTCCTAATCTCGGCGTGGCTCCTGGTTCCGGCCCTCCCTCTTCGCTCCTCTCTCCAGGCTCTCTCGACCACGAATCGTCCAGCAGTCCGCCAGACCATGCGGACAAGTCCATCACTGCGGTAGATGCGCCTCTGATCAGCCTCTTCCGAGATGCCCTGCTCATCCGGGAGACCGAGGGCGAGCTTTACGACGACCCCGAGGATCCCTCCATGACCTTTTTGATGAAGGAATCCATCAGCTCGTTCAAGCCACCCATTCCCGACCCGGAGACACTTCGTCTCATCCTCCAAGACTCAAAGTTCTTCTGGCCAATCTGGCCGACCTACTTCTTTGGCCCGGACTTTTCCAACGCCATGCACGTCACCAGCCTCGACGTTGCTGAAGCGTACCTGAGCCAAGTCCTCAACTACAGCCGCGGCGTCGATTTCTGCAATGCAATCCTCTTCCTTACTCTTTGCATTCAGCAGCTTCCCCGTCATTGGAAGCGCGCCATCATCTCTCCCGACATCTCCCGGCAGGTAATCATTGATACATATATCCGCTTTGCCCTTGTCCTCCTTGCCGTCGAAGGCGAAGCGAGCCCACAAGCTGTGCAATGCTACCTGCTCCTCCACAAAATCCTCGTCAACATGGGCCGGCCGCAGAGAGCTTGGATGGCCATCCGCCACGGCATCAGCGCTGCCACCGTCATCGGTCTGGACAGGCTCGATGAGAATGCGAGCATCCAGAACAAGTCCCTGTGGGCCCTGACCTGGCAATCGGAGCGCCAGCTGTGCATGATGCTCGGATTCCCTTCCGCCATCAGTAGTCTTGCAACCAAGGATGATGCTTCCATGGCCCTGATGCTCTCGCCCCCACAGGCGGTGTTCCGTCGCACATGCGTCATAATGGGACGTGTTATTGACCGCAATCAGAACTCAGACGCAAGTCCCTATGCGACAACCGTGCAGTTGGATCAAGATATGGAGGAGTTGAAGAAGACCTTCCCTCCATCATGGGCTGAGGAGTACGACCCCAGCCTGACCATGCCCCCAATCTATTTCCAAGAGGCTGCTCAGATATTCTACTACTCGACCCTCAAGCATATCCATCTACCGTATATGCTCAAGGCCAAAACCGATCGGCGCTACGAACACAGCCGATTGTCCACCATGGAGGCTTGTCGAGAGCTCATCAAGGTCTATCTCCGCCTTCGAGGCTCACCCAAGTCAGAATCCGTCCAGTGCGAGCTCATGGACTTTACCATGTTCAGCTCCGCCATCACACTCATTCTAGCAATCTTATCCGCGCCCAACACCGAGGGATCACTCGGAGCAGTTTCCTACTACGTGGAAGAATACCAGCTCATAGAGACACTCATTGGGGAGCTGAGGAAAACAGACAGTATACTGGAGTGTACGGTGGCACGGCAGAGCGCACAAGTGCTAGAGACACTTGTAGCCGCCAGCTATGGTACATACAATGTGCAAGGCGACTTTACGCTTGTGGTGCCGTACTTTGGAAGATTGCGCATCAGCCAAGGTACGAAGCCCGCCACCAATGGCCATGCTGCCACCATTCCCAGCAGCGTCAGCAGCCATAATTCCACTCTTGCAAGCCCGAGCATTGCATCGACGGTGGAACTGTCTTCGCTGCCGCCGAAACAGGTCCCGGGAGATCCGTTCTACATGTCCCAACCCGCAAACACCATCGAGTTCAGTTCCAACGAGTTCCTGAATACGACTTTTAGTGACTTTGACTTTCAGATGGATCTCACCCAGGACTGGTGTACGATTGTAGACACAAACGTGCAGTATGACTGGAACCAATTATTCAACGGTACAAACAACATGGAACTCCGGTAGGCTGAGGCTTGCTCAACATTATGCGATACACGATGTATTTGAACGGATTATGACGTATAACGGAGTTTGGGGGCTTCATTGATGCTTTATCGCTTTCTTGTGTATCTGTCCTGCTGTCACTACAGCACTGTATATGTTACTTTAATTTAATCGCTTCACCATCTAGCTACGGATTGTAATAAAAGTTGACCAAGTCATTGTTTATCTCCCTGCAATTGGAGCAGCAGCGCATATGTTTTTTTTTTCGCTAAATGCCGTGAATGCAAATCTACAGACTTGGTTTGAAAGCCATGTCTCTCGTGCTCGGAGTCGCGACACCAGTTACAAAGCACAGAGCGATATTCGACACCACGTCACCACAATTCATAGAGCACTTTGCGATTTTATTTAAAAGACGTAATTGTTGAAATGAAACTAGATGGTAAAATGTTCTTGTTTTGCATGCAATGCTTGGTCGGATTCGCTATCTCATCTACCTAGTACTCGTCTTCCCATCTATCAATTACTGCAACTCTTTCTGTAATGCAATGCTTCGCGTGAAATCTTTTTTTTTCCACGTAGGAGCCAATAGTCTCCCGCACAATGCTTCATGGCAGCTTAAGTCTTAGCTTCTCTTTACTTTATTCTGTTTGGCCAACATGATCCATCCTATCACCGGAGTAGCTGCTTACCATTGATGCCTGAGATGCCGGGGTAGCGCTGGCATTGTCAAGACACGGTGTAACACAAGAAGCCGGATCTAGGTCCCGCTACGGGTAAGATTCAAGGTAATAATTGCGCCCTGAAGGCGTAGCCATAACTCTTCGTCCAGGGTGGTTTGAGCGACTTCGAGAAACTTCAGTCGCCCTCAATGCTCTATAGACCCAAGCAAGGCTCTCCTAAGAACCGGGCTGCCCGCCTACAAGAGGAAAATTCCCTTGGGCACCTGCAGACGCATTGAAGTGCTACGCCACCCGGTTTTGAGGCTGAGCTTGGGCTGCGCTGCCTAGAGTAACCCACCTTTGGAAACTGAAAGCTGCCTGATTGAGTCATAAACGACTGCCTCGAGCTTGCAAGATATTCGGAGAGTTCTTGCATAATCAACACGGCTCATCCAAGAATCATAAACGATGGCTGCTGGCATCACCTACTTATGGAAGCTCACGACATGCTCGTTCTCCGTGCCTTTCCGGATCTTTGGCTATCGGCTGTCCACTGGATTTTGGTTTCGATTGGTTAAGGACGAGATAAACATACCTTTCCGAAACAATGTAAGTTTAATAAATATACAAACGTCGAATTTAAATTGCGGCTCTCTAACACTCGTTCTGACCTACAGCATAACGATAAAGGCTTGTATTCACACGAGCCTCTCCCAAGCAAGAGGCACATCCGTCTGCTCGAGCTGCACCCAGGATCTGAAAACGATTCGTTCTGCGGAACTTTCCGCGTCGTTTCCCTAGACTCCCTGAATGACTACGAAGCCCTATCATATACATGGGGCAACCCCCGCATGACAGACACGATTGATCTAGGCGACGGCCGTTGCCTTCCCCTCGGCTCCAACTTGAAGAACGCCCTACACCACCTCCGAGACAGAAAGCAAAAGCGAAAGTTATGGATCGATGCCTTATGCATCAACCAGCAAGATATCGAAGAAAGATCACATCAGGTCCAGCTCATGGCCGAAATCTACCAGCGGTGCAAGTCGGTCGTTGCCTACATCGGCATGCCAACGCCCGACTCGCAGCTTGGCTTTGAGATCCTGTCGTATCTCGCAAACAGCAATACGCAAATCGGCGACGACAGTATGCCGTGGAATTATCTAAATGGCAATGATGTACACGCTGCGCTGCGAGACATCTTTGAGAGGCCATACTTCCAACGCGTCTGGGTCGTTCAGGAAGCAGCTCTTGCGCCGCAGGTCAGGATGCAGGTAGGCCACCTGTTCTTCGAGTGGTCCGGCGGAGCATCAACACGAAAGTTCCTCGCGCGCATCAAGTTGGCCGAGCTGTCGCCGTCGTGGCAGCAGATTGCGGAATTGCGTGACGCTGTCGATTTCAGGCCCATCCGTGAACTGCTCGAGCAAAGCCTAGCCGCAGAAGCGAAGCGCAACGGGGTCATCGAGAGTCCTTCCCTCTTAGACGTAGTGCACTCCATTCGTCACAGGCAAGCCGTAGACCCACGCGACCGCATCTATGGCGTTATGAGTCTCGTCACGTCGGCGGAGGTGGCAGAAATGGTGCCAGATTATAGTATGTCGTGGGAGGAAACCTACCAGCGGTTCTACGAGTTCGCCCTAAGACAAGTTTCCATGGATTCCGGTATTACTTTAGAGGGTATACAGAGAGCGAGTATACAATAAGTGGATTTAGAGTACATAGATTTGAATCCAACAACTGGAGGTTTTTATGTTATTAAGCCAATTAAATGAAGCACTCTAATGCTCTAAAACTCGGTTGGGAAGCCTGGATAGTAACTTATTCTAGACGCAAACTTGAAGAATACTACCGCCTTCATGCTGAGATCCAACCAGAATGATACAAGGAATGTTGGACACTACACAGAGAAAAGAAGCAAAAAACCGCTGTCATCTAAGGCAATCTCCTCCAGTTTTGTCCAATTCCTCTCCAAGCTCTCCTAGAGAAAATTCTGCCATTTCTTCAACCTCGGGGCCGGCAAATTTCTCTTCACAGCTGCCAGCCGCATCTCGGACCTACGAAATCGTTCTCGCCAGCGGCGTGCCCTGAGTCTTTCTTGATTATGGCATCATTCTGGTTGAAACTAAGCTCGAGATCGCTCTTGGCGAAGTAGCCGATGAAGTCATTCTGGTCGACGATATCTTGACCACTTACATTTTAGGATCCTGAAATGCCGCCGGGTAGAAATCCGGCGTAGAAGCCCCTTTCGTATTATAAGCAATACGTCTGCGACTATCTCAGTAGCTCATGCCTCGAGAGTAAATCTCCAAAAGAGACTGCGGCGAAGTATCAGGACGTGTTCAAGACACTTGAAGGGAAGTTGCTGGACTAAGCTCTAACCGCTTTAAGCAACAGGGTTATGAACAATTGAGACACGAAGACATACGCATCGTATACGTGTATATGCATACAAATATCTAGAAATTATATAAAGAAGCTGGAAAGCATTAATACTACGCAGACAACACAGACTGGTTCAAGCCTTGTGGTGCGCGACAAGGTTAAGTAAGACAGAAAGAAAGAAAGGCAGCAACCCGATTCGACAATCCAACTCTATGCGAACATTTTAAACAATTGGCTCTGCAAACGATGAGGATAAATAAATAAAAGGCTTGGGTCAGTCTTGAAGACGTTGTGATGACTTCATGGCTAGTTGGACCTAAGAGGGCTATTGAGTAGTCGCGTGGATCCACCCAAGCGCAAATGATCAATTTTATCAAAGTCTAGCAATAGTAACAGGGATGGTAATGACATAAGTCGTTATACCGTAAGCAGAATTGCGAAACGCGTTTCAGGCGCTACCTAAGAGGTAAAAGTAGGTCAGAATAGGCTCCTCGTATATTTCGTATATGCAGTTCTCGCCAGGATCTAGGTTGTACCTAGCGTAGCTCCACTACCCAGAAGCTTTCAGACCACAAAAACTGCAAAAAATAGGTACTGATTGACAAAACTGCTTTGAAATTAATTGAAGAGCAACTCAAGGCCATGTGCAAAAACTCAAACCAAATAAACCTACTCGACTAATAGTTCCATGGACACAGTCACTTTGCACTCAAGCAATCAGTTGATTAATTGAACTTTTTTGAATTCAGAATAGAAAGTGGTATATAGGCTCAAGAGTTATTTACGAGCAAGTTATTAAATATTTACACAGGTGCAGCACATCCGAATGAGGTGGCCACGGTACCTCCAGGTCCGAAGATGGTGATGAGACCCTCAATGGCGGCCCAGGAGCCCATACCAGAGCAAACGAGACCACCAAGGAAGTAGATAATGTTCACAATATTGATGTGCCAGTTGACCATGAATCCACGGGTCCAACGCTTCATACCAGAGTCGAGGCGGGTAGTCACGCCGGTAGCTGGGTCGAAACCTTCACCAGGCAGAGCAGCGTCCATCTTGACACGGTATCCAATGTACAAGAAAGCGGGGAAAGTGTAGGTGAAGTTGAGGATCAGGAGAGCGCCGACAATACCGGAGATACCGTTGATGTTAGGGACGGCAGCACCGACGATGAAAGCAAGAGCCCAGTAAAGGGGTCCAAGGGCATACCACAACCAGCGACCCTTGCGGGTGGTGATCGGGGGAAGACCCATAATCTCCTGGAAGACCTCGACGTAGACAGTCTTCATGCCGACGTTCATGTACATGACTAAAGGATGAGTAGGTTAGCCGCTGTTCAAATAACATACATTTGGGATTGAGATGATACTTACGACAGGCAATAGCTCCTGTGATCAAACTCAAAACGTTGTTCGCAGTCTGCAGGGAGAATGGCTGAATGACGGTGTTGATGGTGGAAGCAGAGTACTGTCCATAGTGGCCGTAGACGAAAGCACCGAAGAAGATGTAGACAAGGCAGATGAAGGTCTGGGCGCAAAGCATACCCTTCCAGAAGTCCCAAGGATGACGCATCTCGGCAAGGAAAGCGATAAACAGGAGAGCACCACCGTAGCTGTACACCATCTGGTTGATTCCGTTAAACTGGCCAGCGAAACCTGTAGCTTGCTGCTGGTACTGATCGGGAGGAGGGCCAGCAAATGTCTTGATGGGCTCGATGGTCTTGATCCGAGTGGAGCTTGTAACGGCCTGGTAGTCAATGGGAAAGTTGGCGCAAGCAACCATGATGATAATGAAGGAGACAATGTTGATCCAGACGGACAAGTTGGCAAGCCAACCAATGCGCTGCAGAGAACGGATGCTACCAAAGACCATGCCGACCACCATGAAGATGACGAGGCAGGCAATGTAGCAAATGCTCTCACTGGACAACTGGGCGATGATCGTACCACTTCCCAGAATCAAAACAGCGACTGTCATGAACTGTTGGATGGCCTGAGCGACATTGATGAAGTGACGAGCAAATGATCCGTAAACTCGGAAATAGGTATCACCGAAAGAAACCATGGGGAAGCGAGATGAGTCGAGACCAAGGAAGACCTTCCACAGAATGTAGCCAGAGAAGGCAGCGGCAGCACCAAATACAATGTACAGAGCAACACCAGGGCCATATCCGACACTGGCAAAGACGAAGGGAGTTGATGACCAACCCAGGATATCGGTAGTGATGAGATAGAACATGGTACCCCAACTGGCTGTTCGCATGGCACGAGAGGCCTGCTTCCATTCCGCCTCGGTGGCGGCGCCAGAATCCTGGGTTGTGAGAATACCAGGGTTCTTCTCATCAACAGGAGAGTCGGTACCGCTGTTTGCAGCAGCCGCCTCAGCCTTCTTCTTGTTCTCATGGTGGATACCCTTTGAGAAACGGCCCATGAAGACACTCTTCACGGTTCTTGGGCCATGCTCCGCCTTGAAGGTAAGGTTGGCTTGGTGTTCTTCTTCTCGCTCAATCTTGGCCCAGTATTGGTATTCCTCGAAGGTGACTGTGGGGTCGGTACGGGCAGCGAAACCCCAGACTCGTTCCCGAATCATCGGGGGCTTCTCGAGCTCTGCCTCGGCATCAATGGCTGTGTTGATGACATCGTTGTCGATGGCAATAGGCTGTAAGCCACCAGTGGGCTGAAGAGTGGCCATGGTGAAGGTTGATGTTTCTGTCCTAACTCTTGAGAAAGAGAGAGAGAGAAGAGGAGGACCAATGGAACACACACCACAACAACAACAACCAAGGTTGAGGTGGTGGGAGAGGAGGGGGATATAAGAGGATGAGAAGGACTCAAGGGGATGAGCTGAGAGGAATGAAGAAAGCGATTGTTACACGTGGGAGGAGCAGGTCTTTATCAATGAGGCTGGGGTAGGAGACAGCTGGTATGGAAATGTAACCCTCCTACATAAACGTCCTCGGAGCAAGGCCTGGGGTTCTCCACCTCTCGAGTATAACCCCGACACAATGATTTGCAACAACCAACCCTGGGTGAAGATAATGCCACTAGCGCTTCAGCTCAGGCGTTTGAGAACTTCTGTTCATCCTTCAGCCATCGAGCGAGACCATCTTAGTCGGACCGCTTACCCCGGAGAAGGGGGCCTGGGTTATCTCACGATGCCATGCGATAGAGGCAATCAATCCGGTGACGCCTAGTAGTCGTATCCACCCCCGCGCGACAAACACGCCAAAGGCCCCCAGCCGATAGGAGAAACGGAGAGGCCATCGCGAGAGTTGGGCTCCAGCACTGCCCGTGCTACAACATACAAGTACGAGTACACCGTGGAGGCGAAAACCAAAAGTTCTTCCACACACCATCTCGCCTTGCCCAATTCGACGGGCGTATGTGGAGGCGGTATTCTGGAAACCCACGTCGATCCTAGAAAAGCAAATAGCGCAGAGCATGCGGCGTGGCAAGGGTTAGTCCAGGGCCTGTGGACGGATAAGTCGGGTTCTTTTGCTCTTCGCAGGCCAGATAACAAGCAGCAGAGGCGTTATAGCAACTCTATACGGTGGGATGTTGGCGAATAATCGGATTCTATTAGCTGCGGCAGCTCGAGCTAGCAGAACCAGTAGCACACGAGCAGGAGGGGAGGGGTTTGATCCGTGACACTAGAGGGGGTGCGCTTCTCAAGCGTCGGCTGTGGCTCTGGCCGGGGCAAAAAAGAGCAAACGGGTGGTGTGCCATTGGACGGCTGGAGCGAGGGTTGGAATTTCAGCGATATTGGAGAAGTTGCTTGCAAGTATGAGTTGAGATGGAGTCACGTGTCAGAGGAGGGCGTACAGTATGGCTCTTCCCGGCCTCATTGCGGAGAAAAGGGACAGGAGCTGGTCCATACTTGTACATACTGTCTGCTATCTCGCCATTGGGCTGCCAGCGATCAAGAGAGACCATTCGCGAGCGCGTCTAACAGTCCCTGCTGCTATTAATGCCTATCTACAGAGTGGAGGACTATACAGAGTGGAGGACTATACGGAGTGGAGGAGGCAAAACGGCGAAATGACTCGCCACAACCGAGTGGCGCGCGGGGAGAGTTGTCTTTATAACAGCTTGGAGTTGCTGGTGTTGACACACGGGTATGACGATGGTTATTTCAATTTGACTGATTGTACGTGATTTCTAGGTCCAAAGAGAGCGAGGCAGCTCGGGTATCGACGCGATGCTGTTGCGCTCCATATAGCTTGGATGCACGCAATGCTACAGTACATACAGCAATGATTGCAATGGAGGGGGGTGAACCAGATGCCAAATTAACACCAACCGCACTCGTACTTGTGCAGCTACAGCAAAGTCTCGACATACAGTAGATGACGCTGAAATTGCTGCGACAACAATGTCTGTTCGTACCGCGCTGGCGGCTCGATTGTATCTCCAACAACACCCCCCCAGGGTATTATCTCTTACTTGTACATTACAGTATGGGTACGAGCGAGTTGCAAAGGTACCCTGTCAAGCGTGAGACGCATCTATCCATTCTCGTGGCAAAACACCGAAAGTTCTCCATACCTCCCCGGGGACCCATAACTCATTGGTTTATCAAAGCAGCGAGACCGAGGCATCGTCTTTGAATTGATACAATACATAGATAGATGCAAGCTATCGCCGCCGACTGGATAAACTCAAAACCATCAAAGGATGCAGACATGGAAGATGTGGCTGCAAAGAGCAAACCTTCACCGCAAAGCCGCATGAAAGCGAACAATTCCAACATTCTCAGAGGCAGCCAGTGATGTCACCGCCTCCTTTTCTGTGCCATCTCCCCGTCCAATATGGAAAGCAGAAGTTCCTGCAAGCCGTATCGCGCCTCTCGATCGTCTCTGTAAGAGCCGTCTTGGCATCCGTCCCGTCTTGGCTCCGGGTCTACGTCTCACTTTTGGGCAAGGCCGCTGCTGCCACTGATTAAAACTCCGGCGCATGTGCATTGTTAGGCCCCCCTCGCGCTCTCTGGCTTGTGCCAACCACTGCCGCTAGTGTTCTGGAGGGAATGGCAGAGCAGGATGGGCAGAGTGGTGGCGGCGCCGATTCCCAATCCAGGAACACGCACTTGACATTGGCAAGAGATAGCGGGGGACTACGAATCGCTGCACCCTCGGGAATCTGCGATGATGGCGCTGCCAAGAGTCTTGTCGATGCCTTCAACAGCCATCTGCCGCGACTGAATGAAACCTCAACCACCAGTCGCCAGGAGCAGGTACCTACTTGTGCCACCTGTCTCTTGTGTGGATGGATGGCGCCGATCTCACGGCCACTCGGTTCAGCATCACCACCATCCTTGCAATGTTGGATTTGCCTGTTCCTTAATCTCGCAGCTCTATCTGCGAGGCCACAGCAACAGCGAGGGCGACCCTCTACAGTCCGCTTTTTCGTCTCTTCCAGCGGAACTTTTTGCTCTGTGGCTTGCCAAAAGCGCCTACGGACTAATAATGGCAGGAAAAATTCCCGTCTTTGCCGATTAGCTTACGCCCTCCTTGGCAAAAGTTCCCCACAGCTTCCCCGGATATTGTGATGCCGCTGGAAAGTCCGCCTGCTCTTCGCGGCTCGCCAATGAGGCTCTCTGGGCCGCCGCTTCGCCGTCTTATCAAACACGTCCCGACCACTGCTTTGCTCGAGAACGGCGACCGGGATCATTTAGTCGCTGACCGGCCGGGGCCTAGGCCAGGGGTGGCCACCTTCAGGCCTCTAGCGCAGCCATTAATGCAGCGCCAGGGCTGGCGTCTTGAGAAAGACTGGGGTCGTATGCATCGTACCGACTCCGTACATCTCGTATATCTGCGTACCACCTACCAAGACGAGATGCTCCGGATCATCAGCAGGACGACATACATAATGCAGATACAGTACCACCGGATGCCACTGAGCGGTATCGTATCGACGAGATGAATTTGCACATATCTACGATGCCGCGCTGCACTGGGAGATGAATAAAGTCTCGACAGAGTCTAACCGACGCCATCGTGCGCTGCCAAAATCAAGCTTGATGACAGAATTCTGACATTTAGCCATGCTCCAGAGCCGGATACACGGAAAGCAAAAGGCTATTACTATACGAAGACCGCCTGCTATCGACGACTAAATTACACATAATCCCTAGCTTAGATGCCGCGGTTTCGTCCGTCTTCAGCCACCAAAGAAAGAAGCTCCAAGAAAAATTCCATGACCGAGTACCGCGGCGCCTCCTTTTGCCACCGCCAAACGCCTCCCCCAGAGTAAGGATGGCCTCGCCGGATCCGAAGGGTGAATCAGGCTACGCCCGGAGATGTTGGCGAGTACATTCCTGTACTTGCCCTACACCAGCTCGAATCGACGCCGTGTCGTTGCTAGCCACGGTCGATCAAGGCGGGCCATCAGGCCGCGAGAGACGGTAGTCGGTGGTGACCTTCCTTTCCCCGCTTAGTCGGCGTTTTGATAGCCCTTCGGCGCCACATTGTCGCGAGGCCAAGTCTGCTACGGCCTCAACTCGACCATTGTATCGGCGCGCAGGCCTCAGCCACCAGTTGAAGATTCATTGTGCTTTGAAGCTGTGGCTTCTGCCTCGAGTCAGGGCTCGCGACGCTTCTTTAACTAGCTGCATCATCGTCTTTCTTTTTTCCGACACGATATGCCGAGTTGCTGGGAGCAAAAAGCATGGTGCATTGCCTCGCTTCACCCCAGCTCTCGTATCGCCTCTACACGTAACGAATTTAGAACGAGATACCGATTGCCTTTTCAGTAATCATCCCCATATAGTGAGGATATTGAATTCCCGTCACAGGACCCTTAATCCTCCAAACTCGGGACTCTAGCTGAATTCAGTAATACGCAAATTTGGTGGCAACTGCATTGATAACTCCTCTTTCAGCAGTGACCGAGCTCATGGGTTATGCCATCTACCAATAAGCATGCGGGATTCATCTGATGGACTATATGAAGTATTATTGGAAGCATCGTATAGAGGGCCTGAGCCTCCCAATCTTTCAAAGAAAGAACAGGACATGGTACAGTACCCCTTCTTGGCATGATCCCTGTTAGCAGGCCTGCATGCAGGTAAGATAACGCTTGCGTGCCATGTGGCCTGTAGTATCGTTTGTGGATATTAGCCTGGCAGAAATGTCACCAACCACTAGGAGAAGCAGGGATCTATCGTCTTGGCCTCTCCCAGCGATACCACCATCTTGAAATGCTCCCAATAGAATGGGCTGCCTTTGCCGGAGCGAGCATCAGCGCAAGCAACTTTCCCCAGGCAGCCAGCGGCCAACTTAGTTGCGCGATGTTGGCTCCCCGGCTTTGCTTCCGAGGGATACAGTCTTGCATCCATGTTGCTAGCCATTGAGCAATCCTCCGAGCAAGCACATGATAATGTTCCGCAATCTTTGCAACCTGCCTCATTATCTTGGCAGAGCTGAGATGATGTGATCAGAATTGCTCCATCTTCTCGTTTGATTTGGACAACACAGCCTGATTCTAAATCTTGATGAGCCCATAAATCATTCAATACAGTTGTATACACCGATACCGTCCACCGACCAAATCAAAAGAGCCTATCAAAAGCGCATTCCATATCTCAAATCCTGTCAAAACTTTTGCCTCGTGTCATTCGCCATCCTTTCACTACATTGATAGCGCTAGTATTATTCCAAGGAAAAATCTTCCGACTTGGCACTTGGCATCAGCCTCGTTCCCTTCCTTTTGGCACGCTCATACGCTCACATACAGTATCATTCATTTCATTAACTCATACACTCCCTGCCCTTTTTTCCAAAACGTAACATTACATACATACATACCCAGGCTCGGAGCAAACCAGAAGAAACTTTTTAACTACTACCTAAGCTTAACTCTTACATAAAAGGCAACTCTACTTTTCCTTACAGCATGTAAATCGCAAAAAAAGTCCGCTGCTTCCTGCACCTGAGACTCCATCTCTACAACCACCCATTCCCTTCCGCCTATTCATAGACCACAAGGCCATTAATGTACTCACAAATACAAGGGGTGTGGGTAACCCAGCATTCAACTGCAGCATTCAGGTTGGTATATTTTAGTTAGACCGAAAAGCCAGACAGGGCCCTTTTGATTGCCGCTATCCAAGGGAGGGGTGGCCCTTTTGGCGCTTCTGTATGGGGGGGCTTGTTTTTGGGTCTGCATGCTTACCTTGGATGTTTTGTGAGATATTTATTACCACATCTCAAATAATCAAAAGCGACGACTAGGTACCGATAACAGGTGTTGACAATTACCTAGCAATAATACTACTTGTAGGTAGCAATAAGCAACCACTGATGAATGACCAATACGCTCCACTTGATGATATCTGTCACGTTGATACGCCACGGGCTTCCAAATCACTCGAATTCGTATACTAGGCAGTATAGTAACATGTTTATTGACTCAGCGCTACAAAAAATCCAATAGCTTTCGTAAATATAGCACGCTATAGACACATGATCTCATCGCCGAATCCTCCATCAATCCATGGCCCAGTGTCTATCCAATAACGCTTAGAAGTTCATCTCAAACCTGCTGGGTTCGGGGGGGTACGTATGGCCTAGGCATTATTCGTTGGCTGAGCGTCCAGATATGAGCTTGCCATTTTCTCGATTCTCTCACGACGTTATTCATGACTGGGCGTTTAGACATGTTCGCTCGATCCTCTCACGAACATTGCGTACAGCAGCTGCTGCATTCAAGACCATTTGCACTGCAGATATAGCATCGGCCACATCCTGAGGCGCGTTCTGGAACTGTATCACAGTTCGACGTTGATCGCATGTCAGCACCTGAGCTGCCTCAGATGGACCCGGATTCGAAGACGAGCTATAAGTCCTGATACGGAACGAGACAACTGAGATGGATTGACTCTCTCCAACTATGATCACTTGTCTGGGTCGAAGTAACAGAATCCTGAACCGATCAGTGAAATTAGGTCTGCCTAACTTATCTTGAGGCGGAGGATCCTGATGAACCACATCCCGCAAGACAACAGCTGTCCAAGCGTCAGGCGTCAGGTTACACATGTGGTATCCTGGATTGCTATAGATTGATTCTTTAGGCTCATGGTTGTATACGGCAAAGGATGCTTCCACTGGTATCGAATGGACCTCGTAAAATTTGTCGGAACCCACTGTTGGCGACCCCCAAGCTAGATTACGCATTAAAAATCTAGTGAAATCCAGCGTTTCCCTTTTTTTAATGCAATTCATGTTGCGAATCGTCTCGAGAAGACCTGCCCACAGGCGAGAAGAAGAAACGAAGCCGCCGCCAAGGAAAACGTGTGCAAAAGCAGGTTGGAAGCGGTTATTAAAGGTACTCTGATATATTATCTGCGTGATGGGAAATGACTTGGATCCCACGCAGTGTGTCCTATTCCAAGTCAATTGATGTAAGACATTACTTCCTGGGCTGAGAAGGCTTATGGGTATTGGCCCCCTCGAGCCCTCTGCTAACACAGAAGATATCAACACTTTGGAGCATCTATGAGTCCAGTTGCGCAGCGCACGCATGACCTCTTTTGGCATTGTTCCAACAATTTCGTGTGGAGGAGTAAGTAGGTACAGTGCGTCGAGACTATGGTCAATTGCAGCCAGTGTTTCTTCAATCTCGTCGTCGGCCATTGCAGCTGTCCCTGACAAGTTGATACTGAGGGCTTTTGGACATAATCGCAGTACATGCCTCACGGCGGCGGGTGCCAATTTGCTGAACTGCGCAAAACTTATATGAGTCTGTCCTTTGAATGCCTGGGCAAGTAGCGCAGGGCAGATTGAAAGCTTGTGGGCATTTTCAAGACAGTACTCCCAGATCAAAGGTTTGATGTGAGGCAATTCCAAGACTTCATGATCAGTGATGTTTTCAGTTGATTGAAACAAGTAGGGTAATCTCGCAATGCAAAGATCGATCAAGGACTTCCCAGTCGGTCGAGGCGGTGCAATTCTTTCTAGGTTTCCAACTGGAGTAGAGCTTAGTGATGAAATTCTAGAAGACATTGTCCCTTTATTCTATTTTTTATGAGAACGAAAAAAGGGGGGGTGAAAACGGCACACACCTGGTAATACGCGCATGTTTGTCATGAGTTCGAATCTTTCGAGCGCTTGGGCAACTAATTGTTCCCCCGAAGCGTCTTGTTCCTCTGTTACCCATTTCGGAGCTCGGGCAAGATAACTTAGAACACCTTCTGGCGTGCTGTTCTCCGCGACAAAGCAATATCTCAATCCATCAAGGTTAGTGATGTCAATGAAAGCCATACCATGGTGCCAATATATAGCATTAGCCGATGGTGGCCTTATGGATCTATCGTGCATGGCGCCGAACTGCTCCATTACATATGCGTCACGAAGACCACCTAGCCGCCATCGTCGCTATTAGAACATCGAATGGACAACGGGTTACATGCCGAGACCTCTCTGCGGTTGTGGGAGCGTACGGACCTTTCATTCCTAGATATAAGCATGTGTTGATGAATGGAAAGGGGGATCTGGTCCCAGTCACAACACTCTATATATCGCGATTGGGGAGACTGCCGTGGTCTGTAATAGATACACAACATCAGCACCCATCAACCCACACGCATGTTTTTTTTTTCCTTTTCGCACCAGCAATTGGGTCATCTGGCCTAAGAGCGGACAGAAAAGAAAGTTCCTGTTCAATGGCGACTCTATTGGAAGGGTCTGAGAATATGAGCAGAGTCTGCAGTACTGCGTTGGCCGCTTCGGCGCCAAAGAGCGGCTTGTGCGATCCAGAGCTCAAGGTAACAAAGCGGTGGGCGTGCCGAGCAATGACTTTAATCTCGAACCACATTTCTGCCAAGTTTTTGAGTTTTTGATATTGATGCTGGTATAGAGATGATGTATGGAAACGAGCGTCGACTGTCTGTTCGGCTTAACGATGGACTAAATGTGATGACAAGATGTGCGTCGTAAGAGATGAGAGTATTTACTTTCAGATGGCTTGTTTCAACTACGGCGTTTAGTCTCCAAGTTTGTTGAATGAGCACCTGCCTGCTGGGACAACATGGTATGTATTTATTTAATATTTTGGCAGGTTCTTTGACAATATTCAGACTACATGTATAGTACGGTATGGGCCTTCTTCGCATCCGCTGCGGCTGTGCCTACCCTTGAGCAGGTGGCATTACGAGAGCAATATTGGCGGCAACCAACACCGTTAAAAACTGCACGGAACCATTACTAGGACAGAAATACTAAAGAAGAGTCCAACGCTTGGTCAAACCCTACGGAAAGGGAAGCCGTCACACGGAATAAGCGAGCAAGCAAAGATGCCGAGGTTGGCGTCCCTTTTTATACAGTTGACCGGTAGAGGTAAATCATGAGCACGATATGACTAAGCGCGTACACATGTAGATGTAGCCAAACACCACCACTACTCTATTCTCCTGATACGGCAAAAGCTGTCTTGCAGCATCCGAAATGCCATTCCGGCAATTCCACAGTTTCCAAGCTTCCCCGCCAACCTGGTTCTTTTCGGCTGTGATGGCAACCCCAGGAAGGCGATTCATGGACAGTGAAACACGAGCTCAGGTTCGAAACTTCCGACGTGATGTGCCGGAACTCGGTTCAACTTATGTAAGCTGCCGTATGCCTCGGCTCAACCCCACAAACCCCGGCCGGCACGTCCGCCAAAAGGCCATCCATAAATCTCGTGGCTCCCCGGATTCTGCTGGCCGATTCCAGACTCTGCGTCGATTTGCTGCTCCCCAGATCGTGCAGATACCCTCACTCTAGACTACGAGACTACTGGATACTAGTGCAACCATGGCTGTCGAACGCATTGGCTCCATCATCAAGCACCTGGCCCCCGGGTCATCGCTGAACAGCATGTAAGCAGACGGCGTGTCTAGAATTGACTCGAGGAAGCTTCGATATGCTGACAGGACGTGTCGCGATGCAGCCAGTCCAAGAACCCCGATGATATCGTCATCACCTATGCCGCCCGCACGCCGCTGACCAAGGCGCGAAAGGGCGGCTTCAAGGACACGAGCCTGGAGTACATGATCATGGCCCTGCTCGAGAAGGTCCGCGAGAACAGCGGTGTCGACCCTGCCATCGTCGAGGACATCTGCCTCGGCAACGTATGTTTTTGCTACAGCACCTTGTTGATTCCGGCTGGCTAACAGCGTGCACTCGCAGACCGGCGATGCTCAATCCGCCTACAAGATCCGAGCTGCGGCCCTGGCTGCTGGCTTCCCCCACACCACCGCCGCCAGCGTCGTCAACCGCTTCTGCTCCTCTGGCCTCAAGGCCATTGCCGACATTGCACACCAGATCTCCAACGATTCCATCTCGGTGGGCATCGCCATCGGTGCCGAGTCCATGTCCACGGGCGGCGGCGCAGCTAGTGAACTCGACGAGGCCGTCATCAAGAGGACCCAGGAGGCCCACGATGCCATTCAGCCCATGGGCTGGACCAGCGAGAACGTCGCCAAGGACTTTGGCATCACTCGAGAGAAGATGGACATTTACTCGGCCGAGAGCTTCCAGCGAGCGGAAAAGGCCCAGAAGGCCGGCTTCTTTGACGACGAGATTGTGCCCATCACCACAAAGGTCAAGGACGCCAGCGGCGAGCTGAAGGAGGTGACGCTCACCAAGGACGAGGGCATCCGCCCCGGCACCACTGCCGAGGGTCTCGGCAAGATCCGCGCTGCTTTCCCCCAGTGGGGACCTACCACGACTGGTGGAAACGCCTCGCAGGTCACCGACGGTGCTGCGGCCGTCGTGCTGATGAAGCGATCAACCGCCATCAAGCTGGGCCTGCCCATCATGGCCAAGTACGTCGGCTCTACCGTCACGGCCCTGCCCCCCCGCATCATGGGCATTGGCCCCAGCCTTGCCATCCCCAAGCTGCTCTCCATCTACAACATCAGCCTCAACGACATTGACGTCGTCGAGATCAACGAGGCCTTTGCCTCCATGGCCGTCTACTGCCGCGACAAGCTCAACCTGGACTGGGCCAAGATGAACCCCAGGGGAGGCGCCATTGCTCTCGGCCACCCTCTGGGAACCACTGGAGCGCGACAGGTCGTGACTGGCCTGAGCGAGCTGCGGAGGACCAAGAAGAAGCTGCTGTTGACGAGCATGTGCATTGGAACCGGCCAGGGCATGGCTGGTCTGTTTGTCAACGAGCAGTTGTAAGGGATTCGCTGGCTGGGTTTGATAGGGTGTCTTGTACAGATATATATCTTTTTTTTTTGTAATTTTTTTGGATGATAAAAATGCAAGCGATTATTTTTTCTCTCTATATTACCACTGGTTTTGACCATTTGATGCCTGGTTTTCAGCCCATCTACCTCACCCAACGTAGGTATTAGGCGAGGCATGTACACGTATATTGGCATCTTAGCGTGTATCTAATGTACGACTTGAACGCGCATCTCGGCAATGTTGTGATCCAGCCACGCATGGAATGTGACCATTTGTGCCACGGGCAAAAAGGGGAGAGAGTCTGCCAAGATGAACAATTTGCTCGTGAAGCGACTATTGTCATTGTAGTGACTAGTATCGGTATAGAGATTCAACATCATCACCTTGAAGCATGTGCCTGGATACCGTCTTACAGACTCGTATAAACAGGCTCTTTCGGCTGAACAGAGACAACGTAGAGACCAAAGGCCTGCCTGTTCTAGCGGCTCTGTCCGCTGCACTGTCCACTAAAACATGCAGCGTCGAAACGGCACAAACACACCGAGACCGGCTGCACAATGCAGCGCAATCCGCCATCACTTCTGTCCACCTGCTCATCGTGTCAGGTGCGCAGCCGCCGTGGCCAATCGCCGGCGCTCGCTTGGCGTCGAGGGCGGTCTGGCGGCGTCTCCAATGCACGTTGAGGCCATCCCTCACCGCATTCGCCCCTGGCTCCCAGTGGACCGGCGCGCTGTGTGGAGCCCTCTTCAGCGCTGTGTCGCACTGCTGTGGCCGGTGCGCTCCCCCGCTGATGTCACCCGCGGCTTCGGCGTCGTTTTAGCGGGAGTCGCTCGCTGTGTTGACATTGATCGCTGCATGTGTGTGACCACGCCAGATACAGTAGAGCTTCGAAATTTTTTTTTCTTTCCCACCATCGCCAACCAAGGGTCCTTTGCATGGCATCCCTCCCTCTGGCCTTTTCTTTCCGCTTGGACACGTTTTGCTAATTGCAAGTACCGGCCGTTGGCGGCTGGGCAGAAGAGAAGGAAAAAAGGGAAAAGAAGAAACAGTGAAAATTGCCGACGTGTATTTTCGCTGCTCCGGCTCTTGTTTATTTTGTCCTGAAGCTCTCGCTCGCCCTTTGCTATAGATAGACACTCGACTCGGCTTCGCACACAACACAACAAAACAAAACACCGCGAAATTCCAATTGCCGCTCACGGATTGATCCTTATCCTCGAAACACGACTCTACCGATCCGGATCCCACATGCACGCCTCGACGCCGAGCACCACGACCCCGAATCCGTGAAAATGTCGGGACCCCCGCCGCCGCTGAGCCGCGCAGACTCGTCTAAAGACCACCGCCCGCTCCAGCCAAGCACGCTTCGACAGAGTCATACGCCGGAGAGCCGTCCGGGCAGCGAGGACAGCAACCACGGCGACGTCTATCCGTCTTCCACAGCAGTCGGCGACCAGTTCATGGGCGAGTCCACGCCGCTGATCCTGGGCTCCGAAGCGCGGGGCCGCAGCCATGGCACCTTTAGCCCGCGGGCGTCCTCGCCCAGTGGCCTCTTCAGCGGGAGCACCGACGACGGAAGCGATTCGACGAGGTCTGGTGGAAACACTGGCATATTTGCGTCTCTGCTGGGTGGCGACGACTGGAAGAGGTGGCTTACGAGGAGGATGCGCACCACTAAGATGGGCCACAGCAGTGAGCTTGCCGAGCAGGCAGGGTTCCGAGATACGCCCTTTATGTGAGCTTCTGCCGAGATGTGTGCCGTTGTTCTGGGCATCTGTGGCACTTGGACTGACCCCGTGTGGATAGGTATCTGGCGTACTACATCCCGTGCCTGAATTGGATCCAGCAGTATAAGCTATCGTACCTCCAGGGCGACTTCATTGCTGCTGTCACGATGGCTTCGTTTTACCTCCCGATGGCGCTCTCGCTTGCGGCCAACCTGGCACACGTGCCGCCGATTTTTGGCCTCTACGGCTTCATCTTCAACCCATTCATCTACGCAATGCTCGGATCCTCCCCGCAAATGGTAATCGGCCCCGAGGCGGCCGGGTCTCTGCTTGTCGGTACCGTGGTGAAAGCTAGCGTGGACTCTGGGGGCGAAGGCTCAGAAGACAACGATGTTCTACAAGCTCAAATCTGCGGCGTGGTGGGCGGCATGGCTGGCGCCATAGTTCTCATAGCAGGTCTGGCCAGACTGGGCTTCTTGGACAGCGTGTTGAGCAGGCCGTTCCTTCGAGGCTTCATCTCTGCCATTGGTTTTGTCATTGCTGTGGACCAGCTGATTCCCGAGCTTGGCCTTGCAGCCCTTGCGGAGGAAGCTGGTGTCAACCATGGGAGCAGCGTCGACAAAATTCGATTCATTGTCAGCAGTGCTGGCAAGGCCCATAAACTGACCTTTGCTGTAGCGGGAGTGAGCTTCGTCGTCATTATGATTTTTCGGTAAGCTGAGAGTCAAGTTTAGTTTATCCTGTGTCTGATAGCGGCGACTGACATGTTTCATCTTTGTAGCGAGCTCAAACGCCGTTTGGAAAAGAGGTTTCCTGGTGTTGCCTACTTCCCCGACCGATTCCTTGTCGTCGTCATCTCTGCTGTTTTGTGCTGGCATCTCGATTGGGAAAACCAGGGACTTGAGGTTTTGGGCTCTGTCAAGGCTGACTCTGGGGGTATCTTTGAATTCCGATGGCCCTTTCAACTTGCCCACATGAAGCACATCCGCACGGCCATGTCGACTTCTTTCCTCATTGCGCTTCTTGGCTTTTTTGAGTCGTCTGTTGCCGCCAAGAGTTTGGGTGGGAGCTCTATCCCTGGCATCGAATTGAGTGCCAACCGAGAGATGATTGCTCTTGGAACCGCAAATCTTGTTGGCTCCATGTTCATGGCTTTGCCTGCCTTTGGTGGCTATGGACGAAGCAAAGTGAATAAGACGACTGGTGCAAAGACCCCAATGAGCTCCGTATTCCTCAGTCTCTTTTCATTACTATCCGTTTTGTTCCTATTGCCATATTTTTACTTTTTACCGGTAAGAAACCATTCTGTTGTCGAGCAAGGCATTGTCAGAAACTAATCTGGTGTACGTGACAGAAACCCGTTCTTTCAGCAATGATTTCAGTCGTGGCATGGTCGCTGATAGAAGAGGCGCCCCACGACATTTCATTCTTCCTACGTATTCGAGGCTGGACCGAGTTGGGCCTCATGGCAGCCATCTTTTTCTCCACAATCTTCTATTCGCTTACTTTGGGTATGGCTCTTGGAGTGGGAATCTCTCTGCTTCTCGTCATCAAGCACAGCACTCGTCCTCGCATCCAGATCCTCGGCCGAGTTCCCGGCACCAACCGCTTTGAGAATCCTGAATCCCAAGACTCTCGAATCGAGTTTATCGAGGGATGCCTGATTGTCAAAATCCCGGAGCCATTGACTTTTGCCAACACTGGTGAATTAAAGGCGCGACTTCGACGACTGGAGTTTTATGGCACAGCGCTGGCACATCCCGCGTTACCGCGCATCCGAAGCACAGACTCGAACCGTAACATCATCTTCGATATCCATGGTGTGACATCCATGGATGGTTCCGGCACGCAAGTGCTCGAAGAGATTGTTCGAGACTACCGGGAGAGGGGCGTGCGAGTCTTCTTCTCGCGCGCACCACACCACCGGGATCACCCCGTGTGGAAACTCATGGACAAGAGTGGCATCGTCGACCTGTGCGGCGAGAGGCATTTTGTAAACGACGTTGAAGAGGCGCTACGCTTGACGGAGTATGAAGATAGCGTCATGACACAGTGAGAGGGACGTACCTCCGTGCCAAGGTAAGTTGAATGAAGTTTTAGATGGAGGTTATGATTGAGGCTACTTGTCACAGCGCAGGACTGTTTATTCCCCTCTTGTTCCTCCTTTTTTTTTTTCCCTTTCTTTTCTCTCATTTTCTTACTGCTTTACATAGCGGTCGTGCATAAAGGGGCGAGCATGTATAAACCTAAACCTACAACGTGAAGGAACGTGACCAAGATGTATTTGATACGATAGCGGCTATGCAGATTTAACATAGATATCCAGGTGTTTGTTTATTACGCTTATTGACTTTATACATGTGCTCAATCTGCTCATGCTGAGGCCACAATCTCATCCAACCGTGCTACAGACTGCCTCACAACGTCCATTCCCGGAGCGTCGTCGTCGATGAATTTTTCCAGCTCATACAAGTGAGGCTGTCCGTCGGCAACGATGAGCGTGACCTTGTCCTCGCCTAAGCAATCGCGCATATCCTCGCTTACGTTGAGCACCACATCAGGATCATTGTTGCCATGAAAGATGACTGTCCTGGGCCATTGCGCAACCCGGTCTTTGGCATCAGGAAGTTTCGCCCACTGGTATCCGGGATCTACAGATCCAACCAGATCGACAAAGGAGTTGTTAAACGTGTAGTAGTCATATAGCATGCCGCGATAAATACTAGGATTCTCTGATCCAGCTTCAGAAGGGGTGTAATTAGGATTCTTGGCGCCGTTGGGCGTTAGTTTGTCGAGGACAAAGGCGGATTCATCAGGACGCATGTCGTCGCCGCTTTGCATGGGAGTCGTGATGTATTTCTCCATTGTGGAAGGGGGGATTTCTTGTTCGGCGAGTAAGAGGGATGAGTTGAAGAAGGGATGGCGGAAGGTGTTTATGCCTTGGATGGAGAGGAGAGCGAGAGGCTTGGGGTTGCAGTGGTGGGCGATGATGGCGGCCATGAAGAACCCTTTGAATAAGAGTGTTAGTTTTCCTCTTCCTTTTCTCTCTCTCTGGAAGATAAAGAACTCACCACCACTTGCACCGCCCACAATGACTCGTCTTTGGAATTTTGGCAGAGTATTCCAGCTTCGTGCAAAGTCGTAGGCTGCTGAGGCATCTTGAAGGAGACCATCCCCACCAGCTTGGGGGAGAAGACGATAGGTTGGGCAAATTAGAGGCCATTTGCGCTGGATGCACGACTATAATAATAACGTTTGTTTTATGAGATTCAATAATTTCATTTTGCCTGAAAATGTCTTGGACATGATTGTTGGATGTTTTCACGCATCAACTCACCTGAACTAACCAAGGCGCAATAAGATCACGGTTCCCGTCAACCAGCCCCCCGGGATGAAAGTACAGAAAGACAGGAGCGTCTTTTGGATAGTCGTCATCGGTGTAGATGTCGCATTTCAGCGACATGCCGTGATTGGCATATTCTTCTGTTAGCTTGTGCACCATTATGAAAACATGTATAAGAGGATGTTGAAAAGAAAGAGAATGAAAAGAGACAACAGGAGTTGCTGAAGTGAGAACAACCGTGAATTTACTGTACACTGCTAATATGACTTGGGCCAAGGTCTGGGCGGGGTCTAGCGATTTTATGATTACTTGTCTGTGCAAAAGAGTTCAAAACTGCCCAAGTGAATATTGCGTAGATAACAGTGACGCCTTGTTAACGCCCTTTCGGAGACACCAGAACGCGCGTTTGATCTCTTGAGAGGTCTGTTTGCTCCTACGCGTCATCACGTGGGCGTAAGCATCTGGAGAGAGTCATTCCGTCGCCGAGTGTCCTTCTTTGCTTTTGAGGGGATAGAACTAATAATTTGGAGGTTGAAGCTAGACGAGTTTTGGCGCCGGAAGCGCTGCTCCGGCGATTTACTAGCGTCTTGTAGTTTGTCGTTCTGGTGATAGTCTGGCGTAGTCGTGTGTAAGCCAACTAGAGACGGGCTTGGATGGGTGAGAATTGTAATTGTAATTTTATTTGGACGACGGGACAATTCAGAGTTTCTGAGAATTTGAAATTATCCCAGAGGTGGCTTTGAATAAAGCCACATGGCGTTGGAAATGAGGCTGGGCTGGCCCCCGTCCATAACCATGGGTATTGCATGCCTCAGCTGAAACGAAGCAAAAAAAAGCAATCGCCGTATGCTTCCCTGCTCATCTTGGAGCGACGGAACGTCATCGTTGCTTTTTTGCTTAGCAACTTGATCAAAAGCAATCACTAGTGCTATTCTTTTGTTTCTTTTTCTTACATCACTTTTTGGTTGTTTACCTGTTTTGAGATGCGAAGCAAATCTCATCGAGATATTACCAGGATCCCTTTCCCTTGGTCAGAGTTATGCATGCCTGCAAGTAGAAGTGAGAAATAACTGCGCATTGCTATACAAGCGTTGAAGGTAGCTCTTGATCTATGATGTAGAGTAGGATCCATCGCCATTTCGCATAGAGATACTGGCAGCATAGTTGGTAGATGCAAATAGGCAGTCCTACGTATTGAGGCGGCAGTATCAGCAGGACTACACCAGCGGAAGACTAGCTCTATACTCTACGGTGAGATGCTACCTTTATTTGACAAGGATGAATAGAGTTATGATAGCTACCTGCGATTCCTTAGTGTATATTCTCCTAAACTTCCCGAGGTGGCTGGCTAATGCACGGCGGGTTTCATCGCGATTTCGGTGAGGCATTTCCCGCATATTGGCCCCCAAAATAGTAGCTTGATTGGATCTCATCTCTTCCGAAATACCATGACCGGTGACGTCTGACAGTAATATAGGCCTCTTTATAGGCCGTGGTAGGAAACACATGGGGGCCAGTCCCAACAAGATGCCGTTATTGAAGGGGCGCAAAGCTTGGGTAGCAAACGACCATATTTGGATAAGTAAATGTTCTTCTTAACCAATTTGTGGACTTGTGTTTAGATATGAAAGGTGTTTTGTATACTCTATCCAAAATGCAGGCGGTAAACTGAATTTGTTTCCAGCTCAGACACTGTCAAAGCCGCGGAAGGGATCATGGAGCAAGGAGCAAACTTGGCAACAATTAGGTATACAATAGGAGTTTCATCATACTAAAAACTATCGGAACTCAGAAGAGACAGTCTCCTTTGCGTCCGACAAACGGCTTCACCGATGCCCCAACATGAAAAGTTTTGAGTTATCCCTCTAGACTTCTTACATGGCTTGGTTGCCTGCGCCTTGTGCAGCTCTCATTAGCAGCTCTGGATCCCTGCTAATGCATGGTCCGATGATAGGCTGCATGCATACGGAAATGTCACCAATGGTGCGATGGATGGCTTGAGGGGGTGCGGCGCTTCCTTGGTTCCATCCCATTCTGGCCGATCTGAGGGAGAAAAAAATGATCATGTTCATGTGGTCAGCTCCAAGGTTGAGGTTGTAGAGCGCTAATTGGGCCACCTACATGTGGCAGCGCGCTTTAGCCTTGCTTGATACATCAATGTACATGGAGTGTATGCGCCATCGTATTATCGCTGTTCGTTACTTATATAGCGGCAGTATTTGCTTATGGCGAGGTTTGGTTGATTGATACAGACGGGAGCTACATGTTTGAACTCACGCCGCTTGAATGCAACCGTTGACTATTGCGTTGCGCCTCATTTTGTCAACTCGGCGCAGTGGCCTTGCCCGCAATAACCCCCAAACTCGCCTCACTTGGTCCTGTTACAACGACAATGGCAGCCTTGCTACATGGGGGATCCCCGTGACGTGGCAGTTATGCACCTCACGTAGTTTGGAAAACGTACATGTGTATCCCAAAGGTATACACACTGTAGCAAAAAAAGTACAAACAGACTGCTAATATCTGGCATGGCCGGCAGAACGCCTGGAGGTTGACGGATAACGAAGACGGCCAAAACGCCGCTACGGTACCTGTAAAGCACCATATGAGGCTCTACGGCGGATCCGGCTTACATGTAATAAGAACTCTTGATGTCTTGACTGATATGAGTAGGTACTCTGAGATGAAGCTGAAGACGAGCCTCTGAGACTGATTTGCAAATTGCCGCTGCCGCCAATACCACCTTCCTATTGAAATTTTGCCCAAGACGAAATACGTGCACCTTGGCTATGCCCTGTCTCTCCATTCACGCATGCACCTAGCCGGCTTGCTTGAACCTACATTTTCTGACGTTTTGTCCCCTAATCTTGTGCTATTTGCCACGGCCGCCTTCATATTGTAGTTGATGCAGCTCTTTTCAACATATCTCGTATATCTCTGAATAGTAGCCCGGTTGCACTTGGAGGGACTCTGGAATTACCCCCATGTACGTCATTTATGCCTGTAAATAGTAGGTATAATAAGAGATTTACATGTCCATCTCTCCATTTAAATTCATAATGCCATTTTCTCAACAAGACTTGCTATCCCGCCTTGTTGTGTATCTCACCTGCAATCTCACCGGATCGGATAAGGCCCCCAGCATACATGCATACCGACATATTGCGCGCATCACATCGCCCTTGTCCCAATCAGCTCGGATTCCGTTCATGCAACTGGCGGCAGTAGCGAGACGGATGGCTTCAGACGATCTTGGACTGCGAGAATAGTTCACGGCCCGAAGCCAAATTTCCCTCGCTAGAAACCAGCCAGGCCTGAAGCTTTACGTGAAGCGCCCGCTATTCGTCTCAGGATTGCAGCCCAACCGGATGGTCGCCGATAGGACGACGTGCATATTTTTTTTTCTCTCCCCCCTGTCGATTAATTGCGTACTAACACTGCTAGCCCAGTGGCACAGCATGCGTTTTCGCAATTACACGAAACACTGACAAAATTCCTCAGTACAGCTGTTGTCTTCTCCAAAGACGCAGCTTTTGAACGGCTACTTTTTTTACATGTTTAACCCGGCCTTCTACTCTCTTGTCAACGCCATGGCTGAATCGTGACTATTTGAACAAGACCGGGCTTTCCGCCCCTTGTATATCCAACGACGGCCTTGAAAAGGCGGCCGTAACGAAAAAAAAAGCACTTACACACATGTATAAGCGGCCTGCAAAATGGACCGGTGAAATGAAGAGGGGCCGGACTCGGCCTGCCTGTCACACAGACTTGACTGGAATCCCGCAGCCGCCGCATCCTGGGCAAAGCACCAGCACGTATCCAAAGACATGCAAGGCTAAGGGGGGCCCTGCGAAGTGCCTTTTTGTGCGGATGCTGCATTGCGGGTCGGATCCAGAACCCATTTGCGTCGACGACGTCTTGATTGCCTAATGGTCGTGGTCGTACAGGCCGTATTCCTCGACTCCTTGACACTATATAGGGTACATGTCCCAAATATCATCCATATGGCTTCACCACTCTCCATCGTTTGAGGAACATCTTCGGAAAGAGCGATTCTGTGGCATCGGCACTTGCTTGTCTCCCTTTGGTGAGTCTGCTCACCTGCCCGGCTCCTGTTCCAAACCATAGCCCTCCTTGCATAATCATCCAGCATCCCGGTACCAATTGTTTGCTTCTTTTGCGCTCTAAGCCCGCAGAAACCACACTAGGACTTCAGCTGCCTCCCTTTCCACGCCCGACTCAACCACTTACACGAGACCGGCCCTTGCATACAATAAACCTTTCTTTTTTTTTTTATCAGGGCCCTCCTTTCGCCTCTGGACACGCCGTCGCTGCTCCGGTGTGTCGGGCTACGTTGCTTGGTCTTTTGACCTGCTCGTCTACATTGCCTCATCAGGCAAACATCGATTCGATCCAGCCAATAACAACTGCAGCCGAGGCTCAATCAGGGTGCGGCTGAGCTACGGCTGACCAAGTATCTTTGATCCTTGTATGGGGGAAAAAAAAAATAGCAAGGTCTATCGATTCAATACGCCCTAGAGCTTTAGTTGATAAAAGAGCCAGATCCATCTATTTATTAGCGAGCAAGTCCCGTGGGCCACCGACACGTCTCATTGACCTCATGAACTGTCTTTTCAACTTTCGTTTCTTGAAAACTACCAGGCAGAAAAGGATACAGCAGAGCAACATGGGCAGCGACGACGCATATCTCCTCACGGCTTCCGAAGCCCTCGCCAAGATCCGCGCTGGCGGGATGACCGTTGAGGGCTATGTCCGCTCACTGCTGCGTCGTATTGATGTGCGTGACGTCGATGTCGGGGCATGGGCCTATATAGACAAGGATTACATCCTCCAGCAGGCGAGAGCCCTGGATAAGGTGCCGATGAGCAAGAGAGGCCCGCTGCATGGCATGCCGATTGCCATCAAGGATGTCATTTACACCAAAGGTGAGTTGAGCCTTGCTGCGGGAGAAGTCATGTGGTTATAGCACGGCCATAGAATGGAACAGCACATGCCATGTGTAACAATACTTGCATGTTGTGTTTCTCGACAAGACGGCAGCATATGTCCATGTTGTCACTCCTTTTGAGAGATCCGTGTCCACTGTTGGAAAGATGTCTTGTTGGACCAATACTGACGTGACATACCTAGATATGCCGACGGCACACAATTCGCCAATCTACAAAGACGACTTTCCCAAGCTCGACGCAGCCTCCGTCATCCTCCTCCGCCACGCAGGCGCACTATTCCTCGGTAGGTTCCCTTGCACTCTCATGAGGCATCACTGGCTTATACCCGCCAACCTAGGTAAAACAACAACGGCCGAGTTCGCCGCCTCCTACACCGGCCCGGCCTCTACGCGCAACCCGCACAACCCGGCCCGCACCCCCGGAGGCTCGTCGTCGGGCTCGGGCGCCGCCGTCGGCGATTTCCAGGCGCCCGTGGCCCTCGGCACACAGACGGGCGGGTCCACCATCCGGCCGGGCTCGTTCAACGGCGTCTACTCCATCAAGCCGACGTGGAACGCCGTGTCTCGCGAAGGGCTCAAGATCTCATCCCTGATGCTGGACACGATTGGCATCTTCGCCCGCGGCGTCGACGACTTGGATCTCGTGGCCGATGCGTTTGGGCTGCAGGACGACGAGGCGAGTGGCTTCACGGGCATCAAGGGCGCGCGCTTTGCTCTCTGCAAGACTGTCGTCTGGCCAATGGCCGGAGAGGGCACTCGCCACGCCATTGCTCGCGCCGTGGACATTCTGCGAGCCCACGGCGCAGAGGTCGAAGAAGTCGATCTGCCGCGCGAGTTTGACGACCTGCCGCGCTGGCACAACATGGTCCTGCAGACCGAAGGCGAGACCTTCTTCCTCCCCGAGCACCGCGTCGCCAAGGAGAAGCTCTCGCCGCAGCTGGTTGGCTACGTCGACCGAAAGGCCGGCTACGACCGCCGCGCCCAGCTCAAGGCCCTCGACGGCATCGCAGCCCTGCGCCCCAAGATTGACGACATCGCGGGCCGATACACGGCCATCCTGACGCCCAGCGTCATCGACGAGGCGCCAGAGGGGCTCGAGTTCACCGGCGACTCGGCATTCTGCGTGAGCTGGTCGGCGCTGCATACGCCAGTGGTCAACGTTCCGGGCTTTCAGGGACATACCGGCATGCCGATTGGTGTGTCGCTGGTGGCTCCCAGGTATCGCGACAGACATCTTTTGAAGGTGGCCAAGGAGGTGGGCAAGCTTTTCGAAGCAGAGGGCGGGTGGAAGCGAAGTGTATAAGACGGTAGAACTGTCCTATGATGTGACGGCGAAAGATGGAAGATGACCGTTTCCAAGGTAGTTCATGCCACTTGCTTTAAAGAAAGAGAATAGACTGGAGAGAATTGTTTATTTAAACATTGGGAGAGATGTTTCTTTGAAAGACAAAAAAAAAAAGGATAAAAAAAAAGGTAGTGTAGTCGAGGTAAATGATATTCATAAACTCTAGACAGTAACAGGAATGGTCCATCCAACAAGACTTTTCTTTACCCGCTTCCAGTTTTTCTTCCCACATTATACATGTTCTGCAATAGACGGCTCAGTAACTACAGTGATCAAAAACATATGGATAAGAAGACATTATAAATAGAAAGGAAAAAGAAAACAGGAAAAAGATCTCTTACATCATGATCTCTTCCCATGATACACCACGCCTCTTATCTGCACATATTGTCTCTTTCCCCCATTTTATTCCAACGCCTCTACTTGCCCTCTCTTCTCTCCCATCGACTCGCACAATTCCCCTCTTCGCCTTCCCTATGACGGTCCATAAAGTGGAAGAGATAAATGGTAATAGTAGTAAAGAGATTTCATGGTCATTATGAAAGATGTAGCTGGAAGGGTTTAGATTTACAAGAGATATGAAGAGCCATCAGGCTCCATTCTCGTACGCGTTTTCACGTAAAAATTATGAAGACGTGGCTCTCTCGAGGCAAGCTTGCAGCTGTGTATGGAGATTTTAAGTTAGTTGACATACTTGTAGATTGACGAGTGGTGACACATACCTCTTGGGGCATAAGACCCTGGTTGCTGAGATATCGGCACATGCTCTTGACTAGCTCGACCTGCTCCTCGGGGGCCAGGCTGGTAATGGCCGTCTCTAGGACGCTGCCCAGAGAAACCTTGTGAACCTCGATGAAGGTGTGGAAGTACATGTAGGCAAAGAAGCCCATGATGAACTGGCAATCCATTCGATCCGTCATGCCACCGTGTCCAGGGATAGAGTCGCCAAAGTCCTTGATCTTGAAAGTGCGCTTAAGGCCGGAGGCGAAAAAGCCACCAAAGGGAGCAATGAGAGATGCAAAGGTGGCCAGGGCCAGGGCGTGCAGTTGCATCGGCGCAAACGTTAGGGAGAAGCTGGTGTTTGGTGGCAGGAAGAAGAATTGTGGGAGCTCGTAGGTGTGAGGCACGAAGGCGGGGTTGACATCGCATTTGAGTCCGGTGAAGACATTGGCGCCCAGATCCTGTAGGTTGGATAAAGTTTAGTACGGTATCGGAGACAATGTAATCTTGCATCCATATCGACTTACGTTGACGGGGCAGATAAAGTATTTGGAGCGCATCAGGATGTTGACAAGCAAAAAGGAGAAGAGGACGGTCATGATCCAAGCACCGACAAATCCTTCAACCGTCTTCTTTGGCGAGAGCTTGATGAGTTGTGTGCGACCAAACATGATGCCGCAGATGTAGGCAAATATGTCGTTGGTAATGACTAGGGCCGCTGGCAGGAAGAACCAAATCATTCCCTCAAAGATGTTGTTCATGACGAAATGGGCCTGCACGACAATAAGGTACAGGGCCATGTGAGTCCAAGCAAAGTTGGTGAATTGGAATTTGTAGTTGCCGGCTTGAAGTGAGGCAACGAAAAAGACAAATCCTATCACGGCGTGTGTGTTAGATGAATCCATAGTTTTAGGCTGATTATCAGGAAAAGAGCGACGCACCAAAGACATAGAGCATAAAGCTGATGAAGCGATGGTGGGTAGCCAGAGGAAGAAGCACCTTGTCAACAAGAACAATATGCTTAAAGTAGTAGATGACGCTCTCGCCGTAGAGGAAATACATGGTGGTGGCCAAGAAATACCAGTTCAGGCTCTTGGTGGAGCGCAGAGATCTGGCTCGGCTGGGAACGTTGGCAATGGCAATGACTTCCTTGAAGGAGATGATCTGGACTGCAGTGACAATGGCAATCATGTAAATGTGGCCCATGAACAATGCGCCGAAGAAGCCAGAGATCATGACCAGCGTCCATAGCGTTCGCGTCCAGAAATTCGCCTTCTTCTTCTCGTACTCGGCCTGTTTCTCTGCGGCAGTCGTGGGCTTCTGTTTCGCCAAGTGTCAGCTCCACACAAACTTTTTCTGGCGATGCCAGGGGAAGAGCAAAGCAAAGACGAAAGCACAGCAGCAATGAGATAATCTGAGAGCCTACCTCTTCGACAACCGCCAGCTTGGCCTGGTTCTGCGCCCTGGTTCTTGTTGGGGACCCCTCTTCGCTCTTGTCGCTGAAGCTCGATCGGCGGCCCTCAGAGCCGCTGAACTGGCCGTTGGCGCTCTTCATGGGGGACTTGCCCCCTCTCTTTGATCTGGCCATGGCGTCGTACGGCTCGCTGAGATGCGCCGGGGCTGGTCAAGCAGTTGCGATCTGGCGGCGGCAGGATATGCTCAGCGGGTTGCTCGGAGCAAGGCTATTATCTATCGACGGAGGAGCTTCTGCGGACTGCGATGCAAAGTTCCAGTTAGCGGACACGGCCACCGACCGATTCACCGGACCCTCTCGTCTCCCTCTCACCTTGTTCTCTACCGGACATTCAAGCGACGGCGGTGTTGACGGTGCGCGGGCGACCCAAGCAGAAGCAAAGCCGGGCGAATTTGACGGTGATGAGCAAGTCAAAAAGGCATTTCGCCAGAGGCTGCTAAATCCAAAGCTAACACGCAACGTGGACCTCACCCCATCCAAGGTACCGGCCAAAACCTGCTGCGGCCAGCCACTGACGAAGTACTGCTGGTAGTGCTGCCAGGCCAAAGCTCCGTGTGCTGCAAGTGCGCAAGTGCGCGCTGTAGTGCCCCGAGGCTTAGCGCTGGAAGCGAGCCAAGGCTCTAGCTGGGCCTCTTGGCCTCCCACGGCGGAATTTTTGCTGAAACCTTTCAATTTGGTATGGACCGGACTCGTGCAACTCCCCGCGAAATAAAATCCGCATGTGACAGTACTTTAATTTGCTGGCGTCTGCCAGAGATTCTTTTACATAATCCCCTGAAATCTGGCTGGGTGCGCGCCCTCGTGCTTGAGTATCTAGCAGCAGTGTTTTCATGAATTCTAGTCATTCTAATTTTATTTTAGTGGAAAGCCAGCTGCTGCCAATGCCATGTACCAGACTTGTCGAACACGCTGCGATGTACCTTGAATTCCGCAAACGACGAGGCGGCTGTGGCTGCGGCGCTCTGATCTGGCGTCTACGTCATGCGACATGGCCTGCGGTTTGAGTGCTGGCATGGATTCAGGGCTGAGCGTGCACCGCCTCTACCAGCTGGTTTGTCCATTCGTCCAAGATGCTGTAATTGGCCGCTCTCACAGCTGTTATGATTGTGATTTGATTGGGTCAATGTACCTGTGTACTGCTGCTACTGCAAGGTGCAGAGTACAGTGAGCTGTGAGCATGAGATTTGATGGACAACCCGCCACGTGCGCGCAAATGCCATTTCCCTCTCCACACACTCATTATTGGGCCCTCTTTGTTTCTTTCAGACTCTCCAAGTACATGTAGCCATAAGTACTTGTCTGTAATTTAATAGACCACTAGCACTTGGCTATTGAAACTTGCATACTCGCAGAACTGAGGCATCTGCTTGGAGGTGCTAAGCCACACGCTTTAGAACCAGCCACTTGCAAGCAAAAACGTGACCTCGCGTCGCGTCGACTTTATCGATATCCTATCGTCCAAATCCCAATCCACCGCGGTCTCGTCCCGCAATGACTGCATCGCACAGGCAGCCCATGACGCAGTGCCGTGCCAAATACGCTGCGCATAGACGCCTCGAGCCATGATGCATCTGCGCTGAAGAGCCATGAATGATGGATCTCGACGAGTTTTCCGATGACGGGTTCGACGACCTGACCGACAATGTGCTCCAAGAGCTCGAGAACAACGCCATTCAGTCCACCCAGGCCCAGCATGCCCATCATGCCTTCACGCAGGAGGCAGACCAGCTCGACTATGCCTGGGGGCAGGAGGACGACGACTTGGACACCACCGAGGTGATCAACGACGCTGGTGTTGCCGTGGGCAGGCCAATTGTCGACAAGACGCTGCGACAACAACAGCCCGCACGGCCTTCCATTCCTCCTGTGCCCAATCCTCGATGGAATCCCGCGATTGACGCTGCGGCCGCCAGGCCAGGAGCTCCCTTGGCGGAGCGGCCTCGAATGACGAGCGTTCGGCCCATGAATCAGCCGTTCATGGCATCTCAGCGGTTCCCCGATTCCTCACAAAGTGCAGCTCGCCCTCAGACTGCGCAGCTTGCGGCGATGCCAATGCCATCCCAAGCGCAGTCTGGACCCATGGTGACGGCGTTGCAAAAGCGAATTCGTATTTTGGAAGCCGAGCTCAATGCGGCCCGCGGCGAAACTTCCATACTTCGCTCAAACTCTACAAAGGCGCAGCAAAACTATGATGAGCAGATTGCCCGCCTCCGAAACCTCAACGCCGAACAACTACAGAAACAGGAAAAGGCAATGGAAGCGGCCATAGCGGCGGAGAAGCATGCCAACACGGAGCTCCAGTTCATGCAGCGCGATATGAAAGAGGCTAATGACCGAGCCCGCAGAAAGGAGCCTGCCGCCATCAACATGACGACGCCGAAAAAGGCCAGCAAGACATGGGGCTTTGCGGATGGCTTTGACGAGATGGACATTGCTGCAAGTCCGAGCAAAGGTCAAGGGAGAAGCAAGACTGCTGGCTCCGTTGCTACCAACATTGGAGAGCGAACGCCGAGTAAAGGGAAGCGGAAGCGCCCTGTATCAGAGTCTCCCATGAAGCCTCTTGATATACACACGGGCGATGCAGAAATGAGTGAGGACATAAAGCCGGTGTCTCAGCTGGCTTTGCAGCAACCAATCGTAGTGGCAGCTCCCACAGCTCCATTTGACGTAAGTTTTAAAAACAGAAAGAATGAAAATGGAAATGGCAACATTCTATTCTTTGCAGTCTTTTAGAGGTGCCAACTAACTATTGACTCTGTCAGTTTTTGCAAATTATTCTCGATCACGGCTTTGCCCAAGGGCAGCCCCCAACTTTCGACATTCTCTCTCGCATCTCCTTCCCTTCTGACCCAAATACATCCTTCTCAACCCTCATATTCGAAAGACTTCCTCTGATGGGTAACCCCTATCAGCCAATGCAGCTTCTCGTTGATTTTACAGAGCAAATCATCATCCTATGGACTAGGTGCTTTGAAGAGCAGTTTTGGGAACCTATTAAATACCTTGTATCGCTCATCGCCTTCACCTTTCAGCTCCACACCTCTTCTGTTGCTCCCCTCATCATCTCCAGACTTGTGCCAGTGGCACAGACGATAATATTTACCGTTGCGGAAGGGCCCTCGCGCCTTTCCGATGGCGCAGTAGCCAACAACGATGACCATGCCATCTTGGAACAGCAAATAGATACGAGTCATATTCTGTCCTTGCTTTACACTGCGTCCTTGGCATGTGCGACAACCTCCACCGAGACTGAAGAGGGGGTTAAATACACTTCTGCTGCGTTTTGGAAACTCATCTCTCTTGACTTCACTCTTCTTCTTTTGATGCCCAAGCAGAAAACTACCGATATCATTGGAATGCTTGATCTGCTAGCGACATCCTCGCTTCCCGACTCCATCGGCCCTATATCTGACGAAAAAGATACGCCATCAGTGGCACGAGTTGTCATTGAGCGAGTATCTGCTAAACTGATGGAGCATCCCCGTGCTACAACGACCCCTGTCCAGAAACGAAGCGTACGACTGGCTGCTCTTCGAACGTTGGTTACCTTTGCAAGATATGAATTTGGTGCCCAGCAGTTGGCATCTCACGATAACGCCATCCCACGCTTAGTGGCTTGCTTGAGCACATCTATTGACGAGCTTTATGATCAGCCTATCCCTCCCAGCATTCTCCCCCCTCTTCCCGATGCCATGACGTCTTCATCGCTGAAGTTTTCCGAGTCTACAACTTCCGCTGAGCTATATCGCATCATCTCCCAATGCGTGACGCTTATCCACACTCTAGCTACAGACCCGTGTACAGCCAATTTGGCCGAAATCACTCGAAAACTTTCACTTTCGCACGGAGGCAGCCAGCGATATCTCATTGCTTTGGGAAGACTGACCTTTGCTGAAGAAGATCTAGTCATGGAGGCGGGGATTGACGGCGAGGTCGTTGAGGCGGCCCATGAGCTACTAGAAATGGCCGTGACGCCGGATGAGGGAGAAATTGTGAGCGAGGCTTTTGGAGCATAAATGCTGTGGTAAATTCTTTTTTCCCTTGATGAGAGAGGGAGTAGCTGGTTCGTCGATTTATGGGTTTTGCATTACACTGCACGAGACTTCTTGTTCTATAGGCGGGCGTCTATTTGGTAAACTGGTATGAGCCAGTAAATGGAGAGCTAGACAACGACGACTGGGTTTGGACAGATGTTTCCGAAAGAGAAACTTGCTTGGAGTTGCAATGGTCAAGAGGCAGCTTTGTATGCCTGGTGTTTAGGATAGGGAGTTGGATATACCATGTATGACTGAAATTATAGATCGCTGCGTTTATGAATAATCATTAAGTCGAGGCAAAGACCCATCTTTACGTACGGATGTTGACTCGGCTGCGTTGCACCATATTTCGCATCACAAATTACGCAAGTCATAACAATAAGAAAGACGTTTTAACAGTTAGATCCATTGATGAAAGCTATCTATAGATCCCTATCGCATAACCTAAGAAGACAAAAGTGTGAAAGAGGAGTAAGAAAAAAAAATTGAGAAAAAAAAAGAACCATGACAATCATAACCTCACTTCCCTTCCCTCACCATCATACTCCCTGCTGCTATCACTCATTTATCCAATTCCAAATCCAATCCCAATTTCCTTTTGTCCCATATTCTATCCTTCCCATATCCCTTTTTTCATATCCAAGCGCTAATTCAATATACTCAATACGTCCGCAGTAGGAGCTTCTTCAGCAGGACGGATCTTCCCAGGAGCCCGCCTAAGAGGCCAGTCCCGGTGGTATTGGTGGCGTTGCCCAGGCCCAAGGAGCCAGTGAGAGTGATTCCAGGCGCTGTTGCGTTCAAGGTTGTGTTGACCGGGGCTGTAGTTCCGGTGACGTTTACGGTGGCTCCTGTCCCTGTCCCTAGGAGACCGCCGAGAAGGCCAGTTCCAGTGTTGTTGGTGGCGTTGCCCAAGGAGCCAGTGACCGAGATTCCAAGACCAGGCGCTGTTGTATTTAAGTTGGTCGTGCTGGCTGGGACAGTGACGTTTACGGTGGCTCCTGCCCCTGTTCCTAGAAGACCACCGAGAAGGCCAGTTCCGGTGGTATTAGTAGCGTTGCCCAAGGAGCCAGTGACTGAGATTCCGAGACCAGGCGCTGTTGTATTTAAGTTGGTTGTGTTGGCTGGGGCTGTGGTTCCAGTGATGTTTGTGGTTCCTGCTCCTGTTCCTAGGAGACCGCCAAGAAGGCCAGTACCAGTGGTACCAGTTCCGCCGGTCGTATTAGTTACTCCTGTAGTTGCATTAACAACTCCTGTAGTAGTGTTGCCCAGGAGGCCACCAAGAAGGCCAGTACCAGTGGTACCAGTTCCGCCGGTTGTATTAGTTACCCCCGTAGTAAGATTGGCAACTCCTGTTGTGGTATTGCCCAGGAGGCTGCCGAGGAGGCCAGTGCCGGTGGTACCAGTTCCGCCGGTCGTATTAGTTATTCCTGTAGTTGTATTAACAACCCCTATAGTAGTGTTGCCTAAGAGGCCACCGAGGAGGCCAGTTCCAGTGGCACCAGTTGTATTAGTTGCAGTGCCGGTAGAGTTGACGATGCCCGTTGTTCCAGTTCCTCCGCCCAAGGCGCCACCAAGAAGTCCAGTACCGGGAGTACCAGTTGTGCCAGTAGAGTTAGTTACTCCTATAGTAGTATTACCTAGGAGGCCACCTAGAAGACCACTACCAATTGTGCCGGTAGTGTTGGTCACACCTGTAGTGGTATTGCCTAAAAGGCCCCCGAGGAGGCCAGTGCCAGTGCCGCCAGTTGAATTAGTTATTGTGCCCGTTGTATTAGCTACTCCTGTAGTGGTATTGACTGGGAGTCCGCCGAGGAGGCCTGTGCCAGTGGTGCCCGTTGTATTAGTCACTCCTGTAGTAGTGTTGCCCAAAAGACCACCAAGAAGGCCGGTGCCGGTGGTACCAGTTCCAGTAGAGTTAGTTACCCCAGTTGTGATGTTGCTTGTTACGCCTGTAGAGCCAGGGGCTCCTGTGGTGATATTGCCCAGAAGGCCAGTGCCTGTGGCACCTGTTGTATTGATCACTCCTGTAGTATTGCCCAGAAGACCTCCAAGAAGTCCAGTGCCAGTGGTGCCAGTTCCAGTAGAGTTAGTAACTCCCGTAGTAGTATTGCCCAGGAGGCCGCCGAGAAGGCCAGTACCAGCCAGGCCGGTTGAATTAGTTACACCGGTTGTGGTGTTTGCTACTGTGCCCGTTGTATTTGCAATTCCAGTAGAGCCAGTGCCTGTCCCTAGGAGACCACCGAGAAGGCCACCAGTACTGCCAGTTCCAGTTGTATTAGTTATTGTACCAGCTGTGTTATTTATACCAGTAGAGCCAGCGCCTGTAGTACCATTGCCTGTTCCTAGGAGGCTGCCGAGAAGACCACCAGTAGTGCCAGTAGCGTTGGTTGCTCCTGTGGTGGTATTACCTAAAAGGCCGCCGAGAAGACCGGTTCCAGTGGTGCCAGTTGAGTTAGTAATAGCACCAGTTGTGTTGGTCGTGCCTGTTGAGCCAGTTCCTCCTCCTAGAAGGCCACCTAAGAGACCACCAGTCCCTGTACTTCCGGTTGAACCAGTAGAATTTGTTGAGTTAGTTACGCCGGTGGTTGCGTTGCCAAGGTCAACAGATCCTGTAACTCCTATTCCAAGGCCAGGTAGAGCACCTCCAGTTGTGTTGGTTGTATTAGTCGTGCCTGCGGTTCCTGTTCCTAGAAGGCCACCAAGAAGGCCACCAGTAGAGTTGCCGGTTGTAGCAGTGCCGTTACCGAGAAGACTGCCTAAGAGACCAGTAGAGTTGCCGGTTGTAGCAGTACTGTTTCCGAAAAGACCGCCAAGACCAGTGGAATTACTAATACCAGTTGTGCCAGTTCCAGTTGTGCCATTGCCAAAAAGACCTCCAAGCAAGCCCCCAGTAGAGTTTCCAGTTGGGGCAGTGCCGTTTCCTAATAAGCCGCCAAGGAGACCACCAGTTGAATTTCCAGCTGTAGCAGTACCGTTTCCTAGAAGACCACCAAGAAGGCCAGTGGAGTTGCCAGTGGCTCCAGTGCCAGTTGTACCATTTCCTAAGAGACCGCCAAGCAAGTTCGGGTCAACACCAGTCGTGCCGTTTCCTAAAAGACCACCAAGCAGGCCACCACTAGAGTTGCTAGGCGCAGTGTTGTTCAGAAGATTGCCAGGTGCGCCTCCAACACCAATTCCAGTACCATTTCCTAAAAGGCCGCCTAACAGGCCACCAGGCAGAGTGTTGTTGAGGTTACCGAGAGTGCCATTCAGGAGGCCAGGCAAAGTTCCATTTAAAATCCCTGGCAGAGTGCCGTTTAGGACACCGGGCAGAATATTGTTTAGGAGGCCCGGTAAAGTTGCATTTAGGAGACCTGGCACAGTTGCAGTTAGGAGGCCTGGGAGAGTTGTATTTAAGAGACCTGGCAGAGTTGTATTTATGAGTTCTGGTAAAGTTGTATTTATAAGTCCTGGTAAGGTTGTATTTAAGAGTTCCGGAAGAGTTGCAGTTAAGAGACCTGGCAGAGTTGTATTTAAGAGACCTGGAAGAGTTGTACTTATAAGTCCTGGTAGAGTTGTATGTAGGATACCTGGCAGAGTTGTACTTATAAGTCCTGGCAGAGCTGTATTTAAGAGTCCTGGCAGAGTTGTATTTAGGATGCCTGGTAAAGTTGCAGATAGGATACCTGGTAGAGTTGTATTTATAAGTCCCGGTAAAGTTGTATTTAGAATGCCTGGGAGAGTTGCAGTTAGGAGTCCTGGCAGAGCTGTATTTAAGAGACCTGGCAGAGTGCTATTAACATCGCCGAGAGTGCTGTTTAAGAGGCCGGGCAGAGTGTTATTTAAGAAACCTGGTAAAGTTGCATTTAGGAGACCCGGCAGAGTTGCATCTAGGAGGCTGGAAGGGTTGCATTTAGGAGGCCTGGTAGAATAGTATTAAGATCGCCAAGAGTGCTGTTTAAAAGGCCGGGCAGAGTGTTGTTAAGATTGCCAATAGTCCCGTTTAAGAGGCCTGGTAAAGTTCTATTTAATACACCTGGAAGAGTATTATTAATATTACCAAGAGTGCTGTTTAAAAGACCAGGTAAAGTACTGTTCAAAAGACCAGGTAAAGTGCTGTTCAAAAGACTAGGTAAAGTGCTGTTCAAAAGACTAGGTAAAGTGCTGTTTAAAAGACCAGGCAAAGTGCTGTTCAAAAGACCAGGTAAAGTGTTATTCAAAAGGTCGCCAAGTAGAGTTCCAAGGTCACCAGACAGAGTACCGTTAAGTGGACCGCCAGGTAAGGTGACATTTAAAATGCCTCCAGGCAGAGTGCCGTTGAGGATAATGCTTCCGGGGAGAGTGCCGTTAGGAATGCCTGGCAAAGTGCCGTTGAGAATACCTGGCAAAGTGCCGTTGAGAATGCCAGGTAAAGTGCCGTTGAGAATGCCAGGTAAAGTGCCGTTGAGAATACCTGGCAAAGTGCTGTTGAGAATGCCAGGCAGAGTGCCATTAAGAATTTCTCCAGGTAAAGTGCCGTTGAGAATGCCTTCAGGCAAAGTCCCATTTAAAATGCCTCCAGGCAGAGTGCCGTTAAGAATTTCTCCAGGTAAAGTGCCGTTGAGGATGCTACCGGGGAGAGTGCTGTTAAAGATACCTCCGGGCAATGTTCCATTTAGGATCCCTCCATGTAAAGTGCCGTTGAGAATACCTCCAGGTAAAGTTCCATTGAGGATACCTCCGGGGAATGTTCCATTTAGGATCCCTCCAGGCAGAGTGCCGTTAAGAATGCCTCCAGGCAAAGTGCCGTTAAGAATGCCTCCAGGTAAAGTGCCGTTAAGAATGCCTCCAGGCAAAGTGCCGTTAAAGATACCTCCGGGCAAAGTTCCATTGAGGATACCTCCAGGCAAGATTTGGATATCAGAGAGGCCATCACCACTGAGGTCAATGCCTCCATTAAGGCTGATAATGCGATCGGGTTTTCCATCTCCGTTAATATCCACGCCTCCACCTGGTAGAATAGTAATGCTGAGAATGCCGTTACCGCTAAGATTGATGCGACCTCCAGAGCCAATTGTAGTGTCCGGCAATCCATCTCCGTTGAGATCGACACGAGAGCCGACGCCAAGTTGAAATCCGGTAGCAAAGTCAAGAGGCGGAAGATCAAGACTGTTGATTAGACCAGAAAGCAATTCATCAAGGAGCCTAGTCATAACGAAGATGTCAGGTTCCCCATCGCCGTTGGTGTCAATGCCTCCATCAAGGCCAATGACAACATCAGGGATTCCATCGTGATTAATGTCCACGCCGCCATCAGCGGAAATGATGATATCGGGAATGCCGTCGCCGTTGGTGTCAATGCCGCCTCCAATGCCAACGGTGGTATCGGGAATGCCGTCCCCATTGAGATCAACAAATGTACCAGCACCCAGATTTGCGAGAACTGAGGCCAGAGTATTGCCAGCGTTTCCTACCACACCGCCAGGCAAGCTACCAAGCAAAATAATTATATCAGGGTCGCCATCTCCATTAAGATCAATGCCCCTCCAGGAAGGACAAAGACATCAGGTATTCCATCACCATTGTTGTCGACTCCCCCGCCATTCAGGATGATGATGTCTGGTTCTCCATCTGAATTCGTGTCGATGCCTCCACCAGGAGTAATCTGAACATCAGGCAGCCCATCACCGTTGAGGTCAACAGGCGCGCCAATAATGGACGTGCCATTAATCCTAACGTCAGGCAGAACGCCGCCAGTTGTGTTGCTGCCTCCAGTAACATTTGGTGGATTGCCCGGACCGAGGTTTGCAATATTGCCAAGGCCGACAAACAAATCGGGCTTGCCATCGCCGTTTAGATCGATACCTCCGTCAGGGCGGATTATGGTGTCTGGTATGCCATCGAGATTAAGATCAACTAACCCATTCAAACCAATTTGAATATCCGGCCTTCCATCACCATTTAGATCGATTCTTCCATCAGCGCCGATTGCTGTCTGGGGTATGCCGCTACCAACAGCATAGACAGGTGCTCCTATGAGAGAAGGGTCATTGTTTCCGGCACCCGTTGTCAACAAGATTGTCAAGTTAGGTATACCGTCTCCATCAGTATCCACGCCACCATTCAGGCCAACCATGGCGTCTGGGATGCCATCGCCATTTAGATCAACAGCGCCGTTAGGATCAATCACGAGATCTGGAACGCCGTCACCGTCAAGGTCGACATCACCGTTAGGCCCAATATAAACATCTGGTACGCCATCGCCATTTGTATCTATGGGAGTGCCAACACCTAGAAACGCGGTTGGAAGAACAAAGCCATTAGTTCCGTTTCCAATGGCTCCAGGTGTGTTGTTACCAGTGGTAGCATGAGGGTGCAGCGATATATCCGGTCTCCCATCCCCGTCAATGTCAATGCCACCCTGAGGGTCAACGGTAGTATCAGCCCGTCCATCGCCGTTCAGATCCACTCCGCCGCCAGGTAAGATGACCAGATCTGGCTTTCCATCGCCATCAATGTCGATGGCGCCGTTAGGGCCGACAGCCACATCCGGCCTACCATGACTGCCGTGACCGTGTTGCTTACCACTGCCATGATTTTCACCACTGCCATGATTTTCACCATTGCCATGATTTTCACCACTGCCATGCTGTTCACCATGGCCGTGTCCTTGACCATGACTCCGTTCCTGGCCGTGGCCATGCTCCTGGCCGTGGCCATTGTGTTCGCCGTGGCCACGGTCTTGTTCTTCGTCATTGCCGTTCTCTTGACCTTGCTCTTGACCGTGATTTTGTTTACCGTGGCCGCGGTCTTCTTCTTCGTCATTGCCGTTTTCCCAGTCATGGCCGTTCTCTTTGCCACGGCCTTGCCCTTGACCGTGGCCATGTTCCTGGCTGTGACCATTTTGTTCACCGTGGCCACGGCCTTGTTCTTCGTCATTGCTGTTTTCCCAGTCATGGCCATGTTCTTGACTGTGCCCTTGCTCTTGACCATGACCGTGGTCTTCACTGTAGCCATGTTCTTCACCATGGCCTTGTTCCGCACCGTGGCCTTTTGACGGTCTTGATGGCTCTATAACCACGATGGGGGGCTTACCACGCTCAATCGGCGGCAGGGTGACTCGTGGACCATCAGGCTTTGCACCGGGAGCGGTAATGGTAATTGGTTCGCGTCCAGGGTTGCCAACAACCACAATTGGATGTGAACCAGATTGAGGCTTTCCGTTGTAACCGGTTGGAAGACGGGTGTGAGTCGGAGCTTCAGCTTCTTTGCCCCATCCTGGCACAGTAACCGTTACGAAATGATCCGTAAAGCCATGAGAGCCGATAACGACTGTTGAGGGATCTCCAGGACCCCAGCCCGGAATAGTGACTTTATCACCGTTGGGGCCAGCCCCTTCGCATGTAAAAGTTGTTGGATTCGGATACTTGGTAGCTTTTGGTTCGCAGATAATGACAGTGCCCTCGCAGCCATGGCAGGTAGGGTGAATAGTAGAGACAGAAGGTGTCTGCCAATCGGCAGTAGACGTGCGTGTAACATAAGGATCGCTAGTAGGTTCGTAATGAAAGACAGTTCCCGGGCAGACGGGGCATTTAGGAGGTTTCGTTGAGGTTGCGTGCTCTGATTGACAAGTGGGCAGAGTGAGATGCACGTAAGACTGCTTCTCCTCGGCAGTCTTGAAGTGTTTCTCTGGAGCACATGCGTTGATGCAAGCACCTAAGTCAAGATAAGTCGTAATAACAACTTCAACGGTCTTGATGCCATCTTCGTGAGCCTCCGCTAAAGAGTGAACCCAGGACAGCCGCTTTAGCTGCCCAGGAGAGGATACCGTCTGCTCGGCGACTAGCCATATTCTGGAACCAGCCTTTGAGCAGTTACGGTAGAGAGAAGCGCACAAGAACCCTAGAAACAAGAAAAAGGAGCGTAAGGTGGTTACTATCTCACAAGCGGACTAAGGAGCGAGAGATCGGCCATCGTGGATTATAACACATGAATCTGTACGTATAAACCGATTAGGGGGCTGATCTTCACATTTCAGTGTCACGGTTTGAAGTTTCGAGGAATGTTCAATATGGCTCCAAAAATGTGGCAATAGCATGAGGTAGATACCCTTTGAAAGAACATTCGTGGCTATGAGGCCCATACATAGCCGTCTACTGACTTAGACAGTCACGCTGCATTACAACGTCGCTCCTAAAAGATAGAGTGAGTAGCATCAGCTCTCTAGCGGCTCAGCTACTGCTTGAAATTCTAGCCAAAATCTTTCTAGGGCCATTCCATTGCACCACGTCAAGTTAAAGTCTTTGCGACTTACATACAACCATTATATCGCGTCTGCAACGAGCTGCCATCTGTTCACAGTATATGTTGACGCGACCTATACCTACTAAGAGACGTTTGGCGCCATACTGAGCACATCATGAGCAATCTGATTCTGAATAAAAAGACTATATTGTCCGGAATCGACGAAACGGACATTGGCATCCCTTTGTATAGGCAGATAAAATATAGCCTTGGGTTGCGCACCATAATTGCGCCATCTTGCACTCATATTACCACGAGCCAAGCTGAAATCAATCTTGTCCGAAATATGGGCAGCATTAATGCATGTACTGACTGACCCCCACCCACATCGATGACCAACCAACAGGTATTATGCTGGGCTTGCTCATGGCAATGAATTGAAATTCAATTTCCTCTAAGACACTGTTTCGGGTATTTGAAACATCAATACGATTGGCGAAAAGGTCAAGTAAGACCTCCCTGCCCCCACAAATGATGCTCTCCTTGAGCTGGCGGCATGAACATTGAAAAGGGAGAGACTGCGTTATAGTATTGGAGCGGCGAAGTCTGTACTGTTTTATGGCTTCTGATTACCAATTACTAAGTTCAAAGGCCGACTACGGCCGACCAAAGAGAGGACAAGTCTACTCCTATTAGTATCACTTCACTATATGAGTTATCACTTGCAGCTACACATTTTAGACATGGAAAGCTATCGGCGGCTTCACTAGTACAACCAACAAGTGCCAGCTTGTTATTTCACTCATTACTTGGTCTAGATTCTAGTATTGCACTGACTGTTGCATACCCAACACGGGCGTTATGTCTCCTCACGACACCAACATACCGCATGTTGCGAAGGGACACGAACTCCGTACACTGATGCATAAGACATCCCAAAACCCTGCCAATCTCCGCGGGGTACTCCGGCAGGCTTAAATCAGGGTCCCTGGCTGTTCTAGGTATAGTACCACTACCACTGCCAGTAGATCTTCCCCTGCAGAAAGCAATGGCTCGCTGAGGCGGGCCCTTAAGTAGGTGGTGTTGGTCATATCTCAGGAACGCTGGTTGAGGTGATTCGCGTCCCAAATACCATTTTCATTCAGATACGCGTCTAATATGGCACACTACGCCTCGTCAAGACTTATATTGAGGCTTCCAAGGCTTCCAAAGCTTGGCTAGGCTCCCAAATCCAGATGTAAGCCAGGTAACTACGCCATGGCGGCTCTCGGTTTTTATGTCGAAACGAATGTACATGAGAAATTAATACGCAAGACTAAAGTAGTGATGGTAGACTAAAAAAAATTAAGCTTAAAGATGATCCTGCTTCCCGATGTTTCTAAAATTACAATTGACGCCTCCCTTGGCGTTATGGTATGCGGGTAGGGTCTCACTATTCTGCACATGTATTCATAAGAACGTGAGCTTCCAACTAGCCCCTTTCCCTCAAGCGTCCTCTTCTAACCCTGGCGCTTTTTTTTTTTTTTTCAAAATCCAGAGACTCTTCTGACACCAGCAGCCCCAACAATCCATGAGTTGCCAAGTTTAAACGCACCCGGGCCCTCCAGCTGGGAGTCCAATTTCCCCATGGCCATGTTTGTCAAGAAAGCTCCCAGGTGATCGGTCGGGGAGTGCATTCCCTTCATCAGCGGTAATAAAGGCGTCAGTAATGCTGCTCCAACCTTGTAACCCATGCCGGGATCCGGAATATAAGGCAGGACAGCTTTGTGCTGTCTGGCATCCACAAACCCTGGCCTCACAGAGTCTGCACGCAAGCTCGTCGGCATCTCAGCCGTCAAGTCACTCAGCTGTTTCTCAGTCTCTCCCTTGACGCGAGCAAAAATGGCCGAGAATCGGCCCGGGGTCTGCGTAGCGCCCTCGCCTGATACATAGATGAACCGGAAGGGCTCTGATGGCGTCGTCGTCAAGGTAGCGAAAGACTTTGCAGCGGCAATGGTGTAATCCTTGGTGATCTTGACGTATTCTTCTGCGCTGACCTTGGTCTGGCTGATACCCAGGGCCCAGACACAGGCCTTTGCGCCTTGAAGCTGCTCCAATACCTTGGAGTCGTAATTTTCAAAGTCCTGATGAATGATGACGCTGATTCGAGGGTCTTTGGAATCAGCAGCCATCTGAACCGGCTTGCGACTGAGAATGGAGATTTTGGTGATGTCTTTGGCCTTGATCATGGCGTCCAAGACACCCGATCCCACGAGACCCGTTGCGCCAGTTAGAATGATGTGCATGGCGATGAAGATGATTTGTGTGATGTATTGTGTAGTGTAGGTAGCTTAGTGGATGCTTGTGAGGCGATGCGTCTGCGATATTCCGGCGCTGTCGAGCACAGAGATAGATGACTCGTACACAGCAACAGATGAGAGAATGAATATGGAATGTGGCAGTGAGCTGTCGATTTTGCCAATTGAAATACAATTCTTTAGCAGAACAGCCAAATAATCGGCACCTACAGATACCTATATATACAACTCTTATATGTGTATAAGGCGATGCAAATTCCAGCTACTAGGCCCTAACTCCAGCCCAATGAGGCATTACACGTATCTAGGTTCGGACATAAGCGCTTGCTGACAGGACATTTCCCTAAATGGGCAACGCGAGAGACCCTTGGCGGCTGCGGAACTCTTGCAACTCCGCCTTCTCCACCACTGGGGCGCTCCACTGGTCCAATGCCGGTGAGGTATCTCCGAATGAGCGGCGGAAGCGAAAGAGATGGGTGTTGATATTGCAGTATAGCGCAGAGGAAACCTATCGGCAATTACAGAGTATCTAGTGTAAAGTTGTTCACTCAGGGGCGATCAACGATGACCATGTACACAGTAGTCGATATCCATACGGGTATCCATGCCAATTACAATTCCGCAATGGGTAGTTACGCACCTCTCATAAGCCATCTCAGAAACATAGCATCTAGCCCAAAGAAATTTAATATTCAAGATTCCTACAGTATGTATTGCACCAGAAACAAGGACGATAATGTGTGCTCATCATAACCACTGCTGCCCTAAGCTACCCATGTAGCTTCTCGCTCGCATAAGCTGACCTTTACCCTACACGGTGACAATAATGGAGCATAATCGCTCGATTCAGCATTTAAACTAGTGATGCGAAAGTTACTTTTCAACATGGACAATAATCACTTTAAAAAGTCTATTATAAGAAAGGCTGAATGCTTCAAGTGCGGTTAGCGTGGCATGTCTGAATATATATGCTCCATACGGGGCCATGTTTAGTATTATGCACGAGCTGGGTATTTACCCCATTCAACCCCAACTTGATCTCATTTCCACAACTTCAGATCCGGCACATACCGAAGCTCTGTCTTCTCGCAACATCTCTCACAAATCTACTTATACTAGCCATGGGCACGGAGATTGACGTACTGACAGCCACTGCTGAGGAGCTCCAGCATTTGCTCAGCTCATCTGCCGACATAACCAGCAAGCATCTCGTCCAAATATATCTCTCACAGATCAAGCGCCACAATGACTACCTCAAAGCGATAATCAGCACAGCTCCAGAATCGCTCCTCTTGGAGAGAGCGGACATGCTGGATGAGGAAAGAAAGAATGGCAAGCTTAGGAGCCCACTTCACGGGATCCCCATCCTCATCAAAGACAACATCGCGACCCACTTCAAGTCAACTGGCCTTGATACAACGGCTGGAAGTTTAGCTCTAGCCAATTCGAACCCGCGGATCAATGCGCCTATTGTAGATCGGGTAAGTGACCATGCGAGAATAAATCTTCAATGGCCGATAATTAGCTAAACAAATGTGTCTAAGCTGCTGGAGGCAGGACTCATCGTGATAGGCAAAGCTAGCTTGTCGGTAAGTGTTCACAACGCCCATTGTTAAACTCAAGACCCGGCAGCTAAGTCGCCATATTCAGGAGCTATCGTGGTGGAAGTAAGCTGCCCTATTTCACCACCATTAGCTATTAAAGCTAACGTCAATCTTTCGCCAAGAGGCAAAAACCTGATTTGCGGATGGAATGCAGTTAGCGGACAAGCCCAATCTCCGTATGCAAAAGGAGGTATTCGCTCGGATGATTCATTTGCAGGTCATAGCGTAAGTGAAGGTATCGTGGCTCTCACAGTTGCAAATGACTAATCTAGTTTATTTCTCTGTTATTCTATAGAACCCGGGAGGCTCTTCATCCGGCTCTGCCATTGCAGTCGCAGCTGGGTTTGCTCCAGTTAGCATTGGCACTGAGACATTTGGATCGCTAATGCTACCTGCTGGCCGAGCTGCCCTTTATTCACTTAAACCTGGCCGCGCGCTCATCTCCCTTAGCGGAATAGTACCCATTTCTAGCTTTTCTGACCAGCCAGGCCCTATGACAAAGACTACCAAAGATTTAGCTATGCTGATGGACATCATCACTGATCCCAACAACATTCCACCGGGCGGCTACGCCTCGCGGGTAACGGGCTCGTGGGATGGTCTCAAGATTGGCGCGGTAGACCCAGAAATATGGAAGTATACTCCGGATATTCGAAAGATCCTCGACGAAGGCATGGAGAAGCAGTTGGTGAGTGTTTATAACTGATATTGTCTTACCATGATATTTATTCTCTGTTGCTAAGTGAGTCAGATCGATCAAGTTCGACATGCATATGAAGTTATCAAGGAACACGCAACAGTGTTCAAGGATAACGTCTTATTAAATATTGTTGACACATTTTACGTTGAGGGCGAAGAGGTTTTGCTCAAAATATTCGGTAGGTTTAATGTTCACCAATGTACTAGCATATAACTAACGCATCTGTCAATTAGAAAAGGGCTTTAAAGAGGAGTTTGAGAATTATATCAAACTCCTTGATACCCCTCAGATTAAGACGTTGGGCGAGCTGATTGCCTTCAACAAGGCGCATGCCGATAAAGAGCTTCCTCATGGTAACGTTGAGACATGTGGCCCCACGGTCTCTTTTAATGGCTGCTAATAAGAGCTCCCAGGATACGATAACCAGGATATCCTTGAGCTCTGCGAAAAGACTAGTCTGACATCCGAAGACTGCGCGTCTTATATTTCCCATTTGACCAAATTCGGCCGCGATGAAGGCGTCGATAAGATCTTTGAAGAGCACAATCTCAACATCATAATGGGGCCCATTGAGTCGCCATTGTATTATTTTGCTGCAGCCTGCGGTTCGCCCCTCATTTCCCTTATTTCGTAATACGAATTCTTACTGACACTTTAGCGTTAGGGTACCCTGTTGCTGCCATGCCGCTCGACTATCTTGACTATAACGGACGGCCGCATGGGCTTTGCGCAGTAGCCAAAGAAGAGGGCCTTCTAATCCAACTTCAGAGTGCTTATGAGAAAACCTTTCCGCCGCGGAAGCCGCCAACTTTGTGAGCTGAAAGCAAACGTCTTGGAACCTGATCTATTTCTGTAACGAATTGACGTATTGAGAAATATTGGCGAGCTATGTACAGCGACTCTAAGCAATTATACAGCTTTTAACACGGTACAATAAGATGTTTGCTCATTTCTATTAAAACATTACCCATTGATGACTGTATACCGACTTGACCCGAAGTCGTACAATAATTTACCCTAGTGTATACTCCATAAACCCTATCTTATATACACTGAAACAATAAAGGAGAAAACAACCTCGACCAATATGGAACAAATCATAGCATCGTTAACACACCGATTACGAAACCCGCAGCGCCAGCAGCCAGTCCAACGTTTGCACCCCAAATTGACCGAGATGCGCCATTCAACTTGGCACCTCCAGTATTCGCCGCCGGCCTGGTGGCCTGGACGTGGATGCTGCTCGCCAAGCTGTCCTTCTCTGGGCTGTATTGCTGCGGTGGGAAGCCGCAGACCGACATGATGACCTCTACATCTGTGTGATAAGGTTAGCAACAAAAAACATGGCAGAGCCTTGAACGAAAACCACTCACCATTTTGTGAATTCGCAATCATATTTACACAGCTCGCACATAGCCCAGTAATCTCTGCCACATTGAAGCTCTCGTTGGAGCATACGCACTGCTCTTCTGCATTCTCCGTCATTCCCCATCCGCTGGTTTCACCCCCCGCATCTCCATCCAAGCCCAGAACAGTCGGCATCATTGAGTTGTGTTGGCTGGCAGCGGCTGTTGAAACGGTAGCCAGGTCTGGAGTTTTCATCCCTTTCTTGACGGAAGCGGTAGACGTCGTTGGCCAAGCATTCGATGTTATAGTTGGCGTAGGAGCGGGATATGGTACTGTAGTGTCCGTCGAGAGAAGATTACTTGATGTGGTTGGAAGAGGTTGGACCGACGGTCGCATAGTAAGATAGTTGTTTGGTAGTGGCGGCGTAGATGCTGGAGTTGCGGGGGGTAGAATCGGTGACGATGACAATGATGAGTGTGGCCATGGAGCTGGCGGCAACGACAAGGCTGAAGGCTCTGGTGGAAATAGACTGTGTAATAGTCCTAACAGTCCAGAAGGGAACGACGTAGGCGCTGCGATAATGACTGTAAGATGCTTCTCGATTCGCCTGCCATCAAGGCGCTCGGCCCGCTTCGGATGTTGCGCTTCCCCATTCAAGTCACTCTCGAAACCCCCCAAGGATCTTTTTGGGCTGCACATCGAACTCAGCTCGACGATTGGTCCGCAGATGGCGACGCACATGGCAGGAATGGAGTTGGGAGGAAGTGCCTCAGCAGCCACCAACGACAGCACAGCCAAAAACACAAACAGGCCGAGGCAATAGACCGCCATGGCGCGTCAGAGGAGCCGCCCGCTGCCCTATTTCGACTGCGAGACAAATGCCGTTTTCGATTTGCAAAAGGCCAAAAAGCCACGGCCGAGTGCTGACTTGGGGCCAGCGTGCCACCCGCACAGAACAGAGACTGACAAACTGGAAGTGGTGTACTAATAAAGATGTAGAAAATGTTGTGCAGGCACTCAGATGAGGTACGTGAAGAGAGTGCAGCTGTCCATTGGTCCGGCAAAGAGGGTGATGTACTGAAACGTGCCAAAGGGGCTATGTGGCCACCTGCCTTCTAGAAAAGGCCTGACACAGCTACATCATCTATCCAAGAATATCTTCCATGGTGGATTATCCATGTATATATGCAGCTATACATGACGCGAACCTATACTTTCCGTAGATAACATCCGTCTATATTAAACACACCTTGACTTGGCACAATCGATCGATCCATCTGTCAATTCCCCAGACAAATGCCACCAACAAGCGACGCAGTGAATAAACACCGATTGTCAGCTGCCATTTGCAGTCCAGCAGGGCAAGCCTCAAACCGAGAGACTCCTCGACCAGGGGCTCTGAAACGACCCAGCTAAAATTGCTTCGGACAGAGCCGTTGCCAGCGATGGGACGAAACACAATGCGAAACAAACATCACGCCAGCCATTTTATCCGCACCGTAAGGGGAAGAAATCGCCAATTGCACGCTTGCGACAAGAAAGAGATGACAGATTCGCGTTTATATGAACATGTTATTGATAGATGAAGTGAAAGAAGAAACAAAAAAAGAAGAAGAGAAGAAATGACAATCCGGAAGCACCGTGCACCTACCATTCGCGGCATCATTCCTATTTGGGACGCCTGCGATTCTGCAGCTCGATGCTCATTGGTTCCCGACAAAGCCGCTCCTTGTAAAAAGACATATACTGCAGCAAAGTAAGAAAAACCACAGTCAGGTCTCCCTTTTCCGACGCATGCAGTAATTCAGCGTCTGACAAACGAAATGCGCAGCGTAGACACCGACGAAGCAGTAACTAAATGCCATGGTGGACCAGGCTGCCTCCAAGGATTAGGGAAGACGGAAAAAAGGCAGAGAAAAGAGCAAAGAGGCTCAGTGAGGATCCTTCAAGTGTGGCTCAGGCACTTCCAGGCAACTTCTCCATTCCCTTTCGCACCAACTAACCCAAATCAGCTTTATAGCACGAGAAGCGACCCAAACCCACTTTTCCTTATTTCACAGACGTCGAGCTAACAAACACCTAAACCGCAGCTTTACCCATCTAGGCTTCTTACCACGAGATTCACATCACAGGAACACCAGTAAACCCTCCCCCAAAAAAGGATAAAGAATAAAGTATACACGTATCCCAAGACGCGGCAGCCTATAAGCCTCATCCCCTCTCCTAGCACGGACCCCCCTCATCCAAAGGTCCGAAGGAGGCGGGTGTAGCCGCTAGAAGCCCATCGTAGCACGAGCTGAGTGGTCTCTGCTCGAATATCCCTCCCAGCTGAGCAACACTGCCTCATCGTGATTCGTCGCGTCCGGGTCCCGGCAGTGGCTTTTGTGGTATCGGGGCATTGTTGGTCCTGGGCTCGGCTGCAGCTTTCAGATCAATCAAGTCTGCCGTGCAATTGAATAGATCGGCTTCTCGTTAGTTTAAAAGGGCTTTCATGCCTTTCGTCTTTTTTGTCCTGTAGTTGTTGGAAAAGTCTCAAGTTAAATCGCCCTCGCCCATCCATCTAATAGACCAACATGATCAACTCTCACGAATCCCTAGGCATCGCCCAAATCGTCTTCTACGTGCCCATCGTCCCAACTGCCATCTGGCTCTTTCGACGCAATGGCAAAAACCGCCCACGCATGGCCTGGTGGTGCTTGATTCCTTTCAGTCTAAGTATGCCTTCTCGCTATAACATATGAGGCTTGAAGTTTCTTGAAATCTTACCCATTTGGCGTGGATAATAGTGCGTCTGGCTGGTGGTCCCGTCCTCATCGCCTTTGAGCAGAAGCCCAGCATCGGACTCTACGTCGCAGCCATTATCCTCCTCAACGTCGGTGTTGTCCCTCTTATTTTAGCTACTCTGGGTTATGTACGCATCGTGTAAGTATTAATCCCATTCTCTCCAACTGAATGTACCCTTGGTCCAGATCCTTTTGGGTATCAGAAGGAAAAGAGAAAATGTACTAATTCGGCATGCTGTAAACAGCCTCCTCGACAACTACAGTTCCAATCCCCGAGCGAATAAAATCGGCCGCATCCTACGCTTCTGCATCTTCGTCGCCATCGGCCTCCTTTCTGCCGGCGGAGGTGTCAGCTCCATCGGCACACCATCCGCCATGAACACCAGCCGTGCGCTCTCTCTCGTCGGATACATCCTATTTGCCGTCATCCTCGGCGTCCTCATCGCCATGATGTCGTATTTCTGGAGAAAGAAGCACACCCTTCTCCCCAGTAGCCAAGCCGTATGCCAATTGCCTTTATATCACACACTTGCATCTTCCTTTTTTACTGACAATAAGCTCCTTGTCTCAGATCTTACGTGGTGGCCTCCTTGCATCCCCCTTTCTCATCATCCGTACCGTCTTCGGTCTTCTTGAAGTCGCGTTCCAAAACAGTGCTACCTCGCACTTTAGCCCCGTCGAGGGCAATGCTGTCGCCTTTGCGCTAATGGCCCTGCTGCCAGAATACATCGCCATACTCACTTATATCTACACCGGTTTCTCCATTCCTCCCGATCGAGGTGTTCCGGCTGCCGTAGAGACAATTACCCAGTCCGCTGATAAGAGCAGTGTCTAAGCGGTTTTGTCCAATCTCAAAGGCTTTTCAGACTTGTTTATAAAATTGGATGGTGCAATGGCAAATGCGAGAGACGTTTATGAGATATATTAGCGAAAGTATTAGCGTTGCTAAACATGGGCCAAGCATGGTGGACTGCGTTGGCATTGTAGTCTGCAAGTTTCCGTTGCCAAGTTTTGGATTCCCTCTTGCTTATTATTGTCTTCTTCAATTGATCATATATTCCGAGTACTATTTCTATTATACAAAACTGTCATCCCTTCATCTCACTGCATCAAATACCCCAGTATACCAAAGCATCCAAATCTAGATTGTTCAAGCCAATTTATCTAGAAGTTGTGGTGGCGAGGCTAAGAATACCACATAGTCACACAAAGTGATTGTCCGTTGCCTCCTCACATCAGGCAACCACCCGCCAGCAGAGCAAATTCTTTCTCTAATTGATGCAGCGCTTCTCATCTGCAGTCACGCAACATAAGTTTAATCTTGAATTAAAAAAACAAATACAAGGTAGTTTGTTCTAGGCCCACCTGCATTACCAATGCACAGCCACAAAAAAAAGGAGTAGCTAAAAGGGTGTATAGCCTCATCCCGCCCTTTAACTGAGAAGAAAACCCGCCAAGAAATATTTCACGCATCTTAGAATCGGTGCTGGCGACCGACGCTCTCCACGCGAACGCCCAGCTTGACCATCTCACGAGAGTCGATGACGCCACGGCCGTCAAACACCCATCGAGGCTTGGCCATGGTTTCGGCAATGCGCACCCAGTCCAATCGCTCCTTGGGCTTGTACTCCTCGGCGCTGCCCATTCCGGTGGCAAAGCCGTTGTCCTTGGACTCCCTGGCCTGGATACAGTCAGGGCAGTCGTCGTCGCAGTCCGGCTCGACGTTGAATCGATCCAGAGGGTCTTCAGAGGTCTGACCATCGCGCTGCACCAAGTGCTTGTGCAGTGCCAAGAGATCGTTCTCTGTGGGAGCCGATTCCTTGAACGGTCTTGGGTCTGACTTGGGGTTGGGCTTGCGGCCAAGCATCTTGGGAGCGGGCTGATCCACAGGCGCCGGGGCGGGCTTGGGAACAGGCTGGTTACGGAACTCATCGAACTCGGTAGCGATGACGACGGCGGTGCTGTCCTTGCAAGCGTCGTAGGCATTTCCATAGACGTGGACACTGGCTGTGATTTGAGGTCCGAGGAGGGCCTTGATTTCGTTCTTGACGACAAATGGGTTGCAGCAAGGGTCAAAGACGGCGATCTCGCGAGGGCGCTCTTCCAGCAATGTCTTGATCATCTCCAGAGCAGGTGCCTCACGGGTATCTGATGTGTTCTTCTTGAAGGCATATCCGAGAATGGTAACCTTCTTGCCTACAAGGGTGTTGTTGAGGCACTTGATGACACGGTTGGTGAATCGATCACGAGCATACTCGTTCATCTTGACGACCTGTCTCCAGTATTCGCCAACCTCGGGCAGGCCCATGGTGTCGGCCAGATACACGAGGTTGAGGACATCCTTCTTGAAGCAGCTACCACCGAAGCCAATACCGGCCATCAGGAACTTGTTACCGATACGGGGATCGACACCGATGGCGCGGGCGACCTCGTCGACATCAGCACCAGTTTGCTCGCAGACGGCGGAGATGGAGTTGATGCTGGAAATTCGCTGGGCAAGCATGGAGTTGGCGACCAGCTTGGCAAGCTCAGAAGACCACACGTTGGTGGTCAGGATGCGCTCGCGGGGAACCCAAGCGGCGTAAACCTCGAGCAGAGCCTCGGCAGCTCGCTTGCCAGAAGGAGTAGGGGCGGAGCCAATGAGGATTCTATCGGGGTATAGAAGGTCGTTGACGGCAGTTCCAGCAGCCAAGAACTCGGGGTTGGACAGGATCTCGAAGTGGACGCCAGGACGGTGCATGGCAAGCTATTAAGAGAGTGGATATCAGTACCAATCCCGGGAAATGTCAATTGGGGTATTATGCGTGCTGCGCTTACAGTGTCTGCCACCAGCTGGGCAGTTCGGCAAGGCACGGTGCTCTTCTCGACAATGATGGCGCCCTCACGAGCGTACTGGGCCACAAAGCCGGTGACGGCCTCGAAGGCAGTCATGTCGGTGGCACTTCCAGCACCAACACCGCGTTCCTTGGTGGGGGTGTTTACCGCCACGAGGACGATGTCGGCCTCGGCAATGTGGCCGGCAACGTCAGTGCTGAAGAAGAGGTTGGGCTCGCGTCGAGCAACCGAGGTCTCGCCCTTTTCCGAGACGATGTCGTCGCTGGGCTGGCCAGAAATGCTGGTCTCGCGGCCGCCATCGCGGGCAATGCGGACAATGTCGTGCAGGCCCGGCTCGTAGATGGGAGGGTGGCGCGAGTTCCATCTGCGGATTCTGGTCACGTCTCGGTCCACAACGGTGACCTTGATGTGCGGGTTCTGGAAGGCAACGACTGCGGCGGTAGGGCCACCTGTTCAACGACGAGAGTCAGCATCAGTATCAGGATAGGACTGGGATAGCAGCTCGCCCAAAGCACAGCCCAGCCGTCGAGGCGAATCGACGTGTCCTCTGCCAGCTGGAGCCGAGCTGCAGCCACTACAAATCAAGACGCAGGGATCGGAATACATACCGACATAGCCAGCACCAACGCAGCAGATGTTGCGGATGGTAATCTTGTCGCCGTTGGCCTGGTTAGCAGCGCCATTGAGGCTCAGCTGCTGGACCGAGTCGAGAACTGTTTCGGTGAGCGAGCCCATGGTGACGTGGTGACGGAGGGGCACAAGCGAGAGACGAAGGTATCCGAGATGCAAGGCGCAAATGCAAGCAGAGGCTTCAACGAGGGGATGGGGATCCGGGAATGAGGGTATATGGATCAAGCCCGTTTCTGCGAGATATACTTGGAAACAAAACAACTCCTGAGAGGAGATAAATAATGCTGGCACTAGACGCAAAAGAAAGGAGTTGGGGATGCAAATAGAGTCTTGGCATGAGGGCAGATTTAATAAGCCAGGAGCCAAAATGCACGCCTGTCTAGGCCATTTCTGGCCAGAGGCGCTACAGTCCAGCCGCCGTTTCTTGCGCTGTATCTCGAAGCAGCCTTACAGCGTCCGCTAGCGTAGTTGTGGCGACGAAATGGGGCCGCAGACGTCTGTACCTCGTTCGAACGCAATTATAAAGGCGCCACAAACTGTTAACAGGAGTGTATTAATGCAATCTCATTAAGCAGTTACATTTAGATATTGACTAGAAAGTACTGTAGAAAATAACCATTCATCATTCACACCAACGGATGGGGTTTCTGCTCGTTTCTTTGCTGCCACTTTCTGACACGAGCACTCGGCATTGGCTTTGCAGTGACTTGGCGCCAGCACTGAGCCAGGTACTGCCAGTAGTGGATCGACGGTGCGTGCGCATTTCTTCCGCTGCGTCAGAATTCGACAGACGCTAGGAGAAAAAACAGAGGGGCCAGTGGAAATCTGCAACGAAGGCAATAGGCTAGAAGGGCATTGAGTTTGATGAAAAACGAGAGTTAGCATCAGATTATTGGCACTACCTCGTCTGTAGTCTGGAGTGCGACTCGGAGCCCGTAGTAGAGCATACGTGTACTGGATGTGTCGGATCGGGGTGCTGGGACAAGCCGGCCAGCATGTGAGAATCTCTGCAAAGAAAAGATAAGATCAACGTAAGAAACATGTCCATATTTACACACACAATAGGCCTGAAGGCGGTGAGTTGTGCAACTTTGACACGGCCAAGCCCGATAAACGACTCCGTCGCCGCTGCTCATTGCCTATCGGAGCAGGACCCTTAGCTGGCGTCTTTTGTCTTGTCTCACATCATCTCGCCCATTGTGTTTTTCTCCTTCGTGATCTGTTTAGCACCGTGCCACTCGACTGATGGCAGAATCGTTCAACTGGCACATCTGATATCTTGCCAGCCAATCCAAATCCGGTCCAACGCCGCAAATATACACGTGGTTCCTGCGTCGCCGCTTTCAGGCCTGCGCGCTTTCGGACGCCTGTTTAAGAGACGACATGGCGTGGAGGGGCCATTAATACAACGGACGCTAAAGTGACAGGCCTCCATGCGAAAAGAGGTGTGATGAAAAGTGTCATGTCCATCAGCTGCGGTGCGCCAAAGCTCCAGGCTTGACGATAGGGGGTCATAATCGCGGCACATGCCACTCTTTGGATGTAGCTGCTGCCCTCAAGAAGAGACCCTGGTTTCAGTTAATCTCATATACATCAGGCAGACGGCTGAGCTGCAACAGAACACACGAGCGAGACGGAACCTCCAATGCCGAAAAGTGCGAGTCGCACCTACATACCCGCCCCCGTCCATCGGTCGTCGACGATATCCACACCATCGTGACGGGGGCCCTTGATAAACCCCATACAGCTACGCCATCAAGTGGAACGACCGTGCACTCCTTGAAAACGCACGTAAACGGAACAGGTATTTGCGGGAGGATGAGCAGCAGCGTTAACACCGCTAGTGACCGGGAAGATACCTAGGCCAGATACAAATTGCATGCGCGGAACTCGAAATGCTCACGCGACATGGAGTTTATCGGATATTCATTGCAGCCTATCCCCATGGCGAGGCTGAAGTTGATTTCCCAAGGCAAGCATGAACATGCGTCTTTCCGGAGAAATAAAGGAGTTGCATCAGAGCAATTTCACACACGTCACTCTTGTATATGAGCGAGGGATTTCAACCTTGCCATCAGACCAGGGTCTTGGGACTGCTCAAGGGGTCATGCTGAGCATTGGCGCTGTTAAGGCTAAGCGACGAATTTATCTGCCGCTTGGAGATTCTGCCACCATTGCGACGCGAAGCTGGCCAGGCACTGATGACGCGGTGCGGCTAAGAGCACGAGGGTGTCTCGCCTGATATCGGGTATTGCGGCCAGTAGCCCGCTGGGACTAAGGCGTAGTGCTTGAGCCTCCGTTTGATGTACGGAGCGCTTGTACGAGATTTCGATACAAAGCATAGGTAGACATGCTGTTTGTCTCACATTGATTGTAGGAGCAAGATGGGCCTCTGAGACGGATGGAAGAGCAGCCTGGTTGATGTCTCCTCTGTGCTGTTATCGTGACCTATATGTAATACCTAGATACCTACTTACAAGTACCTGTGTGCTGCATACAGTCATCGCTAAATAATTGATAGAGACAATGAATTAAATAGATGATATCTAGAAATCCAATACGGCATCTAAAGAAAGACGCATTAGTATCGCTGCCTGGCAACAAGCCTCTTCGATCCGTATACAAGGCTGAATTGCTCCATGAAATCTCGAGTCCAACACCCACTTACACGCTGTTACTAAGCACGACCAGTGTCCTTGGCACTTCACCCATAAAGCTCAGTCTCTAATATCAAAAAGCTGTTTTCTGCCGAAATCAAAAACCGTCTAAAAATATGTCAAATGGATCGGAGCCTCAGTTTCTATGCACGCGAATCGTACATGCAGCACCCCGTTATCCGCGCCCAAATGGCTCGTGGCTGGCAGCTCTAGCTTCATCTTGTGTCTCAGAAACGCCAGTCACTTGAGCCAAGTATCACACGTGACTGCCACTTACACGCACTTTCTCTCTTCAAAAAAAAGGTCTCATCAAAGCTTCAAGTCCTAGAAATTACCGCCTCTTCGCCTCATCAACCGCCCGTGTCCAACCACGCACTGCACGAGGGCTGCCCTCCAGACGCCGATTCGCAGCTTTCGCCTGTTGCAGCACCAAGTCGCCAGCCGGGCTTCTATTGGCCAGCGCTAGCAATGTGGCAGCGCTGGGGCTCCTGATTCGCCCATCTCCAGATCTGGCAACGACACTGGGAGTACTTGTACCTTGCTTTTGACCTGAGGTCTTTTCAACTTGACTCGCCTTCTGCCGTGAGACAGATTTGGGCAAGGGCGGTGCAGAGGGAAGGTCAGACTTCTCGGGTCAAGGCTCCATCTGTGGGCAGCGTGCTCTAGTCACAGTACGCAAAGTTGATAAGAACTGCACCTTCTCAAGTCCAAGATATAAATCGAAAGATGCAGCTGATATATTCTGGCCGTGTAAGGCTGTGGCTTTTGGTCAACCACTGACGCTGCCCTTGCATATATAAAATCACAGGGATGGTGTAAGACAGCAAGCAGCAAAAAGCTGCCAGCTATTGAATCCCATGAATGAGGCGCTTACCTCGCCACATGATGCTCAGCCATACAGTACCGGCGCGTTTGCAAATCTGGTAGGCACCTTGCCTGACCCAGTAGGTATTACACAAACAATAGGTCTCTTCCTCCCCACGTTATCTATTATCTAGCCTCTCTTGCCGCGCTTCCAACCGACGAACTGCGTGCAGAGCATGCCCCTCGTGCCCACTCTCTGGTTATCCTATTGTATGTAGCTTCCCATGTCTCAAAGCCACTCCCGTCATGCGCAGCATATCGGGACGGATCCACGTGGGATTTCCTCATACAGAATCATGTTGGGCATCTAGATCCGGCTTCAAAACAGTAAAAAGGAAGCACATTCGCTGTATGGCGAGGAACCACGACCTACTGTCCCTCAGAGCATCTTCTTTTCTCGTCCCCTAGACAGAACCTCAGCTCAGAGCCGTTGCGCCTCTTATACGTTCCATCATGGCGCCAGCATCGCTTAGTGGATCGGCACAGTATCCCGAACATGATCTGTCCGAGTTTCCGGCCTCACTCAAAGGAAAGCGCATTCTGCTGTGCACCGAATCCTTTGGCCCTGTCAATGGAGTGAGTCGGACAACTCTGATGCTGGTGAACCACTTGCGTGATCACGGTGTCCAAGTTGCGGTTGTCGCCCCTCATAATCATACCAACCAAAATACCTTTTCACCTCCTCCCTCTCCCACACTCTCTCCTGCAGACAAACAGCCAGAAGTCAGAGTAACTGGATACCCCTTGCCCTTCAACCCGGAACTGTCCATTGTATATCCCGTCCGCAATTCTACTCTCTATTCCCGCACATTTGGCGATGATGCACCACCCGACCTCATCTACCTTGCATCTCCCGCCAGCCTGGGCTTCCAAGTCATGCTGCAACTGAGACAACAGCCAAAGGAGAAGCAAATTCCCATCATTTGCAACTTCCAGACAGACTTGGCTGGCTACTGCTCCATCCTTTTCCCGGCGCCTCTCAGCCACGCGGCCGTATTTGCATTTGACGCCGTCCAGAGCTACCTCTTCAGACATTCATCTATCAAGACCATCTTTTATCCCTCTAGATTCGTCAGACGATATTTGGAGAGCCAAAAAGTACAAAGCAACAAACTAGAGGTGTTGACAAGAGGAGTCAACACGACAATGTTCAACCCAAGCCGCAGGAGTGAAGCTCTCCGCAAAGAGATTGCACCAAATGGAGAAATCATCTTTGTTACTGTTTCCAGGATCGCTGGCGAAAAGGGCTTCGATTTTCTTGCCAAGGTGGCCAAAGAATTAGACGCCAAGGGGCTTCCGTTCAAAATGCTCATTGTGGGAGGAAACCGAAACCCCGATATGGAAAAGGAAGTTCAAGAGCTATTCGACCCCCTCAGGACCAAAGGCAGCGTCGTTTTCGCAGGCTTCAAGGTCGGAGAAGATCTCGCTACTGCTTATGCTAGTGGCGATGTTTTCCTGCACTGCTCCGTCACAGAAACTTTTGGCCTTGTTGTTTTGGAGTCCATGGCCAGCGGCGTTCCTGTGGTGGCTCGCGATGAAGGCGGCCCCTCAGATATCGTTTCCCACGGGGATACGGGCTACTTGGTACCGCCCGATGATTTGGATGGATTTGTTGCCAAGGCCGTCAAACTCGCCGAAGACCATCAGTTGCGATATACCATGGCCAAACAAGCTCGCGCCGCTGCCTGTGAAGCAACATGGGACAAGATCAACAACAAAGTTGCATGGCGCATGGCTGATACCATTATCCAACGCGAGGAAGAGCAAGGAAAGATGCCTCAACAATCTGAAAGTTCAGCAGTGTCAGCAACAGCCGCGGCCCAGCAATTGGTTCCAGTGTACGGTTGGCTCATGATGAATAACGCTCTTCGGGAAACCGTTACGCGTAGTGTCGTCGACGCTCGGCTTATGGGCGGTTTGGGTGTTATTCTTAGCTTCTGGGTTGTTACAGGCGCGTATGTGGCATTCACTGAAGGCCTCTTGTGGGCCAAAGGCAGGATGAGAGCCGGGGATCGCAATGTGCCACTTTCGAAATAAGTCATTTCCGATGAGAAGTCCTAGTCTACAAGATGACATTTGGATGGATTTGGGTTTTTGGGGGGTATATAGGATTGGATGGGATGGAGTTTGTGGCGTTCTATGATGGGAGGTCTGACCTGTCGTTCTTTTTTCCCCCTTTCTTTCTTTCTTTCTTCTTTCTTCTTCCGTCTCTCTTTACACATGATTCATTCTACTGCATGGTATAGATTCCGATTTTATGGAGAAGTCATGGTAGATGTGCATTGTACGCATGTCTTGTGAAGATGTTGATGGCCTCATGAGTGCTCTTTTCTGTCCTTTCTTTTCTTCTCTCGTTCATCTCTTTTTGCTTCTTCTAGTTACACAGCGAATGTCCCATTTCTGCAGGATGGATATACCCTACCAAGATTGACACTTGGAACTCTGCGTCATATTTTCAGTATTAGATAGATTCAACTCTAGATATCATTTTGATTCGAAACTTGTTTTAAGAAAGAGTGATACTAGCACATTTGCATGCAATTTCCATCTGTTTTTCAAATATGCTTGGGTGTTTCCATGGAGACAATACGCCGTAGAGCGTGAGCGTAGAAACAAATAAAATAATAAAAGGCTGTAAAATACTCCGGGGAATCATTAGAACGCATCCCACCCATAACCCATCTTTTTGATACAACTCAATCTGTCCAACTCTTCTCTTCCCGTCTCTCTTTCTGTGCCTGCTAGTGCGCACATTGTTTAAAGAGTGCGGTAGGCACTGTCACCCTTTGACGCATGCACGGCCCTTCGCCTATACTGTGTCGCATATTGAATTCGCTGATAAGTGCCGAAACCATAGGCAGCCAATCCAATAACAAGCCAGATGGAAGTAATAATCAGTCCAACGGGGAAAATCAAGATGTTCACTCCTGGCAGGATGAAGGCTACGGTGCCATTCTTCAGAGCAGCTTGTTGGACTGCAACGGCCTTTTGAGCTGCGGCAAAATCGGATAGGACGACGTCGTTGGAGAAGACGCCGACGAGGAAAGACGCTTCGTTGAGAGAGACGTTTGAACTGATCTGGGAGCCGGAGGAGGTGACTGCGGAGAGAGTGAGGGTGGGCATGACGAGAGCTTGGAGAGCGGCACTGGAATTTCACTTGTTAGCCCTCTTGATGCAACAAAGACATTGACCGGAGTGTTCTTTTTATATACTTACATTGACAAGTTATTCTGCATCTGGTCCTTGTCGATTTGTCCAACAAGCATGTATGACTGCAGCAGAGTCGGCGTAGAAGACCCATCAGACCGCTTCGTGATATTGACGGCCGGCGAACTCGATCCCGAAGTCACCGGCTTCATGGGACTCACGCTGGCGCCCTTGTACGAAACGCCAACCTGGATCCCGCTGGGCGGCACACCGACAAAGGCATCCCTCGGATCAGACACGCGGTACAGCCGCAGATCCGCCTCAAACATGCCGGTGTTGACGTTGAGCATCGGCAAGTTGTAGCAGATGCAGTCGCCGGAAGGGTTCGACGTTCGGATGATTTGGCTGAGGCGCGCCTGGCACGCGGCGCTGGTGATGTTGTTCCAGGCGGTGAAGTCGAGCGATCCGTCGGGCAGCAGGTGCACGTCGGACGGGATGCTCGAGTTTGTCGTGGCCGTGGCCTTGGAGCTGAGTCCGCGAGCTACTTCCATGGTGTCGTCGGAGAAGCCGAGGAGGGAGGCGTATGGCGTTGAGAGGACATCTTCGGTGCGCAGGACGTTTTGGGCGAGGGCGGCGGTGGCGAAGAGAGCTGCCATGAAGCTGGTCTTGGTGAACATCTTTGCCATGGGCTTTGCTGGAATTTGCTGGCTAGGAGAGGAATTATCTAGACAGGACAAAGAATTTGCGGTCTCGGTCAAGGTGATGTGGTAGCTCCCAGAGCGAACCAATTTCGAGCCAAAATCGAAAAGACGTAAAAGAAAGAATGGCTACTCAGAGTAAACAAAAAAAAAAAAATTTAATTAAAGAAAGATCCCGTCCAGCGGTGAGTATAGAATCAAATGTCCAACGATTGTGTATTACGCCGTCGCCTACAGGAGCAAAAGGAAGCAAAGTGCCAAGGGTATAAGAGAGAAGAGAAGAGAGAGAAAGAAAGAAACAAAGATCGCGCCGTGAAACTAACAGGCCTAGCGAAGCGCTTGATACTAGATCCTCCTCATAGATCCAGCGATACGCAAATTTGCATCTGATGCCCTTGTCCCAATGGGCACATCAGGCCATTATGGCATTGTTGCGACGAATCTCTCCAGCTAGCAGAGCGAGCCACAACGCCAAGAAGCGACGTCAAACTCAGGACAAGGCGCTTCACATTTTGGGCAGAAGCGGGGTCCCCTGGTCGTCGCAAATGAGTTTCCGAGGAGCGATAGGGGGGCGTCAAGGGGGGGTATTCCAGGGGAGTCTTTGAAGAAAAACACAGACGCTGCTAGTGGTGAGAGAAAGCGGGAGATCTTCCAAGACCATGTTTCCCATATTGTTCTGCGCAAAAGTAGTTGTTGAGTCTCCCTTTAACTTGTCGGAACCAAGTTGACGCCCTGTCTCGCTAACGCTGCAGATGTTACACTGGCCGTTTTGGAGACGGTGGCGCGCCCCCTCGATTTGGTGGGGATCGGGACTTGAGGCCAGTCGGAGGCGTCCATCTCGCAGCTGTTAAGCGCCGCGATACAGACGTATGGCGAGAAATTGAACACGATGGCGGCAATGCTCGTCCTTCCACTACTACTGGCATTTCAAATAACTTGAAAGCTGGATCAAGCTCGTCGCATGCTGAAAGGATAGCCTTAAGATGCGCTGGGCTGTGAGAGTTCTCTAATGGTTATTGAAGCACCGCCTTTTTGTCTCCAGTGCTCGTAATTACGTGTATGGTATGGTTCTCGCACCGGATAATTGTAGCATCAATGCTACCTGCGGTAGATACCTGGCGGAAAGGCGTCTCAGGCCAGGGGCACTCAAACCAATCTCCGACGCCATGGCGGCTTTGTAAATACGGAGTCTAGCGCCGTTGTCCTGTTCCTTGAGCTGACTGTTTCAGATGGCCTCGTCAACGCAGCTCGATTATCTGAACCTAACTGGAGATTTTCGGAGCTTACATACTTGTACTGCTTTCCTTAGAGGATGGGGGCCTGGTTGATATTCTATTACCATTGCGTACAAAGCAGATTCTTTCTTATCTGTTATCACAGCTCCTTGCATGCGGCAGGATGCGGCCCTATGCGGCTTTCATTGTAACCCGAGATAGCCTGGCTTCCCAATGTGGCAGTTGGAGACGACGCACTGTAGACAATACTGTATCTATCTCGTCTTCAATGGGCTGAATGCTGCTATCGGAAACCCCTCTTCACAGTGCCGATATAGCCGCAACCATCTCAATGGGAAAACTCAACAGCCACTTATCGCCAACATTTCATCCTTCCCCGCGATCCATCGTGCGGAGAAGTCTTGATGATTGGCACTGACAGCTACAGACAGCTCTTCTTTGCGGCGGCTGAGGACCCATTGGAGGGATACAGGCTGTTATGACTCCATCCATCTCGCCTCTAACTACCTGATTAGGGCCAGTGAATGACATCAAGATCTCCTCGGACCGCGCACATCCCGATGGACACCCGAGGGAAATGCTGCTTGTTATCTGATATGAAGATTGAGAAGGGGTGATAACATCAAGTAGGCGGGGTGGCGGGTTATCATGTCGAGTGGGCTGGCTTTAGAATCCCACCACGATAGATAATAACTCTCCACGTTTAGAGTGTCTGGTTTGTGGGTGTGATGATCACGACCATGCATGCATACATCCAACACATCCAGCTGTCCGGCTATAAGCGGCCAATTGTCACCCAGAGCCAGCGTGATGCATGTCGATCTGACCTATATATACACATATCTGCCGCAGGCTGGCATCCAATATTAAAAGGTGCCACACAGCATCCTCAGAAGGGCACCTAAAGACATCATGCCGGGCAAAATTCGAACTGCACAGTCTGTCTCCCTTGACATCCCAGCTGCAGACCAGCCTAATTTGCATAATCGGTGGCATCCCGATAGTGAGTATTGATGAGATATCTATAGGATGCGAGTATGAGCCGATCAAAGACTAATATGGATTATAGTTCCTACAATCGGAACCATTGAACCTGGCGAAACCGTAAAAATCGAATGCGTCGACTGGACTGGTGGCCAAATCGGCAACAATGATAGTGCTGAGGATGTACGCACTGTAGATTTAACCAAAATCCACTATCTAACTGGTCCTTTTGAAATCAAAGGTGCTGAACCGGGCGATCTCTTGGTTGTAAACATTACGGATGTCCAACCTTTCGAGGACTCACCATGGGGATTCACCGGAATCTTTGACCGGAAAAACGGCGGTGGCTTTCTCGACGAGCACTACCCAAAGGCTGCCAAGGCTATCTGGGACTTTGATGGCATATATTGCACCAGTCGACACATTCCTGGAGTGCGATTTGCCGGCCTGATTCACCCCGGAATTCTGGGGTGTGCCCCGTCAACAGAAGTCTTGGCCGAGTGGAATCGCCGGGAGGGCGATCTTATCTCGGCTTGCGTTCACAGCCATCCTGAGAAGGTGGTCGCGCAGCCGCCGTTGACAGTGAATGCGCATGCTGGACAAGCTTCTGGAGACTTGAAGACGAAGATTGCCCGCGAGGGAGCGAGGACTATCCCTGGACGGCCAGAACATGGAGGAAACGGTACGTTGTTCGAGAACATGCTGCAGTGCATCTAGGCTTTCTAACATGTAGACTCAAAGTCGATATCAACAACATTTCGAGAGGATCAACAACTTATCTGCCCGTACACGTTGCTGGCGCAAAGTTCTCAGTCGGCGATCTCCATTTCAGCCAAGGCGACGGCGAAATCAGCTTCTGCGGCGCCATTGAAATAGCAGGAACCATCACCATCAAGTTCGATCTCATCAAGAATGGCGTTCAATCGCGAGCCATCAAGAGTCCTGTTTTCCGACCAGGCGACGTGGCTCCCAATTTTGGCCCCGGGCGGTATCTGACGTTTGAGGGCTTCTCCGTCGATGAGAATGGCAAGCAGCACTTTTTGGATGCAACTGTGGCCTATAGGCAAGCGTGTCTCCGCGCGATTGAGTATCTGAAGCAATTTGGTATGTCATAGGACGGCGCAAGTTGAAGTGACCTAAATAGCTAACTTTCGATCAGGATACTCGGGAGAACAAATCTATCTTCTTTTATCGTGCGCTCCGATCAAGGGCTCGATCGCTGGTATCGTAGACGTGCCAAATGTCTGCACAACGCTGGGGATTCCTATGGACATATTTGACTTTGACATTTCTGTTGAGGCCGTGCCGCAGAAGCGAGATCTCGGGTCTTGTCCAATTTCGAGCGTGTAAGTCAGCTACAGAGCTAGAGCAGAAATGGATAATCGTCTAGCCTGCGCTGCACTTGCTTATGGCAACTGGGCAACATGGACTGCGTGGGCAACATGAGGCAACAGTAACTGAAGTCAGAGTTGGCTGCGATGAAGTCAAATGCGGCATACTTGAGATGCGTCTTGGTATAATTTAATAAAGCAATTGTAAAAAAGTACACAGTTTTCGGGCATAGATACTCAATGCCAAGACGTAGTGATAGCTTATTGGTGTAGAATTGTATCTGCCGTGTCTAATACCAGAAACTTAGTGCCTTGGAACCCCTCAACTGCACAACGCTATATTCATTCTCATGATGCAACTTGTTCATTAGTTCTTGAATCTCGGTATGTCATTGTTAATACTGTTTTCATTTGAGCTCTTCAAGTAACTGTCAAAGTGTGGGGGAAACGTTGCTATTCAGCCTTTAAGCATACCAATAGTCTTTACCCCATATTTTAGTTTGCTCACTTAGCTCTTGGGTGAAATATCCGCCAATCATACGTCCAGGAGCCACGATATTTGTCCGCCAATAGGCAGACATCTCCCTGTCAGCGACTTGTCGCGTTAGGAAGGCGATCTTCAAATGAGTTGCCAGAGATATAAATAAGATGGCATACTATTTTCTGACGAAAAAGGGGCATAGTTTTGCCTTTTGGTCGGTGTCGATTGGCCTTTTGTGTTGTCTCGTGCCGTCAACGAGAAACTGTCATTGCTTGTAGACTCTTTCGGCACTGAAGCAGTTCATCTATCCACAACTAGCTCAAACGCCATGAAGCTCAACTCTGTGGCGGGCCTTGTGGCTGCAACAGCCGGCGTTGTCCAAGCTACCGCTTCATCAGATGATTCGCTCGCGATATTCGCTAAGCGGAGGACGGCGGATCTTGCCCAATTCCCTGATCCTACGTGGTTTAGCAAAATCGACTCTTGGCTATCTTCACAAAAGGCTGACGGAACTTGGTCTGATGTGAATTATCTGTCGGGATGTCCTGCGCGTAAGTGACAGCGTGTCGCGTTGATTTCACAAACCCCAAACTGCTCCTAAAAAGGAGAAAGGGAGAAAATTATAACAGTATGCTAACCGTTGTTTAAAGAACGCGCCAATTGGCCAATCCAAGAGCATTGGAATAGACTGATTACCTTGGGCGCTGCGTGGAGCGGTACGAACCCTGCGGTTTCTAGTAGCCAGGCCAAGGACCCCAAACTTCTGGCGGCGGTGCAGAAAGGCCTAAACTATTTGTTTAGCAATGATTATACTTCTGCGGACTGTATGGGTGACGGTGGTGACGCGTAAGTCGTGTGAGATTGCTAAAGCGTTACTCTTATGCAGTGGTACTGATGATCTGCTAGAACAAAAGGATGTCCTTGTGGAACACCAGGTTTATGGAATACAGTATGTGCTTGTATCCTAGTCATGAAAGTTGTACTCTTAAGATTTGACTAACGCAAACCCTAGAATTGGTACGATCAAGCCATCTTGATTCCCCAATTGTGTTCGACTGCATGTCTGCTCGTCAAAGACGCAAACCTCACCGAGACTCAGCGAGCTGGATGTGAGCGCATTCCAAATCGAGCCTATGCTCTCCGAGACGGCACCTACGGCACAGGTGGCAAAATGACCGGAGCCAACGTAAGTTTACTGTTCAGTCCCTATTCTTAATGCTCTAGTCTGATGCTTTGTGCTACAGGTGGTCTTGATCATGCAAAACTCAGTCACCTTGGCCCTTTTTACTGATAATAGCACTATTCTGGCGGACTCCATGACAAGAGCTATGGCCGAGATGACTGTAAGTGGCTTCTTTGGTGCACTGATATTGTATCTTGATTAACCAGGACTCAGTTCACCGATACGCCTGGAGCAGACGGTATCCATCGTGATGGTACATTCCTTCAACACGATGGCGTCTTGTACAACGGCAACTATGGAAAAGATCTAGTAAGATGAAAGATTTTTCGTCCTTCAAGCGTCAGATTCTGATATCGATATCCTCTATAGTTGAACGCCTTCATCCAGCTCGAAAGCGAGGCCATTGGCACTTCATTTGCTGCTGACAACGATACACGAGCGGCTATGTCAACTTACGTGAAAGGTGACGAGTGGCTCATTTACACGGATTCGCAAACCAAGACCGAGCACTGGGACTTTGTGAGTGTTTCTTCCTCATAGCTTTGTAAATGAGAAGTCCAGGGCTAATTATGAGAGCTTCTAGAACGCCATCGGTCGCTTTGTTTCTTTCCCCACGGTTGACTTACAGGCCAGCGCCGACATCAACTTCAACGTCTCGAAACTCGCGGCTGCCACGGCGGACTTTCAGGGGCAATACGCCGTCAACGACACTATCCGCAGACTTCTCTCCAATGGAACCCAAAAGCTCACGGGCAACAGAGGTTTCTGGGCCAGTGACTACATGGTCCACCGCCGATCCAACTTTATGCTCACGAACAAGATGATCTCAACTCGATCAGCTAATTCGGAAAGCGTGAATGGAGCCAATCCCTATGCGTATCACATGGGTCACGGAACGCTGTACTCGTACGTAAAGGGCAACGAGTACAAGGACATTATGGGGGCGTGGGATTGGAATCTCGTGCCAGGAACGACTACCTTACTCAACCAGCCCAAGCTCCAAGCATCTCAGGTGAAGTACTATGGCTTGAAAGACTTCGTCGGCGTTGTGAGTGATGGTGCATTTGGTGCTGCTGTTGAAGACTACGTCGATCCTCTCACGCAGAATCTTTCTTACCGAAAATCTTGGTTCTACGTTGATGAAGGTGTCATCGTCATTACTACTGATATCAAGAAGAATGCCACTGCTGGAAACACTCCCGTCGTCACCGTTCTGGACAATCGCGCCGCAGACTCGACTCGCGCTCTCGTAAAAAGCGGCTTTGTTGGGCAGCAGGGCGAGCAACATCTCACCACAGACACTCTTTACTACGCAAACAACGGCTATCTAGCCTACGATACTCCCTTTCAGCTTACCCTGTCTCAAGGCAAGCGAAGCGGCAATTGGTCAGAAATCTCTACCTCAACCCAAGGCGTGGAAACTGTCGACATTTTCTCCGCGTACACCACCATCAAGGGCAACTCATTTACCTACGGCTTCTTTCCTTCCATCTCGTCTGTGAAGCTGCTCAAGGAGCTCGTAGACCCTACATGGATACCCATCACCAAGAATGGAATCTCTGGTATTTACGGCAAGGGCAGAGCCAGTCTCGCATTCTGGCCTGGAGGCGCAAAATCTGTTAAGCTGGACTTGAGGGAGCTCGGATGGTCGAGCAAAGCTGAAACGCTGACATTTACTTCCGATCAGCCCGCTTTGTATTTGCTCAGCGCACAGAAGAAGGACAAGAAGGGCTTACACTTGACAGTAACGCTCGCGGATCCTACTCAGAAACTCGCTGCCGCCTCTTATTCTATCAAGCTCTCGGGCCAGCGCTATAAAGTAAGAGAGGTGGACGGGCGGAGCGAAGGCCTTGAGAAGAGAGGGGATGGCAGCATTGGCTTTGGTGTGAAGCTGCCTGCTGGGGGGTTGGCCGGATCATCGATTTCTAGCGAAGTGGTGTTGGAGTTGAATTAGAGGGAGAGACGTTTCTGAAATAGAATTGTAATGGCTCGCTATTAGTTAATTGAATGTACTTGTAATAATCATCTTCAGGCGTATATAAGCTCGAGTTAGGGTAGCTTGTTCCTTTTACTCACTTTTGACATGTCAATAAAACTATTTCCTACTGGGAAAATTATGTACAAGCTATATTCTCTATGAATATACAAACAAAATAATTCTAGTGTAAAGCATTTAAGAGAAGTATAACGATCTGTTGTACCGTTAAGCCATACAGGGCAAAAGATTAGACTAATAACCACTATTATAGCGGTTACTGTAACGGAACTAGCTGCCTATAAGGGAATCAACTATTTACGAAGATGTAAAACCCTATGCGTTCGTGTAGGCGATGCAGAGTGTATGTACTGAATAAGGCAGCTTATTATTCTTTAATTTTATGCCATCTATATGCTGGTTGGTCATACATGTAAGTTGTCGGTTTATAAAAGACCCTTTGTCTATCGGCAAATTCCCATGGCCCTTGGCTACTGAGTATGCACAGTAACGTGATAACAATTACGACTTCATCGCCCTTTTACAAGGGAAACGGGACCTGCGCTAGGCTCTCGAGGCGACAGTGGATCATCAGTGGAGATGCGCGGCACAGGATATGAAAGCGGGCAATCAGTGCTGACAATTCGGTGGGCTCTCTGTGCCTGTAAAAATGTTGCTGGGATAGTCGAACCGAGCCTTGCCAAGGGATGAAGCTCTGCTATATCTGCTGCTGGCACGTACGACCGTTGCGCTATTTTCATGCTGCGGCAGTACATAAATCTTGGTGTAAATACAGAAAGGAAGGAAAGCCACTGTCATGACATAATTCTTCAGATACCGGCGCATCATTTGAGGAAACAGGGCTCGGATTTATTCCACGTCATTGAGTGCTTGAATGGGTGATAAACTTTGCTCTGGCGTATCCACATACCTACGAGTATCCGGATGCGAATATATGTACACTTTATGCTGATTAGAAGAAAGCAACATCTCCTCCAAGAAAAATACTATTGGGAGCAAAGTACGATTTATTAGCAGTATCACGCTAGTATCAATATATGCTTTATAGCTTTCAAGTAACGTCTCCCTATAGGGGAGAGACGCAATTGTGGACGAACAAAACTCGGCCAAATCAGAATCCACCAGCGCCGAACAAAGTTGCTCAAATTGGTAGGTATGTAGCACGGTCAATTCGGCCGCTAAGTAGCCAAAGTAGCCAACTGAGTGTACGCCGGTCCAGGAGCCACACGCCACCATTTCTTTCCGATGGACACTCAAGCTGTATGGGTGCAGCATCAAGAAGCAGCGAGCATCGAAAAAGCGAAGCCTGGAAGAGCCACCCCTGTATAAGCTCTTAGCGGTGGCCAAAGCTTCGGTGACGCGATTGGATCCTCGTCTGGGCAATCATCCGATGGGGTACCGCGTAAGATGGAATATGAAGAAGAATAGAGAGTAAAGGGGAAAAAATGATAGATTAATGATCCATATAGGAAGGCAGACAACGCAGCGAATGTAATCACGAGTGAAAAAATTAGGAAAAGGGACACATGTAAGATTCTGGACTCTTGGGAAATTCCGGATCTTTTCCCCGTTCGGAGCCCTGGCGATCTGCGATGGGGCGGATTTTGAATTCACGTTTAGCTCTTGGGGGCTCAACTTTAGTACCTCTGAAGTCGAGGAACTTTTTGCGACGCTGCTGCCTTGTGCGAGCATCAAGTAGCAGCTATGAATGTATACTCCAGAGTCACCTTTCTAGCATCCACGAGTAAATGTGCCTGGCGATATACTTGCGTGCCCTACCTGTATATTCCAAGGTACTTCGTATAAGCTCTCAGCTTGCGGAGCATGGCTTCCTGAGAGCATTGCAAAGTGGGCGCTCTCATTCCCTCACAGATCCCCGATCCTGTTTTTTTCTACGCCTTCTCTCAGCTCATTCTCATCTACATACAAGTAGAGTACTTTGCCAAGTATCCCTGGTTTAAGCACGGCCTGGCCGACGCCTCAGTCTAGCTTTCCCGCAAGCCACCTGCGTCTAGATGCCGCTACACACCAGTAGCTCCGTGAACACTGCCGATCTGGCCAGGAAAAAGCTGGTTGGACAGACCTCACGAGCCTTGTAAATCTGCTAGCAGCCCTGTCGAGCAGCCCACGGACTCCCCCCCACACGTAGCTGTTGTGGTGGTCCCTGTCCAGCATCTCCATCTTGATTCGTGCTAAAGGCAATCACCCAAAGCCGCGAGATATTGCGCCATCGTGGTACAGCCAAAACATCCCCGACATAACACTTAGTAAGAGCGGCTAGCTCCTAGCTGTAGCATCAAACGGAAAGCCACAAAAGTTGAATAGGATGCTATAAGCAGATGATCAAGGCATTGCGTGCGCCCTTGACAGAAAAGGTGGACTGCAAAGGGCCTTTTCGGCTCGTGGAACCGTGGCGCGTAACCGTTATTAGCAGTAGTACGAGGCATGAATGAGGTCTTAACGTAACTCTTCTCGACGCAAACTCCATGTAGGTAGTTCCTAGCGCCATGCGTGAAGTAGCATCGGCTTCCATCTCGTGTGGTAAGGTGGTATTACACATGGCTTGGCCGTGTACATATTAAGCGTCGAGGCGACAGGCCGAAGGAGCGCTTCGACTCTCGTCATTCATTTTTTTGTCCTCGTCTTGCGTTCACTGGGCAGAGTCGCAAGTCACCCGTTGTCTCATTAAACCTCTGCAGCAAGCGAGTCTTCTTCGTCATATACTTGAATTTTTGTTTATTCCTGGCATCTTTTTCGCAATGGGTTCACCATCAGATGATGGCAAGACTGTGCCAGTCCGAGATCCAGTCGAGACAAATAGCGTTTCTGTTAGCAGCGATGAAGACGTCATTCCCAAGGGCGCCCTCGACCCTGTGTACGAGGCAAAGGCCAAAGTGTTGAACCACGCTGTAGGTCATCCCCTTATTTATTAGCTTGCGACCACTATGGCAAGACAGCTTCGTGATTATGAAGCTGGAGGCATTGTATTGTTGAGGCAACAGACAGAGCAATAATAGCTGATGAAACATGTCTCACTTAGATTCAAGAAATCGGTATGGGATGGTACCAATGGCAGCTCTTCATTGTCGTCGGCTTTGGCTGGGCCAGCGACAATCTATGGCCCATTGTAACCTCTCTCATCTTCACGCCCATTGCCAACGAATTCTCCCCCAGCCGCCCACCGCTCTTGACTCTCGCACAAAACATTGGCCTGTTGGGTGGTGCCGTCTTTTGGGGCTTCGGATGTGATATCTTTGGCCGCAAAATCGCCTTCAACCTTACCCTTGGCTTGACGGCTCTCTGGGGCATGATCGCTGCCGGCGCACCCAACTTTGCGGCGATTGGCATCTTTGACTGCTTTTGGTCTTTTGGTGTTGGCGGAAATCTGCCCGTCGACTCGGCCATTTTCCTCGAATTCCTCCCTCCGACTCACCAATACTTGCTAACCATCCTCTCCATCGATTGGGCTATCGCTCAGGTGATTGCGACCTTGATCGCATGGCCTCTTCTGGGTAACCTCACCTGTTCTCAGGAAGAGAAGCCTTGTCTCAAGCACAACAACATGGGTTGGCGATACTTTCTGATTACCATGGGCGGATTGACGCTTCTCATGTTCTTGGCTCGATTCCTGCTCTTCTCCTTGTACGAGTCGCCCAAGTATCTTATGGGCAAGGGTCGCGATGAAGACGCTGTTCGGGTGATTCATGAAGTTGCCAGGCGCAATGGCAAGACCAGCTCCCTGACAATTGAAGATCTCAAGGCCTGTGAGCCCGAAGGTTATGTTGCTCAGGTCGACGTCTCGGCTGTTGTTAAGCGGCATTTGATTGAACAGATTGACACCAAACATGTCAAGGCCTTGTTCTCGACCTTCAAACTTGGCCTGTCCACGACTCTAATTGCAGCCATTTGGGCCCTGATTGGACTGGGTGAGTTTCATTTCTGTTGAAAGATTTCTTTTCATGTATGCTAATAACAATACCAGGATTCCCTCTTTACAACGCGTTTCTGCCTTTTATCCAGAGTGAAAAGGGCGTCGACTTTGGCGACGGAAGCACATATCTCACCTACCGCAACAGCTTGATCATTGCTGTTCTAGGCGTTCCAGGAGCTTTGGTTGGCGGCTTGCTCGTTGAATTGCCTCGAATCGGCCGCAAGGGCACGCTCTCTCTCTCTACTGTTCTGACTGGTGTTTTCTTGTACTGCTCGACAACCGCCAAGAGCAGCGCGTCACTTCTTGGTTGGAACTGCGCCTACAACTTCTGCAGCAACGTCATGTATGCTGTACTTTACGGCTACACTCCTGAGATCTTCCCGACTCCTCAGCGCGGTACAGGCAACGCCATTGCTGCTACTGCCAACCGAATTTTTGGTATCATGGCTGTACGTATTATCGCTCCTCTCAATGACCACGATTGAGATTCTATGAGGATTTGTTAAACTAATATGAAACAATAGCCAATTATTGCCATGTTTGCCAACCTTCAAACATCCGCCCCAGTTTATACGAGTGGCGCCCTATTCATCGCTGCCGGCATTCTCACTCTTTTCTTGCCATTTGAGTCTAGAGGAAAAGCTGCTCTGTAAAGCATTGGACCACTTTTAAGCATGTTGTGTACATAGAGAAACAAGAGGATCTTGCTGGACCTAGAATAAAGAAAGGGAAAAGATAATACTAATGCGATACCCTATTGTTCTTGTTCGACGGACTCTTTAACTCATTTGGTGTCTTTCCGCATATACAAGTCACCGCTTGATTTAATGAAATCTGAAGTCCATCATCAAGAACATGATTTAACACATAAATCTCTTCGCTACTGATGTCATTCGACTGTCAAATAGTATTGTAAAGCTCTTTGTTAACACTTCTCCAGCTCTACACCGGAGATGCAAGTGATTTTACGGGCATAAGACGATCTCTAATTTGCTTAAGCTGCAAAGTGCACTGACTTCAATAGGCAATCTTCTAGCGCTTGGCACCAAGAAAAATCTCACTGTCCGATATGGTGTAGTGGCTAACATCGCTCGCTCTCAATAAATATTGAACCGAGCAGCCCTGGGTTCGATTCCCAGTATCGGAGATGTTTCTTTTTGCCTTATTTCTTCTCCCATCCCCGACCTTTTTTTCCTTTTTCTCCTTTTTCTTCTTTTTCTTTATGAAGGCCAGTTTAGAGCTATTCTTCCAAATCACAGACCTATGAGAGTCAAATTGCAATTCGGCCGTCATTAGAAGAAAAATATCTTGAACTTGGCAGCTCGAGAAGAACGTATGAAGATGCGCAAATCCAAGATGGTGTTAAACACAGAACCCGGAACTTTAGTCTAGGCGCGCGATATGGCTTCAAAGTCTTGGTTTAGTAAACAGAAAGACAAACTGGACAGTAGAAATTACTAGCGGAGTTCCGTATTAACGCAATGCTCTGGGCCGCATGCCTGTAAGTATACCCGTCCATCTCCTATAAGCAGGTACATCGACATAGGAATAACACATAAAACATTGAGACTTTATACCATGAGGTTAGGGGAGAGGCAGTCAACCAAAAACTAGTATTACAATAAAGACAAAGACATCCTCTTTGGCGTAGAAGTCAGCCTTTAGGGCCATCCGCTTCTGGGTCTCATAATCCTCCTGCAACTACTATAAACTGCGAAACGGCTAGTAACTGAGAACTTCTCATTGACTGTAGAGATGGGAGTTGGCTTTCGCTTCCGACCCAACGTGTCACTGCTACATGCTGACTTCTCTGCCGCCTTTTTTTTTTTTTTTAAGCGGTAAGATCGTGTTGTAAACAATACCCCTCCCCAAAATAGTTTAAGGAAAAAAAAGAGATTGTGAACTCAGATCCAAGTCGCTCCACTCCACTATTTACTACAATAAGTCAATAGATTAGCTAGGATAGTCAGCGAAACACTACTTCACATGTAGACGCAGACCCATTATTCAATTTTCGGAGGGCGTACTGTATGAGGATCTAGCCACATAGTTTCCGTTTTCTATCTAGGTAAGCCTCTTTTTCTTTCCAAGAAGGGTATATGCCCTATTCATAGCATCTGTCAATCCCTGGCTGTAAAAGAGCGGGAATACTTCCATTGTAACCTAGAATAAAAGGGTAGGTAGCATAAGCATCGTCGTCTCTTTTTCTCTTCTTTCAATTTGTATAAGTACCTGAGAGAAGCCATTCTAGGGTTGGGCAACTAGTACAAGCTGAACAGCTCGAGTAAAGCCATTTCACCATTTGGAACGAACACCTTGTGCAAAGGACCACCTTCTACCTGATTTATAAGAATGGCAATACCGCAGTCAATTCGAAATGTGGTAGTGTTTGCGGTATGAAATCTATCTAGATTATTCTAAATTTCCATGAGATATCTAATAAAAGTTACCAGGCTGGCGGTGGCCTAGGTCGCGCCTTTGTAGAAGCACTGCAACGAGAAGGATTCAACGTGTCAGCTGTGACGAGGCCATCGAATTCCGTTTCGTATGGGCCCGGTGTGACGATGCACCGCAGTGAATACGATGATTTCGACACACTTGTCGCCATCTTTCGGGGACAGGATGCAGTCGTCTCGACAACTGGCACTTTTGCCGCCAAGTACCAGTTGACGGCTATCGACGCCGCAGCGGCAGCAGGCGTGCGCAGATTCTTGCCCAGCGAGTATGGAGGGAACACGTCCTTGGTTGGAGTAACCAGCTATCCTCCCTTTGCCGCCGAGAAAAAGGCTATTGTCGAGCATCTTCGTACCAAGGAGTCACAAGGGCTTACCTGGACGTCACTTTGTGTAGGAATATTCTTTTCATGGGTGAGTCCTTCTTTCATAAGATCTTTTCCTGAGTTATGCTGATGTATTCACGTAGGTTCTCGAAGAAGGTAAAGGAACTTTGGGGTGGGATATTGACAAGGGCGACGTGACAATCTACGATTCAGGTAACCAGGAGTTCGACACAAGCACCGTTGACCAAGTAGCAAGAGCAACTATTGCGATTTTGCGGAACCTAGAGGAGACTGAAAATACCTATGTGTTTATAAATTCCTTTGTAGCCACACAGAACCAGACCCTATCTGCGCTAGAGCGAATTCAGGGAAAGCCATACAAGGTCAGTCATGATTTTTGGTCTGCGGCAAGATCTCGAGGTCTAGCAGCGCTGGAAAGAGGGGAGATTGAAGCTGGATATCATGATCTCGTAACAGGAACGATATACGACCCCGGACATTTCGCACTCTTCAAGGCTGAAGAAGTTGGTAAATGGAAGAAGATTCTTCGACTAAACGAAAAAGAGGATCTCGATGGAGTGGTCACGGACGTATTGCGCAAGAAATATCTGATCTAAGCATTTCAATAGTTATAGATGATTTATATCCGAGCTTATATTCTACTCCTAGTTATCGCATTTAAGTAAATGCAGACAGATGTGACCTGAGACCGACGCGATAACTCTTGCCCGTACTTTGAGGTATAGTTAACTACTCAAAACTGCTGGTTGCTAGATCTGTCTTTCTTTAGGTACATACGTTTACTACATGTATATAACCTGGTATTCTTCTCCTATAATATTGGGATTCTTGGTCTTCTCTTCCTTTCAGCCTTAACACTTGCTCATTGATGTTGCGATGCTCGCGGCCAATATGCGTATAGTTTGGAATAGCAGAAACTTTCTCAACTCCAATATCCGATATGGTGTAGTGGCTAACATCGCTCGCTCTCATCAATGAGCGCCGAGCAGCCCTGGGTTCGATTCCCAGTATCGGAGAATAATCTACCTTTTTGGCTTCTTTTTGTTCAAATCGCCCCTCTTCTGCTTTTTTGTGGCAATGCCAACCAAGAACCTTTGATGCCATTTCATCATCGAAGCGGGTCTGTTGCCTTGTAAATGTGTGACTGCTCATTGGCCCCTAATAACGAATCCCTGGTCGGCGGATCTCGAGAGTTACGGCTCTACCAGGCGTTTGCGTAGACAACGAGGGTGCATCGGTCCCGATCAAATATCTGTAGAAAAGGCAATGTAAATTTAGATTCATGTTTACTTTAGCTATCGTATATATATTTCAGTGTAATCATTTATTTTATACTGAACCGACTTGCATCCAACGTGCATTATGCCAAGCGACAAGTCGGCAGTGCATCACGTGAGCACCTTTATGGCCTCGGAGCGTCTGGGCAGGTCACGGGCCGACAGGGCGGTGTCACGACAATATCGTACGAATTGACTCCTGAAAGCTCGTGAGGGGTACAATCAGATTGCTCAACAAATATCTGATCCATCAATCGTTGAACACAGGCGGCAATCAGCATGGGAGAAGCATCTGAACCTACGGCGGAGCCTCAGGTGACCTTCTCGTCGGGCCGCTTTGAGAGCAACAGCAGTTCTGAGGCACCGGATCTGCGGATACTGCACTACAACGATGTTTATCATGTCGACCAGGCCAGTGCAGAGCCAGTTGGGGGCCTGGCGAGATTCATGACACTCTGCAAGGAGTACAAGGAGGGGAAGCAGTATCAAGGCCAGCCTGGACTTCTGACCCTGTTCTCGGGCGATGTTTTCAACCCCAGTCTGGAAAGCAGCGTTACAAAGGGAAGACACATGGTTCCAGTATTGAATGCTATTGGGACGGATGCCAGCTGCGTTGGAGTGAGTTGTCTGATCTTCGAAAACGCCTCTCTGAGACCAAGTACAGCAGCTGACAACACCCCTCAACTTTAGAACCACGATCTTGATTTTGGAGTAAAACAATTCGAGCACTTGGCCGAGAAATGCGATTTCCCATGGCTACTGGCCAATGTTTTGGATCCCGCGCTGGGAGAGGATGTCCCCTTGGGCAACGCCAAACGGACTCATATGCTCACCACCTCCAACGGCATCAAAGTGGGTCTGATTGGCCTGGGTGAGAGGGAGTGGCTTGCAACTATCAATAGTCTTCCGCCAAACCTCATCTACAAGTCCGCCAGCGCTGTCGCCAAAGAGCTCGTGCCAAAGCTGCGAGAGGAGGGGGCAGAGATCATCATCTGCTTGAGTCACATGCGTGAACCAAATGACAACAAACTAGCTGACCAAACGAATGGCATCATCGACATCATTCTCGGTGGCCATGACCATTACTATGCTCATAGCTTTAGGAACGGCACCCATGTCCTGCGTTCAGGAACTGACTTCAAGCAGCTCAGCTATATCGAGGCACGGCGGAAGCAGGATGACCCTAAACGATGGGATTTCGAGATCTGGAGACGAGATATTACATCCGATGTACCAGAGGATGAGCCCACAGCCAAACTGGTAGATGGCTTGACGTCCAAGTTGCAAAAGTCACTCTCCAAGCCTGTGGGATGGACGGCTATGCCGCTCGATGCTCGATTCATCACGGCACGCTTGAAAGAATCCAACATGGGCAACTTTGTGTGCGACATTATGCGTGCCCATCATAATGCCGACTGTGCTATCATGGCAGGCGGTACGATTCGCGGTGACCAGATCTATCCGCCAGGAGCTATCAGAATCAAGGATATCACTTCCTGCTTCCCCTTTGAAGATCCGGTCGTCCTTTTGAGAGCAAAGGGACAAGCAATCTGGGACGCGTTGGAGAATGGCGTCT